GTGTCTGGACCTGGTGAGTTTCCCCGTGTTGAGTCAAATTAAGCCGCAGGCTCCACTCCTGGTGGTGCCCTTCCGTCAATTCCTTTAAGTTTCAGCCTTGCGACCATACTCCCCCCAGAACCTAAAAACTTTGATTTCTCACGAGGTGCCGAACGAGCTAAAATAACTACCCGTCCGATCCCTAGTCGGCATAGTTTACGGTTAAGACTACGACGGTATCTAATCGTCTTCGATCCCCTAACTTTCGTTCTTGATTAATGAAAACATCCTTGGCAAATGCTTTCGCAATAGTTAGTCTTCAATAAATCCAAGAATTTCACCTCTGACTATTGAATACTGATGCCCCCGACTGTCCCTATTAATCATTACGACGGTCCTAGAAACCAACAAAATAGAACCATACGTCCTATTCTATTATTCCATGCTAATATATTCGAGCGAAACGCCTGCTTTGAACACTCTAATTTTCTCACAGTAAATGGCCTGACCTTTCTGCCACGCGGTTAAACGCAACAGACGTCCAGGCAAAAAGAATCAAAAGTTCCAGTACGCACCGTGAGGTGGACCAGACTCCCAATCCCAAGTTTCAACTACGAGCTTTTTAACTGCAACAACTTTAATATACGCTATTGGAGCTGGAATTACCGCGGCTGCTGGCACCAGACTTGCCCTCCAATTGTTCCTCGATAAGTGGTTTAAATTGTTCTCATTCCAATTACAAGACCAAAGGCCCTGTATCGTTATTTATTGTCACTACCTCCCCGTGTCAGGATTGGGTAATTTGCGCGCCTGCTGCCTTCCTTGGATGTGGTAGCCGTTTCTCAGGCTCCCTCTCCGGAATCGAACCCTAATTCCCCGTTACCCGTTGATACCATGGTAGGCCTCTATCCTACCATCGACAGTTGATAGGGCAGAAATTTGAATGAACCAGCGCCAGCACAAAGGCAATGCGCTTCGAGAAGTTATCATGAATCACCAAAAAGTCCGAAGACATTGGTTTTTTATCTAATAAATACATCCCAAACGGGATTTTACGCATGTATTAGCTCTAGAATTACCACGGTTATCCATGTAGTAATGCACTATCAAATAAACGATAACTGATTTAATGAGCCATTCGCAGTTTCACTGTATAGATTGCTTATACTTAGACATGCATGGCTTAATCTTTGAGACAAGCATATGACTACTGGCAGGATCAACCAGATAACTATCTTCAACAGTCGAGAGACTGCCTAGTTTCCGAAGAAACATAGTTTTTCAAAGTTCGTGTTTCCACCCAGTCTCTGCATTGTCAGTTGTTACACTGTCAACACATCAACTGCATCCAATTGCCTTTTTGAGTTCCTCAGTTACAGTCCGCTAAGCAGAGCGTAGCATCAATAACTTGAGAGGAGGTTTCTGTCTACAAATCACGACTAAAGTCGGCTATCTGCAGCAGCATGCCCCCGAGTGTTTTCCTGTAAATTCTTGCCATCGGCTAGTAATCCACAGAACCCATCAGTGCTTTACATAGCGCAGTGCTTGTAAAGACCGTTTAGGTAAACACCTTTGTAAGGTTGTGCTTGAGATATCGTCGTTAAACGAATCAACTCTTTTCACAACCAAACTCGGCTGCGTTTGAAAAGAAACCAGACTAACCGTTTCCGATTTCATCTTTTGCTTTCTCAAGCTTTTATTTTCTTTTCATGAAGGTCATTTTGGCTTTATTGAAGTCAGACTTTTGTAATCGGTATTTATAGCGCTAAATAATTTGTACCGAGTCTTGCATGTATTTTTCATGCTGTGGCCGGGTCAGTTGCTTAGCAGAGGTGGTCTCCCACTGGCTCACACGGCCAGGACCGGAAAATGGTCCCCTTCGTGTGAACCTGCTTGGTAGAGGTGGTCGTCCCACTAGCTCACGGCGACAGCATGCTTTGGCCAGAGGTGCTGAAATGGAGTTCTCGAACAACTTTTTAAAGTAATAAAACTGCTATATCTTGACCAATTGGTTTCGGGCTAAAAGCATCCTCTCGCCATGTGAGGCAGTGAGCAAAGGTGGTCTCCCACTAACTCACACGGCCAGGACCGAAAGCATGCTCTCGCCGTGTGAATGCTCAGTAAAGATGATCTTCCACTAATTCACACGGCCATGACATCAGTTCGCTACTTCACTGTGACCTCCATTAAAAATAAAATAAAATGGAAATAAAAAAGAGAAAAAAATTGGAAAAGTAAACTGCAGCACCTTCTGTTCTCACATGGTCTCCCACTGTAATACTTGGTAAGGCTCTCAGATGGTTCAATAGGACTGATCGGACGGGAAGTCTTGCTTTCATCTGGATATGGCCGCAGCCGAAAGTATGTTCCATGTTTTATATATGAAGTTAGTAATTGATTCCTTTGTCTAAGCTCAGTACGATTTTGCTTGAAGATGAAGTTACGACAACACATCGTGCATTTATCAATGTCTAGCTACAATGGTGACTATGGGCTGTCTTGACGAATTGTGCAAGTCCAGACTGCTCATACCAATCGGACACCAAAGATAAAAAACCCTAAAAGTTAAGTTTTCTGCAAAAGAAAGGTTGTCAAATCCGAAATATACTAGATCTATTTAGTGGACTTGCCTGCAACCGCTACAGCAACAGCCTGGATGTCATTATGAGAAATGCTCACCTGAATAGAACGCCCCTTTGCAGCGCGTTCCGCATCACCAACTAACCGAACAGTGGGTCCAGATTTTGTTCTGATGATCTCAATTTCCTTCAATGGAGCTCCAGCACCTTTACCCTCGGTTCTTAAGCATTTGAAGACAGCCTCTTTGGCCGACCAGGTACCAGCGAAAGATGCCTTGACATCTGGCGCAGCCCTACAGTACTTCTGCTCCTCTTCAGTGAAGTTCCGATTCAAGAAGGTCTCATTCTCGATGTTAACGGCTGAAATCAGCTCAACATCCACACCAACTGTCTCGTCTGTGACAGACTTGAGCATTTTGGATGTCGTCGACTCCACAGACAATGAGCTGTACTTGAACTCATCATCAACGCGAGCCTCGGGGTTGAGATAGACGATTTGCTCCTGCTCGGCAGTATATGGTGACTTATCTTTGGCCCGGAACATGGTGTTGTTGCTCATAGCATCATGCAAATAGCGATAGGTCTTGTCATGACGAGCTGCAACCTTTGCCGAATACTCTTGGTAGTCATGAGGTTCGAGAACGGAGAACAGATAGTCGGGGTGAATAACGAGGGCAATAGCTCCCTTTTGGCCAAAGCCGAACGAGGTAACAGTACCAGCCTTAATTCCATAAGTCTCAAGTGTAACTGAGGGGAAAACAATATGGTCGAACTCCTCCAGGACAGAATCCACATTATCTGCATTTCTGTTTCCAGGTACCAAGCCACTGTTAAGAGCTTGCATGACACCATTCAGCATCCAAGCACCAGCAGCACCCTTAGGGTGTCCCGTCAAGTACTTCTGGAAAATACCCAAAACGGGGTTACCTTTAGTCCGACCAAGATGTGATAGCATGTTATGAATGGCCGCACTCTCGTTTTTATCGTTGGCTTTCGTAGACGTACCGTGGAATGACGCAATACCGATATCATCAATTGTCATACCCCAAACAGCGAGCGCGCCTCTCAATGGAGCGATACGAGGATCACGGTTGTAAAAGTCGGTACCCCAAGTATGCTGAGCCTCTTTGAGTTGGCGAAGCGAGTCTTGTGAAACCTGTTCGAGCCGAGTAGCATATTCAGCAGCCGAAAGTTCCATACTGTCAATAATTGACTTCTCCTCTTCAGCCCAGGCGGCAATTTGCCTTCTACGGGCATCGAGTTGACGAATACGGTAATTGATATCAAGCAAGGGAGATTGCACACTACCAACAGCCTCACGAGCAACTGTCATGATACCTTTTCCAGGTGCGGGAACGGAGCGACCAATCTTATCCGTGGCGGTAGCAGTTAGAGCCACGATACCATAAATTGGTACTCCCATATCAACAGCCAGTTGACCACTCATAAGGATTTGGATACCAGAACCATGTGCCTCCATAAATCCTGAACGGGTGGTCGTAGTAGGCCGGGACATTTCACGAGGAGTACGACCGTGCTCTAACTCAGTCAAGGAGTTAGAAGTGGCATTCATATTTCCGAACTCCTGAATGCCCTCCTCTCGCAAGTCGTCATAGCCACCTACGATAACCACACGAGCCGCTCCACTGCGGATGAGCTCAACGCCAGTATCCAAACTTTCAACAGCAGTTGCACAAGCACCCACTGGTGTTTTGATTGGACCTGAAGACGAGATCAAGAGCATGTTAATCCAAGCAGACATTGTGTTGATGAAAGATTCTTGAAGGATGTCGTTTTGAACACTCTTGTCCATGAAGCGGTCTTTGAACATCTTACGAAGAGCAGTCATACCACCCATACCAGAGCCAGATGCGTTACCGATTTCGGAAACATGCACATACTTATAGAACTCGTAAGGGTCGGTGATACCTGCAGCCAAAAGAGCTTCAACGGTCGATACCAGTGCGTAAAGCGAAATGGGATCAACCTGTTCGATGATATCGTCGGGGATGCCATAGCGTCTCGCATCCCAACCGGTGGGAATCTGTCCCGCAACAAGACGGTTGAACTGTAAGGCCTTTGGAACCCAAATTCTAGCGCCTTTCAAGAAACGAACAGTATACTGATCGCTTTCAAGAACAGGGAAAACTTCGACGTTATCGCCTTGCTCAAGCTGGAATTGCTCGGCCAACTCTTTCGATGCCTCAAATGGCTCCAAATCGTGAGCAACAATAACCTCTTGCAAGAATTGCTTCTTGTTAGGGTCGAAATCGAGCAGATCAGGTTCGATCAAACGGATGCCTGAGTGTTCAAGAATGTAAGGCTCATATTTGGCTTTGATATCCATCTCCTCGACGGGCTCTCCAGTTTTGGCATCCACCCAGCCAGTGTAAGACTTTCCTTTGATGGGTCCATTGTGGTACTTGATGAGGCCCATAATCCATGCCATCTCGATAGCGCCTTCGATACTGAACTCACCATGTGCTTCCATCTCCCAACGGGTGCGCGAATTACCCCAAGGGCCGACCTCAGCAAAACCAGTGACAACTGCAACCTTATCGAGATCAATAAGACCCTTGAGCTTGGGGTTTGGCAACTGATCAACAGGTTTCAAAGAGGGGAACTCGAACTTGAGATTTGATCGAGGCTTGACGAACTCTTTCTGGAACGGAGAATCAGCCTTAGGACCGTTTACTACCTTGTGCTCCAAACTAGTTTCAATTGCCACGGCTCTGCGCAACTCAGCAGTGTCGATAAGTTCCTTTCTCAAAGTAGCCATGTAAGACTTGAGTTCAGGGATGAACTGCATACCACCGTTGAGATCGGCAAACACTGGGGATTTCTGGCATAGATTAACAATTGTAGGTGTCAAAAGACCGAGAATATTGAATGCCATTTCTTGCTGAGAGAAGGTTCTGACACCAAGCTTTTCGATACCCTCAGCAACTATATTGTTCTGAGACATCAAACCGGTTCCACGCGTCCAACCGATAACAGCACCACAAATAGTGAGGTAGCTTCCCCAAGATTCCGAGGACCAACGGTTAAACAAAGTCTCTAGAGCAAGCTTAGACTCGGAATAGAGACCATCTCCACCAAATGTTCCGTGATTAGGTGACAATGGCAGAATAACCTGTGCTGGGCGAGTAACAGCATTGTTAGCTTCTTTATGCAACTTCACCTGACCAAGAAGACGGAGGAGGTTAGTGAGCATCAAACGGTGTGCTAACTCGCTCTTGCTCTCAATACCATCGATTTCCATGCCTCCTTCAGGAATAGCAGCGAAGGGGATAATAGCATCAAGATCCCATCCGAGACCTGAGGGTGAGTAAATGTAGTCAATAAGGGCCTTGACATCGGTTTGCGAAGCCTGATTGAAAGGAACAACAACCAAAGACGAGCCCGCAGAGCCAGTACGGGCATAAATGTCTTGGTAATAATCAGTTGTCTCCTTCGAGAAGCGCGAAGTTGTAACAGCGACCTTTGCACCACCAGCCAGTAGACCTTCGAGAATTTTAACGCCAATCGATCCGCGGCCAGCACCTGTGATCAAGACCATTTTGTTGGCAAATGTAACACCTTCACGAGCGGATTTCTCAAGAGTGTTGAGGTAGTCGGTAGTGAGGCTACGAGAGTACTTCCACCCTTCGCCAACTCTCTCTTTCAAATGCAAGAAAGGGATGATGTCGGGGCGCATACCTTTAGCCAGGGGTTCGTTGGAGGCAATTCGTGATTTGAGGAGCTCAAAAGCAGCTTTTACGTCGGCAGATTGGCCAATTTGGGCGTAAATCTGCTCAAGCTGGGCTTGAGGACCCTCTGTATCACGAGTGAGTTCGTCACCTGCGGCCATCTGGAGAACGTATTGTTCAAGCTTCCGGCAAGCAGGACGAGGAACCTCCTGATATTCGATTCCACCCTTCTCGTTCACCGTGGTCTTGGGTCCAGTTGGGTACTGGACATCCTTGAAGACAGGGTCGGTACCAAGGACCTCCTTACAGTTCTCCATGAGCTGTTGGGCAAGATCCTTGGCGAGTTCGAATGTAGGACCGCGTTCAGTAGGAACATTCTCGATGTAGTAAACCATGTAGTCGATGAGAGTCGGGTTTGCACGGTTCATGATTGAAATGCAGCGGGCAACGATCTCTCTGTCCACGGTGTCTAAACGGCCCCAAACAATGTCGAACAACATTCTGAAGCACTCCTGACGAGCCCAATTCCAGTATGAGTCGTAAATACGAGACTTGAGAGGAGAGAAAATGGGTTGAATACCTTCAGCATAAAACTCGCCGTGTTCAGTGAGCCATAGGTCGAGTTCCTTCTGAAGCAAAGCCGTTGCTTCCTTCTGGGCAGTGAACTGCTTCTGACCGTCGCGCAAATCAGTTTGAAGATACCTAGCATAAATCTCGAGCTGCTGGCGAGCCAGATACTTCTGATCTTTGGTGATCTCTTCAATAGCAGCTGCTGAGACGGCGGGATCAACACCTCCGGTTGCTTGCCCAGCGCCAGCGGCGGCACCAGAAGACAGGCTGATACCTTCAGCGGTCGCATAGGCTTGAGCGGCAGCATCCAAGAATTCCTTGGCATCGGCCTCTGAGGAAAGACGATTTGAGGGTTCCTTGGTGAGTGCAATCAATAGCACGGCGTCCTGTCGGCCGCTACCAAGACCCCATTGGGTCTGCAAGTACTTACGAACGCTGGTGATTGCAAAGCCACCGGGCATTTTCGAAGCAATGAATTTCGAGATCAAAGAAGTGGTATGCTTTCCAAGTTTGCCGCTAAAGTTATCGCCCAATTGCTCAGCCAACTCAGCCAAGGGGACTTCTTCAGCTTTCTCCGGGCTTGCAGAGAATTCCTTGGCCAAATCACCCAAAATCTCATTCTGAACGGTTGATTTACCACCAACCATATCTTTGATTGCCTTTGAAGTGGGAACCTGATCCAAAGGCTTGCGGATCTTATGGGCGACAAGTGCGTGGAGCACCTGAATAGCCTTCAACGGGACATCATCGACTGCAGCGGCGGGAGCAGCAGATGCAGCGGCCGCAGTGGGAGCAGCTGTTGCAACTGGGGCAGCAGCGACTGGGGCAGGCGCAGCAGCGGGCTCAGGCGCGGCCGATTCAGGCTCGGGCTCGTACTCGTAGTAGATCTCTTTACCATCTTTGGCGTAACAGAGAACCTGACGTTCCAATGACAGAGCAGCATCAAACCCCTGGTAGTTGGCTTTGAGCGTGCGCTCAGCCATACCGGCCAGGGTAGCTGAAGGACCAACTTCAACCAGTCTTTCGGCTTTGAAGTCACCCAAAAGAACATCTTGGGTTTCAATCCAGCGAACTGGAGAAGCAAACTGGTAGGCCAAAAGTTCCGTTAAAAGAACGTGGGCCAATTCTTGCTCGACTTGAGGTTTCATTTGTCGTAATCAGAGTATTTCGTTGGCTTTACCTATATAAAGGGATATGCTAATCACATGCAAGTTCCTTGCAGGTTGAGCGTTGGGCAAAGTTGGTTGAGCTGGCGAGTGAGCTGCGGGTTGGGGTTTTGTGGATTTCTGAGCCTGGCCGTGGTGGATTTTTTGGGGCATGTAGAGTGCGGTTTATTCGCTATATAATGAGAAAAAAATATAGCGGTCAACGTTGTACCTGGCGTAACCACTCGGCTGAAACGCGTGCACTGTGAAGCTTCTGTTGGGTAAGGGTTCTCGCTTGTGTGTAGCATTCTAATTGAGCAGGTAAACGGGGTTGAAATAAAGAACAAAAGCAACCTTGCATTTCTTTAATTTGCCTTTTCAATATGTTCGTTGTTTGGGCACTCACACAGGGTCAATTTTGCAGCCTAGGCCTCGGCGCCTCTTGACTAATTTTTTTCCGCGGCTATAGCTTACCAAGGCGATGAAAAGTTTTTTTTTCTCATGACATCCCTTCGGGGTTGTTACATTAGTGCAACCAAAGCTTTGTTTTAAGAGAGTAGCGGTTTGGCACCGATGACAGAGCAAAGTCTAACTCCACCCTTGGCATACTCTTGTGCACGAGGACTAAATCACTAGGCAACATTTTATTAAGTACTTTTTTTATATTTTATTGTTTATTGCTGATCAAGGTATGCACCGACTTGTTCAAATATCAAGAAACTAGTGCTCAATGCAGTTTCAATAGAAAATAACACAATATGTCGGGCTCGCGGTGTTTTGAATTTCCAGATTTGTTGATTTCTCACTACTAATCGGAGGGTTCATGCCTAGAATGCAGTGCCTAAGTAGGCGACATAAGAACTGTGCAGTTCGGTGTAGTTCTGATGAACACGCATTGAGGATCGGCGGAACTAGGACACTATAGAATATGCTACTTTAGAGTTGGATCAAAATTTCACATTTTTAAAAACGCTCTTGAACGGATAGCGCCGAAAAGGTTTGACATGACAGAGTTACCCTATTTTTATGTCGGTCTCTGAGACAATAGCTTAGTAATTTGGCGCCCCCGCTAGTTTCTTCCCCTGGTCGCTCCTTTGAAGAGATTAGTCTAGTTGGAAATCACAAGAATCCCTATTCGGTACTATAATGAGCTACGGATACGACAGGAACCCGTCTTACGGGAACAACCAGTACGAGATGTCGGAGGTGAATAGCTCTCAGGACACGAGCGACACTCTTGCCTTCTTCAAGGAGGTCGAGGATATCAAGCGCAACTTGGTACAATATGACGATAATATTGAGCGTATTGAGGGTCTGCACAAGCGTTCTCTTGCTGAGACCGATGCTGAGAATGACGAGTTCGTTCAGAAGCAGATTGACAGCCTGGCCGGCGAGACCAAACAACTGGCCGAGACCCTGAAATACCGTATCAAGACGCTGGAGTCGAAATCCATGCGTAACCCCACCAAAAAGACCCAGGCCGAAGATCTCAAACGCCAGTTCATGAGACTTATCCAAAAGTATTCTGCTACCGAAGCCACTTTCAAGAACCGCTATCGTGATGCCGCGGCGCGACAGTACCGTATTGTTCGTCCCGAGGCCACTGAGGCTGAGGTTGCTCAAGCTTTGGACTCTGGCGAGACCCAGGTTTTCCAACAGGCACTGTTGCAGTCTGATCGCCGCGGTCAGGCCCGCACTGCTTTGAGCGAGGTTCAGGCACGTCATCGCGAAATTCAGCAGATTGAGCGCACCATGGCCGAGCTGGCGCAGCTCTTCCACGATATGGAGGTTCTTGTTGCCGAACAGGACGAGCAAGTCACTACCATTGACCAACAGGCTGGCCAGGCCCAGCACGATATCGAGGCCGGTGTCGCTCATCAAAATCAAGCTATTATCAAGGCTAAGAAGTGGCGCAAGAAGAAGTGGTGGTGCTTTATCATTATTTTCATTATTTGTGCTATTCTGGCCATTGTTTTGGGCTCTTACTTCGGCACCAGATAAGTGCCGCTTCTGTTCTTTTCTCTTGGGCAGTGGACTAATGAATTCTCACTGCTCAGCCTCTATTTTTCACTAAGCAACGTGTTATGCACCAAACACTTCTGAACGACTACTGGAACCTCTAAGTGACTTTAACAATGCCTGTATTTTTTGCCTGACTATTTAGCCAGCTAATAGTTCTATAATTCCTTTTATTGAAAAACGTCCCCAAGCGGACTTGCGTCAATCTTAACATACCACCCCCACAAAACCAAATCAGGCGGTTTCGCATCATAAATACCGAACAAAACAGGTTTGTTTGAACTTTTTGAGGGGTACGGGTTTGCTCGGTATTAAACGATTCACGTGATTCTCTCTTGATAATCTGACAAAAGGCCGCTTCCTGAGTAGTCCAACTTGCATAATGAATTCCACATTAGGGGATTCCATTCCTACCGGGTCTGATGCCAAGGACAGTGTGGTGCTTGGTCTCATTGACGCCGTTAAGGGTCTTGGGTTTTGGCCCGTTTTCCTAGGTTTCATTGTTTTCGGCCTCCTCTATGACCAGTTTTCGTACATCACCAAAAAGGGCAGTATCGCGGGCCCCAAATTCAAGATGTGGCCTATCATTGGTCCCTTTCTGGAGAGTATGGACCCCAAGTTCGAGGAATACGAGGCGAAATGGTACTCGGGCCCATTGTCGTGCGTTTCAGTGTTCCACAAGTTTGTGGTTATCGCGTCTACTCGTGATCTTGCCAGAAAGGTTTTCAATTCGCCTGCGTACGTCAAGCCATGCGTTGTTGATGTTGCCATCAAGCTCTTGAGACCGACGAACTGGGTTTTCAAAGACGGCAAGGAGCATTTGGAGTATCGCAAGTCCTTAAATCCGCTGTTTACTCGCCAGGCCATTTCGGTGTACCTGCCCGCTATGGAGCAGATCTACGACAAGTACTTGGACTCGTTCGTGGAGTCGTCCCAAAACGGTCCCAAGCCATATATGGCCGAGTTCCGCGAGATCAACTGCGCAAATTCCCTGCGGGTTTTCTGTGGCCGCTACATCAGCGACGCTCAGATCAAGGAAATTAGCGACAACTACTACAAGATTACTGCCGCTCTTGAGCTTGTGAATTTCCCCATTATTATTCCTTTCACAAAGACTTGGTACGGCAAAAAGATCACTGACTACACCATGGCTATTTTTGCTGATTGTGCCCAAAAGTCCAAGGTGTATATTGCTGCTGGTGGTGCGGTGGAGTGTGTTATGGACGCTTGGATCAAGCTGATGGTTGATTCCAAAAACGCGGATTCCCAGATGGACGAGGAGCTACGCAAGTCTATGGTGCGTGATTTCACCAACAAGGAAATCTCCGAGACAATCTTCACTTTCCTGTTTGCATCGCAGGATGCAACCTCTTCTGCCACCACATGGCTCTTCCAGATCATTGGTGACCGTCCCGATGTTATGCAGAAAATCCGCGAGGAACAGCTGGAGGTCCGGGGCGGTGACCCTAATTTGCCTCTGACAGTTGATTTGGTCGATCGCATGACCTACACCAACATGGTTGTCAAAGAGGCTCTCCGCTACCGTCCTCCTGTCTCTATGGTTCCTTATCTCGTCAAGAAGGCGTTCCCAGTCACGCCCGACTACACAGTTCCTAAAGGAGCCATGGTTATTCCTACTCTTCACCCTGCGTTGCACGACCCGGAGGTGTACGAAGACCCTGAGAGCTTTATCCCCGAGCGCTGGGAAGAAGGTGCCCCCGCCAACAAAGCGCTATCTAATTGGCTAGTGTTTGGCTCGGGTCCTCATATTTGCCTGGGTAAGATGTATGTCATGTTGCATCTCACGGCCATGATGGGCAAGGCCGCTCTGCACTACGACTGGAAACACACCGTGACGCCCAAGTCCGAGGTTATCCGCGTGTTTGCGACCATCTTCCCTGACGACGACTGTATCCTTGAGTTTAAGAAGCGCGAGGTCATCGCGTAATTTTAGTTTCGTAAGGACCATCTAAATATCCAAACCCCAGCAGTCTCCCCAGTAGCCGTTTTGTCATCCGTCCTCCGTCGATGGCTACACCAAATCGCACCCCCATGCCGGTTCCCACGCCGGGCATGACGCCTTCTGTAACGCCTGGGCATGTGAACACGCCGGCTGTCCAGCCAGACGAAGAGATCGATTGGGACAAAGTGGACACGGCGGTCGACTACTTTGCGTCGTTGGACATTGTCGAAATGGCCAGCCTGGTGGTAAACAAGGCGCTCACAAAAGGCCCCAAGGATATCTACAACGAAGCAGGCACCGTCCGGTTCCAATTGTCCAAGGCAAAGCAAATGTACCGTGATTTGGCCCAGACTATTTGCGCAGAGAGCCTGCTGGTCAAGCAGGAGCAAATCGACAAACTCGAGCGGGTCAATACCAAAAAACGATGGGTTTCTACTGCTAAATAACCATAGTCCTCTATATATTTATTTCCCCGCGTCACCCCCGTCCTTCCCCTCCCCGCCAGTCTGACCCACGCACCGGCTTTTGGCTTCCTGTTGCTGACAGACCAAAACCTGGTTACTAAGTCTGTCTGAAAATTTCATCGTACTCCATGTCTGTGCCCACGCTGAACGAGATTGCGCAGATTCCCGAACTTCCGCCGTCTGCACCCGCCATTTGGGCGAACCCGGTTCTGACCTATGTCAACAGCATGTACCAGTCTGTTTCGCAGCGCCGCAGCGCTCTGGGCCTGCCCTCTCCCGGCACGATTGAGAACATCAACAAAGAGGTGTCGAAGGACGTTTTCTTGACCCCTTACTTTTTTACTGGGTTGCGTGCTGATGTGTCCAAGTCGTTCAGCATGAACCCTGCCTTCCAGGTATCGCACTCTCTGTCCATGGGCTCTCCTGTGCTGCCCAGCTATGCGTTTGCCGCCTTTTACGCTACCGACAACGCATTCCTCCACGGCAACTTTGAGGGCGACAAATCGTTGTCTGGCCGTGCCCAGTTCGGCTGGAACCCCGCAAACACTTCCAAGGCCAACTTCCAGATTGCTCCCGGCCAACCGGCCATGCTTCAGCTCGAGCATGACTTTTTGGGCTCCGACTTCAGCCTCAACTTCAAGGCACTTAATCCCTCGTTGCTTTCGGGCAGTTTCACGGGCGTGCTCGTTGGTTCTCTTTTCCAGTCTCTTACTTCGCACCTCAGTCTGGGTCTCGAGGCCATGTACTCTTCGCAAAGCAGCCTGTACCCTCCCGATGCCGCGGTGAGCTATTACGCTCGCTATGCCACTCCCAACTGGATTGCCAGCGCGCAGGTTCAGGCCACCGGCTCTATCACTGCATCGTTCTGGCGCAAGGTTGCCGACAAGGTTGAGGCTGGTATTGAGTCCACCGTTGGTGTCAATGCCCAGCAGGCCATGATGATGGGTACTCCTCCTACTCTTGAGGGTGTCACCACCATTGGTGCCAAGTACGAGTTCCGCCAGAGCATGTTCCGTGGCCAGGTCGACTCCAACGGCAAGGTTTCCTGCTTGGTCGAGCGTCGCGTTCTGCCCGTCGTTTCTCTCACGTTTGCCGGTGAGCTTGATCAGTTCAAGAACCAGGCCCGTGTTGGTTTGGGTTTGCAGCTCGAGGCCGGTGGTGAAGAGGTCTTTGAGCAGCAGCAGATGATGGAGCAGCAGCAGCAGATGCTCTAAATGGCGCCGCTCTTTTTGTATATAAAACAATTGCGAGCTAGTATCCAAAAATTATGAAAAAAAACAGACAAAAGACGTCATTAAATATATAGTGTTACCTTCGAGGAGGTAGAATGCGGTTCATCAAGTGCCAGCCTATGAACCCACTAACTGTTGTGACATCGTGGTGGACGTTTTGGGGCAGGTTTGGTCTAGGAGAACGCATTCGATATGATACAGCATTGGCAGGGGTTGGGATTAGTGGGTGACTGAATCTGACGTTCTCACGCCGATCGAGAGCGGGGAAGGTGCTCGGCGGAGCGAATTGAACTAGGTTACGTTGAGTTAGTTCAGACACAGTGGGTCCGTCCAGCGGAGGTAATTTGGTGTCCAGATCTTTGAAATCAGGTGTGAACAGTTCAAGAATCTCGTCCAACGTTGATGAGGACGAAATAGAGTGCCTGGTGGATGGTCCCGTTGTAGGCGAGAAGATATGCTCACTGACAAGAGTTGATTCGGGTGTTTTCAAACTGCTATTCGGCGATTCACGCTGTGGAGAGTCCAACGGTGTTGCAGGATCAAAGGCGCCCGGTTTCACAGGCTTGTGCCGTTCTGGCGAAAGTATAAAGGCTCGAGCCTGCAGCTCTTCGTGCATTTCAATGGGATCGCCCAGAACGAAATCGTCGCCGTCCAACAAAGATTCCAGTTTCGGAGACTGCTGCAACGGTGTCAATGGCTGAGAGTCCAGGTCCCCCGCCACACTTTCGAAATAATCGAAGCGAGAAATCACAGCTTTGGTTGGTGATCCAGGACCGTCGACAATATCCAGGACCCTAGAGGTCTCTGGAGTTATTAAATCGCCCTCTGGAGCAGTGAATGGGCGAATCTCCAGCAGCTCTTGTTCAGCGGATTCGTCGGCCAGGGCACCCTGAGGAGCTGATCCGGCCCGACCAGACGGTTTTCGTGAAGAAGAAAAGGGAAGGTAGTTCGACAATATGCGTTGTGGTGGCAATTTTTTATCATTTATCTCGCGACTGGCTTGAGAAACCGGTACAGAACGCAATTTGATAGCATTGATCGCGTCGAGAACGAGCGGACTTGGCGAGATTTCGTTCTCTCCGCCACCGTACAAATCGTCTTCAGAACCCACCAGCTCTGGCTGCTCTACGGTGCTAAGCGAGTGAAAGTTGCAAAGCTCGCTTAGAATGGCGTCCAAGCGAGCGTGAGCGGCTGGAGGAGCGTCCACATCTAATTGCCAGTAGCGGCAGGGAACCGGCTGCGGAAAAATAAGCTGAGTAGGTGAGCTACGCCATACGCGCCTACGGGGCAAGAGCGGTTGGCGGAATTCGCCTACTTCCAAGTATCCGATTTCGCGACCCAGCGGCGCGCTAATCCTAACCGTGCCAGCAGCCACAATAACACCCGGTTTACGCGTCTCCACAGGCGGCACTCCGTCAAATATAGCATTGCCAACTGTAGCAAACGAGGTCAGCGTGCCTTCCACGCCGCCAAACAACACATGCCCCAAGTCGCTCATGTTGTTTACTGTAGAGGTTGAGGTAAGGTCCCAATGGTGACTTCCCCGCCGCCAAAGCTAGATGTCGGGGAAAGGTAACTGTAAAAGAGATTTAATATTTAGAGAGCAGGTTAGGCTACTTTAATTTTTTGCTGAGCTTCAAAATTTTGGATCAACGAGGCCAGCGGGGCCATTTCGGTCCGGTCAATGAGATTATAGGTTTTTCCAAAGGAAATAAAGTGACAAAAGAACGAGTTCCAGTGCGGTTCTAGTGACAGGTGCACAATTTTATCAAAGTGCGTGTGATAAATATGGGCAAAAATGCGAAACAGCTGGACGTAGATGCCCTTAACCACCGAGGTAAAGTTTGGCGGAAAGGGCACGCCCTGGCGGGTGGGAAACAGCGTTTGGTCGTCAAACTTTGAAGAGATCCAGGAAAGAGTGTACTCAATATACGTGCTGGCCGGCAGGCGGATGGGCTGCCGGTTATTGTCGATCCATAAATAGTCGTAGCCTGGGCCGGCGTTCATTGTCGGGCAGGTCTCCGGGGTAATAAACTCACTCAGAGTCGAGCAGAACTGCGTCAGGTACGAGTTGAACTCGAATATATTCAGTGCCAGCCATTCGTTCAGGTCCACGTACTTGGGCAGCTCAACGATCGTCTGGAAACTGCCCTTGACCAGCGCCGCTCGCACGTACGCACTATTCAGAAACAGTGGCTGGTAGTTTATTTGCGGGGACCGCTTCGACACGCTCGATGTCGACTGCTGCGGGGCAGAAATGCCGCCGGCCGCGCTTCCGAGCGTCGACGATCGACGGGACGGAAGGCTAGTCGAGCTCGAATTTTGACTCCCCGACTGGTAGATACCCGTAGAATTGGCCACGTTCTTGCGTTTGGACGACCGGAACCGGAAGTTGTTGAAAAATGACATCTGGTGGGCAGTGCAAAATCGCCTAGCTCAGAAACACCCTGTCTTTCTAAGCGGCGAAAACAAACAAATCGTGAGACGAGTCTGTGTAATCAGAGGCCTTGACATAAATTTCTAACGTAAAATGTCGGTGGCTTTGGCCCGAAACGCACGGCTCCGACACGTGCGTTTACTGCGAAAAGTCCAGCAGATTTACCCCGAGTCTCTCAAGAAGGCCGGGTCAGCTCTAGGGACCCAACTACAGGAACTTCCCTCAAGTCTGCTTTGGGAGCTGGTCTGCCCCGGGCTCCAAGCCCTGCACCCGTCGTATTTCCAAAACCTGCAGCTCCTTGGTAGCCAGGTGATTGACCTGCATAGCAATGAAGACCTGGGCACCCAGGGAGTGAAGGTGGTCGACAGAGTTTTGGACCAGTTTGTGGCAAACCGGAATATCGGCGCTTTGCTGGTGAATCACTGGCCCGATCCTCTGGCCGCTCGCAACCTCTTGACATCATCGGTGGGGGCAGTGCATCTCCACTTGGGGCCGCCCAAGTCAAAAGAAATGATTTATTCCCATCTTCTCAATGGACACCAGGGGCTATCTTGGCTCTATCTCCAGACTCTTGGCCATTCTTAATCGTTTATAGCCTTATTTATTTCCTTCCTCTCCCTTCATCGTCTTCCTTAGTCATATGGAGGGCCAAGCAGCGCTTGACAAGTCACTGGAGTTCATTCGGGGCCAGGCGGCGCTGATGCGCAAGTCTCTGGACGCAGACGGGCGGTTGTTGGTTGCAACAAAGTATGCTTCGACTATGCTCAGCGAATTGCGTACCCAGCAGTACTCCCCAAAGCAGTACTATGAGCTTTACATTGCTTGTTTTGACGCCCTGAGCCAGCTCGGCAGCTATTTACGGGAAGACCACAAAAACCACCATCTTGCCGACATTTACGAAATTGTGCAGTATACTGGTCACGTTGTGCCCCGTTTGTATCTTATGATCACGGTTGGTACAGCGTACATGTCCATCCCAAACGCACCTGTCAAGGACATTCTCACAGATTTACTTGAGATGTGTCGGGGTGTACAGCATCCGCTGAGAGGACTGTTTATACGCTATTACCTTGGTCAACGGACCCGCGAGCATTTGCCGTCGGTTGAGAACGCTCCTTCTGGAAAGGGAACGTTAAGTGACTCAATCAAGTTTGTTATTACGAATTTTATTGAAATGAATAAACTGTGGGTTCGTTATCAGCACCAGGGTCATTCGAGAGAGTGGCAGAAACGCTTGAATGAGCGCAAAGAGCTTCAAATCATTGTTGGCTCAAACCTAGTTCGTTTGGCTCAATTGGATGGCATTACCTCTACAGTGTTTGCAGAACGTATTTTGCCCCAAATTTTGGAACAAGTCGTTCAATGCCGCGACGTCTTGGCTCAAGAGTACTTGCTAGATGTATTGGTCATGGCGTTCCCCGCAGAGTACCATTTGGAGACTTTGGAGCAGTATTTGGCCGCGTCAGAACGACTAAATCCTCAAACTGCGCTTTACAAGATTTTGAAATTGTCAATTGATCGGCTGATTCGGCATTTGAAGGACTCTAATTTGGCAGAGCAGTTCTCACAACTGTCTTTGATGGAGAACTCCAACGATCTAGAGAACGCCGAAGGAAAGTCTAAAACTCAGACACCTAATGCTAAAAGCACGAGTGGGTCTGCATCAGAAACCCACGAGTCCAAGGCAGGAGGTAAGGTTGAGCCAGATCAACTTGAGGGGCCAGATCGGGCTGAGGCACCGGATCAAACTGAAGAGCCGGATCAAACCGAGGAGCCGGATCATACTGAGGAGCCAGATCAAACAGAGGAGCTCGATCAAACAGAGGAGCTCGATCAAACAGAGGAGCTCGATCAAACAGAGAAGCCAGATCAACCCGCTAAAGCCGAGTCGACCAAAAACTCGTCAGATGCGGTAGACAAACTCCAAGAAGCAAAAGTGGACGATGAAAAGACCGATGAACCTAATGGAGAGTTGAGCGAGCAGACCCTTACAGAAATTCAAGAGCTCGAAAAGCTCCAAACAGTCTGGGGATCAGTATACGCCACTTACTGGAAGTTCATCGCTCAACTCAAATCTCGGCTGTCTTTGCACGGTAGGGCCAATATTGCTCAATCGCTAATAAAATTGGTGCTACTTGTTCGACCCAACGAGACGCAGTTCGTCAATGATCTTTTGTTATTTGTGATTGGCGAAAACGAGGTCAAATCAGAACAAGCAACACCCGAGCCCAAGCCTAAAGAGGAGTCAAACAGCCCATCATTTGCTGCGCCTTATAAAACAGAGCAGGAGCCGGTACAAGAAGCTATTGTCTCGTTATTGAATACTCTCCTTGACACACTACCAGTGTTTATAGTTTTGAGCTACCCCCATTTCCACACTCTGCTCAAATCGCAAGACAGCTCAATGCAGCAGACAATTGCCAATCACGTTCTAAAAGTCGTGCTTTCTCAGGGAGCAACCGTGACTGATATGGCAGCTGCAAATAAGCTTTTCGAGTTGTTTGGCCTGGTTATCAAAGCTGGTGATACTGAACAGCTTGACCTCGCAGAGTTGGTTCATTTGCTTCGCGGGTCGACGGCTGAATCGAATGTGCAATTACTGAAACTTGCTCTTCAGTCGTTCAAACAGGGAGGCGTCAAGGTCATCCAAAGAACCTATCCGTCACTCGTCTTCTCCGCATTGACCGTTTTGCGTCAGTATCCCGACTCAAACCGGAGTGAGCTCCTCAAGTTCATTAATAAAGCCATCTATGACCTTGGTGCTATAGGAGGTCTTGCTGAGACAGCTTTCCGACTATATGTGCTTTCTGGTAGTATTTCAGACCAGCTCGGTGCCCAAGAAGCAAGCTACGAGTTCTTTGTTGAGGCGTTCACCTTGTATGAAGAGCAAATCAGTGACTCTCGGGCACAGTACCAGGCACTGTGTGTTTTGATTTCTTATTTACGATCGACGACTGGATTCTCTTTTGAAAACTATGATACCCTCGCCAGCAGATGCACTTTATATGGACAAAAGCTTTTGAAAAAACCGGATCAGTGCCGAGCGGCCTATCTGTCGGCGAACTTATGGTGGGTCCCTGAGCTAGAATCAAAACGCAACGACACGAAACTGCTGGATGCGTTACAGCGCGCGTTTAGTGTTGCAGATGCTTATATGGATACTCCAGTTAGCATCGGGCTATTTGTTGAGCTTTTAGATCGCTATCTTTACTTTTACGATCGCGGAAGCAAGCTTGTCACAGCAGAGCATATTAACCGGCTCATTGAACACATCAACAAGGAGCTAGAAAACAACAACGAGGAATCGGAAATCAATGAGCCCAAATCGCATTTTGAACGCACTTTAGACTACATTAGATCGCAAGTCGACAGCGAGCCCAGGTTTAGCGAAATTCATACATAGGGAATAGAAGATCTCCTGGCAACTGAAGCCTCATAAGCAAATAGCAATGCCTTTAGATGAGCCACGGCGCCAAAAAGAACCATTATATGGAACAGTTGGTGCGAATGGCCCCAAATGTCGAACTTACCGGGGAAGAACCGCTCCGGGAACAGAGTTCCGTATAGAGCAGCACCAAAAATATAGAAAAAGGCCTCCCATAACATGTACTTCAAGCCTGACCTGGCCCAGGTCTCTTCGTATCCAAAGAAATAGAAGGATGTTAAGATCGGTAGTAGCCCGGTCAAGCCGTAGCTCACAAACATGCGAGCCCGGAACTTTCTCCAGGGCGGGGTACGGAACTTGTCAATCAAAGAGACACAGGCACAGCCAATTCCAAAAGCCAAGGTCAGCAAAGTGAACAACATTCGCAACTGTTGATGGTCGTCCAAGCAGAAGTGCAAGATGGCAACCATAGAGCCGCCAATCAAGACACAGATGCCCAAGTAGTCCAGTTTGTTGCCGAAGGCGAAAATACGCCTACTGTGGCTCTTACACAGGTGGAACGTCGCACTGAGTCCCAGGCACGTCACACAACTCAGCGCGAACACGAAAAAGGCGTAGTGGTCTGCATCGACTGTTTTCGGATAAACAGGGAAATACATATCGTAGAGGAACAACGAAAACAGTGCACTCAATACTGAGGGCCACAGGTGGGTATAAATGTTCACCGACTCATTGTGTAGATAAAACAGCGAGCGTGCTACCGACTTGAAGCTGTTGGACGAACGGACATACCCCGTGTGAATGTGGTGGTTGTCCTTCTGCCAATCTTCGAGCTCGTGGAACGAAACTAGGCGACTGAGCTGCTCAATTACTGCCTCAGGCTCAGTCTGTGGTGTCAGTGGCGCTCGTTTATTGTTTCTCGACCGCATAGTGAAATCAACCGCCGGCCTCGGAGCTTTTGTCAGAAACCTGCTTTTCCCCAGGCTGCGCAGTGCGCCGGGCTGCCAGGGTACGGGCTAAAAAAGATCAGGCGGTCGATGCGAAAAGGGTTAAACGAGAGGAGGTTTAAGCTCCAAAATGCCATGGATTGATTGGACATACTGCACTAACGTCATCTACAAACTTTAAACTCCACCGCATTATCAGCTTGAAGCGCCATGCATATCTCGCATAAAGCTGGGGTAAAATCACCTAGACCGTATAACCATCTGTCGCGTGAGACGGTTTGTCATCTTATCCATAAAATGCTCTCCAGCTATGTGTGCAGCGACCCCAATACGTCGAGAGTATGCGTTGTTATGGTAGGACTGCCCGCGCGAGGCAAGTCATTGATGTCTCAAAAAATCGTGCGCTACTTAAAATGGAGATCGATTTCCGCCAAGGCGTTTAATATTGGAAATTACCGGCGTAAGGCAAACGCTCACCCCAGCGCCGATTTCTTTGCTCTCAGCAACGATGAGGGGGCTAGCTTGCGCCGTTTAGCCGCCCAAGAGGCGCTGAACGACCTTGTTTCCTGGATGGACAAAGAAGGGGGCCGGGTGGCTATTTATGACGGAACCAACTCAACGAAACGGCGCCGAGCCTGGATCGCCGAGCAACTTTCGCAACACAATATACACCCGCTGTTTATTGAAAGTGCTTGTGAAAATGATGAAATTATCTTGAACAACATCATGGACGTCAAAACAACTTCTCCAGACTACAAGGGCGTAGACCCGCAAACCGCGGCAAAAGACTTTATCAACCGAATCGAAGTATACCGGAAGGACTATGAATCCATAAGCAGCTCGGAGATGATCAGCTATTTGAAAATTATCGACGCTGGTGCGCAGGTTGTCGTCAACAAAGTCAAATCGTATCTTGAGTCTCATATCGTTTACTATCTCATGAATTTGCATATCAAGCCTCGCCGACTGTGGCTCTCTCGGCATGGTGAGTCTGAGTACAATGTCCTCGGATTGCTTGGTGGCAACAGTAATCTGTCGGAGCGTGGAATGATGTACGCTGAGAAGCTCCCTGAGCTGGTCGCCAATGCCGTGGGGGATCAGCCACTGACGGTGTGGACTTCGACATTGAAACGCACACAGCAGACGGCGAGCAAGTTGCCGTACCAGCAAATCCAGTGGAAGGCTCTGGATGAGCTTGATGCTGGTGTTTGCGATGGGTTGACGTACGAGGAGATCCAACAGAAATACCCTGAAGATTTTGCGGCTCGCGATGAAAACAAGTTCGAGTACCGGTACAAAGGAGGCGAGTCTTATCGCGATGTTGTGACGCGGCTGGACCCCATCATCATGGAATTAGAACGCCAAGAGAATATTCTCATCGTCACCCACCAGGCTGTTCTTCGCTGCATTTACGCCTATTACATGGACGTCCCCCAAGAACAAAGCCCTTGGATGAACGTCCCTCTGCACACCCTCATATGCCTTGAACCCAGAGCTTATGGTACCATTGAAACCCGTATTTCTGCCAATATACCGGCTGTGAGTACGTTCAGGGCCAAAGGAGAGCTCCCTCAGCACCAAGAGCCAGACGGACAGAATGCATAGAGCGAACTACCACCTGGAGGTTTATAAGTTGAACTTATTTATATTTGGGTCGTATTAATGCGATTTGTTTTTCTCATTAAATAAATTAACACTGTACAATTCGGTATATCCCGCCCTAAGAGAAAAAGTAAGGTGACCGCAGAACCTGTCGAACATCAAACTCTCCTCTTGGTGGGGTTTCAGGGATTCTCAATGGAACGAGAACACTGAGTACTTTACCTTTTTTACCACTGGAGACAGCAACTTCATCGTCAGTTGCCTCGGGGTCTTCAAAACGATCAAGACCACTTCCCACGTGCTCAGTGCTTCGTGGTGCAGCGGCGACGTATTTCTTCTTCATACTGTTAGCCTGGGTAACAAACTCTTCGAGCTCGCGTTCAGGCAGAGTCTGTAAAATACTCACGGGGGTTTCGTCTGCTTCTTTGCCGTTTTCGATGGCCTCACGACGGGCCCGCTCAATCTGGATTTGTTCGCTAACCGACAAGCTCGATTTAACACCCATGGCGACAGCATGCTTGGTGCGACAGTCCAGGATACGCTGAGCAATCTCACAATCAGCAGGGATATCGACCAGCTGCAACAGATCACCATAACGCTGATTGAACTCGGTGCGGAGCTCACCAATGAGGTCAACACTGTGGAGTTCAACAAAACACTCGCGCAGGTTGGTGTTCATAGCATCGACACTAGAGGCATGGGTCCAATAAGAGTCGTGAACGGCAGCAAAGTCAATACTTGATTTGGCACATGCAACTGCACTCATCAACATGTGAGTAGCATCCAACGAGTGGATATAGTTGGGTGGGAATGCTGTACGCTGCTTGCGCGAATTTACCGCTTGAGCAGAGTAAGGATCAGTAATATATACTGTTTGCAGCTCTGTAGAGACTTGACGCCTCTTCTCTTGACGGTAAGGTTGAACAATAGGAAGGCCGAGAGGAGTCGTCCAGATGACACTGGACATAAACTCAGGACGAGATTTGTCTTTGTTTTTAGTTTCCACTGCGTTGCGATCAACCACAAGAGACCTGGTGATTCGCAACGCATTCTCTCCAAGCCAGTCCTGAATAAGATGTGCACTCTCGAATAGTTGACGAACGGCACCCAAAACCTTACTGGCCATATAAGAAGAAGCAGTGTAAACCTGGTCCTGAGGGAACTCATCGATTTCGCGCAAGCGATTGGAGATCTGCTCTCTCGCACCGATAAATGTCACACCATAAACATGGGTCATGACAGTCTGTTTAACAACCTTACGAGTCAAAACAGGATGCAAAAGAGCAGCAAGCTGGTTACCATTTTCGGCGTCCTTCGCAACGTTGTCTTTAACAATTTCCAACACACGCGAATAAACATCCTGAGGACGATCCGCAATAGATAAGTTGACTTCGCACGCACCTTCGTAGTCTCCACCTAGAGCGGCGTAATGCTGCAAACCATTGCAACTACCATCCATGTGGACGGTTAAGTGAGACACATAATCTGCAGGGTTCTCCATTTGAGAGGCCTTAGCGATGTCAATACAAGCAGCCAAAGCTTGGAAAGGTGAATCTGCCTCCTTCCACCAGCATTTACCGTCCAGTGGGTTATTCGCGGCATCAAAGACGAGCCCAATATTCTCATTGACGAAATCGACCCGCTCATCAAAAGAGGCCTTGGATTTGCCAAACAAGTTGGCAAGATGGATCTTGAGCCATCTCATTCCGTTCTCACCAAGCTTCTTGCCATTCCAGAACATGAGCAAACTACGGCTCACATCATTTCCCAAATGGTTCAAATGCGGTGACAGAGGATAGGCACGACCACGGAAGTCCAGGTTGTGAGGCATATAGAACCGTTCACCCAAAAATGCACGGGCAATGTCCAACTTGTAATTCAAGTCACACCGCTGAGAGTACTTGGCAGAGTTATCCAAAGTGATGGCACGCATTTCACGCAAATAATCACGTCGGATTTGGGGGTCGGCATCGCGAGGAGGGGCCATTGGCAACAGCTCAGGGTCAGGCTGAGGGCCTACATTAGGAGGGATATCCAAAAACTCCTTCTGAGTGTTCCAGATTTTGGAGATGATTTTAAACATATCTTTGTTGATTGTCCAAGGGGTCTGGCCCAGAACATTCAGACCATCATACACACGCTGGAGCTGGCCACGCTTAGAAGCAGCAGAGAGATATGCGACTTGCTCGGGGGACTCCTTGGTACGGATCATGCGGGATTCAGAAAACAGGTACCCACCATCGTTCCAAGCCGTCCAAGGTCGGGGTTGAACCAGCATAGGGAGCTGCTGGGGAGAAATGACAGCTGCTGTATGCTCGCCTGTCAAGTATCGCGAAACTTCTTTATGAGCTCGGATCATACCCACTTTGTTTCCACCTTGGTACTGATACGCATGATAGAACGCAGGAGCACGACCAACGACCTGACGTCCAGTAACTGGGTCTTTACCATAAACATTGACTTTTGCTACTTTTAGCAATAGCGAAATGAGCATGGATCCGATTTTGGCCTGGACATTGATTGGCCATGAACTCTGCGAAGAGTCACCGGCCAACTTGCGAATTTGCCGCTTTACACCCACCAAAGCCCGATGGCGGGGACGGCCGGAGACACCTTTCAAAGCCTCAAGCTCACGTTCTTTGTACATTTGCAGTCGGCAATCCAACTCGACATTGCGACCAACTGCAAGGACCGCTTTGACAGCCTTGATTCCATCGCCAGTTTGAGAGCTGTTCAAACGGAGCAATTCCATCATCGTCATGGCTGGTAGGTTCTCAGGTTTGGCCATCAGTAAGTAAGGACCATACTCGAATCTGTCGGCAAACCCGCTGCTCTTTTTGCGCAGCTTGGCCGGAACTTCTCCCAAAGAGTTATATTTGAGCGCCTCACGCACTTGCTCGAACTCTTCTTTGATCAAAGGTAATACTGCCTGGTTCCATTGCCAAAGCAGCATTTCAAGTCCCTTGAGTTGAACCTTGGTCTCGCCACTGCGGTCTTGTTCAACCATACGATCGAACATATCCTTCCATTTCATACGAGCGGCCTCGACACCACGAGTCTCAATGGCTTGCTGGCGCTTTTCGTTGATTTGATCCAGATAAATTTCAAATGCTTCTCGGTCCTCGTTCGAGATTTGTTTCGAGAGCTCGAAGAAATCGTAGTCATTCTTTTCTTCGCTTTTCTCTTGCATAAGCGGAATAGATTTGAGAGCGTTCGAATCCAGTTGCAAGCCGGTTAGCATGTGTCTAATTGTTTTCAAGCCAACCGATTGAGTGGGCTCTAGAACGTCGTAGCCCTTCTTCTTGACCGGATCAGCGAGTTTTCTGGACATGACTTCATCTAAATCCGGTTTTTCGGCCGTGCTGGAAGATGTGGCCTCAATGAGAGCTTTCGTGTGTTTGTCTAAAGACATTTGGGAAATGTCCAATCCGGAATTCACAACGATATCTCGGCAGGTTTGAGCGCCTAAAACCTCGATGTGACTTAAAACACTGCTAAGCTTGTCTTTGCGGTCCGTTACGTATTTCCGCCAATGGCTCGTATCACCCGACAGGTATGCGTTCTTGAGCATCATAGCTTCCGTGACTCCGTTTGGTTTGAACCTAGGAATCAGATAAATAGTTTTTCTGAGCCAAGTCTCTGCTATCAAGGGGTGTCCAGCGTTTGTCTCGATGACTTTTAGCAGGTAGCTGTTGACTGCAAGAGTAATATCGTTCTGGTCTGTGGCAAGATCGACCAGACCGACCAAAACCGCCTCTGCTCTTTCGAGATTACCGCTCTCCAAACACGCCTCGAGCAACGACCAAGCCTGTGAGTAGTCGCTGGTGAACGCATTTTGCGGAACACTGTCTCTATTCGAAGACCAAGACATTGTCTCACCAGGCGGAGGCACATTGGTGCTCGTTGGAGTTGTTGTAGTTGTGGTGGCACCGGCCAAAGGTACCTTCGCTCCAGCAGAGTTACGGAAGGAGCGAACTGCCACGAATGACGACGCACGCGGGCATCTGCGGACAATTTTCCACATTTTATGGCTGAGATTCTTTAGCTTAGTCCAACGTAAAGAAAAGTGGAATTTTTCCTGCAGTACCTGTATGGACAAAAAAACTCCCTTTTGGTCCTAAACCTGAACTTTTAAATTTTTTTTTCCCACGCTCGTCTGAGCCAGCCGTCAACCCCAACCCTGATTCAATCCGTCTCGAAGCCATGTCCTCAATTAGCTGCTGACAGTGAAGGAATCCGTTACGCGCGCGGGGATTTTACATGAACCGTGCGGTTATCGACCAGTTTGTGCTGGCCCAAGAGTATCCAGAAAAGCATACTGCCACACTACAGAGCAATGCGTCCGCAATAAAATTCAGTGCTACTGGGGACTATTTGGCCAACGGGACTTTGGATGGGGATGTAGTGGTCTATGATTGTGATACTTGGGAGCCGTTACAGATTTTAAAAGGGCACGGAGGAGTGATACAAACTCTATCATGGTCTTCATGTTCTAGATATTTATTGAGTGCATCGCGGGATTGGCAATGCATATTGTGGGACTTTAAAGATATCGAAAATGGGCCTGCCGCTACGGTCGATTTGGGGTGTCCTGTTTGGATGGCCAGTTTACATCCCCACAATCATAATGTATTTGTAGCGGCTTTGTTGAACGCCAACCCTGTTTTGGTTACTATCAATGAGGATACGTCTACCAGCAAATTGACGTTACCTGACGGTGGTAATGGTAAAGTTCAAGTGGCCCTCTTTTCCCCCACAGGAGACCACGTTATTTTGGGATCGAGCAAAGGAGCTATAATGATAGTGACACTTGAGGGCGAGCTCGTTTACTCCACCAAAATATCTTCAAGTGCTATTATCGATATGTGCTATACCCCAGGTACGGACTTTTTGGTTTGCACATCAACTGACAGAGCCATCCGAAAAGTTCAGCTCCCCAATTTCACAACCTCACCTGATTCATGGAACCTGGAAATATCACAAAAGTTCATTGACCTAGTAGAGAAGCATCAATGGGTCGCTTCGGCCACCTCGCCAAGTGGAGAACTGATTTTGGGCACTGGACGAGGAACTAACGACGTTTATATGTGGGAGGGTAACTTGGGATCACTGGTAAAGATTTTCGAGGGCCCCAAAGAGAATTTGGCATGTATTGACTTCCAGCCAAACCGCCAATGCTTTGCAACCACTGGCATCGATAGCGGAGACATTCATATTTTTACCGCCGAGCAGCCCCAAAATTGGAGCGCCCTAGCAACAGATTTCGTTGAATTGCATGCTAATGAAATATACACTGAGCGTGAGGAAGAGTTTGATATCGTGGACGAAGATGAGAACTCAAAAAACCTTGATCTACACAAGGTAGACGTCTGGACCATTGAAAAGCCCATCAAACACTTTGTGATTCCAGTAAATCTTGAATAATTAAATAGGGTGCGCAATGACACGACCATCGTCGCCCCCCGTCAAAACTTTATCTCCGAACCAGCAGACGGTATTAATTTCGTATACACCATGAGCGTTTTGAACGATCTTTGAAACTGTCCACTTATTATTTTCAAAGGTATAAATAGCCAAACGCCCGTCTGCCCCGACGCTAGCAATTCCGTGCTGGCTCCAATCAACAGCGTAGATTGTGTCAGTGTGCACAGTTGGCAGAACACATTCTTGCTCCCATTCCTCGGCTAGGATGTCCCAGCGGGCAACCGAAGGCAATTGACCCGGTTGAGTGCCACCCGTTCGGCCCTTGCGAGTCCATACTCTGACCGTCATATCATCAGAACAGCTTGCAAGACGGGCGTGCGGAACCTCACCAGTGTCCTGCTCTGGCTGCGGAGGTGCGGGCTCAAAAGCTGCACCCCAGACAGTAGACTCATGGCCCTTGAGGTCCGAGACGCAGATCCACTCGTCATCATCTAACTTCCAGAGTCGTATTTCATTGTCATAAGAAGTCGACGCCAACAGCAGTTCACTGGGATGCCATACAACATGTTTAACGTCCTGTGTGTGGTCTTGCAGTACAGCAACACAATCAAAATCCTCATTAGATTCATCAACTTCCCAAATCCATACAGATTTATCTCGCGAACAAGTTGCAAGAAATGCGCCGTCGTGGGACCAGGCTACCCCCTTTACTTCGTTTTCGTGACCCTCGAGCATAGCCATAAATTCCCAAGTGGGGGGTTCATTTGTCCAAATACTCACCTGAGCATCAAATGAGCCCGCGGCAAGCGTGGGCGCTCCGATAGCCTTCCAAGACACCGATCGAACACTCCGGGTGTGAGCCTCGGTTAAATCTTTGACCAATTCGAGGTCAGGGCCCCGATATACGTTCACCGTTTTGTCTCCAGAGCAGCTTGCTACTAATGGAAGTCTTGGATGTACGGCTACTTGCCATACTCTGTCTTTATGCTGCGGTTTTGACGCCATTGAAATATCTGGGGAAGCCTCTTTGGATTTGTCACTATTTTTCAGTCCCGCGAGGTCATGTCTATTGCACTGAGAACTGGGCCTATAAGAAAGATACCGGTCCGGAACTTTTCTAGTTGTTTACTTTTGCATCAGAAAAAAAAGAATGTTCCCGCGAAAAAGAGCTGGTTCGCTGACGAGTCTCAAATCCAGCAAAAACGGGGACCTACGACGCCTATCCAGAGGGTGACGTACGAGTACCCCCCTCCGCCCAAAGCGAAGCCACAGCCACCTCCTGAATCAAGCGCCTGGCGAAAACATATTCCCATGTTAGTAGGTGTTGCTGGTGTTTTATGGGCTGGCTATGCTCTGAACTATATCTTTAACATCCAAGAAGGAGAACAGACTACCTTGACACTAAACAAGTTTACGGCCTATAAAATCACGTATCGTGAGCAGGTCGGTCCCAATTTAATTGCTATTGAGCTGTCACCCAAGTATTCAGCCCACATGGATATTTTGACGAATGGAGGAACCCTTTGGAATGGTAAAAAGCTTTGGAGTGTGCAGGTCAAGCATCCAGAGATTCAGATTGCCAGAAAATACACACCGCTTCCTTTATACTATATGCAATCTCGAGAAAATGGTGAAGAGAAGGCACTACTCCGTATTCTCGGCTCTGCACCAGACGAGGGCCGTCTTGTTCTTGTTGTGAAGAAATATGACGACGGCGAGATGTCAAGATACCTTCACAGTCTTCCTGTTGGAAGTGAGGTGGAACTTAGAGGACCGTATGTTGAGCACAAGTTCCCTTACACGCATGCAGACATGAGCCCTGTTAGAGAGCCTATGCTGGATCTTCCGACTCGCATGAAAGCGGAAAAACCAATTGATCCTGCAGCTATTCCGGACAACATTGCTTTCTTTACTGCTGGAACAGGCATTGCCCCCGCTCTCCAGACTTTACTGTCTAGAAATCCGCCTAAAGGGTTTACACATGTCTACCACAGTGTAAGATCGAGACAAGATATTCCGTTCACTCGCTTTATGCTGTTCCTCGAGAAAGTTGGCCGAGCAAAGTTCCATTTCTATGTCGATGACGAAAACAAGTTTCTAACGCTACAAGATATCCCGAAGCCGGTTCCCAAGCAGCCCCGGGCGCTAGATACCCCCGAGGAGGTGGAGCCTACAGACGTACAACCAGCGTCAACCTGGCCCAATGCAGTCGCACAGTTTGCCGACAAATCCTATAAACCAAACTATTTGAAAGGCCCGTCTCTTGCTGTGGTCTGTGGTCCTCCTGGGTACATCGCCTATGTTGCTGGAAACCCCGGCTTCAATAATGATGCCCCCGTCGCGGGCTTACTGGGAGAGTCAAACTGGACCTCTGAAAATGTCACTCGTATGAGCGAGTTTTAGTGTATATACATATAGAAGAACCCCACGTGTTTCCCTCAACCCAACTGACTCAGACTATGAGCACTATACTAGGGGTGAAATCCGTTCTCCCAGGCAAGGCTATATTCAGCGGTATTCAGCCCACGGGCGTGTTCCACCTGGGGAATTTCCTGGGAGCCATCAAATCGTGGGTGGATCTATCCCGCAGCGCTCCAGAAAATTCTCCTATACTGTTTATGATTGCAGATTTGCATGCCATTACCGTAGCCCGATCTCCGGAAAAGCTAAGAAAGCAACGCTGGGAGGCTCTGGCTAGTATAATTGCGAGTGGAATTGACCCCAAACGGTGTACTGTTTATTTTCAGAGCGATGTTCCTGCTCATGCTCAGCTGCACTGGATTCTATCCTCTATCTCGAGCATGGGTTATTTGAACCGGATGGTGCAATGGAAATCAAAAGCAAATCTTGACGAATCGGCCAGCCTTACCAACAGCGATTTGACAAACCTAAATTTGGCGTTGTTTTCCTACCCAACTTTGCAAGCGGCTGATGTTCTGATCCACCAGGCCGGTTATGTGCCCGTGGGTGAAGATCAATCGCAGCACTTGGAATTGACCAGACATTTGGCTCAAGCCTTTAATTTCCGATTTGGTGAGACATTCACAATTCCAGCGACTGTTCTGAGCCCTCACAAAAAGATCCTGAGTCTACGTGATTCAACCAAAAAGATGTCAAAAAGCGACCCGGATCAGACATCTTGTGTGTATGTTACGGATACCGCAGAAGAGATCAAAACAAAGCTCAAAAGGGCCCTGACCGATTCAGTGCAGGGAGAAATTACCTGGGACCCTGAGCAGCGGCCGGCTGTTGCAAACCTGTTGTCGATTGCAGCTGGATTGCAAGACATGGAAGCCCCCGACTTTCTAGCCAAGCATCCTATGAAAAACCACAAGGAACTTAAGGATACGGTTGCTGACTGCCTAATCGAGTCTCTTTCGCCCATCAGGGAAGAATACAACCGTCTGGTCTCTGACCAAGCTTACTTGGAGTCGCTTGCGAACCATGGTCGTGACATTGCCCATGAACGGACCTCTGGCACCCTTGAAAAGGCCTATCGCGCAGTGGGCTATTTGTAAATATGCGTAAAACTAGGTAAAGTACTTAAAACATGGCCATTCGGCCCATGCTCCGACCTAAGCTCCCTGTCTCCTGAATGGAATCATTGTATGATCGATTGTCGTTGATGCGGGGAGGGATGAGGCTTGCGTTGGCGCTAAGTTTATCGGAGCGGTACTTTTCGTAAATGACATCATGAGTCAAGTCTCTTAGTTCCTGCAAATGGGAACCAAAGATAACAGTTCTGAGATAGGAGAAGTCGCTGAACTCTGGATCTTCAGTACTCACAAACCCCCAAGGATAGCTTCTGCCTCGCACGAATTGACTGTCGACCTCGTAGATATCATCGCTTCCTACAACAGCAAAGGGAAGTAGCGCTCGAAGAGCTACGCACTCATCAATAACCTCTTGGTCGGTTTCGTCTTCGGCATAATTGAACGAGAAAATAGGAATTTTGTAGTGCTCAATGTCGGCGAGAATTTTGGTTTTGTTGATAATCAGTTCCTCATCGGTAAAAGTATCGGCCTTTGCAATGACCGGAATAATATTAACTCGACGGGACAGAGTGCTCATAAGGTCAATGTCGAGCTCGCGAAGACCATGGCCTGTAGCGGCGATAAAGTATAAGCAAACCTGAACACGTTTATCATCAAAGCGAGGATTCCGATGCACTCGGCTTTCTTCAGCTAAAACTTCGTCAAACTGAGTTTCCAAATAGTTCAGAATGGTGCCGCAGCATTTCGAATTATCGATGTTGTCACCGAACCCAGGCGTGTCGACCACGGTTAACGCGATCACAGTCCCGTCTTCTTCGCAAAGGTCAACTTTATGAGTACGAATTTGCATATCACGTGTGATACCGTCCTCATGAACTGCAACCTGGCGCTCGCTATCACTAAATATCTTGCCGTCGCACAGCGTATTCACAAAGGTGGACTTCCCGGTACCGGTGCGGCCACAGACCATCAAACAGAGCTGAAACCCTTTCTTTACAATTTTGCGCCTGCGCATGTGGTCTGGAGATTCAGCTGGGTAGACGGAGGATAGCATAGACATTTTGAAATGATACAGGATTGGAAATTAATGCTCTAAATGTTTATATAGAAGTCACTTTGTGGTAACCTCACAGCCACTACAACAGTTAATATATGGCAGCTAAAACATACCGAAAATGTCATAGCCAGCGCTACCCAATATGTAAATTCCCCTTATGAGAAGAAAACCCCAGCTCGAGTGAAATATAGCTTCGTCTTGAGTTAGGTAATCTTGACAATGGAAGAACGACTGGGGTCGGTGCCCAGCACGCCAAGGAAAAAGCGGACAAGAGACCGCTTTATACCCAATCGCTCTGCCATGGACCTTTCAGGGGCATTCAGTCTTGCCGGTGAAGCTCGTTCTCCGTCTGTTACCAACTCCGAAGTGGCTGATCAGGCGTACTCTGAAGTTTTGAAAGCTGAGCTGTTTGGCACGGAATTACCCTCATCAGCGGCGAGCACATCGTCGTGGTCCTCGCCACAATCATCTATTGGGTCTAGTCCCGATAGGAAGAATCGTGGAGGACGAAGAGAAACCCAATCGCTGCCGACGACGCCAAGAAAAAACCGAAACCTGTTTTCTTACTCGCCTTCGAAAAGAGCTACCAGGGCCACGGAGAACGAGGTTTTTTCTTCTTCTCCAATGAGACTAGACTCGCAGCTGTTTCTATTATCGCCCAAGAAACGGCCACGGGAAATTGAACGCACTCCTTATAAAGCGCTGGACGCTCCTATGCATGCAGATGATTTTTACCTCAACCTCTTGGAATGGGGCCCCCAAAACTATTTAGCTGTCGGATTGGGCTCTTCTGTGTATATATGGAATCGCGAAACCGAGGAAGTACATGAATTGTGCCAACTTGATACCGATAAGGTGTGCTCAGTCTCCTGGATCAATACGGGGACTCACTTGGCGGTAGGCACTCAAGACGGGTTGGTACAGATTTGGGACGTTGAGAATTCAAGGTGTATTCGCCAAATGCGCGGCCACACTCGAAGAGTTATGTCTCTTTCATGGAATAGCCATGTGCTGTCGTCAGGCTCGGAGGATACGACGATTCTCCACCATGATGTACGAAGCCATGTGCAGTACACTCATCAGCTGAAGGCACATCGAGGTCAGGTGTGCGGTCTTCGTTGGAACACTGAGCTCAACCAGCTTGCCTCGGGCGCTAACGATGACAAGGTATTTATTTGGGATGGCATGAGCCAAGAACCGCTATATGAGTTTTCAGAGCACCGTGGTGCGGTCAAGGCTCTTGCGTGGTCCCCCCATAACCGAGGTCTACTGGCTACTGGTGGTGGCACGTACGACCGGCGACTCATCTTCTGGAATACGCTGACCGGTCAGCGGCTCTCTGAGTTCGATACCGGCTCCCAGGTCTGCAATGTGCTATGGAGTGCCAAGACTCGAGAAATCGTGTCTTCGCATGGATTCTCAAACTATCAAATTGCTATATGGCAGTATCCCAGCATGCAGCAGGTGGTGTCGCTAACCGGCCATCAGAGCCGGGTGCTCTCGCTGTCACAGAGTCACGACGGAGAAATGCTAGCGTCGGGTGCCGGCGATGAAACCGTGCGTCTGTGGAATATTTATCAAGGTGACAAGACGAAAGATGGCGACTCCCGTTTGAGCATCTACAGTCAGTTGAGATAAGGTTGGTGCTCGCGTTCTGCGCGGCCATGCAACATGACGATTCCTGCTTGAAGGATAATCAGTTGCACCGAATCACAACTACATCCCCGGCTGCATATTGGATCTTATTGGGTGGTTTTGCTTTGATGCCTTTATCTATAAATTATTATCAGTAAAATTTTACACCATTCGTGTTACATGCTTTTACATGGCATTTCGTTTATTCAACACAGCGGCCATGCAGGCTGTCACCGATACCCCAACCCAAACACCATCCCCCAGGTTTATCTAAGCTGAAAATATATAAACTCTGACTCAAATCCCCCAGGTGTCGTTCCCCACAGAAAATGCCTGATTTGTCTCATTTCCTATCTGAAGAAGCGAAACGGCGCAAGCCCTCGCCTCTCAAGGAGGCTTTTGTGCACTTTACCAACCCCAAAATCTGCTCTCTGGGTGGTGGCTTGCCCCTTCCCGACCTGTTCCCGTACGACAAGGTCAGTGCCAAGGCTCTGGCAGCTCCTTTCAACGAGGGAATTGACAAGGACATTCTTGAGGCCAAGGATACTATTGACATTGAGGTGTACAAGAAGGATGTTGAGGAGTTTGATGATATCAACCTCTCTATTTCTTTGCAGTACGGCCAGTCTCACGGTAACGTGCTGCTCCGGGAGTACATCAAGGAGCACACACGCCGTGTCCACCACGTTGGCTACGACGACTGGGATGTTGTCTTGACTATTGGCAACACCTACGGTTTGGACGCTACAGTGCGCACTTTTGTCAACCCCGGCGAGCCTGTTCTGGTTGAGGAGTTCTCGTTTTCCTCTGCGCTGGAGTGCATGCGTGCTAACGGGGCTATTCCTGTTGGCGTCAAGATGGATCTGGATGGTATTATCCCTGAGGTTCTTGAGACTCAACTTGCCAACTGGGTTGGTCCCAAGCCCAAGTACTTGTACACGATCCCTACCGGCCAGAACCCCACTGGGTCCACGCTTTCTCCTGAGCGTCGTCAGGCTATTTACAAAATTGCTCAAAAGTACGACTTCCTAATTGTTGAGGACGAGCCCTACTACTACTTGCAGATGCCCGTTTACGAAAAAGGAGCTAAGCATGAACAGCACCTTGATCGGGACGGCCTGATCAAGTCCCTGGCTCCGTCTTTCCTTGACTACGATGTCGATGGTCGCGTTGTTCGTCTGGACAGTTTCTCCAAGGTGCTGGCTCCTGGAACCCGCATTGGCTGGATTGTTGCTAACAAGATGTTCTTGGAGCGCTACTTGCGCCTCTTGGAAAGCACTTGCCAGGTTCCTTCTGGTTTCTCCCAGAGTTTGGTTTATGGTTTACTCACTCGTTGGGGCCAGGACGGTTATCTCGACTGGCTGATCAAGCTGCGTGAATTTTACACCAAGAAGCGTGACGTCACTTGCGACGCCATCTACCGGGAGCTGCCCGCCGGCAAGTACGAGCTGGTTCCGCCTACCTCGGGTATGTTCTTCTGGCTGAAGATCGATGCCCGTCGCTTCAAGGACTACGAGAAGTACAACGCCGACGCCAAAGCTATTGAGATGAAGCTGTATGAGCTCGGTGTTGAGAACGGTGTCTTCCTGGTTCCCGGCCACTGGTTCTTTGCCCCGGACAATACCGACCCTCCCCAGCCTCGCGCAGTCGAGGAGTCAGAAGATGATAAAAACGCCATGTTCTTCCGCGGCACTTTCGCCTCGGTCCCCGACGACAAACTTGTCCTGGCCATCCAACGTTGGGCCAAGACCATGAACGAGTACCTCAAGTAGACTGCATACCAATAATAAATAGGATAAACCTACGGCTTATAAGTGAAGACTATGAGGTTGGCTTGTCTGCGATACGTTTTTCTAGCTCGTCGCGTTGCTTTTGTTGCCAACGGCAGTGCTCAGCATGGTCATGGATTTTGAAGCCGAAAATTTTGAGACAAAACTGCTCCTCGCTGTGCCTTGGAAGCAGTTTCGGATAAACTTGGAAAAACATGCCGGGGAAAGACGTTCCAAAGTAAGCACCGTCGATGTTAGCGTGCCTACTGGACTTGGGGTTGTAGATATCCTCACATTTTGGGCAGTAGAGCTTTACGCTTGAGATATTAGGGACGTCCTGCAGACCGATAGGGAGGAGAATATGTGAGCGACACAGAGCACGGGGACAGCGGCCGAAGTCGCCCTCTTGGTATTTGAGCATCATTTTGTACAATCCACGAGTCGTGAGAATAAACCTGGCGTGAACAAGGCAGTAGAGATGGCGAGCGCTCGCATCGAGCTGCTGCTCCTCTTCTGCGTTCAAACCGTCCATATTGACATCAGACGAGCCGGTAACCACATCGATGGCGTCGTGGATGTTGGGGACGTCGGCGTTCAACCCTGTCAGGTTGAACCTGTCTAAAATGAACTCTGGATCAACCTCACAGAAATACTCGTTCCCCTTGGTACCCAAGAAATTCGCAATCCATGTATCCTCCAAATCCGTTTCCATTTCCATTTGATCCTCACAGAAACTGGCTGGGACAATGACGGTGGTTTTTTTGCCTTGTCTGGGTTTTCTTCCCTGCCTAAGCAGCAGGGTGTAAGAAGGACGTGGTTACACCCCTCATTATAAATACACTTTGATCGAAAGGGCGCGTTTCAGTTCCGTGGAAATATGCGCCTAGTGAAACCCGCTTGGTTAGAGCATCGGGACGAACATCGCCAATTCGAGATATACTCCGTTGCGGTTTCCCCAGATGGCTCTCGTTTGGCGACAGGCGGTCTGGATGGCAAGGTGAGGCTGTGGTCGACAAAGGCGATTGCTGGAGGTCCCGACTATAAAGGACCCAAGCAATTGTGTTCCATGTCTACCCATACCGGTGCCGTGACGGTGGTGAGGTTCTCTCCCAATGGCCGGTACCTGGCCTCGGGAAGTGATGATCGGATTGCTCTGATTTGGGAACTCGACGCGACGCGGGCGCCCCGCCAGGAGTTTGGCCAACAAGGCGAGAAAGATACCGAGGCATGGACTGCACGCAAACGTCTTATTGGCCATGACAACGATATTCAAGATCTTGCCTGGTCTCCTGACTCGTCACTGCTGGTAACGGTTGGTTTAGACTCTGCAATTATCGTTTGGAGCGGTACAACTTTTGAGAAATTGAAACGCATTGATTCTCACCAAAGCCATGTCAAGGGCATTTCTTTCGATCCTGCAAACAAATATTTTGTTACCTGCGGAGATGACCGTACGGCTCGTATTATTCGCTACGCCAGAACTTCACCCACAGAGCTCACTTTTAGCGTTGAATATGTTGTGGAAGCGCCCTTCAAAAATTCCCCGATTAGCACGTACTTCAGAAGGTGTAGCTGGTCTCCGAATGGTGAGCATATCGCATGCTCTAATGCTACCAATGGGCCAGTATCTACAGTGTCGATCATCAATCGCGGCGATTGGGATTCTGATATTTCTTTGGTCGGACATGAAGGTGCAACCGAAGTTGCTCAATTCAGCCCTAAGCTATATGTTGCAAATCAAGGCGATGATGTCAAGGATGCAATGTCGGTTGTTGCATCCTCTGGTCAAGACCGCACTCTAGCTATTTGGAACACCGCCAACCCGCGGCCCCTACTTGTCGCTCATAACGTTAGCTTGAAAGCGATTAGTGACCTTGCTTGGGCACCTGATGGGCTGACACTCTATGTTGCCTCTCTGGATGGGTCGATCCTGGCCGCTATTTTCGACGGTGGTGACTTTGGCTGGCCGGTATCAGCCGAAGTGGTACAGCAGCAGCTATCAAGATATGGTGGTCAAACCTCCGATATGGATATGATTGAAAGTGTTGAACAACTTGAAGTTGCGGAGAAGCTTGCTCAAGATGAAAATGGCACATCTCAGCCGAAGCCCGAAGAAAAAACACCGGTGCCGGTCGAAATATCTGCTCCCGTATCCGCGACCCCACCACCAGCGCCTGAGATCAGCCATCCACCAGTCGTTGCTACTAAATCTGCTGAAAAGCCCGTCAATGTTCTTCCTGTGCGGAAACAAAAAGTAACTGTCACCAAAGATGGGAAAAAACGTGTGGCCCCTATGCTAGTGACCGAAGAACCAACCGTTGGCCATGTTGCCACGGCCCCTGCGGCTCCGGCACCCCAACTAGCACCCGAATTTAGTCGACCGACCCAGGCCCTTCCTAGAGGAGGAGTGTCTTCTTTAGTGATTGGTACTAAACGCAAGTCTGAGGAAGACGGGGCGGCGCCGCCGGCTAAAAAGCCCAAAGAAGATGCTTCATTCATAAGGCCAGCTGTTATTTCGCCGGCTGCTACAGTCTCTAATGTACGGCTGGCTACACCAAAGGTGTATACTCATTTGAACTTTGGCGGTCAGTCTGTTTTCGAAGCTCGCAATGGCGATGTTCACGACCCAGCCCGTTTGACAGTAACCCATAATGGTCGTGTTATTTTTGTGGACTATATTCCTGGCCATGCACATTTACTTACCGGCTCGGCAGATACATTCTGGGCTGCTTCGACAGACGATGGTATTATTCATATTTTATCCCCGGTTGGAACTCGCATCATTCCTCCTATCGCTTTGGGAAGCTCATTAACTATTTTGGAGGCGAACAAATCGTTCTTGGTCGCAATAACGTCGACTGGAATGGTTCACTCCTGGGATATTTCCAAACAAAGGGCTCTTTTCCCGCCTGTTTCAGTGGCACCGGTGCTGGACACCGCGTCCAAGTATGCTGAAAACGGTCTTCTGAAGGCCCCCTCAATCACTCAATGTTTAATTACCGACCAGGGTCATATTGTTATCGCATTGTCGTCAGGTGCCTGTTACAGTTACTCTAGCGACCTGATGGCATGGTGCCGTATCTCCGAGCCGTTCTGGGCTTATGGATCGCAATATTGGGACTCTACAGGCTTTGCCACGTTGTTTGATCATACAGCAACTGGTCCGATCTCGTTGGCTGAACGAAGAACCAACGACGAGGCACTGGTTAGGGCCGGAGCCCGAGGCAAGCAGCTACAGCGCATGGCCAAAAACCGTATGTTACAAGACGGATACCAAGGATTCGAGGACGTTGTATCTATTGCCCATCTTGAGAGCCGCATTGTGTCTGCGGCGATGATTGAGTCCACCTCCGAACTCAAACGCTTTGTCGACATGTACGTTCGGCGGCTAGCTGAAGATGGCATTCGTGATAAGCTGAACTTTCTGTTTAAATTTCTCAACTCTGAGGGCAACTGGGGCGGTGCAGACAAAAAGGAGCTTTTATCTACCGCTCTGAAAACCGCAACAGCGCATAGAAGTGTTCAAAATCTCGTCCTAGAGTATACAGAGTCCGTTTAGTAGTACTACTAACTAATTCTTAGGCTTGACATAACGCAAGTAAGGGGTCTTGACATCGACATCACCGTACTTCTTCTTGCCCTCCTCAACGGAGACCGAGAGCGGCAAAATAACGTCCTTGCCAGGAGTCCAGTCAACAGGGGTGGCAATGTTCTCCTTATCGGCAAGCTGCAGAGCGTCCAGGACACGCAAAACCTCAGCAGTGTTACGGCCAACACTGGCAGGGTACACGAAGAAGATACGGATCATCTTGGAAGGATCAATGATGAAGACATTGCGAATGGTCATAGCGCTCTTGGACAAATTCTTGAATCCTTCCTCGTCGACCATGTCGTATAAAAAGGCAACATTGCGGTCAACATCAGCGATGATAGGGAAGTCGAATTTCTTACCGTGACTGGTGAACTTTTCGATATCGCGCACCCACTCGTCGTGCGACTTGATCTCATCGGCGCTCAGACCAATGAGCTGGGCATTGCGCTTGGTGAACTCGTCCTGAAGAGCAGCAAAAGCTCCCAGCTCAGTAGTGCAGACAGGAGTGAAATCAGCAGGGTGTGAGAACAGAATAGTCCACTTGTCGCCGATGAAATTGTGGAAATCAATCTCACCAGAAGTAGTCAGGGCCTTGAAATTAGGTGCTTCACTGCCAATTCGCAAGCGAGGCTGGTCCTCTTGCTTGAACGAGATGAACCGAGCAAAAGCAGCGGGGCGGGCAATAGCAGGGCGAGCAGTCTGGGCAAAGCGAGCAAAGTTCAATCGCAACATCTTGCTGTAAGTATAACGGCAACCGGAGCTGTAGGGTATGATTGGTCATAGATGACGCAATGGGCACAAGGTCGCCTCGACGACGGGCATCTGGAGAAACCTGAATATGGTTTGATTTAACTATGCAGTCATACTTTACTCTCAAAAGGTGTCTCAGGTTGAGCATCGAACGGTCCGTTGTCTGAGGACGGAATGGGCTGGGCGGGGGCCTCAAACTCTCCAGCATCCATATCGTCCTCGTCGTCCATAAGATCGAGCTCCTCGTCAATAATCTGGTCCACAGCAACCGCACGCTCACGATCGAACTCTACGCCAAGCAGATCGCCAACCTTATCACGGAGCTGTCGCGGTGTCATGGTATCCAAGTCGGTAGCAGCAAGTACTTGTTTGACAGTAGACCGGATCTGGGCTTCGGTGCCTGCATCAAACACTTTCTCGGTGAAATTGTTTGTGAGGGTGCGTGAGTAAACAGACATAGGTCTAATGCTCTTTTCAGGCTCAATGACAGACGCCGTGTCGAAGATATTGACACTCTGCAAGATACGGCCCTGCTTGGGGTCAAAGATGATGGGGCGGTGCTCGCCTTCCAAGCCATTGATATGAGCATACTCGTTCCAGCTTTCATATGTCACGCTGCGGTGATCAAAGACGTCGTCATCATCCTGTAAAATAACCCGCTTGCCATCGGACTCCTTTTGAACCATACGAGTGTTACCCCAGGTAAAGTTATCCATGTTCCAGAATGCATAAATGGGCAACAAGAAGGAGTGGAAGGGGTAGGCCGCTAAATAAACCACCATCCAGAAGATGTGCTGCCAACGACGATGAATAATGTATACAAGTGTCTGCAAACCATACACAACACCAATCAGAACAATGGAAATGATGGGCAAAGGAGACGTATGACTAGCAATGACGTAGATCAAATAAACAAGATATACGACCACACTGGGAAGCATCATAGTACCAATCAAATCAACAAACACGACACCTCTCATATTGAACAAAAAGAAGCCACACATCGTATCCAAGCGCAGCAGCTCGACAAGATTGTGGACAGTGGAGTTAATCCAACGACGGCGCTGAGAAAGAAGAACCCTCATGTCGCTGGGCACTTGGGTCTGGCATCTAGCATCTGCAACAAACTTCAGTTTCATGCGCGGGAAGTGTTTGGACATCAAAGTCGTCAAGTAACGATCCTCACCAAGAGAGAACAAGTTCTTCTTGTGCAAGGTATCGACATGTCGAAGCGAATATTCCTGGATGATCTCGTCGCTAATAAGCAACGGCTTGAACCTTTTAGCAGTGCGTAAACGATACAGAGAGAAACAACCAGGTAAACAGGTGACGGACCCAAATAACGACTCGAAAGCCTTGGTCAGATGGTGGGAAATAAAGTACTCGTAAACCTGGATCATGGTACTCAGACTCTCTTGTTCATTCTCGATACTGGTCTCACCACAGACGGCGGCTATGCCATTGTCATTTGTACAAGCTGCGACCAATCTGGTCAACGAATCGGGACGCACACGTGTATCGGCATCAACGGTAAACAGATAATCGTAGCGCTCAGGTTCAACACCAATGATGTTGTTCATATGGTGGAAGATCTCGAGGTCTAAAGGACACATGGGTTTCTGATAATGGACACGATTCAAGAAATTCATCAAAATAATCTGAGAGTCACGCTTACCACGATTACCAGGGTTTCTTCCATTTTCTTGTTCTTGAGGTGAGCCGACCTTGACAATCACGAGATAAGGAACAGTGTTTCCCTCGTTCTCGTAGATACCAGAGTAAACTTTGCCGTAATTCAGCTCTTTCGCACCTTCTGCAATCGCATGGTATGCCTTTGGCAGAGCAGAGCTACGGTCTTGGTGGCCAAAGATATCCAATACAATTTCAGGAGTGGGCAAATCGTTGCCCGCACCAACAACGAGACCATCACAGATAACAACCAACAGCTTGCGTTGGTGATCATAATCTAGGTTTGTTAGGGAATCAATGGCAAGACGCAATTCATTCTCACTCTCGGTATAAGCAGGGATCTGGCAAATAACAAACCGATCTTGCTGGGAAGGAATTGGCTTGGCACTGAATCGAATAGATGCCAAGAACTTGATCAATGTGATGGAGGTCAAAATACCGGCGATAACCAGCAAAATAACATTAGAAGCCTGGCATTTCACCGAGTCACGGAAGTCCTTTTCAGCATAGTAGAAAACGTTGTCCAAACACTCAAGAGACCGTTTCCTGGTTGATTCATCAAACTTGTTCCATTGCTCAGTAGCATCCAGACCCTGATAATTGCGGAACATAGATTCAACTGCTGAGGGGAAGAAAGAGTACTTCTGATAAAGAACAGACTGAGTCACGGGGAACTTCTGAATGGTCAACATATAGTCAGTCACATCATAGATGTTGTTGTTGATCATGAAAACGTATCGGTTCTGGTCGTTTGCAATTTTCTCAATCTGCTTAGGCGTTTCGACAAGACGACCCTTGTGGTACTCTGCAATCTTGGGCTTGAAAATGTCATCATACCAGGTATCGTTGTGAAGAGCAGTTGTGGTTTGAGGAACAAGGTAGGTTCCGCTAGCGTGGTTAGCAATGGCCATGTAAGGTGCATTAGTATCATTGTAGGTTAGTGAAACGGACTGGTCTGTAACAAGACTAGGGCAAGCAAGGTAGATGGGGGGCATAAAGTAGTCTGTAATATCCTGACCGGCAAACTCCAGCATCCGCTCTGGGGTGGTATCAATACCATTGTCAGAGTGCTGGATTTTGTAAAATTTAGTGATGTCGTATACTTGACCACGGATTCCCACATAGAAATCATTGGTACCCTGATGCGTGTGCAGCTGCTTGTGATTCCAGACCTTATCGTAATCAGGGCAGATGAATCGGCCCAAGAAAATCATGTAGAAAATGATACCAGCATTGAGCAAAAAGATAATGAAGAAAATCACCACTTTTTCACGCCATGCCATACGTACATCTCGTCGTTTCATGCGCCCGATCCATGTCAGGAAAGGTGAGGGGATCCACCAAGTCAACAGCCATACTAATGTAACCCAAGCACGTCGCTCTCTAGTCATACGATAGACTTCAATATGCCGGCCATCTTTTTCGTTGTAATCACCTTGGAGATAAGCACGCTCATCTTCGAAGATCTCATCATCATCATAGAAGCCTTCACCCAGAGGCTCTTCCACTTGACGAACATTACCATCTTCGTCATATATTTGCTGCTGAATACTTTGCGGACGGGGACCTCTGAAATCACGAGAAGACATATTCCCCGGACTCTTGGTACTACGCAAATGGCTTTCCCTAGCGGTTGGGATGGTCGGCACAAGGGAGCGGCGATCGTTTCCGAAGCTGTAGACCGATGATCCGCCGCCGAAAGGATTCATGGGGGTTATGTTTGCTGGTGCATTCATGGGTTGGAACGCTGCCGGGAAGTTTGAGAAAGCTGGGACGCCGCCTTGTGCATTCAAAAGTTCGTTTTCCAGCTCCTGGTAGACCATTTCGGACAAATAAATACGGCTGCGACCATAGAAAAAGTCACGAGCGCCCCAGCCCCTTAGTTGTGCCCAACTTTCGAGCTGCAGACCTCCTGGACCTGACGGTAGAATGAGCCGGTACCATTCCACAAATTCGCCCAGGCCAAAATCGGCAGTGTAATCTACAGGACCGCGCTTGCCAGCCCATTCGGTGACGAAGAATTCTCGAATTTGTTCAGATACCAGAGAAGTGTCCCATTGTAGAGATGCAGCTCCTCTGGCATCTGATATGGTTGCCATCGCAAGCTGAATCCAAACCCTATTGTAAGCCTTTTCATCATCGAGACGGAAAACGTTTGGGTTGTCCAGAATATCCTCTGACTCTTTTGGAAGTGAGGAGGCAGCAATAGAAGGCCATGTTACTGATGAATGTACCAAAGACTCGAAGTTGTCGATAGTAGTTAGCATAGGCGGAGGGTTGCCAGTGTTTAAGCGCTTGATTGCTTTAGAAATCGACGAAGGGGTTTTTGGTAGACTGATACCATCTCGGACCATCTCGCCATTGATGCCGGTGCCATTATCAAAAACGTACTGGAGCACATCAAAGCGGTTCTCAGGTGTACCCTCGATAATTTTGACGACGGCAGCGATTGCATTCAAATTGTCGTTTGCAGGGGATTCGTAGCGTTCTTGTAAATCAAGAGCAGCTAGGTAGTCGTTAATTTTTGCAACAACAGCTTGAATTAAATTGACATAAGAAGCAGCAACGAGCTCATGGGACGGATAGTTTGATCCCGCTTTAGCGTCCAAGCCAATAAGCATTGCGCCATCAGCTTGATCGTTTTTGTCTTCGTTACCAAGCAAAAGAATACCAGACAAAGCAGTCATAACCGATCTACGAAAATCCTTGGGGAAGCACTCTAACATAGCATCGTACCAGTCTTTGGCAAGAGCATGATCATCGGCGTCTTGCACCCAGTTAGGCAGAGTGAATGTATTTGACCCTTTGAGTAGATCATACTGATAGGGATGAGCTTTCAAACTCAGGACATCGGCACGGTCTTTTTGGGAATATAAGAGATGGTAGAATACATCGAACGAACGATAGCCCGGTTTGGGAGGCAGGCTCACCAACGGTGCCAGCGAGCCAAGCGGCTGTTCAGCCAAAGATACACGCGTAGAAACAATGGCTCCCTGGCTATTCAGACTGAAAGAAACCCGCAAACCGTTATGAAAAGGCATTCGCAGATTCGCGGGGGTCTGAGCATGAACAAACGATTCGACAAGGGACAGAGCCTTGATAACTTTGGGGTCTACACCAGGCATCGATGAAACTGCAGAAATAAACGGCGACAAAGCAGCTGAATGGGTGGGAATAATGAAAATCATCTCGTCTTCGCTTCGACGATAGGCGTGTTGCCAAGCGAGCTCGATCATTTCTGCTGAAGCCAGGCCGTCAAGAATGAGCACAGACTGGCTATCGATCGCTAGCGAACGGGGCCCGCCATCAGTTCGCGCATAGGATGCGTGAAGCATGCCTAGTAAGGCTGATGTGTTTGGTGGATTCGGAAGTTGCGACAGGGGAACTTCCATGTTGCGGGTCGAGCTCTAGATCACAGAAAAAATAGCAGTGCGAAGAAGATCGCTGAGAAACTACCAACAAACCACTCTGATTATACAACAAGAGCGAATGTCCTCGAAAGCTTGCCCAAATACGCAATCCAGTCGTGTTGGTTGTTAATTAGCGTTTTTGTTTTTGTTTGGGAACCTGGCCAGGGTAGTTGGGTTAGGGTGTATATGTGTGTCTAATTAAAGTGGGTGCCTGGCGAGCGGTCCCTAGGTATAGGGCGTGAGGGGTCCCGAACCACATAGTGGACAAGAAACAACGGACGCGATCCAGACACGTGGGTGCGGTTGAGGGATTCAAGTGTACAATTAAGTAGTTTCGATAGCTTGCTCGATGCTTTTGGAGCCGTCACATGCTGCTAATGCTTCTTTTACTATATCGGGCTATAGTTAGAGTCCACCTTCCAGAATGTTTAAGCGAAACGCACAGATTCCCAGTACTGCATCAAACCGCACTCTAATAATAGCGCCACTAGCGATTGGGAGTTTAGGACCTCCGGGTGTTTGTTTATTATCTAACCGGTCATAGTGTTACGTTTAGGTGGAAAAAAAACACTAGTGGGAATTTCCATTTATTGCTATTAAATGACCGATATTTCTGGACTACCTCCGGATGCTCTTGATGGGCGAGGAATCACATCCCACATTGCCTCCCAGTACCATCAAGGCATTCCTTTCTCCACTGTGTCAACCAGAGCTCTTGTGGCAGTAAACACGTTTACTCCGCTTGATGTGAACCAGGATCAAGTTTTCCGTCAGTTTGCTGCTCAGATTTGCAACCGTATGGAGTTGCGTGGCGAGTCCCAGGTGGTATGTTTCTTGGGTGAGCACGGAACAGGCAAAAGTGAGTTTGCTAGTGCAATCACAAGACACATCCTCACGTTAGCGGGGAACCCTCTGAGCAGCCGTATTCGTAAGGTGCAGCCGATTTTAGAGGCCTTTTCGACGGTCAAAAACTCCAGCTCCACTTTTGCGTCGAAAATGGGCCTCAATCAAGAATTGCAGTATGACAAGGACTCGAACCTCATTGGGTGTACTTTGATGGATTTCCGTCTAGAGCGGAGTCGGGTCACTAAAATTCCTACAAATGAGCGCAACTACCACGTCTTTTACTATATGGTCAATGGACTTACTGACGAAGAACGTTACCACCTTCAACTGACCGATGTCGCAAACAACCGCTTTAGGTATCTTGGCCACCCGTCTCAACTACGGCAGGCGGGCATCGACGACCGGATTAAACTCAAGCAGCTCAAAAGCAGTCTTTATTCGTTAGGATTTTCTCGGTCTGATGTTGCAAATATCTTTCAGATTCTCGCGGCCATCCTGCACTTGGGCCAGGTCCAATTCAGAATGGCCAATATGGACTATTCCGTTGCTCAGGGCACTGCAGTAGAAGTTGGCAACCCAGATATTGTCGAAGTGGTAGCAACTTTCTTGGGCGTAGACCCCGATGTATTGACTCAGTGTCTTGTTACCAAGACGGTGACAATCAATAAAGACCGAGTCACAATTGTCCTCGACCAACGAGGTGCCCGTGAAAACTGTGACGAAATTGCGAGAACATTGTACACTTTGCTTGTTTCGTGGATCTTTGAGCATATCAATAGAGAGCTTTCGCGCAATGCTCCTGGGGCAAGTGCTGCAGATTACGATCCCATCATTCAAAGTACCATTTCGATTGTTGACTTCCCTGGATTTAACACTGCTTCTACTCCGGCCCTGGACTGTTTACTCCATAACACTGCCAATGAAATGTTGTACCATTATATGATGTATAACTATTTCACAAAGTCGGACGATGTTCTGGGGCGTGAGGATGTTGAGGTATCGTCGACTGAGTATTTCGATAACACTGAAACTGTTCGTACTCTTGTGCGCCCTAGCTTGGGCTTACTTTCGGTCATCAATGACTATGCTCAGCGGGACAAGGAAGACGTTCAACTCATGGACAGTATCTCAAAGAGATTTAAAGATTCTCGTACTGTTATGCCTTATGCAGACACAAATTCATTTGTTGTGAATCACTTTGATGGCGAGGTCGAGTATTCTGTTAAAGGACTCCTTGACGACGCAAAGGAGGCTATTTCTGCTGCTATTATAAATCTGATCAACTCCAGCACCTCTTCTGGTTTCCTCAAAGATGTTTTCGAGCAAACTGCAGTTATCACAGACACATTTGGTGAGTCCCACGAAGTTGTTGGTGCCACGCTGTCCTCTGAACCTCGTCGTCAACCATCTCTTATCAATCGCGATGGCATTGGCCGCCAAAGAAGTCAAAGGTATTCTGCTGCTGAAGAACAGCGCAGACAAGCAACATTTAAAGGTACCCGCAACGCACGCATTGACGCTAAGAAACAAAAGGGATCTGCAGCCCAGTTTGTGTTGGCCCTTGATAATATGCTCGAGACATTCGAGGACCACAACGCTTACTTTGTCCTTTGCATAAAGCCGAACGACCATAGATTGTCCAACTCGTTTGATGCTCGAGCAGTTCGTCAGCAGGTAACTGGCCTTGGCATTCCAGACATTGCCAAGCGTACCAAATTTACGGATCTTTCTCTCTTCAGCCCCTTTCATGAGTATCTTGAGCTTGCTAGGATGAACAATCTAACTGCATTCGATACCCCACAAGTTGGTGAGTCAGAGCGTGTTCAAGCTATTAAACTAATACAGAGATCAGGTTGGAGTGAAAGAGATATCCAGGCCGGTACCACAGGTGTTTTCCTTAGTGAAGGTGCATGGCTTGCCCTTGTGGACCCCACAAACTCATTTGCTGAGCGTGCTGCCAAAAAGTTCGCCAACGATCCAGAAGATCAATTCAAAGAAGCATACATGTATGATGATCTCGAAACTCGTTCTATGGCTGGTGGCTTTTCCAACATGTTCAAGTTCGCAGGCAGTAGCGCTCTTCTTGAGGACAATGGTGAGGCACTTGATGAGGCCGAAGATTTCACCGCTCCACAAACGACATCTCCGTCTCGCCGCCTTTGGATGACGATTGTTTGGCTTTACACTTTTTGGGTCCCCGAGTTTTTCATCAAGCTTCTGGGAGGTATGAAGTTCAAGAGTGTCCGTATCGCATGGCGCGAGAAGTTCACTATCAATTTGATCATTTGGGGAATGTGTGCAGGCTGTGTGCTTTTCTTGATTGGATTCCCGTTCTTGATTTGCCCGCTGCAGAATGTTATGAGCGCTGGAGAATTAGCGGGCTATTCTTATCAGAGTAACACCAAGCATGTTTATACTGCCATTCGCGGTACTATTTACGATATCACGCACTTTGCTTCCGCGCACTATCCTTCAATTGTTCCCACTGGTGACATTCTTAATTATGGTGGCAAGATCTCTAGTGATCTTTTCCCGATGCAAATTTCGGCTGTTTGTGGCGGTGTCAATGGCACCATGTCAGAATTCATTGTCATGGGTGATCCAAACAATTACACTGATGTGAATGCGCAATACCATGACTTCCGATCGTTTACGAATGATTCACGGCCTGACTGGTATCTTGAGAAGATGGAGTTTTTCAACAAGAATTTGTTGAAGAGCTACATTGGCTATACGCCTGAGGATGTCAAGAAGATGGCAGAAAATCAGAAGAAGTCTGTTGCTAGTCTGAATGGCTTTGTGTATGATTTCACCGACTACATTAGCGGTAATGTTTACACAAAGGCTCCGGCTGGGTATGTGCCACCGCCCAATATTAACAAAGATTTCATGCAAGAGGACCTCGTCAATCTGTTTCTAAATTTTGCTGGTCAAGATGTGTCTGGCAAGTACCGCGACCTTGATATCGACGACCAAGTTCGCGACAATATGAATCGCTGCATGCACAACGTGTTCATGATTGGCAAACTTGATACTCGTGGCTCGGCAAAATGTATGTTTGCCCGATACTTTTTGCTCGCAATTACTTGTTTCGTCGTAGCAATCATCTTGATCAAATTCTTGGCAGCTTTGCAATTTGGAAGCTACGAGTATCCGGATGACCTTGACAGATTCATCATTTGCCAGGTTCCCGTTTATACAGAAGATGAGAAGTCTCTTCGCCGTGCAATTGACTCGCTTGCCCGAACGAAGTATGATGATAAGCGAAAGATTCTGGTGATTGTCTGTGATGGTAACATTCGTGGTGCCGGCAATGACAAGACTACACCCGAACTCGTCCTGGATATTCTCGGTGGCTCTGAAGGTCAGGACCCGCCTGCTCTTTCTTTGGAGGGCCTAGGTGATGGTGATCAACAGTACAACATGGGTAAGATTTACTATGGTGTTTACGAAGTCGGTGGCCATCTTGTTCCCTATCTTGTCCTCGTCAAAGTTGGCAAGCCTAATGAGCTGCGACCTGGCAATCGTGGTAAGCGTGACTCTCAGATGATTCTGATGCGCTTCCTCAATCGTGTCCACCACAACACTCCTATGAGTCCTTTCGAATTGGAGCTTTATCGCCACTTTGAGTACACTGTTGGTGTGAACCCGGCATACTATGAATATATTATGCAAGTCGATGCCGATACCATTGTTTCACCAGAGTCGCTTTCTCAACTTGTTGGCAAAATGGTGAGAGATAACCGCATTCAGGCCGTTTGTGGTGAGACCGCGTTGAGCAATGCTCGTCACTCGCTGGTGACGATGATTCAAGTTTACGAATACTACATTTCGCACAATCTTGCCAAAGCTTTCGAGTCTCTCTTTGGATCAGTTACGTGTCTACCCGGTTGTTTTTCCTTGTATCGCATTTATGAGCAGCGTACTTCAAAGCCCATTTTTGTGAGCAACCCTATTGTCGACAACTACGCGGAAAACAACGTCCGCACCCTGCATACCAAAAATCTGCTGCATCTTGGTGAGGATCGTTACTTGACTACACTTTTGCTCAAGTACAATCCGCAGTACAGCACCAAATTCTTGCGACATGCTCAAGCCTGGACCATTGCGCCGGATACATGGTCAGTTTTCTTGTCTCAGCGACGTCGTTGGATCAACTCAACTGTACATAACCTGGTTGAGCTGGTTCCGATGTCTCAGCTTTGTGGTTTCTGTTTCTTCTCGATGCGGTTTATTGTCTTGATCGATCTATTCAGTACTTTGATTCAGCCTGTCACATGTGCATACCTCGCGTACCTCATCTACTTGTGCAGCTCACGCTCTGATGATGTTCCGTGGACCTCTATTGCCATGCTGTGCGGTATCTATGGTCTACAAGCCATCATTTTTGTGCTTCGCCGTAAATGGGAGATGGTGGGTTGGATGTTCGTATACCTTCTTGCGATTCCAATCTTCTCTCTTGCCTTGCCTCTTTATGCCTTCTGGTACATGGACGACTTCTCGTGGGGTTCCACTCGTGTTGTTGTTGATGAAAAGGGCCAAATGGCTGTTATTTCTGAAGAGGGTGCTGAAGCGTCTGAGCATGTTCCTCTCAGGCTGTGGGCAGACTACAAGTCTGAGCTCGAGCGTCGTGAAATGGATGAGAAGGTTGTCGACTCTGATGCAGTCAGCTACTATCCAGCCACTCTCAATCGGTCAGCCTCTGGTGTATCGCTCGATTCATACCGTACTCGCGCAAGTATGCTTGCCACTGAGGACTATGATCAAACCAACTTTGCCAATCAACCAACTGATGCAGATCTCACTGCAGCCATTAGAGATATTCTGGCCACTGCAGATCTTACCAAGGTTACCAAGCGTACTGTGAGAGCCCAACTTGAACGACAGTTCAACTGCAAGCTGAACATGCGCAAAGAGTACATTTCACGGGCCACGGAGGCGCTGTTGTCTGGTGAGCTATGATAGACGTATACTATTTATGAAAAAAAATAACCATTTATACCCTTCCATTACATCCCTTCTATTACACTATTTTTAATCGAGGCAGCCAGGTATTAGTCTAATTCGCCTCGAAATCAGGGTTCTTTTTAAGAATCACAATGCCTTCCAGAGTCGAGGTGAGCGGTAAGTACTCATCGTCTTCGAGCTCAGCACGTTCGCCAATGGCGAGCAGGACAGGTGTGGTGTGAGTGACCCAACCAGTGATGGTCTTGCGGTTACCCACTTGGCCAACTACGTCAACTGCCTGGCCAACTCTTACATTCACCTTGATGGGCTCAAGATTCTCGTCGACAGTGACCAGCATGCGAGGCTGAATGGCCAACGTCATAAAGTACAGCATCTGAGGACTCTGAGAAAGAATGAACGACTTTGGAGTGAGCAAAGCTACTGCAACGGTCAGAAGGCCACCTAGGGCAACCCGACTGAGATTCAAACGCTCATTGTTAAGTGGGTTCAATGTCAACGTTCCCTTACCGAGGTGCAACAATCCCTGAGCGATGCGAACCATAAACAACGAGTCAGGATCACGCGAGTAGTAGACAGCGAGCTGCCTGAGGAGCTGTGCAATTCTAGCGTTGTTAGTACCAGAACCTACCAGACCCATAGCAAACACTGCATTGGATGCGACCTCGAGGTCGGCGTCATGGGAATAGCGGGACAAGGTCTCGTACACCTTCATTTCAGGGTTGGATGCAGAAACCAAACCCATTGCCAGCGGAACAGCACGACGAATAGGAGCGTCACCATAGTGCATCAAGTGGCCGAAATGACGCATGACCATCTCGGATCCAATTTCCTCACCCATAGCGATAAGCGCCACACCGAGCACACAGAAAGCCTTGACATTTGCCGCTTCTTGTCTATCCTCAGCCTTGTTGAAGTGCTTATCACCCGAACTGGTTTCGGTTTCGATCTCAGTATTAACAGACTCGTTTGCTTCAGAAGCGTCTTGCATCTCAGTATCGTTAGCGTCCTCGGCTCCAGACTCACTCTCATCGCTACCGATGGCAGGCGCACCGGGGGCAATGCCTGCTTCATGAGGAGCGATATCCACCTCTTCGTCCTCGTCTTCGTCGTCCTCATCCTCATCCTCGTAGGGGCGGGTGGAGCATTCACGCAGAAGCTTCTGAATCTGCAAGACGTTACCTGACCCACAGTAAGAACAGATCGTAACAAGAACCTCCAGCATGAGTGCAATGGGGTGCTCGATAACTTTGATAGTCTCGATGATCTCCTCAATCTCGTCTGCCTTGCCCACGTAAAGCAGGCCAAGGCCAAGCACCATGAAACGAGCCCACTTGTCACTGAGCTCTGCAGAAGACCGCTCCAGCAGAGCTTGCATGATTGAAGTAGTAATATCACCATTGGCTGTGCCGACGAAGATCAACCCCAAAGACAGAGCGGCCAAAGACGAAATTTCCATGGACAAATCGGAGTCGACTACCAGAGGAAGCAGTAAATCCGAAAGCTCAGCACGGGGAGAACCAGCATACGCCAAACCCAATCCAATAATTGCAGAGGTCCTAAGAGGATTGCTTTGATTTTCCAAGTATTCACCCAGCAGGGCCAAAGCGGGATCAGTTTCGTCGTGGACACCAGCACTCACGACACCGACACCGAGCAAGGCGCCAGCTTTAATACATTCTTCTGGAGAATATAGATAGTTGTCAAGAACTCCAAGACCTTCAACAACATCCCACATGTGCAATAGTCCCAAAGATGCCACGGAACAGGTCATGCCGGCGTTTTTGGTGTGATAAATCCGAGACTTGTTTTCGGGGTCAGTTTCAATGATCTCATCTTTGCCGTATGCGCAGTTAACAAACCCGTTGACAAAAACAGAAGCAAGGTTCTGTTTCATAGGATCTGGTGTGGACGCAGCTCCAAGTAGCGAATTCTCCAAATAGCTCTTGTAGATATCCTGGGGGTGCTTGGGTTCCTCCAAATTGAGCTCCTTGGCGAGATACGAGAAATACTCGTTGAGCTTGGTGTTCGAAACAACCTCTTGGATCTCACTGTCCTCAGAAGAGAACCATTGACGCTGGCGACCGACGAGCAGTCCCAGCTGTTTGCGTACGAGCTGGTCATCTGTAGCATCGAAAACAGCACGAACCATACGTTCATCGTCGAGTCTAATAGCGAGAGCCAGAGCATCAGGAAGCTTGTTATTCTGCAAATAGATATTGTAGGCAGTCGACAAGCAAACCTCATCATCAGGTGGCGAAAGCAATGGAGCACAGCTCACCAAGTATCGGCCCACACGGGCAAAAGTATTCTCATCCACATACTCAACGATTTTGTCGATGTTTTCAACCTCAAGTAAGAGATCACAAGCATCAGCCTCGGCATTATGCTTCAGGAAAAACGGAACAATCTCAAGGCTCAGATCCAGCAGATCCTTGGTATTCTTGTTTTCGTCAATACGAGAATGGAATTCTTCACCGATTTCAAGAGCCAAATGGCGCATGTATTCGTGTCCCCACTGGCCAAAATCGTCATCACGTCCGGCCAGCAAACGGTACTTTAGCGTGTCATTTGCGCCATCAACGGCCATGCCCAGCACGGATAAAATTGCGGCCAGGTTCACCTTGTTGGCACCTTTGGGCCATTTATCATAAATTGACATGATACGGTCGTAGTGGGGGCGTAAAAACTTGAGTGGTTTAGGCACTGCAGTCATACTAGACGTTGAGGTCCTGATGGCGTTCTTGAGGCGCTCCAGGGCATCAGGGTACAATTTCTCGTTGGACTCGCCCAGAATGTCAACCAGAAGCTCTAGTTCCTCTTTCAACTTTTGATCTTCTTCGCTGAGCTCCTCAACTTCATTCTTGGTTTTCTTGGTTTTCTTGGTAGCATCTTTGCTATCCTTCGGCACCACCGGTTTGGTTGTCGTCTCGTTGGTGGTGGTCATCTGACTAAGTCTCACAGACCAGCGCGTTTCCATGGAATACTGAGGGGTGGTGGCTAAAAGTCCCAATACCCCGATGTGAATCGTAGCTAGCCTTTTCCATTCCGTTCGTCAAAATGAAATGATTGGATTCCGGAAAAGGCCCAGGCAGCTTTTGGGCACCCCCAAGCAGTTTAAACAGATCGGGTTCCACTATGTCAAAACCACGCCATCAGTCTCCATCCTGCAGGATTATTCAATCATGCTTCCCCCGATCAATCTTCAAGCTTGGTTGAAAGAGAACAGACACCTTCTGCAACCTCCAGTAAATAACTACTGTTTGCACCGTGGCAATGGAGCGACGACCATGATTGTGGGCGGGCCCAATGAGCGAACGGACTACCACATCAATGGCACACCTGAATGGTTTTACCAATTGGAGGGTGCAATGACATTGAAGGTTGTCGAGGACGGTGAGTTCAAAGACATTATCATCAGAGAAGGTGAGGTCTTCATGCTCTCACCGAATGTGCCTCATAGCCCTTGTCGCTACGCCAACACTGTCGGTATTGTCGTTGAGCAAGATCGGCCCAAGGGTATGCTGGATTCTCTTCGTTGGTATTGTGAAAAATGTAAAGAGATTGTCTACGAGGTCAGCTTTTATATGGAGGACCTTGGAACCCAAGTGAAAGCAGGTATTGAAGCTTTTGAGAGCGATATGGACGCTCGCACTTGCAAAAACTGTGGAACTGTCGCTCAGATCCGCCCCGAAAAGCCTTCTGCGGCCCCTGTATAAATCTGGTTTCAACCTTCTCGTAGTCCTAGTTTCTTTAAAACAACTTGAGGGTTTCTCCCAGATATAATTTTGTTGTGCCCCGAGGATTTTGCTTTTGCCATTCGACAAGCGAATCAACTCCAATTGCGCGCAATTACACTACATCACTATTCACCTTAACTATAAAATTCCACGCTATGACCGGTCAAGGCTGCTATTTAATTTACGAACGTTTGGGATCTGGATCATTTGGAGAGGTTTACAGAGCTCGCGCCCCATCTGGAGAAGACATAGCCATCAAAACTATCGAGCTAGACTACGAGGATGATGTTGATGTTATTCTGTCAGAGCTCCAGTTTTTAAAAGATATGCGCTCACCCTTTATCACAAATGTGTATAGCGCTTGTATTCAAGACACAGCCCTGTGGATCATGATGGAATACTGTGCTGCTGGATCAGTACACTCTTTTCTAGCTCACTTTGGTGTTTTCAAAGAGGACTGTGCGATGTTTGTTTTGCGGGAAACACTCAAGGGCCTGGATTATATCCATTCTCAAAACAAGGTGCACCGTGATCTCAAAGCCGCAAACATCCTTGTAACTGCTCAAGCAGATATCAAGATCGGAGACTTTGGTGTGGCTGCACAACTTTCTCAAACGCTACCTCAGCGTGCCAGTCTGATGGGCACTCCGTACTGGATGGCCCCTGAAGTTATCAAAGGTCAACCCTATACGAGACCCGTAGACATCTGGTCTTTGGGTATTTTAGCATGGGAGCTAGTTATGGGTACGCCACCGCATTATAATCTTCCGCAACAAAGTGCATTTATTCAAATCGCTAACGGAGATGCGCCACGTCTCCCCCACAGAAGCCCGCGTCGCCCGCATAATGACGGTCCCGCGTTCTCAAGAGTTTATTGCAATCTTGTTCACATGTGCCTTCAAAAGAATCCTAAGGATCGCCCGACCGCAAGCCAGTTCTTGATGGACAAAGTATTTCATCGTGTCACTAAACCGGAGTCGTTTGTTCAGCTGGTGTCCCGTCAAGTGGCCAGACGCAACCGTCATGCAGCCAGAACTCAGCCAAGAATCTTTGACCCTAATGTTCCAACACTTCCACAAGAGGATGTCAATGAGTGGGACTTTAGTGCACCAACTGTAACTGATGAACTGCAGAGAACCCTTGATCGTGTATGGGCGAAACTCCATTTGAGAGCACCGCCAACTCCCATCTCACCTGATGCCGAGAGTGAAAAGCAAGTTTATGGATCGGATGATAACAGCGGAAAAATGGCAATTTCACCTGAAGCCTCACCTGCACTGTCAGTCCCCTCTCCTGGGGCTGTTCCACCGTCGGGATCTGTTGCAGTTACACCAGGAGATGCTCCATCTAAACAAGCCAAAGCAGAACCAAATCAAAATAACAAACCTACAAGTCCACCCTTGTACTCACCTCAAAAGAATCGACCACGCTATGGCAAGTCTAGCAACGAGTATAAACGGGTGTTCGAACCGGCTTTTCGCTCACTACAGCACCGAGCCCGCAAACCCGATGTCTATAACGTTATGGGCAATTTGATATGGTACTGGTTCCAGTTGGATTCTAGTATGCCTGGCTTCTCCCAAGCCGTTCTTCAGGAGCTTTTGCGAGTACTAAACCTCACAAATCCATTGAACAAGTAATAAGTATACAAAATCTATATCAAACATACGAGTATGCTGGAAAATCAAAAATCAAAGTCTGGATTAGAAGCGTGGAAATGTTGTTGCCAAAGCCATTGATCTAAACGGTGATAGACCATCGGGTTCGCGTTATGGAATGAAATGGCGTGGTTGCTGTCTGGATAAAAGTGAAGGTCGTAATTTCCAATCGACTTCTCGTCTAATTGATCAACGAGGCTTAAAGTATTTTGTAGATGGACATTATCATCGCCGGTGCCGTGCATGATCAGGAACCGGGTACATTTGCCCAGAGATGAAACATCTGAAACTGCGGTTGCATTATATCCACGAGGATTCGTTTGAGGAGTATGCATGTACCGTTCCGTATAAATAGAGTCGTAAAACCGGAAATCAGTTACGGGTGCAACGGCAGCACCAAATTTGAAGGTCTCGCCGCCATCCTGTTCCAAGGTCTTGAGGGTCAAATAGCCACCATACGACCAACCCCAAATCGACATAGTTTCCTGAGCAATGTAACGCCTTGCTGAATAGTCCTTGGCCACCGCAATAACGTCATGAGACTCGTAGTGACCAAGCTTGTCACGAACAACCGATCTGAAGTCTACGCCTTTGAAACCTGTTCCTCGTGGGTCAACCGTAACAACCACAGCATTGTGTGTTTCGGCAAAGACGCGCTGGAAATCGAGCGTGAATGTTTTGACCACTTGTTGAGATCCAGGGCCGCCATAGTTGAAGAAAAGCACAGGATGTCTCGTGTATTTTGAAAACGAGGAAGGTCTTATTTCACGAACGTTAACAAACACACCCGGCTCAACTTCAAGCTCGGTATAGATGACCTCGCCCAAATGAAGTTTCTCGACCAGTTCACGCAGCTCGTTGTTTTCTTCAATGAACGGAGCATCAACAATGGTGTTGGCCTCCCATTTGACTACTTTTTGATAAGGAATCGAAGGGCCGTTGTAAGAAATCAATGCATGAGAGCCATCGGAAGTAAAAGACGCAGAAAACACAGCCTCGACATCAGGAGTGACTTGCTCAATTCCGCTCTCAGCGACCAACGAAACCTTGTAAATATGTCGTTCGGTAGATGATCGTTTGGTTGCAACAAAATAAACCTCATTCGTAGCGACGTTAACCTGATAAGATCCTTCTCCCAGCTCCCACTTACCACTAGTGAGAATACGGGTGGGCTCACTAGCATTTGCCGGAGAAAAGTAGGCCAAGTGATTGAATCCATCTACAACAACAGTGTCGATGTACCCATCATACTCACGGCCCCTAGAAGCATCTGCTGGTACGTGAAGCGTATTTTGTGAAATCTCAAACCAGCTACCTTTGCTTTGCAAAGTCCGAACAACGTTGGAGGACGAAGCCTTTGCATCAACAACAGAGATTTCCAAAGTGTCACTGACTCTGTCTGAGCTCTTGACAAGAAGATTTGAATCACCAAGCCAAAGAACCTCGGTGATCAAGCGGTCGTTGAAAGAGGAAACAGAAACTTCGGATGCGTTGTTGGACACTGCATCGTAAAGCCACAAGCTGATCTTTGGATTTATCGTACCGGCTTTGGGGTACTTTATTTCTGAGATCTGGGGATAAAGAAGGGCAGGCGAGCCTGGTGCTTTGTTCATAAACATCTCCAAAGGATAGGTGTGAACGTCGGTTTCGTCCGTCCGTAGATAAGCCAAAAACTGGCCATTTGGCGACCACCACATGACAGAATCTCCACTATAAACCTCTTCTTCGTAGACCCAGTCAGGAATTCCATTGAAAATATTTGCTCCGCCATCAGTAGTTACCTGTATGGTCTCGCCGCTGTCGATGTCTTTGACGTAGATGTTTCTCTCGTGCACAAATGCCACTTTGTTCTCTTTGGGGGAGAACTGTGCAATTGAAAGCATATAGGCATTCTCACCCGGTGCTTTTAAAGGCTCAATTTTGCCTGTGTCAATCTCAATCGACCAGTAGCGGCCAAACACAGACCAGCGCCAATTCGACTGGCGGTTGGTTGATACCAAAGCGTGAGTACGTTGCTTGTTAAGAGTAACATGCTCCACAGTTCTAGCCACCCCATCAATTGTTATAGTAGTGTTGACAATGTGTCGCGCTTCTCTAGCTGGCCATTTAGCAAGGAACCACTCGTCATCGTTGGTCTCCAAGTACTCACCATCAATTCCGTCGGGCAGCCAAGAAATAGCTTTGTGACGCGCTCTATAATCTCCTTTTAATAAAGCGTCTAATGAGACCGAATTTGCAGACGACAAGTCGTCGTGCCAACCACAGTTATTTAGCAGTAAAAATGCTGTCACGCTACAGGACACGAGAAGAACCAGTAGGCTGAGCTGGATTCGCCGGTTGCGGCGCCGTTTCACCAAACCTCGGTCTATTGAAACATTTCCTGCTTCCTGGTCCAGAGCGCTGTAAGTACCAGACATGCCCGCACGAAAAAAGCTAGAATGGAAACCCAAAAAAAACCAGTGCTCACCTGCAGGTGACGTATGTGTAATGGTTCACGAGGCTTAAGTGGGGAAACTATGAGTCCAAAGAAGTCTAATGCAGCTTTTTAAGTACGGAAAATAAAAAACCCAAGGTGGCTAAGAAAGGAAAGAGGCCGAACGTATGTAAAGAACGGGGTATAATAAATGAATGTTTAGAAATTGGTGGATGGTCGGGAGGATGATAATAAATGGCTGGTCAGCGCCATAGTGCATTGAGCGACCAGTTCCAGTTTTGTTTTGTCAAATTTGAGTGAGATATTTTTCGAATTTGAATGTTTTTTTTAGCACATCTCGTCTTACCACGGCTTCGATGTCACTGTAGGCGTCGCATCTACATCGTAATTGTTGAAAGCTGCGGCATCCACTGGCAAGAGAGGTGCGGGAACAAGCTCCGGTGGGGGCTGTTTGATCGGTTGTTGTCGAACGAGGGCCCGGAAGTTCTGCACTTCATCCAGGAGCATCTGTCTCATTTCGTCGATGTCATCGACCTGCTCGAAAGAGAAATCGAAAGGAGCAGCGCATATCGGTTCGTCTTCAGGATCATGCCAAACCCTGAGATAAGGATGCTCGAGCGCCTCGTCGACGCCAATTCGCTCGATAGGATCAAAAGCCAATAAACGTGCCAGCACGTCTAAGGCTTCGGGGTTCGCATCAGGGAAAATAGTCGCAAACGGAATAGGTGGTGCGTAAGGAAGACCTCGCAGATATTCTTGTGCTCTATGGGATCCAATTCGTTGTAACGTATCGTCGTTAGGTGTACCGAGCACCCGCAAGATTCGATTCAATTGGTCAAAAGGCGATTCACCTTTGAAAAACGGCTTTCCTCCCAGCAGTTCTGCCAATATACAGCCTACCGACCATATGTCGATCGCCTTTGTGTAGCTTTGGAAACTCAGCATGATTTCTGGTGCTCTGTACCAGCGAGTTGCAACATATTCTGTGAGAGCGTTGTTTTCTGGAATAAGGTCGATTCCTCTAGCCAGCCCAAAGTCACAAATTTTAACCTCGCAATCTGCATTCACCAATAGGTTGCCCGGCTTCAAGTCCCGATGCAGAACATTCGCCGAGTGGATGTATTTGAGGCCAACCAAGATCTGATAGATGAAACTCTGGTAGTGCTGGTCCGTGAGTGGCTGTTTGGACCGAATTATTTGGTGCAAGTCGCATTCCATCAGCTCCTCGTACAGATACACCTCATTAAAGCTCGCTGGGGTCACAATATCCAGGTCGTATAGGCAAGTGATATTTTTGTGGTTTCTAAAATGAATCAGAAGCTTTATCTCGCGCAATGCTCGCTTGCAGAGAATCTTCTTTGAAAAAATGTTGGTAACCTTCTTGATGGCCACTCCGGGCGAATCAGGACAACTGGCCGAGCAGACAATACCGTATGCGCCACGTCCTAGTTCCCTCGTTAGCTGGAGATGCCTATCAATTGTAAAGTCCTGGTGAAACACCGTGTAAGTGTGTCGTGTGTTGTCCATGGTGATAGGTCGCCGGCTAATGTTGGATTTGAAAGGTGTTTGTCGGCACTATGGGCTGGTCTGAAAATACTGACCTGAAATGGGACAATTAGTGCACCGAGTGTCGTACGCCAAGATCCTTCGTGCAAGGCCAAATAACAGAACCTTTGGGGAAAAAATGTCCCAGTCTTATAGTAGGGCTGACGAGTGTGGCTTAAGTAACGGCTCAGTTCCTGGGAACGGATATTATGCTAGGGTAAATTTTAAGCACGAGCAGGGCGACGGGGCGCGCCAGAAACAGAGTGGGGGATGGAAGATGAGCACTAGTTATAGTTTCTGAGTTTTTTTGTATTGAAACACGACTCTAAGGGCCCCACACGACGGTTTTAGATCTCTATGTACACCTATGGCGGGGTTCTCAAAACGATGAGTTGAAATGCTCGTACAATCGATGCGTGCTGGGTTATTTTTAGCTCTGGGGACGTAAGAACTAGGTTTCGAATTCTGTTGACAGTGCTTTGCTTGGATTTTGGATATCTCCATATAATGGAGTGTTTTAGTGGCGAGTCCCGAGTTTAAGACGTGAAATATCTCTTTTGAAAAAAAGACATGCGGGCAGTACTCCGTCCAAATACGGGGATGCATGAGCCTTGCATGGCTACAGTTATCACATGTCTAATTGTGCCCTTTCAAAACGGGTTCCAGTGCTTGCTTTTCCACAAAAGAATCCGACGGGAGTCTTGTATAGTCCTACTACCTTCACTATTTCCAGTTCGCCAGCGAACAAGGAGGGATATACAACCCCGCGCGATTTGACGATCTCCACAAGCACAGTAAGGTCTCCGTTCGCCGCATTCTTTTACATCGTAGGACCAAAAAACAAGTGATTTTGCGCAAACAAATACATAAGTAATGTGTGCATATAGTCCCTTAGATGTAGTTACCACGATTTTTCCAGTAAAGCTTGTTATCCGTTATAGATGTATCGCTTCAGCTCAGGTAAGATGACGCAGAACTGCAGTAACTACTCGAGGGCTGCGCATGATACTGATTGCATCAGGTCAATGCATACAGAAACGCCTTCAGGCAAACACCAACCAAGTTCGTCTATCGGGATGCGTTGTCTCGGGTAAACCAACGTGATTAGCGTCGGTATCCCAACACCCTTACGAGCACCCCTCTAGGCAAATCTTGGGTTAGTAATCCAGGCTAAAGTAGTTTAGATAATTTTTTTCGATTTTTTTCCAACATGCCTGCACCGACTGCTAAAAAGTCGGTTGAAACATCGCTGTCGAGCGAGCCAGTGGTTGAGATTGGAAATGAAGAACCAGAGGAGGTCGACATGAGCGATGTTATTATCAATGTCTCCACAACCGTGCCTATTGATGTTGATTCGCACGACCGAAAGGACGAGATGGTGGTCGATGCAGAAGGCAAACCAAAGTTTTCCTCAGAGGCTAATAATACAGAAACAATCGACAAGCAGCGTCGGACTATTGCTGTGCCCCCTCACCGGTTTACTCCTCTTAAACAATCGTGGAACAAGGTCTATTTCCCCCTCGTTGATCATCTCAAGCTCCAAGTCAAGATGGACCCTCGCAGGAAGCGGATCCTTATCAGAACGTCTAAAGATACCAAGGATCGTGGTGCGATCCAGAAAGGCTACGACTTTTTGCGGGCCTTCATGCTCGGTTTTGACGTCGATGATGCCACTGCGCTTCTCCGCCTCGACGACTTGTACATTGAAACGTTTGAAATCAAAGATGTCAAGACTTTACAAGGTGACCACTTGAGCCGTGCTATCGGTCGTATTGCTGGTAAAGACGGCAAAACCAAGTTCGCCATTGAAAACGCATCGCGCACCCGTGTTGTTCTTGCCGATTCAAAAATCCATATTCTCGGTGGATTCCACAACATCCGGGTTGCTCGTGAGAGCATCGTCAGCCTTATCCTAGGTGTTCCTCCCGGAAAGATCTACGGCAATCTGCGTATTGTCTCTTCGCGTATGAAAGAACGCTTCTGATTATTTAAATTGCATAATTCAACGTTCAGTAATTATTGTTTGGTTTTTTATCTAGCTACTTTGCTAGCGCTTAACTGGCCATCCCCGAGCAATCATATTAGCCTCTAACCGATCCCAAATACGCTCCACGAGCTCTCGGTCCCGGAAACGGTGGACTCTATCCAGGGTCTCTACTTTTACATTCCACTCTTTCAACTGTTGGGGCATTTGGTCACCTTTATACACCAGAGCAAATCCCAGCACATGGTGGAATAATGTGTTTGGATCAGACCATTTATAGGAGTTGAACTGCCAAGCCTGTCCAGTTGCAAACACCGCGACAACCCGGTTCCAATACTCTGGCTTGAATTTTTCCGTAGAATCCACAACAATAAACCTGAGATTGCCAAGAACAGGCGACTTGCGAGAAATCCGCAGCAAATTGGGCGACCCGGCCTGGCGAAGAACGGGGTCGAATACACCATTTTCCAAAAACTCCTTTACGTTGGCCATATTGATCATACTGGACGGACTTGGGGACAGAAGAATAATAGGGTCTTGGTTTTTACCGGGCTGCAAAGCCGCCTGGGTAGCTCCTGCTGTGCGGGCTTCAGCGGCCGGCCGCTTGGACGAGCTTTTGAAAGGATGGATGATCTCACGATGGCTTTGAGCAGAAACGCCCGAGAAATTAATCTTTTTAGACCCATGGAGAACTGTGTTGTGGTTTGCTAGTTGCTTTTCCTTTTCGTAAATCGCCTTCATGTCTTCAGACATGGGCCGTTTTTCAACCCGTCCGGAGGGAGCAGGGACAGCTGTGGCTTGTGTAGCACCTGCTGCCTCCGATATCGCTGCGCCGCTTGCTGCAACTGCATCGCCTTTGATAAATTCGCTTTCAGCAGAAGAGCCGTCAAGCCACGAGATAAGATCGGTGCGCTCCAAGAATCGCAGATGGCCAATGCCCTGCTCTTCCGCGGCAGAAATGTAGTCAGTGATACCGGCATTTTTATGGACCCATGCAAACCAGGCTGTTTTGACGTCTAAAACACCCCCTTCAACTGTTTCGGACTCAAACCGGGTCGCCTGTTCAAACGGCAGAAAAACCTCACCATCTGGGAGAAGAGCCCTGAGGCCCTGACCAGTTGCAAAGTCTACAACTTCTCCACTGGGACCAGATACTATTTCAACCTTGTGGTTTCCCGCCAAAGCGGTCCGCAGAACCACTAATGGGTCAGACATGGCGATCTCAGAGAATGGGAAGCCAGGAAGGTCGCTACGCTGGTGATGTAATCAACCTCGAGTTCCTACCACCGCCAACCAGCGGCCTGGGCCCCAGAGGAGGAACCGTAGATATAGGGTATTAATGCATTATAAATAAGAGTTATGAAAGCAAAAGACACAACCCGGGGTCACAGAATTAGAGATCGATCCCATTGGCGCCCTAGTCGATCGGATCGACGTCCCAGTTCAGTCCAAGCCGGCGATACAGAGTGGCTTGCACTTTCTGGAAGACCCCCGCTCGCTCTTCCTGAGAGATTCGAATGCTACTTCCCGGGGATAAATAAAATTTGTTGCGTTTCAACTGCCGGAGAGCGCGTTTATAATCGAGACGAACCTGAACCTCGCAGGCCAGATTGAGCAAGTAGTTTTCGATCATGTGTCTCCATTGGGTGAGACTAAGAGTGGTTGTGTTGGCTTCGGCATACGCTGCATCGACTGAAGACCGGGCGATCTGAAGCTTCACGTCGCGGTCGATATTACTTTCAATGTACAGGTTTGAATCAGCCAATATGGTGGCTGCCTGGGCCTTCCCCGCATTAGTGGGCAGGAGGTATGCTTGGTATTCTTTTTGGATAATGCGGGGAAGACAGGGCCATCCCTCCGGCAACTGGTGGAAAATTAGAAGAGACCGGTTGTCGTTGAGCTCCCAGTCTACCAGGTTGCGATCGGTAAACTCTGGGCGGCCTCTTTCCGTGAGATACGAGCCAGTCTCAAAGTGGGCCTTGTCGTAGTAGGGCCGGAAGTCTGTTGGCACGGCTTCGTCGAAGGCAAGGGTGAATTGTGAGTCCCCGAGTTCAGGTTCATCGACGTTCTCAACATGATATACAGTGGTTTTTTCAAAGTCCAGCATAGGAGTGGGTGAAGTTCTAATTGATCCCATCGCAAGCTGTGGTATAACGTTGGAGTTGATTTAGAGCGTAACAATTAGTGCCCTTAGTTAAAAAAAAATGACCTAGAAGCTCAACAAGTTTTTTTCTTCTGGAGTGCAACTTATTTCCTTTAGTTGCGAAAGAGTCTCTTTGGGAAACTGCAAGGGCCCTGTAAGAAAATGTTTTCTTTATATGACTGTGTGCAATGCATGTTCTCCCAGCTCTACGCGGGGTGGGGTAGGGGCCGCCCTGCCAGTTCCAATCGACGATCTACCGATTCTCGGCGAGTAATTCCGCCAAGGTTCTCGGCTGATTTTTTAACAATGCAAGACACACACAGAAAGTTCGACGGAAAACGCTCCATTTAAATCCGTTTCCCGAGTAAAAGCATGCATTTTCACCTACGTCGCCACCCTTCACTATGCGATCGTCATCAGCCAGCCAGAGGTTGCGGGAGGTCCAACAGGAAGCCTGCATGTTATGCATTCAGACCTGGCCGAAGCTTCCCGCGGTCCAATAACGATCTTCGTTGGTGCATAAGCCTTGGCTTCGGCTATTTGGCAATGACAGCCTTATGTTTTGGTGATTTGAGCCCTTTGAGTAGGTACAATGTTAGCAGCACGTGATCGAGAAGCCAATCGCTTCTATGAGTGGCGGAGCGCGGTGGTCTAAAAAACCTTAACCTGCCCGCGGAGACATGATCAAATAATTGTACGTTTAACCTAGTTTGCGGGGACTTGTTGCTCCGTAAATTGGCAGAACCTCTGTGCCCGCACCCTGCTCCTAGTCTGTCAAAAACAAAACTTCAATTCCCAACGTCGTTAGTCGTTCCGAGCGACCTCGGCCCTCGGCGCATGGCTACCTGCTGGACGTCCCAAACTTGGAACAGGTGCATGGTTTGGAGATTCAGAACTGTTGTCTTAACACCCTGATTTTAGTCCAATACCCCTTGGGCCAAGCAAGACCAAGAGTCCCCCGTCGCCAGGTGCGATTTGTCATCACCAACCCAATGGCTCTCAAGGAAATGCCCCCCCTGCTCTCTGAGGCAGAGATGAAGGAACACAAAGTTCCTTTGCAATGGAGAGATCGCTGTGCAGCCTTACTCGTGCCTCTGAACAAGTGCCGTCGTGAGACTGCCTACCTGCCCTGGAAGTGTGAGCAGCTCCGACATGACTACGAGGAGTGCCAGTACATGGACTTCCAGCGCCGAGCCAAGGAGTTCCGCGAGAAGAAAGCGGATGCTTGAGGAATAGCGTGACCCAAAAAATTCCAAAATGCATTTTCTACAAGCGGCGCAGACGATTAGCAGTCTCAAATGCCATTTCCTAGTGCTTTGATCCTTTTCTGCATCCCTAGTAATCACAGGCCGCTCATTTGTCAGTACCTGCTAGACGAGGACGACAATTTCACCAAGTGTCTTATTCACTTCTCGTGGACGCAGCCTCATATAAGGACGGAGAATATATATATATATAGCTGAGATAGGACTAGTACTTTCCAGTTAATCTGTTTAGCCTTTTTTTCTTCTGGCGACATTTATCGCGCGGGTGCAACGATAGTCTTTGCTACCAAACAGGCCGCTTTCGTTGAGAGGCCCTTTCTTTGAGAAGCTCAGTAGCCTCTGCGCTCCCCCATTTTTTAGCAAGCTTAGCATGATAGAGTCCACAAGCATTACATAGGGTGCGCGCACCATCGGGCCCTCTTCTCCACTCAGGAGTCTCTGTGGTGCCACATTCGTGACATTTAGTAGTCTTCCGCTGCTTACGACGACGCTTGTACGCGGATGAACTGCTCAAGATGCTGTTTCCGCTCGTGTATTTTGGATCATCCGATCTGTCGGTTTTGGGCGCAGCGTCAGGGCTGAGCTGCATGGCAGGAAGAGGATGCTGGCCTGGCCCTTGCTGTGGAGGAGCATTATAGCCGTAATACATCGGCGGGGGATAAACCTGGGGCTGAATCATAGAGTGAATCGGTGTTAAAGGCGCAGCACCATGGTTGTACGGGGTGCTGGGTGTAACGGGTGGTGCAGGACCTGCGCTAGAAGAAGATGGCATATAGTTCGTACCATGGGGCGGAAGCCCAAGAATGGGCTTCTGCAACGGCGTTTTGGTAGCTGTGAAGTCCTGGCGCTGCCATTTGAAGTGGTCAAGGCTATTCTGATTGTTACGCGCTGGGATATTCGCACTTAGCGGACGTAAGGGCCCTTCAGGGTGGGCTTTGGGTGTTTTGGGGCTTACCGACGCAGATTCGGAAGCCAATACGCCTATCGCAGACTGTAAAATCTGAAGAAACTTGCGTTTACGGTGATCGTCACCACGAACAGCTACATGGGCATTCTCGAGGTTCTTTTGTATTCGATCGAGAATTTCATCAGCTCCCAAATCATTGCGGACGGAGTTTGTGGGTCCATGCTTGATACTCAATGTGAGTAGTGCTGCTGCTGCATCCACAGATGAAGGAGAAACTGAGCGCTCAATAGAGTGTGTCACGAACGGTTTAGCAGGAGGAGATATAGGAGGCGAATTGAACGCTGCCCGTGCGTTGGGGGGCCCGGAGAAGCGTTTCAGCTCACGACTGTTGGGAGGCTGGTGCGGGCTCGACTCGTCGAACGACTCTGGGCTGGTAAGATTGAGGTCAGGGGACAAACACTTGGGCGCGCGCTCGTCATCTACAGTATCGTAGGCACCAGTTCCACTAGCCTTGCCATGCGCCGAGATACCGCTGATTCTACAGGAAACAGTGTGACTTGCCTGTTTTCCGGGGTCCTGGCTAGATGCGCTTAGAGAAGGATCTGGCATTGAAATCTTTAGAGGCATTGCACTGTATTTATTCGCTTTCAATCTGGTTTATAGATCAGCAGAGTTGTGGTAAAGTCAAACTAGGGATATAGCAAGATGTCACGCTTGAAGGATAACTACAAAATGCTGCATGATGCATTTTTGATGCAGCAGTCTGCCTGTCTTCGACCGTTACGGGGTACCCAAAAAGATCGGAGGAATCCTAATGGATGAATAAAAGTCGCTTAACATCTATTCTCTGAAATAAGACGTTTTCAGCTGTACAATTGATGCTATTCTAGCTCCACAAGAAATCCTCCTGCAGCCGTCATAGATAGACGTCAGGAGGTCTGGCAACGTAAGAGCGGACCAGATAAAGGGTGGCAGCAACTTTGAGCTAATCCACCATCGTATCCTTAAGATCACCTTAGTTAAAGTTTGAGCTGATGGGAAGCGCCTATACCTTGGTAGGTTATTCCTCCGAGCCGTTCTCGCACCCTCCGGCCATCTCCCAACCCTTCCGGAGCGCTCAAGACAGGGTGCTTATCCAATCCGGCATCTCAGCGCCAAAACCAAATGTCGAAAGTGGTCACCTTGCTAGGTGCCACGGCGCTAACTGCCAGTGTTGTTGGCGGGTACATGCTATTCACAGGCCAAGGCGAACAGTTTAATGTTGGTCACTTTCTCATGACGCAGTCTCCGTATATGTGGGCCCTTTTGGGAATCGCCCTGTGTGCTGGTCTCTCGATTGCGGGCGCTGCTTGGGGCATTTTCATTTCGGGCACCAGTATTTTGGGTGCCGGTGTCAAGGTACCGCGAATTACTACCAAAAATCTTATTTCCATTATTTTCTGCGAGGTTGTTGCCATCTACGGCTTGATTATGGCGATCGTTTTCTCATCTAAGCTCACCGTCGCGGAGCCGGCGAACCTGTACTCGAAAGAAAATCTCTACACAGGCTATGCACTATTCTGGGCCGGCACCACAGTTGGCTTGGCCAATCTCATCTGTGGCGTGTCTGTTGGTGTCACGGGTGCGACGGTGGCCATTTCCGATGCAGCGGACCCCAGCCTGTTTGTCAAGATCCTGGTTATCGAGATTTTCGGATCGATTTTAGGACTGTTTGGGCTAATTGTCGGCTTGTTAATGTCCGGCAGTGCGGCTGAGTTCTCGTAGACTATAACTATATTATTGGCTTCCTAGCCGCTGAAAAAGCCCGTCAGGAAGTTTTAGGGTCCCATCCACTAGCGACGGATCAGCAAATAAATATGCTCCTGCTTCAAAGAAGAAAGATGGCGGTGGCTGCCTTCAAGGCACATCAACAACCCGCCGAACGAAACATACATGGCGAGCTTGTCGCCGCCTGCCTCGGTGAACTTGTAAACTGTGCCATACATAACATACTGGTACTCGTCGGCGAGACTGGATTCGTTTGCCCGGGGCGGCCGCCAGCTTTTGGAGGCAGGGGCCTCGCCGTCCAGCGACAAGGAGCTAGCTAGAGCCACGGTCAGTGTCTCGCCAACCTGAACTGGAAACAGTTCAGTGTTGATATCCAAAGTAAGAGCAATGTCTGCGGTAGTGGTACACTGCGCCTGGATACGGGCGACACGGTCGTAACGGGCGCTGTCGAGCTGTTCAACCCGGAACAGATCGCTGAACAGAGTCGACATTATACGAAAAAAATCTTAATCATCGGCCGTCTGTATACTGGATTTCTCCCAACACTCGGCTAACACCCCCCTTCGCTGAAAAGTTTCGGGCCTCCTCCGCATTTTGCCGGCACCCGTCCCAAGATAGCGTTTCGGATAAAGTCGGGCTTGGTTAGCTTCTTACCCGTCAATTTTCGGCAACCTAACTCAAACCCTGGCGTGTTTGCCAACCCATGTGATGCCTTCAAGCCCCTTCATTCTTTACTAAGGAAATTTGGGCAAGCAGCTTGCTCTATAAACTCACAGGCAGATCGTAGGTGAAATTTCCATCCAAACTCGATGCCACGTCTCACGTTTCAATCCCGAAGAATTTGGCGCGGGATTTTCACGGTTTCATTTATACTCCGCGCATATCTCACGTTCCAAAACTCTTATCTCCATCCTGATGAGCACGTTCAAGGTCCTGAAGTGATTGCCAATGGCTACTTTGGTTGGGCGGCGCAGTTCCCCTGGGAATTCACCTCAGATAATCCAATTCGAAGCATGGTGCCGCTGTGGATGGTTTACGGTATTCCTATGTCATTCTTTTCGGGTAGCACGTCCCCGCTGCATGTGCTGTACGCCATCCGGATTATTTTAACGTTGCTAACTTGGGTGCTCACGGACATGGCCGTGGACCGTCTGTCAAAATTCGATACCGACAAACTGCGGAGCCTCATTTTTGTTTCGACTTCGTACGTCACAATGACCTACCAAGCGCACACGCTGTCCAATGGTCTGGAGACCATCTTGCTACTTTGGTGTTTGGTAATTATCCACGAGTTCAAAGTAACAAACACAAACACGCTTGATAGGCAGTACGATTCTCTTTTGTTGGGCTTTTTGTTGGCTCTTGGTGTGTTTAATCGCCCCACGTTCTTGGGATTCCTCGTGCTCCCCAGCATACAGCTTTTCAACTTCTTCATCCGTCACCCCGGTAGTCTGCTCACCTGCGTTTTTGCTGGTGTGGCTTCCAGTATGTTGTTTATCTATATTGACACCCTGCTCTATGCTCATGACGACTGGGTCATCGCCCCATTGAACAATGTTAGATACAACTTGCTGTCAACTAATTTGTCTATGCACGGTCTGCACCCTCGCTATTTCCATTTGCTTGTGAATTTACCTGCACTAATTGGGCCTGGTATATTGCTGATTGAGCCCGGTACATCATTGTCTATGCTGTCGGCGGTCTCAGGCCTCGTCTCGTTATCTTTATTCCCTCACCAAGAGGCTCGCTTCTTGATCCCTTTAATTCCTCTGCTCTGTATGAACATGGATTTCCGTCGGTTCTCTGCCCGCTTCCAGAAAATTTTGCTTGTTTTGTGGCTAGCATTCAACCTAGTGATGAGTTTTATTCTCGGAGTTTATCACCAGGGCGGCGTGATTCCGGCCCAAACAGAGTTACGGAAATACCCGCTGCCGAGCACCGTTATCTGGTGGAAAACCTACGTTCCGCCTTTGTGGCTCACCGGATTACAGCATGATGAAGTCAAATACGTCAGTGTTGAAAAGTCCGGTGTTGAATCGGTTTCCACAGCCCTAGAACCAGCAAACAAGTCAATGGTTGTTATCGACGTGCAAGGGCTCAGTCAGGACGTATTTGACGATGTTTTGTCTCGCACTTCCGGTACCACTTATGTCGTTGCACCTCTAGGATCAAAAGTTGAAAAAGGTGAGCTGATTTGGAAACACAACCAGCACATCTCGTTCGACAACGGTGGCTTGTTCTCAAGCATGCGAGGTCTCGGTATTTGGGAAGTCAAAAAGTCTATTTTATCACGTATCTTATGAGTTTTCTAATGCCCGCAGATACATCCTGTATATATATTTTCAGTCTATTCTGAAAGGGCCTCTTCGAGGACTTGAATAACTGTATCGTTTTCATCTTTGGTTCCAATCGAAATACGCAAGCACCCCACGCAGTTCAGCTCATTGCCGCGGTAGCGGACAACCACTTGCTTTGTCTCTGCGAGAAGCTTGTATATTTTGAGGGCGTGCTCGTTCGAAGGCACACCGCCGGCTTTGTCGAGCACTTGCACCATGACGAAATTAGCGTCCAAGCCACCAACGATTTTACCGAGACCGTCAATCTTAGGGAGCTCGGCAACCATACGGGCGCGTTCGGCAACAATCTGAGCAACACCATCACGCATAATCTTGATACTTGCCGGCGACAAAGCTCGACGAGCCAGCTCAGCCGTGATAGAGGAGATGTTGTAGGGTGCTTTCATAGAATTGAGCGCAATTGCAAGATTTTCATGAGCAAAAGTGACTCCGCAACGCAGTCCAGCTAATCCAAACGATTTTGACAGAGTTTGCAACACAGCCAAGCGTTCATTTTCTGTAACCAAGGTTGCACAGGATGGACCGCTAAAATCAACATAGGCTTCGTCAACAACTACAACACCACCGGTCCATGCCCGGGTAATTTTCAGAATATCATCCATTTTGAGCAGCTTGCCAGTCGGATTGCCCGGGGAGCACGCAAGAGCCATTTTGATTGTCGGATCAGCTTGGAGTTTCTCGATGATCTTGTCCGTTTGCAGGTCAAAATTCTCGTCAAGTGGCACAGATACAACGCTTAGATCGTTGATATCAGCACTCACCTTGTACATACCATAGGTTGGCGGACAAATAAGGATTTTATCGGTGCCCGGCCGACACAGAGCTCGCTGCAATGCATCAATTGATTCATCACTCCCTACGCCGAGACAAATATTCTGAGGAGCCAAGCTGGCAGGCAGTCCAGATTTTGCAGCCTCTGCATTGCGCAAGTTGCACAAAAGCTGTTTGACATCAACCAAATGGGGGTCCGGATATCGGTTTAGATCCAGGCGCTTTTCAGCCTCTGAAAGGTCGCTAACCGCCGTCACGCTTGTATTCTCGTTGGCATCCAAAAGAATACCGACCTTGTAGTCATCTCTCGCACATCTGTACGGCACAAGTTTCCGAATATTCGGTCTTAGCAGATCTGTAACTGACATGTTTCTAACTATCTCTGACTCACATCCGCTTGATAGCTGCAGTAACTGCATGACCCGGGTAACGGCTGTTTTGATTAAAGCGGACACAAATCAACAAATTAGAATCAAATAACCGATATGTAAAAATGGTATCAGGGTGATTGTAGCGTTCGATTGCTAGAATCAATGACCTGGACAAAAAAGTCTAATCAGTTTGTCGGGCCTATCTGGAAACCTGCAAATAAACCCCCATGAACCACCTTGCAATAATACGTCTATTCTACTACACTCAAGGTTTCGAAGCTAATTCCTGCCAGTTACAGACACTCGAAATATCTCGAGTCCCCAGTGTTGCTGACATCAACATGGAAGAGAAAGAGACGGACGATTGGGCATTTCGAAAGCTTGGACCAGAGGCTGGAGTGCCGGTTGTAGAAAGATACGACGAGGTACCTCAGGAACGTGTGAACTTGTTTGATATTTCCAACGGGGACAGCGAAACAGCTCTATTTGCCGCGGCTGGCTCCAAAGCGGTTGTGGTAGGCAAGGCTGAGGCACTGTACCAAAAGCTGGCGATCAATTCGGAGCTTGAGACAAGATCTATTCCTGTAAGCAACCCCCTTTTTGTTCAAATTCTTGCGAATGCTTCACAGATTGCTGTATACGATCAGCAAAACGAATTAACCCTTTTTGGCGCTGACGGAACAAAACAATGGTCCTCCACAATTGAGGGTATCACACAGCTTGAAAAACACCCTAGCCAAGCGAGTCTAGCTTATATTTGCAATGGCAACGCGTTTTTACTTACCGATTCGGTCACCCAGAAGCTCGGTGAAGCCAAGAGGCTTTGTTTTGATAGCGAAGGCAATGCTGTTCTGGGCACTGATTCATCGATCATGTTCGGATCTTCAACGGTAAACTTGCCGAAAGAAGGCGTTTTGGTTTATTTACAGTCCGCTGGATCTAGTATCTTGGCAGTAATCTCGGAAGATGATGAGTATACAGCCTTTCTTTATACAAGCGGATCGTGGGTAGATATTCCAGATGCTTGTCCCCCATTTGGTGATGATAGTAGATATTTGACATGGTACAGTGGAGCCGTTGCTAAGTGGATTGGAAATGATCTCTCAGTTCTTGTTGCCAGCGCCTCCCAGTCTTCGGATATGCTTTTAGCTACCTCATCAGAGATTTTGAGTCCCTCAGAAGACGCAGATAAGGCTTCTATGCCATTTACAGAGGATGAGACGTCTCCCGTTGGTGCTGCAACTTATACTGGAAGCTCTCTGGCTCCACCCAAAGGTTTTGCTGGCGTTGAAGAGTTGGCGCCGATGCCGATTTGGATGGTGCTAACTAACGAGGGCTTTGTTACTGGCTGGGCTATTTTATCACGTGAAGCTATCAAATCAGGAGCCACGCTATCGACTAATTTCTCAATCACTGCCACGTTGAATCCCCAAGCTAAACTGTCCATTGAGAATACTGCTTCAGAGCTGGCCTCTGAAGAAGTTGTTGACCCCGACTTGTTAAGTGGGTTGTCAGTGTCCACAGGCGCATCTAAGGCGCAACCAACTGTTGAACAAAAAGAGTCGGCCGCAAAGGAGGCTGCAGCTGAAAGTTCTGAAGCAGATAAAAAGGAGCCAGAGATCGCAGCGACGTCCTCCGTAAATCAGAGCTCGCTATTTGGTGCTGTTCCTTCGTCTTTCGGCTCTTCTTGGGGTTCTTCTAGTGCGTTTGGCAGCAAGCAGCCAAGCTCTGCTCCTAAAATGCAGTTCAATTTCTCCTCTTCAAGTCAGCCTGTTGCACCTAGCCCGTCGTTTTCGTTCGGTAAACCTGACACCAAGGAATCTCCGTTTGGTGCACTTGCTGGTAAGAGTGTTTTTACTTCGGATACAAGCTCTCCATTTGCTTCTTTACAAAGTAACAGGCCGAATGCTTTGGATACCAACACAGAGTCTCCGTTTGCCTCGGTAACAAATAATGAGTCCGCTAAACCAAAGTCGATTTTCAATCTTGACAGCAGTCAGAAGAAGGAAAACGAGAATCCTTTTGGCAAGTTGAAAACTCCAGAGACTAGCATATTTGGCCAATCTGCCGGAGGAGATCAAAAGAGTGTTTTTGGCCAGCCCCAGGGAGAAGGACTGAAGAGTATTTCTTGTAAACCTGAAGAGCAAAAGAGTATTTTCGGTAAACCTGAAGAGCAAAAGAGCATTTTTGGTAAGCCTACGGAAGAGCAGAAGAGCCTCTTTGGCAAGCCTCAGGCAGAAGAACAGAAAAGCGTTTTTGGCAAACCTGCAGAAGAGCAAAGGAGCTTTTTCGATCAGCCTACGGGAGAAAAAAAGAGTATTTTCGGTAAACCTGAAGAGCAAAAGAGCTTTTTCGGTAAACCTGAAGGACAAAAGAGTCTTTTTGGTAAACCGGAAGAACAAAAGAGCATTGTTGGGAAACCTGCGAGAGAGCAAAAGAGCCTTTTCGGTCAGCCTACGGGGGAACAAAGGAGTCTTTTTGGCAACCCTGCGGAGGAGCAAAAGAGTCTTTTTGGTAAACCTGAGGAGCAAAAGAGTCTCTTTGGTGAACCTGCGGACGAGCCGAAGAGTCTTTTCGGAAAGCAACCTGGCGAAGAACCAAAGAGTCTGTTCGGCGGGCCATCATATGAGCAGCCCAAGAGCCTTTTCGGGAAAGCAGCCGGAGACCCGCCAAAAAGTTTGTTTGGCCAGCCCTCTGGAGAACAGCAAGAGACTGTCCTTGGCAAGCCCGCTGGAGAAACCAAAAGCCTCTTCGGGAAACCCGAGATTGATGCTAAGGGCCTGTTCAGTGAGCCAGTTTCGTCAGATAAAACGCAAGCCAGCCTCGATTTAGGTGGTCTTGGAGAGGCACTAAATGACATGCCTTTTCCAAAACTCACTATTAATGATAGTCCGCTTCCTAAGGCAGAGGCGACAAATGCCGATCATGAAACTCAAACTCGGCCGTCCGGTATCGAGCCAGTTGCAGCACCAGATCTCGACGAGGACTCAGAAGCGACAGAATCTGAGAGCGAAGTTGAAGATGGCGAAATTGACTACAGCTTGGAAGAGAGCTTTGCTGACGAGGACGGTAGCGATCTCACTGGGAGCGAGTCTGTGGTTTCTCTCAGCGTTTCTGAATCGGTACCTGCGTCTGAACCTGAAGCGATTCAGACCAGTGCAATTGAAGAACCTTTAGTCAGTGTTGATGCAGAGGGATTCTCGGAATATGAAGAAGTTTTGGATCCTAATGAGATAACTTACGCAGAGTTTCCACCCGAGGATGAAGAATTGCTCGAATTTTCGGTCCCCGAGCCTGTGGCACCTCTTTCAGATTTGGACAGTGCTTATGCTGAAACAAATCAGCTTTTCCAAGTTCTCGACTACAATCTACAAGTGCTTGAAAATCTCACTGCTAGAGTCAAAAACCAAAACCAGCTCTCAGGTACGCCTGACCTTTTAGACTTTGAAAAGTGGACGTTGGAAAGCATTCCGAAACTTGCGTCGGTTGTCACCTCGTTGTCCGAAACCGTCAAGAACGAACAAGTGAGCGATGAACAACTTCAGTCGGCCGGTAAGCTTCGTCAAGGACTTGAGGAGAGCTTTGTGGATATCAATGAGGTTGCAGAGTCCCTAGTATTTATGCGGCGAGATCTGGGCTCCCAGGCCCAACGTAGGCGGCCTCTGCCATTCACTGCTGCCAAGCTGCAACGCCACATGCGGGATCAGTTGGAGACGGTTCATACGAAACTCAAGCAGTGCGAGGCGTCTATCTTAAATTTGAAGGCCAAGCAAAACCCGCCCCGCGTTGCCGATATCAATGTTGCTATGGATGTTGTCGAAGCCCAAGTGAACAAGCTGTCTAATGTAGTTGGCAGCCTCGGTTCCCGTCAGAAGCAGTCTTTGGGCGCGGCAGATATCAGTGCGTACTCAGCATCTATTTTAGGGCTCTCCGAAATGAAAGAGTACGACGAGGTGTTTGTGGACCAGCAAAGGCAACGTAAATTCATCGAAAAGGTCGGCGCCTCACTACGAAATAGAACTCTATAGGCATCTCGGGTTTAAATGTTAAATTTCACAGCCCTCCACATTAATCATCCTCCAAAATGTCATCTGCTGATCTGCGAGCAATTTCTCAACTGGACGAAGCCTCGCGAAAGGATATCGCTCAGTGGGTGGAGAACGAAATGGCCCAAGCCAAGCTCCGCTCGACGATCCACAATTTCACCGAGATCTGCTTCCGCAAGTGCGTGACTTCGATCGGTACTCAGACATTGGCCAAAACAGAAGAGCTGTGCTTGCAAAACTGCCTCAACCGGTTCTTGGACACTAACTCAGCTATTGTCAAGCTGATTCAAGAGCAAAATAAGTAAATGTTTGGTTTCGACTTTCTGTATAGATTTATTAACTTTCCATGACTGATCACTCTTACCCACCACTCTTCCTGACCGGAGACTGACGCAAAATGGATCTCAAGCAGTATGAAGAAAAGCTTGTGAGTAGTTTGGGCAGTTTCGATGATTTGCAGAGTGTCGTGGACGAAATGCCCAGTACATATAGTGCATTGGCCAAGGCGCTGTACTATATTTTCCAAACCGAGTTCCTGCCCAAATTGAAAGTGAGTGCGGAGAACGAAACGGCAATCGTAGCTGAAATCAAACAAAAGTTCCCAAAAAATGCCAAAGTAACGGCTGCCGGTCATGCAATGATCAGCGCTAGCGACAACGGCGAATTGACATTTGGAGGGCAAGAAAAGACAGCGCTACCAACATGGCTTTTGAGGGGCCTTGTCGATTACAGCTCGGCTGAGTCCTGGCCCGTGTTTATTCCTGCGACACTTACGCTACTTGACTCACCTGAGATCGCCTTGAGAGCTCAAGGTTGTCTGGCTGCCAAGTCAATAGCTGAAAAGTACAAAGCCAAACTCGAGACGTCTGGATTGCGTCCTCTATTCCAAGAAGCAATCAAATCTTGTTTGCATTATCTCCCGCCCTCCTCCAAGGCTGAAGAAACTATGCTGATTGAGCGACCGGCGGTTGTGAGTCTTCTTGCCCTGGCGACAAACAACCAGGAACTAGATGCAGTTATGAGAGAAGGCCCACTAAGAGCATTCAGATACACACAACAAAACGTGAAGCTCATTATTTATTTACTCGACCTCGTGCGCACAGTAGCCGATCGGTTGGGGCCTCGAACGATTATCCACTTGAAGGAATTAATACATATTTTTATGGCGATTCTGGCAGACCCGTATATTGATACCAGTCCGGAGCTTGTGGAGGCCGCTTGCTCGACCATGAGCAGCGTGCTATTGAGACACTGTGCCCCGCGGATGCCCAACTATCGCTACGACGTGCTCTATGCACTGGCCAAGGCCAAGGTTTTGCAGAGCCCATACTTTGACGAGTTTGTCGCCAGCTGCGGCATTACGGCGGACCAAGTGGCTGAAACACGAGCGGTTGTGGATAGTCTAAAGTAGACCCAGGTAGTCTTCCTTGATACTTCCGATAGCGAACATCTTGCCGACGTCTGCACGCACACCCACGATTTTGACTCTAATTTTCGAGCCCTTTTCGATGCTCTGCTCGTCAGACACAAACGCAGGTGGGTTCGCCGTCGGGTTGTAAGTCATATCGCTAGGAATAAGATGGGCGGAGACAAAGATCGACATGGGCCCAACATCGCAGAAAACACCCATTTTATTAACGTTTGTAACAATAGCATCCACGGCCTCGCCCTTGAAGGGCCTCCATACGATAGCCCGATATTTTACATCAAACACGGCCGAGCCGAGTCCGGATGGGACCATGCCCTTGCCTACGTCGATCTTCATACCGTCCATGACGCAGACAATATAACCATACTGACCAGTGATTGTCCCCTCTACTTCCTGAAGGAGCTTTGCTCGTAAATACTGGTGCATATGTGCGCCAAAATACGACGGGTGCAGCGTCAACTGCAACGACAAGTCCTTGAGGAAGAACATCCTGACTAACCAGCGGGCCGCGGCGATCTTTTGTGTCTGGGGTTGATCTGGCATTCAAGAGTGAATTGAATACTTTTTGAGGGTATTTGTCCATCAGCAGTACTTGAAATGCTTCACCACGTATCTTTTGTGACTCGCCGTCGACTTTGCCGCGGGTTCCACGTGAAACTCAGTGAGACGGTCCAAGCGGCCATTGCGCAAAAGCTTCCAATTGTTGCCTTGGAAAGCACTATTATCACCCATGGTCTGCCGTACCCCGATAATCTCCGTTTGGCTCGAGAGGTCGAGAGCGTGATTGTGGCGGAGGGGTGTGTGCCGGCCACTACAGCGTTTATTGACGGTAAGCCGCTCGTTGGTCTTGATGCAGAGCATTTGGAGCTTATGGCCACGGCTAAAAACCTTGTCAAGGTTTCTCGGCGTGACATCCCTCATGTTATGGCTAGCAAGCTTAGTGGTGGAACGACCATTGCTGGAACAATGATTCTCGCCCACCGTGCAGGCATAAAGATATTTGCGACTGGTGGTTTGGGCGGCGTCCATCGTGGAGTGGCTAATACTTGGGATATTTCCGCCGATTTGGAGGAGCTCGGGCAGACCCCTGTGGCAGTTGTGTGTGCAGGTCCCAAGAGCATTCTGGATGTGCCTAAAACTATAGAGTTTTTGGAAACAAAGGGTGTTCCTGTCTCTACTTTAGGTCCACCTGGCACTAATGTACCTGGATTTTTTACCCGTGATTCTGGGGTCAAGTCTCCTTTCACATTTTCGACCCCTAAAGAAGCGGCTGAAATTGTACGCAACGGTACCGAGTTTGGGCTCGAAAACGGCTATGTCTTTTGCGTACCTTGCCCAGAGCATCTAGCCATGGACCCAGTTATCATAAACAGTGCAATCAATATGGCCCTGGTAGAGGCTGATAAGGCCGGAATCACCGGTAAAGAAGCGACCCCGTTCCTCTTGAAGAAGGTTTGGGAGGCTACAAAGGGCGACACAGTTACTACCAACATTGAGTTTGTTAAAAACAATGCTCGCGTGGCCGCTCAAATGGCACGCGAACTTGCTCTGAGTGAAGGAAGCGTTTCAGTGATGATGCCGTTAAAAGTCCCTTCTGTACAGAAACCTCCACCCCAAAAACTAGACTCCAGCCGGAAAAGAGAAACTCCTGATGTTTGTGTCGTTGGATCGTTGGCCCAAGATCTTACTTGCACCCTAAAGACCACAAATATCTCTCCTTCGTCATTTCCTGGCCAAGTCACGACTACGCTAGGTGGTGTTGGCCACAACGTAGCGTTGGCATCGGCATATTCTGGGGCAAAAACACGTTTGATTTCTGTTGTGGGCGAAAAAGAAGAACCTGCAGTCAAGAAGTCGCTGAGTCCTGCTATTGATGCGGCTGGCATCCAGATCATTTCCGGGCGCACTGCTCGCTATATTGCTATGAACGACGCCGAAGGCGAGCTAATTGTGGCCTGTGCAGATATGGAATCTGTTGAAAAAATGGACCCCAAACACATCGAGCAGGAGTTGCGGTTTGCTGATGCCAAGGTTGTGGTTTTTGACGGTAACCTTGGCGTTGAGCAGACCCAGAGCGTTTTGGCCGCACAGGGGTTCAAAATTTTTGAGCCCACCAGCGTACCGAAATCCGCACGAATTGCCGACCACAATTTAAAGGTGTTTCCTAACCCGTCAATCAATATGGCTACACCCAACACTATGGAACTAATGAGTATGTTTGAGGAGTTCTCGTTCAAGGATAGGTTTGATCTTGACCATTGGTTCCCGATCATTGATGCTATTCCCATGTCTGACCCGGTGACTCAATTCAAAATTGACCGTTTCTTGAACACGAATCCTCATCTTGAATCAATAGTGGAGAGTGGGCTGCTTCAGGCCGCTGTTCATATTCTGCCTTATATTCCGAATCTGTTTGTCAAACTCGGGAAAGACGGGGTGCTCACATTTCAACTGATTGAGTATCTCAAGGATCGCACTGGCGATACTGCCGATGGCCGAGGGCTCTATATTCTGTCCAAGAAAAAGCCGTTCGGCCTTCTCATGCAGTACTACCCTGTGCCTGAGGTAGTGCCTGCATCGTCGGTCCAAAGCGTGAATGGCATTGGCGATACTTTCTGCGGAGTTCTTGCCGCTCAGTTGTCCCAGACACAAATGTGGCTTCGCGACGATGGCCCCAGCAAGGCCAATGCCATCACCAAAGCCCAGCGTGCGGCAGCACTTTCTCTGCAGACATTTGCTCCGGTGAGCACGGAAGTGTCTCAACTGTGATTGCACAAAAATAACACGAAACTAAATAAAATCCCTTAACAAAGAGTGTGTTTTACAAAGAGACCAGGCCATCATGTGAGCTTTTGCTTGCCGTGGGACTGTTGGGGTTCTTGCCGCTGAGGTATTGCAAGAATAACAAGCGGCCAACACCCGGGTGAGCGACTAAACCAAGCTCCTCAGGCTCGGACTGAGATGCCTTCAAGGCATACTCACAATACAGTTTTCCATCATCGACTTGAGCAATAGTAATCACGTCACCCTTGGGGATAGACCGCTTTCTGCTGAATGCTTGCTTGAGCTCATTGAGGCCCTGGCCGACATCTTCGCTGTTTCCAAGAGCCTTGAACGCTGGATTGCCCGTCACACTGCGAACGAGGCCATCTCGAATGTGCAAAAAGTCGGTGTTGCGTACAGGAACAATTCTTACCGCAAATCGAACCCCGTTGTCGAGCAAGTGTCCAATGACATCGGGCGAGCTTTCGGGATCGGCCAGGGCACCCGACAAATCAGCAATGGAGTCCAGAATCTTGCGTGCTTTGGAAACATCCTTCTCGGCGATGTAAATTCCCAGGGCGTAGACGTGGAAGCTCATAAAAGTCACCGCTCGGTACCCAACGCCGATTACCGAGTACTTTTCTCCTCGAACGTCAATTTTGCGAGGAAAAGGGTCACACTTTGTTGGTGGCTGGATTTTGTCGTCCTGCTCCAGCTCCAAGCCATGGCGGTCGACGTAGGCCCAGCCTACACCAATAGCCAGGCCAATGATCATGCCCCAGCGGAAGGGGTGAGACTTCTTGGGCTTGACCGCGGGATATGTGGCATACGAACGGGAAGCCGCACGCATTGCACCGCCAAGCACAGCCGGTTGTGCTAAACTGCGGGTCACTGGCGCACGAAATGAAATCAGCGCCCTGCGAAACATCTTTTACAAATGGGCAACTCGGATGACAATGGTTTCCCCAGTTATACCCCAGAGCCTTCGACGGTGTAGGGCAGGGGTTTGGGCTGCGGTTCTGCGACGGGGCAAAGGGCTTTGCAGTTGGTTTTGGGATTATCTACCCCAATACATGCGAATATTTGTTTAGCAATGCAAAACAAGATGTGTTTGTCTGCGGGATCGATTGGTCAGTTGTTAACCGCAACCCGATCTACCCCACGTTTCCGTGCAAGTGTGCAGCGCACAGTGGCGCACCTTCGCTCGAGAAAATGCAATTTATATCTACTTCAAACTTATTCGCTAAATTCTTCTGTAGCCGCTCTTTCCGTCCGCTTTCGTCGTCCCTTGCGGCGAGGCGTTTCATCGACCTCCTCGTCGCTTTCAACTGCTTCCTTTCGGGACTTGCGTTTGAGGGCGCTGGGACCGTCTACCTCTCGCGTGATAATCAGCAGCAGCGTGCTGCAGCGGCGGCTGATTTCAACAGCGGACCGCGACATAAAGAACCAGTCATAGTCAAATAGTCCACTAGTCCTGATTCGAGTCCGGATTTCTTCAAACAAGTTTGGAGTGTCTAGACCCAGTTCGTACATTGCTACCAGCAAAAACCGGTCCTCATCTTCGTTGTAGGATCGACGCACATTACTCAAAGGGTAGGTAATCTGCATTTCACTAAGAGGTGCCCGACAGCCAGTGACTTTATTTTTAAGAATCTCAAACTGGTGGTTTTGTTTGCGGGATCGACTCTCGCCGGCCTCAATTTGAGCCATGTAGCGTTCATAATCGTTCAATTCCTTGAACCGCTCAAAGAAGACTTTGTGGTACCGGCGCACAGTGGCCTCGTCCTTTTCGGACCACTCTCCCACGATTGCATCAATACCGTCGCGTCCATGCTTGGCTGCAAGATGCAAAAAGTGATGAAAGTCGCGCTTTGTAAACATAGGGAACCCTTCGTTGACAAGCTCTTCTTTACGAGCTTGTTCTTCCTCAGTTAGAGGCTCGGCAGCTTCGATTTCACGGTTCATCTGTTCGCAAGCTTCTTCGTCCTCGTCACTGAAATCTTCGGTGGACACTCGCACACCCACCTGCTTGCGATAATAAGTCATCTCTTTTTCCTGCAGCTGCTCTAGTTCGGGAGGGAAAAACTGATAGTCCACAATAGGCACCTGTCGCGGAGGTCTCGACAATCTCACCTTCTCCAGTCCATCTGCAGAGTATACCAATTCCTTGCGCTCACGGCGGTGACGAACATGTTCAGTGTCGCTCCCTTCAGCACTAGCCTGATGGCGACTGACAATTGCTTGAGTCGGATGGTCGAAAGTGAACTTTTGGAGCTCATCTAGACCAAGGGCTGAATACTTGACATTGAGCTCTTTGGTTCTGGACTCACCATTTCGAATGATATCATCGATGCTTTCGTCCACAAACGTACCCTTGTTTTGGTCAAACACGTTTTGAGCTCCATGTCTGATCATGTCCACAAGCTCTTCCTTACTGGCTGCCTGTTTGGCCTTATCTTGCTGGCTGCTGCGACCCTGTTGAATGACCAGTTGATCTAATCGCAATTTTTGAGCTGCCCGCTCTAGAACCTTTTCTTCAATGGCGTTTTCAGTAACAAATCGATAAACAACGACCTGTTTGGTCTGGCCAATGCGATGAGCACGGTCCATGGCCTGTAAATCAGCCTGAGGATTCCAGTCTGAATCGTACAATACAACTTGATCGGCGGTGGTCAAATTAATTCCAAGACCACCGGCACGAGTTGTCAAAAGGAAAATCATTTTTTTACTGCCAGGCTTGTTGAACTCGTCGATTGCCTCCACGCGGTCCTCATGCTCTGTACTACCGTCGATGCGACAGTACTCGTAATCTCTGAAACTGCAGTAATCTTCAAGAATATCAAGCATGCGGCTCATTTGGGAAAAGATCAAAACACGAGAACCCTGCTCTTTCAAACGAGCAAGAAGCTTATCTAAAACCACCATTTTGGCACTGTTGGTGATAATGTGCTCATCGGTTGTGAAAGGAGGACCCGGCTCGGCTCCTTCGAATAAATAAGGATGGTTGCAGCATTTTCTGAGTTGCATAACGACGTTCAACAGTCGCATCTTAGACTCACCTGACCGCTTATCATTGCCATTGATCGCATCAAGATCTTTCTCAAGAAGCTTTTGGTACCACTGAATTTGCATATCGGTCATACCGACATACAGGTTGATCTCCTTTTTGGGTAGCAGACTACGCTCGACGTCGTTCTTGACTCGCCGCAACAAAAACGGGCGTAACAAACGATGGAGTTGCTCAACAACACGTTCTTGGTCCTCATTCTCCGATTGAAACCACTCATCAAACACCTCAGAGTCAGCAAAGACATCAGGCAGTAGAAAGTTAAGAAGAGCCCATAGCTCATGCAAATTGTTTTGCAGTGGGGTTCCGGTAATCAGAAGACGGTTGCGGGAAAACAACAACCGAACAATACGGCTTAGAATACTCTCCTCATTTTTGATACGATGGGCTTCGTCGACCACCAGATACTGCCAAGCGAAACGTTTCAGGGCGGCTTTCTCGCGGATAACCAGCTCAAAAGAGGTGATACAGACGTCGAAATCGCAAGGCTTGAGGCGTTTGCGCACCAACTCCGCACGTGACTGTTTATCGCCCGATAAAACGAGCACGTTGAACTTTGGAGACCACTTGGCGAATTCCCGAGCCCAGTTGTCAATAGTACTTTTGGGCACGATAATAAGATAAGGACCAACGATTTTGCGAACCTCTCTAAGGTAAGTCAAGAAGGAGATGGTTTGTAGAGTCTTTCCAAGTCCCATTTCGTCGGCTAGAATGCCTGACAATGAATTCTGATACAGAGAAATCATCCAGTTAAGACCGTCAATTTGGTAGTCACGTAATTTACCCTTGATAAAAGCAGGACTTTCGGTGAACACGGTAAGCTCGTCGTCAGAATCATCGTCGAGCATGTTGCCCTCGTTATCTTCCTCAGCGGCCTGACGGTGAAACTGCCGATTTTTAAGCCCGCTGGTGCTGGACCGGTGTTTTCGATTTGCTTTTTCTGCATCATCCAAGATACTTTGGAATTCGGTGTCACGCTGAGCCCGGAGATCCACAAAGTGCCTGAACAGGTCACTCAATCCGAGCAGGTGCTTGAACCGGTTGACCGCCTGGCTCCTCAACCCCTTGGACGAGCTCTCGTCGATCAAATAGTTTCCTCGCGCTTTAAATGGCGTGTTGCCACGCGACTCTAATGACTCCTCATCACTGCTGTCGCTTGCAGGTGTGTACCGTTCTGATCGGCGGGGAGGCATTATCGAGACAGCGCTGGTCGTCGGGTTTTGTAATCAGTTCAAACCAAAGAGCCAGTTCAACCTGAAAAGAGCACACGACGAACTCTTAGACTTAGAACATCAAAGTTGTTTTGAAATGTTGGCACTGGGTCTGATTGGTACAGCACTTCTGCTGCACAGCGTCTACTCCTCGTGGGAGCTGTCGGAGCTGGCAAAGATAGCGGGAGTGCAGCATGTTTTGCCCAAGGACGTCGCCATCGAAGCGATTAGCGGCTTGGTTATTCTCATTGTGTCCGCTGTTTGGACAGCCTCGCGGTCACTGAAACCCACTAGCCTTGCCGAGGAGTACAGTCTGTTGAATAGCCAGGGCGAGAACCCATACGGCCAGCTGGAGACTCGGCCGATGTTCCAGGACATTCTAGCCAGACGCGAGGTCTACCACGAATGGAAAGCCAAGTCGGATCCTCGAGTGCATCCCGAACGAGATCCGGCTTTAGAGGAGTACAAAGCAAAGAAAGGTGACGAACCGCCTGCCGCGATCAAAAGACGAAACAAGAATAAGAAGTAGATGTGCTACTCATGTCTATAATCATTTATGCCCGAGAAAGAACTAGCTACTATGTAGATTCAGCGGAGCACATCTCAATCCGCCCTAACCTTGGGAAATATATTCACCCTTCAGCTAATTTACTTCCTCCTGACAAATGCTTGTAAAAAGAGCTAGTGCTCAGAGTGTGAACCACAAAGTGTTTGTGCGTTCCACTAAGGCTGGAAATGCCGTGAAGGTTTACCGAGAGCAGTACCTGCGTGACGATATTCCTTGCGGGTCGCAGCTCTGCACTCTGTGCGCAGAGATCAGTGTCCCAGATGCCAAGGGCGACTTTCCGGTGCCTGTGTTGAGTTCAGCACCCAATTCCACTACCAAGCGAGGCCCGCATTATGTTGTCATTGACACAAATGTGGCTCTGAAGGCTATTGATTTGCTGGAACACCCGGGCTGTTTGTACGATGTGATTGTACCTCAAATCGTTCTGGAAGAAGTTCGAAATAGAAGTTTGCCTATTTACGCCCGCCTGAGAGCACTCACTGCTGGTCATGATAAGCGCTTTTATGTCTTTCATAACGAGTTTCGCTCAGAGACTCATGTTGAGCGTACTCCTGGTGAGTCTATCAACGACAGAAATGACAGGGCCATCCGCCGAGTGGCAAAGTGGTATTCTGAGCATTTGGCTAAAGTCAAAAAGGCTCCCCAGGTGCTACTGCTAACAAACGATAAGAAAAACTTGGAGCTGGCTCACAAGGACGGAATCAACGCATCAACCTTGCATAGCTATATTGCGGAGTATAAAGACTCTGGTGATCTGTTGGACATCATCCCCGCTGAGGAAAGTTTCACCAAGGAATCACAGACCCAGATCTATCCCAACTATTACTCCAGCTCGCAGATTCTTGCTGGCATCAAAAATGGCTTTTTGCATCAAGGAAAGCTGCAGATCTCTCGCTACAATTATTTGGAGGCCTCCGTGCACACCGAAGCATACCCCAAGCCGCTTTTGGTTATTGGTCGTGAGTCGATGAATCGTGCCTTCGATGGTGATAAAGTTGTGCTAGAGATCCTTCCCAAATCTAAATGGCGCTCTCCACTAAACAATATTGCCGATGAAGAAAACGTTGATGCGAATATTGCTGCCGAAAACGACGATGGACAAGCTATTGTAACTGATGAAGAACGCTCCATTCTAGCAAAAGATGCTCTAAATGCCCAGCATCACGAAAAGGTGCAACCCACAGCTCGTGTGGTAGGTATTATGAAACGCAATTGGCGCTTCTACGTTGGCCAGGTTGCGCCTGAGAGTGTGAATGACAAGATTGATAGTGGCGCTTTGCGCAGTGTCTTTTTTGTACCGCTTGACAAGCGAATTCCGCGAATCCGGATTCGCAGTCGCAAACCACAGGCCCTTGTCGATCAGCGTATCGTTGTGGCGATTGACGACTGGCCAGTTTATTCCCGGAGCCCTCAGGGTCATTTCGTCAGAGCTCTCGGTGAGATTGAGAGTAAGAGTGCGGAAACAGAAGCAATTCTACTTGAGCATGACATCGAGTACCGCCCGTTCCCCAAGGCTGCTTTGGATTGTTTACCTCAGGAAGGTCACGATTGGAAGCCTGGTATGAACGATCCGCTGTTCGAGAAGCGTCGTGACTTGAGAGATCTGCTGATTTGCTCGATTGATCCTCCCCGGTGTCAAGATATTGACGATGCTCTCCACGCGAGAGAACTGCCCAACGGCAATTACCAAGTTGGTGTCCATATCGCTGATGTCACTCACTTTGTCAAAGCTTCCACACCATTAGATGCGGAAGGTGCGTTACGAGGTACTTCAACCTATTTGGTAGACAAGCGTATTGATATGTTACCGACCCTTTTGGGTACTGATTTGTGCTCCTTGCGCCCTGACGTTGAGCGCTATGCCTTCTCAGTTCTGTGGGAGCTTGATCAAAATGCTAACATTGTAAGTGTGGAGTTCACAAAGAGTCTGATCCGTTCGCGTTATGCGTTCGAGTACGAAGAGGCCCAGGCGCGTATCGATGATGCTTCGCAACAAGACGACCTTACAAAGGGGATGCGAGCGCTTCTAAAGCTTTCAAAGAAGCTCAAACAAAAGCGTCTTGACGCCGGTGCTTTGAACCTGTCTTCCCCCGAAGTCAAGGTCATGACCGATAGTGAAACATCCGATCCCAGCAGTGTCGAACTGAAGAATGTTGTGGATACAATGTCGTTGGTCGAAGAGTTCATGTTGCTCGCGAATATTACTGTTGCTCGCAAAATCTATGATGCATACCCCCAAACTGCCATGCTTCGTCGTCATGCTGCCCCACCTGCGACTAATTTTGATATTCTGAACGACCAACTTCGTCTGAGAGGCCAACCTCAGATCGACTTGGAATCCTCAAAAACTTTGGCCGACAGCTTGGACAGAATTCAGGATCCCAACGATCCTTACTTTAATACCCTTGTGCGCATCATGGCAACAAGGTGTATGATGGCTGCCGAATACTTTGCCGCTGGTAACTTTGCTCAACCTGAATTCCGTCATTATGGTCTCGCATCTGAAATTTATACTCATTTCACGTCCCCCATTCGACGCTATGCTGATATTGTTGCCCATAGACAGCTTGCTGGAGCAATTGGCTATGAAAGTTTGCATGCCTCTCACTATATGAAAAATAAGCTGGATGGTATTTGTGATAACATCAACATGCGGCATCGTAACGCACAGCTGGCTGGCAGAGCATCTATTGAATACTATGTTGGTCAGATGCTCAAAGACAACGAGTCGTTGCAAGAAGGATATGTGATTCGCGTTTTCTCCAACGGCTTCGGTGTTCTAGTCCCGCGCTTCGGTCTCGAGAGCGTAGTCTATCTCCAAGACATCTGCAACCCTGACGAAGCAGAACTGGATGAAGATACTTACACCTTGAAAATTATGCAGGATGGCAAGTCTCGCTCCATCACCGTATTTGACACTATCAAGGTGTTTGTAAAATCCGTCAAGGACAATAAAGGTAAACGCCAAGTCAAGATGCTGCTTGGTTAAATGTACTATCTATATATTAAACAGCCACTTAATGCTTAGCTACAACACCTGCGCCGCTTGCCTTGCTGAGAATGTGCTTTTTGTAATCTTCAATGCTTCCATGGCTGGGTGCGACATGGCCATCTTCGGAAATCCAGATCTCTTTGCAGACGCGTTTGATAGTAGTCACATCGTGTGATACCATGAGAATGCCACCCTTGAAGTTTTTGAGAGCATCTGCCAACGCATCTAAACCAGCGATATCCAAATGATTTGAAGGCTCGTCAAGAATAAGAATATGAGGGTTGGACAAACTGAGGCAGGCGAAGGCCACACGAGACTTTTGACCTCCTGACATGAGAGCCAGCTTTTGCAAACCCAAAGTTCCGGTGATGCCGAATGCACCAAGGAGACGACGGTACTCTTCATCGCTCTTGCCTGGCTTGACCTTGGCCATCCATTCAATGGCACTCATGGACAAATCCATACCATCGACATGGTGCTGGGCAAAGTAGCCGATGCGAAGACGAGGGTGTCTTGAAACGTTACCTTCTTGAGGGCTAAGCTGTCCCATCAACAATTTGAGAAGCGTTGTTTTACCACAACCGTTACCACCAACCAGAGCGATACGTGAGTCCAATCCTACAGACAAGTCGACCTTTTCCAGCAGCTTTCGAGACTCGCTGTATCCAAAAGAAACATCCTGAAGTTGTAGGATGGGAGGCGAGATCGGATCGGGATCGGGGAACTTGAAACTGGTCGCCGTCTCCTCTTCAGGCTCTTCAAGAACAGGCAGCTTTTCCAATTTCTTGATTCGTGATTGTGCTTCAGCGGCCCTAGCAGCATTGTATCTGAACTTGTCGATAAAGGTTTGCAAATGCTTGCGATAAGCCATCTGGTTCTCATATTCACGCTTGGCATTCTTGAAACGCTCTTCTTTGGTAGCATAGAACGAATCAAAGTCAGCACCACGGTAGTAATCGAGACGTTCGTTATGCTGATGGATGATGTCAGTAGCAACATCATTAAGGAAGGTACGATCGTGCGAAACGACGAGAACAGTAGAAGGATATGACAGCAAATAGTTGGACAAGAAGGTGATTGAAGGAAGATCCAACATATTAGAGGGCTCATCAAGCATAAGCAGGTCTGGTTTACAGAAAAGTGCTCGAGCAAGCGCCAGACGCATACGCCAACCACCAGAGAATGTTTTACTGGCCTGATGTTGGGCCTCAGTAGAGAATCCTAGACCACTAAGAATTTCAGACGCACGAGACTCGGCCTTGTCACTTTCAATTTCTGAGAGCTTGTCGAAAATATCGTTGAGGTTTGTTTCAAGGTCGTCAGCTTCTTCATCCAGCTGTTTCTGCAGCGGGTCGGTCTCAGAAAGCTCCTCTTTCTCCTCACCAATTTTAGCCAAGCGGTCCTGGATACGCTGCTGGTCTTTGAGAAGGTACTTGCGCCAAACATCGGCGTCCAGGACCGTCTGGAGAGCAGTGGTGTCGTCACCGGTCACTTCCTGCTCCACGTAGAGAATAGTGATATGCTTCGGAACCGCGAGTTCACGGCGGGACAGTGCTTTCAAAAGAGTACTCTTACCAATACCGTTGGCACCCACAAGACCGTAACGATGACCATAAGACAGCGTAAGGTTTGTGTCTGACAAAATACGCTTACCTTGGCCAACCCAGAGATCAATGTTCTCAATCTTGATATCCTTAGTCTTACCAGGAGACGGTCCAAGCTCAAGAGGATTGACGGTGAGGAAGAACTCATCATACGATTTTTCGTCATTCTGAGACAGGAGTTTGGACTGCTCATATTCCAATTCTTTCATGAAACCCTTTTCGCGTTTGGCAATCTTGGCAGCAATCTTCTTTTCGGCCTTTTCAAGCTTCTTACGGTCCACACGCGACTCCACTTTACGATTACTGCTCAACAAGTCCAGATCAAGAGGGTTATCCATCAGATTCATGTTCATGGTATTATTCTTCTGGGCGCTCAAAAGAGTGTCTCTATCGAGTTTTCTTGCGGAAGAATTGCCATAGGTACGGTTAACGTTGTTTTCATAGATGGGCAACAGGTAGTCGCGCATTTCGTCCGCCAGTTTGGCGATAGCCTGGTTGTCTCCACCGGCAGACACCAACAGCTGGCTTAGAAAGCGGAGCTCCTCGTTGAGATCAAGATTCTGAGCTAGAGACGGGTCGCTTGCACTTTTCTCAACATACTTGGCGTATCCAACCGCGTAATCCGAGACCACTCCGTCCACAACGGGAGCAGCTCTGTGGATTTCACGAGAAAACTGCATAGTAAGCTGGGAAAAAAACTGAAGAGGCCGGCTAGAAACGAGCGGAAGCTAGACTTTAGGGGTTATACACTTGCCGTTGCTGTCGACGACCAAGTCACCGTTTTCCTTGCGGAATTCGCCCTTTTGTGGGTTGGGCAGAATTTCGAGGACGCGTTCGGCTGGGCGGCACAAGACTGCGCCTTTCGAAGTCACAACTACTGGCCGCTCAATGAGGATTGGGTGCTCAACCATATAGTCAATTAGCTGGTTGTCGGTGAATTTATCCTCCCTCAATCCCAGTGAAACGTAGGGGTCAGCCTTAGTGCGCAGGAGCCCCCGGGGGCTTATCTGCATCTTAGCCAGTAGCTCCTGGAGCTGGGCTTTGGTTGGCGGTGCTTCTAAATAAAGGATGATAGCCGGTTCCTCTCCGGTATTTCTGATCATGGCCAGCGTGTTGCGGGACGTGCTGCATTTTGGGTTGTGATAAATTGTAGTCATGATGATGTGAGATTCCCGCTCAGACCCGATCACACATCTATATAGGATTGTTGGCTCAATTGCAGGCCTGCTTTGCTCACATCTATTTATTATATACTTTTTCTGTTCAGAGCACAAATTACCTGTTCAACCCTCCGCCTTTCGAGCCGCCGGATTCATGTGGGGTGCTTGAACCCCGATTAGGTCATCTGCTCTTGACTATCTAAACTCCCCATCAGCAATGGCCATGGAAATGGCGTATCCAAACTGGACGGCGGATGTGCCTGATATGTACCAGGTTTACGGAAACAGCGGGAATACCAGCGAGATGCCAGTGATCAACGTGTGGAGCTGGAACCTGGGTCAGCAAATGGCTGTGCTGCGACAGCTGGTGAATCAGTACCGATACATATCGGTCGACTGCAAGTTCCCAGGCCTGATCTCCCGTCCCGTGGGCACTTTTCATTCCACAAGTGAGTACCACTTTCAAACGCTGCGCACGAACGTCGATATGGTAGACGTTATCCAGATTGGACTTACTCTTACCGATGCCGTAGGCAATGTTGCTCCTGGAAGCCCGGGCACATGGCAGTTCAACTTTAAATTTAATGCTCAGCAGGACATGTGTTCTGCTGAAAGCCTCGAAGTGCTGGGTCAGAGCGGATTCGAGTTCCAAAAACATGAACAGGAAGGTATTGATGTGTTTGCTTTCGCGGAGCTCTTACTGGACTCTGGGCTGGTTCTCAACGACCAAATCACCTGGATTTCGTTCCATGCTGGCTACGATCTGGGCTACATTGTGTCTGCAATGCTCAACAAGAACATCCCCGTCGAACGCTCGTTGTATCTGTCGCTAGTGGGTCTCTACTTTCCCAACGTGTTTGACGTGAAAACGCTGATCAAAAAATACAAGCTCAGCGACAAAAACGGGTTGCACGACGTAATCCAAGAGTTTGGTATTTATCGCGGGTCGTCTTACTGCCTCGCCGGGGCAGACTCACGTCTCGTTGCCTTGTGTTATTTCGAAGTGGTTCGACTGATTGGAGAAAACAACGCCCGTGCCGTCAAAAACTGTATCTTTGGTCTTCAAGATGACAAAAAAGATGAAGACGACATATATAATCGCTATTTCCATCGATGAGTCTCCGGGATGCGTTCGTTGCCGGCAATGAACCAACCTCGGATACGTAGACCTTAACTTCTCTGCCGTTATTTAAGTACCTCGTTCAAGCTTTCATTTGGGCTAAACACTGTATTAATGCATCTGCTTCCCCGTCGTTTCTCCCCGCCTGCGGGCAGGATCTTTCCATGCAGCCTCACCGGGCCAGCAGCCCAACTAGGCGGCACAGATAGCGAGCTGCTGCAGCCCCGGCCGTGCGATTCGAGCCAAAATGGGCCCGATGTAGGCATAGTCACCGGCCTACTCCCGCACGAGCTGCTTTTCCAGCAGCGTTTGTTCATAAATTTAGTCTACACATGTTTGCGTCTACCGCAATTGCACTGCAAATCGCGCCGCAAGCGCGAAATTAAGGCGCTCTTTGTCCTGCCCAAAAGGGTTTGGCTTGCGTAAGCGGCCACTGAACTTTGTAAATTACCATCGACCAGCCTGGCCCCACCGGAGCCTTTGATTCTGTGATCCAATTCAAAGCGCCTCGATTCTGAAACCAACGCTCGGTGCATACTCTTTTTGTGGCTTCGTTCGTGGCTCGCCAGTGCCCAGCCAGCTTTCATTTTCTTCGAACGTCCGCTCTTAAGCCCCAACCAAACCGCCGTCTGGCCGCACCTGAATCCTTAGCGCATCCCCAAAGCAATGTCGCTGCCGGTATCTGCCCCGCCTTTCTGTGCCAGTCAAGCGGAGGACTCCCAATTTACATCCCCAGACCGGGACCGTGCTGATTTAAATGGCAGCGTAAAGGGGCCGATGTTTGCGCCTTCTAGGCGCACGAGCTCGTTGCATTCTAGATCACTTTCTCAGCCCACCGATGCATTAGGTATACAACGTCTGGATCAGCGGAGAGATTCTGAAACAAGTCATTGTCGGACTTCTTCGAGCCCTTCCTGTCAAACGTTTGCCCATGATTCTTCGCCCAAAATCCCCGAGCTCTCTCCAAAACGCCTGTCTAGGCAATTCAATGCATCCTTGTATTCGGAAAGCGTCGATAGTCCTCGTCTCAGCATGGACTTCAATCGCCCCACGCCTCCTCTTCAAAGTCCCAGCCGAGCTAGCGCCAGACACTCTAGAACATTGTCGAGCAGCTCTAGTACCAGTGTTTCTCGCATTCTGAATGGAAGCGAGCTCAGCACAAGTAGAAGTCATTCACGTCAGTTGTCTTCAGTTTCACTACATTCGAATTCGTCTGATCTCCGCCGCCCTTCCCAAGAGCTGTTCGCACGCTCGTTGCAACCACGGCAGTACAACTTCCCTGAGAATTATGAATCACCTCCTCTGTCTGAGTCCTTCCACAAAGAATCCACTCCTGAGGAGCAAAATACCTACCATGCAGATGTGCGAAAACCACCCCCTATGGTTTCCAAGAGACAATATAGACACAGCCAAGCATTACCGAAGCAAAATGTACCAGGAAGTCCTCTCCGTGAGCAAGCCCCGCAGATGACCAGCGTATGGCTTGATGACGATTTTTCAAAATTAAATCGCAGTAAATCAAGCGCTACGAAACCACGCTCTGCGCCGCCCCAAGTTCACCGGAAACACGCATCTGTCAGTGAAAGCCCTCGAACTCCAATGAGTCCCAGCACATCAAGAAGTCAAAGCAAAGTATTTGCTCCGTCAGACGCTGCAACTCGGTTAGCAGCTGCGACCTCCATCAACGCCCCCTCGCCAGTGGAGCAGTCGCCGAAATCCCGTACACCAAGGTCTTTGCGGCGTCTTATCGGCAGTTTATCTCCGCTCCGTTTCAGTCCAAGGAAATCTGCATCCCCACAGTCTCAAGCACCGCCTCAAGCAGCACCGCCTCAGCCTGAAAAAACCAAAAGAAAACCCAACAAAGCACCTACGCCTCCGGTCGCCTCACCTGAGGCCGCACGGTCGCCAAAGAGTTTACAGTCTGCGATCGACTTCAACGGAGCTCACAAGAACCTTTCGCGGCCTCGTCCGAGTTCGATGGTATTCCCACCGACCAGGCCTGGTTTAGCTAGTCCAGCTGGCCCGAATAGGCCTGCCAGGCCGTCCCCCAACGAGCTGCTTGATGCTACCGACATGCGTCGTCTATCAACGGATTTCAATCGTCGATCCATTGTGTACTCGCCTGTGATACCCCAATCTCCCACATTCATGACCTCTCCTCAAATCGGATCCACATCGTCTCCCAAAATGGCTGGGGTTGATCGACGATGCATGTCGGCAGTGTCAACGTTGAGCAATGGCTCAGACCCGTCTACCCATTCAGGATCCCGGACATCGCTTCTTGTAGATGGAAACTTAGCATCAAGGTCGCCGAGAATTGCTCACCCTACTGACCAGGATGGACTACGCATTCGTAATGATCCAGAAAAGCTGCATCATCAGGATCCCCGGCCAGTCTCCGAGTCCGCCGAAACTTGGATTTAGATATCTTATTCGATACATATATATATATACGTACCTTTCTATGGAGAACCAACCTGCCAGTGTGCAGACACCCTTGCCCAGCTGACTATGTCTGATCGATTGAGCCAGCTCCAGACGTGTTTTGACCAGCTGGTAACCCAGTTCTTTTCGTCGCTCAACTACATTAATCAACATCATGAGTTTGTTCCTGCTGACGGCCAGCAGCCTGTGAGCGACACAGCGCACCAAGCTCTTCCCAAGCAGCAGTTCACCAAAGACCTCGAAGAGCTGGCCAAAGATATGGCGATGAAAGCCAAGCAGATCGAGGTTTTAATAGATAGCTTGCCAGGAATTGACACTTCAGAAAAGCTGCAGATGGAGTCTTTGGCAAGTTTGGAAGAAGAGCTTCTGCAAGTGCACCAAGAACGGCAGGAGGCTATCGACGAGCGAAGACGGCTGCTTGGATTGTGCGATGACCTTATTCTACGCATAACCAAAGACAAAGTCGAACTGGAGCTCGATGAGAATGCATAATTAGACACTATAGGCATGTGTATATATATTAGTCCAAGTCTTTCAGGGCGGTTTCCACTCTGCGTATGGCTTGTAGTGAGTTGTGACATGTAACGGCATTTTCAAGCGCTTTTTGGAACGCCTGTTGTGCTTTTTTCAATGATTGAGGGCTAAACGCGCCCCCGAACATTGCCAGAGGATCAAAATCCTTCGAGAACTGTAGCTTACCGTTGGCTACTGTGATGGTTGGTTTCATGTTCATATCGTAATTGTGTTGACCAATGGGTCGATCAAGTTTGGCTTGTGAAAGGCAAATAAACCCTTCGCTCCAATCACGTCCGGCTTCTTCAGCTTCCAGTTTGTACGCGGCCATATTCTCAAGGTACTCTTCTACGAGTTCATCCTTGGTCGAGCCCATGTTAGTCACAAGCCTAGCAGATCGTAGCGAGTAACTGCAAATACATTCATATATTCACTAGTGCTGTTTCACTAGTGCTATTTAGAAGCAAACTGTGAAAACGTTAGATTAGAGCTCTCAAGACGCTAATTCAGAATCATGTCCATCCTACCACTACTATTTATCTTGTGCAACATGTTTACCTCGCACAACTACGATTGAGGAACCATGCCACTCTACCTCACAATTAAAGCTATTACGGTATCTCCTGATTCCCACGTAAAGGCTATTTCCAATCAAGAATTCCAACAATTTGAAAGGGAAATAATGTTCACCCAAGGTCCAACGGGATTTGAGGCCCCGGACTCGCACGTTTTGGGGCATAGCCAGGAGTATGCACTCCAGGAGTCGAGCCAAACGACACAATTCCTCAAATCAGAGCTGGACTCATTCGAATCATGCAATTCGCCGCCAACCCAGTACTCTTTGGGTGAATAATGTGCCCTGACGTACTATGGTGAAACGACAGCCCAATGGCTCTGCACCCAGCACGTTCTTGGGGATTTGGACGGGATATAAAAGGAAAATATACAACTAGAAATGGTATTTAACTGCGTTTACCGAAAAAACCCCGACTCGAACGATCCAAGCACGTCGCCCCGGATTAGGGCTTATTAGGGCTACGCAGCTAGGGCTTCACAGTCACGCGGGTGATATTAAAGCACAAACGCACTATCATTCAACACCAATCTCAACATGAGAGCCAAGTGGAGAAAGAAGAGAGTTCGTCGTTTGAAGCGCAAGCGGCGGAAGGTCCGGGCCAGAAGCAAATAAGCGCTCGGACTGCGCATGCACTTCAACTCTCATAAGTGATGTCTAACCTTTACTTGAAGGATACCAAGATGTTTCGATTCAAAGAGTGATCAAAGCTACCCCGTCTAGCTGGTACTGGTCGATTCCTTTATTGAGCTAGTCTATCAGCTAGACTCAGCTAGCTGTCAATATATTTAGTATATAGAAGTGCAAAATTTACCGACAAAAATAGGTTGCTGTCCCTAGCAGCTTTCCCCAGATAGAGGCCAAGGGGACAGACTACCTGTGTGTACTCTACCCGTAGGCCAGTCTGTGCGTATTCTACCAGTACCTGCACAGCAGGGCAAGCACATTTACAAAAGCATTACTCTCCAAGTTAGATAGGTTTGCCTCCCAAGTCGCGATGCAAGCCTATGCAGTGAAGTGCATGGGCTCTCCAACACAGTCATTGTTCGGTATCTCAGCAGCTGGCTTTGAAAACTGCTCGGGCCTGGAGGTCTCGTCTTGGCGGTTTTGCACCAGGCCAATCGCCAGCTGGTCGCCTAGATCATTGTCTTAACTACCCAACACCCTTGTCTATGTTCCCGTTATACCCCACAAGGTACTGATAAGTTCTATCTATCGGGCTTAGTGATCCTGCATGGTCAATAAAAGAAGGGCTAGAAAAGTTCGTGCGCCCTATAAGAGATATGTTGGCACTGGATTACCCACGGAGGACGGAGAACAAATAGATCATGACTCCAATGGTGAGTCTGAGGGCTTGGATGAACTAGAGCTGGCTGCAGGCATCGAATCAATAGATCTCATCGCCAGGATCGACGGCGTCCCGGAGGTTGCGTTAGGAGTGCCCGCCGAGGTGTTTAGAATTATAATGGATTATTCGTCAAATCATTGGCGGTTTCTCACGGTGAACTCGAAGTGGTTCGAGGAAGTTATCAAATTCGTGTACAAGAGACCCAAACTGTCCCCTCGTAACTTTGGCGAGTTTGTCACGGTTATTTCTGCCCACAGATCACTAGGCGCCTATGTTTGCGACCTTGATCTGACGCAGATTATCCAAACAGGCAAGAACAGCCTGACCGCGAGGCTCTTGACTCGCTGTTCGCCCCGATTAGAGCTGTTTATCGCGCCACAGAGCAATTTCGGCTACTCTCCCCTTCTTTCTCTGCGGCATTGCAAACGGCTGAGAACATTGGACCTGGGAATGGTGTCCGAGAAGGTCGATTTGCCCAAGCTCATCGCTGCTGTCGAAGAGTTTCAAGATCTGGAGGTCATGCGGTTCCCGCGGTCCTCGATCATGTGCGAATGCGACCACCTGGACTGGCCCCCCAATCTACGAACACTAGGCCTGGCTGGCGGGCTAACGGCTCAATTTCTGGAAAACACCGTCCTGCCCTCGACTGTGACCACTCTCGAGTTGTCAAACATCCCCACTGCTAGCACCACCTCTATCACCACCCTGCTAGCGCGAATCGGACCCCAGCTTAAAAGACTGGTTGTAATGTACCCACTGCAGGGGATCAGTGCCAATGCACTTGATACTGTGCTGTTGATGTGTCCCAATCTGAAATCATTGACGATAAGCGTTGATTATGTTTCGGACGAGCTTTTTGCATTTGTGCCTGAAAACCACCCGCTGGAAACCTTGAAACTACTATCTTCAGGCATGATCGGTCACTCTGATAAAATTCGGCCTCTCCATGTCACCGCCAGCCTCGACAGCCTTCCATTTCTCACCCGCGTTGGTGCCAGTCTCCAGCTAGGCTGGAACCCAAACAACGACGCGATTATCGAGCTGGCTTCTCAGCTCGAGGACAGAAATGGCGGCCTCTGGCTAATTTAATTCTTTGCTGCTGACGCGGCCCCTGACTGACGCCTAGGCACAGCATAGGCTTTAGACTCTGCTTCTGCAGGCAGGGCTTTGGCCTTGTCAGTGATATATTTATTTCGCTTGAACCAAACTTCAATCAACTTTTTGCATATAAGAATACACATTTATTGCACTATACTAAAATATTCCGCCCTACCACTCTCCATAAAACGCCCTTTTATTTCTCTTTTTTTTTAGCGCTGCGCGAAATTCGGTAAAAACCTGCGGGCCTCGCCCAATTTGTAAAATTGAAACTATGCATGTCGAGGGTAAGGGTTATCCCTAACTGCCACGCTCGCGTCCCCCAGAGTTCACGTCATGACATCTAAGGCCGCTCGAGCCGAAAAAAGGAAGCTGGCCAAGCCATTCCGGTCGACAACAGTTGATGCTGGCCTCGCGCAGGAGCGCAGTCTCTCATGGAAGGATCGTAAGATACTGTTCGTGGTGATGATTATTGCTTGCGTTGTTCGCCTGTACAAGCTCAACTGGCCTAACGCCGTTGTGTTCGACGAAGTCCACTTTGGTGGCTTTGCACGTAAATACATCATCGGCCGTATGTTTTTTGATGTGCACCCACCTCTGGCCAAGATGCTCTTTGCTGTTGTAGGCTGGCTGGGAGGCTACGATGGAGAGTTCACGTTCGAGAACATTGGCATGAGTTACGAGGGCCACACCGTCCCTTATGTGACCATGCGTCTTTTCCCTTCTCTTATGGGCCTCATGACCATTGGTCTCTGCTTTTCAACTCTCCGGGCTTCCGGTGTTCGCACTGGTATTGCAGGAATCGCTGCCCTGCTGCTCACGTTTGAAAACACCCACGCAACCGAGTCGCGTTACATTTTGCTCGACTCTCCTTTGCTGTTTTTCATTGCTCTCACGGCTTACAACTTCAAAAAGTTCGAGAACGAGGTGCCGTTCGGCAAGAATTGGTATCGCTACTTGTTTTTGACGGGCATTGGTCTCGCGACCACCGTCTCGTCAAAGTGGGTTGGCCTTTTCACCATCGCCTGGGTCGGTGTGCTCACCGTCTGGCAGTTGTGGTGGATCTTTGGCGATCTGTCCGTTCCCTTGTCTCGCTTCGCTAAGCAGTTTGCTTGGAGAGCTATTTGTCTCATTGCTGTGCCTATCGTGTTCTACATGGGTATGTTCTGGCTGCACTTCTTCTGTGTTGACAATGACGGTGCAGGTGCAGACTTTATGCCCCGCGAATTCCAAGCCCACCTCAAGCACAATTCTGTTCCCGCCAACATTCCTGCTGATGTGTACTTAGGATCCAAGATTAGCATTCGTCACCTCAATACTGCCGGTGGTTACCTGCACTCTCATCCTTACCTATATGAGACTGGCTCAAAGCAGCAGCAGATTACCCTGTACCCTCACATTGACGAGAACAACGTCTGGCTGGTTGAGAACTCCACAGAGGTCGATCTCACTACGAACCACCTCCTTAAGGATAACGATGTGATCAGATTATTCCACGTCGAGACTCAGCACCGTCTCCACTCTCACGACCACAGACCCCCTGTCACCACCCACGACTACCTCAATGAGGTTTCGGCTTACGGTTTTGAGGGATTCGAGGGTGATGCAAATGATAACTGGCGCATTAAGATCATTGACAAGCAGTCCGTCGGTGAGGGCAAGGACCATGTCCAGGCTATTCGCACTATCTTCCAGTTGGAGCACACCATGACTGGCTGCCTTCTGTACTCCAAGAAGTCCAAGCTTCCTGAGTGGGGCTTCAGCCAGCAGGAGGTTGCTTGTATCAAGAATGGCCGCCAGCCTAACACGCTTTGGTTTGTAGAGCAAAACGAGCTCCCTGCTTCTGTAGAAGCCAGTGAGCTTGTCTCGTACCCAAAGATGAGCTTCTTGTCCAAGTTCTTTGCTATGCAAGGAGCTATGTGGCGCGTCAACAAGGGTTTGACCGAGTCCCACCCTTGGGAGTCGCGTCCCGAGTCGTGGCCCATTCTGCGACGCGGTATTAACATGTGGGGCGCCTTCCACCGCCAGGTTTATCTCCTGGGCAACCTACCTATTTATTGGGGCATTGTCTTGTTAATTGTGCTCTACGTGTGTGTCAAGGTTGTTCAGATCATCAAGTGGCAGCGGGCCGATGGTACCCTTCTTGCCATTACCGGCCAGAAGCCAGAGGAGTCTGCAACTTGCAAAGACTGGGCGAAATTCGACGCCAACTTCGGTTCATACTTGTTGGGTTGGGCTTTGCACTATTTCCCGTCTTTCTTGATGGTTCGCCAATTGTTCCTCCATCACTATTTGGCAAGTGTCTACTTTGGTGTTCTCGCCATTGGGCAAGCCATGGAGCTCGTTGTCGCCGTCGTCAAGCCTGCTATGCTTGGCCGCGCTATTGTCGCTCTGTTCGCCGTTGCATCGATTGCTTGGTTCGCTTGGTACTCTCCTCTCATTTACGGTACCCCTTGGCTCCAGGATGTCTGTCACAAGTCCAAGTTCGCTGATATGGACTTTGATTGTTATACCTTCTTTGGAACCAAAGAGGAGTATACGGAGTACGATGCCACAGCATTCTTGCCAGAGGCCACTCCCTCGTCTGCTGGAGAGCCTGAGGATACCGATAGGGCCCCAGAGACGTTCCAGAATGATGGAGGAAATGCTGTTGGCCAGGACACTAGTGCTGAGCCTGAGCCTTCTGTCGAGACACTGATCAATGAAGAGCCACCTCAAGGCGAGATCATGTTCGAGAGTGATAACGGTCAAACTGCTGAAGAAGTGGTCGAAGAGGTTTACGAGCAAGATGTTTCCAACCAGGTAGAATAAAAGTTTCTATAAAAATTCTTTTGCGGTAATTACATTTGAACTTCGAAGATCTTAGGTTTGTCGCTGCCACCAAACTCCAGGTACGGTTTGTTTGGCATCATAGATTCCACCGTAAGCCCGCTCAGTGTTCCATGACTCTATGTAACAGGCCAGAGCGGTGGCGACCACCATCTCGAGGCTGTGAACTTCGGACTCATTAATGGCCAGGTCGAATCCGCGGCGATTGGGATGAAGACGTACCTGGCCAACTCTTTCTCGAACTTCAGCATCGCGTTGGCCTGCATTGAGGACGCGCTCTAAATATTGGCCTTTTGTGGTCCACTGGTAGCTGTAACCATCGCTTAGCTGGAAAGTGCGGTAGTTATCTATTGCATCGACCTTGTGCTCCATTACGTGCCAGCCTAATTCCAGCTCATCTCCAGATGCTGTCTTTAAAAGTAAAACATTGCTTCGTAGTCCCGCGCGCAAAGCTCCAATTGGCTTGTCGTCCCCACGCATGTACATTTTGTAGGCACCTTTGACGGCACGGGAGCGATTCATATTATAGAGCCTGTCTTCATAAGAATGGGGGGCATTGGGGTCTGAATTATCGAAAACACTAAATGTTTTCGACCCTGTGCCAAATTCTTTCCGGACAATGTAAGAATGCGTGTTGTCGAGAAGATTTTTGATAGTCGGTGTGTAGTTACTGTTACTTCGATGGACGCCCATCAAAGCAGATTGTGCCTGAACAATCGGCTTCATGATAGGACTTAAAAACAGTTCGATAGGCATAGTGGGTCAGATTTTTTGAATAAACAAAGTGCGTTGGTTTATATACACGATTTGCATGAAACAGCCCACGCGTAATGCGTCGCGGGCACTTTCCCTATAGGGTCGCATAAAATTCAAATAGTGGTTGGAAACAAGAGTTGGTTTCTTGCCTTTGAATTAGAATATAAAAAATATAAAATTAACAAGTGTCTTGCGGTAAAAAAAAAACCGCATGCCACCTAGCGGAATTGAACCGCTGACCTTTGCATTACAAGTGCAACGCTCTACCACTAAGCTAAGGAGGCCGAGTTGGTGAAAAAAAGCACATATCCTATATAAGCCCAGGTAGTAAACAAGCATACAATTTAGGTTCGAAATCAATTCAGAGATTCAATGGTCGACTGATAAATATCTGAAGCACAGATGAGACGTTAGAGCACCTTTTGTACAAACAGAGGTGACGTTATTTGAATTAATTTGCTTTATACACTGGGCGACTCAATGCTACTCAATTTCAGCAGCAGTGGCAGCAGCTTTACGCTCCTTGTGTGAGGGGCGTTCAACACGGCACCAAAGAGTGACCTGAGGATCAAAAATGAACTGAATCAACACCTTCGTCAAGGACATGTGGCAAGGCAGAGGGTCGTAGAACTCTGTAGCAATGCGACGAAGCTCCTTGATTCTCGTCCAAGGAATGAACGGGAAATCATGGTGTTCACTGTGGTATCCGGCATTGTAAAAGAAGATGTTGAGAGGGCCGTAGTAACTGTAAGTTTCGGGGTACAGCGTGTCGGGGCTCTTGACAGGGTGCTCAAATACGTAGTGCTCGGAAATGAAATGGCCAGCAAGGGGATGCAGAGATCCACTCAAGAAAGCGGACGCTAAAAGGTAGAAGAACGACATCCATCCACAGGTTTTGACCAAGATATAATCAGCAGCGAACTGGACGGCGATGTTCAGATAATGCACCCAAGTGAACTCCATAGGGACCAAGCAAGCTGGTCTGATAGCATAGAAGAACAGCTGGAACGTAGCAAAGAACGCCTTTCCTGCAATATTGGAGAGCACCAGGGCCTCGAGAGGAGTAGGCAGATCAGTGTCGTAGTCGGGCTCGCCCATATGCTTGTGGTGGAGCAAGTGGAAAGGTCCGAAGCTTGCAGAATAAGGAATTCCGACGGGCAAGTTGGCCACGATGCTAAAGAGGCGATTCGGGAGGGGCTTTTTGAAGCCCAAGTTGTGGGAGAATTCGTGGATGGCCAAAAACACATTCGAGCAACACGTAGCGCCAATAATATAGGCTGTTAGCCAGAACTTCCAGTCACTAAAGCTCGAATTTCTCAATAAATAAGCACAGGTGAACTGTAAAGTGACGACCCCGAGGACAACCCATTTGGTGAGCGGTTCGTGTCCATTCAGCTTTGTGACCTCCGGATGAGCAGCAATAATTTGCATACGACGAGTTCTATGCGGCTCTTCACGGTATGTCAAATAATACCGGGGATCAAGCTTTTCAGCTGTCGACAATGGCGATTTTTCAGCTACGACCATGTTGCAAGATGGAAAATATGCGAGCGCTGACAAACTTTATCAGGTGAAAGATCTGAAAAGTGGCACCACTGGTGGGACGCGTCTGAGGTCGCACACTAAACCTGAAAGGTGTGTTCAATTCAATCAAATTGACTCTTTACAGGCAGACTACAAGCTGCCAGTATAACGGAATAAAGTGGACAACAGCGGTGACCTCGGGAGCGACGCAGGGCAGGTATGAGCAGCCTCGTATCCGTGCGGCGAAGTAACCGCTGCTTCGCATTTTATACGATCTGGAACGGTCTATTTGTGAACACACTGAGCAGATCACTAAATTACTCTTGGGCGATTACCAGAGCGGCTCCAGCTGGCTAGGGTAGGGGCTGGGCTGGCCAAGATCAAATGCAGATAAACTCCAGATTAGCATACACAGACAGCTTGGCTGAGAGATTTGGGCGTGCAGCTATACAGCAATTGGCGTTCGAATTGATAAATGCCTTGAGGTACGGGCAAGACACAGAACGACAGGCCATCCTCCTGAGACCCGAGCAACACCCGCACTACCCCAGGCCGTCAGTGCTCCTGGTGAAACGGAAACCGAGCACATAAACACGGATCGTTGCTAAATTGATCACATCTATCGTCTCGGCACCCGAATCGGCATGTTGGACCGGAAACCTCCTCAACTGCGGGGAATCACCCAACCCTAGAATAAACGCTGACCAAGTAGAAATACTCACATTCTAACCTAATGCTGAGGAGGAACTTGCGGATGCCGTTACGCGCAAAGATCGACCCGACACGTTTGAACATCAACGCACGCATGAACCACACTTCCAGCTCTTACGAGGAGGGCTCGCCGGACGAGGTTCTTGTGCGATCCAATGGTGCGGTGCGCGAGTTCATTTTGAACCGTCCCAAAAAGCTCAACGCTATCAACCACAATATGTGCACCTTAATGGCCCCTCGTCTTTTGGAGTACGCCAAGAGCGACTCGGCTAACATTATCGTGGTGAAGGGCGCTGGCGGCAAGGCCTTTTCGGCCGGTGGTGATGTCACTGCCCTGGCTCTTATGTTCCGGGAGCAGGGGGCTGAAGTTGGCGAAAAGAACTGCTCTCGCTACTTCCAGACCGAGTTTGCTTTGGATCATCTAATTGCTACTTATGCCAAGCCATATGTTGCCCTCATTGACGGTATTACCATGGGTGGTGGTGTTGGCCTGAGTGCCCATGCTCCTTTTGTAGTGGCTACTGAAAAGACCCTGTGGGCTATGCCTGAGACCACCATTGGTTACTACCCCGATGTCGGTGGTCTGTTCCGTCTCAGCCGCATGGACGGCCAGCTTGGTCTGTACCTGGGTATGACTTCCGATCGCCTCAAGGGCTACGATGTGTACCGGGCAGGCGTCGCAACCCATTTCGTCCCCAGCGAACGTGTGCCTGAGATTGAGAAGCGTTTGAGCGAGCTCAGACCTTCTGATGGCGATGCCACTTCCGACGAGTACTTTAGTCTCGTCAATCGTGCCATTGAGGAGTTTGCCGCTGATGCCCCCGCCAACCACAAACCCACCCTCTCCGATGCGGATCGTGACGTTATTGACTCTTGCTTCAAGTTCGACACTGTCGAGGAGATCATTGCTGCCCTGGAAGCTGAGGGATCGGCATTCGCTCTCAAGACCAAGGCCACCTTGCTTGACCGCTGCCCTCACTCCCTCAAGGTCACTTTGGCCGGTTTCCGCAAAGCCAAGTCTCTAGACATCAAGTCTGTTTTCGCTCTTGAGCAGCACATCGCCGATGGTGTGTGTGGCCGCAATGATTTCGCCGAGGGTGTCATCGCCTTGTTGGTCGACAAGCGTAAGCCTGTCTGGGAGCCCGCCTCCTTGGAGCAGATCAGTGCCAGCGACATTGCCAAAATCTTCGCGCCCCGCAAGCCCGATTGGACCCCCATGAAGTTCCACACCGACCGCACCTACATGCAGTACCCTCACAAGTTCGGCTTGCCCACTGAGGAGGAGATCATGCTTTTTGTCACCGGCGAGACCTCTTCTTCCGAGACAAAGGCTACCCGTGATGATGTTGTCAAGCATTTCGAAAAGACTCATGGCAACAAGGTTGGCCTTGTCAGCCACATCGAGCATGTCCTCGCCCGCAAAACTAAAGCCGACCCCCAGCATCCTACCCTTCTTGACTGGACTTACTAGACTGTAGGATATCGTGAGTTAAAAAGTGATGTTTTCTTCCCCCACATCGCATGTAGTACATAGGGTTGTAGACTCCCAACTACGGTTTGTCAACATAATGCCTATTTACAAGGACGAGTGTGTATATACGTTTGACACGCCTGAATCGCAGCATGGGCTTGATGTTTGTGTTCAATGTGGCATTGCTGTTTCGCCTGATCCGAGCCGTGACTTTTCCAAGGCGCATTTCAACGGTACAGGACACGGCAAGTTTGTAAATATCAAAAAGGTTCCTCGCCCTCGGGGTCCTAAGGCGGTAAAGCTGGCAGTTTCAGCAGAGGCGGAAGCGGATTTGTTTGAAACTGTGACTACCGCAAAGGACTTGGGCGGCGGATCAACCGATAGCCCGGAATGGCAGCAAGAGATTGACCGAGTTCTTGCGGCAGAGTCGTATGCCAAGCGTCAGGAAATCCAGGCGTGGGAACTCGATATCAAGCCTTGCAAGCATGTTGCAGCGCTGGATCAAGACGAAGGTGCGCGGCTAACTAGTGAGCAGCTTTCGAAATGTTCGAATTGCGATCTGACCTCTAACCTGTGGATGTGCTTGCAGTGCGGCAATTTGAATTGTGGGCGGCCCCAATTCGGCGGAGGTGGCGGAAACGGACACGCTTTAGCCCATTTTGAGGCTAGTCAACATCCACTTTCCGTCAAACTGGGATCGATTACTGCCGAGGGAAGTGTCGACATTTACTGCTACTTGTGCGACGAGGAAGTCAAAGATCCATCCATCGCAAGCCATCTAGCGCACTGGGGCATTGATATTGCGCAGCAGGAGAAAACTGAAAAAAGTCTGGCTGAGCTACAGCTCGAACAAAATGTTAAATGGGATTTCGCAATGTCCTCTGACGGCAAAGAGCTGGAACCTGTTATGGGTCCCGGGTTAACTGGTCTACGGAATCTCGGTAACACATGCTATCTTAATAGCGTTGTTCAATGTCTATTTGCATTGCCTATGTTTCAAGCTGCATTCCCTGCCAACACCCCAGATAACACGAGCTCAGCCGATCCTGCCAACGATTTGTTGATTCAGTTGCGGAAAATGCAGGATGGCCTGAACAGCGGTCACTATGCTGTCAAGGATTTCCATTCCGAAGATGGTTACCAACGGGGATTTGCACCCGCAATGTTCAAGTACTTGATCGGCAAAAATCATCCCGAATTTGCAGGCATGGGGCAGCAGGACGCATTCGAGTTTTTAAGCTACCTTGTGGGAGAGATCCAGAAATTCGCTGCAAAATCGGGCACACTCGATCCGACAGAGTCCTTGCAATTTGAAACTGAAAACCGCTTAGAATGTACAGAATGTCACGCTGTTCGTTATAAGCTTGAAGGTCAGGAAAACCTATCTGTGGCTGTTCCTATTGAAGAAGCTGCTCCTGGCGAGTACAGACCTGTTCAACTAGCCGAATTGCTGGATTCCTTTACGTCCAAGCAAACTCTGGAGTATTCTTGCGCCACATGTAAAGTAGGCAAAACGGCCGAGTCAACCACCAAGTTCAAGTCCTTCCCAGAAGTTTTTGTTCTTAATGCCCGCCGATTCCAAATTGTCGACTGGGTGCCTCGTAAGGCGGATGTTCCTGTCATTGTCGATTCTTCCATGTCTCTGGACAAGTATCTGTCCAAGGGCCCCCAAGAGGACGAAAACGTTGTAGTTGACGAAGAGGCTGAATTTGTGCCTAATCAGGACGCACTCCAGCAATTGGTAGCCATGGGATTCCCCGAGAGCCAAGCTACAGACGCATTAAAAAACACTGGAAATTCAAGCGCAGAGTTAGCCATGGAGTTCATGTTCAACCCCCCCGCCGAACCATCCACTGGCGATATCGATGATGTCAGCCGGCTTCACCTCGAGTCAATGGGGTTCACCACCGCGCAGGCCACCGCGGCGCTTCAGGCCAACACGTCAATCGAAGCAGCTGTCGAGTGGCTATTTGCCGGGAATGGGGAGTCTATTACCGAAATTCCCGTGAAGGTGACGAAAAAATCCTGTGGAGATCCTTCTATTCCGGCGAATTATCAGCTGCGGGCCATCATATGTCATAAAGGCACTAGCGTGCATGTGGGCCATTACGTTGCATACGTTCGGCATGGGGATGAATGGTACTTGTTTAATGACGAGAAGGTTGTAAAGGGTGCTGAAATCGAAGAAATGCAGAAGTTTGCTTATATTTATGTTTTTGAAAGGCTGCGCTAATGATCGCCTTCCTTTCGCCCAGGTTTTGAGGCTAAGGTCCCCACTTATCGCAGCCGAGTGTTCTTGCAGGGTCCGACACGCGGTCCCGTCGCGTCCAGGGACCACAAATTGTGATACATCACAAAAAGTTATATTGATGGGACTAGATATATAAGTTGCCTGCTTCCCACCTAAATTTTCCATCCACAAACAACTCTCCGACAACAGAGACATTGAACACAGATCGACTACTACTTTATCGTTTCCATCGACCGAACTACCCCCTTTCTTCAAATCTTTTTTAAAAACAATGATGAACGCTACTAGTCGTTTTCCTTTTGCCAGTGAAACCATCTCCACCAACAATGTCAACTCGGGCCTGCGGCCCTATGACATGTTAGCACCGGGAACTTTTTCTTCGGGTCTAGGAATCAAGACCATTGACCATTCTAACAGTCGGAATAATTCCACTTCTTCTACTACTTCTTCCCCCTGGTTTACTCAAAACAACGTTGTGGCCCAACCGGTGCCCCAGATGCCCCAGCAACAACAACAACAACAACAACAACAACAACCGCCAGCCCAGCAGCAGTTTCGCCCCCAGCAGGGAGCTACTGCAATGCAGTGGGTTGGCCCGTCTGAAAATAGTAGCCCTAAATCATTGACAGACTCGAGTTCTGTGTATGATCTGTCTCAAAAGCTGGAGGAAAAAGAGGCAACCGTTCGTGAGCTGAAGTTGCAGGTCGAGGCACTCATGACGGCCATTGCGCTGGGGAAAACCTCGGAAGTTGGTTCTATGGACGGTGCCGAGCTTGTCCATCGGATGCTCACTCGGCTCAAGAGCCTGCGAAGTGAGAATGAAAGACTTATGGCTCTTGCTTCGCATAACCATGCTGCTCGCTTGGAGATTGAGCTTGATCTCCTCAAGCAGGAAAACTCAGCTCTCCGGAAGCAGCTGTCGCATTAAGCATATTTAGCATCTTAACTCTCCACGAAATGATTTTCAATCTTGTGAAATCGTGACTTTTCCTTTTTTCTTTCTATTTCAAGACATAATTAGTGGCTGCGGCGGTCCTTAGCAGCCTGAGCGAGTTCTCGAAGGCATTTTTCAGTGGTTTCCCAATCAATACAAGCGTCGGTAATAGATTGACCATAAACCACGGGATCGTTTTGGCGTCCGGCAACCAGATTGGACTCGATCATCACACCGCAGATAGCTTTTTGGCCACCGGCAACTTGCTCAACCACAGCATCAACAACTTTAGGCTGGTTATTGTGATTTTTAAGTGAGTTTCCGTGGGAGCAGTCAATCATAATGCGGGCGCTACCTTCTTTTGCGACACCGCTCTTGAGAAGCTTGGCCCAAGCATCGTTAACACTGTCCTTGTCATAGTTTGTGCCATTTTTGCCACCGCGAAGAATAGCAAAGGTATCTTGGTTACCATTGGTACCTACAATAGCAACATTACCTGGTTTTGTGACGGACAAAAAGTGGTGAGGGTGGGCAGCGGAGCCCATCGCATCGATGGCAACTTGTAGGCCGCCGTCAGTGCCGTTTTTGAAACCAACAGGGAAAGACAGACCCGAAGCAAGCTCACGGTGAAGTTGACACTCAGTGGTGCGGGCACCAATAGCGCCTAAGCTGAACAAGTCACTCAGGAACTGCGGAGAAATCGTGTCGAGCATTTCACCAGCGATCGGCAACATGGAAGTCAGTTTGACGAACAGCTCACGGGCAATACGAAGACCCTTGTTGATTTTGAAAGATCCGTCGATATCAGGGTCATTGATAAGCCCTTTCCATCCAACAGTGGTCCGGGGCTTTTCGAGGTACGCCCGCATAATGATGAGTAGGTCGCCTTTGAGCTCCTCATTGAGCTTTGCCAGCTTCTCACAGTACTCAACAGCAGCCTTGGGGTCGTGGATAGAGCATGGGCCGACAACAACCAGCAAACGGTCATCTGTGCCGTTAAGAACTGCAGTGGCCGCCTCGCGGCCCTCGATGATTTTCTCGTAGGACTTGGTGGTGAGGGGAATTTCACTCTGAAGAAGATCAGGGGCAATCAGAGGCGAGTACCCACGGACACGCCAGTCCTCTGTTTGTGTACGGTCTCCAATTTTTTGATTGATTTGATGAAGTGGACTCATGATGGAAGTTGCAATGACTCAGAGTGTTGCCGTTGATGAAGATATTCATGTGTGCCTTATGCATGAAGAGTATGCAATACGTCATGTTGTTTATGCCTGGGCGAAACAAGTAGTAGAGCTTGGGTTTCCGGCGTACTCGGTCAGTTTTGATACTTTTGAGCATATTACCATTTTCGCTCGTTTTCAGCTCCTAAACTGCCGTATTTGCCCAAAGCTGGATCTTGCCCCGATATCGCTTATTCTAGCGCATTCGCAAGTGGTGGATGAAAAAACCACCCACTTTCTTTGGTCACGTGATTTGTTTATCCGGGCAGGGCTGAATTTTCTGATTTTCTGCATAGAAACCAAAATAAATATAACTTATACATTATGATCTTCGTGTCAAATGATCGCCAATAAATCTCATAGCTTCCGCCTCTTCGGGATGGCTCATTTCAATTAGCTGTCGTTTGGCTTCAGCAAGGAGCTGATCATTAAAGGTTGGGCCTGTGGGATCACCAATAACAGTTTCATTTGTCGAGTCCTCGCTCAATTCTGGAACAGGATCTTCAGCTATGAACGCATCCTGAGTGAGAGAATGTGTGGAGTGCATTCGAGGAATCCTTCGTTGCTTGAGCTTGAGCTCCGCAGGGGTTGAGATATTGCGGCTCATGGCTTTAGGTGTTCGGGTTTCGGGGGTCTTTTGAAGCCGCATCGGGCTAGAGTCTCGGCTCTCTCTAGTTTTAAGGTCTAATACCACTTTTGAAAGCTGTAAAAGAATGTCCTTCATGTCTTTAGACATGGTTTCAGATTCATTGGGCCTCTTAACCGCCAGTTCGTTCACAAGATCCTTCAACGATGAAAGTTCCGATCTAATTAACTCGAGGCATTTGTGTGCGAAGTCCTCCTGGAGTGGTGTTTCGGGTGCCTTTGGTGCTGCTGAAGTCACAGCAACCGTGGGGCTTGTGGGCGGCATGGCTACCGAAGGTGTCTGATTTTCTGGAGCCGTCGGAGCCGTAGTAACCGCAGGAACTGTAGGCACCGTAGGAACAGTAGGAACCGTAGCAGCTGCTGAAGCCACAGGATACACAAATTCTACAGGGCCCACAGGGAAAGCTGGCGATTGCTGAACCGCAGACGTTGGAGCACTCGAGACTCGACGGATTTCGCCAACATTGGCTTTGAGCTGACTGTATTCTGTGGAAAGCGACTCGAACTTTGACAACTTCTTATCCAAGCGCTTTTTCACTTGTTTCAGCTTTTGTTCAACTTCCAATACCTCGATTTTCTTTTGTTCAAGCTCGTCTTGGGGTTCTTTTTCATGAAGAGTAACCGAAGCATCTGAAGTTGCTGGACGAGAAGACGTAAACACCTTTTCCATAAAACCAATTTGATTCTCCAAATCAAATGCACGTTTCTCAGCATTCTCCGCTCGTTTCTTTAGCTCCTCCTCGAGATCCTGACTGGTTCTCATTTGAGACTCAAGACCCTCGATTTGGCTCCTAAGAACAGAGATGAGCTCGTTTGCTCCGTGAAGTTGAGTTTTAAGCTCTTCTATTGTACTGTTGGCAGTCTGAGCTTGCTTTTCAAGGTTTTCGATATAACCCTTCTGCGTTGATGTGACTTCACATGCCTTCTTCGCACTCTCATGGGACTCCACTGCTGCCTTTTTATAATACGCCTTCCGCTCAAGTGCATAGGCTAATTCTTGCTCTAGCTTGGCCTCCCGACTCTTGTACACCTTCAATTCAGCTCTCACGTCCAAGTTTTCCTGTGATAATCTGTTCAGTGTCTCCTCAAGGTCGCGGTTAGCGGATGGCTCCGGTGGGGTGGTAAAGTGCTTAAACGACGAGTTATCGCGTCCACTCCGAGACTTTGCCGCCCCGACGTTACGGATTCCATTGATTGATTGCCCTACAACTGCAGAAGGGCTGTCTGAGAAATTGTCTCGTCCTTTTATAAGCTCCGCTAGACTGACCCGTGGACTGCTGTGCGGCCGTAGCTCAGGCGACAGAGTAAACCTTGTGCGTGAATTACTTTTGATTCCCAGTGCCGGCTCATCAGATAGATATAAACCACCGTCTGAGACGTCTGATCCAGCCATTTTGTGGTCGACGCGAATCATGAGGTAAACACTCGCTTAGCTCAGCATGCCTTTCGGCCGCGTGAACGACGCGTTGGAGGGCTGAGTTTAGGCGGTTGGTGGGGAATAGATAATTTTTAAAAGTCTTTTTTGATTAGATTTCTATCTTTTTTAAACAGTACCAGCGACGTGCTCGGAGCCAGACCGTGCGGCAACCTGCATCTTTAGATCCTTGGAAATAGTAACAACGATATCAGCTTTGCCGTTAGCAGTGATACCAAGCTGAGCAAGAGTCTTGCCGGGCTTGACAACTCTGCTGCGAACCTCATACTCCTCATCCTCGTCGTCACTCCAGTCACTCTCTTCGTCCTCGCCGGCAGCCTTTGGCTCGGGCTTGACGGTTTCGACCTTAATCTCACGCTCGATCTCGACAATCTCAATAAGAACATCACCTTCAGCAGGGATAGAGATAGTCTTACGGATAGGAATGAGTGTGTTGATAGCCAAAATCTCAGTAACACCCTCAGCGGTCTTGACACCAATAGGCTTGGCAAGATGGGGGCCGTTGGTGACAACAGGCTGCAAAGACTCGGCGATCTCCTCAGCATCGAAGTTGGAGACCAAAGAGGCCTGAATAGCAGCACCGCGAGCAATCAGCTCATCGGGATCGATGGCCTTAGTGTCGGTGTTTGGTGAGCGGATAACAGTGCGCTCAGAATCAAACAGACCGGAAACAACAGAGGAAACCTTGGGCACCCAAGAGGTACCACCAACAAGAAGAACCTCATCAACATCCAGAACATCAACATTGGCTTTGGCAACAAGGTGCTTGACAAAGTCGCCAATACGTGTGAACGCAGAGCGGCCAACCATCTCGAAACGAAGACGGTTAAGAGAGCCGCTGAAATCGAAACCAGAAGCAACACTCTCAATACCAAACTGGGTAGTCGTAGAGTTCGACAAAGTCTTCTTGATCAGCTCGGCCTCATGGGCAAGCTTGGCCATGGCGCGCTCCTCCTTGCGGGGATCGACCTTGTATTCTTTCTCAAACTCCTTGGCCAGGTGCTCGATGATGGCCTCATCAAGATCACGGCCGCCAAGCTCAAGATCATGCATGGTCGCCAGAATAGTAAAGATTCCACCGTTATAAGCAATGACGGCGCCGTCAGAACGAGTACCGCCAAAGTCAGCGACAACGAAAAGCTTGTTAGCATGTGCATCGATATCAGGACGAGAAACGTGGGCGAGGAGAGCAGCAGTGGGTTCGTTGATAACTTGCAAGGCAGGCAGGCCAGCTTTTTCAGCCAATTCGGCAACCAGCTTTCGCTGCTGCTCAGAGAAATTGGTGGGGACGGCAATCACACTGCCGTCAATCTCCTTGCCAATGTAGTCATTAGCAGCAGTGTGCAGTTGCTTGAGGTAGCGAACGACAATCTCATTCACACTGACGGTATGCTCGGACTCGCCGTCAACAACTTTGAAAGCAACGAGTTTCTCGCTATCTTCAACGGGATGGGCAGAACGGTGGTTGGCACTGACATCGATCTTGGCATAGCTATTGGCCAAAAAATCACGGAAGAAGGCAACAGTGTTTTTGGGGTTGCGAACCAACTGCTGCTTGGCCTGCGCACCATAGTACTCGTCGCCATGTGCGTAAGACAGCATAGTCGGGATTGCACGGTCACCGTCCTGGTTAGCAATAACCTCAAGGACACCATCCTTCATAATGGCAACCGACGAGGAAGTGTTACCGAAGCTTAAACCGATAATAGTCTTGGACATTTTTTTTTTTCGGCAGGTGGGTGGATTGATTTTTTTCATCAGGTAATCAAATTATACATGGTGAGAATACGGTTGATTGAGGGTGGTAACTTGGTCAAATGACTGCTTAAGAGCCAGGTTTGAGTCTGGAAAGGCATTTTTTTCTATAGAATTTATAGGTCCATAAATGCGTCTTAAAGAGCCTTTGCCTTTCCTGGTTACCTAACCATATGGAGTTCGACGCTTCGTTGAAAGGAGTTGTTGGCAAGATCCAACTGACTGCAAAGACAATCAATTGGCATCCGAATGAGGGCAGCGCTGTTGTTATAGATCTTGTGGGAGTAGCGGGCATGAAGGCTACTCCACCAACGGCGGCCAAAGCCCGGATCCAACTCCAGACCGCAGACACTAAATATGTATTCGACTTCAAATCGCGGCCAGAACTCGATTCTGCACGCGACAATCTCCAAAAGGCGATCAAAACGGCCAGAGATAGCTCGGAAGCGGCGTCGGCTACTCCTGAGACCACTGGAACCGCTGGAACAACCCCAAATCTCGAACCAGCTCCCCCTACAGCGCCAACGGCCCCCCCGAAGCCCAGAGCTGTCAAACGCAAAAGGATTGATTTGAATCCCAAAGTGCTTCTGGCTAATCTTGAGCTTCAAAGGGATATTCTAAAGAAAAACCGCGAGTTGATGCTGGTATTCCAAGAAGTTGTTGTCAAAGGAAGTTTGACGAACGACCAATTCTGGGAAATGCGCATGGAATTGCTACAAACTGCGGCTCTTGAAAATGGACAAGCAAGAGGCTCTTATAACGTATTGAGTACAATCAAGCCGACCACTACGAGCGATAACAAAATCAATCTGTCGCTTACCCGAGAAAAGATCCATGATCTCTTTGATCAGTATCCGATTGTTCGCAAGGCTTATAACGAAAACGTTCCACCATTATCTGAGGGTGCTTTCTGGCAAAGGTTTTTCCAATCCCGATTGTTTTTACAGCTTAGAGGAGAGCGGGTCTCTAATAACCACCCATATGATTCACTTATTGACAAGTATCTGGACATTCTGGAGGAACAGAGAATCAAAAGGCAACAAGCAGCCTCAATCAAAATCGATCACCAGGTACCCTTGTTTTTTGATGTTGCTGCCAATTCTGAGAATAATCCTGAAACGACCGGAAATGCCCCGGACCTGACTATGAAACCACAGTACTCTGATATGGAGGCCTCTAGGCTCATCAAATCAATGAATGTTTTGAGCAAGAGGCTCCTTCTTAATAAACGGGGACCTACCTCGACAGCAGATTCAGATATCCCTGATTTGACCAGTGAACTGCGACTGGCTGACCTTCAAGATGATAACAAACAAGGCGCCAGTGTGGATCTCCATATAACCGTTCCGAATCAAGTTGATCGTGAAATTATGATTTCCGAACAGGAGTTTGAGGCACAAACGCAGGCCTTGTTAGCAAATTTGGTCGCTCAGCCTATTGATCTGCGGGAAGTTGGCGATTCAACTGACGAACTGATAGCAGCCCAGCAGCAAATCCAGGACCTTGTGGCTCAACAGTCTCTACGGAATGAGAAATGCGACACAATCGAACTATCCGAGGAAGCTTATCTTTGTCACGCAGCAACTTTAGAGTTTCTCAGGCATTTTTGGCGAGCCCACGCCCGTAAAGAGTTGGTCGAGCCTTACGTCGAATCGTTACGCAAATCTCTTGACCGAATTGATGCTGTGGTGAACAACTCTGGTCCTCATATCCAAAACGAGACCAAGGTGGCGCTGGCGCCTCTTGTTAAGTCCGTGCATAGAGCATTAGCTGTGAGTGGAACTGGACCATAGGAGCTGGTTTTTGTAAATCTCGTTATAGAGAAATAGAATCTCGATCAATGAATGAATATGCCGCATTTCTTGAGCTAGTGCGTAGAGTTTAGGCTGAGACTTGTCAATGACGTTGGCGTGCGCCCACTGTGCTACCTGACTTCGAAGATGATCTTGAGTTTCTCTGAAATGGCGCAACTCATTTTCAGAGGGCCAGTAATCATTTCGCGATATTCTACGTAATAGCTGGAATTTGAAAGACCTCAACCAGATGGCCAAGTCCCGTCCTGATAGATGCCTAGTTGCACATGCGCGCTGAGCCATTACAATGTTTACAATTTTACGTGGGCCTAAACAACGACTTTATTTAGTGGAGATGCTCCACAAGCGTCCCTCATCGGCAAGAACCTTGACAAGGAACTCGAGCTCACCACGCTTGCGTCCCTCGTTGAGCCAGTCACCGGCAATCTTCTTGGGCCAGCCCTGAAGGGAGTTGACCTCGGCCACGGCATCGACGACGTTGCCCTGAGAAAGCAAAGTTTCGGCGCGGGCGAGAATGGATTCGATGTCATCACCCTTAGGCATACCCTGCTTCTTGACCAGCAAAGCGGACAAGACCCGGGAGGTCAAATGACCAAACACGCCGGCGTCAGGGGGCGCCAAAGAAGCCCGGCGAATCTCGGGAGCGATCAGAGCGAATCGAACAGCGAGCTGGGCAGGGCTCAGAACACCATGGGTCTTGACCTCGTCGGAGACAGAATCGACCACCGCCTTGACGAGGGGATCTTTAGGCAGAGTCTTGGCGACGGTCTGGAGCTGGGGCTGAATTGAGCGAGCGTCAGTGGCCATTGCGGACTGCAAGGCGCTCAAGGCAACAAAAAAGTTGACTGCGCCATCGCTCTCTGTGATAGCCTCACCAGAGGAGAGAACTGTCTTCTCCATAGCGCTGAGCTCTGAGCTGAGCTTCTCGATCTGAGACAAACGGCCCTCGCGCTCCTCTTCGACGCGGTTTGCAACTGTCTTGGCAAACTCTTCCTGCTGCTCGATAAATTGAGCCATAATAGCCGTATTAGCCTCAGCAAGAATGGTCTTTTTAGCCGCCTCGACCTCGTTGACCAAGCGATCATTATAGACCTTTAAGAAGAGCATCTTCTCCTCATTGAAAGCGTCATGCAGCTCGGCAATCTGAGCCTCAATGATCTTGTTAAACTTTTCACTCTGCTTGGAAAGTTCGGACTTGAGCTCTTCGGCCTGGGCAACCCGGACACGCGAAAACTCAGTGGAGGCGGCCTGAAGAGACTCAAGCAAATCACGAACATGCTTCTCAGAAAGCTTGCCAGTGTTAATTTTACTGGTCACCTTAGAAAGAGCATCAACAACACCATTCAATGAAGGGTCAAGGTCCTCGGGAATGGTGAAATTAGGAAGTGCCTCAGCCGTGGAGGATTTGGCAGTCGTCGACGAAGGCTCCGCCAATTTAGGCTTGACAACATTTTTTTTCGACTCCTTAGGAATGACCGGAGTTGGGGCTGCAGGCTTCTCCTCAGTCTTGTTCAAACGAGGAGTGGCCTTGGATGCAGTGACCGAAACGGTTTTGCTGTGAGTACCGAAGCGACTATAAACAGGCTCGCGATAACGCCACTCGTCGACAAAATACATGACGCTGGTTGCACCAGGAACATACGAAGTGAAGGTGTTGTATGTTTTTTCATCGTGCAGCGAGGCATAGGCACCTCCACCGTAGACACCAGCAGCTAGGAGCGTGGTGGCCAGCAAAAAATTGCGGATCTTGTGTGTCTTCTTGACAACAAACTCAGGAGTAGCACCTGGCTCAACTTTTACTGGAGGAATCTCCTGTAAAAGTCGACGATATGTACTGAATGTTGCTCGTCGGTACATAATGGCCAATGACAAAGCCGCTGAGGGAAGCCTGAAATTATAGACGGTCGATGAAATCGCTTGGTCATCGTAGTCGACTGGAACTGAGGGGTATGCGAATTTAGACTGATCAAGATATAAAGTATATTGTTTTTAGCTACTTGGCCTAGGTTTGGGTCCCTTGGCCGCCGTCCTTAAATATCCGGCAGACTTCTCGATTACCAATCTTCCGTATGGCTCAGGTTTACGGGGCAGACGAAGTCAATGCCGTGGTGCTGGACCCCGGTGCGGCATGGACTAGAACCGGCTGGGCCGGAGAAGACGCACCGAGTGCTACAGTGTCTAGTTGGTACTCTTATATGAAGGACGACGATGGCACAATTAGTCGTCGCCAATATGGTGACGATATTGTGAATATGGCTCGGGCGAACGTGGAAGTGGCTAATCCATACGAGGATGGTCTAGTTTCTGACTTTGAGGCGGCTCAGGAGCTTTGGAACGTCGCGCTAGCTTCGGAAATGGCCAGTTTAGAGGACGCGCCCTTGATGGTAACCCAGCCCTCTTGGGGTGATTCTAGCTACCAGAGGCAAGTCATGGAGTACTGCTTTGAAAAAACTAAAACACCAGCAGCATATCTTGCAAAATCTGCCGTATGCTCTCTATTTTCTGCCGGCAGAGGCTCAGGCTTGGTTATTGATGCGGGTGCTCAAACTTTATCTATTACACCTGTGATAGATGGGTTGGTACTGAACAAGCCTTCTATTCGTACAAAACGGGCCGGAAACTACCTCAACACACAAATTCTTGCTGCGCTCACTGATCTGAAGCACGAGATAGTGCCCTGGTACCAGGTCTCCAAAAAAGAAGTGGTTGAACTGGGAGAGCCGGCAAAGTATACCAAAAAAGGTATTGAAACTACTTCAAGTTACCATGATCTCCAAGTCCAACGCGTAATTGATGATTTCAAAGAGTCTCTTGTCCAGGTTTCCGGTGTTCCATTAGATGAAAAGACTGAAACTCCTGCCCGCACCTACGAGTTTCCGGATGGCCACTCGGCCGAGTTCGGAAAAGAACGCTTCGAATTGGGTGAGTCGCTGTTCAGAAATGGGTCTGATGAAATGTCTGACGATTCAGAGAACTCCAAAGGTGTTTCCCAACTGGTCATTGACGTGATCAACAACTGCGATGTCGATATCCGGGCAAACCTTACAAACAACATCGTTATCACCGGTGGAACGTCGCTTTTACAAGGATTCACTGCTCGTATCAACCACGATCTGCAGCAGGCTTTCCCTGCTCTTAAAATAAGGCTCTATGCTCCCGGTAATATGACGGAGAGGCGTAATGCTTCATGGTTAGGTGGAAGCATCCTGGCCTCCTTGGGTACCTTTCATCAACTATGGGTTTCTAAACAAGAATGGGATGAAGTAGGAGCTGAGCAAATTGCTGCAAAGCGCTTTAGATAGGTTTATGTGTAATTATAATGTCACCATTTGTTCATTCGACACCGCCCGGTTATCATTATTCGCATCTGTATGTGAGATTCCGAGCGGCATGCACCAGCGACGCTCTGCCTCCAAACTGGGCAATCTGGCCGAGTGGTCTAAGGCGCTCGACTCAAGCTTCTATTGCTTACCCGCTGTAGCTGGGTTTTCGAGTCTCTCCGGAGGCGAGGGTTCGAATCCCTCGGTTGTCACTACTTTTTTGGTTTGTGTCTTTGTTTTTTATGTGTGTTAATCATTCAAGTATATAACTTTTCTAATGCATAAATTAGTTCATCGTACCAGTCGATAGAATCATGAAATACTCCTTTTATCTTGTCCGCGTTTATCAGGATATGAGAAGCGTCAATAACTTCAGCCACGGGACCTATCGTTGACAGCTGTCGTTTGATGAGCTCGAATTTTTCAGTGATATCTCCTGTTAGCAGCTTAAATCCGTAGATGCCTCCTGAATCTGTTCCAAAGTATACATCTGGTGCAATGTCTCTCAGCACCTGTGATTTGGCCTCCGTCCAATCAAGATATCGCTTGTATCCCGAGCGAGTACTAAAAGTAGTCAATTGCCCTATTTCAAACTTCAGTGTAGAAGCTAGGCCACCAGGGCTGGTCTTGTTAGGCATAAGAACATGATACTCATAGTCAAGTGTGCTCACCAAGGCACTGGGTGTTTCGTTCAATATTATGCCGTCGAGTGGCCATTTGATACTTGGACAAGACATGATATCACGGTCGAGTCCTTTTCCAACCTTGGCCATTGAGACAGCTTTGATACTATCCGCAACCAGTAAGAATCCTTTGCTGTAGTCCATACTGGACACAATATTTCCAACAGTTGCGAGGGGCGTTCGAAGTTCAAGATGCGGCGTGTCTCCTTTTGTTTGTAATGACCAATGCTGCACAAATCCATCCACTGCAACCAAAAAGTTAGAGCCCCTTAGATACTTGATGGCTGTAAGGATGCCATCCTGGCCTTTGTCACCCTGGACCACTTTAGTGTCCAAGACAATCTTGTGGTCAATATCAAACAAAACAAGAGTCGATTTCTCGCCTCCATCCATGTTGAAAGGAGATTGGTCGTTGATTGCCAAAATCACTGCGTTAAACCCAGCAGCAGACCTGTCAAGACTGATCAGCCCAACTGCCTCTCCAGTGACACCTTCAACCTCAAACTGTTTGCTTTCTCCGAGAATGTCTGTTTCTACTAGTTTGACGCTTGCCCCTTCATTGACTCCCCTGTTGACAATTGTGAGCCATGTCCCTACCCCATTACGATAAATCCCTCGAGCGTTCGAAGATAAAAGCTTTTGATTGGTGATGCTGGCATAAACACTGTCATAATCGATTTTGAACAGTGTAATATTCTTACCACCCATCGAATATAGATCCCGATCGAGTTTCACAATGCTGCTGCCCTCTGGTAGATTATTCAGTCGTTTGGCGACCAACCCCCATTTAGTTAGCTTTACAATCGCGGCACTACCAGTTCCAACCAAGAGAAGACCATCATCTGTCAAAGTAGCGGTTACGAATTTACCCACAACGTACTTTTCGAGTATCTCGCCTTTCAACGACAGAAACGTAACTTGCCCACTTGGATGACATGCAACTAGTTTGTTTTGGTACATTAGTAGTTGAGAGCAGCGTTCCAAATCGATGCGACTTCTATCGATATACAAGTGCTCCATAGTGCTGTAGAATTTGTGTTGATCGGTTGCTAGCACGCTGTAAACACTGTTTTCAATTTTCGTAGTCGTCAACTTTCCTCCTACCGAATCATACTCAATAAGTGTATCACCAGCACCTCCGAAAATGACACCTTTGTGTATACTTGCACATTCGAATTCCTGTTCAAGGACCTTTTTATTGTCCACAATTACACCAGTCGATGTCACAAAGATGTTGTCGGAAACAGCAAAAATCTCATCCTCAGGTATGCGTTCCGTTACGGATTGAAGACAGCTAGTAGAGAAATCAAACAAGTGTGACCCCGAGATCCCGGATGTTAAGAGTTTTCCACGCCACAAAAACATTCTGTTAGCTCCCACCTCAGCAGTTCTGACGATTTGAACAGGGCAAAAGAGGTTGACTTGGCTGAGCTTGGAGGCATTTTCATCACTTTGGACAACACAGAAGTGTTGGTGTCCACTCCTATCGACTGATGAATCAAGTCCAGAGATTTTTGTAAGTAAAGATTTCTCAAACACTACCTCGTCACCATTTAGAATAACTCGAGATCCAAGGATATCGTGACAAAAGACAATACTATCGTCCAAAACAGAAATATGTTTCAAACACGGAGAGAACTTTGTTATAAACACCCACTGTGATGAAGAAACGCTAACTTTGAGCAGCTCTCCAGAAGACAGTGCAACATATATCCAGCTTTCGTAGGCAGCAGATGCCACAATGTCGTTCTCGAATGAATGAATGATTCGATTATTTGTTTTGGTAACCACGAATATGTTTCTTCTCGTCAAGGCATAGAAACTTTCTACTCCCGAGTACAGAGTCAACGAGTCTTTGGAGTCGAAAATATCACTAAAGTCTTTGAACGCTCGTTTTCCAGTAACTTCACCAACCACACAGTTTGTTGGGGTATGCAGAGAGGATAGGACAACTTGAGACTGATTTAACCAAGCAATACTTCCTGGTGAGTCGTGGTTGATAACGACTGTTTTGCACCGCGGGGACTGGGTTACTGAGGTGAATGTGACGAATAAATACTGACCCTCACCAATGTGAGCCAATATTTGGGTTCCTGAAGGGTCTACAGAGATCAATTTGCTGGGATCATGCCGGTCGGTTTCTTGCAGCGGAGTAGCGAACTTATAGCGCACATGCAGCTTCAAGTCGTCATCGATTTGAACCAATTTCAAAACATTGCCATCCAAAACAGCAATCCAGTCTGATTCAGATCCCTGTGGCCGAAAAGCGTGGACTGCACTGGGCCAGAATCCCGTAAACACTTGTTTTCCTGAGGATGCAAAGTTGGCCGCTTTGAGGTCGTAAAGCTCAAACCCAGTAGTAGTTGCCAGGATGAAGCATTTTGTGTGCGCTAGGGACAACGACACGGCAGCTAATATCCTCCCTGGCGGCACAAACGGGTAAATTAACCCCAGGCCAGACATGTCGAGTTGATCTCAGAACTGATTACCCAAGCAGCCTCTGTCGCGTAAGCTAGTGTGAGGTTGAGGAACGTTTTATCATTCTCACCACATCGTGATTTTGAGCGGGCGGACTGAGGTGGTTTTAAGCACCACATTTTGAAGAAACTTTCGAATGTCTTTTCCAGATGTGGGGGAGGACACAGCGTTGTATTTGGATGAGGAGGTAGGCCATCTGCGGAGCCCTGAGTTTGGCGTGGCTTCACACCATCGATCGAGCAGATCGGGCAGCAATCTGCCGAAATGGCAGCAACGGCAGCCGCGGAGGTTCACCAGTCAGTCAATTCTTTCGTCGCATCGCTACGTATCACCTTATCAAAGCCCTGAAACGGCGAGCAGCTGGCCAGAGACAAGCGACTCGACGTCGGTACTGTATTCCACGAGCGCTGACGCCGTAACTTTGGGGCTGAAAAAGAGTATGCAACGTGCTAGAGCATCGCTGGTAGAGCCTAGTAGCACACGGATACGGTCTATTCCATCGCCCCGCTTTTCTGATCCTGATATTGACAATGTGGTCGTCACGGTCCGGGAGTTGCGAAACGAAAATGAGGACCTGAAATTGGATTTGGCGAACGCAAGGTCCGAAATTGAGAACCTCAGGGAATCTTTACGTCGTGAGAAAGAGCAGCAAGCCAACAAAGTCGACCTTGCCATGAGGCAACTTCGCAAGGGCTATAATGATAAACTACGGGAGTCATGCTCGCACTACTACAGAGAAGTAAAGAAGGGTTTCGAGGAGCATATCTCAAGGCTTGAGGCAATGCTGGAGCAGGAGCGAGAGCAGAAGGAAGAGCTTCTTGAAGCCTGTGACCGCTTTTTCGACAAGCAACTAGCAGAGCTGTCAAAATGATTCGATAGCAAGGTCAATTGCTTACTTTTTTTTCTAATTTAATCCCATTCAGGACCGTGGGATACATCTTGATTGGTTATTTTGTTGTTCTTATTTACCCGTATCTCCTAAACTTTAGCCTTTTCCCCCGCTCGTCTGGCTGACCCCCGCTATTGTTTACTTAACTGCAAGTCCTTTACTGTCCGTGCACTTAGCCGTTAAGTATTAATCCAGCGTTAGCTATGTATACAGTCCAACATATGCATGAGTAAAGCGTACCTGCGGCGGGGGGGAAGGGCGGAGCTCCTTGCGATCTCTGGGAAAAGGAACAAACATGGCTACTTAGGCGCCGGAAGCTTTGAGTGCATCAGTAACAGAACATATGTGGCGTGTGCCACAAGCCGCATCAAAATTAAAAGAACTTTCTACATATATTTCAATCTGGACCATCGGGAGCTGAAACGGGAGCAACGCAGCCACCTGCATCTCTAATAGGGCAGCGTTAGTAAGGCGGAATGACAAGGTGTGAAACCACAGGCGGATGCGACCTGTACTCGCCACCTGCAGATCAAGGCGTGCAATAAAATCCCCCGCATTTTGTGTAGAGGGACAAAAGAAGCAGTCTCCCGCACAGGAAGTCCTTGTTAGTTCTTACGTATATAATCTAGCCGGCGTCGTTCTCTGTGTAACCTCTGCCTATGCCTATCGTGCCGTTTGTGCATACCCCACCCATTCTCTGACGCATCTGTGAGGAGAATGAGTCCTCTGACCTGCGCTATAACCGAGATCTGCAGATTCGCAAATCGCCTTATCACTTGACCATCACACGGTAAAAATTTAGATGCTGTCTGCCCATGCTCCTCCTGCCCAAGTAAGGAGTCAAGATTGGCAAGTCCAGCTAGAGGATTTGGTAGCCAGTTGCCGGGACGGTCTGGAAGCGGCAAAACAGCGGCATTCAAAGCTACTCCAGGAGCTTTCTGCCGAGGAAACACTCCTAGCCGACTTGCAAGACCGTATGGACCAGGCTGAGGAGATGCTCCTGGACATGCGCTACCTGATCAAGTCCAGCCCCGCCGCGGCTGACCCGAACATTTTTCAGAGGGATGTTGGTGTGCTGAATGCAACGATGCGCTCGCCACACCCCACTCCTCCTGATGAAGCGGGCCCGTTATCTCCTGAAAGTGATCGAGGAAAGTTCAGATTCAAGGAAGAAGAGTCAAGCCAACCCCCGGTGAACCGATCTATCTTGTACGAAATCGCCAGTCAGCCTCTAAAAGAACCAATCAATCCTATTGGCCAGTCCACAACCAACAACTCAGATCTGTTCCAGAAGCCGGTGGCTACTGCCGAGAGTGATCAAGGTGTTTCTCAGCGGTTCAATTCTTTCAACCCCCCAAGGCCTCAGGATGCTCAGCCATCAGGTGCAGTTCCCGCTCGTTCTATGAAACGTTCCCAGACCCTTCCACAGCTGGCTACATCAAGCAGCAAGAGTCGCAGTAGCTTTAATGAGACTCCTGAGGGGCCGGCTTCTCCTGGTTCCTACTTACAGTCTAGCAAGGTGCCGCTCACCCGCACAGTCTCCACCATGTCCACAACTAGTGAAATGTCACAGGTATCAGCATCCCATCCGCTTTTGGAAAGACTCACTGAAGTTGTCACTGAGGTGGAGTATGGGCTTATCGGCAAACTTCCTGCTCACATGAGAACTCGCGGTGACCCAGTAGTTGTATTGAAATTGTCGGAAGGTGAGACAGTATGGCACGTTTGCAAATCCTATACCCAGCTTGTCAAGCTTGAAAAGCTTCTCCGTCCATTCTGTAAACAGTTGGGCCTGTCACTGCCGTGTTTCCCTGATCGAGGCATGTTCACCAACCAAACACCAGCGAACGTGGATCAAAGAAACGATATGCTGACTGCGTTCATTTCAGAGTTCCGCAAGGTCGCACATGCTGAGGCGTTGACTGGAGTTTCATTGCCCATCAAGCAGAGACAGGTAGTGGGCGCTTTCATGCTCTCTGACGTGGTAGAGCTATCCGCTTCCAAGAACCCGAAAGGATACCTTTTGCGCAAAAGCCGCTTTGGAAACTGGAAGTTGCGCTATTACGTTGTTAACGGCTCATTTTTAGACGTTTATGAAACAATCGAGAGCCCGCCTGTCGAATCGATCAGAATCAAAGGTTCGACTGTGCGTTTTGTCGAGCCGCCCTTGATCGGTAATACCGACGAAAGAAACACTTTTGAGATTCTCGACGCTCGTAAAAAACGATCACTGTTTTGTGCAGACTGTCCTGCTACTCGGGAGAAGTGGGTTCATACCTTGGCTGATCTGTCTACGGCACCCCTTGTGCGGCCTTCAACTCTTCCTATACCCTTGTTATTTACTCGTTCGAATTCTTTGCCCCCTGCTCTGAGGTTGAATCGTACCATTCAGCATATCCGTCGGCCTAGCAATGCGGAGTCGTCATTGATGTTCACAGAGTCTGACGATGCCGAGAATAATTCACATGTGTCCAACTTGTCAGCTCATCGTAATTTCAGTGACTCCATGGGGCTCCCCCAGCCACATAGCCCGTCTTGGAGGTCGGTGTCATCTGGCAAATACGATAGTTCGCAGCCCCGCAGAGTATTTGGGGCGTCTTTGGAGTCCACTATGAAGGTTGCCACTCGCACATATCAAGGTTGTGAGCTTCCTGCTATTCTCGTGAGATGCCTGGAGATCTTGAACACGAATGATGCATTGAATGAAGAAGGACTTTTCCGCATCACAGGTGCTCAGTCAAAACTCGACAAGCTTGAGGCTGCGTTCGAAAAGAAAGGTGACCTCGATTTGAAAGCTGCCTGCGACGATGTGCATGTGGTTGCGACCCTCTTGAAGCGGTATCTGAGAAGCCTTCCTGACTCTTTCTTACCTGGCGCAGACGATACGTCATTGAGAAACTTTGTGGGGCTTGATGGGCCTGCGCGTGTAGCTTATGCCGCTCAAACAGTACAGCGCTTGCCTGAGTTACACTATAATGTCCTTGTGTCGGTTATTGCTCTGCTTGTTAGAGTAACAAAGCACGAGCACTCTAATAAGATGACCAGCAGAAATGTGAGCATTGTCTTGTCTCCATCCCTTAATGTACCCTCTGAAGTCAGTCTAATCTGGATCGAGAACTTTTCTGCTATTTTCAAGCTTCAACAATAATGTACTGTATATTTAAACTAATTTTCTCCTGTGAGATGTAGCACCTATTCAGAGAACGTAGCTGAGGACTAAGCCATGGTGGCATTTTAAATGAAGATATTTCTTTTAATATTTAAATAAATGGATTAAACAGATGCTTCGCTGGGGGCTCTTCCCTTGAGAACGTTTTCAATGAAAGTTTCTCCCGCCTTGTACGAGGACCGAACCAGAGGGCCGCTTGCGCAGTACAAAAAGCCAAGCTCCATTGCACGGTCATGCCAGAACTGGAATTTCTCAGGAGTGACATACTCTGCCACCTTCATATGGCGCTTTGTGGGGCGCATGTATTGTCCAAAAGTCACCACATCGACGCCGACTTCTCGCAAGCGACGAAGAGTGCGCTCGATCTGGTCGTCGGTCTCACCAAAACCGAGCATTATAGAGGTTTTAGTGATCAGAGAGGGCACAGTCTGCTTTGCACGAGCCAAAACGTTGATGCTCTGATCAAAAGTAGCTCGTCTGTCGCGAACGAACGGAGTCAGTTCCTCGACACATTCAACATTATGGGCGTAAACATCCAAACCAGAACGAGCCAGAACGTCAACCATGTTGAGATCACCACGGAAATCACCACCCAAGCACTCAACAAGAGTCTTGCCCCGGCTTTTCTCTTTGATCAGCTGGACGGTTTTGGCGAAGTGATTGGCACCTCCGTCGGACAGATCATCACGATCCACCGTAGTAAGGACGACATATCCTAGTCCCCACTCGGCGATTGCGGTTGCAGTATGATCAGGTTCGTTTGGATCGAGCGGGCCAGGGGTGCGGCTGGTTTTAACCGAACAGAACCGACAACCACGAGTACAAGTGTCGCCCATCAGCATAATCGTAGCAGTGGCACGGCTTTTGTCGCTGCCGCCCCAGCATTCACCAATATTGGGGCAGCGAGCCTCCTCACAAACTGTATGCAGTTTCAGTCCCCGCACGTCGGACTTGAGTTTGTGATAGTTTGAGCCTTTGGGGATAGGCGTTTTGAGCCATTTCGGCAGCCTGACAGCCTCCTCAGGAATGGCAGCGGCCACCATATCCTGACCAGCAAAATCAGAGGCCTTTCCAGAAACGAAGTCCTCGAAAGAAGGGCCAGAATTGAGGCGATGCTTGAGGAGCAGCTTCCGGGATTTCCCATTGGAGGCTGTTTCCGCTTCAGTAGAGATAAATCGAGCGACGGAGCCAAGCGAACATTTGGGCACAGAGAGCTTTGAAGTCTGGAGCCGCAACATATCAAAAATAAGAAGCGACAGCGATGGCCTCGAAACTACAGCGAGAGATAATCGAGATATAAAATTATTAATTGGGGACGGTTAGCTTTTGGGGAGGGTGGGGGACCGGGCTGACTCGGGAGTACCCGGTACACCCAGTGTAGGAAAGTGGTGTGGTGGCCTGTGCCCGGGCATAAAACACTTGGCGGTTACTACACGGGGCCTCAAAGGGGGGCGCTGCCACCAGGTTTAGGGGAAATTGGAGCGATGGACGAGAAAGTCGAATGAAACAGTAATTTTCTCTGAAAGCTGCTGGTACTTAAAATCCACACAAATTTACCCCTTTGCGTATTTTCATATACACATTTAGGTCATGAGTTTCGAAGTTCTTCAGGGTGTCCTCCAAAAGCAACCTGCATGACCCAAGTATGCAGGTTTCCTCGGAGCAATTGCCTATTAGCGGGAAGTATACAAAAGCTAAGAGTGCGAGTAAAAAAAACGCGTCAAAAAACATACTACGGAGGAAAAATACTAATTCTACGTACACGCGCAATTTTTGTCCAAAACAACCGCGGTTTGGGCGCTTTTCGAACATCACATCTTTACATTTACCATGACTATTTTTACTGCAATGCAGGGTATTATAAAATTTACCGGCCACGCTGCAGGTTCTGGGAAGTATATAACAGTGGGAAGTTTTTCGATTACAGCGTTAAACCAAGCTACCTTTTACACATGTCTGAATTCTACACTCTGTCCACCCCCGAACTCTCCCCCGAGCAGGAGAAGATCTTTGCTCACGCCATGTCTCCCTCGTGGTCTCGTGCTTCTACCACTTCGCGCAAGCACGCGAAGGAGCACAAGGCTGAGGCCAAGGCAGACGAGAAAGCCGCCGCTGACCAGCACCACCGCAGCCTTTTGAAGAAGCTGAACAAGATTTTCTCCTAAGTTCAGCGCGCCCTGTGGGACCCCTTTTTAATTTTCAACCACCCCAAATGCGGTGAGCCTGCAATTGCCTGCAACGACAAAAACAATATTTAATCTCAACATTAAAAGAATATATGTATAATTAATGATCCTTGATCCACTGAAAACGAGCTTGCGACTACTTGCGACCGCTTGCTCAAGTTACCCTGTTTCGACAGCCCTTTATATTCCATTTGTAATATTTTTTTTTTCTTCGTGCGGACTCCATAGCATCACCGTGTTGCTTGTGTTTCATGAATCCCACTGAAGAACAAGCGTCAAGCTAATGGACAGATGAACAACGGTTGTCTTAACGCCCTTCATCACTTATTGCGACTGTTTTGCAGCAGACCCGTGTAGTAGTGGTGAGGGCTGGGGAGCCATACATATTCATTCATATTTAATCTGAGAAATAGTTTCACGCTTCACGATGTTTCGTTTTTCAGCGATTTCACGTCTCGCGTGGTCTCACATATTGAGATCGCAAAAGGCTTGAAATCGCGACAGGGCCTGAAATCGCCCAACGACCTGAGGTCGGCCTCTGTCAGTGCTCTGGATCAAGTATGTCTCATTAAACATCCTGATCTGTGCCAGTGGGTGTCATTCATGCACGCTGTGCGAAAACAACGGGTTGGGTCGGCTTATCTCCATTTCGGTATTGCCTGCACTTAACGCTCATCCGTGCAGATCTACCGACCAGGTGCGCCTCCACCTGCACTTAGGAGAAGTTGTGGACAAGTATATAAGATGAGAAAATCCCAAGGACAGAGGCTTGCAAGAACATGCAGAACAAAGATAATAAAGAGTTGTATATTGTTGGCGCGCCCTTCGCTGGCGGCCAGGGCAAGCAGGGCGTTGACGAGGCTCCCAAGCTGCTTCTGAGGGAAGGTCTGGAGACAGAGATCCAGAACCTTGGCTGGAATACCCACGTCTCCCACCTAGAATTCGAAGAGGTCAAAAACGATACCCCTATTTCGAACATGAAGAACCCCCGGTTCGTCTCCAAAGCTGCAGAGAAGGTATACGATTCGGTCAAAGCGGCTGCCGAGAAGGGATTCGTGCTCACTGTCGGTGGTGACCACTCTATTGGTGCTGGCACGGTCGCAGGTGTGCTGGCAGCCCATCCTGAAGCAGTCGTGCTCTGGATCGACGCGCATGCAGATATCAACACCCCAGCTGCAACGCAATCTGGAAATATCCACGGCTGCCCTCTGTCGTTCCCTACTGGCATCGACGAGCTGCCCGAAGATGTCGAGGACGGCGTTTTTAAATGGCTTCCTCGCAAGAGCCTTGACTTTTCCCGTTTGGCCTACATCGGTCTCCGCGATGCCGACGAGTTCGAAAAGAGCGTGATTCGCAAATACAACATCGCTGCATATTCTATGCATGATGTGGACAAGTATGGCATTGCTCGCGTCGTTGAGATGGCTCTCCGCCGTGTCAACCCAGGAAACACTCGCCCAATTCATTTGTCCTTCGACGTCGACGCTCTGGACCCGTTCTTTGCTCCCAGCACTGGCACCCCTGTTCGTGGAGGCCTGACTTGGCGCGAGGGCTGCTACATCTGCGAGGCGGTCGCAGAAACGGGCAACCTGGTCGCCATGGATCTGGTTGAATGCAACCCTCATCTCGGGGAACACGACGAACACATCAAGTCTACTCTCCACTCTGGCATTGCTCTGGTCAAGAGTGCTCTTGGCCAAACGCTCTTGTAAAGCATGTATAGACTCTCTAAATTTCCTCTATGCTCTAACTGATGTATTTCTTGAGGGCACGAAGACGTACAACTGCCTCCTCCAGAAGATGATCGTCCTTGCAAACAGCAAAGCGCTGATAGTTCTCTAGTAAAGGATAGCTTGGAGGGGTGACGAACTCGGTTGGCGGAATTGCGACCACGCCAAATTGATGGATCAACCAAAATGCAAGCTTGAAATCGCGGGGGCGCCCACTGATCGACTCGGGGAACTGGAAATCAGGTGGAATGTGGACCTTTGAAAAATTCACCAGTAAGAAGTATCCGCCCTCAGACGTACTGTATGGAAGGCCTAGTTCGTCAAATACCGACTGTAGAATGGCATACTTGTGTTTGAACATCTTCACAGTGTCCTGGTAGTAGGTGCCGTTGCGAGCGATTTCAAGGGCCTCCGAGCTGGCAATTTGCAGAGGAGTGTTGACACAGAATACAATACGCGTGTGTGCAGCTGCCACATACTTGATCAGATGCTCAGGGCCAATAACCCAGCCAACCCGCCAGCCAGTGGCAGCAAAAGTCTTTCCAGCAGAACCCACCGTCAGAGTAAGGTTGTAGATTTCAGGAGACAAGGCACCCAGGCGAGTGAACTTCCCGTAGTACAGACTGTCGTACACTTCATCAGAAAGAAGGATGAAGTTGTGCTTGATAGCTAAAGCACTGATCTTGAGCAGCTCTTGCTCAGAAAACACTTTGCCGATGGGGTTATGGGGGGAATTGAGCACCATCATTTTCGTTTTTGGAGTGATGGCGGCCTCAAGCTCATCGAAATCAATGTACCAGTTGTTGGCACTGGACGTCTTCTCTGCATCCTTGGGAGGATGGATGGGTACGAACTTGGGCACGCCGCCAGGGAGCTTGATGTTCGAAATGTACTGGTCGAAAAACGGTTCGAATACAATGACCTCATCGCCATCGTCCAAAAACGCAGTGAAGGCAGCATACATGCCCTCATTAGCACCAGCAGTGACGAGAATTTCAGTCTTGGGGTCGAGGTTCCTCTTGTAGGAACCTGAGTATGTTTTGGCCAACGAGTTCAGTAGCTCAGGCCGGCCACGCGTAGGCGAGTACTGGTTGAAAGCAGGCACATCAATCGCCTTCTTGGCCGCCGCCAGAGCAAAATCCGGAGGTGCATAAGAAAAAAAGCCCTGCCCAAGATTGACGACCGGACGGCCCTGGTCTTTTTCGGCCTGTGCAGCAGCCTCATTGATCAAAGACCACACGTCCTTTGTGTGCGACTCCACGTGCGAACTGGGCTTTGGGAATGGCATTGATGAAAAGTGATGCGCACAGCGAAACCGGTTAGAAATCCGGGTTTTCCCATCGTGATGTTGCGTCATGGCGGTTAGGGGTATGACTGACAGGCGGAGATAAGCCAGTGCTGCGGCGGTTTGGCGAAGTTTGTAGACTAGCATTGCGGCAGACGCGGTAGAGAGAAGAGGCTGGGCCTACAAAGGTGAGCTAGCGGTCCAGCGGAAGTGAAAAGGGGAAGCGTGCTTATTCACTGGCGCTTTTGTACTTACCGGCGCCTTGATCGCTGAACTATGCAGATTCGATCAGATACCAAATTGACAATCCGCCGCGTTGGGCTAGTCTAGCAAAAAAGCCAATTCCCAACTAGGTTTGGTTTCCGCTTCCGGGCGCACGACTTCCAGACTCGTCAGGGCGCAGCTCATAACCGGTTAGCTAAGCAGAATCGTGTCCAAGTATGAGCACAGGCAAATCGAGCTCGTCGTCGTCTTTGGGCGCCTGGAAGTCTCTGCTGTCGTCAGTGGCGTCGTTCCGGGGTGATTTATCCAGTTTGACCGCCCCGCCGTTCATTCTTTCGCCCACCTCGCAGCTGGAATACACTCAGTACTGGTATCCTGGCCACGACATGTTTGTCGACCCTGCCACCGAAGAGGATCCCGAGCAGCGATTCATCAAAGTCGTGAAATGGGCAATTGCATGCCACCGCGCTCATTATACCCAGCGCAATGTGAACGAAGGCTACGAAAAGAAGCCCCTGAACCCGTTTTTAGGCGAGCTGTTCACAGGCAAATGGCAGCACTCCGAGGCAACTGTTCGTGCCGAGCAAGTTAGCCACCACCCACCTGTTTCTGCCTTCAAAATCAATACAAAGGAAGGGGCTGAAGCCGAGGGTTACGTTGGCGTGAAGGCCAAGTTCTCCGGCTCAATTAAAGTCAAACAGGTCGGCCACACCGTTTACACACTCAAAGACCGCAACGAGATCTACTGTATGGGTCTGCCGTCGCTACATATCGAAGGCTTTTTGACTGGCGCGCCCTACATCGAGCTGGACGGCGAGAACTTTGTTACGTCGACCACAGGTTATCGTGCCACCATCTCCTACAGCGGTGCAGGCTACTTTAGTGGCCAGAAGCATTCCATCAAGGTGGTCATTTTCAAGGAAAGCGATCCCTCGAAAATCCTGTATACCATCAAAGGACAATGGCACAAGGCCATGATCATCAAGAACGAGGCCACCGGCGCCGAGTCTCAATTCTTAGACCTTAGCAAAGTTACGCAACCTCCGGAGCTCTTTGTGGTCGATATCGACAACCAGCACCCTCTTGAGAGCCGCAGGGCCTGGGAAAAGGTTGCTGCAGCCATCCGCAAGGGAGACTATGACGAGATCACGCGCGAAAAGTCCAAGATCGAGAACAAGCAGCGTGAGATGAGGAAGGCCGAGGGTGCAGAGGGGAAATCATGGGACCGTCGCTGGTTCGGTGCTTACAAGCATTCTGAGGATCAGCACAAAGAACTCTTACCCCATACAAACGAAGAAATCTGGCGATTCCACGAAGAGCGCTGGGAGGCTGACGAGGACTTCCAGAAGCGTCACATTGAATGATCTTACCCGTCGTTTACTCCGTCCACATCGTCCACATACACGTTAGAACTAATTACACTCTCAAAAAAACAACGCAGGGACCGTCGAGTGTTGGTGAGGGGAGAACTCGAGCGAGTTCAGTCGAAGAACACTCGGCAGGTCAAGCAGCAAAACACTAGCTCCATAAATATTGTTGCCAATGCATCAAACCTAGCCATACCGCTCGCCGTCCTCGACGATTTTTATTGTCATTTTTCCGACCCCAGGACTTTTAGGGTAGGGGCGCGTAGAATGCCTGCCCCGGTTAGTAAGCTAAAATATAAGCCAATAAGGACTTTTGCTTTCTGACAAACTGCACTAATGGCTGGTCACGGTTTCCCTGGTCCGAAACAAAAGTACACTGTGCGCTACGGGTTGTCGCCCAACGCACAGAACCCTTTCAAGGGCATGCTCTACAACGCCTTTTTCAACACCTTCCGCCGCACGCGCTCCCAGTTCCTGTACCTGCTGATTCCTTTCGGCTCGTACTACTACCTGTGGAACTGGGCCAACGACTACAACCAGTGGCTGTATACTAAGGACGGCCGCACCACTCTCCTGAGCTACGATTAAATTGTCTATATTGCGAGTACATCGTTGCTCAGCTGGTATCCAAACGCTACAGGCTATTTTCGCGATCAGGTGAGACTAAAAGCTTATTTTTGGCTTCAAAAGTATCTATAAATACCAAATGCTGTCTGAAATGGTTGCAAAAATCTTGAATGTATAGTTTAAAGTCGTTTTGTATTACTGCGATGGTCTTCACGAAACTCTATTGATGAGTTTGCCTTCACAGCAACAAATATAAATATGTTGTCGACCTATCGCTGGCAGCATGGTATTGCTGAGGGTTTTCTATCTTGGCTTTGTGGCAGCACAGGCGTTCGCACTGTCGCCCGGCCAAGTATTTAACCTGAGAGCTATTGCCCCCGGTCACCAGCGGGTAGACAAGCAGTTAATCCGAGTGTATGGTGATAGCACTTTAGGTATCGCCGATCCTTATAACAGCAACGCAAGGGCCCTTCATGGAGTATACATGTCGGAGTATGGCATGATCTTGCAGCCGGAGCCTTTGCAATGCATCAAGCCCAACTACCAAAGTGTGTTGATGGTAAATGACAGTCTTTACTCCTCAAGCACCAATGTTCAGGTCCAGGGAAACCGACTGAGCTTCTCAACACCAGTGCACATCTGTCCTTCGTTAAACGACGTGTTGATTCAAACAAACCCCGCTGCCCCCAGCTGTCCAGATGCCATCCCAGTAGAACTAGAGCTGGTTGAATCAGTGGTTAACGCAAATCTCCTCTAGTTAATGCGGTCTAAATGAGGACTGGATCGTTATTTTTCCGAACACGTCTGGTTGGTTCAGCGATAGTTTGCCTTGTTGAGCGAGTCGCAAAACCGAGAAAAACGCATGCCCTTTACTCAGACGAGTTGCTGTGTGGACTTGATCAAACAGACATTTCCCACCAAGGGTGTTTACTTTTTCCAATATTGCCACATCGTCCTCTTCTGTGACTCGGCCAGCCATCAACGCATCTTGGCCAGTCAACTGTTGTAAGAAACCCTGAAGTTCGTTTTGGTCTCTTTGAAAGCTCCCAGAGATACGTGGGTGTGGCGGTAATTCATCCCACGATTCAGGAAGAAGACCCACTGTATCCAGGGTGTGTTCAAACTCCCCCTTTCGAAGTTCCAGCATTGGACTTCCCGGTGTCTCATCAAATTCAATATCACTGTTGTCTGCATCATCCATTATATCAAATTGGTTGTCGAAAGCGTCTAGATGAGGGGATTCATCCGCATCAGAGCTCTGGTCTGGTGTTATCAGGTCTGGTGTCGGCATGGCCGGTGGTGCTGCTTTGTTTTTCTTCAGCAGCTCAGCCTCTCTGCGTTTTCGATTATGCCTAGCAGACCAAGTTTCTCGACCCCAAAACAATCGTTCAAATGTTATTTTCTTCGATGGCCGAGAGGCATTTTTGCAGAACTCATCATAGCCATCAAACCACTCATTTAGTTTATCTTGGGAATAAAATATCTCTTTTTGAATAGTCACTTTAGATTTCCTTGAGGGATCTTGTCTTGCTTCTGTAGGGTCCTCTGTTTCATCCGGTTCGCTGAAATCTAAAGGCTCGATCGGTTCATCGGGGTAGACTGGTTCACTGAACGTAACTGGCGAAGCAATTGGCGTTACTTGGTTGAAAGGAGTATCGGAATGTTCCGTCAGATCAAACAAGACCTGATTCGCGTTACCAAATAAATCACTCTGGTATGAAAGCATACTTTCTGTGACAGAAGAGTAGTCGGACTCGGTTTGGTCCAAGGGGAAGTCTGTTAACCGAATAGAATCGCTGATGGAATGCGACGGTGTCTGGGTGTAGGCGAGTTTGGGCAGTTTATAAGGTGGCCAGTCCTTTTCCAGCTCTAAGTTGATGAGCGGGTTCTCTGGGAGAGTGTGGGAGCGAGACCTTCGAGCAGGTAGCAGTAGCGGGTCTGTTTTAGGTTTAGATTTGACAATGTTCATCGATTTCCAGGTCCGTATAACCTCTATACTCAGTATTCGCCCATTTGACGAGATGATTTTGCAAACCCCTAGCAAAATGTGTGCCTTCTGTCTCAAAGACAAGGGCGCATCGGCAAGATGCGGCACAATAGTCGTGGTCTCTGAGTCAAACCCGTGTTTAGAATCGTTCTGGCTCCAGAACGAAGCAGAGTACGCCTTTTTATACAGCCGCTCGGCCATAGTAAAAGATGGTTGATCCATTGCAAAGTGACCAGGTGACGGACCACTTTTTGTGACCGGTCAGAGGCCCACCATGCAGGCGGTCGAGATTGTGCATGAGGGAGCAGAATGGGTTTTAAAAGAGAAAGGGAATAACTTGTTTTGATTAGAGGACTCGATAACACACTTTACAGGTTATCGACTGGATAGGGAGCCAATCTGTAGATTGGGGACCTTCTATGTGAGTGATACGAGTCCTCTCGTATCGGCCCGGGGGCCAAAAAACCAAAATACTATAAGAGATATAAATTAGGCGTCCTGCTCAATGACACCCTTTTCAGATACATAAATACCGTCCAAGAACTTACGGATATCCTTGTTGCGAGCCTTGCAAATCTGCTGGATGTCCGCGGCGGTCTGAGAAACGTTCTCGACCGAGTTACCGGTGAGAATGAGCTCATCCTTCTGGCCCTTGGAGATTTCGACCTTGACGCCCTCAAGCGCGTTGACGATACGCACCTGCTTCTCGCCAAGGTAGTTACGGATCTCGACCTTCGCACCGTTGTTCTCGATGTTGACGTTGATGGGGAAATGAGCATACACATAGCGCATCTTGTACTTGAAGCCCTTGGTGACACCAACAATCATGTTGTGCACAAGAGACTTGACAGTACGCAACGCAGCGACTTGCTTGCGCGAGCCGTGCAAAATGTACAGCTTGATGAGCTTGTCGTTGACCTTCTTGAAGGTAACGTCGACGTGCTGGAGGTTCTTCTTGAGAGTACCGCGGGGACCAGTAACTGTGATGTTACGGGCCTTGATCTCGACGGTGACGCCCTCGGGGACTTCCAAACTCTGCTCAGAGGTGATATACTTCATGTCGTTAGGTAGAGATGTTTGGCAGGGACGAATTTTTCATAATCTGCATCATCACGTGAGTTACCCGGCCGCACATACCACTCGCCAAAATTGTGAGCCCATATAGCAGTTAAACGTGATTAATGGGCTCACCCTGTGTATTCCGCGGTGTCTCCCTCCTCGCATTCTCGTTCTGGGTCTCCTTTCGCCAACCTCTATATATCCACCTCTGTGCTGTCTAATAAACCCAAATGGCGGACGCATTCCAGCAAGCCATCAAAGCATGGCACGACATTGGGCTAAGCAATCTACAGAAAACGCTTGATGAGCAGGGCATCAAAATCAGTGAAAGCCAGGCGGAGGGCGTTGCCAAGAGGAAGGAACTCTCCGCTAAGACCAAAGAGTTCAAGCGCCTCGACGAGGCGGAGAAAATGGCCAGTATGAAGTCTCTTCTCAAATTATACCAGGCAGAGATCGACAATTTGACAAACAGATGCAAGTTTGCCGAAAGCTGTTTCATGAATGTGTACAAGTTGATGGCAGACGCCCCAGATCCGGAACCGCTCCTTGAAGCGTCGTCGAGCTCGGTTCAGCAGGCGTCTGAGCTTGTTTCGTTGAAAGAAAAGAATTCACAGCTTGAGAAAAAGCTTGTCAAGTACTCTGATTATGAGAAAGTCAAGGGAAAGCTGGTTGATCTGGAAATGAGACAGGCCGAAGTGACTGCGGAGAAGGTTACCGCCAAGCAGAAGGAAATCGAGGCCATCTGGGACGAGAAATCCAAAGCTTGGGAAAGCAAAGAGAAGGAACTCAGCCAACAGGTCACAGAGCTCAAAGGACAGCTCAGTGTTGCCACCGCTCAGCTGTCAAATCAATCCAATCGTGATTTTACCGATACAGATCTGAAGCTTGCCGAGCTAAACACTACGGCGCGAGAACTTGAGAAAATGTCGGTGAAAGTGATTCAACTCGAAAACCGTAATGTACAGCTACGAAAAGACCTCGAAAATGCCAAATCCGGCACGAGCGATCTCGAGCTTCGTCAAACTTACGACGCAAAGATTGCTCAATTGGAGAGCGACAATGACGTTTTAGCAGCTCAGAGCAACAACATGCGTCAACAGCTGCTTGCTCAAATTCAGGAATTGAAGAAGAACCAGACAGTTTCCGAAGCATCGTTGCAGAAAGCCAATTCCGAGCTGCTAGCTGCTAAAACCACTTTGGCTCAGCAACAAGACTACGAACAGATCAAGAAGGAGGTGGCTATTCTGCGTGCTATGGAGTTTGGCAACGACGAATCTACGATTGAAAGCAGCGATTACGAACAGGTATTGCAACTGAAAAACAACAAGCTGAACGATGAGCTGGTAGCTTTGCGTGTTTTGAATGAAAAGACAAGCAAAGAAAACAAGCAACTTCAGTCTCAAATCAAAGAATTCCAAGACCAAGCCTTGTCTCATCGCCAACTAGTCGAAAAGCTTGAAAATGATCTCGCAGTATTGCATACCGATGATTCGGTTTCAACTGTTTCAGGATGGACACCTGTTCCTCGACGCCTTTCCCCGGTCTCATCAATTGCCGGTCAAACCAACACATCGGCAGCTCCTCATCAAAACGTGGATATGCTCGGTATAATCACCCAGCAGCGCGATCGATTTAAAGAGCGTAGTCAAAGTTTGGAGGAAGATTTGCGAAAGGCCACACTGGCTATGAGCTCGCTCAATAAAGAACTGGAAGCCGTCAAGCAAGACAATATCGCATTGTACCAACGGTCGCGGTACGTCCAGCAAACCCAAAACAAGTCCAACAACCGTCTAAGAGGGGCCTATGAGGAGGGCCTAAGTGCTTATCAGCAGTTCAAAAGCCTGGAAACGGAACGGGCAATGGCAGGTATGAGTGCCTTCGACCGAGTCTTGTTTGCAATATTCCGTCGCGCCTTGCTTGAACCAAAGTTCAGATACGGGTCTCTCGCCTATGTAGCAGCCCTTCATTTGGCGGTCATATTTATAGCTCTGTGATTTAATGTCTCCAGGGGGAGATTAGGGAACTTCTTGAAACTTCAATTTTTTTACTTCCATACAGCTAAGGCTAGACAAGAAATTTTGTTATGAAATGTAGCATAATTAGGCAGACAGACGCTTCTGAGCGAGCAAACGACCGCGCTGGCGGCTGGAAAGGTGCAGGGGCTTCTTGTCAGTGGCCTTGGGGACAGCCTCCTGCTCCTCAGTGAGGTGGATCTCAATGTGGCAGGGGCAGGACAAATAAGCGTTGATGCGGCCGTGGGCGCGGAAAGTGCGGCGGCGCTGGTTAGGGGCCTGGTTAACCTGGATGTGAGAGATAACAAGAGCGTCGGTGTTGAGACCCTTGGTATCGGCGTTGGCCTGGGCGTTCTTGAGCAGATCAGTGATGTACTGAACAGACTTGACGGGCCAGCGGGCCTTGGTAACACCGAACTCTTTGCCCTGGGCAGTGCGGCCGATAGAACCAGCATGCTTGCGGAAAGGAATGGCGCGCTTCTTCTCAAGGACAGCCTCCAGGTACTGGTAGGCCTTGTCCAAACGCCAGCCCTTGATGGCCTGAGCGGTAGCCTGGGTATTCTTGAAAGAAGTCCGCAGGTACGAGCCACGAGCCGAAGCGTAGGCTGAATTATCGGGGGTCTTGCTGTACCGAGTCATTTGCAGGGTGCGAGATACTCGATGCGTGGTATTCAAACCTTGAGAGTGTGTACGTTTGTGACAGCTGAGCCCTGAGCCCTAATCGATATTCATGCAAGGATCTATTTTGTCGCTTACCCAATAATTTCGCTGGTCCGACTAAGAGAAAAAATTTCTTGCGTAAGCAGTGTATCGGGGAGTTACAAATCACCAAAGCGAGACCGCGATGATCTCTGAAAGGAGCCCTCTTGAGATTTAGAGGTTGCAATTCGGTATGGCACTTTTAACTATAGCAACTAATGTTTATCTAGCCCAATGGCCCCTAAATCGCTGGGCTCGGGGACTTACTCGCCTCATCTGCCCCCCAAGGAAAAAAATCTGCTGCAGGTCCCCCAATTACTAAGTGTGAAATTTTTTGATCTGCTCTTTCTTCATTATACCCGAATAAAAAAAAAATGGCATTCACTCCAGGAGGTAGAGGAGGCCGTGGCGGCGCCCGTGGTGGCGCCCGTGGTGGATTTGGCGGTGGATTTGGCGGTGGTCGCGGAGGCGGTCGCGGAGGTAGCTTCGGCGGCCGTGGCGGTGCTCGTGGCGGTGCTCGAGGAGCTCCTCGCGGCGGTGCTCGCGGTGGTGCTCGTGGCGGCCGTGGTGGTGCTCGTGGCGGTCGCGGCGGCGCTGCTGGCGGTGCCAAGGTTATCGTCGAGCCCCATCGTCACAGCGGTGTCTTTATTGGCCGTGGTAAGGAAGATATGCTCCTCACCAAGAACTTGGCCCCCGGTGAGACCGTTTACCGAGAGAAGCTAGTCTCTATCGAAGAGCCCAACTCGGATCCTAGCTTGCCTGCCACCAAGGTCGAGTACCGTGTCTGGAATCCTTTCCGTTCTAAGTTGGCTGCCGGTATTCTTGGTGGTCTTGACGAGCTGTTCATTGCCCCCGGCAAGAAGGTTCTCTACTTGGGTGCTGCTTCAGGCACTTCTGTCTCTCACGTTGCCGACATCGTTGGTCCTACCGGCACTGTTTATGCTGTTGAGTTCAGTCACCGCCCTGGCCGTGATCTCATTTCTATGGCCAAGAAGCGTCCTAATGTTATTCCTATTGTCGAGGATGCCCGTCACCCGCAAAAGTATCGTATGCTCGTTGGTATGGTCGACTGTGTCTTTGCCGATGTTGCTCAGCCTGACCAAGCCCGTATTATTGCCCTCAATGCTCATATGTTCTTGAAGAACGGTGGCGGTGTTGTCATCTCCATCAAAGCCAACTGTATCGACTCCACAGTTGATGCTGAGACAGTATTTGCCCGCGAGGTCCAAAAGCTGCGCGAGGAGCGTGTGAAACCCCTTGAACAATTGACCTTGGAACCTTATGAGCGTGACCACTGCATCGTTGTTGGTCGTTACCAGCGTTCTGCTTAATAGTATGTATTTGTTTTCTATTCATTTTGAAATAGTATCATGTCCTTTAACTTGAGCTGTACTCGAACCAGCCCCTCTTGAAGGTGGGCATACCAGGAGTTGCCAGCCTGCTATTGACAAGATTACATTTCCTCGTATCGATACATTGTTAATGATCCTCGCAACGACCTCGGGCAGTGTGTTCATTACTCCAAAGATTGCATGTCACAAACTACCCATTGAGTGAATGGCGATCAGTTCTGGCCACACACGAAGAGGTTATATTCCTGCGATTTCGCACCTTAGATGTAGCATGAAATTCGTTAAATTTCGTACGCGGGCATTGCGTCTAGCCCCAGATTGGAATTCAACCACCCACCGTCGGCTTGTACCATCCTCAAGCTAACTACTGAAACTAGATAAGCTTTAACCACGTTCCGATCCAAAATTAACCAAAACGACAAATCAATTAGCACCAGAATAGCCAGACCTACCTTTGACCACAGTCTGGTCAAAGGACGACCGTGTAAACCATCGCAGGCTATTCGCGATATTCTAAAACACCCCGCACTGGGGGTGCTAATGTCCCAAGTCGGACTTGGCCCATTATGGAGGCTGACCCTCTTGTGACATAATAATGCGCTTTATCAGATTCGCTCTGGCCGGTACGGCATTGGCACTGCCAGGTTGCAAGAATATCAAAGTGGACAATGAGAAGTACGATCTGTCCGATCTTGCCAAGACCTGGATAATTTCTGAGGAGATTGAGACGCCTCCCACGTTGACGAACCTCACTTGGTACTATAATCCCTGCGGCGCCATTGAGGAGTCCAATTGCCCGCCAAAATCTCAGCTTTGTGGTGTGGAACGAGTTACACGCGATGGAACGACAGAAATCACCCAAATCATCCCTATCTATTCGGATGGAGAGAACGCAAGCCGCGCCGTGGAGGGCGCCATTGATGAGAACGCAGAGGGAATTAGGTTTATCTACAGTGGTGCTACGTGGGGCGATAAAGCAGTTAGCGCAGAGGTTGTTTTCAATTGCGGAACCGAGTCAAAATATGTGAGTGGTGCTGATACTTGGGAAAACGAGTCGCTGCTCCTCACGTTCACAACGCCTTCTGTGTGTGCAGATAGAAGCGAAAAGCCCCGCCCGCCTCCTAGCGAACCAGATGAGTCCAGGGGATTCTTCGGATCCATTTTCCACTTCTTCTGGATGATTTTCGTTTACTTGTTAGTGCTTGCTCTTATCGTGGGCGTTATACTATTTATCAGGTACCGCCAGACTGGTCAAGCACCCGTCTATCGCGAGGATCTCGAAAGCCTGCTTCGAGATCTGCCCTATTTGATTCGCGACTTCTTCCGTAAAATCCGCGAGACGTTTGGCGGTTCGTCTCGTGGCTATGCTGCTCTTTAGCTGGAAACGTTCGCCAGTGCCTTCGTCAAGTTCTCTAAGGTGGTTTCGAAATATGCCTCCTTCTTTTTGAGGGCCTCGATCTTCTCTTGAGCGTCGCTACTTTCGCTGTCCAACGAGTTCGTATAATCTGTACTTTTCGTACTCATAAACATTTTGCCTACGCCCTGCCACACACGGCCGTTGCCGCCGATTCCCTCAACCTCCTGCTTGGTCACTTTGCCCAGCTGGATCGAACGCTGCAATGCGTTGATCTGAGCCTTGACAGACTGTAGTTCCGAGTGAGCAGTTAGTGCTTTCTGCTGCAGTTCCTGGGTGTCCATTGATCAGGTAATCTTCACGATGCTTCAGACTCTTAGCGGTTTAGTATGGTGTTAGACCTTTTACGGCTCGTGCATGGTATCAATTCGCTCGAGATGGGATTTTTGGGCACAATGAGTGTGCTGGTTTCGTGGAATCACACCTCGGTTCGTATTTTGACCCTATAACCTGTCTGTTTTTCAAGTTCTACCTGAAATACTGTCACTGACTAAGTTATCTCCAACGAAGGCTATTTTTCAGAATCGGATTGACATGCTTTCGGTCTCTTGGAAACGCTCTCTTCAGGTGCCCCGTCGCTGGTATTCGAAAGGATCTGCACAAGAGCTGGTCGACAAATTCTGGACCAAAATTTCCGTCGATGAAACCCCCACACACCGAGCTGTAACGCTAGAAGGTAAACCGCTCAAGACCCCTGGCGGGAGTCCATTGCTTATTCCTAACACCAAGCCTGCTTTCTTGTCTCATTTGATTGCCCAGGAATGGCAGGTAATGCCTACTTTGCAGCTCAAAGCACACCATGTCCCACTCACGTCTCTGGCCAGTCGAGCCATTGATTTTTCTGAGGAAGAGCGTGCTATTGTCGCGGAAAAGCTCCTACCGTACCTTGATACCGATACGCTTCTCGTTCTTGCCCCCATAAAAGACTGTGAGGGTCGTTTGCGGAAAGTTCAAATTGAGAAGTTCGGTCCGGTGGTTGAAGACGCCTGCAAGGTCTGGAACATCCCCAAACTCAACTACCTGGATACTGAAACTCAGCTTTTTGGTAATTACCAGACCCCTGAGGCCAAGGAAAAAGTCATGGCTTGGATGAGATCGCTCGATGATTGGAAATTTGCCTCCCTTGAACGAGCGACCACTGCAGCTCGCTCTCTTATTGTCGGCATGAACATAGTTTTGCACCGCAGACCTGTTGCAGAGCTGGCCCACTTGGCCAATCTAGAGGTCTTCCATCAGACCGAAATTTGGGGAGAGGTCGAGGACACTCACGATGTCGACCACGAAGATATCCGACGCCTTCTTGGTGCGTCTTACATTAACGCATTGGATTAGAATAAATTGTACATAGGCAAGGTTTTTATGATATTAGTTCTGCCGAGCAATCATGTCTCCTCATAAATAGTCGAAGAAGAGACTGTTATCGCCCGGCGGGGTTTACAGAGAGAGGGCGGGACGTAGGTTCTTCGTCGCATCTCAGCATCAGATGTGCTCAAGGTAGAAATAGAAACGTCATCAGAGTCCTTGCTCCCGGCCAGAGACGGTTCGTGGGTGCGAGCGGCAGAGATACACGCGTAAAACTTGTTGGCGGTGTCAGCAGCCCGGGCGCGGAACATATATGTCTCCTCTCCGATACGGACCTGGATGTCATGACGGCCAGACCGGCGAACATCTGCACCCCCTCCGACAGTGAGCTGGACGATGTCAGAAGAAGAGTGTACGTTAACCTTGGCAATCCCACGTCCGAGAGGAATAAGCTCGATTTTGAGCTCCATCTGCGAAAGTGGCACCCAACGGCTAACCGTCCACTTGGACACCCAGAGCTGAGCGCTGAACATGCCTGGCGGCAGCTGTGAGGTCGTGAGTGTGGGCGTAGAGAGCGAAGAGAAGTTAGTGCCAAATGTCGCTGACCCCCGATAGGTGGGTGAAACAAAGGTCGTCGAGGCAGGTCTAATACTGTCAATGGACTTTGCAGTGCGTATTTCGCGCACTCTAGGCACCGCAATAGACTGCGTCGTAGCAGTGGCCATGAAGACAGCGTCCTCTTCCGCCTTTTGGCGTCTAGCCCCTTCCACAACGCGTCGAATAGCTGGTTCGGTGGTTGTAACAAGGCCCACAGATCCAGGATCAAGAGTGCGTTTGGCCTGTTCCTGCTTGGCCTTTTCTCCAGCAAGCTTTATCTCTTCGACACGCTTCTCTTCCTGTTGACGTAGCTTTCTGGCTGCTTCCTCCCGGATGCTGCGATCAGAATTTGCCTGAGAAACCGTCTTCACGGCCTCGTCCTTGACTCCATTCAAGAAACTCTCCCAAGTTTTGGAAGAACCTACACTAGTGTGCAAAGTATCCACAGATCGTGCAGAAGACCTGAGAGAACGCATAGATTGGTAAGATCCCGCAGACGAGGCAAGTGATCCATTGGAACCAAACTGTGCTCCCACTGCAATTGTGCGATTGTTTGAATCAGAGCATACTGCTGTGCCCAAGCCCGAGCCTGAGGACTCGGGCCGGGATAAGTTGGAGTTCAAACTTTGCATGGAGGTCGACTTGTAAAGAGCGTAAAGGGGTCTCTGGTATGTGGAGCTGGCCTTGGCACGCGATTGAATTTGGGGCGCAAGGGGTTTTACCTCCGGTTCAACTGCTGGTGTCTCAGACACGGGGAGAGCTGCAGTCTCCTGTGCAGTAACTTCTGCAGGAGGTGCGGCATCCTCAGTCCGCTCATCGGCCTTGGCTGAAAGCGTTTTAGGGTCAGACATTTCCATCTTAAGCTTTTTCATAAAAGACTTGAACTTGGCCTTCTTGCTCTCCTCAGGCACACTGCTCTCACCCGAGCTCTCGACATCGGTGCTAGAACTCGTGTCAGTATCTGATGTCAATGCGCTCTTTGTGGTGCCAGCAGATTCTGCACGTAAATCTACAGGTGTCAGTGAAGCAGTAAGACGTGCGCTGATGGGTGCAGGTTTGGTGACAGGTGCAGGAGGCGGAATGCTAGGGGGTTGACGTACCTCCGTTTTGTTGATGTCTGTAGGCAGGCTTTCACAACTGTTGGCCGCCGTATTGGTTGCCCAAGGACGCGTAGGAATGACCGACACGTTTGGAACGGACTTGCTGGTTAATGACGCTAATGACTCAGAGCAGGGGATGAGACCGTTGCTTGAGAAGAGGACTGAAGTTGCGGCGGAATCATTGCTTGCAGCAGAATATGACTTCGATAGCACTGGTTGGGATACCTTTTCCTGACGCTCACGCATTTCACGCGCCAAAATCGAATTGCCAATCCTGCGACGTGCTTCGTTCGCCCGCTCTATCTCTGCCGGCGATGGCTGTTTTCCATTGAGCCTTTCTGAAGGAGGGGACGGTATAACAAACGGAGCGTTTGCTACAGTTGACTTTAACGAAGCCGGAGTTTGCAACATATCCGTGTCGACCTCGTCACTTGCTTGAGCATAGAGGATACTTGGGCTTGGGGTGTTGGTCACCTGTGGTGGAAGCACTGGAGCAGCCAAAGCTTGGGCTGGTATTTCAGTTCTCTCCTGTTCCTCTTCCTGGAGATCTTTGAGCATCTCTTTGAGGTCATCAGTGAGCCCGGAGGGCAACCCGATTGAAATGCGTTTCAAATTATTCAATGAAACTTCTCGTTTGGTCAGTCCAGATGGTTTAGGAGTGAACGAGTCATACGACTCATCCCTAACCAACTGCTGCTCAGCAATCATTTTATGATCTCTCTTCGTGATGGAAATACCAAGGCTGTCGTACTCGTTTCTGCTATTAGTGCCGCTAGTCTCGGCGTCAAAAAGGTTGCGCAAAATCACGTACCAGTGCTCCAACTCATCTGTATGACTCTGGAAGGAAAATGAGTGGCTTGGAGAAGACAGTGTAATAGTGTCCGCTGTGCGTGTGACCTTGAATTCGTCGCCACGGAAATTTGGGAACATTAGGCTGCGTTGGCCGGTAGTTTCGACACGGCAAATTGCTAGCGAATTATTCCCATGGCTCCGGATGATCAAAAGCTCGGCAACGCAAGAAAGGTTCAACTCAGCAAAGGAGGAAGAGGATAGCACTAGATCAAACACCTGGCGCTCAATAATATTAACAGGATCGAATGATGCAGACACAAGTTTGTTCGTTTGAAGGCTACGAGCATAGCCGAAATCGAAATTACTGGTGTTCAAGGCCGAGATCTGCACGATCAACGTGCGACGTGCGGCCAAGCAGAGGTTAGTGATGGTCTGCACACCCATGGGCATAGACATACGAGACTCGGCGATTTGTAAAATGTCTTTGAGGTCTTCAAGATAGATGAAAGGAGCCTTTCGTTGCTGTGCATGTGGGACATCGTAAACGAAGCTATCGATATAGGAGCAGAAGGCTTGCTGGGCATCGTTGCACCAGAATTCCATGCCTTTAATGTTCACAGGGAGTGTACGCATGACACTAATCACCGCTTCCAGCGCACGTCGAGAATCGCCGGGTGGGGTTAAAGGTCTGAGCGCAACCAGCTCTGTTTGGAACCGGGACGAGCGGGTAGTCACCAGTTCGATGAGCGCGTTGGCGCCCTTTGATCGTTTTTCAATTCGAATGTTTTTCACGGCGTTCCAGATAGCCATGGTTGTGATTGTCCTGTTACAAGTGTAAAAAGTTTGGAAACCTCGGCGAGGCAGAAAAAGCAGAAGTCAGTCCTAGCGGGAGAGCCAGGTTTTGTGAATGGGGTGGTTAAATTAGATTGTCAAGAGATATTAACTCAAGAACTCAGGAGGTGTTCAATAAGGCGAGCGTGCTGTAGGAGGTTTCTACCGAACAGGTTCAAGGAAAGGATAGTGAAGGAAGATCGATGCCCAGTTGGGATATATTAGCTCCATGCACGATTTCTCCTTGCTGGACGCGTCGCTCCGAACCCTACACAGCTAGTAACCTTGTTGTTCTAGACTGCAGCATTATGATATTTCGATATTTATAGTGATTTTATACGCGTAGGGTTGTATTGGCAGCTGTTTTTAACTGTTTCAACAGCATCTATAGTGAAAAAACATCTTGCCCATTTGCTGCAATGCACGTGCGGCCGATGTCCACGTTTGTGGAGGCATCGTGATTGAACGCGTTTTCCCCCCCTGTTGGTATTTATTTTTTATTGGGTGTGAATAGTCTCATATTGACTCGTAATTGCCTTAATTGATTTGTTTTCCTTTTTGGTTTCCGAAGTCTACTGCTTGTACAGCTTGTTCACCCCTTATGCAGACTGCGCAGGTGAATTGAGTCTTGCACGCGCTTATTGCCGATCTGGGAAAAAGCAGAACAGGAGTCAGGGCCTGGAAAAAAACTACTGCTTTTTTTTTTAAAGTAGTGGCTCCAGTTGCATTGCAGTATTTAGCATAATTCATAAAGTGAATTATAGTCGGCTTTTGTAGTGGTCGAAATCTGCACTCCGATCGACCACGATAATGTGCGGTGTACGGCCGTTATGTCAGTTAATTAGCATGTACGCTGAAGATTGGTTGGATGAGGAATATCGTCGGGTCGAGCAGTTGATTGATTCACTGGGTGCGATCAAAGCTAGCTTCGATACTATAAACATATACGTGGACAAAACCGACGAAACCATAGCAAAATCAGGTAAGGTTCTAAACCATTGGGCACAGCTTCTGAGAAAATCGGCAGAGATAGCTACAGTTATTGGCAGATCAACATGGTATGGACTTGATTATGAACTAGAGAGTAGGCGCAAAGAAGAGTTGAAGCGAATTGAGCTAGAGGAAGAACGTGAGCAAGCAGAACAAGAGGCAAAGCTCCTGCTCGAACAACAAACCGAAGCTGAGCGGGCGCAAAAGCTTGCGGAAAAGTCCATGGTTGAAGACTCGCTACGTGCTCCGAAACGAATGAGGCTTGGCCGCCCTGCTGGCTCAATTCGAAGGCGAACGGTCGCGTTCACACCACAGAGACGAGCAAGCCTTTATGACCCACACGCTCGACAATATACCTCTAAATACATATGAGCGATTATGTGCGACAACATTGCAGCTATAAAATCAGGCCTGAATATTGTTTCACATGAACAGCCCATTCCAAACTGCACTCCCCTCTACACCCCCTGTCTTCTCTCCTTCGTGTCTCAGACGCGTGACAAATCAGCGAACCCACACAAAGCGAAGAGTTGATTTTTTGATATTTTCGTCCGTGCTAACTTTATAAATCAGTGATATGAGAGAGATTGTTTCAATCCAGTGCGGCCAAGCCGGTAATCAAGTCTCCAGCGCATTTTGGGAGAGCATTATTCAAGAGCATGGCTTGGACCAGGACGGCCACCTAGACCCTAATCATGAGAGCCCCAAAGACCGTATTGACGTGTTTTTCTCTGAAGCAAGCAACCGAAAGTATGTTCCTCGTTCGGTGGCAGTAGACTTGGAGCCGGCGACTCTAGATTCTATTCGCTCAGGCCCTTTGGGAAATATGTTCCGACCCGACAACCTAATCTCGGGCGAAAGCGGTGCCGGTAACAACTGGGCAAAGGGCTACTATACCGAGGGTGCTGAGCTTATGGACCAGGTTCTTGACGCTGTTCGACGTGAGGTTGAACAAGCCGACTCGTTGCAAGGTTTTCAAGTGACCCATTCATTGGGAGGCGGTACAGGCTCCGGCATGGGCACACTGTTGCTGTCACGTATCAAAGAAGAGTACAGTGATCGTATGGTTTCCACATATTCCATCCTACCCTCCCCAAAAGTGTCTGAAACAGTTACTGAGCCTTACAATGCTGTCCTAGCTATGCACCAGCTAGTTGATTGCAGTGATGCAACTTACTGTTTGGACAACGAAGCCCTCTTCAATATCTGTACCAAGACGCTGCGTATCCAGCATCCTGGCCACCATGATTTGAACCGTTTGATTGCCATGGTAATGACAGGTGTTACTACTGGCTTGCGCTACCCTGGCCAACTTAATGGCGACCTGCGGAAATTGGCTGTCAATTTGGTACCTTTTACACGGCTGCACTTCTTTACTACCGCCTATGCTCCCTTGTTTGCTGCGAACCAGCGTGCGTTCCACAATTTGTCTGTTCCTGAGCTTACCCAACAACTGTTTAACCCTGCCAATGTGATGGCTGCTTGTAACCCTGCGAATGGTCGGTACCTTACCATTTCCACGATTTACCGTGGTAAGGTTGGTACAAAGGAGGTTGAGGACTGTAACCAGATGGCTTATCAGCGCAATCGCGGCCTATTCGTAGACTGGATTCCCAACAACTTCCAAACATCAGTTTGCAATGTCGCCCCCAAAGGCGAAACTTCGGCCACATTTATTGCTAACACTACTGCGGTCCATGAGCTGTTCACTCGCTCTCTCAACCAATTCGATATTATGTTCCGTCGCAAGGCTTTCCTTCACTGGTACACTGGTGAAGGTATGGATGAGTCCGAGTTCACGGAAGCTCAGTCCAACCTCGAGGATCTTGTTGCCGAGTACTTGCAGTACCAGAATGCAACTATTGATGAGGATTATGAGGAGGACTACAATGCTGGTTACGAGGATGAGCCGGCTTATGCTGAAAGCGTCGAGGTTGAGGCCTTTTAAGAATAGCTTAACTTATATTTAATACCCAAGGAACTCAATACATTTGAGAAAAGCACGCTGTAACAAGAATAGCTGACCGGACGTGATATACTACACGTATGTAATTACAAAGGAATAATCTTTACAAGCAAATCACCGCCGTCGACAGCGTCACCACCTTTGACTTCGACGGACGAAACTTTGCCAGCAACAGGAGCACTGACAACCATCTCCATTTTCATTGCTGAAAGAACAAGAACTGGCTGGCCCTTCTTAACTTCCTGACCAGCCTCGACCCGGATTTCAACGACACCACCGGCCATGGGAGCACCAATATCACCGGGATTGGAGGGGTCGGCCTTGGGGCGAGAAATTGTCTCAACAGCGGCATTACGATCCTCAACAGTGATATTACGCATCTCACCATTAAGCTCGAAATAGACGTCGCGAGTACCAGTCTGCGAGCTGATGTCGCCAACAGTCAAACACTTGATGACAAGCACCTTACCGCGAGTGATCTCAATTTCGTATGGCTTTCCGATTTCGAGAGGGGCCATGAAAATGTCCGTGGGAACAACGCTAAGGTCACCAAAGCGCTGGCGAAGCTCGTGGAAGCTCTCAAACACCTTAGGATACATGACGTAGCTAGCAAGATCAGTCTCGCTAATGTCATGGCCCAAGCGAGCTCGCAAATCACGCTTCATGGCTTCAAGATCTAAGGGGGCCAAAAGGGCACCAGGTCTCTTATTCATGGGCGTCCGCTTGCCCTTCAAAATGTTGGTACGCAAAGGCTCGGGGAATCCACCGTAGGGAGTACCCATAAGACCCTGGAAAAAGTCAAGCACCGAATCAGGGAAATCAAGCTCGGAGGCACGTCTCTCAACATCCTCTGGAGTTAACTTGTTAGAAACCATAAACTGGGCTAAATCACCAACAACCTTGGAAGTGGGCGTTACTTTAACAATGTCGCCGAGGAGTTTGTTAGCTTCAGTGTAGGTCTTCTTGGTTTCCTCCCATTGTGATCCTAAGCCAACTTGTTGAGCTTGGAACAACAAGTTAGTCAGTTGGCCACCTGGAATTTCGTGAATGTAAACTTCAGGATCGGGACCTTTAAGCTCAGCATCGAATGGTGAGTACAGCAGACGCATCTGCATCCAGTAGTTATCAATCTCGCGTACATGGTCACCATTCAGGTTAGTGTTGATTTCGCCGTCCAAAGAAGCTAGTAGAGCAGAAATGGATGGCTGTGAAGTCATACCAGACATGGAGTTCGAGGCGGCGTCAACGACATCAGCACCGGCACGCGCACAAGCAACCATCGAGGCCACACCAGTACCCGCGGAGTCGTGAGTATGTACGTGGATGGGGAGGTCGGGGAACTCTTTACGAATGCTACCAATGAGCAAAGTAGCAGCCTTGGGGCGAAGTGTACCAGCCATGTCCTTGATACCCAAAATGTGGGTACCCATAGCGACGATCTTGCGAACAACTTCAAGGTAGTAGTCCAGGTTGTACTTCTTTCCGGGCACGAGCATATCACCAGAGTAGCAAACAGTAGCCTCAACAAGACCACCAGCCTTCTTGACAGCATTGACACCAACTTCAAGTTGTTCAAGATCATTCAATGCATCAAAGACACGGAAAACATCCACACCAGCATCCTTGGCCTGCTTTACAAAGTGATCGATGGCATTGTCAGGCAAAGAAGCATAGGCAACACCGTTAGCACCGCGTAGCAGCATCTGGAAAAGAACATTGGGAACAGCTTCTCTGAGTTTACGCAGACGATCCCAAGGGTCCTCATGCAAGAAGCGCATGGCAACGTCGAAAGTTGCACCACCCCAACACTCCAATGCAAAGGCACCTTCCAAAGCATGAGCAGTGGTGGGTGCAATCTTCAGCAAGTCGTAAGTACGCAAACGGGTTGCCAAAAGCGACTGATGAGCATCACGCCAAGTAGTATCCATGATCATAGTACCATCGAAGTTGCGCACGGCCTTGGCAACTGCCTCAGGTCCCTCATTAAGCAGAAGGTAGCGAAGGCCATTCTGAGGCTTGACCGAGACATCAGGAATACCAGTAAGAGAGGGTACCTGCACAGGGCTTTTGAGGGAAGGGAGACCACGTTGCCCAACTAGAGAAGAGCCATTGACAAGCACGTCGGCCAAGAAAGCCAAGATACGATGAGCACGATTCTGGAACTTGAAAAGCTGGAACAGAGACGGCTCATCATCAATGAAAGTAGTCCAGCACTGATTGGCAATAAAGGTAGGGTGTGTAATGAGCGACAACAGGAAGGGAATGTTTGTTTTAACACCACGAACGCGGAACTCAATGAGCGAGCGCAACGTCTTACGACGGGCAGTTTCAAAGTTGGAGCCCAAGCAAGTACATTTAACAAGCAGAGAGTCGTAGTAGGGTGTGATAACAGCACCCGCAAAGCCGTTACCACCATCCAAACGAACACCGTTACCACCGGCTGAACGGTAAACTTCGACGCGACCAGTATCAGGCTGGAAATTCTTCGATGCATCTTCAGTGGTGATACGGCACTGAATGGCACAGCCACGAATGGTAATATTGTCCTGCTGTAAACCTAGATCTTCCAAGGTCGCACCTGCTGCGATCTGAATTTGTGCGGCTACAATGTCAATACCGGTAATTTCTTCTGTAATGGTGTGCTCAACCTGGATACGAGGATTGATCTCGATGAAATAGTGGCGATTCTGATTATCCACAAGGAATTCAGCGGTACCAGCGTTCTTATAGCCTGCGACTTGGGCAAGCTTGACAGCATCAGCCAGAATAGCATTTCGAACACCTTCGTTCAAGGATACAGCGGGGGCGATCTCGACCACTTTCTGATGACGACGCTGAACTGAACAGTCACGCTCAAACAAATGGATCACGTTGCCTTCACCATCTGCCAAGAGTTGGACCTCGATGTGCTTGGGCTTGTCAAGAAAACGCTCGATGAACACAGTGCCATTACCAAAAGCGGTCTTGGCCTCAGAAGTAGCTCGAATGAAAGCATCTTCAATATCCTCACCCTCTCGAACGACACGCATACCACGGCCACCACCACCAAATGCGGCTTTAATGATGACGGGGAAGCCGTGCTCCGCAACAAAGGCCCGAGCCTGTTCAACGTTATCAATAGGGCCCGGAGTTCCAGGTACGGTGGGCACACCAGCCCGATCAGCAAGATAGCGTGCCGACACTTTATCGCCTACGCTATCAATGACCTCAGGAGGAGGGCCAACCCATATGATGCCAGCCTCAATCACTTTGCGAGCAAACTCCGAGTTCTCGGATAAGAAGCCATAGCCAGGATGAATCATGTTCACATTGTGCAGCTTTGCAATCTTGATAATTTCGTCGATCTGCAGGTATGCACCGACAGGTGTGAACTGGCCGGGTTTACCAATTACATAGGCCTCATCGGCCTTGAGACGATGCATAGACAGCATATCCTCATGGGCATAGATACCAACAGTAACCATTGACAATTCATGTGCAGTTCTGAACACACGAACAGCGATCTCAGATCGATTGGCCACCAGGATCTTGTTGTTGGGCCCCAAAATCGACGTGCCAGCCCGCACGGTCTCCAAAGAGGGCAACTCGGTGAAAGCAACGTCGTCCATTTGATAAAAAGGATGTTGGATCAAAGGCAGTAGAAACAGATCTGGAGTAAAGAGTAGAATAGAAGACCTGTGATTATCCTCTGATAGAGATTTCTAGTCTATCCGAAAGAATTACTCTGTTCAATGCCAAAGTGAGGTTAAAAGAAATTCGATCCCAACCAGCTGCAATGACCAAATCCTAACTCAAATACAGGGTAAGGGTCAAAGTGCGTCCCATAGGCGGTGATTCATTCTGCTGATAAGGGCAAGGGCTGAATACTGGTCTGCGATGGTCATTATGTGGCATGGAAATAAAAATCTGGCAAAAATAACAAACCATAAACAGTTAAAATCACACTAATATACATCTTAGGTAGCTCATTTCCCAGATAACCAGGTTAGCCTCCTTCTTTTCATCTCCTGCACATAGTCTGCCAAATGTCGCAGGCCAACCAGAGGCGTTGGGGCGCGATTTTCCACAATACGATCGTACAATTCACCTACAACCACTTGAAGGCTAGTAGGAGTATCATGTGGAATTAAAAAAAACGCTCCCTTTTTACCGTACACAGCACTTATTTCATCCGGACCCTGGTCGCTCCAGACTGATGCGTACACAATGACGTCGCCTGCGTCGATCTGGGCATCGCTTGCAGACGAGAAAATTCTGGGGGGGCCTGAGAATGGCGCATCCCCGCATCCCCGCGCTAGCGAAATTTCGTTAATTAGGTCTTTCTGGCCAGAAGTCTCTGCTATCAGTGTGATTTTCTCTCGTGGATAACCCAGCAGACTGAGGTATTGATACAGCAGCACTGCATATTCGGCTGTGCCGACGTGTTGCTCGTTGTATGCAATTGTTCCGTACCCATCCACATGGACCCGTTGCACAGCTGATGCAAAGCCCGGCAGATTATCGTCCCCCGTAGGAGTTAGTGTGGGGTACCAGTCACGGTACAGTTCGGCAACTGATGGCGAGACGTCAAGCGGACCTTCACAGAAATGGACACCGTATAGGACCATACGTGAGAATAAGCTAGGAATTGGAGATGCTTCACCAATCAGCACTAGCTTTTCCAAGACATCATTGATCACGTGTGCTGTCTCGAGCTCAGACCACATATGTGCGCGATCAATTACTATTGTTTTGAAGTGTCCATGGATCGGTTTTGGCCACACCACCACATCAGCAGTTTTCAATAAATAATTCTCATGTTGAATTTCATCCAGCACTTTCAAGGGAGATAACCAAGCAATTTCCGTGAATAGTTCATTTTCCAGCAGGTTTAACCTGCGGCCAATGAGCTGGGCAGAGGGACAATCATTCTTGAAAAAAGCACTCATGTTGTTTTCGGCAGCCAGATCACCCACTTTTTTTAGCAGCTCATCAAGTCTAGGCAGCATTCTTTGTCCTCTGTAAACATTTCCCTTGAAATCTGCGTGCTGAGGTCGAGAGCTAACCAAAAGAGTACGGTCGAATTGATCCCAGTCTAGCAACGGAAAGTCTCCACCCGGCGGAATTGCTACCACAGCAAGATTGTTCTTTTGAACAAATTCCAAACAGGTTGAAGCAGACTCGGGATCATATCGCCAACCCAAAAGCGGCTTAATTAAGAATTCCGGCCAGTCCTGCTTAACTGATATTTTCGACCGCCAAAGTCTTCGATTATCAGGAATCATGATGCTTTCTGCTTTCTTTTCAATTGATCTGACGATAAAAGGCTCCACCGACACAATTTGAGCGAACCAGATACTGCTTTTATCGACCAAAAAAACTCCATCACCAGGCGCAAGTCTCGAGAACTCCAGCTTTCCACCATCTGAAAGATCATCTGGATCAATGCTGACTTCGTAAATCACCAGTTTAGACTCTGTGGATTCTATTGATGGTATCACAAACTCCACTGCTTTGAAAGTAGCGGGTGCGCCATACCTGTAGGTTCCGGTTTCCAACTTGACGTTCATACGAGCAACTTGCTTTGAAGCAGCTGAATACGTACCGTCAACCCATGATCTGTTCTGCGTATCAATGTAGTCTTCGACAGATAAAAAAACACCAGTATTTGAAATGTGTTGCTTCGAGAAACCTGAAACCGGATCAAGCTTGATCTGTGCGTAGCGGAATGATAAATCTTGAATAGAAACATCTAGTGAAATTGCGAGCTTCTCAAGCATCAAATTATTCGCTTTTGCTAGATGAATATCTAGTTGATCAGGATCAGTGATTGCAGATTTTGGTAGTAATGCAAGGCTCCTCAGACCTAAACCGAGAGCTTTGGATCGGAACCGCAAGATTTCTTCTTCCATATCCCTATCATCTGTGAATTGAAGATAGTATAGTAGCAAACGAGACTTATCAGGCTGTGGTTTTCTGTACCTAGCATAAACGTCTGCCTGGATAATATGTTTCCTGGAGACTAATGCGGTGGGTAGCTGGCGAGCGAGCACAATACTCAGATCTAATACACGATCATCCTTGTTGAACAACAAACCGTTCATATCTGGAGACTTTAGAAGCTCCCGCACTAGCTCTCTGCAAACAGGGTTGCATAGATTGGAAGCAAGAGTCAGGGCTGTTTTGATTGCACCAACATCTTTTCTTTTCAAACGGGCTTGACAGCCGGCTTTAAAATTGCTGCAGTTGGCCACTTTGGACGGGATATGCCTACAGCCCAGCAAAAAAGTATCCAAATCTTTTTCTACTTCTTCCGACTCCGCAGAGCACATGCGTCAGCAAGACGAAAACCGGTGGTATCTCTATTCGACAAAATCACCAGCTGGGGAAGGGGGGCTTTTTTTTGTAAAGATTCGCTGCGTCCAATCGATGATTGGCTTAAGTTCAACCACAAGGCTACTAAAATGTCAATCACACGATATAGAATATTTGATGCAAGGATGTCAATGTCCAATCTGCTAAACACTGGATTGTGAAAACTCGTTTCCCCCGCGTTCGTTTACTTCGGAGAACCAGTCCCTATATGAGCTCTGGTGCGCATCGAGCACTATTAGTGCAGATCAAACAGCTCTTTGGTTTGTTTCAGATGCAGGTTGTGGTTATCGATGAATTTGTTTTTCGGCTGGAATCAAAGTATTTGACAAGTGCATACTATGTTCTGATATAACGCTCTTGTACTAGAAATATACGGCTGCGGCCATATCCAGATGAAAGCAAGACTTCCCGTCCGATCAGTCCTATTGAACCATCTGAGAGCCTTACCAAGTATTACAGTGGGAGACCATGTGAGAACAGAAGGTGCTGCAGTTAATTTTTTATATTTCATGTTTAAAAGCCGAGTCATATAATTCCTGGCGCAAAGGCAAAAAGCCGAGTCACATAATTCCTGGCGAAAAGGCAAAAAGCCGAGGCAGCAGATGGTGTATAGGCTCAAAGCCGAGTCGCTAAGTAATCGCTGGTAGGTGCCAGCGGCTGTTTAGTGCTTTAAAATAAAAATTCTGATTAGACTGTTAATTTGGTGATATTTTCATTTCCACTTTCTGCTATATATCTGTAATATTTATGATACGGTGCGGTATGCCGGGGTTGGCCTACCAAACTGATTACCCATCCATTCAAAGCTGAACAAAACATGAATCAATCTATAACAGATATACTAGCCAAAAGTCGGGCAATAATTCAGCACCAGTGATCTTGATCAATTGACCATACGCACATTTTCATCCATACCAAAACGTTGAAGACTAGCTGCGTAGCTACGTATAGATGATAAGCTCTACCACTACTTTCCTAAGCGTATGCTGATCAAAACTCTAGGCATTGCAAGTTTAATATATAGACGGATCGAAACACTACGTTGATAGATACAGTGTGAGTAGTCTCCGAACTTCAAAGGTTCAGCAAGGAGTTGGACGGTTTTCAAAGCCCGTGAGCGAGCGCTTGCAACTCTGAGGTGTAAGTTCGAAAGCTTGAGGTTAGATGGCGACCTTAGTTACAATAGCAAACAGTGAGGCGTTCAATTGCCCTGAAACCATACTAAACCGAAGGTGTCCGGACCCATGAATGTCATCCACGATTTTCGACGCCATACTTCCGGGTAACTGATTTCTAAAATTTCACTCTGAAAAAAGATATTGATTATAGAGCGAAGTGCAGCTCACAACCGGCCGTCGAAATCCTTATCCATGTCCCGACAAATAATCGGACGTGCAAAAACAAACCTTTCTGCAGGAATTGTAGGGCTAGCCAATGTAGGAAAGTCAACATTTTTCCAGGCAGTTAGCAAAACCGCGCTCGGAAATCCTGCCAATTATCCGTTTGCAACTATTGAACCAGAAGAATCGGTAGTAGTCGTCCCATCCGAGCGACTTTTGACCTTGAAAAATTTGTATAATCCTCGTTCTGTTGTACCAGCCACTCTTCAGTTGGTTGATATTGCAGGTCTTGTGAAGGGTGCCTCCCAGGGTTCTGGACTAGGCAATGCTTTTTTGAGCCATATTCGTGCTACGGATGGGTTGTTTCAAATGGTGCGTGCATTTGACGATAGCGATATTGTTCATATTGAGAAATCAGTCGATCCTGTTCGAGACGCTCAGATCATTCACGACGAGCTTGTACTAAAGGACATGGAGTTTGTGCAAAGTGCAATTGACACAACAGTTAAAGCATTGAAAAACCCTATGAATCTTAAGGAAAAAAAAGAATTTTTGAGCACGGCTGAAGAAGTCATGGAGATTCTCGAAAGTGGGAAGAGAGCTGCTACTAAGGATAATTGGACAGATTTGCAACTTGGGCATTTGCGTACTCTTTCTCTGATAACCACAAAGCCAAACGTGTTTATTGCTAACATTTCCGAAGAAGATTACTGTTTTGGCGACAGCGAGTCGGCTGTTAACGATCTGGTAGAGTGGGTTAAAACCCACTCGCCAGGCGACAAAGTGATTCCTTTAAGTGTGAACTTCGAGCATAGAAGGTCATTGATGTCTCCAGAAGAAATCCTAAAGGAAAATGAGGAACTAGGAGATATTCCGAGTGCAATTCCGGCTGCGATAAGCGCGATGCGATCAGAACTTGGATTGCATAGCTTTTTCACAGCCGGCACAGATGAGGTTAGAGAATGGACCATTCGTGTCGGAACTACAGCGCCACAAGCAGCTGGAGCGATCCACACGGATCTTGAAAAAACATTTATCGTTGCTAACGTTACGAAACTGAACGACTTGGTCAAGTACTCAGCAGACGAGGCCCAAATCAAACGAGCTGGTAAACTTCTTTCCAAGGGAAAGGACTACGTTGTTGAAGACGGTGATATCATCCACTTCAGATCTGGTGCTTCTAAAAAGTAGAAAAGTTTTTTATGTACATAATATTTAAAGAAGAAGATGACTCTTTTTGGAAGACACTAGTTAGTATATCTCAGTTGAACGTTTTTATCATAAATGCAATCAAACGAGCTGGGTTTAATAAAGGCCAAAGGCCTGCTGTCATCCTTGACATACCTTTCCTTAATATCGTTCCTTCGGTTCGACGAGCAGTGTAGAGAAGGAAAACCCTTTGACCATTCTGGTTATATAATATGTCTTGCCTAGCTAGGCAACCGAAAGCTTACAGGCATGAATTAGTAAACAATTACCTGGAAGGTAAAGATGGCAAGTACTGGGTCGGGGTTGTATAAGGTTGTTTTTGTGATTAAGCGGCCAGACGTCCTTGTTTCTGTTCAACTCGTTGCTTCATCCCTGTTGTGCCGTATACGCACCCACACATAACTGGACTTTGGAGTAATTATCCGAGTTAAGTGATCGAAATATACAAATTCCTTTAAATATATTGCATCCAAGCCTACCTATTTCTACTTGTGGACAACCCCAACTCCAAGACATGGATACCATTCAAAGTATACCTGCGAATCCAGCTACACTAGAAAGCTTCAATGACTGCAGAGAGCCTGAATATGATGCATTCATGGGCAATGAGACGTCCTCGCATAACGACCGCATGACGGATTCTGATAGTGGGTCGAACAACCTAGCTGAGGCCCATTCCGACACAATGGTAGATACGCTGCAAGGATGTTCCAGTTCGATCCATGTGAAGAAGAGAGGGAGTGCGCGTGAACCATTCTCTATAAGATTTGTCCCCGTCATTGATCACAGTATTTCTACTTCACTAAGATTTTTCAAACCTATCGAGCGCCGGCTGGCGAAAGACAGCGTCTTTCGTGTCGGCCGTGTCGAAAGTTATCACGAAGGTTTACCCAAAATCGAGCCAGTTGTATTCCGTTCAAAAGTTGTGAGCCGGCTGCATGCTGAGATTGCTCTAAAAGACGGAAAGTGGTATGTCCGCGATATCCAATCTTCTTCGGGAACATTTCTGAACAACACTCGGCTATCTCCAGCAAACAAAATGTCTCAGGATTGTCCCTTAGATAATGGTGATGTGCTTCAGTTTGGTATCAATTTTCGTGGAGGCCACGAAGAGGCGTTCCAGTGTATTAAGGTTCGCATTGAGCTCGACTACTCTTGGCAGCATACAATTTCGGACTTTAATGTTCAGTCATTGAATAAAGTTCGCCAGGAGATGGCTCGCTTAGGCCATACTAACCTGCTGGAGTGCACAATTTGTCTCACCTCTGTACGACCAGGTCAGCCGCTATTTATTTCTGCATGTACACATGGCTGGCATTACAAGTGTATACGGCCGCTTCTGGTTCGAACATATCCACAATTTCAGTGCCCTAACTGCCGTCTAGTTTACGACTTGGAGGAGGAAGATGACGACACTGACAACGACTTGGACGAGAATGAAAACATTTCACCGCCAACTGAGCAGTAGGCTTAGGAGTAAGAAGAAAATAAAGACTTTAATAAAAGAAAATGTGAGCTTTGCATAAGTATCAAATATTAAACCATTTACACAAACTGGGGCGGATCAGTACCATATCGAACAAAATTGGTCAACAATTTGGTCAATTCTCGCGCTGACCGACGATTTCGCCAAATCTCATGCGGCCCTTCAAGGAGCTTCCAGGCTAAAACATCGTCAGTAAGCTTGAGAAGACGCCTCTGGTACTGGAACCATTGCTTGTCTTTGTGGTCTTTGGCTGAGACCACCAAAAGTGGCGTATCACGCGGAAGGTTTGAAGTTGCAAGGTCGATATCCACTTTGGTTCTACGTGAGGCACTGATTTGCTCTTGCAGCAACGAGCGCTGTAAACGGGTCTCCTGTCCTTCGAAAAGACCATAGATACGATCTTGAGAGTCCTGACCAAAAAAGACTCCGATTACTTTGTTGACGCCAGAAGCGTCCCAAACACCCTTGATAAAATGGCCCAGGCCAGAATACCAGGATTGTTTCCGGTAAAACTGCTCCTCATGGAGGGCATCAACTAGCATTATTCCTGTGATTTGTTCAGGATGTTGGGATGCGAAAACTCGGGCATACAGGCCACCTACACCATGAGCTACCAAAACAATGCTCTCGTTGCGGAAATCTGGCAATTCCTGCTCCAGTGCGGCATTCAAGAAAGACGTAATGGTGGCCATGTTTGCTGGACTTGGGACATTCTCTGAGAAGCCATGCCCAGGACGATCCCAGTAGCAGACTGCTTTAATTTTTTCAGCAGCGAGAATCCAGTTAGAAAACTCCTCTGCAGAGGTCTCTCCGGCCTCAGCAATAACAATTGGACCATCTTTGCCAGCTGGAGTGCAGGAGATATGAACTCGAGGTGCGTAGAACCGCCCATTGAGTTCTGATCCAACAGTTACAAGGTCGCCCAGAGGGGTCAGTTGACCATCGAACCCGTCAATATAGAGCCCAATTGAGGCAACAAGCACCACCAGGAGGAGAATAGCGCGAGCACTGCTATCAATAAAAGAAAGCAGGAACTGGCGGAAGCCTCCGAACGTGTTTCTCTCACCTCGCCTCAATGTGCTCTCGGCCACTGCTTGATCCCTGGCGGTTTGTTTATTCCAATAAATCACTTCGTTTGAGTAGGCACCCAGCAAAACTGAAACAATTGCACCCCCAAAAGTCAGGCACAGCGTAAAGGGCCCTAACTGTCGCCTCAAATGTTCAACAGCAAGGATTACTACCATATCGAGAACAAGGAGGCCAGCGGTTACTTTGCCAAACACTTCATCCATATGGCTGGGGACTCTGTAAAAAAGAATCGAAAGCGTCAGACTTGCAATTGAAATCAACGAGAAATAGAGATTTTCAAAGCCCGAGCCTAGATGTGAGTCGAGGCCCACCGAAACAAACATATCGAGCAGTAGGATCAGCGACCAAACTATGGCAAAGAAAAGAACGAGAAGCAACACAAACCGGAAATACGAGAAGCGGTTATTTGGAGTCTCCACATTGGCTTCATTGAGATTTGTAGAGTCCTGCAGCAACGGCTGCGACTCTGGAGTAGACGGCGAAGCTGATATGCGTCGGGGCATGGAGGCTTTGTCACATGCTTGCAGGATCTTTAGAGCTGAAAGGGTGAGTTTTTTTTTTTGTTTTTTTTTGTTTTTTTTGCTTTTTTTTTTGTTTTTTTAATAAAATATGGTAATCCACGTATTTCTAGACCACAGAGTTTCAATTATACTGCACCATTTTCTCTTTCGAAATGAGAGCGTGTTTTGTAACTCCCATTCGCTGGTGTTTATTGTGCTCACCTTGAATAGCGAAACCAGCATTCAGCAGAATAAGAAGTATTTTGAGGTATAAAATATCTTAAAGGCCCTCTAGTTGGATTGTCTAGTAATGCAATGCTTCCTGTTTTTGTTACGACACATGAATGTCACGAGGTGGCACAATTGTCTATCTACACACTGACCACGTGGATTATTGTCTAAACAACAACAGACCATTCAAAAAATACATTAGCTTGTACAATACACTGTTATTAGGTTTTTATATGAAGCTTTGAACAAGATCCGAGCAGTTCAAGGGACTTCATCGAACGCCTGCGAACCCTGCCACGGTCCCTTCGAGTCTGGGGGTGCTAGCAGCTTTTAGATGAGATTCAAGAGAGATTCTGCTGCGTGCATACACCCGACCTGTCACCAACTTCCCATATTTCTACAATTACATTGAGACTTTTGATCTTCTAGCCAATCAGCTTATTTGAGCCCACTCGATTTATGTATATGCATATATATCGCAAAGGAAAAGTTGAACAGTTGGCACAATGATAGCACATATATTTAAGTCTCCGAGGATGCGGCTCAAAACGTATGGAACCAACGGTTGCCTGAGGGTATGGATCTTTCGGAGTCCGCGGGCTGCACGTGCGAATCTGCAATTGAAAGTGTGAAATGATATTCTACAGATGGATCCGCCTCAAAAAAAATCAGTAATGAAGTCATAGAAATTTAAACTAACCAGGTTTTTCCGAACCACTCAAGATGTAAAGAAACACCGGCTTGATGCTTTCAACGTCTCGGCAATTGCCCCACAATTTTTTGTAGGCCTCGGGCCCCAACCACTGATAAGATATATTATCTAAGTAATTCAGACTCATGACGACTCCATTACCGGCTTTGCCTAACATTGCGGTCCTTTCGCCACTTGTAACGCGAATTCTAGGTCAGAATCCGGGGCCGTTTTGTCTACAGGGTACAAATACTTACCTGATTGGCTGTCCATCTCAGAATGAAAGGATTTTGATTGATACCGGTGAAGGGCTTGATGCGTACGCCACGCTGCTGCACAAGTATTTAAAGACAACGAAATTCCGGCTTTCAGCCATTGTTGTTACACATTGGCATCCAGACCATGTCAAGGGAGTGCCAAGTATCTTGGCAGGCTTGGACTATTCGCCGGCTGTGTATAAAGTGCTCAACCCCGAGAAAGACGAGCCGACTCGCAAGTATTCGCCGCTGAAAGACGGAGACGTGCTCAATACTGCTGGAGTCTCGCTAGATGTTTTACACACCCCAGGTCATGCGAGAGACCATGTCTGTTTGTGGCTTGCCAAGGAAAAGTGCTTGTTCACCGCCGACAACGTTTTGGGACATGGTACAACCGTTTTCGAAGATTATCATGCATACATCACTTCCCTAAGAAGGATGCTTGCTATTCCATCGTTGGGTCGACTATATCCAGGGCATGGCCAGCTTGTGGAGGATGGGCCTGCTAAAATTAAGGAGTACATTGAGCACCGACTCGAACGTGAACAACAGGTTGTTGAGGCCATGCAATCACTTGGCCGCGCCGTGGACTCCATGGAAATCACAAAGATAATCTACGGAGAGTCGCAGCACCCCAAGCTTTACGCTGCAGCTGATAGGGGTGTCCAACTGTACCTCATCAAACTCGAGCATGACGGCGTAGTCCGTGAGTCCGAAAACCGGTGGACTCTGGTGCACGGTAAACTTTAATTAATTAGACTGGATAGACAACATGAGTGCAAAGGATTGATAAATATTACATGCCTATGGGATGTGCCGCGAGATGCTATTTTCGTTGATTTCGGACTTTTTTACTCGGGCTTGTCCAGAGGCCGTGGGCGCTTGAACAGAAGGATATGGGGTTCTGGCGCGTGAGTTTCGTAGTGCTCCCAGCCCAACGACTGTGTGATACCCAATCCACGCCATTCCTCTTCCTGTAGAATTCTCAGCGTTCCTGTCGCCGTGTTGAAGTAGTCTTTGGGGATGACTTTGAGCATATTCTTGGGGAGGATTACGTGCCTATACTCAAACAGATCATCACTGTATCGAACAGAGTAGTGGATATGGTCTTGAAACTCCGTGAGACGCCCTTGCTCAGCTACCGTCAGTAGACGCGGTCCCACTGATTTAGCGGACATATTGTGAAATATTTGTCAGGCCCAATCGCGATGGTGGGTAGAGGGTCCATTTAAGGCACGAAGGGGGTCGATGCGGGGTGTTGGGAGCGAACCCCCTCTCGTGAATTGATGCGAAGAACAATCGATTGGCGAGCGGTTTGGAAGTAACTAGTCGTAACCCGAGCATATAAACACAGAGAGTATCTGTGAAAACCTCTTCCTGAACTTGTGTCAACAACACGCTCAAAACCTCCGTTTTTCGCTATTTTCTGTAGCCCTACGCCTGCCAGCCCTGCATGAAGAAGGGCTCGGACAACACTAGGGCGAATATCCACGCCCACGCAAGTTTCAGATTAACCTACTTACATATTTTTGTTGTTCATAAACAGGCTCCTAACTATATTTGACAGCGGCTGATCGCAAGTAACCACCAAATTGCGCAAACTTCATACCGCCACCTGCAGGTACAGGGCTGGGGACGATGGTCACAAGATCCCTAGATCCCTAGTTAATATAAACAATTGAGAAGATCCCCTACCACTCGGCCTCCACCCCCACGCGTAAAAAGACTGCTCGATTTCTCTACGATTTTGCTTTGGTTGAAATTCCAGTCTTATTTCTGATAACTTTTTGGATTCTATGATATGAGCACAGAGCGAACCCTGTATGTTGGTATAAATTTACCAGGAAAGCACGGTGCAGCCGACAAGTCTGTTGTAGACACAGCTATCGAGCAAGGATACGACCTGGTAACAGCAAAAATAACAACTAGGTCGTTCAAGCACAAAATACTCAATCTTTGCGCCCCTGGACTCGATGATCAAAGGTCTTCCTCGACTGGAGCCTCCACAAAGCTGTCAGGCTCTTATGGCACATCACTTATTCCGATCAAGGTGCCTCCTCTGAAAGCCGAAGACTTACTTTTTCACCCAGGGCCACATGTATCGAATACTATTGCCCTAGCTGCCCCTTGGGCCGAGCTCGATTCCCGATATGATGCGTTGTGCGAGGTCTCTTACCAGGTCCTTCGACAAGAGCTTCAGTATGCGCAGTTCTGTGGCTTGCCGTATGCTATTATTCCTGGACCCAAACGACGTACAAATTTATCGCGCTATGCTCAAAGCGTGGCCGCGTTACTTCGCGAGGTTCCGCAGTTGAGACTCATCATCCACACTACTTTCAGCGAGGAGTTTCGCAACAACCAGCCGCCGGCTGATCTTTACTCTACATGGGAGGTGTGGGATACTGTACGGAAGATATGTGATTATCCACAAAACTTGTCGCTCGCTCTCGAGGTTCCTAAAAATGCCTTACCTTCTCACTTACTCGACAGATGGTTTACTGAACCATTGTCAATGTTGATTTTGTCGGCGCAGTCAACTTTCGTCCCCAATCCTAAAGGTTTCCCTGTTCTCCCCAAACACACACAGCACCTAGTTTACAATTTTTTGAAGAAGAGACCTTTCTACTTGTTGAAAGACATCCCTTCGTCCCAAGCTTCGGCCCCTGAGGATATGCCCTATGCGGTGGGGGACGCTTGCTTGATATACCTCCGTCATCTTATATCCAAACAGCCAGAACCTTCAATTATGGACGTTTTCAGCGAGGGCTATGCTGATATACTCCAGCTGCCTTTGCAACCTTTAAGCGATGACTTGGATAGCCCCTGCTACGAGGTTTTTGAGCGTGACGAATCCAAATATCAGTATTACGAATATGCTATTGAAGCAGCAATTGAAAATGAGTTGCGCGGGATCAAGCAGCTCATGGTACTAGTTGTAGGTGCCGGCCGTGGGCCTCTTGTGGATAGAGTTCTTAAAGTATGCTCTCGGGCCGGCCGAAAACCCTTTGTATTTGCCGTGGAAAAGAACCCAGGGGCGGCCGTGTACCTGGAATACCGCAAATCAAACGAGTGGGGAAATGTTGTCGAGGTAATTGCCGAGGATATTCGGCATTGGCGACCACCTCATCGCATCCACCTTGTCGTTTCTGAACTCTTGGGCTCGGTTGGGGATAACGAATTAAGTCCTGAATGCTTGGAGACTGTTAAAACAACTCTAGAGCCAAACGGTGTTATGATTCCACGAAGTTATTCGGCATATGCTGCCCCGATCGCAGCACCGTTGCTTTATATGGCCGCGAAAGCTGCTGTCCCTCAGTGGGGTATTGCAGCAATCGGCAGGGCTGGAGGTTCATCTGGTTCTGGAATGCAGTCAGTGTCATGTGAAGCACCTAAACTGCAGACCCCATATGTCACACACATGCAACAAGTTCAGATCTTGGCCAAGCCCCAGCTTCTTTGGCAATTCCACCATCCTGATAATTTAGCTAAAGATCTCCCCAAAAAATTCAACCGACACGCTAAACCCTGCTTCAGTGTGCGCAATCGAAATACTGTATACGGGTTTGCGGGTTATTTTGAAGCGGAACTTTACCCTGGAATTGAACTATCAACAAACCCTGACACAAAGGACACAAAGTCTCCGGAGCTGGTGTCCTGGTTTCCCTTTTGGTTCCCGCTTATGACTCCTCTCGCCGTTTCCGACGAAACGGAAATAGAGTTTAGTGCCTGGAGACTGACATCTTCTTCTTCTATGTGGTACGAATGGCTTGCAGAAAGCTACGCGCTTGTCAATGGTGCGAGGGTTCGCACAGGTGCGACTGCAGTGCATAATGCAGGAGGATCTCACTACTCTGCTCATTACTGAAATGGCGGCTCTTTTTTTTTTAGGGACAAGGAGAATATATACATACTTAGATACATACGTCAAATTGCATATGCTTTACGAATGTTCAAGCGACGTTTATTGAAGTTGCAGTTCGATAGGGTAAAACAACATTCCTTGTTTCATGTTTCAAGTTGTTTCGATTCGCTGCCTTTCTGACGCTCGATTATATCAGGACTAAGATCGGGGTGAACAGGGTCATGTGGAGGTGAGCCCGGCGGGCTTTCCGTCAAAACTGGAGAAGGGTGATTCGCGGTATCTGGGACATTACGCCAATAATGCTGGGCTGCGTTCATGATCCTCTCGATAGTCTGACTCAATTCATCGTTTTCTAATTTTTTCTCCTCGAGCTGAATCTGGATCTCCTTGACTTTATTTTCAAGTGAAGAGAGCGAGCGACGACATTTTCGAGTATCACGTTGGCTGATCTTCAACTGCTGCTCAAGTGTCCTATGACTCACTTGCAGCCCTTTGACTTGCCATTCAAGATTATTACGTGCCACCCTCAATGTGTCTGCATCCTCGAACGCGTCGTTGAGCTCTGACAGACTTTGTCTTAATCTCTCAACAGCCCGCTGTTTTTCAAGATTAGAAGCATCAAGCTCATTTTTCAAAACTTCCAATTCCTTTTTCAGACTGGTGTGATCAACCACGCTAGTTCTAGGCGATACCTCACTGGTTGGCCTTTGCTGGGCTTCGAGCTCGAGTCGTTTGGCACGTTCCTGTTGAAGTTGGGTTTCCAGTGCCTGTATTCTGTCATTGCATCCAGCATGTAGCTCGGTTCCGTTTTCTACTCCACTTTTGCTGGCTTTTGCATTACTTGACTTTGGGCCAGCATTTCCTCCGGAGGCTTTTCGGAGCCGGCTGGAGCTTCTAGCAATAGCAAGATTGTTTGGTCTGCCCAAAGCTGAGCTTCGTCCTGATACATTACGTGGTCGTTGCGGCGCTGGGCGGGGCTTATCGAACGAAGATGATCTTGAAGAGCTCATCGAGCTAGATTCAACGAGCTGTGGGGGCTGCATTGGGGATGATGGGCTAACTTTGGGCCGCCATGATTTGGTCTGTGATATAGGGGAGTTAGGGGAGCCCGCTCGGATAGATGACGGTGTCTGTAAGCCTTTGCTAGGGCTTCGGTTCGAACTGCGGATTTTTGCAACTTTGAGTCCATCAGACGTGGGACTTGGCGTGGGTATAGGCCTCGAAATAACGGGCTTTTTAGAGGGTGTGTCTATGGTCCCCCCAAATGTGAGCCTGTGAAAAAATGAATGCGATGAGCCCGCCGAATTGGGCGTTGGAAGCGAGACAGAGCGCGAACCTCCTACAATAGGGGTATCTCCGTATTGCACCCCCGGGCTGAGCGGCTCGCCTTTATCTCGCTTCTTAGACCGCGAGGCGGCAGTACTGGCAGTTAGTCTCGAGAGCAAATCGGCAACGGATGACTTTCGACTCACCGTATGCGGCGGTTTTGCCTGAACTTTCTGGGGCGAGGGTTGGGCATGACTTTCCCGTGATTTGGTTCTGGATATCGGAGAGCCCGTCATACTCCCGTCATCAGACGATACGAACTTCGCCATATGCAAGTCGTTAAAATTTGGCTCCGTTATTTCAGAGATATGTGGTACTTATTCCGTTTTGCAAAAGAAATGAGCTATCACAAATATCGAATGATTTTGTAAGATTGCTAGCGACGGTGGGAGGGGGGAACCGTACTGCTTCTGCGGATTAGGTGATCAAGGATGATGCCCTTCGAGGAGTCATGAGAGCTTTTATCTAGCTACATACCGACGTTGGGTGTCAGGTTTGAGAATTACTGGGTATATTTACACCGGATTATAATAAGCGGACCCTCTCTATCTCGTACTAAGTGTCGTGTATGAAAACTAACCTCATTTTTTGAAGATATGCATCTGCAGATGCCCGCCTGTCCTGCAGGCTGTGTTAAAACTGTTTCACTTGAAACTGTATATCTGCATCTGACATGCATATCTGCCTCAGGCCATTATACACGAAGCTAGGAGGCAGATTGCATGCCATCAGCATACCACCCGGTTTCAGTGTACTCAGGTCTGGGTTTATCATCTGTAGGTTGCCTGGGCTTAGGGATTTGTTAGATATAATAGTTACACCGGCTATGTACCCGTCACGAGGAATCTTTTGAATCATTACGTCCGTAATTATATATTTTCCTGTTGCACAAATTTCGCAGCCTTAGCCTTGACATAATCGGCACCACGCTGATCACCGTGTTCAACTTCAAATGAAAGCCATTTCTTGAAGAAGAACTTGGCCTGCTTCATCGAGAGCTTTCTCTCGAACACACGCTCGTAAAGATTCTCAATGAGCTTACGGCTCGTTGGGTCATGCTTCGTTTCCTGGTCAATGTAAACACTCCATAAATCAATCTTTTTAGGATAGCTTGTCACCAGTCCTTCGAACAGTGTGCGACCACGCTCCGCATCTCCTTCCTGGAATTCATGCTTGGCCACTTGTAGTGAAATGTCCTTATGCTCACGCCTTGGAAGCTGACGAAGTGCCCGATCCAGAACAGATCGCGCTTCCTCGGCAATTCTATTGGCGAATAAAAAGCGGAGATATTCAGCCCAAACTTGGACATCCTCAGATCCAAAGCGCTTGCAAGCGGCGTTATAAACACGCTTAGCGTCTTCTAGCTTATCCTCGCTCGCAGCGTAAATTGCAGCCATTCGGAGGTGAATCAAGCGTGAATCCATATACTGACAAGCTTCACGGAACACATCCTGGACAGTCTCAGGGGTACCGAAACTGTTTTCAAGGTTCAACAATGCAATCCAGATGTTGAATTTCTCATCCTCTTCCCGCTGAGCAATTGTTTTTAAAGCACGGCGAGCGATCTGCCGCGCTGTATCAATTTCACTGAGCTGCAACTGGAATGCCATGTAGTTCATCCACAACACAGAGCTGTTGGGTTCAGAGACCAACAAGCGCTCAAAGTCTTTGGAATTTTGAGGAAGACGAGAGTTTAGCTTGGCAGTTTGATCTTCCACAAACTCGACCTTCTTGCGTTTTCGCCGGGGTGCATCATCATCACTGCTCTCGCTTTCGTCTTCGCTCTGTGCTTGCTGGTTCAAGATATCCCCGGACCAGTCGAAACCAACACTCAATCCAGGTTCTTCAGTTTCTTCGTCACTAGCGTCATCATCTCCACTCTCTTCATCGGAATCGTCGTCGGAACCAAGGTTGATCTCGTCAGAATCGTCGTCGATGTCGCGGACGTCTGCCATGTCTTCATCCGCACTGTCTCCGGTGTCCGCCATTTGCGCATCAACTTCGTCCTCATCATCAAAATATGATGCCTTCATTCCTAACGAAACTTTGCGCTTATCCAAGTCGACATTCAGCACTTTCACCTTGACTTTATCTCCTTCACTGAAAATAGCCTTAAGATCTGCAATAGGTCTGTCTGCAACCTCAGATCGGTGGCAAAGCCCAGAAAGTCCTGTTTGGCCGATTGTAATGAAAACGCCATACTCTTGCACTTTTCTAACGGTACCATCGGTAACAGAACCAACTTCTAGGCTATCCAGGCCCGGCTGGCTGATAGCTTTGCCGCTGACAGTGCTATCTTTCAGGGAAAGTTCAATTCGACCGTTCTTTTTAGAGATGACTTTGCCCTTCACGATTTGGCCAATCTTAAAGTGCTTTTTCCAATCCTTGAGGTAAGAGTCAGAGAGCTGAGAAATCTGGACTCGACCAACCACGTTACGTGCAAGTTCAATAAAGACACCACCGTCACTAATGTTCTTGATATAACCCTGGAGCAAATCGCCCTCATTGACTTCCGAAGAATCCTCTAGGGAGGGAGTATCCCTAAGGGAAACCCAAATTTTGCCATCATCGTCGGTAACAATCTTTTTGCTTTTTAGAATGGTTCCTTCTTTGAAGGTTTCGAGGGGCTTAAAGGTATCACCGGACTCTGTAGCAGATACGATACCATTTCTGAACCCTGAAAGACGTACAAACAAACGAGTTGGTGTAACACGATGAACAAGAACCAAGCTGCTTTCTTGATTGTCGAGACAAGTCAGAACCAACTGGGGGGTATTTGAGACAACCTTGCACTCCAATGCTTGACCCACCGAAAACGAGTTCGAAATATTGTTCAAGCTGTCTTCATCGCTGGTCAGATCCAACATTGAAATCTTTGTACGGATGCTCGGTGTAACGTTAGCCCAAACGGCGTCCTCGGTGATATTGTTGATAAAAACTAAGCATGTATCACCACGATTCAGTGCTTCCACAGTAATTGGCTTGGTGGTTCCATTCACGATCGAGCTTTTGGCGGAAAGCTCCAAAACAACGTGAGATCCTGTGCGATGCGAAATCGGTAGGAACATATGTGTTCTAGCATCATGCGAGCCGACAATCTTTGCCGTGATGGTTTGATCTTTGGAAAATTGGGACAACGGATTACGCACATCATCAATCTCGCTAATATCATCGAATAACTGTGAAACGTCAATGCGGCCCTGACGATTACCAACCTGAACATTTAGTTGCGTCTCCTTGATAGCTTTGATCACAGCAGTGACAACAGTTCCAGGAGCAACGTTGACAGCTTCTTCCCCAATTGAATGAGTCTCTTTGAAAGTAAGCAAAAACCTGTTATTATCCCTGTCGATTTTCAGTACACGGGGAGAAACAGACTGGCCCACACTGAGCACCTGTTGCTGGACCTCAATCTTGGGAACCAACCCAACAAGCTTGTTCGCAAACGTAACGAAAATACCAACTTCCTCGTTGATGCCGCTGACGAAGCCCGCGTACTTTTTGCCAACCTCTAGATCATCCAGCGACATGGCGAGAGAGCCCGCAGTGGCGGCTTCGACCAGGGAGGGCTTCAACGAAACTACCGTGCCCTTGGAAGATTGACTGAGGATGACCACATCTAGTTTTGAGCCAACTTTAATTCTCTTAGACTCACTTTTAACCTTTGTAGAATCATCGACCAACTGTGTGAAAGCAAGAATGGCTTTTTCGCCAGTAACAAGTTCCAAAACGATAGAGTCCTTTGTTTTTTCAGAGACAATCCCACTCAAGACCTCGCCAGGAGTGCTTGTAGAAGTGTTGCCGCCAGTAAACTTACGGCAAGAAAGGACGAGCCGGCTACGAGATGAATCAACATCCAAGATGCGAACAGTAAGGCTCTGCCCAAGACGGAAATGTTCCTTGGGGTTAGAAATGGTCGCCTCGCTCATCTCTCCGAGTGGCAGAAACCCTTTCACATCACCTCCAAACTCTACGATTGCACCATTGTCCCTGAAAGCGATGAGCGTTCCAGTAGACGTATCACCAATTTTGATGTCTGCAAGATCTGATAAAATTGGTGTCTCGCTGTTGATTAAAGACTTTTTGACAGTGAGCTTAATACGATGGTGGGCCTTGTCGACGGCAAGCACTCTCACGGTCACTTTTTGGCCGGGCTTAAACTTACGCTCAGGCTGAGACAGCTTGATATCACTCAGATGGAATTCTGATGCCAACCCGCTAATCCCGTCACCAAGAGAGATAATCACTGCGCCCTTGGGGAGGATGCGCTCCACCTTGGCGTCATCGATGACTTCTCCAACTGGTACTTGTTCCAAACGCAAGAACCGCTGGTTGAGGATCTTGGGCTCGAGTGAAAGATAATAAATATCGTCTGCCAATGAATAGCTGAGGATGCGGGCCTTGTGTACGGTACCAACTTTGTAGCTAGACTCCACGCTCAGATCCTCGATCCGATCATCCGACAACCTGGAGATATGTGCAAAAGCAGGGCGTTCCAGCCCAATATCAAGAAAGAGGCCCACTGTGGGATCAACGGCCACCACTTTGGCTGCATCAAGAATCTGTCCAGAGAGAAAAGCGCTAGAGTCTGCAGGTTTGAGCAATTCAACGATATTGGGGAGAAGAGACAGCCCTAAGGTTCTGTCAGACTCTCCAATGTTGTCCGAAGGATGGCTGAAAACAATACGAGCATTAACCTTGTCACCCACTACAGGTGGATCGACATGCAACTGAGAGTGGATCACATCGGCGGAAATGTTGATATGACCGAATATAGAGCAAACGCATCCTGAGGATAAGACCTCGCTAACCAGAACTTCCACAAGACTGCCAGGAACAAGCGCAGCTTGTTGGTGGATGGTAGCCAACGGGGCCGTGGGTTTTGTAGAAACGGTTAGCAGGTTGTTTTTGGCCTTTACGAGAGAAGTCAAGACTATCTGACCTGCACTCAAAGGTTCAAGCTGGTGCTTGTTGGGCAAGAAAGCAGACAGCTTGCTGTTCTCACCAAGGGACAGGATCGCACCATGATCCTCCAAGGATTTTACAGTAGCTTGGATGGAAGCACTCGGGATCAAGAAATCATCCTCGCCAATGGTCTGGTTAACCAGATCTGGCGAAATGCTCAATTCAATGCGCTTTCGAGGGGCCTCACCAAGGCCTGTGACCACCGCCCGGAGCCATTGTCCCTCCTTGTAATAGGTCGCAGGGTCGTCTTGGATTTCCTCTACTTCCTCAAGTTCGACGAATCCAACGAGATTTGAAGGAAGCGAAATAACCAAACCGAAGGGCTTGATCTCGGACACCTGGCCAAGGAGCAGGGTACCCACTTTGATACGGTTGAACAGCAGGGGCTCGATTTTGGGCTTAGCCATTTCCATTGATTTACTGGCGGCAAGAGCGGCAGCCTTCTTGGACTTTTTACTTTTCGAGCCTGAAGACTTGCTCATTTGATTGTACACATCGCGAGTAGCCTCTGCATTGGCTCGCTTGATATCCAATGGCGTAGCTGCGGCACCACCCCCGCGAGGGAAAGGGGCATCCAGACGAGCGAATGCCGGGCCATCGTCCTCCTTCAACAGCGAGGGTGTGTCTGACTCGCCGTTGCTACTTCTCTTTCTTTTTGACGCCATATCAACCACTTATTGGACGTGCCAGTGAGAGTGAAGATTTGCAGGAATCAAGTCTTTGAAATTTTAGTTGGGAAAAAAAAATTATACCTGAAAAAATCGATTACATAATAGTTTTCCTTGTGGGCTTGAATCGTATTCTTGAAAGTCCAGTGCTATAGTCTATTATAGGCGGTTTTCCGGTTTGCTGCGCAGATAGTGGGTGGGGCATTCATAGCCACCGGGGTTGTTCTTGAGGTACTTCTGGTGGTAATCCTCCGCATCCCACCAATTGGAAATCGGCAGCACGTCGGTGACGATCTTGTTGCCCCAGAAGGTTTTTTCCATTTTTTCCTTCACAGCCTCGGCAATCTTTTGCTGTTCGTCGCTGTGAGTGAAAATGGCACTGCGGTACTGGGTGCCTACATCAGGACCCTGCCGATTGGCCGTGGTGGGATCATGGATTCGGAAAAAGAAATCAATGAGAGTTTCGTAGGAAACAACTTTGGGATCAAACTCAATCTGGAGGGCTTCAGCATGCTGGGTAGAGGATGTGCATACTGCCTTGTAGGTGGGGTTTTCGGTAACGCCTCCACAGTATCCAACCCGGGCATCAACCAAGCCCTTACCGCTTCCGAAATGCTTGCGGAATATATGCTCAACGCCCCAGAAGCATCCAGCAGCCACTGTGGCAACCTGGTTTCCGGGCGCGATTTTTAGAGTAGGGCTGATCAAAACCATATGTAAAGTGGCGAAGCGCCGGCCGGCGGTGAATTTGTCATTACCTGAGATGGCAGAAGCAAAGTATCGAGGGCTTGCCCTATTGGCGTTTAATCAACTTGAACATCGATTAAAAGGTGTTTCAAGGATAGATCTAAGGGAATTGGGTGGTTCTGAAGTCAGCGAACTGCCTAGCTCGGCGCCTCTTTTTGTCACTTGGCAATTGAACGGGCGGCTACGGGGATGCATTGGAACGTTCAAAGCGCACAAGTTAGAGCGCGGGGTGCGTGACTTTGCTGACTCTGCTGCGTTCGAGGACCCGAGGTTCCCCCCGATCTCTACTAGAGAGCTGCCCAACCTGGATGTTTGTGTTACTCTACTGGGTCCGCTAGAGCCCATCCAATCCCCCACCGATTGGGAAATAGGGGTCCATGGTCTTCGTGCCGAGTTTCCTGGTGGCTATAGCTCAACTTACCTTCCTGAAGTTGCCGAGGAACAGGGATGGGACCATGCTGAGACCATTGAATCGCTCGCAGACAAGGCCGGGGCGTCCTCGACCAAGGAAGTCAAGCTGTGGAAGTACGAGGGCATCAAAACCCGGCTCACCTACCCAGAATATCAATTATTGCTCAAGCAATTAAGTTGACGTAGGGATCTCATCCATAGTTTCATATGCATTAAAGCTTCGATATGCACGCCAAAAAATTACAAATTGGCCTCTTCAACAAGCTGCTGCCTCTCACCTGACCATGCAGAAAAATGATCAAAATGGACAGAATTGTGCAAGAGTTCAGTCCCCCCCAAGACCCGTGTCGAGCGATTCAGGTTGCTGAAAATCTTGAAGATTATCTGCTCATACGCCCCCAGGGACCATGGATGATACCTGAAACAATTGCCTACCCGCCCTCGGGTCAAGAGACTGGCGTGTATTGGGTGGTTGATGTTGGTGGCTCTACGGTTCGTATCGCAGAGGTAGACTTGGAGTCTCAATCTACCAGCGTTGTTGTAGCCATTGCTCTCAGTTCTGCAGCAAAGCAGGATATCGTTGAGTTCGTGGTCCTAAAGCTGCGCGAATATGGCGTGCAGGGAAACGTTGCCCTCACCTGGTCTTTCCCCCTGATAGACGGTATTATACAGCCCATGGGTAAAGGTTTCAGCAGTTTGTACGTTGGTATGGACTTGGCGAGTGTTTTCAATCACCATTTGGAGAAAGCCTATGCTGCCTGTAAGGTAGTTTCTGTGTGTACGGATGGCGCCTCGGCACTTATTGCTCAACGATTTCTTGAGTCTGACTGCAATATTTCGCTGACTTGGGGCACCGGAATCAACATCAATCTTTTTATGGAGGGTGTGGTGGTGAACTCAGAAATATCCATGCTCGGCAGAGAGCACGACAGAGACACATTCTACCATCTTCGTTCAGCCAACCAGTACGACGAGGTTTCGACTTTCCAGCCATTGGAGTCTTTGGTTGGAGGGTTGTACTTGGAGAGAATTGCTGAACGAGCTCTGGGGAAGCCGATTGATTTCTGGGCTGTGCTTCATGATCTAAACCATGCTCACTTCAGAGTCGTCCAAGCAATCGCTGATAGAGCAGCTAGGATTGTTGCAGGAGTCCTGACCGCCTTCCTCCGTCACACAGACTACTATGTGGTTGCATATACTGGTGGCGTGATAAACGAGCCATTTATACGGCAGACAGTCGAGTACTATGTGCAATCACTTGGCCAGCGCATCGAATTTGTTCCTCAGGTACACGGATCAATGTTTGGTGCTGCTGTTCTGGCCGCAATGAATGAAGACGCCGCAAGAAAACGTAGCGGCTGATTCTTCGTCAACTCTGTATTTCTATACGAAATATATATATACCTTTAATTATGAGAGACCCAAACAACAGCTCCGACAAAAACGGCCACTGCGGCCCATAAATAGTATCGTGATTGGGGTTGAACATCGCCTAGACCACGAGAATCCGGGATGCGCTGCGTGGCATGCACAGGCTGCGTTGTTACACAAGGTTGGGCAGCTCCGGGCGTTGATGATGTTTCTGCAGCACTGGCAGTGCCGTTGCTAGCTTCTTCAAGAGTCCGGGCCCGAGCTACAAGGTGGGGGAATTCCTCGCAAAATTTTGGGAATGAGCGGTTCCATGCAACAGATTTGGCCGCGTAGTCTTTCCGAACTCTTTCGCTGCTCATCAGACTACCAGTTGTAGCCTCCTCGCTGTTCATAAAGCTCAAGAGGCCAACAAGAATAGTGGCGACGCTCCAGCCCGGATTCCACGTGTCAGGATGGAAATCACTAATAGAAAGACAGAGCCGGGTGTTGGGTTTGAATCGACCGCTCGGCGTGATCATGCGAATAGACGGTGGCTGGAACGGATAGTCTGGAGGAAACAGCAAAGTGCCCATGTACTCACCCCCGGCGTACGGAGTGTCTGGAGCACCCGTGATGACATAGTACCACTCGAGGATATTGGAGTCACTAGGGTGTGCCTCGATAAATGGAGTGGGAGACGATTCAATGGCCAAATACTCCTTGGTGAGCCGTTTATGAGCCGTTCTCGTGGCCATTTTTTTGGTTTTTTTTCGCCGAAAAGGTGCTTGTGAAAGATTACTTAATGGGATCAGAACAAATAGCTAAATTACTTTACAAGGTTTACAGCCTGTGCTCCTTTGGTTTCGGCTTCTTTGATCCAATTGCGGATAGCCAGTGTAGTTTTATCGTCGTTTGCCTTTACCCAGATGCGCCCGTTCATACCAATGGCCAGTTCGTACTGATGCTTAGCTCCAATAGCGTCCAAAACAGGATGGCCGTCAAAAAGAAGTTTGCGTGCGTAGCCAAGACCCACACTTATGATGCTTCCTTCTTTGAGTTGCCCAAATCCCATCGCCTTACCGCTAGACGAATCCACGCACTCCATCTCAACCTCTGTGTCTTTGTCGCAATGAGTGATGCGGCCATAGACGACGTCTCCGGCATTAAGGTTTGGCTTGTTCTTTTTCGTGGCTCCCTGAAATGCCAAATGTGAAAGCCGGACGGGCTTGCTGTACTCTTGGAGCCGGACCCTGTACACATCTGCTAATCGCTGCGAAATGACCCCAACTACGTAGTCCCGATTCGCCGGAGTATACCGCTTAGTGTTTGTGTTTATGAATACCACCTTGTCAGACCAGCTATCCTCGCCCGCAAGAACAACTCTAGGCTCCTCTAGAGGCGGTGCAATTATGCCTGGACCAAGCCTCTGTTCTGCAACAATTTTATCTCCGGGCAGAAGCATGGCTAGTTTGTCAGCATACACCCTCTATCAGTTCAAACCGCCCATATAAAAAGCCGCCGCTGTTTCGTACTGTTTGGAGCACCAGCGTTTTAGGTATGGGTATTTGTGCTTCGTGTTTAGGAAAGCGAGACAAAGCAAGAAGTCCTGAGGAGTCACCTTTGCTAACCCCAGAGAATCATGCAACAAGCTACGCTGACGCTCAGGCAGCAAAACAACAGCAAGATCTGAATGTGATTGTGAGAAAGACCCACGACCGGTTAATTGATATAAACTTTGTTGGAAGGCCTGATATGGAGAATGTCGACGAGCCCATCGAGGAGCTGAGGGAACAGCTGAATGCCGTTGAGGGAACCAAAGTGTGGACATGGCCTCAGCTGATGGGCTTGAGCGAGGCCGAGGATGCTATTGTTTCGGCAGCTCTCGAGTGGGCTAAAAAAGCCCCAATGCTGCAGTTGCCGTTCAATCACTCAGAGTTAGTAGAAGAGTTTTAAGCCGTCACCGCTCTGCCAGGCTGGTCTAGGCACTTTTCTCTTTTGTCTTTTTAGTATTTATTATGATATCAATCGATTCTTCTACTGCACATTCATGTATTTATCCGGTACTATCTCCGCCTCGCCAACCCTTCCATAAGTTGGGTTAGCTAATAGAGTTTTTTTTTCTTCACAAACCTCTTTCCAGATGCTCGTTTCAAGCACCATCAAGCTTATTGCGGGGTCTTCGCATCCGGAGCTGGCAGAATTAGTTGCACAAAAACTGGGGATCAGTGTCTGCTGTGTCGATGGCGTTAAGCTGAAAAACACCGAGCTCTGCGTGCTGTTTGGCGAGTCGTTCCGTGGAGCCGATGTATTCATTCTTCAAACCGGCCACGGCCACATTAACGATTTTGTTATGGAAATGCTCATCATGGTCCATGCTTGCCGTAAGGCTTCAGCAGGCAGAATCACTGCTGTTATTCCTCTATTCCCCTACGCCCGCCAAGACCGCAAAGACAAAGGCAGAGCGCCTATTACTGCCAAACTCATGGCAGACATGCTTGAAGCGGCCGGCTGCGACCACGTTGTCACCATGGACCTGCACGCCCCCCAAATCCAGGGCTTTTTCAGCGTGCCCGTGGACGATCTGGTCGCCCAGCCCAGCGTCGAAAACTGGATTCGAAACTATGTCGACTTGAGACGAGCGATTGTGGTTTCCCCCGACGCTGGCGGTGCTAAGCGAGCAGCAAACTTGGCGGACCGTCTTGATCTGGAGCTCGCGCTCATCCACAAGGAACGCCAGCGTACAAACGAGGTCTCCAACATGGTCTTGGTCGGCGTCGTGACGAACAAAACCTGTATTCTGATTGACGATATGGCCGATACTTGCGGAACCCTGGCAAAGGCTGCTGATACTCTGGTCAGCCACGGAGCCACTAGAGTCCTTGCCATCGTCACGCATGGTATTTTCTCTAAAGATGCCAGGCAGAAGATTGAAAACAGCAAGCTTGACATGGTCGTCTGTACAAACAGCGTCCAGCTTCGGGAACCCATTGCCTCGTGTTCCAAAATCTCTCAAGTCGACATCAGTCCCACCATTGCAGAGGCTATTCGACGACTTCACAACGGCGAGTCAGTCTCATATTTATTGACCCATCAGCCTCTTTAGCTGTTCAGGCCCATGGTAAAGTAATAGTTTTAAAAAATACTAATAATAACATGGCTCTTCGACTGTTGCCCGGTTCCCCGCACAACGCTTCTCCTATCCCATGCGAACTTACTGCACCCCACAGAACAACTCAGCGAAGATGCTACCACCGAGATGGGCCCTGCATGGTCGCCGAAAGATTCCCGGGTAGGGGCATTGGCAGGAAAGAAATACGCCGGGGTACATTTGATGGTCAATGGAGCTTATAGCTTATTTTACAATGAAAATCTTGTTCAACTAGCGGCTCTTACACTAATTATCCACTATTGTTTGCTAAAATACTTGGGATGGCCCGTTCCGTGGCAGGGGCGGCTCCACTCGGCGAAGTGCACCCGGGTACTCCCAACCTGCTCCCGACAGACTCGGGAGAGTCTTGCCAACGGCCATATGCACGGATTTGGGTATAAAATCCTTGTTGATCCCTGAGCATCGCGCCAGTATAACTTTTAGATTGTTATGTTCCGCAAACAGTTCCGCCCATTGGGACCACTTGCACGATATGTATCCACCAGACCTCGCAAGGCTGCCGTTTCCATGGCTCCGCCTCCTTTGCGCATGAACCCTCTTGAATCTGCGGGGAAAACCCCCAAAGGTGAACCCTCAATGGACAACTTCCTGAAGCGTATCGGCAGTTCTGACCTTTTATGGTTCACACTTCTGTCCGTGGTCACCGCGTCTCCCTTCTTGACCAGGGTTGCGATGGCCGCCATGCCCATCACACCAGACTTTTTGATCAAGTCTGTCGTTTACCCTATCTACTGCGGTGGTGAAAACTACGATGAGGTTCGGGCCACTGGCCGCAAACTCCTCAATCGTGGTGTTAGCAACATGATGCTTTCTTACTCGGTCGAAGATGCCGAGGGAACCGCTTCTGCTGAGACCTTTGAAAACTCGCTCAGGGCTATCAACGGCTCTGTGGCCGGGGTCTTTGCCAAGCATAACAAAGAGTCGCAAGAGCTCTATGAAACCAGTGCTATCAATACCCCTCCTGCCTCTGGCTACATTGCCCTCAAGCCCACTGGTCTTATGCCCAACAGTGCTGAAATTCTCGCAAACTACAACAAGCCTGAGTTTGCCGACAAGTGGGAGCAGTATCTCAATGTCTGTCGTTCTATCTGCCAGAACGCAGTCGATCATGGTGAAGGAAAGGTTGTGATTGTCTTTGATGCCGAAAAAGTCTGGCTACAGGATGGTGTCTATGCTGCCCAGCGGGAAATGATGAAGGAGTTCAACCGTGACGGTCAGGTTGTTGTTTGTGGTACTGTGCAAATGTACCTCCAAAAGTCCTATCAGTTCCTTAACAACGAAATCGAGCTTGCGAAGAAGGGCAATTACCAGGTCGCTATGAAGCTTGTCCGTGGTGCCTACATCCGCTCCGAGCCTAACCGTATGCAGGACATCCATGTTACAAAGGAGGCCACCGATAAGAGCTTCAACGATGGTAGCAACTTGATGCTTGACTATATTGTCCAGGGCTGGAACAACCCCACCAAGCCCTCTCCAGTTGGCCAGCTTGTTGTTGCTTCGCACAACTTTGATAGCTGCAACATGATCGATGCTCGTATGAAGCGCGAGGCTCCCGTTGGCTTTGATCACGCTAAAGATTGCTCTGTTGTATTCGCTCAGCTGTTGGGCATGAATGACCACCAGACCTGCGATCTCACCGATCGTGGACTAAAGGTCATCAAGTACGTTCCCTGGGGTCCGGTTAAGGAGACCAAGGACTACCTCCATCGTCGCTTGGAAGAGAATACCGATGCAGCTCGTGGTGGCTGGTCCAACGTTTTTGCTGGCGTCAACGAAATGGTCCGTCGCGCCTTCCGTGTTTCCCGGGCGTGAAGCCAGTGTATTTATTTTGTTTTTACATCAAGTAGCTAATATTGCTATTACATGCAAAACCTAAAATCAATTGTCGAGGTGCAGTGATTCAGACTCAAAGTTCTTGTGATGCGTTAGCCAAGTATCTTGTTCCTGAGATCCGGTCATTCAGAATGCTCACGCTCAAGAGGTTTACTCTTCTCAATTATATCTTTTTGACGGTGATCTTCACCTTCTTGTATGTGCTGTCCACCCAGGCCGAGAAGACTCGAAGATCCCAAGCTCTTGACGACGCACGCTCCTTCGGCTTATCGACTGAGTTCATAACCACCCTTGAACAAGATCTCGAACCCACATTGTCTCTAGGGGATTTTCTGATCCAACTATCAGTGTATTCTTCGGCCTACTGGGGCATTATGGTTGCTACTGTAATGATACTTGAACGCAGCTAATGGGAAGCTATCAATAAATAGTGAATTTTTCGAATTTAGTTAGCACGCTTTCGCATTTGTCGAGCAACCTCTTTGCGGCGACGGCGGAGGGCACGATTCCATTCACCGCGTTTTTCCCAAAACAGTTTATCCCATGCTTCGTGATCGAAAGAGCCAAATAGTTTGCTAGCTTGGGACTGAGATCGCAGGAATGGTGAGTCGCTGTGGGCAAAAAACAATCCAAACTTGCCTTTCTTGGCTACAGGCTCTACGGCCATAGGCTCGGCTTCGACCTGCTCTGCCTCTCCACCAAAAAGTGTGAACGGTTGTGAGACAGAAAGTACTGACCGCAAAGCCTCGGTGGTGTTTTCATTCTCTTTTAACTGTTCTTGCGTAGCTTCCAGTGCATCTTCCATAGCTCCTTCTTCAGTGGGCTGGGTAATAGGCCATTCGTCTCCTTCATCACCACTTGCATCGAGTGGATTATACACAAACGTGTTGTTTTCACGCGAAACAATTTCAATACCATCGTTTTCATACCAGTTTTCATCGTCAGGTAGCTTTGTTGTTTTAGACACAAATTCTTCGAATTCTGAATCACTCAAAACACCAGTAGTTTGAACTTGTTCAGCTAATTTGGCATTACGCTGTTGTTCATCTGCACCTGCAATTTCGACAGAATTGCCCAGTAAATCTTTCCACTCACCGTCGACAAACTCATAGACAAGGCTATCCAAGTTACGTTTTTCGTAACCCCACAGCCGGATCTTTTTCTGCCTAGGCTTAATGGGATGATCCATGCCAGGTAGCGTGACTCTGAAAGTTGTTGGCTTGGTTGATGTCCGCGGAGCTGTTCGATGGCGGCCAGGGTAAACATCGATTTCGTATGGCTTCGACCTAATCCGCTTCAGCTGTTCAGCATTAGGTCCAGGAGCAGGTTTCTGATTTCGTTCCTCTAAAACTTCCTTATAGTCTGGCCTTGCTTGCTGAACTGTCAGTTTTGATTGACGGAAGGTCATGCCGTTCAAGCCTGATCTCAGGGCACCATAATGCTTTTGGTCGAGATCGATATCAACAAAGCCATAATAAGTATCCAGGCAAGGCTTCTGTCTGAGCTCGATACTCGACTTTAAGTTACCGAATTTTTCTAATCGCGCTTCCAACGCACCAATGTCCTGGGCCAAAGCCTCGCTAATTTGGCCTATATGGATGCGCATTTGATGAAAAAAATTATGTCATGGGCTGGTTATACTAAATGCGATGAAAGCATCCTTCGAATCTAACCAAAAGCGATATAGTCAAATTATTTTTATTTTTACCACAAAGTAGGATGCTCTTCGACCTTGACAGCCATTTCGACAGCAGCAGCACCCCAGTCGCTACCATGATTATGGCCATCAGAAGTTAAACCAGCACGAGCCTGAGCCTGCTCGTCAGTCAAGCAAGTAAGCAGACCGAAAATGAGAGGCTTTCTCATGAAACGCTGAACCTTCATGAGCTCGTGGCTGACGGCTTCAGAGATGTATTCAAAGTGCATGGTCGAGCCCTTAATCAAAACGCCGATAGCAATCACGACATCAACCTTGTTTGCAAGCATGCGGACACCGGTCGGCAGTTCAAAGCTACCGGGAACAGACTCGATAATGATGTTATGTTCCTTTACTCCAAGCTCTTTGAGCTTGTCAAGGGCACCGTTGACGAGAGCCTCGATAACCTCGCTGTTCCAGCGGGCATGGACAATTCCGACCCTCAGATTCGTGCCGTCGTACTTGCGATCAACCTTTCCAATTCCAGCCCAAGGCATATTATCAAGTTTCCGAAGACGAGCTCCGGGGTGTATTCCAATTTATATAATAATTACATATCCAGCACTGGCTAGCGATACCCCAACCCTGGTAGCATCTCAAGCGAGCGACTGCACAACGGTATCCCGTGGTAGGCGGCTGATCCATAGGTTGAGAACTGGGATGACCTGACCTTGGAAATCTGGAAGCGATCCCGGGTTTTTTGTATAGATTGTAGCGTATTTCGAAGAGGCTGGAGCTCTGGCTGTCGGTGCTTGCCGAAAAGTGTAAAGTCCGAACTGTAACTCAAATCCCTCGGCCACGTTTTTACGACGAGCAGGCCAAACGAAATCATCGTTTTCGTCAATGGTACTCTGATACTCGAATAAGTTAGTATCGAACGTTTGCAAAGCCCATTCTACAACTGCGCCACGAGGGAGTTGGCAAACCTCCGCGACCAAGAGGGGCACACTGGCGAATTCGGTTTGCTGCCAAATTTCCTGCACCAAGCTATGATACGCTTGATTCGTGATAAAAACTGTGGCAGATAATATATCCCAGTTCCCACCACCGTGTATCGTGCTAACCACGCGGTATGCGTTTTGCAGAGCTAGCAGAGCCTGCTTGACTAGGTCGCTTTCAAGAGTTAAAGATGCAGGTAATAGACCAATTTGACCAGCAACATAGTTTAATCCAAAGTCCAATCTGGCTTGTGAATATGGTCCAATATTTGCGGGAGCCCAGAAGCTGCGTCCCTGTACGTGAAGACACTTTGAAGAGCCATCCAACAGCTTTGAGCCAAATACTGTGATTTCAGCCTCAAACTGAATGGGGACTTCGATACAGAGTCTTGAGGGAGGGTTTAAGATGTTGAAATATTGGACGTATCGCTTGTTCATCGAAGCAAACTGCTGCATATCACTCAGGATCACCGAGACGTGACGTGTGTGAGCTAAAGTAAACTCGTGCTCAGCATAAAAGCTTTCGAGAACAGCAAACACATGCTCAATATCGCCTGCAACAGTGAGCTGAAATGTATCGTTTGAAATTTTCTCAGCCTGCCAAGGAGTTACACACCATCGACGTGGGTTGATATGCACTGGTTCTGAGACTTGGGCGTCGATTGAGTCGAATGGATCCGATAAGACCGGAGGAACAGGCAAACAAAAGTCCATAGTGTTGCCCTCTTTAGGTTGTGTCATTGTGTGGAACGATAAATAAAAGACGTCATCGCTAGCGTGTTCAACGACCCTGCTGTTCATCATCACCAGTGACTTTTTGAATATAGGACCGTCGAAAACCATGGTCTCATACTCGCCGCCTTCACCACAAGGATGTAGTCCATACATTTTGTTCAACTTCAACAGGTGAGGCCGACATTCGGCCAAGGATTTGCCCAAATGAGACTCGTCGAGGCCAATTCCTGCAACTTTGATAATACGTGCATCGAGACCGCTGGCGATGATTTCGTCCAGCAATTCGATTTGATCCCGTTGCCAAAGAAATGTCAGAGATTCTAGACCGACTCTTTGGCATGCTGTATCGACCCTCAGCTGTTGATAAACTGACCCAATTGCACCAACTGAGACTGCCTTGATATCTGGGAAATCCGAAATAACTCTGCTGAAAATACCAACTAAAGTCTCCACAACGTCTTCCTCATTATCGCTAATGATATCTCTGTACAACGGCTTATCGAGGCACTCGGCTAGGTTCTCTATGGCCCGGGAGCCAACCGTCTGAAACATATAGCTATCGATCTCTTCGGATCCACAAGGCTTGGGGTGCAAGTTCACCAATGCTACGAGCTCGTGGCCCTGCTGCACGCAGTGGAGTATATTCATGCATGAGTCCTTCCCTCCACTCACGAGCGCAAGAAATTTCATGGCTCTTTGTTTAAAAATATTATTATTTATTTTTTTTCCTTTGGGAAAAAAGCCAGGGGTCGAAAAAGAGTAAGGCCTTGTTGCGGTTCGAACCTTACCTGTTTAGTCAGCACCCACTACTAAAACAGGCCCCCAACCTTACCGAGCCACCCTACCGCGAGATGAAGAGACATTTTATGAAGCGGGCTCCGAAAGAGATGACCGATGAGGAAATCAAGGACTCCTTGATGGAAATCGGTGTATCTACCCATAAAGGCACTCGGAAAACCAAGTTTTCTGGGTTCTCCGCTTATGCTCGTGAGGTGGCCAGCCGGAACCCTCGTAAAGACTATAATACTACGGCCGGCATCACAACTGTTGATGAGGTGAGGAAAAACAATGAAAATGTTGTAAACGAGCGCCTGGGTGGCAATCCCTACGCTCACGCCAGTGCCAATGCAACTGGCGGTAACCCGTATGCCCAACCCGCGGCATCTGGGACCCCCAGTGGCAACCCTTATGCTAGCATGAATACTAGCAATCCTTACGCTTCTACCGGAAGTGCTTCCAGCGGTAATCCTTATTCCTCAAACAACTCTGCTCCCTACGAACAGGGCCGTCAAAGCTCTGACCCCTATGCTCAACGAACGGCTCCGCCGGCTGCTCCTCACAACTCCGACCCCTACGCTCAACGAACGGCTCCACCGGCTGCTCCTCCCAGCTCCTCTGGAGGCAATCCTTATGCTCAAGGCGATCTCTATGGACAGTCGCACAATTCATCACAGGGACATGAGGGTTACGGGGACGCTGCACCCCGTTCTAGGGCTCCGAATCCATACACTGGGAGCACAGCATACGGAGGAGCAGATTATGCAAGTGGGCAGTTCGAGACGGGTATTACTGAAAAATCCCGCGATGAGCTTTTCGGCGCTGCAAGAACACGTTCCGTGATGGGCCGCTCCGGAATGGGTGTTCGTAGTACTGCGCCGACCCAAGATGTACCTTTGGGTGGACACAGCGTAGCCCGACGGGCCTCTTTGACTACCCTTGACGAGCTTAATGCCGCTCCGGATCCCGGTGAGCCTGACGAGGACGAAGATGAGCTTTTGCAGATGCCTTCGACACTAAACAATCAACAACCACAAACTGCCGAAGCCTACGCCCAAACATATGAGGGAGAGATGAACTCTGAGGACGAGGATGTTGAAGAGATCAAACGTGAAATCAGATTTACTAAAAAAGAAAGCGTGCAGTCAACGCGCAATACATTGGCAATGGCGGCGGAGGCTGAAGCAGCTGGCCGTAATACATTGGGTATGCTCGGATCGCAAGGTGAACGCATTGCCAACACTGAGCGCACGCTTGCTTTAGCCGAGAGCCAGACAAGAATTGCTGATGAGCAGTCCCGTGAGCTTCTACGTCTTCAGCGATCTATTTTCGTTCCTAATGTTTCAAATCCGTTCAATTCCAAACGCCGTATGCAAGAGAAAGAAGCAAAGATCAAAAGCGAGCATCTCCAAGAGCAGATTATGCGCGAACGTCGTCGTCAGGTTGCGTTTGAATCTGAACAGCGGGTCATAAATGGACTCAATCAACCAATGGTTTCCGAGACGGCTCAAAAATACAAAACTCAATTGGCCAAAGAGTCGGAAGAACGCCGCCGCATGCAGTTTGAGGCGGACTCGGAAGACGAGGAAATCGAGGGCGAGATCGATGCCAATCTTGAGGGCATCTCTCAGGCCTCAAGCCGTCTCAAAAATCTCAGTCTCTCCATGAACGACGAAATTGAGACCCAGAACCGTCGTTTGGATAGAATCACTGACCAAACTGACAACCTCGATGTCGACATCCATCTTAGCGCAGCCCGTTTGACTTCGATCCGTTAAACAAAGTAGAAATATTTATATAACTATAAACTAACAAACCATTCTTCGTGGTTATGGCTATTTGTGGATACTGATAATGAGTCTTTCACCTGCGCCGAAGTCGATTTCGTGGCGACCGGTCGTGAGAGGGGCCGTGCCCTGACCAATTTCAGAGTGTCGGCCCAGTCCTTTGACTGAGCGTAACTTGAAGCCGATCTGTTCACCAGGAGGGGCACTCACCTCAAACACGTCCTCACCATACTCGGCGTCTCCATCCTGGACCTTGACATTCCGCGATTTGAATAGTTCGCGCTCCTTACCTCCAACTAGGAAGGCTCTCAGTTGTACCTCTTTGACGTCAGTGACGCCCTTTACCATCTCAATACTGACAGAGAACGTATCTGAATCAACCTCGTAATCGGACCGACTCGAGTCGATACTCTTACGGCCCAGAATACCGCCTAGAACCTTGGAGGGGCCATGGCTGATTGTTTCAACCGCTGCACTTACGCTGGCATGACCGGCTTGACCGACTTTAGTGACAGTCTCCTTGCCCACCTCGCTCTCTTCTTCATGAATATGTACCACGCCTGGATCAAACCGAAGGGCAAGCTTGATAGTGCCAGTAATATGTTTACTACTGTGCCAGCCTCCCGTTTCTTTGCCCTTCCTGACATTGCCAAGTTCGAGCTCGAAATCTTTCCAGACCAAGGGTTCTAATTCATCAAACGAGATTGCGACACCGCCCAAGAAGTCATCTTTATTTCCCATATCCCAATCCCAAACGATTGCGCGCAGTTCGGAGCCATGGACCTTATCAACATCGAAACGGAAGCGCTCATTCCAAACTGGATCCAGCGTCTTTTTGACAATAGTTGATTTGTAGATACGCTCTTTGTTGAGGTCCACGTGGAATGAGGTGTAAGGATCTGATGTGCCGCTAGAATCAGCAGCGCGAACGCCAGATGCTGAGTAGAGCATCACTTCAACGCAGCCACTGTCTGAAATGTCCTCTTCGGGCCCAATGACCAGCTCAGGCAGGGGGAAGAAGCGAGCACTGAGGGTGATTTCACCATCCCCAAACTTAAAAGCCTTAGGACTGCCGTACGCTTCTCTGAGAAGAGATTGCATACCCAATACAATCTCCCTGTCAACTGCGCTGGGATCATTCTCGTTTTTGGCATTAACCATTTGGAAGCGGAGCGAAGATAATGGGAACTGGCCAGTTACTGTGTCACCAGATTGGTTAACAATAAGGCGTTTACCACGAGCCTTGCGAGAAAGCATAATGGTAAATGGTTTGTTATCCGCAGTAACACGTAACCGCTGCCCAGGCTCTACTCCAGTGACAGTATCAACAGAGAAAGCAAACACACCGGCCTTGTATTCCAGCTGTTCTTCTATTGGCATATCCACACCAACCACTTGGAGGCGCTCGCGACGAGTTTCAAGATCAGCCTTTTCTTCATCCGTAAGTTTTTTCTTCTGTTCGAGCTCAGCAACAAGTTTCTTCTCTTTAAGAATGTGAGCCCTTGCAGAAGGTGCAACAATCGGAATAGCAGGGAAGAACTCGATTGCGTATGTCAAGGTACCTTTAGGTCCACGGTTGGGCATAACGAGACGATTGGTAACTTCTTTGTCGGAAATGTAGGTTTTGTATTTGTTAGTCTCCGCATCCTTGGTCATGATTTTGCTAAGATCGATCGAGAACGAACCCAAAGAGCGATCACTGGCCCGCTTTTCAGAATCCATTACTTCTAAGGTCAACGTCTGAAGCTCGTTCTGAATAGGTACATAATGCACTTCGTTCCAAACCGGGTTGAGATTATTGGAGAAGCCACTTGTACGGCCCACAACACTCTTGTTAACCAGGAAGCGCACGTATGGATCAATCTTCCCAATATGCTCGAGATTACGCAAATCGTCAGCATGCTTGATAGTGAGACGTGCGACACCAACAGGCTCAATATAGTCGCCGCCCGAGCCATCAGCCAAAACAACCGGCTTCCACTGAGTCTGGATCTGAATTTCACCAGACCCAGGAGGCTCGAGGGGGAACCAAACGTGCTCTTTCTGGTTTTCCAGCAAAAGCTGTTGCAAGCCAACACGGAAGGTGCCAACTTGAGGACCCTGCTTTCCTTGACTCTGACGAATACGGAAAACAGCCTGCGTCATAGCCTTGTTTATAATGATGGTCTCTTTATTGTAGCTGTAATCAGGTGAGTTGGTGCTTTTGGCAACGCGAGATGTGTCGAAGAGCTTACCATCGAACTCTATCTCGCAGTACGTAGATAGCTGACCGACCTTGGAGAACTTTGCATCAAGATTACGAGCACCCACAACCGTGAAGTTAAGAATACCAGCTTTTGTATCTCTAGGTTCCTCAATATCTCCATTCTCGTCAGCAGTGGCCATTTGAACTGGCGCATAATAGGCTGAAAAAGTAATTTCACCAGACTTGTGGCCACCAGAGATAATGCACTCGGTTCTGATATCTTCCAGCAAACCATCTGCGATTTTAGCCACCGGCAGACTGAACGTACCAATAACACGATCGTTGTGTTGCTCATTGAAATCGAGGATCTCCAGCAATTGGGTCTCGGTAGTGTTGGTGATGATCATACGCAATACTTCATTGAAGACAGGTTCTGCAGTGTTAGCTTTAATCTTGGTGTGTGCCTGTTCCTTCTTCTGGCTATCCATAAGACGGACGTAAGGATCAACCGTTCCATCACGTGCATCCTTCTTGAGATTCTTTGCGCTGCGAATGTTGACTGACAAAATACCAACACCACTCATGACACCTACACCAGCCATCAATTGCTCCAAGTTAACTTGGAAAGCATTCGGAGCATACAGCATGGGGCCAAGGTTAGCGTGAACCATCTCTTTGATGAACTTGGAAAGTCCAGGAACAGTTTTTACGATATCGAAACCGAACTTATCACCGCCAATGGGTTTCAATGAGAAGTCGAACTCAGGAGGCTCGAGCAGGGAAACATCCACCGTCTGGATATGAGGAAACTTTGGCATCATTTTCATGCGCAGCCGAGCGGTACCGCGGAAGGACATATCCTCGACGAGAATGGGGAAAGACTGACCAACAAACCCTTTGCCAACGCGGACATTAAGCTGAATTTTTGGATTGACTTTGTTCTTGAGCTGGCGAGCTGTCAAGTCCAAAACATCGTTGGGGGTGAAGGACGCAGACCAATCCATAACCGCCACATCAGGATCGGTTTTAGGAAAGGAACGTACAAACTCAATACGGGGAGCTTTAGTGCCCAGAGTGAACTTTTTCAATGAGAGGCTATCGATAAAACCAGGTGTTTGCTCTTTAAGGATCTCATTGGCGATCTGGGTGATCATGAGCGAAAGAGAGGGCTCGTAAATAAGCCAGAATTTGACCAAGAAAGCATTGAGCCACTCCATACTCTCTTTGGCATCGTCAATCTTCTCCAAGTTAACTTGGCGAACGACGTCGTCTCGATAGTTGCGACGAAGACGACGGATACTTGTACGATAAACTGATCCGGCAGTCAAAAGGACTAATGTTAGCCAAGGGAAGGAGAAACGGTAATGACCCAACAGAAAAGAGAGAACTGCTGTTCCAAGAATAATACAAGTATTCTGGTACCAGTCACCGAAGTATTTGTCCTTGATATATTCCTCGAGAAGAGTAGAACGCTGAAGCATTTCTTGCGCCTCTCCATCACTGATTACGGTCCGTTTGTCCCATCCAGCGACTTGCCGCCATCCCGTGTAGTCACTTTGACGCGCCCTACGGTCGGCAAGCTCATCTTGAGTTGTTCCAAACTTCTTCAACACCTTCTCCTTGTCAACGTTTTCGGATACCGCATCAGCTTGACCTTCAGATTTTTTATCCAACGCAGAGGAAGGTGTTTCGGAGGCTCTGGAAGCTTCCTTATCTTCATTTATGACGTTCTTGGTGATTTCCGAGGGTCCCATATCATGGCCTGGCAAGCCAGGGTCATCAGTGCCGACGTGCATTCCGGGCACATCCTTTGCAGCTTTGGCCATATCCTTTTGTACATGCTCACGGGCTGTCTCGCCAGGTTTTCCTAAATGACCATCCAAGCCAGTGGCATGTAGGTGAAGATTCTCATCACCTCGTTCCTGAAGCTCTTGTTGAACCTGTTCGAGACGCTCTTTCTGTTGAGCAGTGCTTTCGATATTGACAGGCTTGGATCCATGGTGTTCTTTGGGGCTCTCAGTTTCGTGGCTAGCCTTTAAGTTGTCACCTTCCAGAATATCGTCCGAGTTTTGCGCAGCCTTTTCGGCCATGCTCTCTGGTTCGTAGTTCTCGCCTTTGGTCGTGCCATCTGCTGCAGGAGCCGCGTGCTTGTCGCTGGGATCCTCCTTCTGCATAACCTTCTGAGTGGGTCCCGATTGATGCTCGGCACGCTCCTGAATTGTGGGCTCAGCTTCCTGACCGCGGTCCTTATCAACTGACTCCGAACTGTGGTCTCGGGCAGAATTGCCTCGGCTATCGGGAGGCGTAGGCTGGGAGTCCTCTTGGGAAAGAGGCCTGACATTCGATTGAGACTTGCTTGGTACGCCATCTGCGGACGTAGGCGCAGTAGGGTCAACGGGCCCACTGTCGTCATTTGCCTCATTCAACCCAGCATTTCTGGCATTGGGGTTTGCGCGAGATGCGATTGGCACAGAGGTCCCAGCTGGACGGTCATTAGAAGACGCTCCAGGTTGCTCAGTGGTCGAAGTCACCGCAGTGTGAGGCCTGAGCTTGTCCCCTGCGGCCTTCAGGGACTGCAGAGGAGACTTGTGGTGCTTTTTTTTATCGCTACCGTTCGACTGTGAGTCGGAAGAACTGCCACTTCCCTTTTTCATGCTTCCAGAGTTTTTGCTGAAAAGAGGCATTAAGATCGCACAGAAGCGCAATCGATCGGTTTGGGCAGGGGTGGAAAAGGAACCGCACATTCACACGCTAGGAGGTGATACCAAAGTGCCTAGCATGGGCGGCCCTGCCCTAACCCGTTATCACGTGGCATCACTCGCCGTACTAAACTATAATTATCTTATTTTCAGCTCTCAGAACGTAGTGTACGCAAGCAAAACGGCGGTTTTATGGAGTATATGTCCGCTGGTCCCCCAAGTACCTGGAAACCATTTCACATTTATTTTTTTGGTGGGCACGACTTCGCCGTTACCAAAGCTGCGTGAAACACATGCATACTTGCTACAGTCAGCGGATCCCAATGCGTTGCTGGGAGGTGATTAGTTCTTCGCACCCCCGCAAATGCAAAATTCCAAAATTTTTGTCGGGACTGCAAATGTCGCGGATAGTGTGTGAAGCGTGCTTTCAAGGCAGCTGGATCTTTTTCTCGTTTTCAAAAACTCAAGTTCTTTATTAAGTCACCAGACTGCAAACTCTGGCTTTTACCCCACAATCTTTCGGGGGTTTAGCGAACGGCCAAAAGGCTCTTCATGTGATGGCATGCCCTTCCCAACGCTTAAGTGTATATAAGCTCCACTCCAGGCTGTAATCTCTGCAATACAATGATTGGCATAGTACTATTGCTGGCCCTTGTTGTGGCAATGATCTATGACTATATCTATCCGCGCTATCTGTATCCTTATAGGGCTCGAAAGCTTGGTGCAGAGCCTCCAACTGAGCATCTAAGCTGGCCATTTGGAATTCCTGCCGGATTTGGATTTCTGAAAGAGGCCAGGCAGTTGAGACAAATGGAAACATCCCTAGAATTCAGTCATGGTCCGACCAAAACTGTTGTTTCCCAAGCGTTTGGTTCGCACATCATTGTTACTCGTGATCCCGAAGTCATCAAGGCCATGCTGTCGACCCAGTTTGCAGACTTTGGACTGGCCAACCGCTACAAGGTTCTATATCCACTGTTGGGGGATGGTATTTTCACCTCTGATGGACCACATTGGAAGTCATCACGCACTTTGCTTCGCCCATTGTTCATGAGAGAGCGGGTTTCCAACCTCAAGATGATGGAACACCACGTACAAAGTCTCTTCAAAGTAATTGATGGCTGGAACGGTCAGCCAGGCAATGTGCAGACCCAATTCCGTCTTCTCACGCGGGATACCGCCTTACATTTCTTGTTCGGTGTTGACATGGATAGCTTGGCGGGCGTTGAACAGTATTTCGAAATACGTGGAGGCGAGAAAATCAGTGGAACAGAGCTAACCGATGCAATCAGGGTTGCAGCAGGCTGGCTCGGAGTCAGAGCAAAGCTGATGCAGCTGTACTGGCTAGCCTCGCCTCCTCAAATGTGGAAGGCAGTCAAAATCTGTCACGCATTCGTTGACAAGGTCATTGAAACCGCCAAAACTAAGGACAAACTCGAGGACGATGCAGAGTACAGTTTTGTTGCTGATCTTTGCCAGTATACGTCGGACTCCAAGCTGATCCGTGACCAGGCTTTCAGTATCTTTGTTGCAGGTTTTGGGACTACCTCTTCCTTAATGTCACACCTCTGTATGCATCTTGCTGCTACAAAACGATGGAAGAAGCTACGAGAGCATGTGCTCCATGATATCGGTACTGATCCGTCTGCTGTGACCTTTGAAACCCTCAAGAGTTGCAAGTACTTGCAATGGTGCATCAACGAGTCTCTACGCATGCACCCAAATGTGCCTCTGAATCTTCGCCGGGCCCGTCGCGATATCGTGCTGCCAACCGGCGGAGGTGTTGACGGTAAATCTCCTCTGTTTATTCCCAAGGGCCGTGACATTGTCTACCACGTCCTAGCTCTCCACCACGACTTCGATATCTGGGGTAAGGATGCTGATGAGTATATTCCCGAACGGTGGGACAACCTAAAGGTTCCGTCTTGGTGCTACATCCCATTCAATGGAGGCCCAAGAGTGTGTTTAGGTCAACAATTCGCTTTGACAGAGGCCGCATACGTGCTCTGTCGCCTGGTACAGGAATACGACGATCTTATTGGGCCTGGATACGATGCCTACAAATTCCGTTTCTCCCTAACTATTGCTATCGAGCCTGGTGTCACTGTGAAATTCGTGCGCAGCTAGAACCCTTTATATATAAACCTCGTTTTTTTATCTACACCTCCGGTCAGAGACCCCGCTTAGGTGATGTGATCACCGTTGAGGCTGGCCAAAATTTCCATCTGACAAATGCCTAGCATTCTCGAGGTGCCGTTGGAGGCCGATGGTGAGGTTTTGACTATTGACCTCAACAACGATCTTCCCGATGACCCTAGCGAGATTTGCGTTCTGCTCGAAAACGAGAATTGTATTGCAAAATACTGGCTTGAAATCGGATCTGCCTACTCGAGAAACAAGCAGTGGGATAACGCTATCGAAGTGGTTACCAGAGGTTTAAAGGCACGTATTGTACAAAGTGAAACAGACAAAGCTCCTTTCTACTCTACACTTTGCTGGCTCTATCTTTCGCGCTTCCGAAAAACCCCTGTAGCCGAAAAAAAAGAAGTTTACGAGAAGGCGGTCGAATACGGCAACAAGGCCTTTCAGCTCGATAGGTCGAACATGGCAGCTATTCTTGCCCGAGGCACTCTTTCATTGAGCGCTGGTAGTTTCGATGATGCCTTACAACCGTTTGCTGCTATGTTGGCAAAGTCTGAATCCAATCCGTTTGCAATGTTCGGTCGAGCTCGGGTTCTGTACCACCGCAAAAACTACAGAGGTGCTTTGCAGCTTTATCAGGCGATTTTACGTCAAAATCCTAACGCCAAACCTGACCCCCGTATTGGTATTGGGTTGTGCTTTTGGAAATTGGGTGATAAGCCCCATGCGTCACTGGCTTGGAAACGAGTGCTGGCGCTCGATCCAGAGTCAATAGCCGCCAACACTCTCATCGGAATTTGGTATCTAGATGCTGCACTCCATGGAAATGCCACCTTGAAAGAGTTTGAGAACTTTTACATCACCGCTATTGACTTTTTCCAGACCGCTTACAAGCTTGAGGCGCCAACCTCTGCTCCGTTGGCTTCGCTAGGAATTGCCAGCTACTTGTTCTCAAGGCAAGACACTAATAGAGCGCTCAAGCTTATTGATCGCGTTTTGCAATATGCTACGCTGCCTTCGCTAGTCTCTGATGCTCTCTTCTGGAGAGCTCGAATCCTTCACCTTACAGGAGATTATACTGGAGCCCTGACTATCTACAAACAGGCGGTTGAAAGTAATCCTCACAACTATGTTGCATCAATTGGCAAAGGAATGATTGAGCTTTTGCAAGATTCGCCAGAGGCTCTTTTGACGTTCGAGGCTTTGGCTACCAGCCACCCTTCGAATCCCGAGATTGCCCTCTATTCAGGCTTTGTTTACGCCCAGAGATCTGCTGGTGACTCTAAACGAACTGCAAAAGCTATTTCAGCCCTAAAGAGATATTTATCGCTCAAGCGTGCGGCTAGGGAAACTCCCGTTCCTGAAGCACTACTCTATCTCGCAAAACTCTTGGAGGAAGATAGCCAAATGCCACCGGTGCAAGCGCATGAATATCTCCAGGAGGCTGTCACTCAACTTGGTGATGTTTCTGTTGAGATTTTCAACAATCGAGGTGTGTTGGCATACTATTGTGGTCATTATGATGAGGCTAGAGCTTCTCTCCAGTCCGCACTCGAAAAGGCAAACGGTGATGAGGTTGTCACTATCAAATTTAATCTTGCACGCGTCGAAGATGCTGCTGGCAACCCAGAACTCGCTAAAGAAGGCTATGTCAAGGTGCTAGAAATGAAACCCAACTATGTCGATGCTCAAATACGTCAGGCATACCTGGAAGCTGTCCTTGGAGATGCAGAGAAGGGCAATCTATTACTTGATGACTTGATGGCAAAGCATGATGACAACCTCGAAGTACGTGCCTTGCAGGGCTGGTCTCTCCGAAGACTGAAGCTCCAGGGCGCCAAAGTCGAGGATGCAGAACAAAGCCACTACAAGCACACCCTTATGGATCTTGACAAGCACGACACTTACTCTTTGGTTGCTATTGGAAATCTGTACCTTGCTAATGCGAGGGAGCTTCGCGGTGCTTCTGCCGACCGCAAAGAAAAGGCCTACTTCAAGGCTTGTGAGTTCTTCGATAAAGCATTGCAGATGGATCCAGCAAATGCGTATGCTGCCCAGGGTATCGCTATTATTTTTGCCGAGACCAAACGCCCTCAGCAGGCTCTGAGCATTTTTGGGCGTATCCGGGAGACCCTTGACGACTCATCTGTTTTGGTCAACTCAGGACATTGCTATGCTGAGTTGAAACAATACGTCAAAGCCATTGAGATGTATGAGCAGGCACGCGGAAAGTCATCTGGCCCCGATGCCGGGATTTTGTCTTTGCTTGGTCGTGCGTGGTACGCCAAAGGTGCGTCTACCCGTGATGTCGATGCTTTACAAACCGCTTTGAAGTTCAGCCGCGAGGCCTTAGAATTGCAAGACGTACCTGCGCTTCAATTCAATGTTGCGTTTATCCAGTTCCAACTCGCGGATGTTGTGCGTCGTTTACCTTTTGAGAAACGCACTTCCAAGCAAATCGCAGATGCCGTTGACGGCCTAAAAGAAGCCATTGACACCCTCAAAGCTATTTCAAAGGCCGAGCAACCACCGTATAGTGCCATTGATCTGGAAAAACGTGCCGAATTCGGTGAGTCTTCGGTTTTGCCACAACTGGAACGTGCAGTGGTTGAACAAACAGATCATGAGCGGGAGGCGTCAACAAAGATCGAGGAGTCGCTTCGAGTGCGTATGGAAGAGGAAGAAAAGCTTGCAGCTGAACGCAAGCGTAAGCGAGAAGCCGAAGAAGAACGTGAACGGCAGCTCGCAGAGGAGCGCAGAGCCTTACAGGAACAGGCCGATAAGTGGGTTGCAGAGCAGCAGGCTGAGCTCGAACGTCAACCAGAACGTAAAAAGGCCAAAAAGACAGACGATAATTTCATTGATGACGATATCATGAATGAACTGGGCTCTGATGCCGATGAAGAGGAGCCTGCTCCCCAGCAAGCGTCGGACGATGAGCAACAAAAGCCTCGTCGCACAGTTGTCGACGATGACGACGATGATGAAGATAACGAGGAAGAGCAGCCAAATAAGGAAACCAGCGATGTTGACGATTTGTTTTAGATATAGGGTTATGTAGGAAAAGAGACCTAATAAATATTTTTTTCTTTACTGTCCAAACGCTTGCCAGGCACGCATATTTCGCATCACTCCGTGGACCAGGCGATAAAGCTGGCGTTCTGATTCATCGAATTGCGGCTGAGCACCCCGCTGAGCGACCGCGTAGTCGTAAATCTCTGCACTGCGCTGTTGGACTGCATCATAAAGGACGTTAGCCAGCTCGGGGAAATCGAACATCTGCAGCCAGTGTAAAGCCAAGTTTGTGAACACGGTTGACTGTTCGGCAAGATCCAGAGACACGGGAGCAGATTTCAGCGCGTTTATAACGTCTGGCGAAAAGACTGCAGGCTCTTCGAGTGAAACAAACGTCGTTTCAGCATCGTTGTCAACCTGCACTGTGGACAGCTGGCCTGCGAGCCAAAGGGGCAACTCAAGCACTGTGCCACTTTCTATGGTCTCGGTGTTTCCCACAATGTGCCCTAAATGAGGAACAGTAACGTTAAACGTTGTGGGAACGCGCTGTCCCTCAGTCTCGATATCATTAATATCATAGTACATGTCAGCAAGAACGCGACTATTCCGGTTTGGGCGCGCCCTTACAGGGAGGAGGTGGAGGTCCGGTGAGAGGAGGGTGGTTAACGTAGCCAATAAACCAGTACTTGGAGTGGTTTTCAAAAAATTTCTGCCAGCCTCGAATCGCCCTGAGCGTGTCTGGATCTAGATTCCTGAGGTCGTGAGTAAGATCTGTCTGAAAACAGCCAGTTCCAAATGCTCTGGCGGCGTCCCTGCCCGCAAATATGTTATAGCCGCCAAGCTTTCCATATGTCTCTGGCTTCGACGTAACATCGTAAACCAATCCGTCAATTGCAAGAAAAATGGGCAAGTTTGTATCGTGACCGTTGTACCTACTGAGCTCCTCTTCTGTGAAGTTGCGCAATCCGCCTAGCAGCTTGAACTTGACATATCGAGTGTTTGTCCACCGAGTTTCGTATCCCCAAAGCCAGCTCTGCGTAACATAATAGCTAATGGCAAAGAATAACACCACCAAGGTCACCAGGTTGCGCAGCATGACAAATGCCAAGGGTATACGGGGTGCATGTTAGGGGACATTAAATTTATTCATATGCTAAATACATTTTTACAAGTCAATACCCAATCCACCATCTGAAGGGAAAACGCCTTTCCAGAATTCTTCGCCGGCTTGCCAAAACGGATGGTCGCCGTCAAACTCGAGATCGGCCGGGAAAATCTGGGTGTTTCTCAAGAGGCTTTCTCCTTCGAGACTTATAGCCGACGCTCGTCGATTTTGCGCGACTATATCTTCATCTGGGGCAATCAGAAACTGATGCGCTGATTCTCCAGCTTTGATCGCTCCGGGAGGCACGGGGGGCAGTTCTTCATCAGGGACAAAATTCGTTGAAATATCCGGCAGCGTACCAGACTCCTCGGTGGGACTACCTTCCTTCAATGGCACAACAATCTCAGGGCTGTAAGCATACTTGGTGACCATGTGATGGATAACAGCGTCGTTATGGCACATCAAGAGTTTAATAACAAACGAGAGGCAGAGCGACATATTCGAGAACGGATAAGCGTCACAAACAGTATCAAGTGCTGCTGCTGTCTCACTAACATCGTCAATAAAGTCTGTAGGGGCACCAAGAGCGTCCATGTAAACCTTGTTCACCATCACTAGAGCCCTACACTTGAGAATAAGACCAGCATTAAAGACAAGCTGGAAGAGCAAAGGTGTAGGCAAAAACAAAAATTTGTCTCTCGGTAGCTCCATGAGAGCTCTCACAGCACCCACAGCCGCTTCGTAGCAAATTTTGAAGGAGCGAGCTGCTTCTGGTGATAGCTCAGGCGTGAACACTGCCAGGCTGAAGTTTGTAAACGGAGTTCGTCCAAATTGCTTCGAATAGTTGCAATATAGGACACCTTGATGCAAAAACGCTCGAGTTGACAAATACATGAACATATCTGTTGGTTGGGCAGGACGCATTTTCAGCCGTTTGAGTCGCTCGATTTCTTGATCGAATTGCGAAATCAGATATAGGATAGCTGGACTCGATTGAGTGTCAACATCTGAGTCGTTGTTTTTGCGAAACAGCCGCTCGGTGATTTCGTAGTGCAAATGCACATACTCCGCATGCTTGGCTATCGTGATACTTTGAGGATCGTTAGATCGCAGCAAAAAGCTGATGGCATCGCGGGTATAGTTATTCCACAGATCAGCATTGGGCCGTCTCAGCCCTGTCAACGCGTTGAATGTGGCAGAATACGAGGCAACCCACGCTTTATAGCAGACTTCATTTGTTGAGTCCACCAAAATATGTGGAGTGACAATCTGTTCGTATCTAGGGAGCTCGTGGTTTCCAGGGGCCTGAGCCAAAGGCGCCACGCCAAGTCCAAGATCAAATGCCAATGAAGTTGCCGCCGCAGTAAGAGAATAAATACGAGACCGATGGTAGAACTCAGGTTCGTTGTAAAAGTATATTTGGAGAAGCAGCGCCAAGAAACCCTCTAGCGTTTTGTTGCTGTAAATCAAAACCTCTTTTATCAGGCCAACAAAAGCAACATTATGGATTTTCATCGATGTGGCGACTGAGGCAGAATCTTTGATGTATCTCGACGTAATGTCCATGATTGTGTTGAAAATAAGCGGTCGCTCCGAAACAAGCTCGTTGACACTGGCATCACCAATACTAATTATCGGCACAAACGGGTAGATGAAGTTTCGATAGCAGTCCAGACGTTGCTGAGCTTCTGCTAAAGAAATGATGCCGATATCCATAATGGTACGATTAGGCGGGCCCTTAAAAATCTCAGGATCCATACTATCGTAGCTATTCACCCGCTTTGTATCACGGTCGGTTAGTTTTTGCCAGGCAGCAAGCATCTGGTCACGGATCGCCATTACGTTCACAGGGTTTGACATCTTGTATGTTCGGAATTGGTCCATTGGAATTGCATCAACAAATAATGACTGGTGAGGCAATAGTTGTTGGTGCGGGGGGATACTGGGTAAAGCTGAGGCAGCCTGAGAAGACAGTGTCTGCTGAAGGCCATCTACATTACCGGTGGCATTAGTGGCTTCCAGTCTGGGAAGACCGCTAACTGAAGTAGGAACTGTCCCTTTTTTGAAGCTGTTCATGCCACGTTGGCCCTCTGGAGACGCTTCCTCACTGGGAGAAGAATAAGTAGAATTGTTGTTTTGATTCAGCTTGCTTTTGAACATGGGGCTGTCGATGCTAGAATCAGACATGTTCGCAAATGAATGGCCAGTGATATCCTCGCTGTTGTCGTAACTGCCAATAGAAAAGTCTAGTGGTGCTCCCACCGACTGATAGTTGGAGTACACTTGTCGACCATGTTGGGGTATTCCATTAGAGAAGCTGTTGTTTGTCGAGTGCTTATACTTGTATTGGTCTTTGTGAACTGAAGCGTCGCTGTCCACTCTGTGCAATGAGGATGCCGTAGGGGGCGTCTGAGTTTTGTTGCGCCTGCGGCCACCCAGGTCAAAAACACAGTCTTTGTTGCCCTTCAAACATCGCAAACATGGTGATGTGAGGTCATCTGGGTCTGAGTGGACACATTTGACTTTATGTCGACGACAATTCGTACAAGCTGGGAGTCGCTTCTCACCATGAGAATCGGCTGCGCTGTCTGATCGCATGGTTGGAGAACTCTACTAGACAGATCTTGGGCAGCAGTATTTCAGTGACTCTTAGCAGTGAAAGATTTTTCTACTAAATCCTTCTGGGTTTCTCTAGTCTGTGAGGAACAGGAACAGAGGGCACTTGAGGCAGAATTGGAGGGCTTTGCAGTCGTTTAGTCAAGATACTCACAGCACGCATGACGCAACTCTATCTGACTAATGACTATCATTGTGAACTAAGTGGGTATGCATATTCTATCTTTTGATGCATTTCGCTTCGTAGAGCAGGTTTCATGTTGAATTTTGATTTCGAATAATTTTATAAAACAATCTAGTGAACCCGCCTTTTGAGAGTGCTTCGCAAGCATTTTGTTCCCGCCTGTCCGCTTATGCGCAGTATCACCTCACAGGTTGGGGTTTGGAAGAACCAAGCTGAGCGTGAGAGGGGAGACATCTGCAAACAATCGTGCGTGCGGAAAAAAGCCGACAGAGGTACTTTCGACATAAGAGCCAATAAAGCTCCGCGGCTGCGTCAAGTTATCTTTTCTGAGCCTATGCGGTACTATTGGTCCGATTTTAGCGTTAAACGCCTGTGGAACAGAGTCAAACATGAACCTTCTCTTTTCACGTAAGGTTGCTACTTCCAACGGTTTTTTCTTCGGCACAGCAGCCCTACGTTTCTAAGCGTAAATGCACAGTCTTCTCCTCTTCGGCTTCAATAAGACCGCTGAGGGTCTGATTACTTGAGTTCATCGTAGGTCCGCGGGGTTTTGTTCCCGAATTCGCAGACGTAAACCTATCAAACTAAAAGATTCCTGGAGTTTGCCGAGGAACTTTTTGCCCTGTAGTCGTGACAACCCTTACCAGGATCACGCATCACAGTGCTTAATTTGAATTCTTCGGGAAAAGGTGATTTTAGCATTATTATAGTCACTATTTACAATTTGTCCAGAACTAACTTGCTGTTCTTTACTGATACTTTCACAGTATCTCCATTCTGGACAAGGCCCTCCAAAAGCTTTATCGAAAGCGGCTGCAAGATTTCCTTCTGAATCAGCCGGTTTAGGGGTCTCGCACCATAAGCTACATCATAACCGTGGTTCACGAGCCATTCCTTTGCAGTAGGGTCAACTTCCAGAACAATGCGTCTGTCAGCGAGACGGTTCTGCACCTCGACTAACCGGAGATCGACAATTGACTCCAGTGACTTCTTGGAAAGCCGGTTGAACACCACAATGTCATCGAGACGATTCAGGAACTCTGGTGGGTATCTGCGACGAAGCGAGTCAATAACAAGTTCGCGAACCTTGGGGTCAATCTTTCCGGTCTCGTCCGCTGATGTGTCACTGACAAGAATTTCTTGACCAATATTTGAGGTCATCACAATGATGGTGTTGCGGAAATCAACCTTACGGCCCTGTCCGTCTGTTAGTTGACCTTCGTCCAAAACTTGCAAAAACAGTTTGGAGATATCTGGATGCGCCTTCTCGATCTCGTCGAAAAGAACAACTGAGTAAGGTTTGCGGCGAACTTGTTCTGTGAGCTCACCTCCCTCGTCATAACCGACATAGCCAGGAGGAGCACCGATCAAACGGGCGAGAGAGTGCTTCTCCTGGAACTCGCTCATATCAAACCTGATGATCGACTGCTCGTTGTCAAAAAGGAATTGAGCTAGTGCCTTTGTGAGCTCGGTCTTACCTGTACCAGTGGGACCAAGGAACATAAACGAGCCGACCGGCCGTTTGTCGTTGGTCAAACCAGCACGTTGCATCTGCACTGCGTGGACAACCGCCTTTGTGGCGTCCTCTTGGCCAACCACGCGCTGGTTCAATCGCTGCTCCATTAACAGAAGCTTGTCTTTTTCTCCTTTGAGTAACGAGTCTGTCGGGATACCAGTCATGCGTGAAATAACTCTAGCGATGTCGTTACTAGTGACTGATTCGTGAAGTAATGAGTCCTCGTTGTTCGCTTTCTCGTCTGTCCTCGGAATCTGGGCCTCGAGTTTAGGAATAGTTGCATATTGCAACTCAGATGCTTTGGCAAAGTCACCCGAGTGACGTGCCCGTTCCAAATCGATCTTAGCTTGCTCGAGCTGTTCCTTGGCTTCCTTTACTTTCTCGATTTCTGCCTTCTCTTCTTGCCACAATTTGGTTAACCGCTCAGACTCCTCGCGCTTCGCCTTCAGCTTGTCTTGGATGATTTTTCGTCGATCAACAGAAATTGGGTCGGTCTCTTTCTTGAGAGACTCGAGTTCGATCTGCATGGTGATGATTTGACGATCGACGGTTTGAAGAACATCTGGCTTAGATTCATGTTGGAGGCGCAGAGCTGAGCAAGCCTCATCAACCAGATCGATGGCCTTGTCTGGCAAGAAGCGATCGGTGATGTACCTGTTCGAATACACTGCAGCAGTTACCAAAGCTTGATCGGTGATTCGAACACCATGATGGACTTCATATCTGTCTTTTAGGCCACGTAGGATTGAAATAGCGTCCTCGACAGATGGCTCGTTGATAATTACGGGTTGGAAGCGACGAGCGAGCGCAGCGTCCTTTTCGATATACTTGCGATACTCGTCTAGTGTTGTTGCACCGCAGCATTGGAGTTTTCCTCTTGCCAATGCAGGCTTGAGGAGATTTGAGGCATCAACACTTCCTTCGCTTTTACCGAGCCCAAGAAGAATGTGAAGCTCGTCGATGAACAAGATGACCTTGCCCTGCTCTTTGTCGATCTCGTCTAGAACACTCTTTAGCCGTTCCTCGAACTCGCCACGGAACTTGGCACCAGAAATCAACGCACCCAGGTCGAGGCTGATCACCTTCTTGTCTTTGACAGACTCAGGGACCTGGCCCCTCGCAATCTGTTGAGCTAAGCCCTCCATAATGGCCGTTTTACCTGTACCTGCCTTGCCGATCAACGCTGGGTTATTCTTGGTACGTCGACTGAGGATCTGGATTGTTCGTTTGATCTCGTCGTCTCGGCCGATGACTGGGTCAAGACGGCCTTCTCTCGCTAGGGCTGTAAGATCAGTGCCATATTTGAGCAAGGGGTTTTGTTCCTCCTCGCCACCTTGCTGGAAATTCATCCGAGCACCTCCAGGGCCACCAGCGCCGGGACCAAACGAACCGGCCCCACGACCAGGCGTTGTGCTGAATGATCTTGTTAGCGGCACCAATGTCGGTTGCATGAGCTTGAGGCAGAGCTGCCGTGATGGCACGCTCACAATTCTGCTTGCTGCCCGCCGTTGTGCAGCTTGTCTAGCTATGTTTGCTATAGCTTGGCGATTCATGTTGCTAAGGTTCCCAGAATGTAAGGTGCGTATATGTAGGGCAGTGCGTTGTGGGTTAGGATGTCCTGGATGAGTCGAGAAGTTTCGAGGTGTTTGTCAAGGTGTGACTGCTCAAAAAACATGTACTGTATTCTGTAGCTTTGATTCAGTCTTGGAACAATTGGGTTAATTTTGGTTGAACCCTGTGATTGCTGTGCGGTATTGGTCCTGTATTCTTTGTGATTAATAGCGACCTCTGCAAGCTTTTAGTAGGCGTTGACACAGCATGTAAGCGGGCGTTTCAGCGAAATACGCAGTGTTAATCTGCTTTAAAGTCTTTTTTTTCTTGCTATCTTCGATAAAATTAGGATCAAGTATCTTCCATATGTTAGAATCAATATTGAGGTAAATGTTGCGGAGAGTGGCGCGTATGCGCTGGGTAATTTACCTACATAAGTTGAAAAAGATGGATTGTTTTGTACAACAAAAAGCTATTTTAAATCGAACACACATTAAATTACAAGTTAATTCTTAGATACTAGATGAATAAATACCCAATTGAGTAACGATTTACTCGTCGTCGACCAACGGTTAACAACCCGCATACCTGGCAGTTTATACCAACGGACAAAGGCACAAGCCGAACATAGAGACACTCAGCTATGATAAAGAATATAGATAAAGTATTCAAGTATTATCTACCTGGGTAGTGCATAAATAAACAACAACTTAGGAGGTGTACTTAGTGATAGCACGGGTACCATCCATAATGGCGTGCTTGGCCAACTCACCGGGAAGGACGAGACGAACAGCGGTCTGAATCTCACGAGAAGCAATAGTAGACTTCTTGTTGTAGGCAGCGAGCTTGGAGGCCTCAGTGGCAATACGCTCGAACAGATCGTTGACGAAAGAGTTCATGATAGACATGGCACGGGTGGAGATACCGGTGTCGGGATGGGTCTGCTTGAGGACACGGTAGATGTAAGAAGAATAGGTCTCCTTGCGGCCCTTGTGACGCTTCTTCTTATCGTGAGAGGTGGTCTTCTTGCCAGCCTCCTTCTTGTCGGTCAGAGGGGCTTTGCCAGCGGGGGCCTTGGAAGCGGGCTTTTTCTCAGCAACTTTGGGAGCCATGGTTTATGTTAAACTTTTTTTCCGATGTTGATTCAACAAGTAAAAGTCGGATGCAAAAAAAAGCAACAGCGGGGGGAGCGTCTATTATATACGCTCAGGATGGGAAGTTCATCACCAGGCTGCAGACGCGTTTCCACCAGCCAGGGCAAGGAAACATGCTTGATCATGACCGATGCTTCGCGGTCCCAAAAGTACGCTGACATACGCCACATCCATCACCACCATCACGGATCGTGCATGATCAGGGCTAGGTGTGGGACGCTGCACGCGGTGATGGGAAAGGCTATGCTAATAGTATATAAAAGGCAGCCAGCGCGACAACAGGGTTCCTTTCGTTACACATAGTCTTCTTTTGAGTCCAAGTGGAAATTATTATTCACAAAAATGTCTGGTGGTAAATCTGGTGGTAAAGCTTCTGAGCCCTTGAAGGGCCACACTCAGTCTCGTTCGGCTAAGGCTGGCCTGACCTTCCCCGTCGGTCGTGTTCACCGTTTCTTGCGTAAGGGTAACTACGCTCAGCGTATTGGTGCTGGTGCTCCCGTTTACTTGGCTGCTGTCCTTGAGTACCTCACTGCTGAAATTCTCGAGTTGGCTGGTAACGCTGCTCGCGACAACCACAAGACCCGTATCATTCCCCGTCACATTCAGTTGGCTGTTCGTCACGATGAGGAGTTGAACAAGCTCTTGGGTCACGTCATTATTGCCCAGGGTGGTGTCAAGCCTCACATTGAATCATTCCTTGTGCCCAAGAAGTCCGGCAAGTCCAAGGCTAGCCAGGAGCTTTAAGCAGACTTATTTAAACCGTAATGTTCAGTTATCTTTGCGCGCGTAAGAATTAGCAGTTACGATCTCTATAATAAAGCAATTTTTTAGTATTAATCGACGTTACTAGCAGTGCGAATATTTGGGAGACTGCCGCCGGTTCGTAGGTCCATCGGGGTTGCACTAGGCAGCGCGGTGGCCAGGGGCGAGGAACGCAGACCAAAAAGAAATGCTGCTTGCAGTATTGTGGCGCAATCCAAAACCCCAGCCCATTTTAACCTTTTTTAGGGGGTTGCTATTGACTGGAATGTGGCCTGCATGCCGGCCTCCACCTCGGTGGCGACTATTTAAAAATGTTCAACTATGGTGTGTTTTGACAATTGGGAGTAGTTACTGTTCGTTTGATGAAAAATCCATATTTACGCGGTTTGTTGGGAGTTTGAGGGTTAGGCTTTAAACGTAATGGATTAGTAAATGATAACTCAACCCCTCCACCGGCAACAATAGCCTTATGTCCCTTAAATGCCCTACAGACTGCAATTCAAAGGAGACCCAGAAGCATACACTCCGGATGCAGACCTTTTGTTTGCGGAAACTGCAAAATGGAAGAGAGCCAAAATTTTAGAAAAAGTTACTGGTCTTGTAGGTATACTCTATGATAATCGCATTGTGTCTCCCCTTGATTTGAGCCTGCACCCTCTACAGTCCGATCCACCAAAAGAAATGCTATTCACAGCTGTACGCACGGACGGTCAATTAAGTCTAAAGGCTCATAATGGAAATTATTTGGAATTGAGACATGATCGCTCTGTGGCCATAGAGACAGCTGCAATGGGACCAACAAGTCAGTTAACCCTGCTCGTCGAGGGCGGGCTCTTCACCATCAAGTCAGGCCGGTCGTGTTTGGCAGTCAACGAAAACAAACTGGTGTCCGATAACACTGGGGCTCAGTTTGTGATTATAGTACAAAAATAAATAGTCTAGCGATTGATGATGGTGAATTCACCCAGTCCTCGCAGTAGTTTGACAACTTTAGCACGCGGAGCTCGTAAATCAGAGCACAGCGCGTCTACACTGCATGGTACCCTGAAACATTTACGCACAGCATCAATACCATCCAATGTTTCTTGTATGTCGTTTTCTTCCAAAGCTCTTCGAATGACAAAATCACCAGGAACGTGGTACGACTTGCCTAGCCGCGCGGCTAATATCCACGGCTCGTATATCTGGAACGCATGGACTCTGTGAATAAGTTCTTTGATAACCCCAAACGTCAAAAATCTGCGCAAGTCAATATTTCGAAATAGCTCAGCATGCTCTGTGTACCAAGTACACAAGTTCACGCCTTGTCTCAAAGAACAATACAGCTTCAACACCTCTGCTGGAGACAATTGTAAGGTATACCCCGGAATAGACGATGCAGAAAGCGGCGTCGAAACGTGATCACCATCAGAAGGTACCGAGCTTTGGGAGTTGCTTGACCGGCGATTGTTACTTAGGGTTTTTTGATAAATGAACCCGCATAACTCGCGATACATGCTTGCATCTGTTGCGATATTACGCACGTTAGGAGAGCACGCATAGATGTTGGAGAATTGAACGATTCCGATCAAAATAACACAGTCGTAGTGAATCAAATACTGAATACACTCTTTAGTGAAAGAAAAATCCGCCTCCGCCATATCAGATATACGCCGGACACTGTTGATACCATTGATGTAAGGAATAATCCGATCCATTGTTGGGTCCCACGATTCGTCGCGGAGATCACTCAACTGGACAGTAGGAATAGGCACATGGTGACCTTCAATATTAGGCGGAGGCTCTAAAACAGGAAAAAGCTTGATGTTTACACGATTTGCTTCATCAATTGGGATCTGGCACTCTGAGTAGTTATTCAGATCTTGGAACATCTGCTCAAGAATACTATCAATCCGATAAACATTATGTGGATTCGACAGGAACCGCGATTGATGCTCCAAAGCAGTAAACATCTTGGCCAGCCGCTGGATAGCAACTTCATACGGTCCCACGCCTTCAGCAGAAGGGAAAATGAAAACAAAATTGAATGTAAACGAGTTGCGTTCGTAATCTTGTCCAATTATGTTCACAGGGTACCCCATAATATACTTTTCCTTATATTTTATGCCCACGAGCCGGTTACACAACGAGCTTTTTGGGATAAGGTAGTTCTTGAGCAGGTCAAAGGGCAGCAATGGCTCCTCAACCTCTACGGTACTTGTTGGAATAACTGACCCGTCTGGAATTTGGCATACAACTTTCGACCCTTGAGTTGGATGGAAAATAGCGTAGAATACCCCTAAAATCGGGGGAAACCCATTGACATTACCCATGCTTACGTCTTGGGCCACAAGATGATTATATGAATGGGTCTGCGTAGAGAGGGAAACATATAAGAAAATAAAAAGCTTAGTTGAAAACAGACACCCCGAATAAGAACCAAGGTGCTGTCAGCAGGAGGCACCAAAACAGAGTAGATTTAAACCACCGTTAGAGGCCTGCCTCACTCTCGGAGCTGCCCCCCACAGTTTCATTACTAAGCCAGCGACTAGAAAATTCCGTCCTCTGACATATTAATCCCAACCTAGAAACCTTCGGTAAACTTTTTGCCATAATGCAGCGTATTGCTTCTCGTCAGTCTGCGCTTAAAGGCGTGCGTTTCTATTCACACAAAGAGCTCAAGTTTGGTGTCGAGGGTCGTGCCGCTCTGTTGAAGGGCGTGGACACCCTCGCCAAGGCCGTTTCCGTAACCTTGGGCCCCAAGGGCCGTAACGTTTTGATCGAGCAGTCTTTCGGCTCTCCTAAGATCACCAAGGACGGTGTTACTGTTGCCCGCTCTATTTCGCTCAAGGACAAGTTCGAGAACATGGGTGCCAAGCTCTTGGCTGATGTTGCCTCCAAGACCAACGAGACTGCTGGCGATGGTACCACCTCTGCCACTGTGTTGGGTCGCTCGATCTTCACTGAGAGCGTCAAGCGTGTGGCTGCTGGCTGCAACCCTCAGGATCTCCGTCGTGGTTCTCAGGCTGCCGTCGAGGCTGTTGTTGACTTCCTTTCCAAGCACAAGAAGGAAGTCACCACTTCGGCTGAGATCGCTCAGGTCGCTACCATTTCTGCAAACGGCGATGAGCATATCGGTAAGATGATTGCCAGCGCCATGGAGAAGGTCGGCAAGGAGGGTGTTATCACCGTCAAAGAGGGTAAGACTCTTTATGACGAGCTCGAGGTCACCGAGGGTATGCGCTTCGATCGTGGCTTCATTTCCCCCTACTTCATCACCGATGCCAAGGCAGGAAAGGTTGAGTTCGAGCACCCCTTGATCATGCTTTCTGAGGCCAAGATCTCTTCCATCTCTGATGTTTTGCCCGCTCTCGAGCTCTCGAACAAGACCCGCCGTCCCTTGCTCATCATTGCTGAGGATATTGACGGTGAGGCCCTTGCTGCTTGTATTCTCAACAAACTGCGGGGTCAGGTCCAGGTTGCCTGTGTCAAGGCTCCAGGTTTCGGTGATAACCGTAAGAACACTCTTGGAGACATCGCTATTCTCACTGGTGGTCAAGTCTTCACTGAGGAGCTTGATATCAAGCCCGAAAATGCCACTCTTGAGCAGTTTGGTTCTTGCGGTTCTGTGACCGTCACCAAGGATGATACTATTGTTCTTAATGGTGAGGGTGCCCGTGACACCATCATGCAACGTTGCGAGCAGATCCGTGGTTACGTTGCTGATGCTTCCACATCCGAGTACGAGAAGGAGAAGCTCCAGGAGCGCCTGGCCAAACTCTCCGGCGGTGTTGCCGTTATCAAGGTCGGTGGCTCCTCTGAGGTTGAGGTTGGCGAGAAGAAGGACCGCTTTGTCGACGCCCTCAACGCTACTCGTGCTGCCGTCGAGGAGGGTATCTTGCCCGGTGGTGGCACCGCCTTGCTTAAGGCTTCTCGCATTCTTGGCGACGTCCCCACTGCTAACTTCGACCAGAAGCTTGGTGTTGACATTATCCAGCAGGCTATTCGTGGCCCCGCCCGCACTATCATTGAAAACGCTGGCGGCGACGGTGCAGTTGTTGTTGGCAAGCTCGTCGACGACTTTGGCGACGACTTCAGCAAGGGCTACAATTCTGCCACTGGCAAGTATACGGATATGATCGCTGCTGGTGTTATTGATCCTTTCAAGGTCGTTCGTACTGGCCTGGTCGATGCTTCTGGTGTTGCTTCGCTGCTAGCTACTACCGAGTGCGCCATCGTCGATGCTCCCGAGCCTGCTCCCGCTGCTCCTCCCGCTGGTATGGGCGGCATGGGCGGCATGCCTGGCATGGGCGGTATGGGCTTCTAAGCTTTGTACATAAAAATAACTGTTTTAAATCGTCTGTTAAATCAGATGTTAGCGCAAGCTGCTGACATAAGACACACACCGACACACACTCCAGCTTCAATTATGAGCGGTGAAGACGACGTGCTCCAATTGCTCGATTCAATCGATAGAGAGCGCACCAAAAAACAAAGAGCCCGTAAGCCCATCAAACCTCGTGAAAAGCGCGCTGATGCCGATGTGATGGAATTTCTGGATGAGGTTTCAAAGTCGAGCACCCCTACTCCTCCAGTTTTGACCGAGGGAACACAGACTTCAGAACAATTACTTGTCCAGTCTGTCAAACCTAAACCACCGAAAGCCCAAGTGAGTATGGAAGAAGAAACTGTCAAGGTGACCACATCTGATTCTCCTCGTAGTGAGACAACGGCAGCGACAAGTGACCCTATAACTAGTATCTCAAGTTGGTGGTCGCGCAATAAAGACGGTCTATGGGACCAGGCTGCGAATGCAGCTACTGTAGCCAAATCCCATGCTACAGATGTTGTGAAGCAGGCGGAAGCAAAGGTATCTGAGATGCAGAAAGACCAAGGCACATCGGCGTTTGCATTTAGCAGCTGGCAAAAGTCCATCTCGTCCGTCTTACAGACAATCGTGCCGCCAATTGGCCGCCATGAGCAGTTGAAAATTAATATTTTCCATGATATGGTTGGATACCAAAACATCGATAGTCTCGTCCACGAGGTTTTTGCCAGAGTGATGGACCAAGTTGAAGGCGGCGGTGACCTCAATATGGTCGTACAAAAAGGCAAAGAACGGCATCTAGCTCAGGAAGCTAATGACCATACGCTAAAACTCAACGCGTTCGTTGGATCTTATGAAAATGGCAAAAAGCTAGCCAAGGCCAATATTGAGGAGCTTATTTCCTCTCAAACGTCTTCACCGAATCCAGAAGGTGAGAACTTTATCCAGCATTCAGAACTTTTCGTGTCAATTCAACCTGTGATTTCTGACCAAATACATGATACAGACCTCACTTTACAAAACGGCGGATTTTATTTCATTATCTACTTGGCTGACCATCACCATAAGATCGAGCTGACGACCGCTTCTCAAAATTTCCCTTCGAGATGGGCCGAAATTTTAGATGCTAGTGCAGCTACAGGTCCTGAAACAACAAGTGACACTAAGGAATGGATTTTGGAATGGGTAGAGTCTGGACTGCAACTCGCAGTTGGCGTTGTGGCTCAAAAGTACGTTTTTATGCGGATGGGATTGGACCCGAGTAAATGACGCTACAATAGGATCATAAAAATACATTTTATATACCGCGATAACTCAGCCTTTATAATTCACCCCCTTTTTTTTTTTTCAACTGCTTATTTTTGAGTTTGATCTGGATTTCTTTTCCTCATTCCTAATTCTGTGTTACCGAAGCTTACTCCTGGAAAAACATTATTCCTCAATGCATATTTACAGCTAGTATCTTTAGTGTAGTAGTTGTACAATCTTGATTAAAGTATGTCTAGACGTAGTAGCTCCGCGGCCCTGGGTCACCATGCAGGTGTCATCTGTAACAGCTGGAGTTGTGGCCTCAATGTAATGTATATACAATACGTGGCCCGGCAGAGACACGGAGTGTGGATTAAAGAACCAAAAGTGGCAAAAGCCATTGTTACAGCACCTGATGCTATCAGTCACCAAAAACGAAGACGGACTTCGACTTAAGAGGCTGTCGGGAACATAGAGCTGGCCAATTCAGACTCTGCGATATCAGAGAGCCGCAGCTGTAAAAGATGAGTTACCAAAAGGTGGTTAGTTAATGGACTTGCATTATTTGAAGAGATAAATTCGCTTCTGGGACACTGACACTATGAAAACAACAAAAATGTCATGGGATGAAAACCGAGCTCTAGTGGCACATAATTTACTTTTGCCTACTAGAAATTCGAAAAAAAAAGATTGCAATCAAATTAAGCGGCTTGACTGATCAGTCGTAGGGCGATAGGCTTCAAAGTGCAGGTGGTAGATAATACGACTTTGCACAGATCAGACCGCCCGGCTTTCTAGGCATTGTACACCAACATGAGCTCCTAAATTACCTGTATATACTAAAATATTGGCATCTTGTGCTGTTGATATGTTGCCGCTCAGAGATCTTCCGCGCTTAAGACTGTACGCTATTTAAATGTTTTGCAGTTATAGTCGAACTACGAACGCATAAACAGCACTGGTAGAACTCGAATTTAAAAATTTATCATAAAAGTGAAAGATATTAAAACATTGCCTTGCTACATTATGTGACTATTGATTAAGCGAAGACAAAAACAGCCCCGGCTACGATAGCAGCGAATGAAATGCCTTTAATAGAAGCACCATTTGCGGGGCGCACCTCAGTGCCAGAAGCAGCAGGGCTGGGAGCAGTCTCAGCACCTGAAGTCTTGAGAGTTGGAGCAGGAGCAGTCTCAGCACCCGAAGTCTTAGGAGTTGATATAGGAACGTTGGTAGGGGTCTCGGTCTCGCAGGGGACAGTGACAGTCTCCGTGAGAGTAACGGGGCCAGCGCTGGTTACGGTCACTGTCTGGCTTCCATGAGTGAAGGTAGTGGGTTCAGGGCAGGAAGTAGTGAACTCAGTGACGATAGTGGTAGACTTCGCAGGGGGTTTGGTGAGAGTGCATGGGCAGTCAGTGACAGTCAAAGTAGTGGGTTCAGTGACAGTGTAGCAGCGGCCGTTACCAGGGCAGACAGTGGTAGGCTCAGGGCAATAAGTAGTGAACTCAGTCACAATAGTTGTAGTCATCGCAGGTGGCTTGGTGAGAGTGCACGGGCAGTCAGTGATAGTCAAAGTAGTGGGCTCAGTGACAGTGTAGCAGTGGCCATTACCAGGGCAGACAGTTGTAGGCTCAGGGCAGTAAGTAGTGAATTCAGTGACAACAGTCGTGGAGACCTCCTCAGAACCTGACAATACCCCAGTGCCAGTGGGGGCACTAGAGCCGGTGGGAACCACAAAACCGGATTGGGCGCCAGAGTCAGAAGCACCAGAGCCGGTAGGAGCAACGGAACCAGATTGCGCGCCGGGGCCAGAAGCGCCGGAGCCTGTGGGGACAACAGAACCGGATTGGGCGCCAGAGCCAGAGGCACCGGAACCACTAGCAGTAGCAGAACCAGATTGGGCGCCGGAGCCAGAAGCGCCGGAGCCGGTGGCGAGAGCAGACCCAGATTGAGCTCCTGAGCCAGAAGCGCTGGAGCCGGTGGCGAGAGCAGACCCAGATTGAGCTCCTGAGCCAGAAGCGCCGGAGCCAGTGGCGAGAGCAGAACCAGATTGGGCGCCAGAACCAGAGGCACCAGAACCACTAGCAGTAGCAGAACCAGATTGGGCTCCTGAACCAGAATGGGTACCGGAGCCAGAAGCGCCGGAGCCGGTGGAAGTAGCAGAGCCAGATTGGGCGCCAGAGCCACTAGCAGTAGCAGAACCAGATTGGGTGCCAGAGCCACTAGCAGTAGCAGAACCAGATTGGGTGCCGGAGCCAGAAGCGCCGGAGCCGGTGGAAGTAGCAGAGCCAGATTGGGCGCCAGAACCAGAGACACCAGAACCACTAGCAGTAGCAGAACCAGATTGAACCCCAGAGCCAGAAGCACCGGAGCCAGTGGCGAGAGCAGAACCAGATTGGGCGCCAGAACCAGAGGCGCCAGAACCACTAGCAGTAGCAGAACCAGATTGAGCCCCAGAGCCAGAAGCGCCGGAGCCAGTGGCGAGAGCAGAACCAGATTGGGCGCCAGAACCACTGGCAGTAGCAGAACCAGATTGGGCTCCTGAGCCAGAAGCGCCGGAGCCGGTGGAAGTAGCAGAGTCAGATTGGGCGCCAGAACCAGAAGCACCAGAACCACTAGCAGTAGCAGAACCAGATTGAACCCCAGAGCCAGAAGCACCGGAGCCGGTGGCGAGAGCAGAACCAGATTGGGCACCAGAACCAGAGGCGCCAGAACCACTAGCAGTAGCAGAACCAGATTGAACCCCAGAGCCAGAAGCGCCGGAGCCAGTGGCGAGAGCAGAACCAGATTGGGCGCCAGAACCAGAGGCACCAGAACCACTAGCAGTAGCAGAACCAGATTGGGCTCCTGAGCCAGAAGCGCCGGAGCCGGTGGAAGTAGCAGAGCCAGATTGGGCGCCAGAACCAGAAGCACCAGAACCACTAGCAGCAGCAGAACCAGATTGAGCTCCTGAGCCAGAAGTACCGGAGCCGGTGGAAGTAGCAGAGTCAGATTGGGCGCCAGAACCAGAGACACCAGAACCACTAGCAGTAGCAGAACCAGATTGAACCCCAGAGCCAGAAGCACTGGAGCCGGTGGAAGTAGCAGAGCCAGATTGAGCGCCAGAGCCAGAAGCACCAGAACCACTAGCAGTAGCAGAACCAGATTGAGCGCCAGAGCCAGAGGGTGCCATGGAACTAGCTGAGCAAGGACCAACAGACGTCAAAGTAACAAGACCGTTAGTGCATGGCGTCAACAGCGGAATGACGATAGGCGACGATAACGTAGAGCCAATTTTGTTGACGCTGCTGATAAGGTTGTTAATGGTATCGATGTCGGCACAGTCGTAGCAGCCACCAGATTTGGCAAGAATAGCAGCAAGTGTGGCAACAATGGTGTTCAAACTCTTGATAAGCGACTCTAGAATGTTCTTGAGAATGGGGGCCAAGATACCGCTGCTGTTAGCGAGCTGTTGAGCAACATTCTCAATAACAGTGACCAAGTTGTCGACGATCTTGAAGATTGACAGCAGTCCATCACCAGCGAGACAGGTGATACCACTAAGGGCACCGAGAAGAGCATCGACAGCAGCGATGACAGCAGCAAGCAAAGGACCCAGAAGCGCGATATGGCCGGCAATGTCAGAAAGGCCATTGAGCAGAGCTTGAACAGTTTGCAGCACGGAATTGAGAACGGAAGTAAGACCCTTGCCGGGTCCATCACCACAAGCACAAGCAGTAGCACTAGGAGTAAGACCAACGGTAGTGATGATGCTAGTGCATACAGACGCAGAGTGAGCTGCTGTGCCAGATGCACCAGAGCCGCTCGGGGTAACCGATGCGGAATTAGCGCCAGAAGCGCCAGAACCACTGGGTATGGCGGAGCCGGATTGAGCACCTGATCCAGAGGCACCAGAACCTCTAGCAGTAGCAGAACCAGAATGGGTACCGGAGCCAGAAGCGCCGGAGCCGGTGGAAGTAGCAGAGCCAGATTGGGCGCCAGAGCCACTAGCAGTAGCAGAACCAGATTGGGTGCCGGAGCCAGAAGCGCCGGAGCCGGTGGAAGTAGCAGAGCCAGATTGGGCGCCAGAACCAGAAGCACCAGAACCACTAGCAGTAGCAGAACCAGATTGAACCCCAGAGCCAGAAGCACCGGAGCCGGTGGCGAGAGCAGAACCAGATTGGGCGCCAGAACCAGAGGCACCAGAACCACTAGCAGTAGCAGAACCAGATTGAGCCCCAGAGCCAGAGGGTGCCATGGAACTAGCTGGGCAAGGACCAACAGACGTCAAAGTAACAAGACCGTTAGTGCATGGTGTCAACAGCGGAATGACGATAGGCGACGATAACGTAGAGCCAATTTTGTTGACGCTGCTGATAAGGTTGTTGATGGTATCGATGTCGGCACAGTCGTAGCAGCCACCAGATTTGGCAAGAATAGCAGCAAGCGTGGCAACAATGGTGTTCAAACTCTTGATAAGCGACTCTAGAATGTTCTTGAGAATGGGGGCCAAGATACCGCTGCTGTTAGCGAGCTGTTGAGCAACATTCTCAATAACAGTGACCAAGTTGTCGACGATCTTGAAGATTGACAGCAGTCCATCACCAGCGAGACAGGTGATACCACTAAGGGCACCGAGAAGAGCATCGACAGCAGCGATGACAGCAGCAAGCAAAGGACCCAGAAGCGCGATATGGCCGGCAATGTCAGAAAGGCCATTGAGCAGAGCTTGAACAGTCTGCAGAACGGAATTGAGAACGGAAGTAAGACCCTTGCCGGGTCCATCATCACAAGCACAAGCAGTAGCACTAGGAGTAAGACCAACGGTAGTGATGATGCTAGTGCATACAGACGCAGAGTGAGCTGCTGTGCCAGATGCACCAGAGCCGCTCGGGGTAACCGATGCGGAATTAGCGCCAGAAGCGCCAGAACCACTGGGTATGGCGGAGCCGGATTGAGCACCTGATCCAGAGGCACCAGAACCTCTAGCAGTAGCAGAACCAGAATGGGTACCGGAGCCAGAAGCGCCGGAGCCGGTGGAAGTAGCAGAGCCAGATTGGGCGCCAGAGCCACTAGCAGTAGCAGAACCAGATTGGGTGCCGGAGCCAGAAGCGCCGGAGCCGGTGGAAGTAGCAGAGCCAGATTGGGCGCCAGAACCAGAAGCACCAGAACCACTAGCAGTAGCAGAACCAGATTGAACCCCAGAGCCAGAAGCACCGGAGCCGGTGGCGAGAGCAGAACCAGATTGGGCGCCAGAGCCAGAAGCACCAGAACCACTAGCAGTAGCAGAACCAGATTGAGCTCCTGAGCCAGAAGCACCGGAGCCGGTGGAAGTAGCAGAGTCAGATTGGGTGCCAGAGCCAGAGGCACCAGAACCACTAGCAGTAGCAGAACCAGATTGAGCCCCAGAGCCAGAGGGTGCCATGGAACTAGCTGGGCAAGGACCAACAGACGTCAAAGTAACAAGACCGTTAGTGCATGGCGTCAACAGCGGAATGACGATAGGCGACGATAACGTAGAGCCAATTTTGTTGACGCTGCTGATAAGGTTGTTGATGGTATCGATGTCGGCACAGTCGTAGCAGCCACCAGATTTGGCAAGAATAGCAGCAAGCGTGGCAACAATGGTGTTCAAACTCTTGATAAGCGACTCTAGAATGTTCTTGAGAATGGGGGCCAAGATACCGCTGCTGTTAGCGAGCTGTTGAGCAACATTCTCAATAACAGTGACCAAGTTGTCGACGATCTTGAAGATTGACAGCAGTCCATCACCAGCGAGACAGGTGATACCACTAAGGGCACCGAGAAGAGCATCGACAGCAGCGATGACAGCAGCAAGCAAAGGACCCAGAAGCGCGATATGGCCGGCAATGTCAGAAAGGCCATTGAGCAGAGCTTGAACAGTCTGCAGAACGGAATTGAGAACGGAAGTAAGACCCTTGCCGGGTCCATCATCACAAGCACAAGCAGTAGCACTAGGAGTAAGACCAACGGTAGTGATGATGCTAGTGCATACAGACGCAGAGTGAGCTGCTGTGCCAGATGCACCAGAGCCGCTCGGGGTAACCGATGCGGAATTAATGCCAGAAGCGCCAGAACCACTGGGTATGGCGGAGCCGGATTGAGCACCTGATCCAGAGGCACCAGAGCCGCTAAGGGTAGCAGAGCCGGAAGCACCAGAACCAGTAGGTGTAGCAGAGCCAAACTGAGTGCCAGGCTCGGAAGTAGCAGAGCCGCTAGGGGTAGCAGAACCACTAGGAGTGGCAGAGCTAGAAGCACCAGAGTCGCTAGGCGCAGGAGCTCCAGAAACAGTAGAGTCGCTAGGCGCAGGAGATCCAGAAGTAGTAGAGTCGCTAGGCGTAGAAGACACAGAAGCACCAGAACCGGTAGGGACAATAGAACCAGAATTGGCACCTGAATCAGACGGGGTCACATTGCTAGATGGGCAAGGAACAACCGAAGTCAGAGTAATAGGACCGCTAGAGCAAGGTGTCAATAACGGAATAGAGGAAGGTGGGGACAAAGTGGAGCCAATTTTGTTGACACTGCTGATAAGGTTGTTGATGGTATCGATATCTGCGCAGTCGTAGCAGCCACTAGACTTGGCAAGAATAGCAGCAAGTGTAGCCACAATATCGTTCAAACTCTTGATAAGCGACTTGAGAATAGCCTTGAGAATGGGAGTCAAGAGAATGCCACTGTTAGCTAGTTGGTCTGCAACATTCTCAATAACACTGACCAAGTTATCGACGATCTTGAAGATTGACAGAAGTGCATCACCAGTAAGACAGGTGACACCACTAAGGGCGGTAAGTAGAGCGTCGACGGCAGCGGTGACAGCAGCAAGCAGAGGGGTAAGAGCAGCAATATTGCTGGCGGCATTAGACAGACCTTTGAGCAGAGCCTGAACAGTCTCCAGAACGGAATTAATAACAGAAGTAAGACCCTTGCCGGGTCCATCACCGCAAGTACAGGCGGTGGCACTGGGGATGAGGCCAGTAGTAGTAACGAGGGTAGTGCACACGGAAGTAGAGGGATCGGCAGTACCAACATCATCAATACGGACAGCGAGGTCAGCGGTAGGGGCCGCAGCATATGCTAGCGACGCAGCCGCGAAAAGGCCAAAAACCTTCGCGAAACGCATTTCGAGTCTGGGTATGTCGGATTTTGCTCTAGTTCTTTAATACCCCAGGTTCCGTATCATTTCAAATTCCCGTACTTAGGTGAGCATGTCTTACATTGCATGAAATACTGTGTGATGCAGATCGTGCATACATACGCGTATGCATTACAGATCATCCTAGATCTCCTGCTTCTGGTTCCTTTGTGTCTTGGTTTAGATGGACAAGTTTAATGACACCACATCTTAGTTCTACTGATTTCACTACCGTTTTCATTTATACCGACCCCAAGCATATTCTGAGTCTTCGTTACACTGTACTCCATGCAGTTTTTTTCCATAAATACCGCCCCACTAGCGGACGTTTCTGTTCGCTATTTTTTTTCTCATATGCAAAGACCAGACCAATTTATAGAATGCACGACAATGAATGCTTAGAGTTTCGTACTTTTATTGGTTTTAAACCGTCTATTCCAAGCGCCTGCGAATGTACTGTGGAACCGGTCTTTTTTTTTTTGCTCTCCATGCAAGGCAACATGCAACCTCGTAGGTAAGGGCGTATTCGCCTCGTGCTTAGTAAACGACATAAAACATAGGAGCGCTTGCCCGTCCGATGCAGGCTTGACCGTTCCTCCCTGGACCGAGATCGAATCGGTTGTTTCTTTACGCTGCTTCAAATGTTAATCAGGTATTGAACATGATATCCTTTGAAGAAACCCTACAAAGGTTGAATTGAGTACATCCAATAGGGTTGTATAGCTTCCTTTGCTTTGCCTGTTTGTGTACAATGACGTTTGTGAGCACAGACAGGGGCGACGGGGCATTCTTGTGGACGGTGCTGCAAGCGCTCCTGTAAATCTCGTCGCCCTACAAAAGTCCTCAGCGTGGGTTCGGGGTTTATGGACCTATCTCAATCAGCCTCAATCGTGATCTGTGTTGGTCCTTTTGGGCGATTAGCCTAGCACGCAGACTGGAGTGTCGCTATTTTAAGTGATCATTATTTATCTTACTTCCCTGGCCGTAATCTTAAATACTCTGATAGAAATGAAAACTGGCAGAGCAAAAATCTGCACCTGTCATTTGTAAGCACCCGGCGACGCATCCCCTACTCAAGCACCGAGGGTCCGAGCGCTGGCTAAACGAATGCAGATTCTTGGCGACATTTATTAATAGCACTTTGCCTTACAGCCCCGATAGTCTATCTACGGTTTTTATATGCGCAGTGATGATCTCTTTATAACATGCGATCCAGTGTATGCTTCAAACACGCTACAACCGGGATTACCAGGAAGCATTGAATGGATCCCACTGGGGCTCTCCTTGCGTGAATATCCAACGCTCGTGGCGTTGATCACTGTGCGTGAATATCTGGAACATGAGGGGTAAGAGTATCAATGTAATGTGCTGAAGGAATGCAGATTCTCGGCGATGTTTAGAAATAGTACCCTGCGTTTGACACTTATACGTACAATCCGCTATTTATTCATAGGCTCAGGTGGATGTTGTCCACGAAATAGTTCAGTTTACTGGGAAGTGTCGCAGCCCATGGTACTGCTGGATCTGTGAGACTTACTAGACAAGTCTTGGGTCTTGGCGATGCTGTTAAATCGTTCTTTTTGCCTAGCAAATTTAACCGGCTCGTCTGTTGTATATTAGGATGGTCTGGTTTTATAATAAGATATGTTATATTTTCTATACACGACGAACGCATTTAATGAGAAGGTAGTCGCACTAAAGACTCAACCGTACGTATCCAGGTCTCGAGGCTCTGGCGTACGAATTTAGTAAACAGATTCCGTCTTGGCGATATGTATAAAGAATTGGTTTGCCTGGCTAGTCAAGCCATCACATCTGCCAAGTTCATATGCGTAGAAATATTCTGTTTATGACAAGTTGTACGCTACAAACATTACACTGGTGCTATTAAGAGCGCAAATAGTAGCATTAAATACTTGAGTGTGCTATTCAAGTGGCTTATATATCTATAATGTGCGTGAATGTCTGAAACATTAGGGGGTCGAGTATCAATGCAATCTACTCAACAGATGCAGATTCTCAGCGGTCTTTATAAATTGTATTGTAACTTCCAAAGTTGCCTGTCACATCAGTTTTTTTACATACACTATAGTTCGATTTTTCTATCAAGAGACAATTCACATGTTGTATGTTGCGTGGTCGCATTTACTGAAAAGTGAAGGCAGTAGCACCAAATACGCTAGAGGGCACTGGGCTCGTGGCGTTATAGTACTGGTGTGATCATTACAAAAGACTCTGGGCGATACATAGAAGTACTTTGCGTTGTGAGCTCAACCGTCTCGCCATCTCTTGCACGCTGTATAATTTATAATTTGCCTTTTCTCGAAAGCACGCTTGCATGTCATAGAAATCGTGATTGTAAATTCTGAGAAGTGAGATAGCACAAAACACCCGAGAGAGCTCTAAGGTCATTTATGATTGACACTATATGCGGCTTGTGCGTTGCTATATTTTCGAGCTGCTTTGCTGCTAGTATTGCTGAAAGTACATCTGTTTTACTTTAGTTATTCATTCGGTCGATGAATCACTTGCTTGGCTAGAGTGGTCACTTTATTCCTGCATGTGCCCCGTTCGCATGCAACCTGGCTTGCTTTCCTTATACATTGCATTGAACCGCACATGCACCTTGGTGTGGTGAATCGATAGCCGACATGCGCTGACCGTACGCCTCCTCTTACGCGCGGCCTGTAGTGATCGTCGGACATAGGCAGTTTATAAGATCAAGTTGGAATTTTTTGGCAAGAGTAATTCTAAATTCTGAATTTTACGACAGTATATGTGTATAGTTCAAAACTCAGCAAGTGTCGGGGCTTTGCGTCATATTTTTTTCTGGATGTTTTACGTTGAATCTATCGGTTACATTAGTTCTGTCGATAATCGTCGCCACATATAAGGTTAGGTTATCATCACACTGCGCCACAGGCGTTGTTTTAGAAATACCGTCATGGTAGCGTGCAGTTATAGTCGCTCTTTTTGCAATATCTGCAGACACCAAACACTTTGTACAAAGTACAATAGCTAGTGTTTGTGTTTGTGTCTGATTTTTGTCTGATTTGCTTTGAATGTCTGCCTTACCTGTCTGCGGATGCATAGGGACCGTGGTTGTTTTTGCTCTCTATACAAGACTACTTGCAACCTAGTGGGTAAGGCCCCTATAGTTCACGTTTCTGCTCAATAATCGGTAAATCTTGCCTGCGCCTACCCTACCTGATGAACGCTCGACCATTTTCCTGTGAACGAAGGGCCAACAGTAGTAGTTTTTTTTTGCCGCTTCGAAAGGTACTCACATATTGAGGACGGAACGCTTTGCAGGTGTCGATTAGTGTTCAATTGATATCGTTCAATAGCTCATATCTGTTCGGTTTTTCTACAGAATGACGTCTATGACCTCAGACAAGGGGCAACGGGAAAACCTTTGTGCACGGTGCTGCAAGAGCACTCCTGTAAATCTCAGGTTGGGTTAGGTGATGTGGGGTTATCCCGATCGGCCCCAATCGTGAATTATGTTCGATCATCTAACAGCGATTGGAGCTTGGCATACATGCTGGGGTCCCGCTGTTTCCAAACAATCAATTTTCATCTTACTGACCTTGCTGTCTTCGTAATGATCTGGCTAAAAGGAAAACTGGCAAAGTGAAAACTACGCCGTCATTTATAAGCACGTAGCGATGCATCTCTCCTCATGTGCGATGACTGCAAGCGCTGGCTTAACCAATGCAGGTGTTCGCGACATTTATTGATAGTGGTTTGCTTGCTGTTTCAACCGGGTACTACGAACGATACTAAGGAATAAATCTCGGAGTAGGTGGAGTTGGGCGGTAGTTCGCAGTAGGTGTGGTAGCCTAAAAAAATTGTTGTTACGAGGATCGCTTGAAATACGAACCAGTAACACTAGCATGGGGTCATACAATACTGTTTGTATACGTTCACCTTTCTGGCTATTTTCTTGAAACATTTTTCTATTTCAAGTTAGTTTTCTCAGACGTGTAAAAGCTTCAGAAGACTTTTTAAATTCAACGAAGATTTATTCTTCGCCCGTGTCTGCATCTTCGAATTTCAATTACTATTAATGATTCTGTGCTACTGAAGCATACTTCACGAATCACAAGATTTGCTGCTTAAACTAATATTTTCCAATGCATATGTGGAGCTAGCACCTTCAGTCGTTGTGTCACAAAACACCAAGCCTCGAGACCTTAATATACAAACTCGTTCTCCTAAAATTTTTTGAATATCGTACAAATTGGAACAAGGTGGACAAGCATGGTCGTATTAACTATTCCTAGAGGTGGTAACTTTCTGGAGTCACAGCACCGGTGTGGTCTGTAACAACCATAATCGCGGCCTCAATAAAAGTATTATGCCCGTAATATCTACACCAGCTAACCGTGGATTAAAGAATCAGCTAGTTGTAGACAGTCTCATACTAGTTGTGATGCCACGCTAGAGAGCAGTGGCGAAGGAGGACTATCAATTGAATAGGTGTAGGAAAAATACTAACAGAAATAGCCAACCAGACTCGACAACATAAGATGGCGCGGCTTTAAACCTAAGAGTTGAATAGCCAAAAGATTGGTCAGGGAATGGAGTTGTATTCCTTCAACAGACTCATCCGACTTTACGACACTAGACATATGAGACGTTAAAATGACGTCGAGCCCTGACGACCGAACCGCCTGGAATTCTAGTCTCGTAGCTCACGATCTTCATTGTTTTTACTTTGAAATTGGAAAAAAAAATTTGTCCTCAAACGAACTGTTCGTACCAACCAAACGTATGGCGATAGACACTGCAAAGCGGACTGTCCCACGTACAGGAGGTATTTAATACAAGTTTGCACAAATTAGACAACTTAGATTTAAGGTGCCGAAAACCAGCATGACCTTCATAACTAGTTACATGTGCTAAATATCGGTATTTCGCGCTGGTTGGTAGGTTGCCGCTTTGAGATCTCCTGCGCTCACACTGCACACTATTTGAATCTAACACAACTGCAGATAAATCACAAACGCAAAAACAGTTTAAAATAACAATGATAAAACTTCGGCCTCAAAATTTTATCAGAAAGGTGAGTACAATTGAAGCTAAGTACACTATATGACTTTTTCTCAAGCAAAGCCAACGACAACTGCGGTAGCGATGGCAGCAACTGAAATGCCCTTAATAGGACCCCTTATGGCGGGAGGAATAGTACTGGAAGTGGCAGGACCAGAGGCAATCTCAGCGCTAGAAGAGGTAACCATAGTGCTAGAAGCGGTAGAAATGGAAACAGCCATAGTGCTAGAAGCAGCAGGAACTGATACAGCTTCAGTGCTAGAAGCAACAGGACCGGAGACATCCTTAGTGCTTGAAGTGACAAGACCGGAGGCAACCTCAGAGAAGGCAGGACCGGCCACGGTCTCAGTACCAGAAGCTGCAGGGCTGGGAATAGCCTCAGTGCTTGAAGTCTTGAAGCTGGGAGCGGGGACAGTCTCAGCACCCGAAATCCGGGGGGTTGGTACAGGAACGTTGGTAGAGGTCTCAGTATCACTGGGCACAGTCACAGTCTCAGGCTCTGCTAACGGTCACAGTCTGGTCGCCATGAGTAAAGGTAGTGGGCTCAGGGCAGTAAGTAGTGAACTCAGTAACGACGGTGGTGGAAACTTTCACAGAACCAGACGACACACCAGTTGCAGTGTATTTGACAGACCGCCAGGAGATCCGGAGTCGGAGTGAATACCAGAGCCGGTAGGTTCAACAGAGCCGCCAGGCGATCCAGAACCAGAGTGAATACCAGAGCCGGTGGATCCAACAGAGCCGCCAGGCAATCAAGAGCCGGAGTGGGCACCAGAGCCCGTGGGGCTAACAGAGCCAGATTGAGCGCCGGAACCGCTAAGGGTTGCAGAGCCGGTGGGTCCGACAGAGCCAACAGGAGACCCAGAGCCAGAGTGAATGCCTCATTACGCAATGTGCACACTATTAAAAGTCTAGGACATGTTTACTGTAAAGTTAGGTTAACGGGTTGGAAGCTACATCCGCTGAGCTCTTAATGCCGAACTCTACCGCATTACATTATCAGATTGCTTGTAATGGGCGATGAACCCGAGAGTATAGAGCTTCTTCCGGTTTCAGAGCATCATGATGATATCGGGGGAAATGAAGCCAAAAACATGAACGATAAGAGTACACAAATGTACATGTGGTGGCCAAAGGCACAGCTATTCCCGCGAAAGCTCGAAAGCTTTCTATCCCTTCCAGCACGAGTGGCTGCCGTAATATCCATGATCGGGCTTTGGTTGATTTTATGCATCACCATAAACAACAGCTCATTATTTATGATACCATATGCTGAAGACAGCCCCGTGGTACCGCTTTCGTGTGGTGACGGCGGTGGTTTCTGGAGTCATCCCAATGAGAAATGCGGTATCGATGCTGCACAATGCACGGGCAGCCGAGCCGAGGGGGTTTTTGCTTTTAGGTGTCCAGCAAACTGCAAGCACGATGGTAGAACGTTCCAAAAAACACCCATTGGATCAACAACAGTCGAGAGAGCGCCGCTGGTCATCGGGGGTGATAACTTGTATCGTGCAGATTCAACCCTCTGCGCTGCGGCATTGCACCATGGCGCTATCTCTAACAAGTACGGAGGTTGTGCCAAGGTAAGGATGATAGGACAGCACAACGGGTTCAACTCTACGCTGGAAAACGGAATCGCAAGCTATGCGTTTGACAGCAGCTTCGTCGGGAGCTTCGAGTTCGTCCCTCTAGATAAATGCAAAGGATGCACTGATCGCCGAATTGCCGTTGGTGTTGTGTCAGTTTTGATGTCGATGCTTACAGGCTACATATTTGCTTCTCCTTGGCTGTTCTTGTGCACACAGTGCAGCATTGGGTTCTGGGTTTTGTACTTTGGGGTGGACCCTCCATTGAAAGCCGGAACTGCCCAATTGAATGCTGAAATAATATCCACAGGATTCCAGAGATATATGGTAGCTTTGTGGGGAGTGTTTCTTATCTACCATATTGCAGCAAAAGCTCAACTAGAAAACATGCAAGCGAATCTCTCAAGGGCGATTTTTTGGGTTTTGCCTTTCTACGTGGGGATACTAGAGAACTATACGTTTGCACTTTTACCAATTGACCGTCTTTTAATATCCGACTTCAATTCACAGGCGGGTGGTTGGATCACTGTCGTGATATTGACAGGGCTAATCGTGCTAGGTGCTATCAGCCAAGCCTTTGCATTGTACCGAGCCAAGAAGCTCAAAAAAATGATTATTATTTATTCAGCCATTCTGGCAGTCATATGTGTGTTATCAGTTATCCCAAACGAAACACTGCGCGTACACCACTATCTTCTTGGCCTGCTTTTCCTCCCTGGAACGGCCATCCAAACCACCCCGAGTCTAGCTTACCAAGGGCTCTGCGTGGGGCTGTTTGTGTCTGGCGTGGCAAGGTGGGGACCAGCCTCTATTCTTGAAACATCTGCACATGTGAACAGGAACAGAGACACCAGCGGTGAAGACCTTGAGCTCTTGCAGCCGACGATAAACGGTCGCGACGGAGCACTGGGGGAGTTTTTAATCAATTGGACAGGCAGTCAAGGCCAGTTTTCTCTCGTTGTAAATGACGTGGAGATCTGGAAAGGAAACAAAACAACCTTCAATCTGACGGACTGGGTAGAGACCCACGTGGAGAAACCCTTCCCTTCCAAGATCTATGTCAGGGTCGCTCGCGTCCTGAGAAATAATCAGGTGGGAGGGTACACGCACGCAGGAGTAATAGACACGACCAACAACCACTGGACTCCACCCGATAAGGGGTTTATTTAGACCTTGAAAATTTTAGCATTGCAGGTGAGCAGGTATTTTCTGAGCGTCGGTGTGAGCAACTCTAGCATCAGCCTGGCGTGTCTAAAGGGTACTCTATACAATACTATAGACCACGAACATACATAATTTTACGCCTTATGCATTGTGGAACTCGCAAGCGTCCAAAGCTCTGGGGTAGGAGTGTCTGGCACATGGCCGATCTGACGATCGGAAGTCGGTCATCGGCGTCTCGAATCACCGGTGGACATCGGTGACCACCATTGCTAGCCGAAATGATAAAAAAATTAACTGCGATAAAAACATGACTAGAGGACGAGAGAGGAAGCAGCAAGTTCAGGCCGTGTTCTATGGCTACAGCGGCTCTAGCCCCAAGTTACCACTTAGACCCCGTATGTGCACCGAATGGCTGCTTTCCTGCATATCGTCTTCCCCCAAAACCGGTTACTAATCAAAATATATGCATCTCGGGACATGGGTCAAGGGTTCAGGGCTAGGCGGGGTAGAATCACCTGGCCAGTTAGTGTATAAAATACGGCAAACACACCTAGCAACATCATACAACAACTCAATTGACTCCTAATGCTTCGAAACACCGTAAAATCAACTGCCACCTCTGCTGCTGCGCGCCACTTTAGCAGCACTAGCCGCAAAGGCATGAAAGTTCTGTGCGTGCTCTATCCTGATCCTGTTGATGGATTCCCTCCGCACTACCTCCGCGAAAGCGTTCCCGACATCTCCAAGTACCCAGATGGACAGACTGCACCCAACCCCAAGGCAATTGACTTTACGCCTGGCCATTTGCTCGGCAGCGTGAGCGGTGAGCTTGGCCTGCGCAAGTTCCTCGAGGCTAACGGCCACGAGCTAGTTGTCACCTCGGACAAGGAGGGCCCCAACTCAGTGTTCGAGCAGGAACTGCCTACTGCTGACGTCGTTATTTCGCAGCCCTTCTGGCCCGCCTACCTCGATGCCGACCGTATCTCCAGAGCCAAGAACCTCAAGCTTGCTCTGACAGCAGGTATTGGATCTGACCACGTTGATCTCGACGCCGCCAACAAGGCCGGCATTACTGTCGCTGAGGTCACGTACTCCAACTCCAACAGTGTTGCTGAGCACACCGTGATGATGATTCTCGGTCTCGTGCGCAACTATATCCCGTCCCACAAGTGGGCCACCGAGAAGCGCGGCTGGAACATTGCTGACTGCGTTGCTCAATCTTACGATGTTGAGGGCATGGATGTCGGTGTTATTGCTGCCGGCCGCATTGGTTTGCGGGTTTTGCGCCTCATGAAGCCTTTCGACGTCAACTTGCACTACTACGACTCCCGTCGCTTGCCCGCAGAAGTCGAGAAGGAGCTGAACTTGACTTACCACGACTCTCCGCAGGATCTTGCTCGCAGCGTCGACGTTCTTTCTCTGCACTGCCCGCTCCACCCCAAGACCCATAACATGGTCAATGCTGAGCTGCTGTCTCAGATGCGCAAGGGCGCCTACATCATAAACACTGCCCGGGGTGCTCTGTGTGTTCGCGACGACATTGCCAAGTCTCTTGAGGACGGCCACCTCGGTGGCTATGCTGGCGATGTTTGGTACCCCCAGCCTCCTCCTGCCGACCATCCCTGGCGCACTATGCCCCGTAACGGTATGACCCCGCACATTTCCGGCACGTCCCTGTCTGCCCAGGCCCGCTACGCTGCCGGCACCCGCGAGATCTTGGAGAACTTCTTCAACAACGACCCCATCCGTGACGTCTACTTGATTGCCCAGGGCGGCCAGCTTGCTGGTGTTGGTGCCAAGTCTTACACTGTTGAGAAGGGCAAGGCCAGTCCCGGCTCCCACAAGGCCTAGATTGCGCTAGCACACGCTGAATTTAGTATCTACATAGCAAAGTATACTACAGTCCACAAAGTCTCAGAGCGTCGGCTACAAACTTAGAACTCAGCGGCAGATCTACAAAGTCTTGAGAACCTCCTCAGCTGCAGACTTGTCGATGCCGGTAGCATCGGGCTCAACAAAGGTCTCGGTGATCTTGCCATCTTTGACCACAACGGCATAGCGCTTGCTACGCTTGTTTCCGAAGAAGGCAGCGGCATCGAAAAGAGCATTGAACTCGTTGGAGAACTCACCCTTTGGGTCAGCCAAGAAGCGGGCCCAGCCACTGGCGTCAGACAGCTGCTCTTTCCAGGCCTTGGTAACGAACGCATCGTTAACGGCAACGACAAACAGGTTCTTGACACCGCGGGACTTGAAGTCGTCTGCAAGCTTGAGATACTCGGGAATATGTCGCTGCGAGCAGCCGGGGGAGAAAGCCCCAGGAACGCCTACAACGATAAAAGTGCCTTTACTGGTTTCATCGGCAAGATCGACCTTTTGGGAAGGCGAGTCCTCTCTCAATTGGGCGCCGGGCAGAGCACCACCTGTAGAAATAAGGCGAGCAAACGTGGGTACAGCGACCCGAGAACAAACTGGGCGAGTGAGTCGAAGCATGATGAGTTAAGCTTACCTTGTTCTCCAGGTTTTGCATCGGTAACAATCGTAGGGTAATCGGCATCGGATCGATTATTTGACCACGACCAATTCAACCCCAGCATTTGCCTTGCGTTGGATATCTACACTCCTACTATATAGCATCTCGAAGACTGTTCAGCTCCATGGACTGCCCATGACAAATGCACTGCGAGGGTTTTTAAAACGATTTACTGCAGCAGGTATTCCAAGACAAGAGTTCGAGCAGGTTTTCAACAGGTCGTCGGGCCCGGGAGGGCAGAATGTTAACAAGGTGAACACTAAGGCTACAATAAAATACACGCCGAGGCAGTGGCAGCAAGCCGGCTGGCTGCCTGATGGGATCAAGGCGCGAATAGGTCAATCCAAGTTCCCATATTTGACCAAGTCAGGAGGAATTGTTGTTTCGTCCGACCTAACGCGTCACCAAAAAACGAATCTTGACGACTGCTTTAATAAATTAGCCCAAGCAATTAAAGAGTCTGCGTTTATTCCGGAAGATCCGTCTCAGGAGGCCCAAGAGCGGTGGGTGAAGATTCGCAAAACCCAAGATAAAATACGCCTGGACACAAAAAGAAAGCGCTCCGACACCAAGAAATCCCGTAAAATAAATGATTAGCTACTGTCTTTCAGTTCCGCCATCTCCTCTTCTTCAGACTGGATGTTGGGTGTATCGAATCCTGCTGTCGACTCTCTTGTTTCAGGTTCTAATTTAGCGGACTTGACAGGGTCATCGTCGTCGCCTTCGTCGTCGCCTTCAAAACGACGCTTTTTGGATTCAGCGGGGGTGTGGCCAGCAGGCTCTGCAGGCCGCGAAATTTCCGCCTCGATGCTTTTGATGTGCTCTTCATCAAAGTAATCGACTCCTGTTTTCCTGGCTGCTTCTTCCAGTACTTTTTCGGGCACGTTGTTGAGCATAAGTCTTAAAGCTAGCCAGCGCCAGCCGCTCTTGAGTTCGGTCTCATATTCCGATTCCCAGTACTCAAAGTATTTCTCTGTACCCTTGGGCAGCAAGGCTTTCGAAGGAATGCCGTATTTAGACCTAATTTCAGCACTTTCAGGGCCATCTTCGGCAGCTTTGGGGTATTTGGACATCGACTCCTCGTCATACTGCACATCCCACAGTGCCTGCAGGGACTCGGAAAGCATGCGGTTCTGACCCGAAAGAGCCCCAAGTTCGAGAGTCCTTTTTTGCGGCAGTTCAATGGGAGTTCGAGCAGGCAAAGGTTTGCAACCTATTACCTTCCATTTGGACCATTCTTTGTCGCCAAGCATGAAATTCTTGTAAGCTTCCATCTCTGTTTGGCTGGATATTTTCAACAGAACTTTGAACCACCGATTTTTCAATGCTTTGAAAGAATTGAACTGGTCTTCATTAACGAGGGGCTTTTCGCTCTCCGGACCGAACGGGAGGATGGCTTCGATAACTACCAGCATCTGTAGGGCAACCAGCCGCTGGATCTTACTATCAAACATAATATCAGGGAAAACTTCAGGATCAGTGTCCCACAGCAACGTTCGAGGAGCCAACGTGCAAGGATGGGGGCTGTTGTCGGCCATGGCACGCGACACCTTGTTCGACCGATCCAAATGGGCGTTGATGGAGCGGGGAGTAGCCATGATCGATTTAATATCCTGGAAATCTTCAATCAGGCGCCAGAATGTAGTATATTCGGGATCAGAGACATTTCTATAGTCGATTATCGGTAGCTTCACAGGCACGCTTTTCTGGTTGATCAGTGCTCTAGTGGGGAAGCCAAAGGCATCAAACAAAAAGTTCCCGATATTGTTGATCATCTCGTAGTGCAATACTGGAGAAAGTCGTTTTTCCAAAGAATTAAGTGTCCGTAGAAGTGTGGTTCCAGGAGGACGCAGAGCCTGAAGATTGTTGATGATCCGGGCCTTTCTGCTGGATACGATTCTCCAAAGATCATCTATGCACGCAAGCGGCAGATAGTCCACGGCAGCCTCCAAAAGCAAGTGCGCGGTTCCTTGTGCGCATTGTTCCGAAGCTTGCAACTCAAATACCAAGTCAATAAGCGCCGCGATGTGACCCAGTTTCCGTTCTGCTACCAGTGCCTGTAAGACTTTGAAGCATTCTGTATCTGGACTCTCGAAATTGCTTGCAAGAACAGTCTCTGGAATCGTGACAACCTTGTCTAAAGCTGCCGATAAATCCAGCTGGTCCAGCACGCGGTCCATTAGGTAAACTGCAACGGGCTGTTGATTGTAAAAATTATAGTGATAAGAATTAAAAAACATTATTGGGGGTGTTGTTGCTGCTGCATACCGTAGAGGTGCTGTTGCTGCTGCTGTTGCTGCTGTTGCTGTTGCTGTTGCTGTTGCTGCTGTTGCTGCTGCTGCTGGTGCACGCCGTATTGACCCTGAGCAGACATGTTCATCATTCGGGCTCTCTGGTTCGGAACGCCACGTGCCATGGACGCCTGCGCCATTTGTGCACGTTGCTGCTGAGCGTGGAGTTGAGCCTGTTGGGCCTGCTGTGATTGCTGCTGCGACTGGGCCTGCGGGGTTTGGCCTTGCCGACCAGACATATACTGCTGCGGGGTTTGGTTCTGGTTCATCATTTGCATTTGTCTGATCAAGTTGTTCTGTGCCATTGCATTGGCCTGCTGCGGAGTCATTTGACGCTGGCCGCCAGGATTTCCCGACATCTGCAGACGCTGAGCCTGCTGTTGGAGCTGTCGGTTTCTCAACATCGCCTGCTGCTGGGGGGTCAATCGACCCATTGCCTGCTGCTGGCCCTGCTGGGGTGCCCTCTGAGCTTGCTGCATAGGAACCCCTTGCTGCATGGCACCAGGAGCTGCGCCCTGAGGGCGCTGTGGAGCTCGACCTACTATTTGGGCTGGGGGCTGAGCGGGTCTTTGCTGTTGCTGCTGTTGCTGTTGCTGCTGTTGAGCAGCACGTTTTTGGGCCTGTATCGCTGCCTGGAGAGCCTCTTGTTTCTTTTTCAGCTGCTCAATGTAGCCCAGGCGAGAGAAATGGTTCGACACAGTGGTGGACGACGTTTGGCCGTTTGTGTGATCACTGAGAGCCAGCATAAACTCCTCATATGCAGAACTTTCCTGAGGACTATGCTCGTGAATGGGCCGAGGTTTGCGTGGGTGTGTGACTCTATGCGTTTTGCGAACTCTGTTCAAATCAAGGTCCAAGCCAAGGCACTTTTTGAAAGTAGCATTGTCGGGTACTCTGAGGTCCAATTTGCGCACAGTCAGATTCAGAATCTCAGATTCCATCGACAGTGCGAGCTGGTCACTGAATCTACCTTGCGATGTGTCGGTTGTGTAGAGTAGATCGTGCCACAAGGAGAGATTGGTTGGCTGCAACAAAATACGATAGCTGGGGGGCTCCTTTTTAGATTCAGCGGCAGCATCTGATTCAGGCTTGACAATTTCATCCAGATCACCTGCCTTGGCTGTCTTAGTGGAATTTGGAACCCTCATTTCGGACGAGCGAGTCTCGCTTTCGTACTCCTTGACCGTGGGAGAGATGTCGCGATAATCCTTGACTTCTAAGATAACACAGCCTTCATAGAACTTTATACCTGAATCACGGAAAACCTCTGTTGCGGCAGGACTTATTACACCCTCCTGAACAAACTCTAGAAACTGTTGAATATTCGGATTGTTGCGGGGAATAATTCCTTCCTGATTGCCAAACCGAAAGTGCGTGGGATGCACCTGGAGCTCAATAGACGCAGTTTGATCAGCATACTTGGCCAGTAGAGACGCCTCGTCCTCTGCAAACTCGTATATACGCGGTTTCACCGCCGAATCCTCGGACCTGCGTCCGCTCGCCATGACTAAGGAAGGAGAGGGTGAGAGGGCGGTTGAACAGAGGGTGTTTATGGAGTATTCTAAATCTAAAAAAGTTACCAGACGGATTTGAGACCGATATAGGAAGTAATGACACCGCAGATACCAACAAAGCCGTCGTCGAGGGGCGTGTAGCCCAGGGAAGTCGCGGGGATGCAGGAGTCCAACAAGTACCAGAGGCTCTGGACGCGGAGCTTCTTGATTTGGGCCTCCGTCTGCTTGCGGACAGCCTCGTCCTTTTCGGAGTTGGTGAGGGTGCGAATCTTGGCGTCGGCACGGTACAGGTTGTAGACGGCAGCCACCAACTGAGACAGGGTGGAGACCAGCCAGAGGCGGTTGGCCCAGACGCCCAGAAGATGCGCGGTTTTAGCATCGAAATTGGCGAGCTTGACAGATTGAGCCCAGTTGAAGATATCTAGGGTAAGATAGCCACCGTAGCCGAAGTTACGGGCCAGCGTGGTGAAGTGCAAGACGGGGTCGGCAGTCTGGTTGCGCAGCTCCGCAAGGAACGCCTTGAGAGCACCGAACGGCTTGCCTACGCGGAACAGCTTTCGGGCCAGCGACAGTTGCTTTTTGATGATATCGTAGTGCTGCACAATACCCTTACTGTAGCCCTTGCGCAGCGTGTAGTACGCCATGAAGCGAGCATAGTACTGGACAAGTCGCAGAAGCTTGTCTCGCACAACCGTGCGCTCCAAATTGCTCAAAGTTTTGGCGTAAAGTGGGTGCTCAGTGATGCAAGGCATTTGTGGAGGTGGGGAAGCTTGGGGCAGAGATGATGATTAATTAGCCTCCCGAGGTTCGCTTCGTAGTTGCCATAGCAACGTGACACCAAATCCTCGCAGCGGAGTTCTCGGGCTGGACTTTTAATTCTTTTCAACTATCCTTGTTCCCTGAAAGGCGTCACTGGACCTGTGACAGCTCCTCTGCCACGCCACCCCCTCAACCGGCTGGGCTTGCCGGGACGCTTGCAGGTCACATGCAGAGGGATTTCAGAAGCATCGGAGGTTGCCAAACGCTGGAAAACCCCGGTCTTTTTTAGACAAGAAAAAAATTAGTTTCCTAGGCATTATTTAAACTAAACGGGCTTGCCTCCCAAAAATTCGCTCCAGCGCTTGATCTCGGGAGGGATCTTGCCAGAGCCGAGAGTCGGCAGTTTGGCCTCAAGAGTGCGGGCGAAAAGCATGGCGGTCTTGGGCTCGTTGAAAAGCGGTAGGCCGAAATCGATGGCGTTGCGGCGCATAATGTAGTCCTCGTCGCTCAAGTCCTCAGCACGGGCGCGAGCAAGGTTGATGACGCCGCGAATGTCGTGCGCCTTGAACTGCTCACCAAGCTTGCGCTTGTCGTTCTTGATCAGCTCAATGAGTTCAGTGGAAATTCCCTTTTTGTCAAGGTACTCCTTGACCTCGGGCTTGGCGACAAGAATCTTAAAGCCCAGCTTGGACAAGATCTCGACGACGTCACCTAGGAAAGCAGCATGGACATCACCGCCAACCAACAGGCTGCTGGGGGGTTTGGGCAGCTTGAAGTTCATGGTTGCCTGAAGAGATGCCCAGTAGGCCTCGAGCAAGTCGGAACCAAAGCAGGCAACCTCACCGGTGGACGCCATCTCGACACCAAGGAAGGGATCAGCACCTGCCAGACGAGTGAAAGAGAACTGAGGAACCTTGGTAGCAACGTAGTTGCGCTTCTCGGCAAGAAGGTCAACAGGAGCAGGAACATCCTTATCCAAAAGAGCCTTGGTGGACACGTCAATGAAGTTGGTGCCAAGAACCTTGGAAACGAAGGGGAACGAACGAGAAGCACGAATGTTGCACTCAATGACCTTGAGAGCATCACCCTGCTTGATCACCTGCATGTTGAAGGGACCGGTGATCTCCCAGGCGGCGGCAACCTTCTCGGCGATCTCCTTGAGACGAGCCAATGTGTTGTCATCGAGATCCTGAGGAGGCAGAATCAAAGTGGCATCACCACTGTGAACACCGGCGTTCTCAGCGTGCTCGCAAATAGCGTGAACAAGCAGTTTACCCTTGTGGGCAACACCGTCAATATCAATCTCCTCAGCACCTTCAATGAACTTGGTAATGACAACAGGGTGGTCGGGAGAAACTGCGGCAGCGTTGGTTAGTTTGGACTCCAGCTCCTCTTCAGAGCGGATGACAGACATGGCAGCACCGGAAAGAACATAAGAGGGACGAACAAGGACAGGGTAGGTAACTTCGTTGGCAAATTCCTTGGCCTCGGCAATGGAGGACAGCTCCTTCCAGCGGGGCTGGTCCACGCCGATAGAGTCCAGAATTTGAGAGAACTTGTGACGGTCCTCGGCTTTGTCAATGTTGCGAGGGTCGGTACCCAAAACGTTGGCGTGGCCGGATTCCTGCAGCTGCAATGCAATGTTCTGAGGCAGCTGGCCACCGACAGAGACAATCACACCGCTAGCCGCCTCGAGCTCGTAAATGTCCATGACGCGCTCGTAGCTGAGCTCCTCAAAGTACAGACGGTCGACCTCGTCAAAGTCAGTGGATACTGTCTCGGGGTTGTAGTTAACCATGATAGTCTTGATGCCGTTCTCACGCAGAGCACGGGCAGTGGAAACAGCGCACCAATCGAACTCAACAGAAGAGCCGATACGGTACACACCAGAGCCCAGAACCATGGTACCATGGTCGCCAAACTCAACATCGTGCTTGCTGCCGTTGTAAGTAGTGTAGAGGTAATTAGTGTCAGCCGGAAACTCGGCAGCCAAGGTATCAATCTTTTTAACCCAGGGGCGAATGTTGAAAGAGAGGCGATGGGCACGGGCCTCAATCTCAGTAGATTTGGTGGCAAGAGCAATCTGTTTGTCGCTGAAACCAAGCTGCTTAGCCTGCAACAGCGTCTCGCGGTCTACAGCGGCCAGGGAGCCGAGAGACTCAAGGTCCTTTTGCATGTTGACAATGTTCATAATCTTGTAAAGGAACCACTTGTCGATCTTACTCAACTCGTGGACACGGTCGACAGAGTAGTTTTCGTGCAACAGGGCCTGGCCAACCGCCAGCCAGCGGCGGTCAGTAGGGTTTCTGAGCACATCATCGAGTTCCTCACCGAAATCAGCACCTTGGAGGCCAACCATGGAGGGATCAACCATGCGGATAGCTTTCTGGAAAGACTCCTCAAAAGTGCGGCCAATAGCCATGACTTCACCGACAGATTTCATACTGGAACCAATGTCACGCTTCACATGACGGAACTTGGACAGATCCCAACGAGGGATCTTGGTGACAATGTAGTCCAAAGAGGGCTCGAAGTTGGCAGAGGTGGTCTTGGTGACGGCGTTAGGCAACTCAGGCAGAGTATGACCCAACGCGATCTTAGCGGCAGTGTAGGCAAGAGGATAACCAGTGGCTTTGGAAGCCAGAGCGGAGGAACGGGACAGACGGGCGTTGACCTCGATCACACGATAGTCGAGTCCGTCGGGCTGCAGGGCATATTGAACGTTGCATTCACCCACGACGCCGAGGTGACGAATGATCTTGATCGCAGCGCTGCGGAGCATGTGGTATTCCTCATCACTGAGGGTCTGAGAGGGAGCAACGACAATCGAGTCACCAGTGTGAACACCCAGGGGATCGAAGTTCTCCATGTTGCAGACGGTGATACAGTTACCCTCCTTGTCACGGACGACCTCATACTCGACCTCTTTCCAGCCCTTGAGAGATTTCTCGACAAGGATCTGGGGGGACAAAGACAAAGACTGAGAAGCCAAGTTGCGCAACTCATCGCGGTTGTTGGCGAAACCAGAACCAAGACCACCCAAAGCGAAAGCAGAGCGGACGATGATGGGGTAGCCAACTTCCTCGGCGGCAGCCAGGGCGTCATCGACGTTGTCAACAGCGACAGACTGAGCGATAGGAATATCGATCTCCTTCAGAGCCTGAGCAAACAAGTCACGGTCCTCGGAGGTCTCCAAAGTGGAGATGGGAGTACCCAAGACCTTGACATTGAAGCGGTCCAGAACACCCATCTTGTCGAGAGCGATACCGACATTCAAGCCAGTCTGGCCACCGAAAGTAAGCAGAATTCCATCGGGACGCTCGCGCTCAATAATGTACGAAACATACTCAGGGGTGACAGGAGCAAAATAGACCTCGTCAGCCAGAGCATGGCTGGTCTGGTTGGTTGCAATGTTCGGGTTGACGAGAATGGTCTGCTTCTTGGCCTCTTTGAGAGCCTTGATAGCCTGGGAACCGGAGTAGTCAAATTCACCAGCCTGGCCAATGGACAGGCCGCCAGAGCCAATAATCAGCACTTTGGATACATCAACAAGCTCGGACTTGTTCGGGTTGAGAATGCCTGCGCCAACATACTCTTTACGCTGTGCGGTCGTAGAATACGCAAAGCAAACGTTCTTGGTAGCCGGCGCAAATAATCTGCCTTTGCAAGGACTGTTCCTTGTAGCCCGAATCAGGGCCACAAAAGGGCGGGAAATCATGATGGAAAAAAAGTCCCCCTGCCCTTCTGAGTCATATGCGGACAGCAGGTAAACCTGCCGCAGTGTGCGATCGCGGAAACTAGAGGTTCCGGCAACTTGGCTGCACAAAGAGTCGGCCCGTATCCGTATTCTGACAGACTCTTGGCCACCAATCTGCCTTTTAAGCCCAATATTTCACTTATCGCGCAGCCCGCCCATCTGCGATTGACTCATCAGGACCCTCCATGACAAAGCATCGTCTTGGACCAAAGGTGTATTCGCGATGAACGACGCGGTAATCGATGGGGCGTCTGAGAGGTACCGGATGTTACAGCAGGCCTGCGAGCAGGCAATTCAGGTGATCAGACGCGATCTGGAAGAAACGGATCTCCAGCGGTACTTTCCCCATCTCGCAGACAACCCGGCGTTGGTGAGCAGATCTGCTCGCCAATCCAGCGAGTTTTGGGCACAGAACGTGCTGCCTGCGGTCACAAGTCGAATTGACAACGAGAAAATCGAGCCGAAGCTCGAGACCTTGCTCAGGCTCGAAGAAGATGCTCGCCATCGGCGGTACCGTCACCAGGCAGGAAGCGCAGACCCACGAGATCAGCCGGTGGACGCCGTGAAACTGACTGCCTCCGACTTCATGGAACTGCGGCTCCAGCAGCAAAAAGTCGCCTATAATGCCGAGCTGCAGGCCCGCAAGGACAGAGTCATCAAAGAACGGGCAGAGCTCGAGCAAGCGGCTCAGGAAAAGCTCGCCAAACTCTCTGAGATTTTACAAAAGATCCGTCAGTAGACTATTATATTTATTTCTCCATTTACTCTTGATCCAGCAGAATATTAGTTGCTTCGCTGACGTTGTAGTCTGTACGTTCCAGCGCGGCGAGCACCTCTTGACGACCGAATCCCATGCTGGTCAGTTCGAGAATAGCATCCTCGTGGGGGCCTGAAGCTCCAGGGATGGCAGCAGAGGCATCCTCAAACAACTTCTGCCACTCATCGGGACCAGCAGCAGTCGGATTCGGGGTTGACTGGGCAGATGCATTACCAAAACCACTGAAATCGTCCTCTTCCGCATCTTCAACAGCCTCCTCGAGATCATCAAATGCATCTGCAAAGTCATCGCCACGTTTGGGTTGATCCACGGCAGTGGCAGCGCTCGCAACAGGTTCAGCAGTATCTGCCACAGGCTCGGCCCCCACGTCGGTAGCTGTTTCAGTGCTCTCTGAGACGCTGAGCTGTTGGATGGCTCCAAAATCGGTCGTCGGGGCTTCCTCTTGAATCAAAGTGCCCGTAGAGGCAAACTTTGCCTCATCGCGGCCCTCACCTTCGCGTGCGTCAACAAACTCAAACGAGTCTGTGTCGTCCACCTCGCGACCCGCATCAGATAGTTTGAGGTTCTCAGGGGGAACCAGACCAGAAACCGGCTCAGACGTTGTGAAATCTGGCGACTGGGGCTGGGAAACGTCGAGATCTCCACGAACACTCTGAGGAGGATTGTTGACAACCGATGAAGTTGCACTCTGGGGACGTGCCATGGGCAAAGTGAACGAAGGGATGTTGGGCACCTCTGCAGGGTATCCAGTGTAGTCACTGTTAGGAGGCGAAGAGTGAGGGGTATCTGTGGGCTGAGTTTGGTGTGTAGATACAGGTGATGAGTTGGCGGAGACGCCGGCAGCTGCAGCAACAGCAGCTGCAGCGCCTGCAACAACGCCAGCAGCGCCCGCAGCCACTGCGGGGATAGAACTTTGTTGACCAACCTGCGACACGCTTGCTTGACGAGACTGTTCGGAAGCAATCGAGGCATGTGTTTCAGCCAGAGTGTGCTCGGCGGCTGCAGCACGCTTATCATGAGCAGCGGCAGCTGTCACAAGCTGCTCAGTTTCGGCAAGCAAGCTACGATGTTGCTGCTGGGTTGCGGAAACCTCGGCCTCTAGCCTTTCTGCCCTTTCTTCAGCAATCCGGACCTTTGCTGCGGCATCATCGCGAACCAGCTTAGCTGATTCGATCGCATCCAGAGTCTGCTGAAGCTCGACTTCCAAAGCAGCGATCCGTTGATTGTGGGTCTCGGTTTGTCCACGGATATTCTCAGATTCAACATTCAAGTTTTCCAAATTCGTCTTGTGGGTTGTATGTTGCTCTTCAAGTTCAGCAACACGGGCCAGAAGAGTCTCGTGCTGGGTTTTTGCCTCAGTGAGCTTCGTGTTATCTGCTTCAAACTGTGATGCCAAAGCTTGCAATCCAGACTCACGAAGTTTTTGATCCTTTTCCAGTTGTTGAATAGCTTCCTGCATTTTGCGGAGCTCTTGCTGAGTTTGATGAACTTTGCTGGCTTCGGAATCGTAGCTCTGACGGAGTGTGATGATCTGTTGCTCAAGTTTTAGTTTCTGAGAAGTAATTACAGATAACTGTTCGTCAGCAGCCTTTGATTCACTTGAGATTTGGGTGAGCTTAGCCTGGTGCTCATTGACGTCTGAATTCAGCTTTGAAACAGCACCCTGAGCATCTTCAACCACACGGGCGTTATTTGAGGCTGGAGTATGATTGATCAGTTTCTGGCCGAAAGATGAACTGGGTACAAACGTAGCAGCGGCACCGGCGAATGCCCCGGCGCCCGCAGCAGCAGCAATGCCACCCGGGGATGGCATTGGGATTCCCTCTGGAGAACTAATCTCTTTTGAAGCAGGAATGCCAGGTCCAGTAAAACCAGGACGCTGAACGGGAGCCAAGCCAGTACTCTGCGCAGAAGCAGGAGCCTGGGTGGGCTCCATGGGTTTGAAATAGTCGTCCAGACTGACGAGGTCACTCAGGGAACTAGCAGTTGTGGTACGAGTAGGAGCACGTGCTGTTGGCGGAGCGGGGCGCGAGCCGGTACCCGAAGGCTGCAATTTGGGTGAGGGACTAGACACCGGGCTCATTACCCGAGATGGCGAGCCTTTAGAACTCGACAACAAAGTAGGCGGAAGAATTTCGGGCAACTCATGACCAGCGAGTTTAGCCTGAATAAGATACATGGCGATAGAAAATTCGACAGGAGTGAACTGACCCTGGCCTTGGAGGTCAGCAAGGTCCCAAACCTGTGCGAGTACCTCCTCGCCCAGCTTGGATTGAGTCAAAAATGGGACTGTTTCAGAGCCACCAAGGACGCCCTTCTTTTGAGTGTCCAAACTGTCAAAGTACTTTTTGTACTGGGCAAGCTGAGAGGATGTGATGGTCCAATTGATGGGACCAGGCGCAGCAGCGCTACCAACAGAAGACACCGAACCGCGAGCACCGTGATTTGATGCTCCCTCAAGCCAAGGGATCCACCCACTAGGAAGAGAGGTAGGCACCTCGCTAATAGTGCGGCTGATTAGGGCCTGAATTAGATGCATAGCAAGCACGAACTCGTTGCGAGTCAACGAGCCACGGCTCTGAACGTCCACAAGATTCCAAATCTTTCCTAGAACATCGGGAGGGAGATGGGCCTTTAAAAATATATCTTTAGCAACATTGCCGTCAATTGTGGGTCCTGTAGTTGAACGATCAAACAGTGAACCAAACCTCTGCTTGTCAGAGGTGCTCAAGGGAGGAATGCGAGTCGACGACACGGGGGACGCGACTGAAGCGGGTGCAGCAGCTGGCTCGGGCTGGGATGGGCCAGCAGGAACAGCTTCTGCCGGTGCAGGGGTGTGGTCGAACGAGGGCAGCCCCGAAGGAATGGTCATGAGCCGGGGGCCGAGAAGCTTGCCGTGCTGGACATGGTAGATCATGCGGAGGGACTTGGAGAATCCAATTTGGTCAAGAAAACCCCGGTTCTCGACGTCGGCCAGCTGCCAGATCTGGCCTAGCGTCTTGGCTGGCAACCCGCTGCGCTCAAACAGAGGTCGTGCGGAGTCACCAAGGATGATGCCGGTGCCTTCAGTGTCGTGCTGCGAGAACAATTGGCCAAAAAGCCGCGTCTCTTCTGGTGTGAGCGTAATGCCAGGCGATCCACTCGTTGCGCCAGACATAAAAGTAAATGAAGAGGGAGGGTGGTGAGAAAGTCGGCCGTTTCAATACAGGGCTGACTAATAGGAGTAAGCACCAACAGGAATCTGTCGCGCAAGCAGGCTGCTGCTGCTGGCTCCTCCCACTGATGGAAGATGGGTAGGGTAAGGGTAAATATATCGGGAGAAAACAACGTTGCTCGAAAAGTATCTTATTCAGCGTCTTTTCAGGTGCCTGAGTCCACACAGCATCATGGTTCAGATCAGACGACTAGACGCCTCGAACGTCTGCTACAGGGACGCCGTCGCGTACTCTGACGCGCTGCTAGACTCGTTCGAGGAGGATGCGATGGTCAGCATCTACTTTCCGCCCCGCTACCAGCTGACCACGATCTCGCCGTCTGACCGTCGCAAGCTGGTCGCTGCGTCGGCACGAAGCATCTACCAGAAGGTTCTGCACGGCAAATTCTACTTTTATTTGCTTGAGGAGAAACCCGGCCGTGCTGAGGCCGTCGCGCTCTGGGAATGGCCTGTGTTCTACAAGGCTCCATCGGCCAATCGTGTTTACACCTGGTTGGTTGACTTGTGGGTTCGTGTAGCTGACTGGTGGGCTTTCCTGGGCTCTGCCAACCCGTTCTACACACCCGGCATGATGCGTGAGTACGAGATCTTGAGTAGAACATGCAACGCTGAGGCAACCCCACAGCGTCTGGCGGAGCTTGAGGCCTGCACTCCCCAGCAGCTCGAGACTGCAACGTACCCCAGGGACTACTGCTACTACTGCAAGACTTTGGCAGTTCGTAAGGAGGCCCAGGGCAGAGGCTATGGCCGCACGATCATGACCCACTCGGAGCAGGATCTACCCGAGGACAGACCCCAGTTTGGTTCTGCTTACGGGCCGACTAAAATCGGCCTGTTTTCTAGCCCTATTGCACATGAGTTCTACAAACGCCTAGGCTACACGGTGGTGGGCGCATTTGAGTCCAAGCTGGAGAACGGCGGTATTTTGCCTCATCGTTATTTCCAAAAGACACTTATTGTTGCTCGGGCAGGCGCCCCTGCTCCAGCTGCATAATTATTGATGTGATAGCTTTGATGTAGGAAGTTTTGTGCGGTTATCTGAAAAGTTCATCAGCCGACCCAGCAGGTTGTCGGCGTCCTTGAAGCCCAGCACAATCAGATCTGAACAGTCCATGGCAGACTCTGAAGGAGGCTGTTCAGTTTCGTGGGAGCAGCAGATCGGCATAGACTGGAGCTGCACAGCAGTCAGGAATGCCGTGGTGTTATCACCTGTAAAGTTCTCAACACTGTGGTACTCTGAGAGCTTAAACAACCACAACTCGTCGACATTTCGAAACATGGCTCGAATTAATTGAAATCCATTGGCGTCTTTTTGAATCCCAGCCTCAAAGTCTTCAATCGAGATGGTGGTTATATGGCTCTTCAGCTTGTGATCCCAAAGCTGTAACTTTCTACCGCACATAATTATTCTTAGTTGCCGCTCACCCTGGTTGAATATTTCTTTGACAACCGACCTAGTCATCGACTTTCCTGGCCTCCCATCAAGTACATCGGCCGTTACAGGTTCGTATTTCGGGCGATCAAGATATGTCCGAGATCGAAGATCAACTAGAGCATCCCAGTGATAATCACAAAATACACTGGAATCACAACCGTAAATAAACGCTAATGCGGCCTGTTGAAGCTCCCGCCGTGTATTTTGGAGCTGTGAGATAACCTGTTCGCGTGTCTGCCGTATCATGGCAGCTAATTTACCATAGGCAGGACACATGCGGGCAAGGATAGTAAAATAATCGTTGTACTCCATGAGTCGAATAATTGGGAGAGCCAGATAGTTCTGGCAGCTGGGGAGAGTATGCATTTCTTTTTGCTCCTGTGCTTCAATCCATTCAGAGAACCTGCCGCCTTCAACGCTGCCGCCCTGGGCAACATCGCGACTCCAACTAAAGAGTTTAGTGTTGCTGGCTACAAAACTCAAGCCACATTTAGCGTATTCCTTGCAAAACGCTTCTACACCTTCATTGATACTCTCTGGAACTGGACCACCGGACTCTAAGTTTTTCAAGATCTCTTTGAGGAGGGGCAAACATGTTCCACGATGAAACAGATAGAGTTCGTTAAAGCCGCAGAAAATCTTCTGGATTCGAGCAGCATAGAATGGCTTGATACGACTGCGGAAAAACAAGTACACAACCTCGCTCAGTTGGCCAATGAAAAGGCCCTCCTGGAGTTTAAACGCCTTGGTTCTGCTGATCATGTTCTTCATACTCAGATCACAACAAGGAGTCCGAGCCAAACAGGCCAGCCCGCAATCGACATAATTAAGATCTTTTTTACCCAAAAGAATTGCAATGTCCTGGAGCAATTCGATCACTAGCTGAGAGCCTCTTTGCGCCTCGAAAGTCACTTCAAGGTTTGGAGGGTATACAAGCATTACCTGGCTTCCCGTGTCTCGAAAAGGTGGCAACGGTGAGATGTGGCTCATGATACGTTGCTGCAATGGACATGGAGAAAGCGGTGTTAAGAGGTCGTCGCCTTTGTTTTGTGGGCACGCTAGTGTGTAGATACCCCCGCAATAATAACCGGTTCGATTAGATCTTTGAGAGTGAGAAGGACGACTGACAGTTGTAGACGGGGTCCATTCTGGGCCATTCAAACTGTCAGGCAAGCTTGCCAGGTTTGGCGGTCTTGCTGCTAGGCTACCGAAAAAAGCGATGCGGAAGGACGCCGACTTGCTAAACATATTCTCCAAGCAAGGGTTGCCGTCAAGGAAGAGTGCCTTGAGGGTTTTCAGTCCCACTAAATGCACCGGCCATGTACTGATTTGATTCTGGTCCAGAATTAGAACCTCCAGATGCTTCAAGTGCGTCACCCAGTCATCAACTACCGTGATTCCCATACTAGACGCTCTTAAAATGCGTAAATTAGGAAAATTGAGTATCCAATTCGGCAACCTCCCTGTGTCCCATGCGTGTTCGATTGCTTCAGGAACTTGACGAAGATCAAGATAAGAGATTTTGGTTTCAGCATGTTCGCCGAAGCTGCCCTCAGAGAGTTCGCTGCTGCTACTGTAATTCGGATCGACGCGAAAGTCATGAGAGGTTTTGCGTCTCGCTGCTACCAGCTCATCGAGAGTCCTATCACTCTGCAGACTTGATGGCGGTGAGGGCGGCAGCTGGGGATCCGAAAAACTAGCATGGTAAGACAGCATGTTCCTTGGTTTCTGTAAACTGTACCTGTGTGAGCCAATATGCATAACTTCTTTTTTTCCACGAACCTCGTGGTGCTGCTATTCGTAGTGAAGGAGGATGAAACAAGTTAAAACATGTATAGAGCTGGAACAAATTTACATCCAATCAAAGTAGCTCAAGGGTGGAACTTTACAGGAATGAATAAAAGCAAAACGTAAAAGTTTATTTGGGAGTGTCCAGCGATGGAACGCCCGGAGGAAGGGCCGGAGTAGACGTTCCAGACCGTTGTATAGGCAAATGCTCTTCACTAGAGACCGAATTGAGTTCGAATTCGGTGGACTCCACTTGTGCCTCCAGCTCACTCAGGTTTGAGCGGATTCGTTGATATCGGGCCAGGCGTCTTCGTTCCAGAAGCCGGCGGTGATAAAATGCACATAGGCCGAGGGCGATTAAGCTGCCGGAAATATTGGCCGCAATATCGTTGGGATCAAATTGTCGGTTTTTGGCCAGATAACTTTGGGCAAATTCCGATGCAGTGCTGCCAAACAAGGTACAAACCAAAAATGTCGTCGTAATCAGGCGTTGTCGCGGGAGGTCCAAAGTCCAATAAAATAACGTTGTCATCAAAAGAAAGGCGCCAAAATGTATTGCCTTATCATGTGGAAGCTTCAGATCGGCAAAGCCAAGATATAAAAAGCCTCCGGCAGCTATACACAGCGCCAATGCAACGTGCAATCGGAATCTCATTGTTGTTAGTCAAGACCGAAAAAGTAGGTTTGGCTCCGCACATGAAAGATGTAGGATTTGATGCGCCGAGTGGTCGACGAGAAAGGCTATGAAACGAAGCAGCCAGAGGCGAGGTACAGTAAAAGTAGGTCTAGAAATATTTGTATAGTTAGATCTCAGTATTATCTGTTGTTATGTCAGTGATACTTCCCTCAAGAGTATTCGCCCAAAAGGTTGTTCAAAATGCAAATATGCTTTTCCTTCGGGGCCCGATTAAGCTCACCGACCAATTTGGCCTTGTCGAGCAGCTCGAAACTAAAGTTGGAGGCCTCCCAGAGCTAATGTTTGTAGGGAACACAAACGTTGGTAAATCGTCTTTGCTCTCGGCGCTGATGATGCCAAAAGGGGCACCAAAAGCTACCCCAGGCAAGCCACGAGATTATCCGAATGCATCAAAACGGCAGGGATTCACGAGAACACTGAGTTTCTACACAATAAGCCAAAAGCTCAGGCTGGTTGATACGCCCGGCTACGGGTTCCGGTCTCATTCGGCACAAGGATCGGTGATGTTGCACTACCTTGAAAACAATGCTTCCAATCTTATAAAGGCCTACGTTTTGATTCACGCTGGTAAGGGGTTTTCACAACCTGATGCAGACGTATGTGAGATTTTGCATCAGCACGGTATTCCCTTCAACTTTGTGCTCACAAAGGCAGATCTCGTTAAGCAGCAGTCACAAATTGATGAGATTTACGCCCAGACACTGGGATTTGTGTCGGAACTCGGCGGAATCACCGACGATATGTACATAACCAGCGCCTCGAGAAGAGACCCGCGAGGCATCACTGAGCTTAGGACCGGAATATACCTGTCGTCTGGTCTTGCCGAAGCACAAGAAAGAAAATAAAATGTTATTTAATAGATACAAACAAATCATACATGAACCCCGTGAATTTGCGTAGTTTTTTACCGTTCAATTCTCCTCTCTGAACTTTGCACCGGAATAAGCCATTTAGTACTGGTTGTAGCCACCCCTGGATCCACCGCGGGAGCCACCAAAGCCACCACGACCACCACGGCCGCCACCACGGCCACCGCCGAAGCCACCACGGCCACCGCTGAAGCCACCACGGCCACCGCTGAAGCCACCACGACCTCCGCCGTAGCTGCCACGACCGCTGCTGAAGCCGCCACGGCCGCCACGACCGCCAAAGCCACCGCGACCACCAGCACCACCGCCGGTGCGGGGTTTCTTGACCTTAGGAGCAGCAGGTTTGGGAAGGAAACGCTCAAGGGGCAGCAGCTTCTCGGAGCCAATAAAGAACTTGTCGCCAGACTTAAAAGAAGTAGCAACAATACCATCAGTAGGCTTGATGGTGAAAAAGACCTCGTTGATGGGACCAAGAATCTCGTCAACCTTGCCAACCAGGCTCTTATTTTCAAGATAGATGGGGGCATTGAAATAAGGCACCTTGGGATTGGACGATCTGCAGACAATATCGCCCTCGCAGTCCTGAACAAAGATACCCATCTCCACAACCTCATCGGGGGGACCCTGAGGGCCGCCAAAACCACCACGGCCGCCTCGGAAACCTCCTCGTCCGCGATTCATTTGAATTTGAAATTTTTCTTAGTCAAAAGATTTTTTTTTCTTTTCGTTTTACGGTCTGCCCGATTAATCATAGATTAGTCATCATAAATTAGTGTTGGAGGTCGCAAGGAGCAGCATAAACAGTTTTTGCAGAGCGGCGAACTGGGCGTTTACCGGCTTCTAGAGGGGCTGCAGTCGGAGATCAGCAAAAGACCGCAAAGGGGAATTTCCATAACAGACGAGTAAACCCCTGTTTATATATCTTCTGTATACTGTCGCAGTGTACGGTGAATTCTTTTTTTCTACGGGATCGATCTGGGTTGTTGCATCTGCCGACCCTTGACAGCTTGGTTGCCTTTTGTAGACCGATGATGAGTACACATCGCTAGGGGACATGCACATGCCGCTAATTCAGCAACCCTACATGTTCGCCGAAGAGCTATAAAAGTGGGTGGTGGAAGACGATTCTAACAAGAAAAGTTATCAATTCTTCTCTAACAGCCCGAATACAACAATGCCAACAAACAGCACTCAAGGATCAGCTCAAGCCGGCCGCAACACCAGGATTGATGTCCACACCCATGTCGTACCTCCATTTTGGGGTGAAGCCTTGCCTACCCATGGCGGTGATCCGTCAGGATGGGCCCTTCCTGCGTGGTCTCCGGAGACTGCCCTCGAGTTCATGGAGGTGCAGAAAATCCAGACCAAGGTCCTTTCTCTTACTGCGCCCGGAGTAACTGGCTGGCCCATCGCCGAGAGAGCAGCAGTTTGCCGTCGCATCAACGAGTATGTCCAGGACTTGTGCCACAAGTACCCTGGCCGTTTCGGAAATTTCGCCTCGCTTCCTCTGCCTGATGTCGAAGGAAGTGTTAAAGAAGTGGAGTACGGCCTCGACACTCTTGGCGTTGATGGTTTCGTAGTATACACGAACTACGACGGTGTCTACCTTGGAGACAAGAGGTTTGAGCCCGTCTGGAAGGCCATCAATGACCGCAAGGGTGTCGTGTTTATCCACCCTAGTCACCTGCAGCTCGAGGTGCTTGCCGGCCAGCCTGGTCCTCTTGTCGACTACCCCTTCGACACAACCCGCACTGCCGTGCACATGACATTGAACGGAGTTCTGACCAGAAACCCTGATATCAAGTTCATTCTGTCACATGCTGGCGGATTCTTGCCCTACGCGGCCCTTCGATTCGCCAAATTGGGTGCTTCAATCCACCCGCAGGGCCCGTCTTCAGAAGAGATCTTGAAGCAATTCAAGAGCTTCTACTTCGACACCGCCTTGTCCTCGGGTCCCTATGCACTTCCCGCTCTGCTGGAGTTTGCTGGAAAGGACCACATCCTGTATGGATCGGATTTCCCGTACGCTTCAGCTGCAGTGTCTGGGGAGTTCACCCACTTGCTGGACAATGGATCGAACATCCCCGAGGAAACCACTCACGCAATCAACACAAACGCCGCCAAGATTCTCAAGCGTTTCCAGTAAAATATAATCAAGTAGGCTCGTTTCTAGTCATAACAATGTTCAAGCACAGAGGTTAACAATTGTTCACAATTTCACCGCAACCTGCATTGCATGTTCCAATTGAGATGTTAGGGTACAGGAACAAACAGATCGACCCACTTTGGTTGCTCAATATGCATTCGACCAGCAGCTAAGTCCATCTTGTCTGCGGCTTGCTGGTCGACAATAGCGGAAGCCCGGCGTTTGTGATTCACTAATAGGGGGTCTCGCTATAAAAGCCGAGGGTTTCCAAATGCTCAAAGCACATCAGCATTTGTAGAAAATTAAACATAAACGGTCAAGCGGCACATTGGCAAGCTGGTAAGCTGCATGCACCCTGGGGGTGCATAGACACCATGGGTAAAACTATATAAATCTGCGGCAGACTAGATTGTCATTAACATGCCATCAATTACTACAAGCGACAAAACTGAAATCTTTTACAAAGACTGGGGATCGAAAGACGCGCATCCAATTATGTTCCACCACGGTTGGCCGCTGTCGTCGGATGATTGGGATACCCAAATGTTGTTCTTCGTCAATCAGGGCTACCGTGTCATTGCCCATGACCGCCGGGGCCATGGTCGTTCTTCGCAGACTGCCACGGGAAACGATATGGATACATACGTTGACGATGTGATTGCTTTAACTAATGCGCTGGACCTCAAGAACGCTGTCCACATTGGCCACTCTACCGGGGGTGGAGAAGTCGCCCGTTATGTTGCCAAAGCCAAACCTGGCAGAGTGTCCAAGGCTGTTCTTGTTAGTGCAGTAACACCATTCATGGTCCAGAGCGACATCAACCCAGCAGGCACTCCTAAAAAGGATCTCGATAACATCCGTGAGCAAGTTGCCACCAACCGTTCAAAGTTCTATTACGATTTTACTCTGCCATTCTATAATTTCGATCGTGTTGGTGTCGAGGTCAACGAGCCAGTGCGTTGGAACTGGTGGCGCCAGGGCATGACTGGTAGCGCTTTAGCACACTATCATGGCATTGCAGCGTTTTCTGAGACCAATTTTCACGAGGATTTAAAAAAAATCTCTGTTCCAGTTTTGGTTCTCCATGGCGAAGACGATCAGGTGGTTCCCTTTGAAGCTTCCGGAAAGCAGACCGTTAAGCTGATCAAAGGTGCTCAGCTCATTTCGTACCCTGGCTTCCCCCACGGCATGCCAGTCACACATGCAGATGCCATCAACAAGGATATTTTGAAGTTTATCAAGTCCTGAGTCTTAAGCTGACCCGTCTGCAATCAATTGACCGCCAAAAACTAAGTATTAACAGGATGAGCTACTTTCGTACCAACCAATAGCCAATGTTCTTTCAACTCTACATTCATTGCTCATAATCTACAATTGACCACTATAGATGCCTCCTAATCCGCTCAACACGCAAAACGCCTGACCGTATCATTCACTGATCCGTCAGCTTCGTAAATAAATCCCAGGGTAGGGCTGAGGCCGTGTGCATTGTCTCGACGACCAGCCCAATATGTCTAACGAGTCAAGAACCCTTTACGTGGCGCAGAAGGGAGAGGCAGTTCCATGGGAAGTACCTGTGCAAAAGCTCCGCCACGGCGAAGTACAGGTCAAAGTTAAAGCAGTCTCAATTAACCCGGTCGACGCTGAGCACGTGGCGAGCAGGGCTAGTGAGGGGTGCGGCGTTGGATGCGATTTCGCTGGTGTGGTCTCCAATATTGGTGAGGGAGTCACTTCTGTCAAAGTGGGCGATACCGTCGCTGGTGGTGTTGGCGGTAGCAATGTCGATGCCAAAATGGACGGCGCTTTTTCTGACACTATCCGGGTCAAGGCGGAAGGGCTGTTCACGTTCCCCCAGCCATTGGCATCCGACAAAAGCAACAGCATCCCTGCCGGTCCTATCAAGTCGTTTGAACAAGCCGCTTCGTTGGGTGTGGGCCTGGGAACTGCCGTGATGTCGCTGGCCTGGTACGACCATTTACCAATTAAAAAAGATTCGTGCCACGGATATGCTGTAGTATACGGTGACCTGAGTGCGCTCCAATACATGATTATACAAGTCACGCAATTTTTGGGCTTTAAGGTGATAGCCGTTTCGTCCAAAAACGGCGAGAAGCTGCTCAAAGATGCCGGAGCCTCAGATATCGTCGGCTACAACGACGCTGACTGGAAGGACCAAGTGCGAGCGATTGGCGGCAATCAAATCAGTCTTGTCTATGATTGCACCTCTAGTTCCGAGACAGTTGTTGATGCCTACTCTTTGATCACCTCTCAGGAACAATCGTACGTCAATTTCTTCCACCCTTTCAACCGTCCTGAACTTCGAGCCGAAAGTTTGAAGGACAATGTCCGGTTGGCCGCGCCTAGCTATTTCACGCTTCACCAAGACGTTAAAAAGTTTGGAACAAGCCATTCCATCACGGCCGAGCCTGGTCTTATTGAAGCCAGGGAGGACATCTTTGCCTCGATCAATAGTCTTCTGGAAAATCAAGCCATTGTTGCTCCACCTATCACCGTTATCGGTAATGGGATCTCCAGCATCCCTGATTTGTTCAAAGAGCTTGAGAAGGACTCTGACGGTACCAAGCTTGTGATCCGCCTGTAGATTTTAAAGCTATAATCAAGCGAAGACCGATTATTTAGTACTGTACGTTTAAGATGCCAACTGATAACTTTCGATTCAAAGTAAAAAAAAAAATTATGATTTAACCCAGGATCGAACTGGGGACCTCGTGCGTGTGAAGCACGCGTCATGACCAACTAGACCATTAAACCAGGACAAAGTGATTCAACCCAGGATCGAACTGGGGACCTCGTGCGTGTGAAGCACGCGTCATGACCAACTAGACCATTGAACCTGTCACTACCCAAAAATTGCTGCAGCTAGTATATAACCACATGCGACAATTAAACAACGTTACCAGCTAGAATCGACAAAAACCCGTTTAATTTTCAGCAAATCATTTCAACGAGTGCGAGAATGTTATAAAGGAATTAAAAGGCCGTCTAGATTAAAAGGGAAGAGCGCGTTGTATGAGGTGACTTTATATGCCCACTAATATTGATGAATTGCTAGGATATTTTAGGTATTGCTGGTTGGATGAGTTGACACTGGTCGTTAAGAACCTTAATTTTTGGACAACAAGGTTCCTGGTAAACGAGCCATCTATTCATGCGTCACTGGGGCAACCGAAGCGCAGCTCGGACAGACCGAAAAGATAAAACATGAAAACAGGAAAATATTGATTCATATTAACTATATATGTAGCTGTTTGGGCTCTCAAAAATTCGTTGATCCCAGCTATAGAAGGGTGTAAATGTTGAAAAGTTCCTAATGATCGGCCCTGTGTTCAAAGATATGATAGATCACGAAGGCGCTATCTGAAGATTGAACCAATCGCACTTTTTGTGCATGCGTAATTGCATGTATTAGCATTTTGTTGTAGAGATTTAACAGCAGTATAGGAATAAAACTTGCACACTTGACATTTCGTGGTCAGAAAACTAGTCTACTAGTCTAAATACTACTCTGAGGGATTTTTCAAAAAATGAGGTCCAAATTCCTGGTCAAACTAGCACTTCAAGGCTAAAGCGTGGCGAGTTGAAAAACAAATCTGGCTTCAGATATTATACAACACAGCACACTTCTTACTAAATTACGGCCGTGTGGTCTAGTAGTATGATACTCGCTTTGGGCGATGACTGTTGCAGTCAACAAATATGTGAGTGGTCCTGGGTTCAATTCCCAGCTCGGCCCTATTTTTTTTGAAACGCTTTCTTAAACAGGAAACTCCTTCTTATCAGCAACATTTCATGTAACAAGCGTTTTTGAAACTCGGTAGACTATTTTACTATCAATTTAAGAACGGTGCACGTCACGGGCGCTTGCCTGGTGATTGGGGAAAACAAGAGTTTCGGCGATGACAGTGTTAGCCCTGCGAGTGAGCGCGAAAGTAATAATTTCAGCGATATCTTCAGCAACAAGGGGTGTGGTGCCTTTGTAGGTGGCATCGGCCTGTTCCTTATCACCACGGAAACGGACAATTGAGAACTCAGTCTCCACAGCGCCTGGGTCGACTTCAATGACTCGGATACCTGTGTTGATAGTCTCCTTACGGAGAGAATGAGAGAACGATCTCAAAGAAGCCTTAGTAGCACAATAGATGCTGCCCTCAGGATAAGCATCTCTACCCGCAATGGATCCGAGCATGACGATGTCACCAGAGCCCTTCTGGCGGAAACGAGGAACGAGATGGTTGGTCAAAGCGAACAGACCAAGAACATTGGTGAAGAACATAGTCTCAACGTCGGGCAAAGCCAACTCACCGACCTTTTCGCGGCCGAAAACCAGCCCCGCATTATTCACCAACACATCAATGTCCGACCACTCTTTGGGCAGAGAATCCACACTCTTGGCAATGTCCTGATACTTGGACACATCCATTTTGAAAGCGAGCACATCAATTCCCGGGTGGGTTTGCTCGAGCTTGGACTTCAGGTCGAGCAAGCGCTCCTCCCGACGAGCGGCCAGAATCAGGCGGATCCGGCCGTTGGCAGCAGCTGCCAATTCGAGGGCAGTCGCCATGCCGATTCCAGAGCTCGCTCCGGTGATGAAAACAGTCTTTCCTGAAATACGCTCAGCAGCCTTGATGCCGTAGGACATTGTTAGGTGGACAGTGGGGAAACCTGCATCTTTTTAGTAATTGTTGGGCCCGGGTAGACACGCCCATTGCAGGGCCGTGGTAGTTAGAAAAAGTTAATAAAAAAATGATATGAAATAAAAATTACACGTTTTTACGAGATAAGGATACGCTTTCAAACTCAGAGCGAACAGAAATGGCCCCGAGCGATGATGCTGCATTGTCAAAAGCGTCTTTCTTACCCCCTGTTACATCGTCTTCCATTTCAGGGAAGACAAGGTTCGCGATCATGGCAACAAGACCACCAATTGCGTAAGGTGTTTGTACAACAATGATGATTGCATCAATAAAGCCCTTGGTGCCGGAGTTGTCGCCCTTATAGGTAAAGACGCCCTCGAACCAGTCTGGAACCATCACTGAGGCGAGGCCCCACATCAGGGACACTGTCAAGACAATGCGGTCTCGGCGAGTAAACTTCGACTTTGAAATGAGGCTGAGACCAGAAACTGCTACCGATGTGAAAAGGAATGTTGTCATACCGCCAATTACTGGATCGGGGATAGCCGCGACCGAAGCGCTGAACTTTCCGACGACACCCATAATGAACAACCACATACAGGCAAAGTACCCCGTATATCGAGCAGCACACTGTGTCATAGCAATGACACCGTTGTTTTGTGCAAAAGACCCCATGGGACACATGGTCATCAAACATCCGACTATTGAAGCCAAGGCGCTGGCCAGAATGCCGCCTTGTACACGTGAATCAAACTCAGGTCCTTGCACCGGTAGACGCGATACTTCACAAGTTGCTGTGATATCACCGATAGATTCCATTACGGAGACAACGTATACTGCGAGCGTGGGTAGGACGATCGGACCATACAACGTCAGCTTGAATGTGCGTAACCACAAGAATTGACCGCTTGGAGCAGCATCGATCTGTTCGTGGGTGAAATAACCGCAAGCGGCAGCAATTATACAGCCGACCAGAAGCCCCGCGATGACAGCACAGGACTTCAGAAAGGGCGGTCCCCATTTTTCGCAGATTATAATCGTAACAAAGACACTGAATCCGAGCCCAATAAACTGTCCAGAGCCCCAAGGGTGAGGATGCGGTGCATCAGCACTAGGACATAGCAGACCCTCACCTTTGCAACCGGTTCCTCCAGCCCACTGGTTCATACCATTTGGAACCAAAGAGATACCAATTAAAAGTACGACCACACCATTGACAATAGGTGGGAAAACCTTGAGCAGGATTCGCTTTGGAGTGAATGCCATAAGAAGCTCAATCAAAGCGCACAGAGCACCAGTGCCCAAAAAGGCGCCATATGCATCGGGGCACGGCAGGTAAGTACCGTCTTCGGCGACTGGACAAAACCCGTTTTTGTACATGATGGGCAGCGAACTTGCAAAGACAGGTACAGTTGAAAATGTAACACCCAACACCGAGACGGTGCCAGTTCCAATGAAATAGTTTGTGTAAGGAATTTTGATACGTTTGATTTGCACCAGTGATAAAATACTGCCGGTGATAAAAGTCGCAGAAATCAAGTATTCTTTGTCTTGGGTAGTCAAATTAGCAATCAGACAGAAGTTGATAACTGGAGCAATCAATCCTGCCATCATAGCCAGAGCATGTTGCAGTCCCAGCAAACACGCCAATAGTATAGGCATCTTCTCGTAGACGCCGAAAAACGGTGGTTGGGTTTGGTTGAGTTTGGTGAATGGCAAATTTGGTTTGAAAAGATAGCCATAGTCCACGTCTCCAATCAGGCCATCTCTGGTGGTAAAAGCTCTGAAAACCGCGTTGCATTTCTCATACTTTTTCTCTTTCCATTTTTTCTCCCGCACAGAGGCTGGAGGGGGTAAAGATCCTTCGGTGGTGCTATCGGGTGACTCGAACGGTTCCATTTTCATCGAGGAACGGGGAGTATCTTCCTCTTTCTTTTTACCAAAGAATCAGACGGGATACTCCAAAAAAAAAAGAGAATTTGTTCCGCAGGGTTATTTAATAGCATGCAGAAACCGTTTACCTAAGCGGAACAGTGCAGGAGGATGCATTTGACGCCAAACCATAACGACAGAGCAAGTGGAAATATGACAAGAGGAGCGAGGAAAATTGGCGTTCAAGAATTGGAGAATAATACCGGTTCTTGATGTAGCATTATCTTCCTCTACGTCTTAGCCAACTATCGCGAAATCATCCGGATGCGCCTTTGTGGGGCCCATGGGAAAACCTTTTGATCTGCCTGATGTTAGGGCAGGTTCGGGAAATTCAGGAGAGGCCAATCAGATCTGTCTAGAAGCGTAGAAGGGAGAATAAAATACAGATAATAAATACTATGTTAAAATGAGGTTCAGGTCCCATTCGCGCACAATGTCCCACCAGTTGGAGCTCATACCGGCCTTGCGGCGTTTGTGGACTTCCTCGATAACGGAATTGACGGTTGCATAAGAAGACAACCCGGTGCGTTTCATTTCTAACAGCCACGAGTAGTATCTGTAGCGAAGATCCTCGTTATCAGACTCGACTTCGCATGCACAGATAAAACCAGGGAACAAAAATGGAATGACTAGAGCGCGGGGCTGTCTCTTGTTGAACTCGTTGATTGCCTCAAGGTGCTGGATTACTTGCAGTAGCGTACGCTGGAGCAATGTGCGATTGACATCTTTGGACATACGGTAATGGTAAACAATCAGGGCTTTATGACAAGCGTGGCAATGGTGGTTCAGCATTTCGTTGATTTTCGGACTCAGGGCTTCTGAGCTTGTGGCCTCGATCTGAGATTTGTAGGTGGCAAGCTGGGCTTCTACCTCTGTACACTGCAAAATTAACTCGCTTGAAAATGTGCCCGTATCACCTCCGTTTGCTTCACGCTGGTGCAATGCCTTACGAGATACCGACACAACCTGTTTGAAAATGTATACCAGCGGTGGAGTAAGTCCGTGAATCAGTTGGGTTGAAACAGCTTCATAATCACTCGGTAGTCGGTTGCTGCTTGCCGCGGGTAGATCAGATGGTTGCTGAGCCCTTGCAACGTCTCCAATGTGGAAAATATCGTCCACCATGCCCATGTTGTCATACTGGCTAAAGTATTCCTCTAGCTGCAAGGGATCATTCATGTAATTGAGCGGCCCCTGACGCGATTGCAATTTCTCGAGTTTTTGAATTTGCTTGGGATCCTGAGGAACGACAACATCATCGAACGTTTTATCGATCCATGCGTCTTCCAGATCATGCTCTTGGTGGATAGCACCCAACTCCGATTGGTGGGTCATAACTGTTGCCTTTTGAAGGAGAGTAAGCATAACACAGATGCGATGGAGAATTTTGGCCTTTCGGCTCATTTTAGGTCGCGTGCGATACCGTACATTGATTAACCGCTGAGCAGCTCCCAAAGGAACTTCGCCGGAACCTGTTGAGCCTTTGACCATATGCAGGGTAGCCATAGACAATAGGGCAACCAGAAGATCCTTGTATTTGCCAATATTAGAGCCCTTCAAACATTTTGAGAGCCAATGCTGAGCCTGGGTTTCAAGACGTTCACCCAGCTCGGTATAATACTGGTAAGGCATAGATGCAGGATCGAATTTCAAACGCAAATGGAATGCTGCAATAGCCGTCATGGCATGAAGACCTGTATAACGAGCAAATGTTGTTTCGCCTGTGCAAGTGATATCACCTATAGCTGCATAGGCTCGGGGCAAATAAATAGTACGCCACGGGTTACGATCGTGGATTACAACCATCATATATGGTGTGACATGGTCGCGGTAGTGCTCTAGGAGAAAACGAGACAAAACCAAGAGTCTTGGGGCCGCAGTCAGATCGAACTTTTCGTCCGGTGGTAAAGGAGGGAGCATTTCAAGAGGACTAGGCTGGAAAAGCACGTCTTCGTACTTTTTGTCGATACCTGGGAACGTCGGGGCAATAATAGCGCCCAGATCTTGCTCAAAGCCGCCAAATCCATCAGCATAGACAACGTCTCCATAGGGAGAAAGGCTTGTTCCATGAAAAGATTGTGGAGACGGCCCTATGCTTGACTGATTGGTTATAAGGTGACCCTGATTAGCAGGCGAAGCGTACCGCGGGTTCATAAAAACCGGTGTGTCGTTGGGAGATCGAACTGGTGGGGTGGGAAGAGCCACAAGTTTACTCCGCTTTCTTGGGAGCTCTTGCGCGTCGGTCACACCTTGAAAGACCGCAAAAGGACCAGCAACCGCAGTTTCGCCTGGAGCAACAGCACCATTGTGCAGTTTTACCAGGAGGTCGTCCAGTTCATTGTACGTCTCGTACAGCATGCTGGCAGGATACTTTACAAAATCGACTTGCCGCCGAAGCGTATCGCCTGGGTTTGGATCGCTGTTTGACCCGACCCATCTCAATTTGATTGAATAGCCCTCGCACTGCCGTTTACCCTTGATGCATTGCTGGCAAACCGGCTGCTTATTGTCGCACTTGATTTTGCGGCTTCGGCACGTCCAACAGCCGGTATACGACTTTGTGCGCACAGCCATAACTCGATTGTATAACTAGAAATACTGTGGCTAGCACGATTAACTCTGCCAACGCAAATACAGCTTCTTTCTTACTTTCTGGAGGCGTACTTAGGAAAAAAAAAAGATTCCTGACAAATGTGGGAAATCTGACAATGCCACCCGAGACGAGGCGACGGAAGAAGGCCAATTTATTCACGAATGATTGTAAGTATTGAGTGTGCGCATGGACCGGGAGCAAACTAACGTCAGTAAAGTCATTGCTGTATGCATATGGCGATGTGCCGAACCCGTATCCGGAGACGATAAGCGTGCTAGAGGACATTCTGCAAGAGTACATTACCGCGATATGTTTCGAGGCTCACCGGGTTGCCAGAGCAGGCAGCCGGCAGAAATTGAAGGTGGAAGACTTTAAATTTGCGTTGCGGCACGATGCGATCAAGCTGGGCCGCGTGGAAGAGCTGCTGGCCATGCAAAAGGAGATCAACGAAGCCCGCAAGACGTTCGACAACTCAGAAGGCAAATCGCTGTCCAAGGTATACGACGAGAAAGAAGACGCTGCGGCAGCCGCCCCCGCCGAGGAAGGCGATGCGAAGACGCCGCAGAACCCAGAAAAATCGCCAGCCGGCGGATCGTAATTACATAGAAATGAATGTTGTTTATTTAAAGGTCAATGTGCGTGAGGGTCGCGGTGCGGCCGACGAACTTGTTCCAGTACATATGCGAATAATAGAGGAAGAAGCGCCAAATGTTTTTAGGAAAGTCCAGGTACGATTGCAGGATGAAGCCGACGGCCTTGCGGAACACCTTGAGGCCCAACTTCAGCTGATATGAGAAGCTCTGGCTGTATCCGTACTTGTCTGCGACTTTGCGACGGAAGAAGCCAACGCTTTCGACCGAATGGGAGATGCGGGCGAAAGTGTTGAGCAATGCAACGAGTTCGGAGCGCTTGAACGAGGAGAGGACTTCGCGAACGGCAACGGGGTCGTCCTCAGGGCGCTCTGGCAGCTCAAGCAGGACCTTGAGCGATGTGCCGTAGCCAGCAGTCTGCATCTTTCCCCACAACCGACATCTCTCGCAGCCCACGCAACTCATGAGTGCGTTGACGTTTCTCACTCGGCGACGGAACTCGTCCTTGAGAGCTCGACCTTCAGGTGTCATAAATAAAGCTGTCTCGTTAATACCCCGCGGGTACTTGTTGATGCGACGAGATAGGCGCCACAGGTGGCGGCGGACCTCGGTATCGACGCTTTCACAGGTGGTTGAAAACGACAAAAGCTCGAAGTAATTGGCGAGCTTGGCCACAGCACGGCTTACAAGGACATAGTTGAAGTAGAGATGGTTCAGTCGGTCCTCGTGGTTGCCAACACGCTCGACAAACATGCCGACGTTAGGGCCCCAGTAGCCAGAGGTGGTGTTGAGCCAGTCGTAGCTCAGGTGCGTGGAAACCGACGCATGCATACCCGATAAAAGCTTGTAAAACAGCCGCTGCTCAACACACTGATCGTCCTGGTTGATGAGCGGCAACGGCTCTCTCTCATCAACGCCCCGGGCGCCGCGCTCAATTGAGTCGGCAAACATAGACATCATTGCACTATGATCTGTCACCGCCATGGGCTGGGCTCGGGCCAAAGACGCGCCTGTGCTTGTAGCATAATCGTCGCCATTGTACCCGAAACAGTTTTCCTCGTATACGGCACGCCACAATCGATGGGCCTCTTCGCCAGAGTAGCCTGTGAAGCGCTCGATGTTGTCGTTTAGATCAACCCACACACCCTTTGCTTCGTCGCTCTCATCCTCGGGGTAACAATAATCATGTCTGTCAGAGACGCGGCCCAGGTATGCGTAGATGCTTTTTTCCTCGGGGGCACAGCCCTCCAGAGAGTCGGCAGGTGCCACCGTACTGACCGAGTTGTCGCGTAGTTTACCGAGATACGGCGAGCGCCAGATCTCAGGCAGGTGCTCGTCAATAGGCTCGATGGCACAAGCGTGGTTGCCGCAGATACCGTCGCGATTCACAAACGGACAGCGGTCCTGGCTGAGGTCGACTTTGTAAACGCTAAAGTACGGATCCTTGACGATATTTGCCACTAGTTCAGCAATGTCCTCATTGAGGTCGTCCACTTGCTCAATAGTCAAGTCGGTGTCGCGGATTTTGTCCTGCGGACAATTCACCACGTATGGTATGCCGCCTGGCGTGACGGACTGGCTCTGATTAGCGCTTGACTTTGCAAGAAATGCTGCTAGGCAAACCGCACTCAGAATATTCATTTTTTTTCTTGGCGTCCCAACTGTCTTTTGGGTCTACCCTACAACGAATTATCCACTCTTTTGTTATTCGACGCGCTAAAGCCTCAAGTTGCTCTTCCGGTCGTGTGGTGGCAGAAACCGAGATTGGGCATGCAGGCTGCCTAATAGCTGCATAAAAATCTGAATAATTTTTGTCAGGAGACTGAATTTTAAAAACCCTTCGAAAATGGCGAAAAGAGTAGCGGAGGACCTTGAAGAGAGCAAACGGATCAAGATAGATACCAAGGAGAAGGAGAAGAAGCCCAAGAAGGAAAAGAAGGACAAGAAGGAGAAAAAGGAAAAGAAAGAAAAGAAGGACAAGAAGGAAAACTCAGACAAGAAAGAGAAACCCAAGGAAAAGAAATTGGGTGCCGCCGTTTCTGTTGCAAATTCAGAAGACGAAGAGGCGTTTATCAAAGAGAACGGTGTGGGTGTAGAGGTCCCTGAGGGTGTCTCGAAACAGCCATTGTTTTTGGCAATGGACCAGGTTCCTGTTGAATCCGGCCTGCAAAAAGTGCTCAGCCAGTTCCCCAAACCGACTCCAATCCAATCCGCCACCTGGCCCTATTTGCTTCAGGGCCTGGACGTCGTTGGTGTTGCTGAGACGGGCTCGGGTAAGACTCTGGCATTTGGTCTGCCGTCTGCTCAGGCAATTCTGACCCAAAAACACTCTGGGATTTCCGTGCTTATTGTTTCCCCTACCCGTGAGCTTGCTATGCAGATTGACGACAACCTCAAGCTTCTGACTGCGGAAACTGGTGTCAAGGCTACCTGCGTCTACGGTGGTGTTCCTAAATACGAGCAGCAAAAGCAGCTCAAGACTGCCAATATTGTCGTTGGTACTCCTGGACGATTGAAGGATCTCATCAACGATGGGTCGCTGAACACTACCCGCGTCAAGTACCTTGTTTTGGACGAGGCCGACCGCATGCTTGAGAAGGGATTCGAGCAGGACATTAAAGAGATCATTGGGTCCACGCCGCAAGAGAACCGCCAAACAGTGATGTTTACTGCCACCTGGCCGCCGCAGGTGCGTGATCTTGCTGCGACTTTTATGCGTCCACAGGTCATCAAAGTGTCTATTGGTGACGCTGATGAGCTGACCGCCAACAAGCGGATCAAGCAAATCGTCGAGGTGGTTGATGTTCACAACAAAGAACGCCGGTTCCTAGACGTTCTTCGCCAGTATACAAAGCAAGACTCCAAACAAAAAATCCTCGTGTTTGCCCTGTACAAGAAGGAGGCCTCGCGCGTTGAGCGCTTGTTGAATTCAAAGGGATACCAAGTGGCTGCTATCCATGGAGATCTGAACCAGTCGCAGCGTACGCAGGCACTGGACGATTTCAAGACTGGACGTTGTAATTTAATGCTTGCTACCGATGTTGCGGCCCGCGGTCTCGACATCCCTGCCGTGAAGGTCGTGATCAACCTCACTTTCCCCCTGACTGCCGAGGACTACGTCCACCGCATTGGCCGTACTGGCCGTGCTGGTCAAACAGGTATCGCTCACACTCTGTTTACCGATCAAGAAAAGCACCTGTCTGGAGCCCTGATCAATGTGCTGAACGGTGCAAACCAGCCCGTTCCTGACGACCTGCTCAAGTTCGGATCGCACACCAAAAAGAAAGAGCACAGTCTCTACGGCGCTTTCTTCAAAAACGTCGACCCTAATGCCAAAGCCAAGAAGATTAAATTCGATTAAGTATATATATACATATGAAATGATGGTTAGCTGACTGCCGCTGAATAATTATGAATCACCAGGTGTCGCTGGAGGGGCCCCAGACCAAAAACCGGATTCTAAACACGGAACTGGCGGAGAATATCCGCCATCTGATGCCCATGAGGCTCCAGGTATCTTCCAAGTGGGAGCAAGCATACAGCCTGGAGGGCAATGGTGCCTCCTTGCGCACTTTATACGACCAGGTTCGACCAAAGACAAAGTACCAACACGGCTATGTTCTGCTGCTGCGAGATTCGCTGGGCGGCGTGTTTGGTGCGTACTCCAACACCCCGTTCAAGGCAGAGACCGGGGGTCACTTTTACGGCAACGCAGACTCCTTTTTGTTCAAAGCTACCGGAGATCGATTCGAGGCGTTCCCCTACACTGGCGAGAACGACTTTGTAATTTTTAGCACCCCAAAGTTTTTGTCTTTCGGCGGCGGCGACGGCCATTACAGTCTGTGGATGGACGACAACCTCGACAAAGGCGTGAGCTATCGCACGCCAACATTTGGAAACGAGGTTCTCAGTGCCGAAGGCTCCAAGTTCCACATTGTCGCCGTCGAAGTGTGGCGGGTTTAAATATCTAATAAAGATCTATAGTGCACCAGGTCTTACTTTTTCTTTAGCAGCGGAATACTCAATCGGGTGGGCCATACGGACCTTTTCCGACAGCGCTGTCAAATGGTGGTCTATCCAGTCGAGGTCGGCGCTGATCAGCCGCACAAGCTCTTTGCCGCGGGCGGCAGTCTCTTTTGACCGCGGCACTAACTCAATTGCCTGTTCTGTGAGCTCCTCCAAGTCGCGCACTGCCGAGTTTGTCAGACCCGACAACTGCGCCTCTATTACCAGGGCTCTGTCCAGCGGGAGCGGGTCGAAAACCGCCTCCACCTGTGTGACAAAATCATTGATCGAGAACTCCTCCGTGGAGCTTATGGAGGCCGCGGATCCGGCGTACGAACTCGATTCTGCGTCCGAATGCATTTTAGCATAAAGGCACGTCGCACCCGCCCGATTAGCTCATCAAATGGAAAGCAGGCTACGGCCATTTGGCATTCTGTTTGGGCGGTCCCTGAACAATCTTATCAAAGGAATCAGGGCGCGTAAAGATGCCGACGAGCTGGAGGAGTACATAAAGGGCGTCATCGCCGAGTGTCGGGAGGAGGCGCGTTCGCCAGATCTCGATCTCAAGGCGATGGCGGTGTTGAAGCTGGCCTATCTGGAAATGTATGGCTACGATATGTCCTGGGCCGGATTCCACGTGCTTGAGGTCATGTCAAGTCAAAAGTTCCAGCAAAAGCGGGTGGGGTATCTTGCAGCTATGCAAAGCTTCAGAGCCGACCCGGAGCTGCTTATGCTCACGACCAATCTGCTGAAAACAGACCTCACTGCGCCTTCACAGGAACGTGCGGGAATTGCGTTGAGTGGTTTGGCTACAATTGTGTCTCCGCTGCTGGCCGCGGAGGTATCAGAGGACATCACAAGCATGCTGAACCACTCGAACTCGTATGTACGAAAAAAGGCAGTGCTGGCAATTTACAAGGTGCTGCAGCAATACCCCCAGGCACTTCCGGCTGTGCTGCCTCGTTTGAGAGACAGGCTAGAGGATTCTGACACGTCTGTGGTGAGTGCTGTCGTCAATGCGCTGTGTGAGCTCTCTCATCAAAGTGACGACCCCAGTCCTTTCCTAGAGTTTGCCCCACAGCTATTTTTCTTATTGAAGGAAACCCAAAGCAACTGGCTGCATATCAAAATTCTTAAACTGCTTGCGCTATTCACGCAATATGAGCCCCGCCTAGTGTCGAAGGTCCTCCCGCACATTGTTGACTTGATCCACAGCACGGATGCGACTTCTCTGCGTTATGAAGCGATATCTGCGATTCTGCGGGGCCGAATGGTTGCCAGCGATGACTTTGAGCTTGTGAAACTCATACTGAACCACCTGAGAGATTTTTTACAAACAACCGACCCGAATCTCAAGTTCGTTGCTTTGACTGCTCTTTCCCAACTGGTCAAAGTCAATGCTGGCTTTTTGGCTGCTGAACATGAAATTGTGCTGGAGTACATTGACACGGAAGACGCTACATTGCGACGCAAGGTGCTAGATATGCTCCCTGCGATCGTAAATGAAGACAACCTTGTAGATATTGTCACGCAACTGCTGGAACAGTTACGTGCGACGGACTCTCCTGCTTGTCCTGAACATAAGCAGCTACTTGTTTCCAAGATTGTCGCTTTATGTTCTACTGACAACTACAGCCTGTTGCCCAACTTTGAATGGTACACTGAAACGCTGGTTGATATTGCCAAACATGCGTTCAATTATGTCCCCGAGGCTGGTGTTATTGTAGGAAACCAGCTACAGAATGTGGCGGTTCGAGTCAAGAGTGTACGCGAGTCTGTGGTTTTCGCGTGCCTTGATCTGTCTTACAATGCCCCACTTGTTGCCAAGCAGCCTGAGATTCTTGAATATACCTTGTGGGTAATTGGAGAGTATATCTCTGACTATCTTGATTCTACGCGTCAGGCGATTGGTCCTGATCTGCTTCGAAACCTGCTGTCACTCCCGCCCTGTCTTGCTACAGTCCCTGCTGTTACAAAAGTGTTTTCGCGATACATTTCTGTTTTGCCGTTGTGGATTGATGAAACACGTCTGCAAGTAAGCGAGTGTATTTCAGAAATCATATCTGTGTTTTCCAAGTTTGCTACCAGTGCGAGCTTTGAGATTCAAGAGCGAGCTGTTCAGCTGCTTGAGCTGTTCAAACTTGCTGCCGACGCAGTCGCTGAACATCCGGCAGATAGCGATGCTGCTCCTGCTCTACTTACCATCGCATTCCCTTCTTTATTTAACGGTTTTGAGATTACACCGGTTGCACCTTCGGCCCAGCGACGAATTGCCATTCCACCTGAGCTTGATCTTGACACGCCCATCAGTGTAGTCGAGTCCGAATTCACAGAGTCTGAGTCCGAACCCGAGTCCGAGCTCGGGTCGGCTACTGAGCCCGAACCTGAGCCTGAAGCTCGAGACGCTAGAATGGACGTGTACTACATCAAGTCGGCCTCGCACGAGTCGAAAGAGGCTTCTGTCACGTCCGAGCTGTCAGATTCCAAGCCGGTTCACAGCAAAGAACGGCGCAAGATTGAAAAGGTCAAGGTGGAGATCGCTCAGGACGAGACAATTGAGGGCGAAGACGACGAGCCGGTTGCCAAGCCGGCGAAAAAGTCGTTGTTCCATAGCGAGCACATTTCGGTCGGCGACACGCGTCCGGGTAATGTGGTTGTAAAGCACAAGAAAGTGAAAAAGAAAAAGAAAAAGCCGGCCAGTTCGTAGCATGTACACTATTGAGATGCCTAGACCACTTCGCACTACATCGCTTTAATTCGCACCTATAGAATCTATCGCCAGATCGCCAGATCGCCAGGTCACCTCGCACTACATCACACTACATCACAGCTATAGAACCTATCGTCAGATCGCCAGATCACCTCGCACTACATCACACTACATTTAGATCATCCATCGCACCTATCACTCGCTTGATGACATGTACACTATCGCAGACCCAAGTGTTCTAACCGGGCTCAGTCGATGTATTTCGGCGTTTGCGCGCATCAGCGACACTATTTCAATTGACGGCACCCTAGACAAACTCGAGCTAAGCTGCGTGAACGCTTCGCGAACCGTTGTCGGCCGCGCAGTCTTCCCCAGAGACTCCTGCTTCACAGGCCTGGGCACTGAGCGGGCGATCCAGATAAAGTCCCGGGCCGCAGACACTGTCTTTTCTCGAGTAGACCAGTCCAAGTGCGTGCTAAAATTCGGGCGAGCACACAATGGCGTGGAAGTGCTGGAGGTTCTGCTGGAGTCAACCCAGGCGGGCGCAGTGAAGGTCTGCCGGATTCCGTGTCTCGTTGTCTACGAGCCAGCGCCAGCAATTGATTCCCCAACAAACTTGTCTTACTACTTTTCTGCAAACCTGAACTTTTTCAAGGAGATTCTGGCCAACTGCATGCCCGCGGCAGAGGAGGCAGAGCTACGGTTTCTGAGCCATCGCGGGTTCACGTTCAGAGCCTTCAGAGACAAGATGCGTACTGATCAGTCAAAAGTGCGGGCAGGAGTGGATACTAGCGTGGAAAACGAGCTCCGAAGGTTCGGCAGGCTGCAGGTGCTGTCGCCGTGGGCAGGCACCATGCGACTGAAAGAACTACGAACGGTGATTCAGCTATGGGAGCAGCTATTTCCTCTCAATTCAGTCGACGCACTATTTAAACAACCGGGGCAGCCTATTATTTTCGAAACCGAGCACACGGTTTTGAAACTGGCGTTCATGTTTCGGTTCACCACCAAGCCCCATCGCTCAGCTCTCGACAACACGTCCTCAGTGATGATTCGAATCGGCGACAGAATCGAGCCGCGGATCTCAGCGCTGTACGGCCGCCCTCAGTCGTTCATGAGGCGAGCAGCCGAGCCGGAGCCTGAACCCAGCCAGCCGGTCGATCTCCCCGCACCGCAGCCAGAACACCCACCGCCAGCTCAATTCGTTGAATACGCCGAGGAAATTGGTATGACGCAACCAGCATCCCAGGCAGTTGGACTTTTTGACGATGATAGCTAACTATTTATTTTCAGACGCAGACTCGACGGCCGCTGCAGCATCCACAGGCTCGGCGGGAGCCTTCTTGTCAATGTAGTGATACTTAACAAACCGGTAGCCCTGGCCAAGCTGGGCACCCTCATTAACAAAGTGACAAAGGAACAGCAACGGGTTCCAGGGAGTGACTTGGGTTCTGGATGTTAGCTCAATGAAACAGCACAGCAAAATATACTTACGCATAACGCATGAACACGGCAGAGTATCCGATAAGCGAGAAGGTCATGGGCCCCGAGATGAGATCAGGCTCCTTCTTGAGATCCATTACCGCCGCGAGGGGAATTCCAAAGTTGGAGACAGGGCCCCAGAAGTGGGTGGAGCAGAGGTCTGCAGTTAGCATTGGCACTGGATAATTGGCTCCGTCACTTACATTTCAGGAACGCCTTGCTGAACACATAATCAGTCGCCTTCTTGAACGAGCTCATGTGGTTGTTGAAAATGGAAGGGAAAGGGGAGGTCTTTGGCGATGACTACTAGTTGGGATTTTCCCCTCAACCGAAAATTGGCACTGCATGTCCGATCAAATATATCCGCCGCCGCCGCCGCCGCCGATTGGAGGTAAATTAGAAGAAGCCACTGGCTTAGGGAAGCGGGCGGGCGGCGAGCTGGGGCCTGAGCCCAAACGCAGCAGGCCGGACGGATCATTAGAAAAAGTTAATCCGGCAGTGCTAGCTGCAGCCCAAAACGTCCAGGAGTGGATCGCGGCCCGCCGCAAGAACTGGCCGACCACAGAGCGGACACAGGAGCGCCAGAGCGCGGGCGAGCCCGTTGCCGACACAAAGGCCGCACAGCCCCCGCGGCCGCCCAAAATATGCCGGTACTTTGCCCGGGGCAAATGTCGGTCGGGCGACACCTGCCGGTTTGCCCACGTCGACGCGGCCGCGGCAGCCGCCCAGCCAACTATTTATAAGAGATTCGAGCCGCCCGTGCGCAGCTCGCTGTTTATCAAGCTCATGCAGACCGACCACGACGGCGAGGACGCCCGGATCCTCAGCCTGATTGCCGAGCTGGATGCGGCGGGGAAACTAGACAAATAAAACGTAACAATATATAATTACGGGGGTGGGGAAGAACCTCCTCGAGCATGCTTATTTCTTTTTCAAGGGAGCGAAATAGGGATGGCCCATTGCTTCGCGAGCGGTGAGACGCTCCTGGTGGTCGTAGCGCAAGAGCTTGTCGCAGAAATCTATGGCATCCGGCTGGGCGAGGGCGCGGTTTTCTTGCTTGATGAACGAGGACCAGGCCTTGCGGGGGAAGTTGCCGATCAAGTCGTCGTACTCGTGGGACAGCTTGAGCTCGTACTTGTCGAGGTAGCGGTAGAGGTCGTCGGTACCCAGGACTTTTGCGATCTTGACCAGCTGGTCGGTATTAGAGGTGCCGTGGAAGAAGGGGTCTTTGCGGAAGATCATCGCGGCAAACATCGCTCCCAGAGACCACATGTCGAGCGAATAGTCGTACATCTGCAAGTCGACCAGCAACTCAGGGCCCTTGAAACAACGAGAGGCCACACGTACATTGTATTCCATTCCGACATGGTAGAATTCGGCCAGGCCCCAGTCAATAAGGCGCAGCACTTTTTTCTCGTGGTCAATCATCACGTTGTGGGGCTTGACATCGCGGTGCATGATGCCCTTGGAATGGCAAAAGTCAAGCGCCTTGAGCAGCTCGTTGATGTAGTAGCGGATCTCGTAGTCGGTTAGCTTAGGGTACAGGACACGGAAGTCGGTGTTGTCGACATATTCAAAAATAAGAGACGGCGTTTTCGAGAGCGGGTCGCGCACCACGTCCAGCAGGGTCACCACGTTGACGCCTCCAGCCAGGTTCTGTAAGATCTTGATTTCCCGCTTGATTTTCTTCTTCTTCACCGGCTTGAGCACCTTGATCACGCACCTCCCGTTCGTGTTGATGTTGATCCCTTCAAACGCCTCCGAGTATTTGCCGCGCCCGATTTTGCGTACAACCTCGTAGTTGGACTGGGTGCCCCAAAGCACCGTCACGTTGTCGTAGTCCCAATACGAGCTGGGCATTTTGAGATTGTAGTCCGCGTACACGCGTGCCACTGACTTTTTCATCTTTGCAGTTCTGGTCGGTTTCCTGTCGTGTTGGCTGCCCTAAAATATAGCCCAAAGTCTAGTTAGGATGATGGCAAAGAACTTTTGGCTGTTCAGCTGACAAATGTTATGGGACGGACGGTTGGTGGTTCACGGCGACGGCATGGACCTGGTCCGCCGGCAGAACGGTAACAGCGATAAAAACAGCCCCGGTGCGCCCATTGTGGCCGTGGATGTCCAGATTTTCTGCTCAGACCCGCGAGTCACCCTCTCGGACCTCCCGCAAACTTTGCATCAATTAGCCTTTGCCAACCCGCGTCTGCTGCCGCTGTGGTCGATTCAGACGCCAGAAATGGCCGTATACTCGCAAGATTCGCTCGCCGCAGACTTCTTTGCCAAAGTGTCCGCCCACAACCTCGGCGTGCTCGCCAAAGTGCCCGACTCAGACACCCACATGCTGTTCTACGCGCTCGACGAAACGCCCGCCCGGATCTGCGCTCGGCAACTCCGCCTCAGCCAGCCGCCTTCTGACGAGCCGGTCCAGGCCGCCGAGAACTCGCTCGCCAGCGTAACGTCACCGCAGTCCACCATCCCGTCCCCGGCGCCAATTGTGCCGACACAATGCGGCATAGACGGCCCGCGAAAGGCTCTGCAACAGACTATACTGGGCGCCATGCGGCTGAGAGGCATTGACAGGTCTCACAGGGACTACAAAAGTATATATCAGCACTGTCTACGGGCGGCAGAGTTCTCGCTACGAAATTGCCCTCAGCCTATCAGCCTGGACGCAATGAGAGACAAAGTCGAGGCTCTACTGGCTGTTCTCGAATGACCGACTCCGCCGTCCTGCTGCTCAACCACTAGCCTTCGGGTAATTGTAAGCCCACCTGCAGAGGGTGGGGTATACGGTAAGCCATGTGATAGGTCGCAAACGGCGCGACGGCGCTGTTCCCCGGGCCGGAACCAATTCGGAATGGGCGCCGACCGGCCGTGGCGACGCATTGCACCGCCCAAATTAGAAATATTTATTCTACGTACTCCTGCCGCTCCCAATCCCGCCGGTCTAGAGTTTTCCATCGCGTGGTCTCACCACGGATTCTTTTATATAAGCGCCTAACCCCCCTTTCTCTGCCACCTCACTTTTTGCCAACTCCAAACGGTAGCTAAAGTCCAGAGAGAAAGATCCTATTGAAAAATTATCATGCCCGAGGCCGCTGAGACACCCAAGAAAGTTATCCCCCTGTCCGAGATCTCCAAGCACAGCTCCCGCGATGATCTGTGGGTTGCCATCAATGGCAAAGTGTACAACATCTCCAAGTTTGTTTACGAGCACCCTGGTGGAGAGGAGGTTCTGCTGGATGTTGCTGGCAAGGATGCCACCCAGGAGTTTGAGGACGTCGGCCACTCCGAGTACGCTGTCGAGATTCTCGACCAGTACTATGTTGGCGAGGGCAACCCCGAAGAGCTCAAAATCAACGAGAAGCCACTGGGTGTTGCAGAGTTCGACTCTTCGTCTGATTCCTCTTCGTCTGCCGTGAAATTGTTCCTGATTGCTGCTGCTATTGCCGCGGCCGCTTTTTACTATACCAAAGTGAACTAGTTTAGGTAATTATTTCCTACTTGATTAATAAACACCTGGCGACCGCCAGTTGCCAAAAAAAATTAAAAAAATCTTGTTTCTTTTGGGGGGGGGGGGGGGGGGGGAGGTGGTGGATTGTTCGCTGACACATATTTTTTCGGGGCTGACAAACTGACACCTCCTCGCTCATTCGAAACCGCTACCGGCGAAACAATGATGCCGTTAGCTAAGCAAACCCCAGATTGCCAAGAGCCTAGTTGAGTGCCAGCCCAAGTGCTTTTTGCCGAATAAAGTGACCGGTGCGGCTCTGGAACCACGCTTAACTTGTGGATACAAGAACAGACTGCTCCAGAGCCAACATCTTGCCTGTGGTCCAGGTCGGCCGACCTCATCTGCCCGCTTGGGCCAATCCCGCTCTATCCCTAACCCCTGTTTCGACACCCTGTAGATAACTGTGCATGAAATTGCTGTGTGAGTTTTTTATGGTTGGGTCCTCGGTGCCAATGTGGGCCTAGGCTGCTGTTTCTTTTTTGGGTCTAGGCCATCGGCCACTCATTTTCCGCGTGGCCACGGTGCAAGCGTCCACGCCATCTCTTGCCTTTGCATTCCTGGTCTTGTTTGATGCTGCCTCCTAGTTTGGCGTTGACTCATAGTTGGCCGCCTGCCCTAAATTGTGCAGATGCTTTGGTAACCCGTGGTGCATATTGTCATGCACCAAAATATTTCAGTATAAATATCCCAACCCGCCACGAGGTTCGCCGCCCTGGCCGATTTGAATTTAGAAGTTGAAGATTGAAAAAAGTAACGAATCAGAGATGTCCTTCTAAATCGCTTGTCGCACCCAAACAAAAAGTTAACCGAATTGAAAAATGAAAGAATTATAAAAGTCTCCCCGGTTCGACTTTGTCCCCCCCTTATTTTACTTGTTCACCATGTCCTCCTAATATTGTGTTTTTGATTTAAATTTATTGAAATGTTTACCGAAAGCCTGTTTGACATTCCCCCCTCCGCTCCCCAAGCGGAGCCTGCACCTTCCAATACACTCTCGCCCCACTCGGCGTCGGCCGCTGCCCCGCAGTTTGCCAAGTACGAGCAAGCCTTTGATAAGTTTGCGGCCGCCCAGGTTGCTATCCAGGACGTCTGGGAGCTTGGTTCGACTAGTGCCATGCTTTCTCCCGCTATGATGGCGCCCAAGCCGCTGTCGGCGTTCATGACCCCTCAGGAGCTGCCGGCCGATGTCTATGTGTCTCCCGCCGAGATCATGTCGTCGAGTGCAACTACCGTCCGGTCGAATTTCTCGGACCTGGACTATTCTCCCATGTATGAGAATCCGGACGTCACGGAAGCTCCTGACTGGGATCCTCTGTTCCCGGACGTTGCACCCGCGGCCGCCCCCCAAGAAGACGCCCACACAAATGCTGATGAGCTGCAATGTAACCCTTCTGCTTCTCCCCAGCTGTCTGTGGCTTCTCCTCAGCTGTCTCAGCGTCGTCGCAGCTCCTCGCCCAAGACCTCTATTCGCAGGGGCCCCAACGGCAACCGAGTCGACGATATGGGTATCACTATCTATTCTCGCAAGCCCCGCACGATGCCGTTGCGGCCTGTTGAGATCCCTGAGACTGCCGACACTGCTACGGCCAAGCGTGCTCGCAATACCGAAGCCGCTCGTCGGTCTAGGGCCCGCAAGCTTGAACGCATGGCCCAGCTCGAGGACCGCGTCAAGCAACTTGTTGATCGCAACGAGGAGCTCGAGGCCGAAGTCCAGCGTCTCAAGGCCATTGCCGGCGAGTTGTAAAAGGAAGAATCAAGGCTTTTAGCTTGTGTTCCCTTATGGAGCCTACTGCCTTTTTTTCTTTTTTTTTTTAAATATGAATAATAATTAGACATAAAAAATCTATCAAAAACCCTCGCTGCCGTCAAACCCAGTAAAGCCACAGATTAAGAACATTTTATAGTAAGGCTTTTTGGCAATCAGGTTTGCCCAGTTCCAGGCGGAAGTTAGTCGGCCGTCAATGCAGGAGCCTGCGTCGTAGAAGTTGTCTGAGCCGGACCCGTCAAAGGCGTGGCGGAAAAAGTCGACGAGAATGGTCTTTTTGAGCGAGTCGACCGACCCAAACTGCGACTCGGCCCACGCGTATGCAAAAGGGTCGCGAAGAACCGAATCGAGCAGGGTCAAAACAGTGTTTACGGGATTCAAGATGCGAGGAACTTGCAAGTACTTGTCCAAAAAGAACAGAGCGTTGGGCACGGCACGGTCGCCAAGGTGCACAACCGAAGACCCGACCCAGGACCCCGTCTCCCGCTGGGCCCGAGCGATGACATTGTGCATAACCTTGTGTACGGAGGGGCAGGCCTTGATCCGATTGAGACCTTGGCCAGTGTCTGCCAGTTGGTACCTGATCTTGTCGCTTGTCATATCCGCATCGGCCACGCTCCACAGCTTGTACATGTCACGCATCAGCTCCGACCATAGAGTGAGGGATTGTAGCACGTACTGGTATTGTTTACGATGGTTGTGAGAGAGACGAGCGCCTTGGGATCCCGCAGAAATACCAAGCGAGTGGTGGTTTTCAAACGTTTCCGGGTTAAAGTACTGTTTGAGGCGCTCGATCATGGTCCGCACGGGAGTGCGGTTCGCACTCAGGTATGCATGGTAGTCACCCACTGAGTACAATGCTTGGCGTACTCCTTCAGACGGCAACTGTTTTGAAGAGTATTTGCGAGCCAGCCGCTCAATTGCCAGCTCCTTTTGTTTAATGTCTTTTTGGACTTGCAGTCGAGAGCGTCCCTCGGATCTGATCTCCATTGTGGCCACAAATACCAGGGGGTCATCCAACAGCTCCAGTCCTCCGTGCTGTTCTAAAAAGGACTGCACAGTCAGAATAGGTTTGTACAAATCGAACTCAAGGTTGTCTTTGACCTCAGGCAGTCGTGAATCCATAATCATGTACATGAGCTTGCCGAACGTGGCACGCATACGCTCCGGATTCATGATTTTGTACCTGCGGCCGATCTCAAAAATCGTTTGGTACCAGTCGGCATTTCTAACAAACTCCTTGTCGTCCATGAGCCGCTGGCCCTCTTCCATGCCATTTGCCACGACCAGACCGGTCAGAACCGTACACATTTCTTTGAGCTGCTGAACAATTCGTTTGGCTTTCGACGAATAAGAGTAGACGTCGATTTTGTCCGTATATTCGCTGACGTTCAGAGCGGCCTCCAGAAGACGGAAAAGCTTTCGCTCTTCTGCGGTCAAGCGCATAGGGATAAAGCTCGTATTGTCCTTGAACCGAGCGATTGCAGCTGTTTCGGCGTCCGGGGCCTCGATCTCAGCAGCCTCGGCAGTCTCCACAGGGCAAGGCTCCTCGTGTGCATCAGAAGTAGGCGTCTCAGCGGCAGCGGTTTGCTCGGCAGCAAGCCGTTTGACCTTGTGCTGTTTGCGCTTGCCCGTGCGGTGCAAATAGTCAAAGCAGACTGAACAAAAGTGCTCATCGCAGTCTAAACAAAGCAACTCATGCGGCTGGTCTCCGCATTCGACGCACAATGACTCGTCAATTTCCTCGTCTGAGCTCTGGTCGTGCTTGCTTTCTTTGCTCAAGACCTCGCTGTCCTCGTCCATCAGATCATCGTGGTTCACCTCCAGCAACTCTTTCAAAGATCGTTTACTAGTCATGCAGGACGGCTGAAAAACCAGGAAAAATCTGTTTAGCGTGGGGTCACGTGACCAGCACAGCGAACCACCGCGGGGTCGCCCACGAGCACAGCGGCGGCGTAGCCTCCTGACACGTCAACACTACCCAATTCAGAATCATAGTCATTTACTCGAACCGTTAGTCAATAATGGCAGTGCACTTCCTAACTGGGAAGTCGGATGTATGTGATCTCGAATGAGGTTTCAAAGGTGATGGCAACCTGTTGTGAAAAAGTGATATAGTAGGCCACTTTGACTGCTCATTTTGGCCCAAATTGATGTTCTCAAGCCATTGGGCATAATAAATTTCAGTATTTGTCCGCTGCTCGCTTTTGAGCGTCTCTGCTAGCGTGTGTCGACATCGCGTATATGCACCTCTTTGAATATATAAAGAAATAGCTATACCCACGGGCCAGCAATGGATCCGCAGCTTTTTAGAATCTTGGATGAGTATGCTCTGAGAAACGAGGGCGAGTACTGTGTTACAATCCGTGACAGCTACGGGCAAGCGGCAATCTACCATTTCGGCATGTCACGAGTGGTGTCTGCTATTCACCATACGATGCCGAATGCCGTGGTTTTTCCGCCTGTTCACAATCCGCCTACTCAAAATTCGCGGCTGATTGTGGATGGATCTTTTCCGGGCTATGAAACACCCAGCACACCATCTACGACGTTGACACCGGTGCCGCGGGCGCCCGCTGCGCTGTATACGCCTCCGTCTACGACCAGGAAGCGGACGCTAGAAAAGGCGTTTAGTCTGCCGCCAAAACGGCTGGCAATCCCGCCGCAAGTGAAGCCAGCGCAGCCGGAGCCCGAAAAAGAGGAAGAGGCCATAAGCGTGCTTTCGTCGCTGTTTCTGGAACTGAACCAGCTTATTGCCCGAGAACTAGCTCGAGAGTGGGTAAAAATCAAAGAGCCCGGCAAAAAGACCACGTTTCCTTACTCCGGGGGAGATGAGACCAAGCCCGCGTGGTGGCCGAAACCCGTTCGACACATTGGGCCGCATCATTTACTGCGCAACGAGCGGTCGCAATTACTGGCTACATTATTTGTGATGCTGCGGGGGAAACAAAGAGAACTGAAGGCTGCTATTGATCGGATAGATAACGGTCGCAATGCCGCGCTATTTGCGTCCATGTTCGAAACCCTCGACAGATACCTGCCTCCAGACGACGGCGGGCTACATGACCAGACGGTGATTGACCCATCACTGTTGAGCATACTGCCGCGAAACCGCGGGTGAGGGAAACGCGAATCACGAGATACGAAAAAAACTAGTTAGACATACGAATAAAATTAACCATGCTCCAAACTTTGGGAGGCCACTTGGTAGACGCCAAAGTTCATCTGGACTGCAGGAAGCTGTCGGGACGACATGAAGGGCAGGCCAAGTAAACACTGTTTAATTTTTCACTGATGAGAGGTCTTGGCGACCGGTAAATGACTATAGAACGCTGATTATAGGGGAAAAAGTGATCTATCACAGCGTGTATCACCTGATCAGATTTCAAACAAAGGCGACGCTAAACTCCGAGCATGTGGGCATGATGATCGAAGGTTGGCAGCGAATCGATCGCAACCATCCGTGCTTTCGCCGGCACCAAATAAAATCCCGACGGCAACGCTAACCTAAATCCAAACTCTAACTGAGTGTGGGGACCAACTGCTCCCGGGGAGCGGGAATGGACGGACGCGTGCAGCATCTGCTGGAGCAGCCTTAGTGACGTCACTTTTCGATCCTCTGCCCTGATGTCAGCAACGTTGAACAATGGCACTGTGCGACCAACTGCGCCCGAAACGTATCCGATCTGGCCAAGCGACCAGGTAAAACACGCGAAACGGCCCTTGGCAGAGGGGGCGAAGCCGCTAGGTTGCAGTAATTAACTTTATTTCAGCGGCTAGCGTGCATGGTTCGTGGAGATTAGCCCTCACCATGCATAGTCTCGCCGCGCCTAGCCGCCCTCTGCATTATTTTCCTGCTGAGTTCCTGCAACCTTAGCAGTCTTCCCATAGAAAACGCTGCATAAGCCCTAACGGAGCTCGCCCTAACCCAAACTTTGACCAATGGAAGGTGCAGCGAACGCAGTTTTGAGTGGGCGGTCATGCACGTGATTTGCAGATGATATAAGATACCCACCCCGAGGCGAGGATTTTTTGCCCAACTTCCCTTCAGCTTTTCTGTTCGAACGCCCTCATATTTTGTGTGCAGTCTAATTTGCGCCGGCTTCCGCCCTTTGTGCTAATTGATTTGTTGCGCACAAGCCCAGCGTTTTTATTCGCCTAGATTTCTTTCTACCCCCCCTCCTCATCCTTTTTCATCTTTTTACGTCTTTTAGTGTGGTCCAAAGTATCGTCTGCGATGGCTTTCTAACAATACTGGTCCCCACTGGTTTTATGAATATCCCCTTTCAACTAGTTATTTGCATTTGAGTTGGTTTTCAATCTGGCTACAGCCCCAAAAATCATGTTACAATCACGTCCTCAAGTTCGGCCCGTCGGCTACCAATACTCCACAGCGTGCCACGACAGCGACTCTGACTCGTCTGTGATTTCCGACCGCGGCTGCCGCCCGTTCACTGCTTGCAAGGTTGCTCCTGCTGTGGCTACTCTCGCCAGCACCGCAAGCTCTTCGTATGTGTGCAGCGGAACCGACACGCCTGCCCACTACTCTACGAATACTTCCACTGCTCCGTCACTGACCTGCTCGCCCGAGTGCTGTCTGAAGGCCCAGAACGGCATCCAGTTTGTGTGTCCCAAACCCAAGCGTAACGGCTCGGTCGACAGCGTCAAGCACAAGCGCTTTTCTATTTGCACCCCTCCTCCCAGCGACGGTGCGTTCAACTGGTCCGATAGCGACGACGACGAGGAGTACAGTCGCACCGAAGAAGACGACGACGAGGACGACTGCGACAACGCAAACAGCGTCCTCTACCGCCGTCTGATGCGCCGCCACTCCTCTGTCAAAGTGTGTCTCTATGATGAGGAAGATACCGTCGACGACGGTGAGCAAGCCATGTTTTCTCAGGACCTCTAATATATATGTTCACCGCCAAAAAGACAAACGTATCATATCATGGAATTCCCCCCTAATATTTAAGCATATATACATTCAATTCGTTCTATTACCTTACCGGTTGTTTACCGCTTTTTTGTCGCCGGCCGTTGGCTGTGTGGGTTTCGCTGCAGTTTTCTTTTTTTGCTGATTAGTCAAGCTGAAAAATTTTTATTATATAATTTTCTTTGCAGGGAAAGCTTCTGAACATCATGAGCTACGATAGAAGAAGTGATAATAATCGTGGCTACGGCGGCGGTGGCTACAACAACCGCAATGGCGGCGGCTATGGCGGGCGCGGCGGTTCCGGGGGCCGTGGCGGCTACGGCGGCGGCGGCGGCGGCTATGGCGGCAGTCGCGGCGGGTACGGATCCAAGCCTCCCTTTGAGCCTATTGAGCTCACCAAGCCTGATTGGGACAGCATGACCCTGCCCGAGTTTGAGAAGAACTTTTACCAAGAGGACCCGGTTGTGACTGCCCGCGACAACAACCACATTGCTGAGTTCCGCAAGCAGCACGAGATGACCGTGCGCGGCAAGGACATCCCCAAGCCCGTGGAGTCCTTCAAGGAGGTCGGCTTCCCCGACTACATTCTCAAAGAAGTTGAGCAGCAGGGCTTTGAGAAGCCCACCGGTATTCAGTGCCAGGGCTGGCCCATGGCTCTGTCTGGTCGGGATATGATTGGTATCGCCGCTACTGGTTCCGGCAAAACTCTGTCTTACTGCTTGCCGGCTATTCTGCACATCAACGCCCAGCCCCCGCTCAAGTACGGCGACGGCCCAATTGCCCTCGTTCTCGCCCCCACTCGTGAGCTGGCCGTCCAGATCCAACAGGAGTGCTCCAAGTTTGGCCGCACGTCTCGCATCCGCAACACCTGTGTGTACGGCGGTGTCCCTCGGGGTGCCCAGATGCGTGATCTCGCCCGCGGTGCCGAGATCGTTATTGCTACGCCGGGCCGTTTGATCGATATGCTCGAGGCCGGCAAGACCAATCTCCGTCGTGTGACATACCTTGTTCTTGATGAGGCGGATCGTATGCTCGACATGGGCTTTGAGCCCCAAATTCGCAAAATCGTCGACCAAATCCGCCCCGATCGCCAAACACTCATGTGGTCTGCTACCTGGCCCAAGGAAGTCCAGCAGCTGACTCGGGACTATTTGCATGATGAGATCCAAGTCACCATTGGTTCGCTTGAGCTCTCGGCCTCGCACAATATCAAGCAGATTGTTGAAGTTGTTGACGAATGGGAAAAGCGCGACAAGATGCTCAAGAAAATCCAGGAGGTTATGGAAGACAAAGATTCAAAGGTATTGGTTTTCACCGGCACCAAGCGGGTTGCCGACGATGTTACCAAGTTCCTTCGTCAAGACGGCTGGCCTGCTCTTGCAATCCACGGCGACAAAACACAGTCTGAACGTGACTGGGTTCTGAAAGAGTTCAAGACCGGAAAGTCCCCTATCATGGTTGCTACCGATGTCGCCTCTCGTGGTATCGATGTAAAGGGTATCAACTTTGTTATCAACTACGACTATCCTTCAAACAGTGAAGACTACGTCCACCGTATCGGTCGTACGGGTCGTGCTGGCTCCAAGGGTACTGCATACACTTTGTTCACCAAGGACAACTCAAAGCAGGCCCGCGATCTTCTTACTGTTCTCACCGAGGCAAAGCAAGAGATTGATCCCAAGCTCGCGGAAATGGGCCGTCCTCGTGGCTATGGCGGCGGCGGTGGCCGTTTCGGCCGCGGCGGTGGAAACTACCGTGGCGGTTATCGCGGCTACGGTGGCCGCGGCGGTGGCTATGGCTCGTATCGTCGTCCCCAGGCTTCAACTGGATCCAACACTGCGCCATTGGGTAACAAGACCCGCTTTTAAAATGCAATAGTCAGATAATTATTTTGTTTTTAATTTACCAATCCCATCCTTCCGTATCGTCGTCGGGCTCTAGATTAATTGCAGCTGGTTTTGATGCCGGCGGGGCTGCCTGCTGGCCTGGTCTGGCTGCTGGTTTTACAGCTGGTTTGGCAGTTGGCTTTGCAGCTGGTTTGGCAACTGGTCTAACTGATTTGGCCGCCATTGGGCGAAGTGTTCTTGTTTTGGGCTTAGGAGCAGGTTCCGGTTCCCAGTCCCAGTTTGACTGGAACACAGCAGTTTCCTGAACAATTCCTGTTCCTGCAGAGGATTTGACTGCTGTATTCTCCGTGGCGGGTGCGGCTGCGGCGGCAGAGGGCTGCGACGCTGGCAAGGCGGGCGAAGGGGACGGAGCAGCGGCTGCTTCTGATGATCCCCAAAGATTCATTATACTTGACACAGCACTAGGGGCAGCAGACGCTGTGCTTGCATTACTAGCAGCACTAGAAGGCCGATCTCCAACATCTCCCAACTCTTCAGAGGCCTTTTTGATGCGATCAACTAGCATATCAAACACCCTCTGCGCAATTTGTCTTACCTGGAGACTGGTATCCAATAATGCAGACGCAGCAGGTCCAACAAGTTTTTCAGCACACTCTTTTGGAGTAAAGTGCTGCGAAGTTTTTTGCAGGCCCTGTAACGCTGCCATGCGAACTGTGGTGGTAGGGTCACGAAGACCGCGGGCCAAAGCTGTTACAATTACCGAAGAGCGAGTCGACTTGTCCATCAGTTCCGACAGGTCACATAATAGCACAATAGTGGCCGCACGAATGTCCTCTTCGGCGTCAGAGTTTGTGCGGGCCAGCATTCGTAGTAAATCGCCATTAATTTGCCGGCTTGAAAGCTTTGGTGCAATGTATTTGACAGCTTGCAAGCTTTCTCGGCGAATCACCGCTTCTGTGTCGACAAACCCAGTACCCATTGCTGGGAAAACCTTTGACTGTACATCCCGGTCAGGGACTTTGTCAATAAAGCTTGGCAGGGATCTCAATAGCTCGAGTCTCACGGCACGGTCCATGGATGCAAACAGTTTCATGATTACTGGAACAGCCACGTTTTGGAATTGTGGGTTTTCCAAACGACAACAAAGAGCCAGGGCAAGTCTGATTCCGTCAATTCCTCCTTTGCCGGCATCGACTGCCTTTGAAAGCTCTGGGAGAACTTTGCCGCCAACAAATGCAGCGGGAATATCATTATAGCATTGGTTGAGGGTTATGAGCAGCTGGCTGAATTCGATTTCATTCAAAGCATAAGGATTAGAAGCCCACTCAGCGACTCGGACCAGCGGTGTTTCAAGGGCCTCTTTGGAGGCAGCAGCTTTTACAATTGTGCTTCTTTTACCACTTGCCATTAACGAGGAAATAATCGGCTGGATTTGAGCCGGCATATTGTCGCCCAGCATCGCTCTTGCCAGGCGACCGAATTGCCACGAGTCGACAGCAAAAGCTGCTCGATCGCCACCGGAAGAAACAGCCTGCCACCCTTGGCGTTGGATTTCTGGGGGGCAATTCTGCTCATTTTTGGGTAGTAGCGAACCATAACTCCACAGCGGGGGCGAATCGCTAGGCACGAACCCCGCCAACTCGAATCCTCCAAGCGCCCATTCGCCGTTAGCTGTTTCAAAAAGCGAGCTCAGCTGGATATTACAGTGTGCACACTTTGTGTGTTTATGCAAATTGTCCAAAGTGTCCAAAACCGTCTGCAGGGCCCATTGTCGCGCCATCGGGGAAAACTCGTTCAAGCGAGCAGAAACGGGCCGTACTGGCTCGGTGGCGATTGTAACCTGGCCCGACGAAGTGGCGTAAGAATCAATAAGCTTGAGCAGGCCAGGGATTCTCAGTTTTCGAAGCATTGCGCTCATGTTCTCTGCCAACGGCTGCTGGCCACGCGACGCCAAGTCTGTCGCGTCAAAAACAAACAACGTGCATGGCCTGCCGTCTTTCTTTATGGTTCCTTCGTAGATCTTCCAAATACGAGTGGCCTCCTCCCCAGCATCCAATGGTGCACCCTGCGAAAACGGCGAGGAGCTCAGGCTAAAGCTACTTAGCGTTTTGGTGACGAAATCCATGGCTGAGTCAACGGCGAGTCGGATCAAAAAGTAGTGTCCGGGTTGTAGGTGAAAAAGCACTGTTTATACTATTGGTTGATACATATAGAACCACTCCGAGCCTTTACCCCCGCCCTCCCGCTCGCTCCACCGCCTGCCCTCGCAACCCACCTTTAACCCGTCGCTGACCTCATCTTTTTTTTTTTCTACACCATGTCGCAGGACGTTTCGATGGCCAGCGAGCCAGAGGTAAAGATCAGCGACAAGATCAGTATTCTGCCGGGAGCGTCAGCGGACGGGTCGGCTGTGTCGTTTGAGATCAAGCAGGAAGACCACACACTGGGCAACGCTCTGCGATACATGATTATGAAGAACCCGGACGTGGAGTTCTGCGGCTACTCGATCCCCCATCCCAGCGAGGCCCACTTGCATTTGCGCATCCAGACATACGGCGAAACCACTGCCATCGAGGCTCTGCGCAAGGGGCTGACGGATCTGACCGCTGTGTGCGATCACGTCGAGGACGTTTTCCGGCAAAAGGTCGCCGACGGTAATTACGCAGATACTGCACCTTAAAAAGAGAAATAAGTTATGATATTTAAAAAAGGCCAGTGCTAAATTAGTGCTTGTGCACGCATGGGGGGGGTGGTTAGTGTAGCCATGTAGATGAGGGAAGAAACATGCTGCGTGCGCTAGGGAATCGGCTCCTTTTCGTTTTCAGCGTCTGGGTTTGCGACTCGCAGCACTCTTCTGGAGTAGTCTTCGTGGTCGGCGAGGCTGATTTGCGACTCGGACTGGTCCCAGTGCATGTACATTTGCGTTGGTTCCATGCGTTGGTCGAAGATGGGCACGAGATTCGTGTCTGCATCACTGACGCCCGAGGCCTGGCGCCGGTGGTAAAAGGATCCCTTGGGATGGAAGCCGGAGTGCTCGCTGGAGCCGTGGGGCGATGCCAGCACCGCCAGGTCGTGTCTTTTCTTCTGGCGTCTTTTGAAGAGAAAAAAGAACAGCAACCCAGCGATCAGCACCACGCCGATGCCCACGCCAACAAACGTGCCTGCGACCTTGCCGCCGTCGCTCCAGAATGTATCTTTATGGTGCGCTGGAGTTCCTGTTGGCTCGCTAGCTGTTGCATTGAACGAACTAGAGGACGTAGGCACAACGGTCACCGTCTTGATTATGCTTGCGTTGACCGTGGTGACAGATATTGAGGGCTTTTCTGTGGTTGTTGGGTCCTCTATTGAAGAGGAGGACGTCTTAGACGTGGTAGACGATGCCTGCACCGTCGACGAGATCTCTGTAGTCAATGAGGACTGGTATGAATCCACAGGGACCGTTGCTGTTACGGACGTCGTTGCCGTGGTGGACATCAAGGACGTTTGAGTGACGGTTGCCAGCGTGGAAACAACAGCGACCTTGCTCGAGGAGGAGGAAGAAGAGGCCGCGTCCGAGCTGGGAGACGACGTTCCACTGGCCTGCCCGATTTGTGCATAACCGTACAGGCCCTTGTCTACGTTTCCGCAGCGGTCGGTTTTATAGCCACCGCACGGGTCGCTGCACTCGGAAACCGAGACCGTGTCGTCAGGAGCGTAGTTGGAACACCAACAGTACAGCCCCTTCATGATAGCAAAGGCATAGCCTGAGCAATGGGTGGTGCAGGCGCCATAGGAATTGTACTGAAGAAAAAAGCCCTGCCCGCTAGCGGTGTTTGAGGAAGAGCAAGAAGTCAATGGATTTGTTATTTGGCCGCTGCCTTGAGCCAGGGCAAGCGCAAGAAGCCATAGCGATACTAGTGAATGGTATAGTCTCATTCCAGTTGCATACGATACTCTACGCGTTGCCACCCTAAATAGCTGAAACTAGTTCGAAACCGTAGGCTTTTCGGGAGTGCCGTGTACAATGCGCAGAAATCGGGTCGAAAAGCGAGGGAATGTTGTTGAACCAGAAGCCGGGTTGCCGCTTGGGATCAGAAAAATATTAAAATAAGAACAGAACAAAACCCATATCTCCCGATTATGCCGCTTTGTCTTTTCACCCACCAAATGCCAGGTGCAACCCTTACCCTCGGCACTTTGCTCCACCCAAGGAATGTATGGCCTGCTCGGTTAGACTGCGGAGATGGCGCAGAGCGACCTCGTTGGCGCGGCTTTGCCTGGTGTGGCTGCGCCAGAGGGGGCGCCGGGCCTTTTAATTTGGTTCTCTGGATAATTTCGCCGAAATCGTAGTACTTTCTTAATATTTTTTCGAGTCGACTGTGTCACCAGGTAATAGTCCCTGCTTAGCGTCAGACAGGTGCAAAGCTCTGCATGGGGTCAGGGTAGTCGCATGAGAGGCATGTCGCCTGGACGAGGCAGGGGCGGAGAGTAAGAGGCTGCAAATCCGCTTCGCCAACCTGCTTCGAGACGTATGCAAGGCACACTGGTGCCTCGGAGGCTGTGGGCATGCGACGCCGTGGGTTTTTGGACTAGACTATACGCTTAACATTAAATAGAGGCCGGCTGCGAGGCCGCCGAACTGCGCAAGGGTCGTGATCGCCGGCCGGCCATTGGACTCGATCTCCAGCAGTTCGGGGAACACTCCCATGGTGGCGATGTAGAGGAACACTCCGGCCAGCAGCGGCTCGGTCACGTCCTCGAGCTCGACGTCCAGAGGGATGGGTAGCCCGAGCCCGTATCCGCGGAATCGCTTCACAGACCCGTACAACAACGCGCCGAACGCCAGGCCGGACGAGGTGGCAAGGTGGGCGGTCAGTGCGGACGCTTTGGACATGCCCGTTTGAATCAGGATGGCAAAGTCGCCGAACTGGTGCGGAACCTCGTGTGAGCACATCAGCACAAACGACAGGATACCCTTCTCCTTGGACACATCAAATGCGAGAGCCAGTGCTGCGCCGTCGACCATGTTGTGCAAGAAATCCGCGGCAACGTTGACCAGTGCAAACGCTCCGCTGCGATGATCCTCGCTGTGCACGACAATTTCAGTGTCGGTGTCAACGACATCGAGCTCTTGCCCTTGCTCTTGCTCTTGCTTCTTGCGCCGCTGAACCCCGTCCTCGCTTGCAACCGCCGTGCTTTCTGCCCGCGCCTCGCTTAGCACCGTCGTGTGCCGGTGTGCATACACATCATGGCTGTGCGAGTGGCCCGACGTGCCCTGCGACTGAGCAATATACTTGCCCATGTATGCAAATAAAATAAATGCTATAATTGGCGCGATCCGCATCCAGGGCGGGCCGGCAAAAACCGCAGGCAGCAAATGGAACATGACATTCCCCAGCAAGCATCCGGCAGCAAACGCAACCAGAAAGCTCAGAGTCAGACCCTTGAGCGGTGGCATGATCCATAAACTGGTTGTCGAAACCAGCGTCACCAGTCCAATGGCCAGTAACGAGTTGGGCACAGGAGAGAACCTGAACAGCTCGCGCAGCAACGGGAACTCGGTGATCCCAGTGGCCAAATCGCTTCGATCGCCCAGCTCTTTCAAATGACCACTGTGATCATGCTCTCCGCCCGCTCTCAAATGGCCGTGCGAGCCATGGGCCTCCACAAGCGCTACAACCAGCCAGTAAAGCATGACAAATGCCCGGCTAAGAGCAACGGCAGGCGGAAAAAAGCAAAAAATAAAGAGTTTAACCTTGAAAAATTACACCATTTACATAACTTAGGCCGACCAGAACTTGTACTGGTGCGGTGTATCCAAACTCACTGGGCGCAGGGTCGGGTTTGGCACTTTGGCTGCTCTTGCCGGCTCCGAAATGTCCTGGAGAACTTGCGACTTTGGACATTCCCGGGCGAGTTGCACCGCCTGCTCGGCAAGCCGCACCGCCTCCTCCCCAGACTCCGCAGTGGCCTGACGGAGGGTCGTCAGCACTTTGTCGGCCTGCTGGTTCAGCGACAGCCGGTCGAGATACAGCTCCAGTCTGGCCGTGTCGAGTTCTCGCTTTTGTGCCTTGAGAACATCCTCCAGTTTGTCGAATTTGGCCATCTTGAGCTCGAGCTTTTCTAGCTGCATCGACACTGCCGATGAGAGCAACGGAAGCTGCTGCCCGTGAACGTCTTGCAGGGCCTTGGCTGCTTTATCGCCGACGGCGGCAGGATTCTTGGCCAGCAAATCCCGAATTTCTGAAAGCAGCTGGACGGTGGAATTATTGTCGGCTCCAGAGCTTTCCTCGACCTTCACCTCCTCAGCACCAGCTAGCCGGCGCCGCAACCGAGAGGATGCGTTCTTGACAAGATACGGATCTTCAATAGGCAGCTGCAAAAACTTTGTCACACAGGCAGCAGAGCTTCTCGTGCCCACATGGTAGGCAACTGCATCCCAGTCGTAGTCGTACATTTCAATACCCTCGAGTAGCAGTAACAACTCCTGGTCGGTCCATTGTTTGTTCTCAAGCTGCAGCTGGGTCATTTTAACATAGTCGTCACTAGTAAAGTTGCTGGGGAAGAGGCCATTGGTGAACGCCATGGCCGAAATTAGTTGCTTGGATTGCAAATTATGGTAACGGACCTTCGACACATCCTCGCCGCAGGTAAAGCAAGTATATTGACGCGTGGTCAGGGCAGCAAACTTGCGCTGATTCTCGTCAAGCAGGGCCATTGCGTCAGCGCTAGAATCGTACACAGAACGGCGCAGCTCGAGATTCAGCGGTGTCGTATTGAGTTCAGCCTTTTCACTGCTGGCTTTCGCAAGCGTCTCCGTAGCGGGCAGTTCTTTACCATCCGTAGACACTTCGGATCCACTCAGCGGCATGGCCGGCTCCAGGCCCCGTGGGGTATCCAACAAAATCTGGAAATGACCAGTGTACTGAGGGCCGACCAACGAGGGTCGCGTCTCGGGATCAATTTGATAGTTGATAAGTCCCCATGCCTCTAAAAAGCGGTGCACACGCATGATAGCACCAACGTCACCGGCCAAATTACGACGACACGCGGTAACTGTCAAATATTCAGTAGGGTTGAGGCGGTAGGTGTCGATCATAAAGTTGCGGTACTGGAGATAGACTTCCGATGTCTTTGTACGATTCTTTTCACTGAAAAACTCAGGAAGACCCTTTTTCTCGACCTCGTGAATAATTTCACGATCAAACCACCGCGCAAATGAGGGAATAATCACCCGGTAAACTTGACGTGCCAGGTAATGTTTGGACCTCTCTTCAATCTGAGCCTGGAGCTGGGCCTCGTCCTGGGCGGGCTCACTGCTGTTAGATGGCTGCACGGGTTCTGTGCTGGTAACCGCTCCGGAAGCAGGCGTCTCAGGCTCTGACTTTACTACTTCCTCCATTTTGTCACCCATATTGCCGTTGGTAGAAAAGGTGATTATGTCATGTGGTCCGATACCATTTTCTTTGGCAGTGGTGGCAGGGGTACCTCAAATCGATCGTTTTATTGAAAAATATTTGTTCGCCAATTGGGACAACAAATAGTTGTTTTATCCATTTTTTGTGGCTGGTTCCAATTTCTTACATTTTTCATCGCTATTCCTCGCTTACTTTACTCCAACCCTTACTGCATTTTGGGTTACTTCACTGACGCGTATGGATCTCGATACGCCACCCCTTCTTCCGTCTTCAGACGGCGGATCGCCGGATAATGGCGTGGAAAATATGGATTCAGACGCGAGGCTGCAACGCATAAAGTATTTGGTCGAACAGTCAAAACTATTTGCTCGGTTTCTCACGGAAAAACTGCCCCAAGACCCGGCGCCTGAACCCGCAAAGGAGCCTGCGAAGGAGCCACCGCAAAAAGTAGACAAACCCCGACAGTCAACGCGAGCTACAAAGCAACTTTCTCTGGATTCGTTTTACAAGTCCACGGACAAGGCACCGGTAGCTGAGGCTGACCAGCCAAAGGGATTCCAGGCCCCCAAATCTATAGTTGTGAGTCTGCACCCGCACCAATTGATTGGCGTGGAGTGGATGATCACTCTTTATCAAAACGGACTCAATGGAATTCTCGCCGACGAAATGGGACTCGGTAAGACAATCCAAGTGGTGGCATTTTTGGCATATCTACTGGAGCAGGGGATTTCGGGACCATTTTTGGTAGTCGCCCCGCTCTCTACCATCAAAAACTGGGAGAAGGAGTTTGAAAAGTTCTGCCCATCCATCAAAACGTGCTGTTATTACGGGGCTCCGCCAGCTCGTACCAAATTGCGACGTCAGTTCATTAAAAAGGGCGAGTTGCAGATCCCGGTTTTCATCACCAGCTACGAAATCGTCATGCAAGACGCTAGATTCCTCAACAAGATTAAATGGAAATATGTCATGGTCGACGAGGGCCACCGATTGAAAAACATTAATTGCAAACTTATGCGCGAGTTAAAAAAATACCCCTCCGCAAATCGCATGCTCTTGACTGGTACACCTTTACAAAACAATCTACAAGAGCTGTGGTCTCTTTTGAACTTTTTACTGCCCGATGTATTCACAGATTTGGATATTTTCCACTCTTGGTTTGAGAATGGAGGTGGTAAGGCAATTGGGGAAGGCGATGAGTCTCAGTTGGTGACATCCCTTCACTCAATCCTTCGCCCATTCTTACTCCGACGACTCAAGTCTGAACTTAATCTTAATCTGCCGAGAAAACGCGAATACACTATCTTCACTGGTCTTACTCCTCAGCAGACAGAGCTGTATGACCATATTCTCAAAGGAAATGCAAGAGATTATGTCGTTAGCTTGATTCTTAAGGAACGAAATCAAACAATTGAGGACAAAGGAGACGGTCCCCGTAAAAAACGCCGCATAGATTACAAGGAGTTGGAGTCCGATGTGGAGTTTGATGAGGAGAGCGAATCCGAGTCCGAATCCGAGCCTGAGGAATCCCTGGATACAACTACGCATCAGATGGTCAAGTTAGCCCACCAAGAGCTTCGAGGAAAGAGGTTTTCTAATATGATCATGCAACTCCGGTTGGCCTGCAACTCTCCTTTCCTGTTTTACTTCCCGTGGACTGAAGGGCCAGTAGATGAGAGAATCCAAAGCTTTTCGGGTAAGATGATTGTTCTAGATGCCTTGGTTACTCGGCTAAAATCCCAGAACCACAAAGTTCTTATTTTCAGTCAATTCACAAAAATGCTTAATCTTATCGAACTTTGGGCCGGTATGAAAAACTACAGATACTTAAGAATTGACGGAAGCACAAGTCAGGTGGAGCGTCAAGAAATGATCGAGGAGTTTACTCCTACATCCGATGTCGATCTGTTCCTTCTCTCTACACGGTCAGGTGGCCAAGGTATCAATCTCACCGCTGCCGATACCGTCATTCTTTTCGACAGTGACTGGAACCCCCATCAAGATCTACAGGCTATGGATCGCGTTCACCGCATTGGCCAGACTAAACCTGTTCTTGTGTTTCGGTTGGTAACAGGTGACACTATTGAACAAAGCCTCTTAGAGCGGGCTAACGACAAACTTGAGCTCGGAAATTTGGTGATCGAAAACGGACGCTTCAAAGGGCTTGGTGTCAGTCAACTTGAACAAATAGAGAGCATGGGACGCCAGCTCCAGCAGCACAAAGTAAAGTTTGACGGATCGCTCAGCGTGAGCCCTGAGGATTTTGATCGCATGTTAGATAGGAGCAATGAAGCATACGACTTTGCTTTAGAGCATCCACAACTCAGTGAGAACATATACTGTAGATAGGCGAATTCTTTTTTTTATTTTTATTAAAAAAAACCTCAAAAAAACAAAAAATGCAGGTCCCAACCGGGAATTGAACCCGGGACCTCTCGCACCCTAAGCGAGAATTATACCACTAAACCATCGGGACGACCTGCTGAAAACCTAAGGATTTTGTTATTTATGTATCGTATGATTTATATATATTTTTACGTGAAATGAAGTATATGCATTAAGTGAACGTTTTAACCTTACCATAAGGTAGTATTCTGCTTCAATTTTATGAATAAGACGTGCCCCTTCCCCTCCCCCCCCGTTCATTCTAGGTACGATTACCGGTTTTTCATTCTGAAACCCCCGAGGAGAAGTTTTAGAAATAGTCGTAAATGGTTCAACCAAAATCAACGGCGTCAGCTCAGCTTTTGTAGTACTTTAAGTCTGCTCGAAAGTGATATTGTTCCGGGAATATTCGTGCGTAGGAAACTGCAAACATACAAGCGAGCTGTGTTAATACCCCCGATACAACTGCCGATCTCATTGGCCTGTATAGTGGCTACAATCGTTGTACACTTATTGTTCTCATTGCGCTAGTATTTCAGTGGGTCACGTTTGGGTGCACTGCTTTGACTGCAGACGTAACGCACCCTGTTGGCCTGAGTCTTTCAGGAGTAGGTTGACATATCCGACTATAGCCCGACCGGTTCAAATGGCATAGGCATGTCGACAGATAGCAGCATATAACGTACCAAAACAGCCCAGAAAAAACAAAAATAGCAGGTCCCAACCGGGAATTGAACCCGGGACCTCTCGCACCCTAAGCGAGAATTATACCACTAAACCATCGGGACGACCTGCTTGTCAAATGTAGGTAGTCTACCGTTATATAGGCAGATCCACCAAAAACTAGTTTCTTTCTCCTCAAGTATTATCTGTTCTGCAACGATATATTCGACAATTCGACCTCGATATTCCCAGCATCCATTCCAGTAGATTATTCAGGGAGTCTGATGGATTCAGTGTCCATTTTTAAGCGCGTTTACCGATTCGTTTCGGGCAAAGATAAGCCCATGAGCAGTATGAATATGTATAAACACGCTTTATTCGCGACTCTGTCTTCTGGAACCTCATTATCAGTTTATGCGATAGGATGAAAAAAAAAAAAAAATTTAGCAAAAAAATAGCAGGTCCCAACCGGGAATTGAACCCGGGACCTCTCGCACCCTAAGCGAGAATTATACCACTAAACCATCGGGACGACCTGCTTGTAGGTTGGTGCATGGTAATCATTATATACCAAACTTTAAAAATTAAGATTCTATAACCTGTTGAGTACTTCTAATGCATAATTTCTGTATTCGTTGCTCTTTACTAGCTGCAACCACTATATTGTTTTATAAAACAACCTCTCGGCACCCGTATATTGCGTATTTCGAGTTACTGAAGCCTTCAGGTGGTCGCGTTCAAATTTGGTGTTACCGCTACCGTTTTGTTTCCCTATTTGGAATGTGTTTAGCACCAAAATATCCTGACCTTGTATTTATCTACCCCTTTCCGGTTCATATTTGTGAGTCGTTAGTATGTCGCTAGCTGTCTGTTGTGACATATTTTTGCGCTTGTTTTATAACGTCAAGGTCCATTTCAGTAAAGTAGTGCTGACTCTTTTTTTATTTCTTTCTGTACATATCGTAGTCGGCCCTATGCTTTTGATGTTAAAAGGTTTTGAGACAAAAAAAAAAAAGTTGTTGCTGTGTTACTATGGAGATTGATTAAGTTGCGCAAGCGATTGTAAGAGGAGGGTGGTTGAACCAGTCGACTACAATCAAAAAAGAGAGAGTTTACCATTAGGCATTAGGTGGCTTGAAATGACCCACAACTACTGAATCAATATCCACGAAAAGGGGATCACGACGATGAAGGTGGTTATGAGCGAAATCAGAAAGATCAGCAATAGCTTTATTCAAGCCATCAGGGTTAACACCAAACGATGCAGCCAGCGACTGGAACTTGTTTAAATTAAAAGTCAGCATATAGACTTGTTCAGCGGTGATCAAAGCCGACGGGTCATTGGACTGAGAGAGAGCTTTCGTCATTAAGTTGGAACCGGCAGTAACAATATTGCTCAAAGGACCAATCCAGGCAACATTAGACACACTACTGGGTCGTCCATGAAGAAGATCATCCAGAACACCACTAGCATACCCGGCGGCATACTGAAGACCATCAGAGAGCTTTCCCATGGTAGCCTTGGTTTGGTCACCTAAATTCTGCAGGAAACCGAGAACATCACCAGTTACATCCTGAAGGACAGTCTGGTCCAAAGAGTCAGAGGCGGCCAAAACCACCGGTTTGCCAGATTCATGATAGTCAGGTCGGTGCGCAATGGGAGAGGCGGTCATTTTGCTTGGGACACCAAGCGAAGCACTGGTCTCTTTGACCCCTTCAGATGCTGCACGCGAGAAGGAGAACAACAAAAAAGCAGGAACTAAAACAGCGAAACCTTTCATTGCAGTACGGGGAACGAGGCGAAGGGGCCTCTTATGGATCTACAAATACGGTTTAAGTTGAGCGCCGTTATTCCCAGGTGATCAAAGTTAAAATAGAGTGCTTAAAATATGACGCTTTCAAACAAACAATAATAAAAAAACTTTAAAAAGAAAAAAGTAGAACCGAAAGTCAAAAAAAAAAAAAACTGCAGCACCTTCTGTTCTCACATGGTCTCCCACTGTAATACTTGGTAAGGCTCTCAGATGGTTCAATAGGACTGATCGGACGGGAAGTCTTGCTTTCATCTGGATATGGCCGCAGCCGCAAGTAATTTCTTAAGCACATATATGTACCTACATAAAAATAAAAATCACCACAGATATTTCTGAAATGGCCATGGAACTTGTTGGAGCAACAGAAATTGCCCTCAGATGGTGTCTGGTATATTACCGCTCAGTGCTTCATGGTGTCATCACCTTACTCCCAACCGGTGGCTGCCGCAATGTTCGAAATCGGAGCACGATACGATATTCTGGCAGCTATTTACGAACACTTTGTGACTACGGCAAATTACGACGCTGCGCGGGTGTTTGCGTCAGAAGCGGCGGTGCCGAATCCAGAGTTAGGGATGGTGTTGGTGCGGCACGAGGTAAAGAGAGATATCGAAGGAGGCCGAATTGAGGCCGCTCTGGAGACTCTGCAGCAAGAGTACCCAGCAATTGTGGAAGAGCAGTCAGCGTTGCTATTTGAACTAAAGCTAATGCAGCTTATCGAGCTAATTCGAGCCAGCGACTTTGACGCAGACCCCGCATCAATTGATCCGGCCCTGGAGTACGCACGGGCCCAGGCTCTTCCGTTGGTGAAATTGGATCAAGCAGAGGACGCTAAGCGGATGGTACAATTGCAAAAAGTCATGGCCCTGGTCTGCATTGATGCGAGCAAAGGGCTGCCGACGGTGTTGGAAGAGCTGCTGGATCAGAGGACCCGGGATGAGCTGGCGGTCAGAGTGAATGGCGAAATGCTAAAGTGCCATGGTAGCAAAGAGATGTCACGCCTGGAAAGCCTTCGACTGTTACGAGATATGCTCCGTAAAAGTGTCTGCAGCGCATCGTGCAACGACTACAGAGTGGAGGGCATCGACTTTGTAGAGTTATAAACTATTGACAAAATATCTATTATGCAAAGAAAACACAAAACCACCTATTTCTTCTTGTTCTTTCTCTTCTTTTTCCCGCCAGTGGGCTTTGGGCTTGGACTAGGGCTGGGACTCGACGGGGCTGTTCTGCCCTCGTTGGCGGCGTCAATATCGGCGTGGTACTCGTGGAATTTGTTGATCAGAGCCTTGCGTTCGAGTCTGAGGTCCTGGGAGCCTGAAACGTCCACATTGTCTAGCTTAATAGTGTTCTGGAGAATGATCTCGCTGAGCAGCCGGTACTCCTTATCGCGGGCCTTCGCGTCAGCTGGTGGAGATTTGATAAATGCATTGATCCGGTCCTCTCCCAGTTCCGCATCTACAGCCTTGGCGACAGCGTCTAGTTGCTGCTTGGGAGAAAGGGGGGCCGTCGTTGCTTTCGGGGCCGGAGCAGGCGCTGGATCGGCTTCGTCAGTGCGCTTGAAGACAGCAACCACTGTGCCGCCATTGATAAGTCCGTAGTCTTCCAGGGACGCCTTGTTATTGGACATCTTTCGCTGCGGCTTGAGCACAAATAAACTAAGGTGAGTGACCGGCACTTTGAACTGCTTGGCTAGCATGTTGCGCAGAGATCCAACCGTCACTGAGTTGTCCGTATAGTCTTCGGCAGTGAATGTGATCCGGTATTCTTTCTTTTCGTAGTTTACCACAATATACTGGATTTTGGGGCCGCCAAAAAGCGAAGCCAGCCGGCCGAACATTTGGTAATCTGTCTAACTCTCCAATGTCAAACATTATAGGCTTTATTTGTGTAAGTAACCAGAGAAATTGGCGGGCCACAGGGCTAACCAGATCGTGCTAGCATTAATATGCTTGATACCCGTGCTTATATTGGTTGGCGCGGAAATAGCCTACATTATTGAAGGGCTGAAGACCCCGGAGGATCGCCGGCCCGCACACGAGAAACAGGAGTACCAGGACGAGCCTGAGGATGCACAAAACCACTGACCCACTGTGATCCGCCCCTGCAGAATTGAGTTGGCTCCTCAATTGCTCGCCTGCACCCACTCGTACCGAGCCACGCCCCACTCCGTGTCTGCGCCGCAAACTGCCGCAAAACGTCGAAACTACACCGCCCTCTCCCCACGAGCAGGACAAACTGTCTATTTATACCGCCCGCTTGCCAATTCGTTCAGGCCGTTGGACCAATTACCCTACCTACCCATACCTATATCCTCTGACAAAGCAACGGTCAACTTTTTTCATCCAAAATGGCCGGAACTCCTCTACCTTCGAACGATTCCTATCTGGGCTCGATTACCGCCTACCTGAACGGCCCCGCTCGCCCCATTATCGTCAACACGGCGTTGTTTGTTGCCGGCGTTGCCTTCATCCAGTCCTCCCTCATGGAGTACCTTGCCCCTCAGCTGTAAATATTCTTCCCCCATCACTCTTTGCGTAGCGCCCGGAATGCCTGGTCAAACATCGTTCGCAGCTCCTTGTAGCTTATAACCATTCGCACCGTCTCGTCGTGTGACACCAGCAGGATGTTTTCGTCTATTCCGGCGTCCAGCTTGTTCAGTGCCGCCAACGCGTGGGCCAGGTCCAAGGACGGCCGCTCCTGGTCCGTCACCTGATGAAATACGTAGTCCATAAACAATTTGAGTGGATACTGCTCTCCACTGGGCGCCCAGGTGGGGTCGTTAGCCTGCTCGGCCCACCCCATGACGAACTCCAGTTTGCACAGCAGTCTCACAAGCCGGGCGTTTTCGAGCTCGTGGGAAAGCGTTGCTTCGAGATCGTCGACTGCAGCAAACGCAGTGTCCACAACACGAAGCAGGTGCGGGGCCAGTGCCCTCATGACTTGGGCCTCCAGCGTATCCCGCTCGCCATGCTCGTTGACCACCGAGTCGGCCGGAGTGGGCTCGTAGTCGAGCAGCAGGTCAACAAACGCCATCATTGACGGCGAATACTTTGACATTGCAGGATGTCTGGCATCAATGCTGTCCTTGGTTGAAGACGAGCCAGCAGTGAGCTTCAGCAGCATTTCACCAAGCTGGTACCAATCTTGGCGTTGGCGTTCGATGGTGGGAGGCAGTGTATCGTACTCCAAGACATCCCGCAGTCCGCAAGACCCTATCCGCAGCCGATTCTTTTGTGTCACAAGGATGCTGCGACAATCCAGCACGCCAGCAGCCAGATTGTGACGGTGGATAGCGTGCAATCCGCCGGCCACCTGGGTAACAAACGACCACAGCAGACCCTCGGGCAGTGTTCCCGAGCTGTATGCAGTCTCTATGGGTTCTGCAAGCGGGTAGTACTCGTATACAATCACCAATGAGCTATCACCGAATGCCACGGTTGTGAATGCCTCTACCACGCCAACCAGGGCACTAGAGGCGACCCTCACCCACTTTGCAATGAACGACAGGGCCTGCTCGCGGGGCAGCTCGTAGTTTTCGACGCGGAGCAAACAATAAGTCCGACCGTCTGTGTTTGAAATCGCCTTGTATCGCCACATCTTCTGGCCAAACCGGCCCTTTGAATCCAGCTTCGTGTCAAGCGGCATCAGCGAGTGGTACACATGCACGAATTCAGGCAAAGTTGTGGTAGGTAAGACCTGTAAAATAGCATCGTTGCGTCTCTGCAGCATTTCCCGTAAATCAGAGCTAATAAACAGGTCCTGAGCCGCCCGCTGATGGGCCTCGAGTGCCGGCCGCACCCGGAACGGAGTGGGCGCATATAGATGGTACTGAAGAGGATGCAGCGGTGCATGGTACAGCTGGTTATACTCCGACAGCATCGGAGAAAACTTTGGAGTCAAATCGCTAAATACACCGACCTCGGGCACCGCATTTGAACCAGCAATTGACGCTGCCGGCCCAGTTGGCACTCCTGCAGGGCCAGTGGGGGGAATGAGACCTGAGTTCGGCACCAATGGCGAAGACGAGGCAGCAGGACCAGATGGAGCGGCCCCAGAGGGTGGTCTCTTTGGACTGAACACGGACGTCGGGTTGAATTTCTTGGCCTCGACCCCTTCTGAGGATGTTGGACGCAACGCCGCGGCCTGACCAGCAGAACTACCTGGACCAGGGCTGCTTGCACCACTTCCACCTCGACGATCAGCTACTGTAAAGCTGCGGTTGGGATTGAATCGTGATTTAGGATTGAACCGTGCCTTGGGGGACCTGCCTGGGCTACCGTTGCGCGCTGCGCTGTTCAGAGGACTGCCGGTCGACGGCCCCGATCCGCCGCCGTCTGTGCCTAGCTCGCCCATCGAAGCACTCAGCCCACCCGCGGCAGACCCGCTAGACGGCCTGAACGCTGGCGAATCCGCCCTTAGCGATTGCGCCCTCTCGTCACTTTTGGACATGCTGCTGACAAAACACTAACCTTCCATCCTCTGCCATCCATGTACCTTGTTACCGGCACATCATCGGGAATTGGGCTTGAAATTGCCAAATACTTGGTTTCACAGGGCGCCATGGTCGTGGGTGTTTCACGGCGCCAGAGCCCGCTCGAGCACGAGCGCTTCCGGTCGCTGAGTGGCGATGTCTCCGACCCCAAGCTGCGCAACCAGATCGTCAGTGCGTTGGGCGGCCAATTGGACGGTGTGGTTTTCAATGCCGGCGTGCTGGAGGCTGTGACGACTCTGGCTGCTGCTGACGCCGACGCGTGGCGACAGGTGTTCGACATCAACCTGTTTTCCATCGTGGGCATGCTGCCTGATCTGATTCCTCTACTGCGCAAGTCGCACGGTAGAGCCATTTTTGTGTCCTCGGGTGCTTCAACCTCTGCGTACCAGGCCTGGGGCGCCTACGGTGCTTCGAAGGCTGCTCTCAACCATCTCAGCATGACGCTGGCCAAGGAGGAGCCGGACATTATCTCGGTTGCCGTAGCGCCCGGAGTGGTGGGAACGGAAATGCAAAAGAGAATCCGCGAGACCTACGCTGCGTCCGATCATATGAAGAAAGAGGAGGCCGAGAAATTCCACTCTCTGCACCAAAACAAGCAGCTCGTCAACCCCGAGGACTCGGGACGGCTTTACGGCAACCTGGTTATGAAGGCATCCGCGGATCTCTCCGGCAAGTACCTACGCTACTATAGCGACGAGCTCCTTAAACCTTACAATTAAATACATTTTATAGTCAACCAACCTCCGCCATCGATTTGTCATGCGCACTGGTAGAGTTCTTGCAGCGATTCGACCAAAAGTGGCCAGTCCGGCGGCTGGGGCGGCGCCAAAATTCAGAATAGGACCGTGGGGGATTGCTTTCGTGTTGGGCGGACTAGCGTTTGCCAGCTGGGTCGCCAAGCCGTCGAAGGTTATGCCTGTGTCTGCCATGGACACTTTCAAACCTCGCATCGCGATTGTGTTTGTGCTGGGAGACTCGAAGGGCCAGGCCAAAGAATTCGCAGGTGCCAATGGCTACGAGTATATTGACGCACTCAAGAACCCGCAAGAAGCCATGGGGCCGCTGGTTCAACAGGGACACACCAAATTCATAATCGATCACGTCCCTGTGGGAGACCTGGCGCACTTTGAGCAAAACGTCGTCGAGTGCGATCTTGCATTGGACTTTGACGGCTCTGCACCCCAGTACCTCAAGAAAACAAACAGAGTAGAGGAAATGGAATCCAAAACCGTTTTGGATGCACTAAAAGAGCGCAACCTCGTTTAGCCCACAGCAGCTGCAAACCTATGCATTTCTGTGTACCCTGCATATCGGCGGTATTTTTCAACCGACTATTAAAGCTCCCGTCCTACCACACACTTTTGCCCCCAAATGTATCTTGTCACAGGAACCTCCTCTGGTATTGGTCTTGCCATTGCAGGGTACCTTCTCGACCAAGGCGTCGAGGTTGTGGGCGTCTCCCGCCGTTCTACGCCGATTTGCCACCCAAAATTCCACCTTGTCCAGGGCGATGTTGCTGATCCCAAAGTCCATGAACAAATACTGGCTCTGGTGAACGGAAAACTAGACGGGGTGGTATTCAATGCAGGCATTCTCGACGCTATCACCAAGCTCGACGCATCCGACGTCGATGCATGGCGCAGGGTTTTCGAGGTCAACCTGTTTTCAATTGTAGGCATTCTGCCTGTTTTAACTCCTTCTCTCCGCAAATCTGAGGGAAATGTTGTTTTTGTTTCCTCCGACGCCGCAACTGTCCCGTTCCAGGCATGGGGTGCCTACGGAGCATCGAAGGCCGCCGTTAACCATTTGAGTATGACCTTGGCCAAGGAGGAGCCCGCAATCACTTCAGTTGCCGTCGCGCCCGGTATTGTCGCTACACCCATGCAGGAGAATATCCGTGAAAACCACACCTCTAGTGGCCATATGGACGACAAGGAGGCGAGCTATTTCCATGACATGTATCAAGAGGGTAAACTTGTCACTGCTGAACAGACAGGCAAGATGTACGGCAATTTAGTTCTTAATGCCGGCAAGGAACTGAACGGAAAGTATTACTGCCATGACGATGTCGCCCTCAAATCATATAATTAGAGAACTCGTACTGGATGCCCTGGTCGCTGCCTACGTAGTAACCTAAATGCGGTGTGAGTTCTAACAAGAACCTCGTTCGATATCGGAACAGTTTAGTCAACTGGCAAGTAGCGTTGCTTCAAAGTATCATTGAATAGGTGAACATATCCATAGAGCAGAGCTCTGGCAGTGCTTTGTCCAGCGCAATGACATCGAATGAGCAGTATATGTACAAAGAAGATTGTACTGCAAAGGAGATTGCACGGCAAATGCAAGAACCCAGCTGTTCAATACTCATACGTTTAGCCCTTTTGCTTCTTTGGCCTCCACATTTTCAATGACCGCAGATGCACCTCAGAATTATACGGTGGACATAAGCGATTGAGTTATACAGGCCAAGAAGCCAAAAAAATCGATGAAAAAGCTGCTATATAATAAATAATCTACGAGGGACACCACCCACACATGTCCTGAAGCAACCGTGAGACCTTCTCTTCAGTCGGCGGCATACTAAGCCTACCGTCAAAAGGACCCAACGGTTGGTTCTGGTTACTTGTGACAAGAACAATAGGCGTGTTTGTGTTGGCATTGGATGTTGATTGGACAACGTTGCAAAACTCTATTGCGTTAATAGCAGCCTTGAAATCGTCACTCACGATAATGAGATCGAACTTTGTCAGTCCCGCCGCCGTGCGCAGAGCCTCATCACGGGTCGTACTTTCGATAACATTACAGCCGAGTGTTGTCAACACTGCTTCTAGGCTGGGCACGACAGTTGGACTGGTGCTACAGACCAACACGTCCGGGGCGTAATTCCGGAGTTGGCCGGTCTCGCGTATACCGCTGTTGCGATGTGAAATACGACGCCGGCGCTCAACTCGAGTCAGCAAGAGCGTGGCCGTGGAGTTCGCTGCACTAGAAGTCCCAGAATTCGTAGCTGAACCACTACCAGAGGATGCATGCACGTTTCGTGCATCGTCAGTATCGCTTGAATGAGGGCTGTCGTAGTGATCAGACCAGGAGCTTGTAGCAACAAGCAGGGGCGACCGACTTGACGAAGTGATTGAGTGACGGCGCTCACCCTCGATGCGAAGTTTGGTGATGACCTGTTTGTTTGCCCGTTCGAGCTCAGACAGATTTTTGTAGGAAAAGGCTCCGAATTCATCAGCAGAAGAATCAAGCCGGAGAATCTCCGAAGAAGTCGGGCTTGAAGTCCGTACACTTCCAGTGCTCAATCTAAAGTGGTGGCGCCCCGAACTGCTTCCCGGACTACCAGTATACGTTGATACGGCACCACTTGACTGACGATGTTCTGGAGTAGACGCCTGGGTATCCAGGCCAGCCGCAAGCTCCTCAGGAAGAGCAGGTGCACCTCGAGCATCAAAGTAAGCGACACTTTCTGCGGACGTTTTAGGGACAAATGTTGGCTCCATGTCGTATAAACTATGCCATTTGGTTTCAGCAAAAAACGGGTGCGATTTGATCCTTGCAACATCGTGGAGACGAGTTTCAGGATCCAAGTCCAATAGCTTGTCAATGAGGTCTTTGGCCTCCGCGGAGATGTCCTGTTCTGGCTCGAGCTGGGGCCAGTTTATGCGTCGGGCAAGAATGTTGTCGAAAACCTTTTGTGGTGTTTCGTCATTGAAAGGTGGGTAACCATAGACTAGCTCGAAAATAATGCACCCAAGAGACCACCAATCTGTGGCATTACTGGGGCGAACGTTGTTGATCGTTTCAGGGGCAACGTAATCCGGGGTGCCAACGAAAGTAGGTGGCTGGGTAGTTTTAGTATCCAAATGAAAAGGAGAAACATCGCGAGAAACCGCAGACATCCCCGGAAGGCGGGTTTCTGAGCGAGGCCGACGAGGCTCATCTGCGCGAATAGCCAGTCCAAAATCCGAAAGCTTGAGATGTCCCTTGCTGTCGATAAGCAGATTGGCAGGTTTCAAATCTCGATGAATCACACCCTGCGCATGCACCGACTCAATGGCCATGACAGTCTCGGCCGCGTACTGGCGGGCCCACTCTTCCGTGAGGCAGCCTACTGAATGCAACAAAGATGCGACATCACCTCCATTCAGAAACTCCATGACAAGATACAAAAAGTCACGACTTTGAAATGTAAAATAGAGCTTGGCGACGTGGGGTGAGTCTGCAGTCGAAATCATAATCGACCGTTCCGCCTTGACGTTTGTAACCTGATTCTTTTGAACCATGTCACTTTTCTTCATAGTCTTTATAGCAAAATACTCGCCCGTGAGTTTCTTGCGGGCAAGATGGACAACACCGAATGCACCTTGAGAGATCGGGCTTATGACCGTGAAATCATGAATGGAGGGCAAGACGGGTTTGCCAGCAACCACAGGCTTTGTGATGGAAAGACGACGTTCAGCAACTTCACTTGATGGGCTGCTTGAAACCGACGATGACATGCTTGCTCTGCGGAATGCTCTGTGAAGCTGGCTAGGCCTGCGGGTTGCCACCAAGCGTGATGGCGGAGGGTTTGGCGAGATGTGAGGAGAGAGATGCGGGGAGTGGTGAGGGCTGAGTGACGGAGACGCACACGGCGAATCAAAGGGACTGAGATAATCGGAGCCTCTTCGAATTGGTGCGGCGTTGCTAACGTCCACGTCGACTTTGGCCCCCTCAGACGCGGCTGCAATTGCCGAGTCGATAGCCGAGCGAACCTGGACTTCAACCTCTTTAGACAACTGTTTTGTGTACTGGAGATGTGATTCCAAACGATTGAGGGCCGATGTTTTGGCAGCAATCAGATCCATAGTGTCCTTGACCACACAGTCGAGCTCAGATATCTCACAAACAATCGGTTCAACCAACGACTGTAAATGTGGCTTTTTCTGGGGTCGAGTGAACGTGACGTCGGCAGAGTTTGTGCTGTTTGATCTTTTGAGCGGTGTTACCTCAAAGTCAAACGTCAATTCTTCACTTGCACCGCTATCGGTGTCTGAAGGAATGTCAACACTCAGGCCCTGGTCACAACGGTCTAAAATATCAAGCAGAACATCTCTCACAGGATCATCTGCAGAAGCCAGGGGGGAAGAAACACGGACTGCAAATCTCGACTGAGACGGTATTGGCCCCGACCTTTTCACTGCTAAAAAAGAACCGCGGTATTCGATAGGTTCGCCCGGAGCAGCGGCAAGCATGGCTGAAACCATCTGACGCTGCTCTTGCAGAGCCTCATGACAGCGCAGAACCTCGTCCTCTGTTTCGGAAATAATCAAACACAATTCGCAATGGCGCTCATACCACCACGCATGGACGTACCGGTCACAGATATGGCAGAGTTCAGTTGGAGGGGCAGGCAGCGCCGATGCCTGATCTTTGACGGCTGTAATGAGCCTGTCGAGGAAATTGGCCAGAACTTCGACCCCAAAACCAACAATGTTGGCCAAGCGGGCGGGCAAGATTACATCAATTTCGTCAGGCGGCTCTTGCTTGGATATCAGCCACAGCGGATAGCGGCTTCCAGGCTCGCCTACTAGGATTCCCTGACCTTCAACCGGTATAGACGAGTTTTCTGACGTTTTGAGGTCAAATTGAGCGAATTGCAGGTCGTTTTCTCTCAATCTCACCAGCAAAGCGGCGATTGCCCGAACGTCCTCCCCGCCTGCGCCCTGCTGCCCGGATATCTGGGACGCGATCGGCCGCCCCACGCAATCCGCCGTCGACAGCCCCGTCAATAGCGTCCACGTAGGCGAAACATATCGGACCTCGCCGGACAATTCGAGCTCTAAAACAACAATTAAATGACCGCTGGGGTCACGGGGTTCCATTACAAAGCAAAGGCGGATAAGAGCGCCTGCGATTGAAATGTAGAGGCGATAGAATGTACCTAAGGGCTAATTACGGCTAGGCGGTGCGCTCGATAAGGTGGAAGCCACTTGAGGTTTCCACGACGCGGGACATCTCGCCCGGCTTGAGGGCGAAGGTAGCGTCCTCGAATTCCTTTTGCATTTCGCCGCGACCAAAGAAGCCGAGGTCGCCATTTTTACGAGCGGACGAGCAATCGGACTCCTTTGCGGCAAGCTCACCCAGCGACGCAGCGCCGGAGCGGATGCGGGCCTCGTGGCCCAGGATAATTGACTTGGCCTCGTCCTTTGTGCGAGTGATCTCGGCCTCTTTCCAGGACGACGGGCGACGACTTTCACGGTGCTTGATGAGCAGATGCGAGGCACGTACTTTTTCTTGCCCGCTCTTGTCGCTGGTGGCCGCCATTTTCACCGTGAGGTACTCCTTGAGCTTGACGAGGTCCGAGCCCTCCGGGGGCTCCCACGAGGACTCTCCGCTTTTGGAATTATAGTAGTACGGCAAGTCATGGCTTTGGGAATGGCGGACTTCCCAATTCTCAGGCAATCCTGTTTCCGGCCCCACTGAAGCAACTGATTCGTTTACCATTCTGTTGAGATGACAAAAGAGGTTCCATACGTTCCCCCTCCCCATGCTGCTTACCCACCAGGGCCCACGCATGTGTTTGGGCTAGGGTTAGACACTCAGAGTCGTGCTCGCTCGCCGTCCTGTGCTCCGCTGTGCTCTGCTGCCTAGAATGACGACACTGTTGCCTCCAGAGCTTTTGGACCGCGATGTGGATTTGATAAATTTGTCGCACCCTAAAACAGGGAAACTCACGACCTTTGCCGCTACAGAATCCCTACTGTTCCAAAAGGTCGTAGTGAAAAATTCAGGCCCACATTCACTGCTCTTTGACGGTTACGTGGTGTCTGATCCTTCTATTAGCGTGTTCATTCCCGTGAATCCGTTTTTCGTCGTGCTCCCTGTTCTTTTCAAGTGCAAAGATCGGCACCTTCCTTTGGACTTGTTAATGGACATGCTCGGCGACGACGATTCGGACGCGTTTCCAACACACTTGCTACAAGATTTGGACAAAATCTGCCAAAACGAAAACGAAATGTACAAATTGGACCTCGAAAAGCTGTTCGTATGGCTCTCTGCGCTGGTCGCAGAACTCGAAATTCCCGCGTCACTTTCTGCAAAATATACCCGGGCAATAGCACCCATAGACCCCACACAACCGATCGACGAGTCACTGAAACAGTCTGTCAAGGAATTTGCTGCGTTGCAGCTTGTTTGCAGCTGGCTGGACGAGCCTACGTCTGAATGGCTCAACTCAAAGTACGATTTCGCAGGCCTGACTGCGCACGTAGACGCAATCCAAAGCGAAAGAGCAGCATCATTGGCATTACAGCGTTTGAGCGAGCCTGCAGCAGCGAAAAAAGCTCGAGTACCGCCTGCCAAACGGCCCAAGGTGTCAAAAAACAAATCCGTGTTGGATTTTTTCAAAAAGGTATAGATTATCTGGTTAAATAGTTATCGTAATACCATTTGAGCTCTTGAATGCTTTCCAGAATATCGGATCTGGCACTGTGATTTAATGATTTCTTGGGCACTTTTTCCATGAGCATCGGATTGTGCCTGTACCCAATTTCTTTGATGGACGAGACGTCAATCAGTCGGTAATGCAGAAAATCCGTAACTTTAGGGAATTCGCGTAGCAAAAACAGCCGGTCAACGTGCACAGAGTTGCCAGCCAGAATACCCTCGCGCTGGCTCATGTGCTTTTTCAAATAATCAAGTAGTTCAGACTCGACTTGAGGGGCGGTGTTTGTCGAATCAAGCACCTTTTGAATAAGACCAGTCTTGGAGTGCGTCGTTTGGCACCACTCGTCCATACCGTCCAGCTTCTCCTTGGGCACATGGATAACCCGTTCAAAGCCATTGCGCTCGATCAAGTCCAGCTTGGCGTCCGTGAGCAAGCAGCATATCTCTATGATGTTATCTGTCTGATGGTTCAGCCCGGTCATTTCACAATCGATCCATACTAGGGGCCCCGGCATCCTTCGAATTCGTCGTCGATAGACCTGTGAAAAATGCCTAAGCATAGTAAGCCTATTTGACAAGTATTTTGGGGGGTTTCATATATAGGTTAGAACAAACCGAATAGCTTTTTGGGTGCTGGGGCAGCAGGCTCGTAGTGCTCGTCGTCTTCGACATCAAGATAGTTGAAGGCCATGTCGTAAAAGACGGGCTTGGCAGGCACAGGCTGGAGCCGGCCCTCGAGGTTGGCCAGACGAGACAGCACTTTTTCCGGTGGACCAACGGGGTGCACACCGATATTATCAGAAACAAAGCCCTGGGAAGAGCCACCAGCAAGTAGTGCAGCGAGGCCGTGGCGCTTTGTCACTAAACCATCGAGCTGCGACCGCCATTTTTCCACTTGCGACGCGCTAACCGGCAGCTCATCGACAGAGATGGAATCAGCAACGAGGGACTTGGCCCGCACAACTAGGGCCAACGCAGCAGCGTGGTTGTCGACTGCAGCATAGCCACGTGCTACGGTTTCGCATCGGCGAGAGGCAAAGTAAGCCTTGAGCGACTCGAGGGAGGTAGACAGCTCGTCGTCGTTGTAAACACCAGGGAGCTCCAGCAGCTGTTCGCAGCTCTGCAAAATACTGTCATAAATACGCACAGAGTCTCGAAGTCCCGTAAGCGTTGGCTCGGTACCTTCTATAATCAACATGTCGCGCTCGATCCGGTTCACCAGCACCGTGTAGTCGATATAGGTTGCAACAATATACAGACTCTGGCTTGCTTCGTCGGAGTTTGTGTTTTTGGCTTCGGCGGCAGAGATAAGGTCGTGTGCGGCGTCGGAAGCTTCCTGCCAGGCCAGCAGAACATCGTCGTAATTAGCGGCGTCGCGAGGCGTGGGCAAAGACGAGGTTTTGGAACGCGCCTGCAGAATGGCTTGGGCCAAATCAGCGTTGACAACGTGTGCTTCATGGTGGCGCCACCTGATAACGCCGAGCTGCTCGACGGGAGCGACTGCATCGACTTGGAGTGCCTTGGCGTCGACGCGGCGAATCTCGGCCACCAAAGGGCTGGTTTGAGAGTCAGCGACCGACGCAGCGAGCCGCTGGACATCAGCCTTGACCCGGCCAGTTCTTTGGGCAGCAAATCGCAGCGCCGGATCAATTGTCGCCGCTACAACGTCCCCAAACAGAGGCTCGTTTGTTTTCTTGGCCATGACGTCACAGCCCACGCGAGCAGCGCTGCCCAACTCGACTACGGCGTCCCAGTTTTTCTGCTGAACGGCCAGATCCATGGAAACCATGGTGTCGTACAACAGGATTTCCAAACGGCCGAGCTCGGTGTGGGAGCTGGCGTCGTCTAGAGCAGCCGCCCGATTGGCGTACTTGCGGGCCTTGGCCAGCTTGGACAGCATCTGGCGCTTGAGCAGCGGAGAATCCGTGGCCTCCAAAGCGGAACGCAGCCCCATGCCAGCGGCCCAGGCCCGCTCAGCAAGCCACAGCGCTACTACAGAGTGGGCAGCGTCGACGAGCGGTTTGGGCGGGGAAGCCTGGCCCTTTTGCGGGCGCTGGACCAGATCCAGCCGCCGCCTGAGCTTAGCCACCTTGCGCGTGGCCCTCTTGTGGTATTTGCTAAAGTCATTCGTCGACTGCAGACCCGCCCTCGAAGCTAAAATCTTGTCGAGCATCTCAGAACTTGGACAGATGGAAAATCGACACCGCTGACATAATCGGGGGATACGATTATGAGTGTTTGGTCATAGGAACCTTTCGTCCGGATTGACAGCAAATAGGACTGATTTTCGAAGCAAAAGATGGAAGAGGAGTACGAGGAAGGCTACGAGACCAACGACACGGACGCATTTTCCAATGTTGCGCAAGGGCTGAGTGGTGAGAACAAAGCAGCGCTCGTGGGGTACTGGCAGCAAGCCATCGACAACATCGAGAGGATTGGCGAGGAAGGATCGGCTGTTTCTGCATTCAAGGCGACGGCCCTGCCATTGGCGCGGATCAAGAAGGTGATGAAGACCGACAGCGAGGTGTGCATGATTTCCGCTGAGGCGCCTATTCTGTTTGCCAAGGGCTGTGACATTTTCATCACCGAGCTGACGATGCGGGCCTGGATCCACGCCGAAGAGTCGAAACGCCGCACGCTCCAGCGCAGCGACATTGCCAACGCGCTGCAAAAGTCAGACATGTTTGATTTCCTCATTGACATTGTGCCCCGCGAGGAGGCGCACACCCGCAGATACACTTCGGCGCCCGGTGCGGGCGCGGCCACGACGAGCGCGGCTCCTTCGGCCGACTTGGCGATGGTCGACGCACACCCGGAGATCTCGCAAGCCAATGCGCCCGTCGCGGTGCCGGAGGCCGACCCGGCTCAGGCGCCTGCGCCCCCCAGCGCAGACGCAGCGGCTCGCGAGGGAGAAAATGAAATCATGACCTCAGACAAACCAAACGAAGGCAAGCCCGAGAATTTCGAAGAGGAATTCCAGTATTCCTACCCCGACGGCAATCCGGTGTACTCGACCGTCGACGTGGGGTTCCGCGAGTTCTGAATTCTCCCTAATGCTTTACGACTTTATATATAGTGCGCATGCACACGACAGTTATACCTTTATTATGATTTCTCCTTCTGTGCCTCCGAAAAGCTCAACCCGCGGGACTTGCAAATGCAACCCGTGCCCCGATGTCGATTACACATTTTGAAAAAAGTCACAGACACAGGCAGTAAGCTCTACACAATATCATGGCAGCGAAGAGGCAGCAACCGTAAGTTTCGGGAAAATAGGGGATTAAGAGGACGCTTTGCTAACTAGTTTCTGGTACGGGGGTGCGGCAAGCATGGTGGCTTCCATGGTGACCCATCCGCTGGATTTGGCCAAGGCCCAGATGCAGGCCGCTTCGAAGCCCGGGGCCACGATGATAGGCACGCTGGTGCACACTGCGCGGACCAATGGGCTGTTGGCCGTGTACGACGGGCTCAGTGCGGCGCTGCTGCGGCAGGCGACCTACTCCACCGCCCGCCTGGGTGTCTACGAATACTTAAAGACCAAGGCCACGGGCCCGTCTGGGGAAATTCCGCCCGTGTATGTGCTGCTGCCTATTTCCATGTTCAGTGGCCTAGTGGGCTCCATTGTAGGCAACCCGGCCGATGTGATTAACGTCCGCATGCAGAATGACAGACGCTTACCGCACGCTGATCGTCGGAATTATAAGCATGCGCTGGACGGCATCTACCGAATAATCAAGACCGAGGGCGTTGGTGCGCTCTCCCGCGGCATTGGTCCCAACTCCATCCGCGGCATCCTTATGACGGCCAGCCAGGTGGTCAGCTACGACACCGGCAAGACGTTCCTGGTGCACCGCTGCCATATGGACCCGCACGCCCAAACGACGTTTTTCGCAGCGTCGATCTGGGCCGGGTTTATTGCCACAACCGTGTGCTCGCCGGTCGACGTCATCAAGACCCGAGCCATGAACTCCACCGCCAAAATCTCGCCTTTGCAGGTCATGCGGGAATCCGTCGCCCGAGAGGGCATTCAGTTCCTGTTCAGAGGGTGGACTCCGGCGTTCATTCGACTCGCCCCGCAGACAATCGTGACATTCGTTGTTCTTGAACAGCTAAAAAAATGGGGCGGCTTTAGTTAGTCCAGTCACAGCACTATTTAAGATTTACTCTCTGTAGCCTACTGCACCTCGTTCCTGGCCAAAAAGTAGTTGGCGCCTACGAGCGTCAGACCCTTCTGGGTCTTGACCCAGTCCCGCAAACCGTATCCGGGCTTGCCGGTGCCCCAATTGGGCCGGTTGTCCTTGACGCTGGAGTCAATTGACACGGCGTCCTCCTGCTCAAACACGGCAAACACGTAGCGGTGCAGACCGGTCTTCTCGGGCGGGCCGGGGCCCATGTAGGGGATATGCACGGTGCCCTTGGACACGTCGACCTCGAATGACTCGCCGCCCTCGCCAACAGTGGGCTTGATGTCGGTCACCAGCATGTGAGCAAACTCGCTCCACTTGTTGTCGCCGCGCCTGGGTGCGTCGGGATCCGTGAACGCAATGGTGTAGGCTTTGGCAGGGGTCTCTGCAAACACCAGATTGAGCTTGGGCAGGTCCTGGGTGTCGGCAACCTTCAATGTGTTGCCCATGGTTGCTTCCACGCCACTCGGGAAACTCACCGTCAACATCACTTTCTGGCGGAATGCGTCCAGAACCTCAGGAATGACCTGGTGGTTCTTCAATGCGGCCATCAGCGCCGTCGAGCTTGAGATCATAGGCATTTTTTGCTTGGGGTTACTGGCTGCCGCACCCCCCTCGCCCGTTTTAAATACCCCCAAGGGTGTCCCTTACATAAGCGTAACCAACCCCACACCCTACAGTTTCCGCTTGCATTCGGCAGAGAATGTCGACGTTGAGAGCGCACAAGGCGGCAGTGACGTGCGTGGGGTTCCACAGCAGCGGGCTGTGGCTGTTTTCGGGCGACGACAAGGGCTGGGTGGTCTGGTGGGACCTGCTATCCAAGCGGCCCAAGGCAATATGGCAGGCACATGATCTCGCCCTTCTTGCTGTGAAATATCTGGGCGGAACCGACATGGAGGGCATTGTGACCCACGGCCGCGACAACAAGCTCCGGGTCTGGCGGCTGGACCAGGATCAGCTGTACAACACCCAGGTGTTGACCGAGTCCGCGTTGAAGGAGTCGTACCCGGCCCCCTGGCTCATGCACAGCCAGGACGTGAACGCCCTGAATTTCTGCCGGGTTGCCGTCTGGAATTCTCCGGCAATTGTGGCAGTGCCTGCGACTACTTCGTCGGAGAAGGTAGACGTTTACACATTGAAGCCGTTTGGTCGGCCAGTAAAGGGCCTGGCTCCCCCAAGCGAGGGCGAGTTTGACGCAGAGACCCGCGGAAACGGCTTCGGAACGGTGATGGCCATTGATCTCGGGGACCACGAGCTCGCAATTGGGTTTGAAAGCGGCCATATCGCCCACTATGATAGTGACTCGCTTGTGTTTTTTGAAAAAGTTCACAAACAGCCCGTCCTCGATGTCAAACTTCGCAACGGAACGATCTGGACCTCGGGGGCAGACCGCCAGCTAGCACGAATTCAAAATGGTCAAATTAAAGTACACAAACTAGAAACACGTGGAATCAACAGCATTGCTATCAATGATGAGGCTACAAGTCTTGTCACTGCCGGCTGGGACGGCATGGTGCGCGGATTCTCAGCCCACGATTTTAGCGAGCTCTGGTCGTTTAGAGGTGGTAGACAGGATGGCGTCACGTGTGTGGATTATGCCACCGTCCACCAACCGCCAGATGCACCGCGTCGCCTTGTAAAATTACCCTCGGAATGGATAGCCGTTGGCGGGAAAGATGGACGAGTAGGGTTGTTTGCTCTTGATTCGTCTATTGTCAACATGAATAACTTACGCAACTCTTAGCCGCTTGTTCCCAAAAGCTTGGCTGCTCGATGAACTTCGTTCAGCTTGGAAACAATATCGGCATTCGCATCGTCAACCTGCTTCAGTATGGCAGCCTGCAAGTCCGCTATGCCATCAAAGTACCGGTGCTGCATTTCTTCCAGCTCTTTCGCTGCAGCTTTTATCCGTCGTCGTTCTTCCTGCTGTTGCTTTTTGTGGAGTTCAACCGCAGCAGACGGCCGCGCGTTGGCAAACTCGCCTTGGATTTTTTCCACTAGCGCCCGCACCGACTGTAACTCGCGATTGTATCGCATCTTGAGCCCCTTGACGCTTTCTCGCACTGCACTGTACGAGACTTCTTGACGACGATTGTGTTCTTCGAGTTGTTGGCGGCGAGCTCTTTCTGCAACCAGATCAGAGTGAACTTTTTCGTAGGACTTTTTCATCGAGTCCATTCGTCGATCCCAGTCGCCTAGGTTGACATCCCATTGTTGCTGCCGCTCTTGTAGTGCCGACAAGCTCTTGTTAAGACTTTCGTTACGAGCCTGTAGCTTTTCCATTTGCTCTCGGAGAACTTGGCGCTGGCTAGCATGAAGCTCTTTTTCTGCTCTTTCGTTCTTGACTTCTTCGCGTACTTCGTTAAGCTCTTGCTGCAAGATGCAGTTTCGGTCCCGAAGCTGGTCAATCATGTGCCGCAACCTGTCGTCACCTCGCCGCTCTCGCTCTCGCTCTCGGTGCACTCTTTTGCTGTCGTAGCAAGACTCTCGCTCCACTTTGATCGGGATGGGATATTTCGGACTCAGAGGCAACGTCGCAACCACCATTGCATGATGAGTCTCGCTTGGCTCTAAGTGCGTGCCGGCCAACACTTGGGCCGGCTGGGCCAAGCTCACAAAACTCGGGGTCGGACTGGAGGGCGATGCTTCTGTCACAAACTCTTCTGAGCTACTTGGATGTTTGTCTTTTGCACTTCCAGGTGGACTGGGCGGTTTCCACGGAGGATAGGTGTGCATATTGCTGTAGGGGTGTCGTGGCAGAGGAGCAGATTTATTGTGACGAAACTTCTGGCTTAGGCTAAAATGCATCTAAAACCCTGCCAAACCAGTCATACTGCCCTTTATATGTAAATGAGGTCTAAAGTGACAACAACTGTGAGAACCTTGCTGCACCTACTGAAACGAGGAATTATGCAAAAAAACCGATGCAGTCGCCATTGAAAAAAATAGAATGAAACCACACACAGGTGTGTGACGCAGTTTATTAATTTAGTGATATTTACTTCTGTATGTGCTTTGCTTAGTTCTGTGGGGCTAGCTGCCACCGCCAAATTGGCGCATCATACTCTGCAGCTGCGGGTTGGAGTTGACCATATTCATCATATCTCCCATGGAGGGCATGCCGCCATTACCAAACATACCGGCGAGCTGGCTCATATCGGGCATACCACCGCCGCCGCCAAACATATTTGCCATTTGGCTCATATCGGGCATACCACCCCGGCCGCCCATCTGGGCCATGCGGCGACGCATCTGTTCCATCTGTGCATCGCCCTTGCCGCCCTGCATTGCCTTCATGCGGCTCATAAGACCGTCTTTACCGCCCATCTTCTTGGCCATACCGGCCATCATCTTTTGTTGAGCAAGAACCTCTTCGACTTCACGCACGGCAGTTCCAGAGCCCTTGGCCACTCGCACTACGCGGGTTGGCTGGTCTCTGAAGATTTGTCCGTCGCTGTCGAGCTCTTTCTTTGTCATTGAATCCATAATGTATACCATGGCCTTGAGACGCCGGTTAGAATCCTCGCCGCCAAGCTGGTCGGCAAACTGAGCCATGCCAGGAATCATCGAGGCGACCTTCGACAAGGGTCCCAGCTTCATGACGTTCTCCATTTGGGTACGCAAGTCACGCAGAGTGAAAATGCCTGCCTGCAGGTTTTTGATTGTGTCTTTCTGATCAAGCTTGAGGGTCTGCACATGCTCCATCAAGCCCTGGATATCACCGATGCCAAGCAGTTTGGAAATAAACTGCTGCGGCGAAAAGGTCTCAAAGTCGTGAATATGCTCACCGGTACCAATAAAGGCAATAGGTGTTTGGGTTGCGGCGACCGCAGAAATTGCACCACCACCTTTGGCATGACCGTCCATCTTTGTGAGAACAATGGAACCAAAGTCGGCGGCTTCCTTGAATGCAGAAGCTTGCAGCTGGGCAGCCTGGCCAATTGACGCATCCAAAACCATCAACGTGTGGTCTGGCTTGACGGCGTCGCCGATCTGGACCATCTCGTCAAACAAGTCTTGCTCCTGACGGTGCCGACCCGACGTGTCGACTATGATCAAATCAAACATGTCCTTCTTGAACTTGTCCACACCTTGTTTGGCAATAACCACCGGATCAGGCTCGGTGTACGAGCCGAAAAACGGCACTTTGGCACGGGTGGCATTCTGCTTGAGCTGATCGAACGCACCAGCACGGAACGTGTCGGCACAAACCAAACCAGTCTTGAAGCCCCGACGCTGGAAGTAGACAGCAAGCTTCGTGCAGGTCGTGGTTTTACCCGCACCTTGCAAACCCACGAGCATAATGACGTTCGAGCGGCCCTTTTTGGGCTTCCAGACCTCCTGCTGAGTGTCGACTAGCGCACAGAGCTCGTCAAACACGGCCTTTTGAATAACGCGCTTGCGGTTCTGCGGCAGGGTCTCTTTGATATTGACTTTTTTCTTGATGTTGGTCTTGAGCTTAGCGACTTGGGCCAGGCCGACATCGTGCTTCAGAAGAGCCATAGAGATCTCGTTCAGCATGGCATCGAGCGTATCTTCGTCAACGTCTCCCGTAGCCCGGGTTACCGAGCTGAGGGCTTGGTTGATGCTCTTTCCCAAATCTGCGAGAACCATCCTCGTGGAAAATAGAGCCGCTTACGTCAGGGGGAGATAAATTGAGTTTGCCCAAGGTTGGCGGGGCGGAGGTGGGTGAGGGCGGAGTTCGATAAGGCACGGGGAGACTAAAGTTTGAGGGGCCCTTTACGTAGTGGCCGATCCGGAGGGTGATTAATTTACGCTGAAACACGCTAGCTAAACAAGTATGTGAGACGGAGGAGTAGGTGATTATGAATCAGGGCGAAATTTCAGGCAGGGCGAGGTTGTCGCGAGAAATTGTGCTTGAATTATTTTTTTTGGAGACTGCGCCAAGAGGGATCTTTCACGTACCGTTGGTATGCCAAGAATTTCACGGCACGGCCCAGCTCGCCCGACCAGGAGTTGCGTTACATTGTATTCATCCCAACTGGTCATAACTCTAACCAAACGTCATGGCACGAAAATGACGACCCCAATGCAAGTCGAGATGGGATGCCAACACCGCAGCAGGGTCAATTCCGTGTGGGCACGCCGTGAGACAAAAAATTTGCCCGTCAAAAATGACGCTTTTGCCAACTGGAAATCCCGACTGCTCGCTGAGATGTCGCGATGATGCCTGGAAAACAAGACTGGGATGACGTCACTGACAGGCTTAGGCCTGATCGGCACGAAACTTTATGGTTTCGGCTGTGCATAGGGATCCAGCCATACACAGATATTCTATAGTTATTTGCAGGCAATTAGAGTTATTATCAGTCATGAAAATAGGGGAAATACGTCAGTTTGCGCATAAAGTTGTATGCGGAGTGAAACGGATCGGCAGCTTCTAGCGTTTTTGCCGAATCAAACATTGCGTTAAGTTCCATCAGTAAAATTATGCTGCAATGGGAGATCTATTTCCCGCCGCAATATAAATAATAGGCTGGTTGTCGGGGTCTACCCACACCAATCCCTTCTCGCTGTAAACCCAAGTAACACCCGCTCACGCCAACACCAGTCTAGAACCCACGCGTACCCGTAATGGCCACCTGCACAGCTCGTCCACCCGCACCCAATCGTTTCCCAAGCCGTCTCGAGAGCCCTTCTGGTGTGCACCGTCGCTGCTCCCGCTGCAAGGTAACCGAGGTCGGCTGGTCGGTGGAGACGTCACCCACCACGCACATTGATGCTCCGTGCACGATTCTACGGGGCACTACCACGCTATTTCGGTACCCGAACCGGTTCCACAGCTCGATCATGAGGCCTGAGGTGAAGATCACGCACTTTGACCGTGCCCAGCTGCTGGAGATCATGCACCAGTGCTTTGAGTCGCCATTCGACAACCCGAAACGCGATCCTCAGGCGTCGACAGCCGTGCGGGTTGAAATCACCCACCGTCGAGCGTCTGCCAAGGACTATCTGCGATCGGTCAACTTTGGCATGGGCGACGCCGTCAAGTTAGGACTGTAACAGTAGCAAGCAAAATAAATAAAGAGTAATCATATATCATAAAACAAGCGGCCCTAGCGGCCGCGTGCTACCTAGTCACCATTCGAGCTGTTTTGACCAGGCGACCTTACGTCCACGTGATCTGCGGCGGCGTAACTTACTGTCCTTCATGAGGTAAAACTTGAGTTCGGCGGCCGAATAGAACCCGGAATGTATTGCCCTTTCCTTCTTTGCGTCCTTCAACGACGACGGTCCCGGCTGGGCGTCGTGGTGGTGGGGCACACAGCGGCGGCCAGGCGAGGGCGGCACTTCGTTACGCGCTGACCGCCGGAGAGGCGTTTCCGGGGGTTTAATTTTTTCCTTCTCCTGTTCCCCAGCAGCCCCCGTCATGGATGTGCGGGATGCCTATGTCGACTGGGATGTAAGATGGCAACTTATTCAGACCATCCTGGCGGGAGTCTTCTAAGCTATATGCAAATTTAGTTAGATAGGCAGCCATCTGCAGGAAGCACGATCCACGCCTACATTGCAGACTTTTTATGTTTATCAGCAAGACCTCTTGGCTTAGCTAAGGGGGAACATCCCTCTGAGCCGGGGGAAAGGGGAGGGGGGTATAAGTAAAATAAAGACGGGTCTTATATAAGCATAGCCCTGGTTATCGTGCTGGACCTCGTGAGCCTAACCCCCACTTCTGCAGAGTTGCCTAAAAGGGACATCGGCAGTGGGGCATGGCGATGAAGTTTTCAGGTCCAAGCAGACGCCGACGACGAGCCGGGCGAGCGAATCGGGCCGTGGACAAGATGGCTCTGGTGGTGCTGGAGTTGACAGGGTGTGTGCCGACGTCCGTTGTGCAAACGCTTGGTTGGGTGCCTCAGGTCTTGTTACTAGCCCACCGGTTTCACGTGAAGGAATGAGACGCAGTGAATCTAAGATAACGTGCCGACAGTGCCGCCACCGCTCCAACTGCGACTGGTCTGGACGGAGACTGGTTTTAGGTCGCACCCTAGTACATGGCTGAGGGTTTGCATATAGCTTGAGTCCGGCAAACCATGAAGAGGTTTGACATTCATGCTCATCCAGAGCTGCGTGATCATGCATGACGCGGATTGCATGTGACAGTGGGTTCAGTGGGAATAATCCGAGTTCGGGGCCGTGGACTTGGCCTACCCGCCACGAATACCAGTTCCATTACAGCCTGCAAAAGCACGTGTAATGTCAATTTCGCCATTGGCCATTTTTCACCGATCCGAATCGACACCTGACAGGCTCCTTATTTTTCATCGCCTGCTGTAGGTTCCCGTGCATATACACATGAGGAAGCCCTTACCGCAGCATGACGCTAATCTGGTGCTATATATTGTGGCCAAGCATAAGACATCAGGCATCTCTACACATCATACAAACATGTCGAACACTCTATCCGATACTGCTAACGAGAAAACACAGTCCTCGCAGTCTGTGTTTGTTCAGCACCTTGCCACATATCCCGCTATCACCGCTGTGGCCGGTTTGGTAGCGTCGTTCCCTGTGGTGAAGATTTTCGCATCCAATGCGGTTCCGCTCATCCAGGCCGTGCACGAGCGTACGCGCAAGGTTTCTGATCCGCTGGTCAGTGCCGTTGAGCCTGCTCTCAAGCGGGCCGACGAGCTGGGCGACAAGGTTCTCACCGACCTCGACAACCGGTTTCCGGCTCTGAAGACCGTCCAGCCGGCCGATCTTGTCGAGGGTGCCCAATCGCGAATTAACTCGGCCCGTGCATCTGCCCAGAGCGCCGTCGATGCCCACCTGATCCAGCCAGTTGCCAATGTTGCTGGCGCCGCCAAGGCCCAGTACACCAAGGTGTATGACACCCAGGGACAATACATTGCCACCATTGTGAACAACCAGGTTGGTCCGGTCAACGTGCGTCTGGAGTCTGTCATTTCCGAGTACCTCCCCAGTGACCAGGCCCTGCCTCCCAAGGAGGGCACGGAGGTGCAGCGCACATTTGTTCTTGTCAAGACGGCTGCTGAGCGAGCTCGTCCCCAGATCCAGGAGTTTGAGGTTTCCACCCGCCAGTACTGCGTCCAGGTCTACCAGGCCAAGCTGAAGGAGCGGGACGGCGAGAAGGAAACGCACTCTTTGATCTCTAGCTTGCTTGCTGCGGTTGCTGCTGGACGTCAGATTACTGGCGAGGGTCTTCACAGGGCGGCTGCAATCAGCGGCCTGCGACCCCAGGAGGCGAAGACGACTGTCTTCAACGACGTCGAGAAGGCCGAGGCCTACATCACGCCCTCCCGTACCAGCAGTGCCGTTGTGGCCGTTGAGCCTGTACAGGCAGTAGCTGTTCCTGCCCACTAAACGTTCCTATCCGGTCATTAATTTAAGAATTAAAGCCGCCTGCGACTTTATCTGATACTATAGAATATATTGTTAATACTGCATCCTGTCAGCGCACTAGCCGGAGGCTTGTCGGGCGGTCACTAGCAAAAGGTTTTCCAAGCGGCCACTAGCGAAATTCCGGCACCATTAAAAGCATCAACAAAAAGAGAACAAGAACAATACAAGGAAAACCGGCTGTTGCCTGATCGGGTTAGGGTCGGCATCTACCATAGGGCTTAGGGCTGTTGGGACGACTGTCAACTAACTCATACACCAACTCTGGTGGAATCTCCAACTCCAACCAAATGGGTCGCATCAACGAGTATCAGGTTATCGGCCGCCACCTCCCTTCGGAGACTGCCCCCGAGCCCAAGCTGTATCGCATGCGCATTTTTGCTCCTAACGAGGTTGTCGCCAAGTCCCGTTTCTGGTACTTTTTGACCAAGCTCCGTCGTATCAAAAAGGCCCACGGTGAGATCGTTTCTGTCAACCAGATCCACGAGAAGCGCCCCACCAAGGTCAAGAACTTTGGCATCTGGATCCGCTACGACTCCCGCTCCGGTACCCACAACATGTACAAGGAGTACCGTGAGTTGAGCCGCGCTGATGCCGTCGAGGCCCTGTACCAGGACATGGCTGCCCGCCACCGCTCCCGCTTCCGGTCCATTCACATCCTCAAGGTCGTCGAGCTTGAGAAGAACGACGATGTCAAGCGCCCTTACATCCGCCAGCTCCTCGTCAAGGACCTCAAGTTCCCCTTGCCTCACCGTATCCAGAAGTCTTCGGCTCTGTTCTCTCACCGCCGCCCTTCGACTTTCTATTAAGTGTATGTAGCTTTTTTAATCGCCTTATTGCACCTCTAGCATTTGGTGCCTGGTAATAAGCTATAGGATAAAACATGATCTTTTAAAAACACCTAGTTCCGTTTGGCGGCCTGCAAAATCACCCACAGAGCGGTAGCTGACACGACCGGAATGCTGAAATTGTCATCTATAATCGGAAACAGTTCTGCAACGGCAACCACGACTCCGACAGTTACCGAATAGCTCAGTAGTGACAGCCTAGAGCTCTCGGCGGTCCATAAAATGTCCTGGGGCAGATTGAATTGGTTGTAAGCCGGGACATAGTAGCCATACCACAGCCAAGTGAGCGCGATGCCACAGATAAACGCAGCAAAGCTACCGGCAAGCGACTTGCCTTTGTACAGTTGGGGCGTGTATTTGCCATAGGCCCGTCCAATTGTCGAAGCACTCAAGTCGGCCCACGACAGGAGCAGAACAGACAGCACACTGAGATCTTTCGGGAAAATGCTGAATACAACAATAAGGCCCGCAAGATACCATATCACGCCGTTCACGGCACCGGTTTTCTCGCTTTCTCGCATAAGTGGGCCGACGGTTTGAATGTAGGCCCGATTGAGCTCGGGCGACGCAAACCGAAACACCTCGATCGTTGCGATAGGCACCAGCATAGCTATGAGCACTGGCGTTACTTGGTTCAGGTGTGTTCCATGGACATACAGGTACAGCGTGATAATAGCAATAGAACCATGTAGTACTTTTCGGGGTATCTCGTGCTGCTGGACCCAGTTTTCGGCTTTCTCAAGTACTCCAGCTGATTCCTGCGCGGTATTTGCCATGCTGACGGACCCTAGATCGGGCTGTCGATTATAACGCCCCTGCAGGTTTTCGACCACCTGCGGGCAGCTGGGCATACCGCTTATTTGAGTGCGTTGATTGCAGTGACTAGGGTTGTAGTCGACTATCAACCCCCGAGGCTTGCAATTCCACCAAAAACCCGGACGAATTACAGCGAGATTGCTGCCAAAACCTTGCTGCTTGCTCCACCTAAATCTGCCGGTTACTAATGTCACATGCTACTTAAAATCTCTGTCGAGATGTCGTGGAGGCAACTACCTGAAGCATGCAGAAAATCCGAGAAGAACCACTCGGCTGACCGTGTGGGTGCAAAAATACAGACCTCGTGAGGCAGGAGTACATAATGGTAGTCGCTGGGATTTCTAACAACACAAGGTCGTATGGTGTAGTGGTGAGCATATGAGGTTTTGATTCTCTCAAACTTCCTCGCGACCCCGGTTCGAACCCGGGTACGACCTATTTTTTTACTCTCATTGTCTCCCATTATTGCGCGAATTTTTTGCGCCGCATACAATTAAACCAACTAAAAACCTTTATATCTTCCTACACTAGTCCCGCTAGCTACCGCCGCTGCCGTTCAGAACCGCATTTGGCCCCCCTTAAAGTGAAATTTTCACTCGCTCTGTCATCATCCTCTAAAATGTTCAGAAGTGTGCTCACCCGCTCTGTTCTCGGTGAGGCACTGGCCGCCCCGATCGGAGCAAGCCTTACCGGAGCAGGATCACTGGGTCTTCCTCGTATCAGTCTTCGCTGGCCCTGGAGCCGCGACGTGGAAGACACCAGCGTGCTGGAGGCGGTGCCCAAGAAACGCACATCGCACCGCAAGAAGCGGCAACGACAGCTGGCCGGTAACAACCAGCAAAAGCCCCTGAAGAATCTCGGGCGCTGCCCTGCCTGTGGCCACTTCAAACGGGCCCATACACTGTGCATGAACTGCGCTGAGGAGATCCGCCAGGTCTGGAAGCTGCGAGACAAGCAGGCTGCCGAGGCCAAACTGGATCCCACCAAGCAGTACGACGACTCAGGCGCTTCTCCAGAAGACGTTGCACTCAACTTCCCCGCCCGTCACTCTCGTCCCAGTGAGTACCAGGAGAAACTGGCCGACAAAGAAGAGTACGTTTTGGGCCGGCCCAAGACACTGGCTGTTCCTGAAAAGCCCCGCAAAGCAAAGCAGGTGCCCCTGAAGCAGCGCAAGCCCTACGAAAACTAGGTTGTATATAATGAGCGTAGCTCTAATTTATAGTTGATTTCCTCTGGTGATTACACAATGAAAATCGTCGCCCATCCGTTGGGCATTCGGCCGTCTGGAAATGCGCTTTTGGACGACGACAGACGGCCCGGCATGGGGCTGTTTGGGCGGCTGCCTGACGAGATCGTGATGACGATTGTGCAGGAGCTCGACGCCAAGAGCCTGCTCGCGCTAGGGCATACTTGCAAAGGGCTGTTTGCCTACTGCTGGTTTGACGAGCTGTGGAAGCAGGTGATCTACGAAAGAAAGTCGCCGGATCTGGTTTGGAAAGGCAGCTGGAGACGCACGGCCCTGGGGCTGGACAAAGACCAGGAAGCGCAGGTGTCGGCCGAGAAGGTCGTCTACTCTGATCTGCTGCATCGGCCGTACGAGCTGTCGCAAATCGACTATCAAGAGTACATTGATCCCGAGCACAGGGGCAAGATTCCGACGTTCTCTGAATCAGAGATGACTGTGGAGAAGTTCGACGGCGAATGGCACAATAAACCGTTTGTCGTGAACCTCAGCAAACCGATCGCCGAGTGGACCATGGACGATCTGGTTGAAAAGTACGGCGAGCTCGGATTCCGCCAAGAGTACATGGACTGGAAACTCAAGGTGTATGTTGAGTATGCCCGGGAGAACCACGATGAGGTGCCACTTTATTTATTTGACTGCCATTCCAAGGCGCACCAGGACCTGGTCTTTGAGCCGCCGCTCTCGCACATTTTTGGCACCGAGCGAGACTACTTTGCCCTGTTTGGCAAGAACAGACCCGACCACCAGTGGCTGATTGTTGGTCCTAGCCGCAGCGGCTCGGGGTTCCACAAAGACCCCAATGCGACCTCGGCGTGGAACTCGGTGGTGTCCGGCCACAAGTACTGGATCATGTTCCCGGGCGATTGTCCGCCGCCGGGCATTTACACTGACCAGGAGCAAAGCGAGGTGACTGCTCCTGTGTCGTTGGCCGAGTGGTTTGCTTCGGGCTTTTACACAGAGGCCAAAAAGCACCCCAATTTCCGGCATGCCGTCACGGGGCCTGGCCAGGTGATGTACGTGCCGTCCGGGTGGTGGCATGCGGTCGTCAACCTCGACGAAAACATCGCCATGACCGGGAACTTTGTGGCCGAGCCCGAGCTGCGCAAGGTCCTGGCGTTTCTCAAAAACAAGCCCGACCAGATTTCCGGCTTCAAGCTGCCTGCTGAACAGGTTTACCACGAGTTTGTTGGTCTACTGAAGGAGAAAACGCCCGAAATTGCTGAAAAGTATGAGTCTGCGGATTGCAAAAAGCGAAGCTGGCGGCAGGTTACAGAGGCAGAAACACCTTTTACATTTAATTTCGAATAGTCTACAAATAGTTTGTTTGGATCTTTTCTTGAGTGTTTTGTTTTAACAAAAAATAAGCAGCCGGTTAGCTGATAACGCAGCAGCCAAAGCAGCGGCCCTCCTTCTTTTCCTCAGCCTTGACGGCAGCGGCGGGAGCGGCGGCGGGCTTGGCGGCAGCAGCGTCGGCAGTAGCACGGGTAGCAGTAGTATTAGCAGCCTGGGTGGAAGCCTTAGTGGCAGGGGCAGACGAGCTGGTGGTGGCCTTGGGGGCCGGGGCGGCAGTGCCGGGAGCACCAGCAGTGCTGGAGGTGGCCTTGAGAACAGTCTTGGCGAACTGCTCACCCTGGATGCGAGCGATTTTGTGCTCGAGGTCAGTGACCTGGCGGGAGCCATCAGCGCCAGCGTAGGTGCCGGCACCCCAGGGAGAACCACCGTGGAACTCGTTCAGGTCGGTGATCTCGGGGAAAGCATCTCTGTAGCCCAAGGGAACGTACAGCATGCCGTGGTGGGTGAAGATAGAGAGCAGGTTGCGGACGGTGGTCTCCTGGCCGCCGTTAGGGGTACCGGTGGAGACAAAGACACCGACGTACTTTCCGTAGAAGCCACCGGTGGTCCATTGGCTGGCGGTACGGTCGATGAAGGCCTTGACAGCGTAGGGCATAGAGCCGAAGCGGGTAGGCACACCGAAGAGCACACCGTCGTACTGGGTCAAGAGCTCCGGGGTGATTTCGGGCAGGTTGGACTTGGCCGAGGCATCCAAGGGCTCTGAGCTGGGGATCTGGAAGGCATCAACCTGAACGCCAGCGGATCTGGCACCCTCGATCTCGCTCTTACTGAGTGAAAGAATGTGGTTGTAGGAGGAGTAGACAACGACGGCAATCTTGGTCATATTGGATCTGAATGTAATAAAAAGTAAGTGGTATTAGGGTGGAATACTTGAAACAATATTAACACTTCCGACCGAGCGTGTGAGGAATAGTAGTACACCAAAGGGGGTTACAGAAACTGGGTTGCTGCTTTGAGGCTACTTAATCTGTATTATGAGGGTAGGGGTTAGAACTGGCGTTTGTCAGAAGGTCTGGCTTGATTCGGGTTGCCGCGACGGCTTGATTATTTTTGCTAGGATATGTTGAGAATTCAGGTCGCAAATAACCTTTTTCCGGCCCAGCCCCCAGGCCTCTGCTTGCAAAACCCGTTGGCCGTTTCGCCACGCTTTGTTTTCATTCCATGCCGAGTTCCCTGCCGGGGTACCGATGTGCCTGCTAACTTTACGATAAGTGAGGTCCGTGGTTGAGCTATTTCTTTGAGACATTATGGACAGTACGTAGAAGTTTTTACGAAAATATGCCTGTGCTGGCCTCTCCGGACCATGCTACGAGCCGCTAGACTGGCCTCCTCGCGGTAGCTCAAATGCACAGCCACGTAATGGCACCTTCGCTGTAAGGTTGCGCAGATTCCAGTCGAAGGGCGATGCGCACAGGGGCATGCGTTAACCCTCGCACCTGAAGGTACGGAGCAGCGCTGCGAACGCCAGGTCACGTTGGCGGCTAATGTCGAGGCGGTAACTGGTAAACGGGGCGCATCGATAGCCTTGAACCGTCCTGCAGTGATCTATCAGCCATGCAGCACTCTGCGGTAGCAGCTTCAAATCCAGCGCACCCCCGGAGACCGAAACCGCTATCTGACGGGACTTTGCCTAAGGGAGGAAAAATCCAGACGACGCCGCACCAACTCTGGGGAATTTGCACCCCCGGATAGCCTAAAATAGCTCAATTTAACCAACCGTTACTCAGCTCATATGCAACCCCAGCGCAGCAAGACAGGAAGGTAGCTATCACGTGACCAGGGGTAAGCTGGAATTTTCTTGTTGGTCCAACCGGGAAATTTTCATGAAACGGGCACGAAAAGCACCAATTAAAGCACAGATTCTGGAGATTACATGCTCGAGAACCCCTCTAGCCCGTCGAATTCTTTCCCCGCGAATTGACAACTGTGGTGCTGAGATGAGACCACCACGGGGCAACCGGACAGCCGCAACGTAATTATGAATGGGGTTAGGGCGGCAGACCCCAATATAAAGAGACATATCCTATCCACATACTTCCCCAAACAAGATCGAAAATGGCTCCCAAGGTTGCAATTGTTTACTACTCTCTCTACGGACATATCCGCACTCTCGCCCTCGCTGTCAAGGAGGGTGTCGAGGCTGCTGGTGGTAAGGCTGATCTCTTCCAGATTGCTGAGACTCTCCCCGAGGAGGTCCTCGCCAAGATGGGTGCCCCTGCCAAGTCTAACGACCCTATTGCCGACCCCGTTGCTCTTTCCAAGTACGACGCTTTCTTGTTCGGTATCCCTACCCGTTTCGGTAACTTCCCTGCTCAGTGGAAGGCCTTCTGGGACCGTACCGGTGGTCTCTGGACCCAGGGTGGTTTCCACGGCAAGTACGCCGGTATCTTTGTCTCCACTGGTACCCCCGGTGGTGGCCAGGAGGTTACTGCTCTCAACGCCCTCTCCACCTTGACTCACCACGGTATCATCTACGTTCCTTTGGGTTACGCCAAGGCTTTCAAGGAGATCACCTCCTTTGATGAGATCCACGGTTCTTCTCCTTGGGGTGCTGGTACCTACGCTGGTGCTGATGGCTCTCGCCAGCCCAACAAGACCGAGCTTGCCATTGCTAAGATCCAGGGCAGCGCTTTCTACGAGACCGTCAACAAGGCTTTTTAAGTAGAACATCTAGACTGTAGTACAAACTGCAAGTGATTCATTGCTCGAGCGTCGGGGTGTGCTCATGACCGACAACAGGTCTGCTCATCTGCTCAAGTGTGCTCAGATCTGCTCAATTATGCCCAAGTCTGCTCATCTGCTCATACCACCCCAACTAACATAGGCGCGGCAGAAGACACGTCCTAACTCGTATTGGCAAATAGTCACTCTGGGCTATTCAATCAAATACAACAGCCCCTCCACTTCAACACAGATGTCATGCAATGTGCAGTTGGCGCAGTGCAGCCAAGACATCCTAACGGCTATACATGGGTTAACTTAAAACTTTTAACTGACGCTCTATATCAAACTGAAACTAAAAAGTTGCTGGGGGCCAAGCCAAAGCGATTCTTTCCAAGAACCTCGACTTCCCACCATCCATCTTCCTGCATAACCGTTACCAACAAAATGTCTCCCTTGCGGAAACTGACTTCTTCGGGAATTGCTGCCCGATAGTCGTATTGAGCCCGACTATATCGGATGACCCGCATCCCGTTGGTAGTTCGAGTAGGCAGCTGCATGCGACTGTCTCTCGCCTCGACGGTTGACTTGGACCGAGGCCTTCGAGTCTGCTGCTGGTTAACCTGCTGTGAATACTGAGCATACTGTGCGGCCTTTGCTTGTTGTGGTGCCAAGGCGTGGTGGTAGCGCATGGGCTGCCCCTGCGGAGAGGCTGCCGATGCCGAATACATGCCATTCTGTGCCATTCCCGCTCCAACCTCTTTACGAGTAGGCGATTTGCGCGAAACACTACTGTCCAACCGCTCAGTGGTTGCCCGGCCGTTACCATAAGGACCGCTTGCGCTCTGTTGATGTAGCGTATTAATACCAGGCATGCTCATTGGCCGAGTTTTCGCTGGCCTGGTTGTAGACTCTGCCTTGAGACGCTCCACAGCTACAAGCAGAGGATCTTGGGTTGTGGCTGCCGATGGCGGCGCTTGGCGAACATCAGTGTGCGCAGGAAAAGCTGAGGAATCAGAGAACTTGTTACGCTCAGATTCGGAGGGCTGCCAGATCTTGGATAGATCTGGCGTACTCTGACGCTTGAACGGCATAGCCCATGACCGGCGTTTTTGTTCACGCGCTTGGGGTTGCTGCAGCACGGCGGCTGGCCGCATCTGGGTTGGGCGAACAGCGTTTTCAGGCTTGGAAACAGCCGTCACCTCAATGGGGTTGAAGTTGGCGGCAGTTTGGAAATCAGGAGATCCACCAATACTGTTTGAATAGATAGAGCTGTGAGGTGAGGTGCCTAAATGGCTAGGCGAACTGCTCGCGTAGCCGTCGTCGCTGGCGGGAACAAGTTCAGGCACATTTTTCATGGCATTATTACCTCCCGTCTCGGTGCCATGAGAACCATAGTATGAGGTATCAAACATACTCTCATTTTGGGACCTATCATCCTCATGTTCATCGTCAAAGGCACCGTCGCGGCTAAAGTTAGCAACCCGGTAAGCGCCTTCGCCATCGTCACGGGAGAACCCGCCCATAAAATTGCAAAACTCCGGTGGATCCTGAATATGAGATCCAGTACCTTGAAATTCAATAAAATCAGCAATGTCCTTTGACGATTCGCATTTTTCAAGGGCCACGCGGATCACCTCACAGCCTTCGTCGTCGCTAACGCATACGCTGGAAACGACATTTGCATAAGCCCACAGATTGGACTTGAGGAAATCAATTCGCTCCTCTTCAAGAGTCTGGAAGCGGTCGCAAGTATTTTTCCACTCGTGGTTCCAGTGATCAATTGTTTCGGAAAGCATCTTGAGGTTGTCACGGTATTGGCGCTGGAGACCGTCAACGGCCATACGACTACGCTCAAGCTTTTGATTATTCTTGTCCAGATCACGGCCCATAAGTAAATTCTGCTGAGCAAGATATCCTGTAATGTTGTGGGCTTCTTGTTCGTACTTGTTTCTGCTCTTCTCCGCAGCCGTGTTTTGATTAGCTTTAGTCTTGGTGAGTCTGACCATTGCGTCCTCACCTTGACGGCGACGCTCACGCATTGATGCAGCAAACGCCTGAAGAGGCTTGAGGAGCTGGGTAGAGATTTGCAGCGCCTCAGCCTCGTGGCTCTTGGCCATGGCGGCGGTGGTGGACCTCACGGTGTTCAAGGACTCTTTGAGAGAACCGGTTTCGTTTTCACCAAGAGCCCGTCGTGATAGCTGGAGTAGCTTGCGAGCATACTCTTCTTCAATTGCTTGTCGTTCTTTGTAAAAAGTCTGGACTTCCTCACATGTCTGTTTAGCGTGGTGCATTCTCTGGAGAAGACGAGTGTAACCTACATCATCTTTGCCCCAGAAGTTGTTTGCGAACGTCTTTGGAGGCTCCATAAAGTCGTTAATGAATTGATTGTGGGTTCAATCGAAAGGTGAGGGGTTGGGTGGATGATATCGCCCAAGATGCACAAGGGCAATAAATGAGGCAGTGTTTACATTTGGCTTAATTGGGTGCGCTTACATAATCGGTCATTTGTGGTCCCGGTTTTGCTGGCTTTTAAGTAGGGCTTAGGGCTACGTATCCCAACTCACCTAATACCACTACTCGGACACTAGTTGGCTAACCTTCACAAATGGCCGGCAAGACCAAAGAAATCAGCGAACTGGTGACCCGTGAGTATACCATCCACCTTCGCAAGCGGGTTCACGGTGTTCAGTTCAAGAACCGTGCTCCCAAGGCTGTTAAGGCTGTCCGCGAGTTCGCTCACAAGGAGATGGGCACTTCTGACGTCCGTTTGGATCCTCTTCTCAACAAGGCTCTCTGGGCCCGTGGTATCAAGGGTATTCCTTCCCGCATCCGTGTCCGCATTTCTCACAAGCGTAACTACGAGGAGGGTGCCAAGGAGAAGGTTTTCTCCTATGTCCAGGCTGTTAATGTCGATTCTTTCAAGGGCCTTAACACTACCGTCATTGACGAGTAAATAGGCATAACTTAGGCATAATTAGGTTAAAAAAAAACTGTTTTATTACTTTAGTTAAATTGAAAGGGTATATGCTCATGCCAGGTTGGTAACTCTAGTTATATTGAAAGGGTATGAGCTCGTGCCCGTTTGGTTGAAAAGTCGATTGGTTGAAAAGTCGGCCGAGCACCAACGAATCTTGAACGATGGCGTTCTAAACTACCATAATCTTATATGAACATTTCAGCTGGTTTTTTGTAGAACTCGCCTACGGATGACGCTAACTAAAAAAACGCCGCATGTTGTATTTGGCTAACGGCATTAATGAATTTTTTGGGGTCCAATAATTTAGGCAGACTTGGCCTTGGTAGTGCCGGTGCGGAAGCCGTTCTTGAAGCGACGGTCAACAGTCTTGAGGTACCGCATGCGGCCAGTGCCGGTAGTGCGACGGCGGGAGGCCTTGAGGGCCCAGTTGTAAGACCGAATCTTGGCGGAGGGGTAGCCGCAAGCAGCACAACGCTGCTTCTGGAAGTGCCATGCGTGGTTGTTGCAACGCTTGCAGACAGAGCCGTGGCTCTTGGTGTGGCGCTTGCCCATAGACGGAGTACCTTTACCCATGATTGATGATGTAGGATGTCCCTCGTCAGTTGGAGTGGGTTAGTCTAAGATTGCGTTGGGCGTATGTGACTGCGAATAGCCCTATTAGGTAAGTGAGAGCTTGGTGGGGTCTGGCACATTGGCCAAAAGCAGGTGAAATAAACTTGGAGCGGAGGTCTTATTGTACTGAACTGTATAAGTGGTGTAATTGAGTACGAAAGCAAGTTTAGAGCCAATAATACGGCAGGTAAATGGGTATATGTACGAGGCACATGCTATGCATGTCTCATGCATGACCGCTTGGAGCTGGCCTCAATATATGGAAAGTTTTCAGAAATCACTCGGTTTAGTTTGCTTGATTGATTTTCATTCACAATTGAATTGCTAGCATAGTATAAGTTTCTCGCCTATGGCACTTGACGGGCACCTCTGATTTTGGCTATAGGCTTCACAATTAACTGCCCCAGAACACCACCAAGTCACATCCATAGCTAGCAATGGTACTTAGTTGAGATGGGCACACAACTGAATTGCATGGCGGGAGACGAAAGGTATCGCAGCCATTGTTTTTGTTTTGCTAGATTTCTTTATTCAATGGATTGGCATTTACGGCCCATTGACATGGACAGACCTTCTCAGTCTTGAACTGTCCATTATTTTTGGCTCAGGTCACGAAACTGCCAATAAAACACCTCACACGGCTTGAAATATATTTATTTATCTAAAAGAAAGACTAAACTCACCGAATTCCGCCTTGGTGCCATTTATTCTCCCGTCACAACTTTGTCCAGCCTTCGGTTTGGCCCTAATCCTACGTTGCTTCGTGCCAGGAGTCAAGATTGGCATACCTAGCGGCCCTGAAATCACACGAAACGCCAATATGTTGGTCAACACACCACCAGGACCAATTATCAACTGAGGCACTCTTTGGAGTTATCCACACACCCCCATTTGAACACCATATGCGTGGCCAACGCGACGTGCATGGATCCTCGATCTGGAATGGACGAACACGGAACTGGATAAAGTCCGACCTGGGGTTAGAGACATGGGCATAACTTTATTCCAGCTTCTAGTGCTATCTATTGTGTGCCTTTAAGCTATTAATTACTTGCCCATTACCACCATCGCCTTCCTACAGCCTCTGCAAGACCCTTTCTCCGCGCCCTAAATTCCTCCAGGTCATGCATGTATTATGTAGCCCAAGTAACGACGACCATTTTTAACGCGTCTTCCTTACCTTTCAAACACCACTTGACTTTTCGCAAGAGGAAAATGCAGTGTCCTCCGTCGTCACCTCCGCGCGAAGTGACAGCAGCAGCTGCGGCCGCTGCTGCGGCTAAATTGCTCCCTGGTTTCAGTCCCTCGCCGGACGGCCTTGGAGCTGGCACCCTCGACGCCAAAGGAAAGACGCAGCCGTTCAAGATCTACCACGACCCGGAGGTACCCTCAATGAACGGATTTTATCCCACTCCTTTGCCCACGTCCCAGGCAGATGCCAGTTCACCCACGCGCTCACCGCGTGGGGTCGAAACAGGTCGCGTTGCGCTATCACAGGTCGCGTTCGTTAAGCTTCCGCTCGATGGTACAACTGTTACGGTCGGCCGGTCTTCCAAGTCTAGCAAGATTGCTCTAACTGCCACAAACAAGCTTGTTTCTCGAGTCCACGCAAAAATCCACTACGACCCGGCTCGATTGGTGGTCATTGAGTGCTTGGGGTGGAACGGGCTCACCGTTTACGTCCCGTGTATTATCAAAAACGAGCGGGTTCAGAAGGAATACAAGGTTGTTAAGGATCAAACTATTTATATTGAGCGGGTGGATGGCATTTCGCTTAATATCCATGGCGAGCGTGTAATCATTGAAATTGAGCAGCCTGACCTTATGATGCATTCTAGCGAGGCCACCGAGGATGAGTACCCTGAAATTTCGGGTCTGCCGTCCAGCCCGCTATCCAGGTCTGGCGATGAGCTAGCCATTCGCATTGCACAGGAGCTTGGGGCCGGGGCCCAGCTCGCCGAGCCCATTGCTCTTCACTCAAACACCACAGGACCGCTTCCAGTCACGGTTGTTAAACCTGCCCAGCCAGAAGCTGCTATTGAGGTGCCTGCTGAGCCTACAGTTGTTGCCGAGGTAGTCCCGAAACCCGCAGCCGCTGAAGTTACCAAGGCACTTGAAACAGAGCTTAGCAAGGAGCCCGTGAAACCACTAGCGACCGTGGCAGAAGCAGTAGAAGCAGCAGCTGAGGTGCAGCATACAGAAAAGCCCAAGAAACACAGATACTCTAAGGATTTGCCCGAGGCAAAGAAAGCTAAATCAGCAGTCGACCATGAAGAAGCCAGCAAACTGGCAATTAATCACGTTGCATTCTCCCGACTTGCCAGCACGCCGCTGTCAACGATTGCCCGCTCATCATCCGTTTTGGCCAGTCTACCCAGCCTGGAGCTCGAAGGGTTACTAGCAAATGTACCATACATCGGAGTCATCCAGCGTCCAGGAAAAGACGCACTTGGAAAGCCCCTTGAAAACGAATATTACTACATGCCCGAACATGATGACGATCTCACCCGGCGTCAACTTGTTGCAGAGTCCAAGGGGGCCCGCACGTTGCGGTCCTGTCGCAAAACCCACAAGCAGTACTTTTACAAAAAGCCCCGGATTTGAACCAACTGGCAGCTACACAAACTGTACTATATTATTTCATAATGAGCTAACTGTTTTTTTCTAGCAAACTCGAAAAATAAATCATACGAACTTACCACTTGGAGATCAGGGCGGCGACCTCAGCACGCTGATGGGCATTCAAGTTCGACAAGGTGGTCAAAACGGTAGCGATCTCGGGAGGAGACACACGGTTGATCACGGTGTTGTAGTACATGTAAGAAAAGGTGCCCATAACGAACTGGCAGTCGAAGCGGTCGGTGACGCCGCCGTGGCCCGGGATGGTATCGCCAAAGTCCTTGACTTTGAAAGCACGCTTGAATCCCGAGGCGAAGAAGCCACCGAACGGAGCGATGAGTGAGGCGAAAGTCGCCAGCACAATGGTGTGGATATAGATCGGCGCCATCTCGAACGAAGAGAATCCCATCACGGACTGCAAAAATGCGGGGATGTGCCACTGGGCGGGCAAAAAGACCGCGTTAGGGGTGCAGACGTCAAACTCCTTGTAATTGATACCGACACGTTCCATCGGACAGATAAGGTAGTACGACTGGCTGGCGTGGTGGGTGATAATCAGGGCAAAAGCAACCGTGCAAATCCATGCACCGACAAAGCCCTCGACGGTCTTCTTGGGCGAAATGCGAATCAACGGCGTGCGTCCGATGGTGATGCCGCAGAGATAGGCCGAGATGTCGTTGACAATGACCATTGCACAGGGCACAATCATCCAGAAGATACCGTGGAGCACGCTCTCGAGGACAAACTGACCCTGAAGGACAATGTAGATGATGGCCATGTGAGCGGCGGAAAGCTGTCCAAATTGCTGCCTGTAGTAGCCTTCGCGGAGCGTGGTGACGAAAAACACAAAGCCCGTCATGTACAGAATGTAGGACAGGAACCTGTGGTAGTTTAGCAACGGGGTCAGGACTCCCTCGAGGATGCCAACGTTGCGGAAAAAGTGCACAATGGCCCCGCCGTTGAGGTAGTACATGACGACGACCAAAAAGTACCAGCTGATTGTCCGGCCCCAGGGCACGTTCTCAAAGTATTTAGGGTCCCCAGTGATGTTAATGACTTCGCGGTAGGCGAGGATCTGGATGATCATGCACAGACCAGCAATCCACACATGGCCCGACAAAATGACAAAGCCAAAGACCGCGACGAGTACCACTGTCCAGATTGCTCGAACAACAAACGTCGACCATTTCTTGCTCTTCTCACTGCTTGCTTTGGTCTTCGTGGCCTCCGCCCCTTTGGAAACAGGTTCGCTAGCCATGCTGACAAAAACGTAAGACGAACCTTTGTACGTCAGCGCGCCCTCACAAGGACGATGCTTAGCAAAGACATATGTGATAGAATAACTACGGTTCTATGTTTTTTATTAGACCCTTTTAACGACGGCCGCCGGCAACGGTGAAGTGAACATCAAGAGGAGAAGCAGTCAAAGGCTGGACCTCCCAGAGGTTGGGAGTCAAGAAGGCGTAGGTGTTACCGATGGCAGCAAAAGTGGCCTTGAGGGTGTTCTCGACAGTGCGGGTGGTACCGACAGACGAGGTGTAAGCGTCCTCAACACCGGCGAACTGCAGGAGCTTCTTGACTGCGGGGGAGGCGATGACGCCCTTACCGCGGGGAGCAGGGATCAAACGCACAGTGACGGAACCGCACTTACCGGTGACCTTGGAGGCCAGGGAGTGGGGTTTGCCGATCTTGGAACCCCAGTAGCCACGACGGACGGGGATGACAGAGAGCTTAGCAATAACAATAGCGGCACGGATGGCGGTGGCAACCTCCTTGGAGGTCTTGACGCCGAGACCGACATGGCCGTTACCGTCACCGACGATGACGACGGCACGGAAGCGGGTGCGCTGACCGGCACGGGTCTGCTTCTGGACAGGCTTGATCTTCATGACCTCGTCCTTGAGACCGGGCAAGAAGGTGTCAACAATCTGGAACTCCTTAACGGGCAAAGAGTGAGCGTAGATCTCCTCCATGGACTTGACCTTGCCAGCCTTCACAAGACGGCCGAGCTTGGTAACGGGCTCCCAGCCCTTCTCTTCACGGCGGCGGGGGCCACCGCGACGGCCACGACCGCCAAAACCACGTCCACGCTGATTGTCGCTCATATTTGGTATTGTCTGAAGAGTGTCCTGAGTCGGCCTAATCATGAGTCGTGGGGGTTCGACTAAAGCCCTAAGCCCTAAGCCCTAGCAACCACACCCAAAGCAACGTTCGCTTACCTAAGGGTAGCATCGCGCTGGTTCGGTAGTAAACATAATAAAATACATAGTTTAATTAGTGCGCTGCTTTTTGGTAGCCGGGCCCTCGCTGCCCGTGTCTTTATAGTAGCGACTCAGTTTTTTCGAAATACCCTTCACCTCCTCCTGGCTGGGCAAATTCACAACAAGCTGCTGCCGACAGCCATGTATTAGCGTTAGCAGTCGATCTAGACTAGTGTTCGGGCCGTCCATGCTCTGGGCCATGTATTGCGTAGCAGCCAGCTCATTGACCTCCATCAATGCTGCAAGCGCAATTTGTGTTGGGGTGTACAGAAAACAAACGTCAGACACAAAACTGTCGACAATCAGCGACTTGGCCTTGTCGTGAATACTGCAGAGCTCGGTGCGATCAAACGTGTCCAGCACAGTTTGCATATCCAAGAAGAAGCCATGCAGAGGCCGGAGGCCGTTATGCACAGTAGCAGTGAACTCTAGTGTTTTAAACAGCAGAAACTCGAGGTCCAGGATCTGGCTCGGTTCTGTTTTCGCTAGCGAGTCGCAGAATGTGGTAATGGACATGAACGCATTCTCGGCTTTGGCGGCAAAAAAGACACATGTGGGCAAAATTAGCTTAGGGTGGTACTCCATCACGCTGTATCTCATATAGAATTTGCGGAAAAACGATATAGCCGTCGCCCGAACCTGGGATGGCAGCTTGAACTGCTGGCACACCGACTTGACTTGCTCGGCGGCATAGTACAGGATCAATTGCTGTTCCTCCTGAACCGTCAAAGCAAGCTCGTGGGGTGGCACGTTTCTGTTAGGTTTGGCCAGCAGTTCAGCCAGCTGGTCCTTGGTAAACGACCACTTCTGATACTGACTCGACCGGCGATACAAATCTGCGTCTGTCACCATGACTAAGTCTAAGCGAGCAGACAGACTCCCATTCTCTACGATTTGGATAGCTAGACATAGAACTCTATTTAGCAGCAGCCTAGACGAGCCAACAGACCCGAGTTTCTCACCTGACACCCCGTTCCCATTGGGCTAATTCTCGCAGCATAAAGTTTGAATTCTGCAACTTGCGCATGTTTTTCATGTACGGTTTGGTAAGAAGTGGTAAGCCGGCATTTGAGCCAACACGTCGAAGCCCGAAGCAACACACCAGAAATACGGCCGTTTTACCAGGCTTTCACCCACCCGACTATCCCATGCTCATGATGCAGTGGTAGACCAGCCTATACATACAGAAATCCGGCTGCAGAGGCATCCACGCACCTCAGATCACCACCGCACTCGACCCCTTGCATGGTGGGCAATACGACGTCTGCAGCCATTTTACAAATCATGCGTGGAGTATGCGAGTAGTCAGGACTACAAAAGGCCACTACCTCATTAGGTCTTACATCCATCACAAGAAAGATATTCAACAATGTCCACCCGTCCTCAATGGTATGCCGTCAACAAGCAGTTGGTCAAAAAGGAAGTTCCTATTCCTACTCTTGCAGCCGACGAAGCTCTGATTAAAGTCAAGGCTATTGCTTTCAACCCCACTGATTTCAAGCACGTGGACTTTGAAATCGCCAAGAACAGCGGTGTTGGCTGCGACTTTGCCGGCGATGTGCTCGAGATCGGTTCCGCCGTCACCAATGTCAAGGTTGGCGAATCGGTTGCTACCTTCATCTCTTCTGGCAACGACGCCGAGCCCAGCAAGGGCGCATACTCGACGATCGTCAAAGTCAAGGCTGATTCATTGATTCGGTTCCCTCGTCCATTGAAGGAGAGCAGCGGCAGCAGCTTGCCCTCCGATTTCCCCACCACCTACGAGCAGGCGGCTTCTCTTCCCTGTGCTCTGGTGACGGTTGCTCTTGCCTACGAAGAGTACAATCTGTGGGACATTTCTGCTGCAGGCTCCCACAAGGGCTATGCAGTGATCTACGGTGCTGTTTCATCTCTCGGTTTCCAGGCTGCTCAGATCGCCAAGCATCTTGGATTCACCGTGATTGCCATTGCCTCGAAGAAGCACGCCAAGCTGCTGGAATCCGTCGGAATCACCCATGTCGTTGACTACCACGACAAAGATTTCATCGAGCAGGTCCGCAAGATCGGCGGCGACGAAATCACTTTTGGTTACGATGCCATCTCCTTCGACGAGACGTATGCCAACATTGTGCAGATGGTCTCTACTACCAAGCCTGTCAAGATCAATCTGTCTTTGCCTGGGCTGAAGGAGCCCAAGAAGGGTGCCAATGTCACCGTTGACATCCCTCTTGCCTACCTGATCGAGGACAAGGAGAAGGACTTTGCTGGGTTCGTTCTCAAGGGCAAGCCCAATTATATTACCGACCGCCCCCGCTACATCAACCACCTTAGCCAGCTCATTGCTGACAAGCAATTGAAGAGTTTGCCTGTCAAGGTTGTTGGCCAGGGCATCGATGCCGTCCCGGCCGGAGTCGATGCTATTCGCAAGGGGGTTTCTGGCGAAAAGATTGCCATCCGTCTCTACTAATCATCGCCTACCGTTCCATAACTTCATAGCATAAAAACCATCAACGCAACACGGAGAATAAGGCCACCAAAAAAATGAATTTGCCACTTGACTATTTTGATTATTCTACCGAGGTCGATCCCCCCATTTTGGGTTTCTTTCACTGCACTTTTGCTGCATGATCTTACAAATTATGCATAGGCGTTAGAGCATAAAACGTGGCTGCAGGCTTGCGCTCACCATTAACAATGAGCACACGCACACTATGGTATGCTGTTAACAAAGAGCTGGTAAAGAAGCAAGTTCCTGTGCCGACCCTCGACGCGGGTGAGGTTTTGGTCAAGGTCAAGGCAATTGCCTTCAACCCCACAGACTACAAGCACCTTGATTTTGGCATTGCTCAGAACTCTGGTCTTGGCTGTGATTTCTCTGGTGACATCGCAGAGGTAGGCTCTGGCGTCAGCCTCGTCAAGGTCGGTGATTCTGTGTCGGGCATGATCTCTGGCGGCAACGACGAGCGCCCCGAGAGGGGGTCGTTCACTGACTTTGTCAAGGTCCACGAGACCCAAGTTTTCAAGTTCAACAGCCTCAAGATCGATGGCAGCAAGGAGATTCCCGCTGGTGCTCCCACCACTTACGAGCAAGCTGCTTCTTTGGGCGCCTGTCTCGCAACCACTGCGTTTGCCTATGAGTCCTACAACCGCTGGGATACCAGCAAGAAGAACTCGCAGTCGGGCTACGCATTGATCTACGGTGGTGTGAGCTCTCTTGGCTTTATGGCTGGCCAGGTTGCCAAATATCTTGGTTTCAACGTTATTGCTGTTGCATCCAGCAAACACAAGGACCTTCTCAAGTTGGTTGGCATCACCCATGTCGTAGACTACCATGATGAGGATTGGGTTGAGCAGGCTCGCAAGATTGGTGGTGATGACATTGTGTATGCCTATGACACAATTTCGTTTGCCGACACACTGTCGTTAGTGTGCAAAGCCGTTTCTACCACCAAACCGGTCAAGATTAACGTCTCTCTGCCTGGCACCCCTGAGCCTGAAAACTTGGGCAAGAACATCACCATCGACGCTCCTTTGACATACTTGATGTCTGACCCCTATAAAATTTTCGGTCCCCGACGTATCGAGGGCGAGCCCCACTTTATGAAGGATGCTCCTACCAACATCGCCCACGCCAACAAGCTGCTTGCTGAGGGGGTGATCACCGCACTGCCCGTGACTGTGGTGGGTGAGGGTATCGATGCCATCCCTGCTGGCATCAATGCCATTCGTAAGGGCGTTTCAGGTGAGAAGGTTGTTATCACACTCTAAATCTAACTATATACACTAGCCAGGCTTAAAATATCCCATGCACGAGGTTTCGTCGCTCCGCCTATGACGTAATGGGCGAGGCTGGATAAATAAACAGAGGTGGCCTCAGCCGCTTTGTCCGACTTATGGATTGTATTCTGCGTAGACGCTGTATATAGCAATACCCACACACTGCACCCATATATACGACCTCGGCCGCTGCCCGAGGCACCCGACTCTGTTCAAAAGACGCTTGGTGCGCCATTCCAGCCCTTTTTACATAAGTATCTCAACCTCTAATCATCACACCTCCACGGTTAGTATAGACCCCTCACGCGAGAAATACTATGCCACAGTTCATAGGCGTATACAAGGCGCTCTATGGGTATACATCTGCAGGCCCAGAGGAGCTGACGTTCGCCGAAAATGACATTTTGTACCTTTTGGAGAAAGCTGACGACGGCTGGTGGACGGTCAAGAAACGGATTGCTGGCCAGGCCAACGACGAGCCCACAGGGATTGTTCCTAAAAACTACATTGAATCCGCAACGCCATCGAGCACTGCCAAGGCACTTTATCCATATGAACCTCAAACCGACGAGGAAGTGCCGTTCTCTGCCGGCGACTCGTTCGAGGTGTTCGCTGAGGACGGCGACTGGGTTCTGGTCGGGGTCAACTCGAAGTATGGTTTCGCCCCGGCGAATTATCTAGAGATGGCTTCGGCCCCAAAGACTCCGGCCAAGGATTCTCTGCCCGCTGCGAGTGCGCAGGACGCTCCCGCTGCGGTTCCACGCCCTGCTCCGTCATCCTTTGCGGCTCCCCCCGTGCATCCTCAAGTGTCCGCATATCACGCATCGGGAAGCTCGTCCCGCGTGGACCGCATTGATTCCCGCGGAGACGAAGAAGAGGCGCCTCCGCCCAAGCCTCCTCGGCCGTCGGACGGTGGTGGACGCTCTCGGGCCAACACCAACGACAGTAATCGAGCACGTTCTCTGTCCCCAGCCGACAGACCCTCATTCCGCTCGTGGACAGTGCAAGAGATTGATGGAAAATCAAAGTCGAAAGCCACGTTATCGGTGTCGGAGACGACCATTTTGCTGTCCCCCGACCGGGGCCCCCAGCAGCAGTGGGACGTTCCGAACCTTATGAGCTACTCTTCGGAGAAAAAACATGTATTTTTGGAGTTCCAGAAGCCTCGTGCGTCGCTTGATCTCAAGACTAGCTCGCAAAGCATCAGCGACCAGATTGTTGCTGCGATCGGCCAAGTCGCCGGAGCATCGAGAGCTGCCGGTCTCACTGAAGTTTTGGTGGCTGCCAAATCCGCAGGACAACGTAGTGGAAAAGCCGCTTTGGCATTCAAAGCTGCAAACGGCCGTGAACTCACTGTGCGAGAGGGCGAGACTCTGTTTATCATTAATCAAAAGTCGAAAGAGTGGTGGTTGGTCCGCAATAAGGAGGGCAGAGAGGGCCTTGTTCCCGCATCGTTTGTCGATTTAGACGATGATATCGAGAAAAGAACACTCTTCAACCGGTTTGGTCGGAAAAACAATGCAGGCAAGGAAAGAGAAAAGGAACGCGAGCGTGATAGAGAGCGCTTTTTGGAGCAGAGGGCCCGTGGTCGGGATGATCATGACCGCGAGCGTGACCGCAGCCGTGACGGCGATCGCGATCGCGACAGACGCAAGTCTCGACACTCGAAGCGGCCCAGCTCGAGCGACCGCAAGTTACCCGATTCCCGCAAATTGCGCACTTGGACAGACCGGTCTGCCACTTTCCGTGTAGAAGCTGCTCTTATTGGCGCTTCTGATGGTAAGGTGCATCTTCACAAGTCCAATGGTGTGAAAATTGCTGTTCCTGCATCCAAACTGTCGGTTGGTGATCTTGACTATGTCGAGAGTGTTTTAGGAATCTCTTTGTCTGAGGACAAACCTCTCTCAGAAATCCGTTCCAAGTCTGGCCGACATGATCAGTCTTCGGTTGCTGCTGCGGTTGACGTTATTCCAAGCCCTAAGATTGGATCCGGCAATAACCGGTCTAGTGATCAGGAGAAGACTATTGATTTTTGGTTCCAATTTTTCTTGGATTGTGGCGTTGAACCTAATAATTGCCAGCGCTATGCTACGAACTTTGCCCGAGACAAGATGGACGAGAGCGTGTTACCTGAAATCACGCCCCCAGTTCTTCGGAATCTTGGTCTCAGGGAGGGCGATATTCTCCGGGTGACGAAGAAGATTAGCGAAAAGTATGGATCAGCTAATGAATCTGCTGGTGCCAATACATCTACCGACGACGCGTGGACTCCTCGTCCCGTTGCTCAAGCTGCATCTCCCCCGGCTGCTGCCCCTGCACCACTGGCCGCTCAGTCGACGGCTCCCGTAGCCGCACCTGGTCCGGTTCTTACTCCGCAGGCTACAGCTCCCCAGCCTCTGCAACGCTCAGCCACTGCACCAATCCAGGCAACGCAGACAGGGCCTTTTGCCAAGCCTCTCAACAGCACTCCTACGGGAGCGTTGGCAGATCTTTTGGGAATGACTAGTTTGCAGCCTCAGCAAGCGACCCAAAGTGCTTCTCAGCCTGCACTCCAAGCTCAAAAAACAGCTGAGGACAAACTCGCATCTCAGCAGCGTCAACATCAGCAAATGATCTTGCGCCAGCAAGCCGAGCTGCAACAACAGCAGATTAAACTCCTCAAGGAACAGCAGTCTGTTCTCAAGCAACAACAGGATGAACTTGTCAAAACACAGACAGGCATTGCCCAGGCCATGACGGGCATGCGCACCGGAGGACTTGATCCGTTTGCTACTGGTGTTGCTGGAGGCGCGTTTGGCCAGTTCGGAACTTCAGCAGCCATTCTCGCTGCTCCCCCGCCCCCCCAACCGCGTGGTATTGGATTTCAGACCAGCTTCCCGGCTGCTTTCCCTGCTCAAACCACGGGAGGTCCATTCCAGGCCCAAATTACAGGGGGCCCATTCCAGGCCCAGACTACTGGAGGTCCGTTCCAAATCCCAACAGGCGGCCCGTTCCAGGCTCAGACCACCGGAGGACCATTCCAGGCCCAGACTACTGGAGGACCATTCCAGACTCAGACCACCGGAGGACCATTCCAGGCTCAGATCACTGGGGGACCATTCCAGGCCCAGACCACTGGTGGCCCATTCCCCCAGTCTAATGGTATGCAGGCACCATTCGGAGGACCTGCAACGACTTTTGCAAGCACTGGGCCCCAACCCCAGGGCGGAGGGCCTTTCCAGACCACATTCCAGGCTCAGCCTGTTGCTCAGCAGTTGACGGGCGGCCCGTTCCAGCCCTTGGGGATGAACCGGACTGGTGGACAACCCACACTGGCGCAGCTGCAAATGCAACAAACGGCGTCTCAGCAGCCGATTCACGCACCTGCGGCTGCGCCTGCTACGACGTTTTCCAACGATCCGTTCGCGGCCATCTTAGGAAAGGGTCCGAGCCAGCCCCAACCGTTCTCTGTCGGTCAACCGTTCTCTGCTGGCCAGTTCCAGTCTGCACCAGCGCCTGCACAGCCGTTCCAGTCGCAGCCGACTTTCCAGCCCCAGCAAGCTTTCCAGGCTCCGCAAGCTTTCCAGTCCCAGCCAGCTTTCCAGTCCCAGCCAGCTTTCCAGTCCCAGCCAGCTTTCCAGTCCCAGCCAGCTTTCCAGTCCCAGCCAGCTTTCCAGGCTCAGCAAGCTTTCCAGCCACCAGCACCGCAGTCGTTCCAGCAGCCGCCGCAACCCAACCAAGCGGCGTTTCAACCGACGTCACAGTTTGGCCAGGCGTTGCAACAGCAGCGGACGGGCGGTGAGCTGCAAAGCCAACCGACAGGATTCGGATTCGGCAACCAGCGAACAGGTAATCTTGCAGCCGCCACGGCAAACAATCCGTTTGGATTCTAGCGAGAAAAAGAAAACAATAACATATCAACAGGCCTTACTATATAATACATTAAATGATGGTATAACCGCCGTCAATGAGCATGTCGGTGCCCGTGCAAAACGAGGAAGCGTCGGAGGCGAGGTAAATGCAGGCGGCAGTAAGCTCGTCGACGTCACCAAGCCGGCCCATGGGGGTGCGCTCCTTCCACTCGTTGAAGAGGCCCTTGTAAGCGCGGTTCAGGGCGGTATCCATATAGCCGGGCGAGATTGAGTTACAGCGGATTTTGTGGACGGCCCACTCGGCGGCGAGGGACTTCATAAGGTGACGGACGCCGGCCTTGGAAGCGTTGTAGGCGCTTTGCGGCTGGGGCCAGTTGACGATGTGACCGGACATGGACGCAATGAATACAATGGAGCCACCGGTTCCCTGAGAAATCATGTGACGGGAAGCGGCCTGGGTGACGATGAAAGAACCATTGAGGTTGATGTCGATGACGCGGCGGAATTTCTCCAGCGGGTACTCCTCTGCGTGGACGAGATCGGCAACGCCGGCAGAGTTGACAACGATGTCAATGTGGCCGAAGTCGGCGGCGATTTGGTTCATGATCTCATTAACGGAGACTTCATCACGAACATCGGTTTTGTAGAACTGCGACTTGACCTTGTAGGTCTCGTGGAGGCGCTTGGCCGCGTCGAGCCCCAGCTCCGTGGAGACGTCGAGGATGATGATCGCCTCAAGACCGACGGAGCACAGGCCCTCGGCCATAGAGTAGCCAAGACCACGGGCGCCGCCAGTGACAACGCCGACTTTGCCGTCCAAACGGAACAGACTCATGAAGTTTTTGGGCTGGGTCGAAGGCTCCGCCTGGGAGGCAGCCGCGTCGGCTAGGTCCTGTGCGGTGGGTGCGGGAGGCACCACGGCGCGCTTAGCAGTGTTATCAGTCATGTTTGCGGGGGTTTCTCTGGTGTTTTAAGCTCCGGTCCAGGCCTGTGAATGAAGGGGTGTGGGAGCAACCTGTGATGCCTCTACTTCCTATTTAAATAACTTCCCACTTGGTGTTTTTTTATCGGGGCTAGGGTGTATTACTAGCCAACCGGCGCACCTCCAACGGAAATAGATGCATGGAAAACTACCGATCTTTTCTCTTTTCGCGTGTGATCTGGGAATTTTTTCTTGTTTATGGATCCTATATCTGTGTTAATACTCGATTAGCCCGGAGCCGTTAGCCCGGTGCGTCGGCGTGTTCCCGAGCGGTTGTTTCCCCGTGCTCTCGCTGGCTGCATTTGGTTGAGCAAGTTGGGTTGCCCGCGACCACGGCAGCCAACTGGGGCAGGCGGAAGTCCGGGATCAGCGGTACGGGGACCCGCCTCGACCAAATGCTTTCTAGCCATTGCCCGTCTCCATCGCTCCAGACTCACCTCGCTTGGACCGCCTGGCTGCTGCAAACCTGGAAAGAAAACGGTGCTGCAAGCATAATTACATCATAATTGCTTTACTGCTGCGTGGGTCAGAACCCTAAAAGAGGTTCAAAGGGCAGGAAAAAAGGCGCAGGGTTACTGATTATGTCGAGATAAGACTATTTCAATAAGTTTCTACATAGTTGGCAGGGAAAATGCCCTGTTTGCCGCCCAATTCTCCAGTCCACCAGTCGTCTGTTGAGTCTGATTTTTCCACAATGTGGATAATGTCTCCCTTTTGGAAAGACAGGTCGCCGGTCTGTTCGCCGCGGAAAGTGTAGAGGGCCCGGGCCCGGATTCCTCCTTTGCTTGACCCGGAGGCAGAGCGGCTTTGGCTAGGGGAGTCCAGACGAGAGTCGCGGGTGTCTCGAGGCCCGCTTCGGTCACGGTCGCGGTCGTGGCTGCTGCCGTAACGGTCACGGTCGCCACGGTCACTGCGGTCGCCGTATCGATCCCGGCTGCTGCTGCCATAACGATCACGGTCGCCACGGTCGCCACGGTCACTGCGGTCGTGGTCGCGGTCCCGGTCATCATAGCGATCACGGTTACCATAGGAGTGATCCGCGTAGCGGTCTCTGTCGTCATAGCGGTCTCCGTAGTCTCTTCTTCGCGGAGCACTGCGTTCTCGGCGATCTGTGTAATAATCATCATCATCATCGCTCAGGTCGTCATCTTTGTAGCGGCCAGATGGACGGCCCGCTCCACTCGCTCTCATGCTAGAGCGCTGCTCATAGTCATTGGTGTACCGCCTGCCATCGCGTTGGCGGGGCGCTGAATATACGTCATCGAAATCATCGTCCCGAGAGTACCTCGAGCGGCTGTCGTAGTCGGTATCAAAATCTGGAATATCGTCGTAAAGACTGTCGCCATAGTCGTCCTCGTCCCAATCGGCTCGGAATGCCTTTGAATCAAGCACCTGGAAAAGCGGTGCCACTGAGCGAGGGGGCCTGACTCTTCCGCTAAGAATACTTCGCGAAGTACAGCTGCTGCTTCCGTAGAACTTGCGGTTGGCTTCCCGACGCTCGACAATTACGGAGCCCTCAAGAGAGACACCAGCAAACAGACCCTTAGTTTTTGCGTAAGAGAACACGGCCGTGGCATTGGACGCAGAAACACCGCCAGCCGCTTCTGCGTTTCGACCCAACGGCCCAGCGGCCAGAGACATATTTCCACCGAGGGTAAGAGAGCCGCCACGGGCGAATGTCTCGACTGCTTCACGGGTGTTCAGAATAAAAATAAAGTCAGTGAGCTCCGCACCAATCTGGCCGCCGACGCCAGCGCCGCCCGTCATGATCGCACTAGGCGGGGACCACGAGCCATCAGGAAGGCGAGCAACAAGGACACCCGAACCGGCACGGCCGGAGAACAGAAAGCCAGCCTTGAGCACGGTAATGATCATTAGGCCCTTGGCGTTGCGCAGAACATGCGGCGGAATCACAGAGTCGTAGTTGATTAACTGGTTGGGCTTCACAAACGAAGCGAGAATCTTGGCCGCCTTCTGGCTCTCCTTGCCTAGATCCCTCGGTACTGGATTGTTAATTCCCATGATTATTTCCTCGTAGCCTCGATCTCAGATTCCCAAAAATAAAACCGTCCAAGTGATTTCCAGTTGATGGTATGTGGCTGGGGGTGGGAGCCTGCCGGTTTGCCGCTTACGTGACCAATGCCGACGGTTGCTGCAGGCAGGCTAATCGACCCTCTTGGCGCTGAGCGGGTGCAAATATACTGGAATTGGCCATGTGCAGACACCCTATCACCAAGAACATCGCCGCACCCTGCCGGCCGACTCGCCCCATATATGCCTCCCCCAGCTTGATGCATCTCATATTACGCCGCCTGCATGCAACCTATCATCCCAAGTCATCATGATTCGGCGGTTCACAGTTTCTCGGGCCAATGGATTAGCTCTGTTTAAGCGTGCCCCTAAACGATTTGTAGCTCCGAATTATGCACCTCGATTTTACTCGGAGGCCCGGCCTCCCAAAAAGACCCGGAAATTCGCTATGGCTCTGTTGAGGCTAGGCGCAGTAGCCGTTGCTATACCTGTCGGCTATCTCGCGTTCTTCTTTTTGTACGATGCCACTACTTACAAGGATGGGCCTCTGGAGGTCGAATGCGATATCCCCCTCAGTGCCCTGCATCTGCGTCGCGGCGGGCCCAAGAACCTGCCCATTGCAGAATCTTGGATTGACGACCGAGAGCTCGGCAATGACAGCGATCGACCGAACCTGGTCATTGTCGGCAGCGGATGGGGTGCAATTAGCTGTATGCGTAGCATCGATACCACAAAGTACAATGTCACAATGGTTTCGCCCACTAATCACTTCCTGTTCACGCCGCTGCTTCCGTCGGCTGCCGTGGGCACCCTATCTTTGGACTCCTTAATGGAACCGGTGCGCGATATGTGCCGGAAACGTGGTGTCCGGTTTGTTTCTGCTGCCGCAGATGACATTGACTTTGAGGATCGCCTGCTGGAAGTTCGCTCCGACAGCCCCAATGGCGATTCCGTCCACTTCTACATCCCGTACGATGAGATTGTTTTTGCGACCGGGGCCAAATCAAACACCCATGGTGTTCCCGGATTGCAGTATACTTATGCTTTCAAGACCGCGCTTGATGCGCAGGAGGTCAAGGAGGCTATTTGCCGAAACCTGGAGATGGCCGCTTTGCCCTCGACTTCTGAGGAAGAGCGTAAACGATTACTCTCTTTTGTGATCTGCGGAGGCGGTCCAACTGGTGTCGAGGTGGCAGCCGAGGTCTACGATCTGCTGCGAGAGGACGTTATCAGAAAGTACCCCAGCCTGCTTTTGAATAATTCTAGCGTGCATATCATCCAGAGCCGGTCGGCTATTTTGAATACCTATGACGAGAAAATTTCCGAGTTCGCCATGCAACGGTTTGCTCGCGATGGAATCGACCTGCAGCTCAATTCTCGCGTCGAGGAGGTACGTCCGGGATCTGTCTTGTACTCCCAGCGGCTGTCGGACGGTACCAAGCAGATCTATGAGTTGCCCAGCGGGCTGACCCTGTGGACCACAGGCATCACCACTACCCGATTTACCCAAAAGCTCTGCGAAAAACTGCCCGAGTTCCAGCATAATAAGCGGGCTCTTGAGACTGATTCGTACTGCCATGTAATTGGCGCCCCCGCCGGTGTGTATGCCATCGGTGACTGTGCCACGATCCGCACAGATCTTGCTGCGGATCTCAAAAAGATCATGGTGAAACACGCCAAGAAGCGCCATGGAACCAGCAGTGGCTATATTGACCGGCTCACCGTCAAACAGGCTATTTCCATTATCGATCGGATGATTGCTGAAGAGCCGCAAGCGGGCTACATCTTGAAGACTATGCGCGAGCGTCTGTTGCATGAGCGTCCCCAGGACGAGGAGCTTAGCTACGACCAGACTGTGGCCGCCCTTCAGGATGCAAACGCCAAAGTGGTCTCTCTTCCGGCTACGGCTCAGAGAGCGCATCAGCAGGGTGAATACATTGCGCAAAAGCTCAATGCGCTGACTGACAATCAAGATGAGCGCATGTACAGACCGTTTGCCTTCAAAAACCTGGGGTCAATGGCTTATGTTTCGAACGGTGCCATCATTGACACCGGCAGATTCCAGTTCCTTGGCGGTGTTCTAGCTATGTACGCCTGGCGTAGTGCCTACATGACAATGACGGTCACACCTCGTGCTCGTTTACATATGGCGTTTGATTGGATGTACCGTGGTCTTTTTGGTCGCCAAATCTATCTCCACGACCGGCAAAAGTAGAAATCTAATAACTACAGTCACGTGACATATACACTCCTGCTGACCTGCGTGCTTTAAAATGCTGCGGGTTGCATAGGAATCCCACCTTGATGACATCGTTTTTCAATGGGGTGTTAGCTGTTGGTGCGGTGGCAGCCTGGCTTGTGATGTGGTTCAAAGGCCTTCCCGGCAAAGACAAGCCTTTGAGCAGGTCACTTCTTATTTTTGCGGCGGCTATTGCTGTTCAATTGCTTATCGAGAAGAGTGTGGCATTTGAGGACATCTATGCTATCTCGAAAACGCCGGCAGCCATGGAGCCCAAGAGTCTGGCGGTGAGGCTTAGTACTGTGCGCGAGCTCACTCAAGAAGACCTAGATGTGCTGGGCTGGTTGGAGTCGCTAGGCCCTGACGGTGGACGCATTTACAGACTAACTGGTCCTCAAGGCATGAAATGTAGTTGGTGCGTCTGGCCACTCGCCGCTGGAGAATCTTATAGCTCCTTGTCTGTGAACTTTATGGTTTATACGGGGATGTTTAATTTGTTCAGGACAGCGCTTGATTTTTTTACACTGGCGTTTGCAGCTGCGCACTCGATCCACAGCTCGAGGTGGTTCAAAGTGCAATGCTTGATTCTGATTCCACCGCTTATTGAGTTTGTTGTTAAAGCAAACTTTATCGAAGCTGTTAAATTCAATTTGATCTCGGTGTTTCGCGCTACGACCCACTCCAACCTTTTGATGGGTGCTGCACTGCTGGTGTATCTTGAAGAGCGCATGTGGGCATCTGCGCGATCTTATGCCCCCGAAAACATTCTCGCCAAGGCAAATTCGAGTTTGGCATACAATATGAGGAACTTGGGCGCGCTTTATTTCATGGGTACTCTCAAGGGACGCGACGGTGACCTAGGCACACTGGAGCAAAAATACTGGGAAGAGCAAGAAGGTTTTGTACAGAAAGTATGGAAGTCTGTGGACAAGAAATCACCACCAAGTAGCGAGGATACCGCGTTTGCGGATAACGCTTTAGCAACTTTGACGTCACGAGATGGATCGCAAGTTGGATACACGTTGGGCGGAACCGATCCCAGGACACTGCGACGAATTCTTGGGTTACCTCAGTAATTTGTTGATTTGACTCCAAAAAACAACTTATTTATTTTCCGGCTAGCACGTCCGGCTAGCTCGGCCTGGCTACGTCGTTGCATAAGCATACGGTAGTGCGTCTGCAGCATTAGAATTTTTTGGGCTGCCTTGCAGTACGCTCAACACCAAACCTCGCTTGCGAAACAGTGGGGCCGTGGCTTGGCTACGATTTAAACGCCAAATTGGGCAATGGTTTGCGTCAGATTTCCGTTTACAAAAGATATGTTTTGAAAGCGGCGGCTACAAAGAACCACTTTAGAGATTGATGGACGCATCGGCTAGTGGCAACGTGTCCTAAGCATATTTGGTGATTGATTTGGTGTGCTCTGTACGCGCATGAGCCGGAACAGCAGGTGGATTGCCTTGTTGTTGACCTTCCGAGGGTGGAAAACTCCGTTTCTGAGGAAAGCCATTCGCGTATAAGGTCACATGGCTGTGTACTAGTTGGTTTGTGCAAACCTGCATAGAACCTGCATAAGGATGCAGGAAAGGGCTGCACATGAAAGGGCCTGACCAATCATTCATCGAGTTTGCCACCCGTACCCAACCAGACCCTAACCCATTATTCAATCTATATAAACAACGCGTCTCCCACTTTTGGGTCTGTCCGGCACAGAGGTTAGGAAATATACCTAACCACTATAATTTTTTTTTCCTGCTCTGGTTTCTTTGTCAGCACTTGGCCCTGCTAATCAATTGAAACGCACTGCTTTTTCAATTTATTATTATTTATTCCCAAGGAGACATTAATTTGTTAATCCTTTGTTCCGAAAGTTGCATAACTTAAGTACCACGATGGATGCTCTAGCTGTTCCCACTACTCCTGCCCAAGCCAGATCGCTTGCTTCGTCGCTGTCGTTTCCTGGTGACCCCAATGATCTGTCGAATGGCAACATTGCAAATGAAAGTTCTAACACAGAATCTCTAAAAGGTGAGCCTGACGAGCAGGGATCTTCAGGCCTCGTGCCTACTCTGCAGAACATTGTCGCAACCGTAAACTTGGCTTGCAGGCTGGACCTCAAGACCATTGCGTTGCATGCGCGTAATGCAGAGTACAATCCCAAGCGTTTCGCTGCCGTAATTATGCGTATTCGTGAGCCCAAGACAACAGCGCTTATTTTTGCCTCGGGCAAGATGGTTGTTACTGGTGCCAAGAGTGAAGACGACTCTCGTCTTGCTTCTCGCAAATACGCCCGTATTATTCAGAAGCTTGGCTTCAATGCCAAGTTCACCGATTTCAAAATTCAAAATATCGTTGGTTCTTGCGACGTCAAGTTCCCGATTCGTCTTGAAGGCCTGGCTTTCAACCACGGAACTTTCTCCAGTTACGAGCCCGAGCTGTTCCCTGGCCTCATTTACCGTATGGTCAAACCCAAGATCGTGTTGTTGATCTTTGTCTCTGGAAAGATTGTTTTGACTGGTGCAAAACAACGCCAAGAGATTTACGACGCCTTTGAGAATATTTACCCCGTATTGTCCGAGTTCCGAAAGAGCTGATGACGTACGCCATTTGAACAAAAAATTTCCACCGCGATTAGTTAACTAGCTTCAAGAAGCCAAAGATGCTTTTCCTCTGCGATCAGGTTTTACAGATCCCCGCGGATCCCAAAATTATATTATTACCATAAAACCTTACAAAAAAACTGAAAACCCATGAAAATCGACAAAAAAAAAAGTAGCCCGTAAGTCAAACCTCCAAAAACCTAAAGTCCAACTACACCAATTAGTAAAGAATAGGAATCTACAAAGAATCTAAGGGTCCAAGGATCCAGGAATCCAAGAACCTAAAAAGAATCCAACGCATAAACAGTAACCCTTAGAATGAAGCATTCTGTTTCATCTTGGGTTAGCCTCATAAGATAGAGTTATCTAATCAAGGCTATCCCTCATTCTGGTTTCAAGATTGGGCAGCGGCTGCGTTCAATCGAATCAACAGACTTGGAATAGCGGCTAACGAATGAGTGATGACCCGGACTGGCCCGACTCTAAATTCAAGGACCAGAACAAGCACCCGGACAGCCCGGAAACCTGGCCACGGCCAGATCCCGGGGTCAGTGCGGCAAAGTTCCCGTATCCAGCACCGCCAGGCAGCTCGGCTTCTTTGCCGTATTCAGTGTATTCGGGCGAACAAAGACCATTGCGTGTCTTTGACTCCACAAGCAGTTTCAATGTGCACGGGGTCGGCGACGGCGCGGAATTCTACGAAACTAACGATGGACTCAACCTCTTGAACGACTCTACAACCCATCTCGCGGCACCAAGCGAAGCTGGGACAAGAGAAAGAGACGAAATCGATGAAGATGACGACGTGGGCACGAGGCGAAGCCACCGCAGCCACCGCAGACGCCGTTCCAAACGACGAAAAGCCAAACCGTGGTACAAACAGGCCCCCTGGTGGACATGGACAGTTTCAGCGATCCAGATTGTGGTGTTTGTTGTCGAGTTTGTCAAAATGGGCGTCCTCACCGGGTCACCTGTCCAGACCAAGCCCTCGTTCAACCCAATGATCGGTCCGTCAAGCTATCTATTGATTAATATGGGAGGCAGATTTTCTCCGTGTATGCGGCCGAGTGATTATGCCCCCGACACGGTGTGGCCATGCCCCAATTCAACCAGCATCGATACAGACGTCTGCAGCCTTGCCGAGCTATGTGGCTTTGGCTTTAACCCAGAAGCACCAAACCAGTGGTGGAGATTCATCAGTGCCATGTTTTTGCATGCCGGAATCATCCACATTGGCTTCAACCTGCTGCTCCAGATTGTGCTAGGAGGAGCGCTGGAAAGAGACATAGGCATCGTGAAATACATGATTGTGTATTGGGCGTCGGGAATTGGCGGATTCATCATGTCCGGCAACTACGCTGGACGTGGAACAGTCACGGTGGGTGCCAGCGGTGCACTTTTTGGAGTGATTGCCATAGACTTATTGGACCTTCTTCTGAACTGGCAGCTCTACACCAGACCCCTGTGGAATCTTTTATTTATTATTATTGACATTGTCATCTCGTTTGTCTTGGGACTGCTCCCTGGAATCGACAATTTCGCCCACATTGGCGGATTCTGCGTCGGCATTCTTACGGGGCTTATCCTCATGCGTAGTCCGCTGTCTCTGAGACTAAAGCGGCCGGAGGACCGTCGACCGCACAAAAAGTTCGACGTCGTCAAGCTGGATATGAGCAAGCCGCTCGAGCACTTTAAAAACCGCACCGTCTACTGGTGGCTGTGGTGGCTCGTCAGGCTGAGCGCGTTCGCGACCGTCATCGTCTACTATGTGCTCTTGCTGCGCAATTTCGAGGAGAACCTGGACAACTGTAGCTGGTGCAAATACTTATCGTGCCTGCCTGTTAACGGCTGGTGCGACTCTGGCTATTAGCGATCTTTAACCTACTACAGTTATGCAGCATTTGGACTTTCATGCTTAGCCGACCTTCCGTTGCTGATCCATAGCTTACCCCACCACGGAATGAGGGAGGAGGATTAGGCACACCAGCGCTTAGGCACGACGGCCGGCCGGATTAATTCATAGATTTGTAGCTAGCTATCGAACGGACAATGCGACTCAAGCACACTAGTGCAAAATCCACCGCTTCTAACTCCCGTCACAAACACGAAAAAAATTTCCTCAAATATTTCACCTTTCGATCCTAAGCGATCCTGCTGCCTGCTTATACATGCAAACGGTTGGTTACGACCCGAGCCAGACGTCGCTCAATACGTCGTCCTCGTCTGTATACCAGGGATTTGAGACTGTCCAGAGCCCAGAAGAGTATTTGGCGGCGCCTCCGGTGTTGCTGAATGGTGACGAGCAACGGGCTGCGTTGGATGGCCCGCTTGCGTCTGCCGTTGAAGCCTGCCAGGACAATCAGGTACTGACAGCATCCGAGTTACAACGGCTTTCACGCAAGATCAAAGAGGTCGACACCAAGATCAGTGAAACGGCGGGCCAGCTCGAGGTCGAACACAAAATGGCCGAGGCAGCGTCTTCGTTATCTCGTTTGCATCTGGAGGGAAAAAAAAAGGAAAACCGCATGTCGCGGGTGTTTTCTAGTGGCGAGAAAGCGAAGAGACTCAGCAGACAGGCAGAAGACGAAATAGAGGTTAGCATGACCCGCATCAAGGATTTGGAGGCGAGCCTTTTACGACTCCAGTTCGATCGCTCCCAGCTAGAGCTCAGGATTGTTCGACACTACGCGGCGCTACTCGCACAGCATGCATTACACAGCCAGGCTGGTAATAATGCTGCCAGTATAGAAGGACCGCGTGGTCAGGCTCATGCCCGAACCGATTCCAGTCAGACCATGCGGGCCAGCAATTTCGGCGCCGAGGCCGATGTCCGGGACGAGATCGCCATTTTGGCAATGAAGATCAAAGCTACTTTGCCTAGAGCAGAGTTTAAAGATACCTCAGATCTTGCAGTTGTTTCAACTGGCATCAAAACGCTGGTTCAGGACCGAGGCCGCCTCAGCCGGGCCTTGCAAGACTCCCAGTCGGACGCTACAGCTCACCGAACCCGTGCAGAACAACTTAATTACCAAGTGAGCCAACGAGAAGCCGCCGAGGACCCTGTCGAGCGAGCAAGGCTGAACGCCGAGCTCCTTGAGCTCCAACGCAATCTGGACGACGAACGAAAGCGCACAAACCAACTGCGACTCCGCAGCGAGGCTCAGCGACAGGAGCTTGAGCACACGGTGACCTCGCTGGAGGAAGTCACGAGAATAGCCGTTGACTATGAACATGAACGGAACGGGTTTGGCGAAATCGTCGAGCAGCTGGAAGAACGAGTCAAGGACCTCGAAGCCAAGGACCTCGACTCACAAGCGGTCACCCGCCTCGAATCTACGGGCCCTTGCGGTATCCTCTGTCGTGAGTTCCGCAGTATTCTTCATGAACAGCAACAAAAGCATTGGATAGAGCTTCGCCGTCTCCGAGAACTAATTGTTAATGTGAACCGTAAACCAGCGCTTACCCCCACCCTCGCTGCCGCTCCCGCCGCTGAGCCCCACGGTACATCCACTCCTCCGCGGTCCAAGCCAAGCAGCGAACCGGTCCAAGAAATGAACATCACACCACCGCAGTCGTCTGATCGAGGACAGTCTGACGTCGTGCCCGAAAGCTTACCTAGAAGCTCATACATGCGCTATGAGGCTCAAGCAGAACCCGTGCAGATGCCGGCGTCTCCAGTGCGCGTGCCTGAACAATTGCAGATACAAAGTCCTATGGCCACCAGTCGAATGAGCCGTTATGCTCCCCACACACAACAACAGAAGCCTCAAGTGTCTAAGGACGATTATGATTTATTGTAACATATAGCATTTAATTCCCCATCTCTCCCTCTGGCATGTTTTCTTTCTCTGTCAGCTGCTCCCATCACATGCCCGAAGTCCTTTCTGCGCCGCGAAGAAATGGCAGTGGCGACGGCGGTGCCGCGGAAAGTCTGCAAGGGAAAGTGTCTGTTGAGACAATGGGAGATCGTGTAGTTCGTACAAAGCCACAGGACGGCTACGTACCGCCGAAATCATCCAAAGGCCGGTCCGGTGAGGACTCGTATGCCCTCGTCGCGGCTTTTGTTGCAGAGTTTATGTCTGATCTGCCGGACGAAATAATCAGATCGGTAACAGAGGCAGTGGTTAGCGTGGTCAGAGACGAGGATTTAACCGAGCAGGTCAAAATAACCGAGCTGGAAGACCTACTCGACACAAAGCTATCTACCGAGAAATACAACTCATTGCTGAACATTGTACGCAGAATTCCGCTAGAAACAGATGTTGAAATTGAAGAACAAGACGTCGCAGTCACCTTCGATGATGGAATGGATTTCGAGACCGAATCTGAGGACGACGATGACAGTGAGGCCTCTGAACTGCCCCCAATGCCTGCCCCAGAAATCGCAGTAGACCGCGATTGGCTGGCAAACTTTATTGAACCGACGGGGAAAACCGTGAGACAAGTTCTAGCTGCTCTGGAAGCGCCCCCAAACCAGCAAGAAAACGAACTGCTGGAACTCTTTGAATTTGAGCACCTCGATATCGTCAAAGTTCTTGTGCTCAACCGAGACCGCGTGCTATGGCTCACAAGACTGCATATGGCCGAAACAGGACCCGACCGTGACCAGGTACTGACTGAAATGGAGACAGCTGGAATGTCTCATTTGCTAGACCAGGCTATGCAGCAGGATCAACCGGCCATTGTTGATCTAGAGCTATTAGAAATGGATGCAAAGAAAATTCATGCACCAAAAGTCATATTGCCAGAAGGTTCAGAACGTGTAAGTGTCCGATCTTATGAACAATATACTATTCCTTATTCTCAGGATAGACCGGACCCCGTCACGCTTATAGATGTGGACTCGCTTCCGAAATGGATGCAACCGGCATTCACTATTAAAACTTTGAACAACGTTCAGTCTACAGTCTGCGATTTTGCCTTGAATTCCGATGGGAACCTTTTGGTATGTGCACCCACCGGTGCTGGCAAAACAACAATCGCGCTGTTGGCTATGCTGTCGTGCATCGCCAACTATCGCAAAAACGACACAATTGACTTGAGTGCTTTCAAAATGGTTTATATTTCACCCCTTAAAGCGCTTGTTCAGGAGCAGGTTCGCGAGTTTTCTAAACGCTTGGCCCCGTTTGGTATTTCCGTTGCCGAGCTGAGCGGTGACCAAACGTTATCGCATGATCAACTTGCAAACACACAACTTATTATTGCAACACCTGAAAAGTGGGATGTCGTCACTCGAAAGACAACCGATATCAGCTACACCGCCTTGACTCGTTTACTTGTCATTGATGAAATCCATCTTCTACATGACCCTCGTGGTCCTGCGTTGGAGAGTATTGTCGCGAGATCTTTAAAGTTTTCGCAAGATACTCTTCAACCTCTTCGTCTGGTTGGTCTTTCTGCCACGCTTCCAAACTATAAGGATGTCGCTCACTTTTTGCAAGCAGATAAGGGAGTATTTTCGTTTGATTCCCGTTACAGACCCTGTCCACTTACTCAAATATTTATTGGTATCACCGAAAAAAAACCGTTCAAAGCTTTGACAGCTATGAATGATGCTTGCTGGGACAAAGTACAGGAATATGCTGCTGAACAACACCAAATGATCGTATTTGTTCATTCTCGTAAAGATACGTTCAAAACAGCGCAGTTCTTGTTGGACCGTTCCCTAGAAGAATCCAAGCAAGGGCTGTTCAAGGCAAACCAGAAACCTGATTGCGACAACCCAGTATTAGCAGACCTGGTAACTCAAGGACTTGCTGTTCATCATGCAGGATTGTCTCGCAAAGATAGAACAACCGTTGAAACTCTGTTCGCTGAGCGCAAGATCACGGTCTTGGTTTCAACAGCCACCCTGGCTTGGGGAATTAACTTGCCAGCCCATGCGGTAATAATTAAAGGAACTCAAGTTTATAACCCCCAAGCAGGCTCATGGCAAGAGCTACAACCCCAAGACGTTTTACAAATGCTAGGCCGTGCGGGTAGACCTGGATTCGACAGATTCGGCGAAGGTGTGGTTATCACCCAGCATGCTATGCTTAATTATTATTTGGGTATTTCGACAGCGAATCTACCAATCGAAAGTCGGCTTATTTCCAGAATCTCAGATATGATCAATGCAGAGGTGGCCTTAGGATCCATTAAAAAGGTGGAAGATGCGGTCGAATGGCTTGGGCGAACATATTACTATATACGCATGCTTCGCGACCGAGTGGACTACCGGGTGGGTCCCGAGTATGACGATGATGAGTTTTTGGTTCAAAGACGCCGTGATCTGGCTCACACGGCCTTATCAATTTTGAGAAAAGACGGACTAATTACATACGACGGTAATGACGTCAAAATCACCAAGCTCGGCAGGATTTCAGCCGACTTCTACATCACTCCTGATTCGATGGCTACGTACGGTGAACAATTGAAATCTTATTTGGACATCATTGATATTATGAGAGTATTTTCTCGCTCGTCGGAGTTCAAATACATCCCAGTTCGCATTGAAGAGCGTGTAGAGTTGAATCGACTCGTCAACCTGGTTCCGATTCCGGTAAAAGAGCCCCCGACAGAGCCTGTAGCGAAGATGAATGTCCTTCTCCAGGCCTACATTTGTAGGCTTTCGCTTTCTGGATTCGCGCTTGCATCGGATATGATATATGTGGTTCAATCTGCGTCGCGTCTGATAAGAGCTATGTTTGAAATTGCTGTTGCTAATAAATGGGCCCAGCTCGCTCGCAAACTTTTGGACTTGTTCAAAATGGTGGACAGAAGAATGTGGCTCACATCTACGCCATTCAGACAGTTTCCCACTTGTCCTGTGGAGGTAATTCGAAAGACCGAGGCATCGATGCTCCCGTGGGAGCGTTACTTTGACCTGGATACTCCTGCTGAGTTGGGCCAGGCAATTAGAAGTCCGCGAGATGGTGAACTTGTGCTAAGCCTTCTTCATCAATTCCCCAGGTTTTCGATCGAAGCCCAAGCTCAACCACTGACACATACTATGGTCCGTGTTAATGTCGAAATTACTCCAACATTTGACTGGAACAGCGAGCTTCATAATAAAGCTGAGAGGTTTTGGTTGGCGGTGGATGACGGACAAGACAATCTTTTGTACTCTGAGTGGTATATCTGCCGGGAAAACACGGAAACACAAACAGCATCCCTGCCAATAATAATGAATTCTCCACTCCCAGCTAATTTATTTGTTTCTTTGATCAGCGATCGATGGTTACACAGTGAGTCAACAGCGGTGGTTAGCTTGCGGCATGCTTCGATGCCCCGGAAATTTTTGGCACCATTGGTGGTTGAAAAAGAGCAGGTTCGCGCTGTGCTGCTAGAAACCGACGAGAATGTTTATGTCGGTCAAATGAATCATTGGCAGGAATATGTGAAGATGGTTTATGACAGGCATAGAGATGAACCAGGTACCATACTAGTTCTATTTCCGCAGCGTGGTCAAACTGAAATTGCCCGGAAACTATTGGATGGGGAGGTTTTGACCGATGACCTTTCTGTTTTTGCTCAAAATAAAATGCTGCTAGCTTGGGTCGGTGATTTCGAACGGTTAACTAGACGATGGAGACGCAGGAGAGCTTTACACATTATCAACGTGCTCGTGTGTGTGGATCTTCATACCATTGGTGGCCACTATGGATTCCTCTACGAGCTTTGTATTCTGCGAATCGGGTATATGTCCACGCAGCTTGAAAAACCCTTACGTGTTGTAGGTGTTGGACTTCCTGTTGCTCCGATTGAGCTTGGAGCCTGGCTGGGAGCTTCAAAAGGGAACATATTCAGTGTTTCTTCAAAACTGAACTGGGAGATCAAATCAGTCATTCCTAGACCTTACAAGTCCCAGATGCTTGTGCTGGCTCGTCCAGTTTTAGAGGAGGTCAAGGTTGCGCTAGAATCTGGCAAATCAGTAGTGGTGTGGGTTTCCGACCATAGTCAGGTTCGCCGAACATTGAAGGATCTTCTACGCTTGGCTGCTGCGGCTCAGTTCAACTTGCCTGTTCCTACTGATTCGGAAGAGAGCAAATTCTTGATCTTACCACAGGAATCTCTTGAAAAAGTGCAATGCGATGTTAGCATCATCATGAATACAGAGAAATATGATGCTAATGAGGACAGATATGCACCTTATACTGCAGCCCGTGTTGTCGAGATGGTCGCAAGCGGAAGCCAGGCTACTGTTTACACACCTTTAACTTACCGCGATTACTATACCAAATTCCTCTCGGAACCACTGCCTGTGGAAAGCCATGTACAGTTTGCTTTGGCTGACAGCTTTGCAGTGGAGATCAGTGAGGAAATCATTCAGTCGGCTGCTGATGCGATCGATTGGTTGACCTACACTTATATGTTCACGAGGCTCAAGGCGAACCCGACCTACTACGGGGTTAAGAGTGTGTCTGAAGATGATGTCAATGAGTTCTTGAGTGAACTTGTCGAGTCAAACTTTGAGGAACTGAGCGAGGCAGATGCTATCGATGTTGATGGCGATGAAATGGCTGTTAGTCCGAGGAATGGTGCATTTATCGCTGCACACTATGCATTATCTACGCAAACTTTGGCGATTTTGTCCAAGCTGGGCAGTAAGTTCCGGTTGCGGACACTACTTGAGCAACTTTGCTCTGCTGGAGAGATGGAAGCTGTGCCGCTTCATGGTGGTGACGATATAATCCTCAACACGCTTTCCCACCAGCTTCCTTTACAGTTCAGTGATGCAAGTTTGACGCCGAATGCCAAGGCGTTTTACCTTATCCAAGCGCACCTTTCGCGCGTCCAGTTACCGAGCTCGCAAGCTTCTGATCTTCTCGAGGCTCTAGACGTTGTGTTACGCTTGATTAAAGCTACAATTGACGTTCTTGCGGGCGATGGATACCTTTCGGTCCTTACTGCTTTGGATCTGCATCAGATGGTAACTCAAGGAATGTGGGCGAAGGAGTCACCGCTTTTGCAGCTACCTCATGTAACACGGGATATCATTGATCGTTGCAAAGACCATGATATATTGGGTATTCATGATTTTATGGCTATAGAGGATGATGATTTACGTTTGGAAGTGCTCGGTATGAAAGAAGGTGACGAACGGCTAGTTGACATCGCCAACTTTGTCAATCGTTACCCAAGCGTTGATTTAACTGCCAAGCCAGATGGGGCCGTTATACCAGGAGAACCAGCTCACATGCTAGTTGTGGTTGAGCGTGACGTGGACGAAGATACGCAAGTTATTGGAAAGCTGCCCTGGAACACGCGAGAAAGCTGGTACATTATTATCGGCAACCCCCACACAAAGGAGCTCTATGGGTTCAAGAAGACCCAGCTAGTCGAGGAAGAACAAACGATATCAGTTGAGTTCACTATCCCTGAGGCTACCGCGTCTGTCACTGTATGGTGTGCGTGCGATAGCTATATCGATGCGGACAAGCAAGTTATAGTTGACCTGTAATATTATTTAGTGGATACTTCTTCCATGGGAGCCGGAACAGTATTAGATTGGTGTTGTTCTAAATCCTCAATCTCCCATACCGAAATGCCCTTCTGGTCTTCGGGGTTAACCGGCTGGGCCATTCCGCGCAAGAACTTTTTCGCAGCCGCAATCGCCATATCAGTTGACAGATTGACATCTGCATCAAGAATTGCCTGGTTGATCCATTTTGGAAGCTGGTTTCGTTTCTTGGCGAACCGACGGTCAGCTAAAACCATGATACCGTAGTCATCTTTTCCGCGCAAGACTCGACCTAGACACTGGGCGGCATGTCGCATAGCGTCGAAAGATAAAAAGTCATTTTCCCGAATGTTGTAATTGTTTCGCAAGAACTCTAGCCGAGCTTTAAGAATGCGCGATTCAGTGTACTGGAATGGTACGCCAATCATTAGAACTGTGCGGCCATATTGGTGGTCAAAATCGATACCCTCGCTCACTTTTCCTCGGGCGACACAGAACATTACGGCGCCCCGGCCATTGGAACAAGCTGTTCGATACGTTTCAAGGGCCAACGATGTTTCTTGGGCATCCGGAGTCTCAACGAGAATCAATTTATACTTCCAAACCTCATCAAGAATACCCATAGACTGCCACATAGAAATGATGCTTTCCATATACAGATAAGAAGGGAAGAAGACGACAAGCCCGTCGGGGCTAATTTTGGAAAACTCGATGAGGAGATTACCATAGTTACGCACAACACTCGGGTCATTGCGAATCTCGAAACGAGAAGAAATCGCAACTTGGTCGGAGCCCTTGGTTACAACCAGCGGCAAAAAGGACCGCTGAGACAACGACATTGTGTAGGACTGTTGCATAACAGTGGAGAAATTCAACATGCGAGGGTACATGTCCAAAGGTGAAATTGTTCCCGAGGTGATAATGATCGAGTCAAAGCGTTCGATTACTGGTTTGATTGCAATACTTGCGTCCAGGCAAGTAAAGCGCAAAATCGGGTTCGGGACGGTGGCCTGTTCAGTCTCGAACGGTTCAAGAATAAGCATAAATCCTTGCTCATATGTGGACACCAGCGTGGCAAAAATTGCAATTTCTTTAACCGCAGAAAACTCTTGGAGATCGGTCAACTCCAATGTACGAACAAGAGAGTTTAGACGTTCTGTCGAGTACCTGAGAGGCTTTTTATCAATGAATGTGACATCTTTTAAATGTTTTAGAAAAGATATCGGCGTCTCTGAGATCACATGTAGAACTTTCATTCGGGCTTTGAGGTACTCGACGAATCTACGCAGAAATGCGACGAAATGCTCGGCCTTTCTGATGGAGCCGGGAACGGCATCAGCAGCCAAATCTTCGGGAAGAACGGGGTTGCTCATGAACAAGTCCTGATCTCGCGACTCCTGAGCATCGCGAAGGCCTTCTACCAGCTTTTCGTATTCTGATTTGAGTTTTTCTTGGTCAACCTGCTTGACTCTGTCGACCGCGTCACCAAGGGAATTGATGCCTTTTGCTGCTTTTCGAAGAGAGTCCTCCGTGAGATCTATGCTCAGCGATTCAATGCATACGTTATCGATGTTGTGTGCTTCGTCGAAAATAATAATGCTTTCCTTGGGTAAATCACGGGACACACGAGCGGCAATTTTGGGATCGAGCAAATAGTGGAATGAATAAATAACAATGTTGCAGTAAGGGATCATACGACGAACTGTAAAGTAAGGACATGTACCAGCCTTTTCACAATAAGCGATGAGGTCCTCAAAGGTGTAGACGCCCGGTGGAATATAATTGTGGGGCTCGATTTCGTTCATGCTCTCGTGGAAATCGCACAATGTTCCGCCAGTAGATGCGGCAATACCATTGGTCATTGAGCGGCACATTTCATCGACAAGCGTGCCATTGCGTTGGTAGCGAACTGCCTCGTTGAGGCAGAGGTTTTTACGAGATGTAAGACCAAGGCCGCGGAACTCTTCTACGTAGCCCAGCTCCTTGGCACGATAGTCCATCAGGTTCTTCAACTCAGCTAGCGCCTTGTCGATTTCCGACATTGTTCGTGAGCAATACACAATTTTGCGCCGTGACGGATAGTGCAGCTGGTAGGCAATGGTCACTGACAGCAACGAAACCGTTTTGCCGGTACCAGAAGGCATCTCCAGAATAGACGCACCTCCAATATCTAGTGTCCGCTTCACATCGCACATGTACTCATATTGTTCCGGGTATATCTTCGGATATGGGAACAATACCGGCAGATCATCAATGTAGAATTTCATGACAAATAGCGACCCTGCGGGTGGGTGAATATATAGTGGGATCTATAGAATCGGCTGAGGATCAGGCGTCAGCCAGCGGTTGATGCTGGGTTCCATACTCATGCTTGACGTAGCTGAGTAGTTTTGGATAAATCTCATCTGAGGAAGTGCCCGAAAACCGTTGGACCAAACCACGGGTATTGAAGTAATCAATCAGCCCAAGCGTAGTCTCTCTGTACGAGGCGAGACGTTTTTGGAAGGTTTCGACGTTGTCGTCCAGACGCTTGACCAGGGGCTCCCCAGTGACGTCGTCGCGACCTGGAACTTTGGGAGGGTTGAATGTGAGGTTGTAGACTCTGCCACTAGGCTCATGGATCCATCGGTTCTCAATGCGGTCCAGAATGACGCTTTCAGGCACATCCAGAACAACTACGAGATTAATGTTCGCATGGGCCACTGCAAGAGCCTCTTCCAGAGCAGGGGCCTGGATCTCGGTCCGAGGGAACCCGTCGAGAATCCAGCTAGCGGACGGCGACAAGAGACCATGTGATTTCATTTCACTGGTGATAAGATCAATCATTACCTTGTCGGGCACCAATTTGCCCTGACGCATACATGATTCGGCCTGTACTCCAATAGCAGTTCGGTCTGAGATATGCTGTCGCAAGACATCACCGCTCGATATAGTGATGAGTGGAGGGAAATCCCGACACAGTCTACCTGTCAGTGTGCCCTTTCCAGCACCTGGAGGACCCAGGAAAATCGCGCGCAATGGACGTATCATGATAACCTGATTCTGTGGGGGGAATCGAGGCATAGCGCCGTTGCCTCCTCTCACCCCTACCCTGAAACTTTGATTGGGTGGTTTGTTGAATCAACTATAATATATAAGTTACAGTGCTAAGGACATTGATTCCATAGCGGAGACCGCCCGAGGACTAGGTGTGTGGTCCAGTGACCAAATAGCGTCGCTTTGCAAACCAAGGGGAACTCCCTGGAAGCCGACCTTACGGAGTCTTTGAGTGACTTCGTAGTTACGCGCAGCCTCCTCAGCCGTGTCAACAATTGCGCGGCTCACACCACACATGAGTGCGACGTTCATGCCAAATGACCCTTCGCTCTCGCCGTCTTCTAGTTGATACAAGAAGGTGACCTCCCGACTCACCTGGTCGACAATAATACCCATACGCTGGGGTCTTACTTCGGGATGGATTCTGAACGAATCAATAAGTGTACCGTAGTGTGTAGCGAAGAAGCCAAGACAGCCGATGTGCGTAGCTAGGTGGTGCAAAACCGCTTCTGCAATGGCCAAGCCGTCGCTGGAAGATCCACCTCGGCCCAGCTCGTCCAAAACCACGAGCGTGTTGGGGGTGGCCTCGTGGAGAATTCGTTCCGTCTCGCTGAGCTCGACATGGAATGTCGATTTTCCAGCAAATATATTGTCACTGGCCCCTAGTCGTGTCATGATCCGGTCACATGCTGTTAATTTAGCAGATTGGGCAGGCACAAAGCACCCAAGCTGAGCCAAAAGTACAGCTGCGCCAGTCATTCGCAGCACGGTAGACTTTCCTGCCGCATTCGCGCCGGTCAGCAGCGACAGGTTTTTGTTTGCTCCTCCGAGATGCACATCGTTAGGGATAAAGTTTGGCATGCAGGGATGACGTAGCTCTGCAAACTCGATTAACGGCCTTTCGCTTTCCACGAATTCCGGACGACAACGAACCGCCATGTTTGCCGATGTGCGTGCCAAGCTCAGCAAACAGTCAAAGTGGGCAACGGTCTTGGTGAGCGCTAGCCACTCCCGATAGTTCTCGCTAAATCTCGCGTAGAGCCTGCCCTGAACCCCCAGAGCAACTAGCTTGTGGGTTTCTTTTGCCTCCTGCAACTGCCGAACCAGGTGCCGAACCTCTGGAGAGTAATAGCGATGGACTTTGGCCGTCATAGACATCTTTTGCCAGTCGTTAGGAACTTTAACTCGAGCAGGCACTTCGATCAAGTAAATCTCTTTACCGGAATCACGATAGCACACATCTAGGGACTTGAGAAGCTTCCTATACTCTTTGATTTGTGCTTCAAGTTCCTGTTCATATCCGCGAATCGTCTCGTTAGAAGCGTCAAACTCTTCCTCAACGCCAGGTTCCGGCACAAGAATATCTTCGTTCTTTGCCTTTTCGTGATCGAACGCAGTGGTCCACGGTTGCAGAATCTCTTTGATAGCAGGAGCCTTTGCCAATAGTTCATCTAAAAGTGGCAGCCCGAAATTTTGCGAGTGCATCCAATCTAACAAGCTTGCCATAGTCTCAAGTCCAGAAACAACTCTAGCAAAATCTTTCGGCATCAAGCTTCCAGCATGAACTCGACTCAAAAGGCGCTCAATATCTGGGAGGCCCAAGAACCTGGACTCAAGAGCCTCACGAAGTTCATCATGATCCAACAGCAGCTGTACAGCATCCTGCCTAGCTCGAATTTGTTTGACATCTCTAAGCGGGTGAGAGACCCAAGCACGCAAAGTTCTTTTACCGAAGGGTGTGACACATTTGTTGACAAGCTTGAACAATGTTCCATCAGCTCCTCCGTCGAATGTGTTGGAAAATACTTCCAGATTCTGTAAACATTGACCATCAAGTATCATGGTACCTTGGCCCTTGTTAAGCGCTGTGTAATTTGAAAAATTGCCAACCTTTACAAGCTGCTCATCAAGCTTGAGACTATGCAAGTACCATAGAAGCCCACCGAGGGCGGACATGAGGAGTTCGGACTCCTTTGCATCTTGTAACACTTTGGGGTAGTGGCTGAAATCGTCGAGGTTCTCTGCCTCAAAGTATTTGGCTCTGGCAAGCCGCTGCAATGCTGTATCATAGTCCCAAAATTCTTCCATTGGCTTCAGCACGTTATACTGGGTATCAACTGAAACGTTATTCTTGATGATTCGGTTTGCGGCTCTATCGAGGTTACCGCGCTCCAAAACCAGCTCACGGGGGCGAACTTGGGCCATGAGTGTTTCGAAATGATGATAATTTTCGTCATCCTCGAACTCGGTCAATGCAAACGCGCCTGTTGCAGTATCAACAAACACCGACGCAAAGTGTCGGCCATCCTGCTTGATGGCCATGCAGTAGCGGGACAAATCATCAACAAGCATAGCTTCATTTGTTAGTGTACCAGCAGTCAGAACGCATTTGAGTTCACGTCGAATAATCTTCTCTTCTTTTTTGGCTGCTGTCTGGTCACGCATTTCCTTGGCGAGAGCGGTCTCAACCTGATCTACTTTAGCCACTTTGTAACCATTGGCAATAAAAGTAGACGCCCACGCATCAAATGACATTTCTGGAATACCAGCGAGCTGCATATTAGCTCTTCCGCCGCCAGCCAGTTTAAGATCGAACTTTTCGTGGGCAATCGCGGCATCGTTTTCGTACAGTTCGTAGAATTTACCCTTTTTGAAAAATACCACTGTGTTCCAAAGCTTCGATTTGATCTCCCAGTACTGCTTTTCAAACGGTGTGAATTTGGACCAAGCGGACGACGGAATGTACAGTGTTCGTGGGTCGTAATCTGGGTGATCTGGGCGGTGGCCGTCTGCATCCTTGACATCTTCGAGCCACTTGTATCGTTCTTCCTCAGGCGTAGATGGGCGAATTTTTTTCGGAGGTGGGGCCCGAATTGAGGTAGCTTTGTATTCTGACTTTGCATGGAACTTCTCCAAGTTGTTTGTGGAGTGTGGACCAACCTTGGCCTTTTTTTGCGGTGACAGCAAACTGGTCTGCATTTCCTCATCCGAGGCATCATGATCCACCTCTTCTTCTTCTTCATCATCATCATCATCATCATGGTCGCTCCCGTTTGGTTTATATTCATCTTGTGAATCGTCAAACTCGTGCTCGCTGGGATCTACCTCCATGGCATCGTCCTCGCTATCTGAGTCAATTGCGAGCAAACGCTTATTTGGGGCAGGACTGCTTGGAACATCCGACGAGATATTTGTACGAGAACTGTCTGGGGTCTGCAACCAGGCCGAGCTGGACCCCAGAGATGCAGATCCTCGCGCTGACGGGGTAGGAGAGGCTACATTGTTAGGAGGCAATCCACTGCCAGCCGGCGACACCGACTCTTTTGATTTGGGGGTCTTGACGGCAGTGCCTGCAGGCTTTTTGGCGAAAAACGACATAATCGTCGCTTGCTTTGGTGGTACCATTGTTCTCTCCTTCGATTTCGTGGATCGATGGAAAGTAGGGAGTCCCATTCACGCGTAATACGCGTAAATCACGTGACGTTAATTATGGGTGCTATGGCAACCGCTGCGATATTTTAATTTCTCTGGTACTATTGAATTTTTGAGAGTTTGAAGGTTAATAGACGAGGAACTCACTCGTAGCGATGCATTCTCCGTAACTATGATACGACAATCCAAGGACTCATCTTGTCACAATTATAGAATCTGGGGAAAAAGCCCCTTTTCTGGTTGAAAACTAAACCTAACCCCGACATGTGAAAGATGCCAAATCTGTTTACTCTATTTTCAAAACTATTAACCAAAAAGCTCTTGGAGTCAGTGTGAGCCATGACTCCGCAGCAACCATCCCGGGCCTACTCGACCTCCTCAGGAGCGTACCGATACCAAGAAACCGGTGAAGACCCTTTTCTCGAGGAAGCTACCGCTCCTGAACAACTAGCAGAGTATGAACCCTATAGGGGATATACCGAATCCATGCCGTATCAGGGTGACCTGGGTGTCAATCGGCACAGTTTCGACTATGATCAGAACCAATATGAGGAGCACGATGAATCCAGCCAACGATTACCGTACTATAACGATAATGTTCCCCTGACCTCGCCTACCGTGCCCTATCCTACTGAAGAGACGTACAACAATGGGTACTCCGAACCAATTGGCGGTGTTCAGGGGCTACCTCAAGTTCAAGATTCCCGACCCCTCCGTGGTTTGGGGCTGTCGGGTCTCGATGATGCACAAAGCAGCATGTACAGCGAGCACAAGCTGGGTCGAAATGACAGTGTCGTTGGAGGCGGTGACGAGTCTGCGTTCGAGGTCGGTGAACTGCGTACATCCGATCACCACGACACGATGACTTCCACGGAAGATTCTGACCAGGAGACCCAGGAATGGCTCCAGCGTCAAAGACCCTCTGCTCTACGTCGGGCTGGCACTCGCAAGGTCGATCTTGTAAAGGGTCAGGTGTTCAGATTTGAGTACGAAGTGCCTACTGCGGTTAAAATGTCTGCACTGCCAGAGTACCGTGATGAAGAAGCCGGAAGAACAGAGTTCAGTCACATGCGCTATACGGCAGCTACTTGCGATCCAGATGATTTCCGGTTTGAAAATGGTTACTCACTCAGATCGGCTGAATATGGACGAAAGACTGAACTGCTTATCACTGTGACATACTATAACGAGGACAAGGTACTTACAGCTCGAACCCTTTACGGAATCATGCAGAACATTCGTGATATTTGCAACCTCAAGCGGTCTGAATTCTGGGGTCAAAACGGCCAGGCATGGCAGAAGATCATGGTTGTGCTCGTCATGGATGGACTTGACCCTTGTGACAAAAACGTGCTGGACATGCTTGCCACAGTAGGTGTATACCAGGATGCGGTAATGAAGAAAAACGTTAACGGTGAAGAAACAGTGGCTCATATTTTTGAATACACCACCCAGCTCTGTGTTACTCCTCAGCAGCAGCTCGTCCGACCCGAGCAAGGCAATTCGTCTTCCATGCCCCCGATCCAGATGCTGCTGTGCTTGAAACAAGAGAACTCCAAAAAGATCAACTCTCACCGCTGGGTTTTCAACGCTTTTTGCCCAATGTTAAAGCCTGAGGTTGTGGTACTCATTGATGCAGGAACTAGACCGGGTCCTAAATCGATTCTGCACTTGTGGCAGGCGTTCTACAACAACCCGACGGTTGGCGGTGCCTGTGGTGAAATACATGCTATGCTGGGTCCCCACAAGCGTTACTTGATTAACCCTCTGGTGGCTGCTCAGAATTTCGAGTATAAAATTTCAAACATTCTGGACAAGCCGCTCGAGTCCATGTTCGGCTATATTTCAGTACTTCCTGGTGCGTTCTCTGCTTATCGCTACGCGGCAGTCGAAGGGCGTCCTCTTGAGCAGTATTTCCATGGTGACCAAACTCTAGCGAAAAGATTGGGAAAGAAAGGCGTCAACGGCATGGGAATTTTCCGCAAGAACATGTTCTTGGCCGAGGACCGCATTCTGTGTTTGGAAGTTGTTTTTAAACGGGACTGCAACTGGCACCTGTCCTATGTCAAGGCTTCAAAGGCAGAAACCGATGTCCCAGACGGCGTGGCAGAATTCATGGGCCAGCGCCGTCGATGGCTGAATGGCTCCTTTGCTGCTGGTATTTACGCTATTATGCATTTCGGTCGTGTATACCATTCGCGTCACAACCCACTTAGAATTCTGTTTTTACATCTCCAGTTCTGTTACAACATTCTTCAGCAGATTCTGTCTTGGTTCATGCTGGGGTGCTACTATCTGACAATCACCATTATTATTGAACTTTCAGCAAACCCTCGTGAATTCGGTGCTGAAACTGACCAAAAATCATTCCCCTTTGGCGTTCGGGCCTCCTCGATTATTTCCATCATTGTGAAATATGTATACACTCTTTTCCTCATGGTGTCTTTCATCCTGGCTTTAGGCAATCGCCCTAGAGGGTCAAAATGGTTTTACTACTTTATGATGTTTGTTTGGGGTGTTATTCAAATCTACGCTTTGATTATCTCTTTCTACCTTGCTTCTAACGCGTTTAGTGACAACATGGTGGATTCAGTTGGAGAGTTTTTCTCAAACTTCTTCACCTCAACCACCGCACTGGTTGTTGTGGCACTAGCGTCTACGTTCGGCTTGTATATTGTGTCTGGCCTTATATACCTTGATCCTTGGCATATTTTGACATCCTTTGCTCAGTACATGTTCTTGATGCCAAGCTTTGTTAATGTGTTGAATGTGTACGCATTCTGTAATTGGCACGATGTTTCGTGGGGAACCAAGGGAAGCCATGTGGCTGATTCTCTTCCCGAAGCCAAACTCGTCAAAGTCGGTGAGGTTGCTGTTGTCGAAGAAGCAACCAAGTCGATCACAGATATTGATGAAGAGTTCCAGCAAGTTGTGAAGCGAGCCCTGACTCCTTATAAACCGGCAAAAAGGACTGATGGTGCTACGGATGAGGATAAGTCGCAGATGTTCCGCACATACTTGGTTATTATTTGGATCGTTTCGAACATTGTGCTTATTTGGGCAATCACGTCTACAGATAGCTCGGCATTGGGCATGACCGATTCAGTTAGAGAGAGAATCTCCCGTTTCTTTGCTGTTCTACTGTGGTCGAATGCTGTCGTTGCCATTGTGAGATTCATTGGATGTCTGGTATTCGTGCTCAAGTCCTTCTTTGTTAGAATTTTCAACAGACGCTAAACTTTATATTATTTACAGATTACTCTAACAGAACAGTTTTAAGATCCTCTGCCGTAGCATTGGGGTTCTCTAACTGAAATTCAATAGCTTTGTCGAGAGCCTCTTTCAGCCAGGGCCCGCCAGCACGGCCAGGGAAAAGTTTGGATACTTGCTTTCCGTCAAGAAGAGGCTTCATCAAATGGGCATCTTGAAGGCCCATTGCATGTACGGCATCATATAAGCCGTTCAAGCTCGAGGGATTGTTGTATTTGATTGCTGAATAGGCAACACAGAGTGGCCATTCGGCTCCAATGCGGCGAATTAGGAGCCCTGTTTCCAGCCGGGACGAGGCCGCCTGCTGTGATAACAACCACAGATCCTCAGCAGAGTCCAATACTTTTGTAACCAAGTTGCCGACCTGGGTGGGGAGTTTGATCCCCTCTTTTACTGCAATCAGAGGGGCAGGAAACACTTTCTTTTTATTGTCGACTGTGGTCAAATGGGACATGCCAGACATTAGCATTGCAAGCCATAGATGCGGTTTATCGTAGTCAAACTTGATCAGAGGCATAACGGCGTCTGCAGTGTCTAGCATTGACGTCAACACCGTCCAGTTTGGCGTGATTGGGGAGTACTGCTCCGGGAGGGTGAAAATAGCCGGAGCCAGGCCCAGACGTGTGATATATCGCGCACCCTGTGCAGCATACATACCAGCAACCAGTTTCTTCAGCTCAACACCGACCCTTTCACGGCTGACTTTGGTCTGCAGAGCATCCCTAATAGATGGGGCGGTCATGGCCCGCTCTGTTTCCAGCGCCAACGTGAAATTAAGCTGCGCGACAAAACGGATAAGTCGCAACACACGCAGAGGATCGTCATGGAACGTTTCGGAGGGATCAAGCGGAGTGCGCAGAATACCAGCTTCTAAATCATCCAGCCCTTTACCTGTAAAATCTTCCACTTGATCCTTGTCTAGATTGTAGAACAAAGCATTCAGCGTAGCATCTCTTCGGAACGCATCCTGTTCGGGCGTGCCAAATTCGACTTTGGGGATACGCGAGTCAACAGTATACACTTCGCTTCTCAGGTTCACAAAGTCGACATCCAGCCCTTCGATTTTGGTGGTCGCGGTCTCTAAATGCTTGCTTTTTTCGGGGTTCCTAGCAATCGTGTGCACAGACGCAACTTTTTCGTCAGATTGAGCCGCCATCCATTGTTGCAGCGCTGTTGCGAACTCCTCACCCGTTGCCTGATCAATTGCGACATCCAGATCATGTGATGGCCGGCCCAGAAGCTTGTCCCTGACCCATCCGCCAGTAATTCGTAACGTGAGCTGTTTGCCGGTTTGCCGGGCGTACTCCTTGGTGAATGTGAGCAGGATATTTCGGATTTTCAGCTCCGTCGCATCCAACACAATTTTGGCTCTCATTAATAAACCTAAGATAGCTCGAGCAAGTTCGGCCCAGAGGGCAAATAAGACCACGATATTTTTTTACCTACTGCTAATTCTTTTAGACATTCGTGAACGATGCAGAGCTAACTTTAATTGAACCCGGGCACGGTTTTGTTTGTCTATATACCTTACCTCACCTATAATCCCCCTTGGTCGCATTTCGGGGGTTAGCTGACTTGCCTCAACCACCAAAATGCCCGAGTACTCCGTTGCAGCAGCGGCCATGGACAGTCGCTGTTTCACGGTGCGCTACGCCTATCGGCCTGACATATTAGACGCAGCCAAGTCAATGCTGTTGAAAAAGGACCCTGAGGAGGAGGGGACCAATAATGGCTATACTCTGGCTGTGGACGGCGACGAGGTTGGATTCCGTGGATCTTCGTCGGCCGCGAAGGAAGTCGAGTGTGTACTAGTGTGGAATTCCAAAGAACAGGCATATGAGCTTCGGCAATTAGACTTTGCCCTCAGAATGAATGCGGTACGGGAGAACCCTCAGGCCTCGAGGCATCGTCGCCGGCCCGCATCGACGGGGAATGTTTCCACACCAAACCTGGCGACGGCGTCTGACACGCCAGAGCCATATATAATGCCCACGGCCCCATTACAGGCGCCCTCACCCGCCACTACGCCCTCGATAGGTGCGGGCGGCCGATTCCGAGCCGTGGGGGGTCTTTCACAGAACGGCGTCGAGGCCGGGGCCCCTGAGGCCAATGACGATGATTTTGACGATTTAGCAAATGAACTTGCCGACGAACTCGGCATAGAACCGCCAGTGGTTCGCGCAATCGGCACGGCTGGACCTAATTTGGACGACGAGGAGGAAATGTCGGAAGAAGAATGAAAAAAGATAATAATTTATAAAATGCTAATTTTAACCCCTGCTACTCTCGCAGCCTCCTGGAAATCCGCATTTTCCCACTCCGTTTCAACGAGCTCAGCCAGCTCGACGCCCATTTCTGCAAGGGCCTCAGCCGCTCGCATGCGGGCAGCGCCGACGGGATGGTTAAGTAGTTTGACAAGTCGTTGCTTTGCCCGGGGGGCAGGGATCATCGCCAGAAGTGCAATTGAGGGTAGCAAGCGCTGTACGTTACGGGTATTAATCGACCCGTTGTATGCAATGGGTAGAAGCTGGAGTGGTGGTGCTACCGTCACTCCATACTCTGTTAGCCGCGCCAGAGTGGCCAGAAGAGCTCTACCATGTTTTTCTTTTAGATCAAATCGGAGCAAGGCACCGAGCCACTTTGTGTCGTGACTGCGGGCATACTTTACAGCTCCAAACAGGGACCCGTTTAGCGTCTCTTTGCTTGCTCGTATAGCTCCACAAGATTGTACATAACCTGACAAAAAAGGCAGAGGGGTGGACTCCGCTAGTTCAAACAGTCGACAGTAATAATTTTCCGGGCTAGAATAGTCAAACTCAGCCCCAGTTATGAACGTTAACGCTTGACTCGCTTCCAACCTTAGTTTGTCAAGAGGCTCAGCTGCGATGCGCCAAAGCTTCGCAGTTGCATCGTCCGAAGGATTTTTCTTTGTCCAATTAATCGCACAGCTTCGCACCCACGAGCCCACATCTCCGCGCGTATCTGTCGAGTAGTCGTCTAGGGCCTGAAGAACCAGGTCATAACTTTCAGGCGCATTGTCAAGAAACGACACGGCTGTTTTTCTGCTTTCGGGATCAGACAGTCCACAGGCCTTTTTGAGAGATTCCTGACAATTTTTAGCGGCCAGTGCGGTCACAAATGTCGGGCTATGTTGCATTTTCTCTTCCCACTCATCCAGCAAGCTTTGGGGGATATCTAAATCTGGTATGATAGTCGCAGCTGTATCAACTGTGTACTTTTCAGAGCTCATTAGGCATTGTGATATGAGCTCGTATCTAGGTGCAGATTTCATGGCATAGAGAGCCGCCTCACAAAGAATGTCACTAGACAGGTCGACATCGAGAAGTGGAGATACAAGGTCTTCTGGTGCATTTAGGAGACTCAGTGCTATCAATACTCCATGTTGACTATCTTTATCACTTTTGGAATACAGCTTAGCCACCTCAGCGGCTGGCACCTTGAGCAACGAGACACTCTGAGCTGCCAAACGCCTTGTTGACGGGTCCCATGAAAGCAAGCCATGTTGCAACAAATAGCCGTAATCAGGTTCAAGCGCAGGGGCTATGTCCAAATAACAGCGAGATATTTGCGCAACTGACTGAAAATTAAGCAGTTCCATAATGGACATTACTTTCTCAGGTGGCATGCATTTCTGGCGGCCAAACCCTTCTTGGAGAGCTGCGGCTGCCGCCCGCCTCACATTAACTTCGCGGTCAAAGCATGCGAGCGAAATCAGCCAGCCATAAATTTCAGTCAACTGTGAACTTGGAAGTTTTGCGCAACGAAATAATGACCAACACACATAACAGGCAGCATCTCTGACATTGATACCCAGAGAAAACGTTGACCGTTTCTGCTCAAAAAAAAGAGCTTTTCTGAGAATGGCTGAGACCCGGTCCAATTGTACTGGTAGTGATCGACGAAGGACCTCAGCCAACGCTAAAAGTGAACCGTGCCATTCTGAATCTGAAACAAGATCCAATCGGCCATCAGGGAGCACATTGTTGTCGAATATATCCAGCAGAGCGTCACTGATCTCTTGAGCTGGCTCAAGGTCGGTTTCGGCAAGCTTGGCACTAATTCTTGCCACAGATTTAGCGGCTGAGTAGCGCACAGCCGTCGAAGGGCTGCTCAGAGCGTCCATTGCAGCAGAAATCGCCGGCTCGAAAAAGTCGAAATTATGCAGAGCGATCCTGGTTTTGATTTTCAAAGCATAACGGTGCTCGGTAGGGGACCCTGTATTTATGGAGTCGGCAAGATCAAATAGACCATTGTCAAACTCTGGAGTGCTTTTTAACGCAACATACGACGCAGAACGTAGATAGCCAAGCGAGTGTTTATTTTTGATTGCCCAGAAAGCAGCAATCTGGGGTGGTGCATCTCGAGTAACTAGGCGGGACAGTAATAGAGCGGCAGCGTCCCGTTCTAGACCACTGACGCCCAGGTGAGTCTCTGCCAAATTGAAAACTTTTTCAAACAGCTTGTCACCAAGCACCTCTAGACGAAACGGTGTAAAAATGCAAGCTGCCAACCACAAAAGTAAGCAGTAACGCGTCGTCCATTCTAGCTGATTCTGCTGTAAAAGGTCCACTAGGGGCACCAGCTGTTTTGGATCGCTTGGTAAAAACTGCATGACGGTCTTGCTGCCCCGTGTTTTACAGAAATAGTACAGAATGTCCATGAGACGGGCTGAATATTGCGGATTTTGCAAATACGCATTGGCAAGCATTCCAACACATTCAGGCAGAACCGAGTCTATCAAATACGGCTTTTCCTGTGTACTGTCCAAGTAGCTTTTTATTTGGCCGTCATCGCCCGAATCAACCGTCAAATCGCCCTGACAAAACCGGGCGACTGCAGACTTGAGGTCCCGCGGAGAGCCCGCGTTTGTCATCATGTCAAAACGAGACAGACGCACGCTGGAACCGATCAAAACAATCAGTGTTTTTTCGACTGGCACGCTTGACAGAGTGCACAAGCTTGATTTTTCGCATCCTAGACATCGGTTTGATGAAATTGACTGGTCTAGGCCTTCTGATTTTTCTCTGCGCGCCCTGCACAGCCGGCCTCCTCAGCGCATCGCCGAACCGCTGGCAGCTACCTACCTCGAGACTGAGATGAAACGGCCTGAATTTGCTGCAAGCAAGCTAAAATCCACAATTCCCAACCGTAATGTCGCCGATATCGACCCCATATCAATAATAACCAGCCAACAGCCCCGGCCCCTGCTTGTTTTGGGATCAACGCCGCTGGCAGAAATACCCCAGAACCTCTCTGAATACAAAACTATGAACAATGCGAAAACTGCGAGCCAGATGCCTGCTCAGATACTGGCTACTCCTCACAAACGTGCTCGTGAGGCACCGATCTTCGAGTCTGCCATGAAGCGACGAGCGCCAGGCGGATCAGCGTTCGAGACGCCGCGGAAAAGCGCAGATGTTAGCTTCACCGATGCAGATGACAGCTTCAGTCGTGTTTCCACCGAACAGCTGCTGCGTATGGTGGACTCTGGTCTAGTTGATACCCCGGAGCCCAGTGCATCACCCCGAGTCCGATCTGCGGCACCAGGCCCTTCACCAAAAGTCTCATCGCTCGTGTATGCGTACACAACTGCTGGCAGAGAAAACTCCCGGATGTGGACTCGGCAACCGAATCCGTGGCAGGTCGAGAACATGCCGCCGCCGACTTGGCGACCTCGTTGAACTTTATATACAATTATTGTAGCGGGTTGTTAAATTATGCAGACGCCTCGACAGAGTAGCCCTTGGGATTACGGCGTAGAAGGCGCTCCTCCTCGCGAGTGAGAGCCTGGTCCACGAGCTGGACATCGACGAGCTCCTTCAGAGTAAGGATCTGACCGGCGTTGGCAGCGTTCACCTTCTGGTACACAACATTGCCACGCTTCTTCAAGCCCATAGCAAGTGCCGTATTGCGCAGTTTCTTGGGTAAACCAATAGTAGACCGGACTTGAGTTACTCGGTACCACATTGTTGAAAAATTGCTGACGAGAGATTACTAACCAGGAAAGCGGATTTTAAGAATTAGCGGCTATTTTGGCTAGGGTTTACGAGTAGAAATAAATAAAATCAGGGCTGGTTAGTATCGGAGATAAAAATTCACATCAAGCTTGCATCAGTGTGAGCTGAGTTTAAAAACATTCGTCACTTACCTTTAGTTGTTTGGCCAGATCGTCGACCTGGGCAAAGATTGTGCGTCGACTGGTAGCACAGCCGGCATGCTCACTGTCGAGAAACTTCACGGCTCCGTTTACTTGGTCGATTCGGGCCTGCAGACGGCCTGACCGAACAAGAGACGCCACGAGACTGCTGCTGTCCGGAACCAGGCCGACGAGCACTCTGTCGAGAGTGCTGAGGTAAACCGACTTGGACACTGCCGCGACCAAAAAGACGTTTGCCTCGGCGATCTGGCGCATAGCTTCCGTTCGGGCGATTCCGAGGACACCTGCAATTATCGTGGCGTCCTGCGAGTCCAGCGGTCGTTTCTCTATAACTTTTTGTGCCTGTAACGCAACCGAGGTTGCCTGAGATCCCAGCTTGAGGAGAAGAGAGTCGTTTCCACAGAGGCAGGCAGACGCTACCCCCTTTTCCACGTTATTGTGGTTCACAAACGAGGCAGCAGCCTCGCTGTACATCTTGTTTGACAGCAAAACTGCCGGGCTCTCTGGCTGCGACTCCTCTGTCAAATGGTCTCTGAGAGGAAAAGTGGACATGACAAAGCGTCCGGCAAAATGGCAGAATTTTTCTAGCTGGGTTGGCCCGCCAACACTTTGCATTCGGTGAGTTTGGCCGTCGCTTCGTACGTCTCTTTCAGCTTGCTGTCAATCACCAAATTGTTTGCTTTTGAGTGGCGATTGACCGTTTCCCAGATCTCCTCGCGGTACTTCATTAGTTCGGGGTTCTTGAACATCCCGGCAAACATGGTCTGAAACGTGCGCACATCCTTATTGAGACTCTTGTAGAATGCATAGACTTCATCAGCATTATAAGTAACAACCTTCTTGAGCAGCGCATTGCCGAGAATCTGTCGGCTCTTCTTGTCTGTCCCGGTCGCCTTGTAGATCGATCTCGCCTCGGCCACAGTCTTCGGATCAGAGGCTATAACCGCAGATCTCGCATTGTCCTTGATCCCCCATTTCTTTGTCCACTTTAGTACAGTCTCGATATGTCTTTTTTCGTTGTTTTCACCAAGCCACTGTAACAACTGATTCCGAGGAACCTGGCCAACGTGCGGGCCGGCTAACTTGACGATCCAAAGAGCAGGCACAATTTTCTTCTGCCTCAACCAGAACATCATATCATGTGTGGTCAAAACACCGTTTTTCAAGCGCTGCGGAGAGGATTTCAGCAACTTGTAAACCAGGCCATGCCGACCGTCAAACTCTGGCCGAGAACTACAGAACAGAGGGAGCTGCAACGTCATTCGTTCCTTGATCTGTTGACGTATCTTCTGGTCCTCCCTGAAATCCTGACGCTTCGTCACCTCGGTCTTCAATGTGCCATCTACTAGCGCCTTCAACCGCTGCTTTAGTCGCATCTGAGCGTTTTTCTAAGCTTAGAAATCCGAATGGACTATTCGGGTTTGTCGAGCTGCTATCAGGCGCAGTTCGAAGTGAACACCACAGGCAATTATGGCGGCCTAATGAAGCTTGTCCGGCAGCATACGCTGAATGTAGCTTGGATTGAAGAGATTATAGCCGATGCATCAAAGGCCAAGTACCCGGGGGTGGCACATTTTGTGACGAAAAAGGACGCCTGGGAAAGCGAAATTAGACATACAATCGACTCAAAACTACACACAATTCGTCAAATACAGTACCAACACACGCAAGAACGCAATTTACCGGCGCTGGCTGCCGCGTATTTGGAAGAAGGCAACATCATGGTTCTGCAGGGCGAATTCCGGGCCGCCCACCAATGCTATCAACAGGGACGAGGAACACATAGCTCGATGGACTATGAGGGCCTAATTGGGATATCTGGCGCCGATATGCTGCAGCGGCATTGGTCCATCGTGCAGACTTCTTTGATGAAGGTACTCAAGCTAGATAATGAACCCTCGCGATTCGTCTTACAGAGCTACGGCTTGGCCTCTTGGTGTTTAGGAGATTACGGTGACTGTACCTCATCGTTTCTTCAGCTAGAAGACCTCGGGGGCATTCCCTGGATCAGCGAGGAAACCGCTGCCGCTATCCTCATGATCAGCGTGCTGCTTTCGATGTCTCGAGAAGATATGAGGTTTTTTTTACGGTCAGATAAGGTCACTGTCCCTCTGTTCAAGAAATACCCTGCGTTTTATGAGTTTGTTTCAGCATACTACTTTCTTGACATTGCTAAAGTCTGGAGTCTTTTGCCGGCCCTTACCGACGTTATTTGTGAAGACTATTTTGCCCACGGCCGGCTCGAGGCTTCAGTATCACGCCTAAGAGAGCAGCTACATCAGCACTATCTTGCGGTGCGTCGTTTGACTCCTTTGACTTCCACATTAGAGTTGTTCAGCCTTTTAAAGACCTGCACGGTGTTTGACCTTGCAGATGATGCCAAACGCTGGGGAATGGCCATTGAAGTTGATACCGTCGCAGACACTATCGAAGTAAAGACTGAGGCACCTCGTCTAGAGATGCTAGAGCGTACTGCAGCTCTTTCACGAAAATTTATATACGATGGTACTATACTCGTATGGTCCCGGTACTAACTTATTTATTCTATTTTCGTTGAGCATAACCTTCGACCAGAAACCCGTTGAATACTTTCCGTAGCTCAATCGCTGCTTGGCGAGATTTTTCCAGCATGTTTTCAAGCTCGATCTTTTTGACATCGGTTTTCGATCCCACCGACACACCAACAAGTTTGTCTTGAGCCATAAGATAGGCACCGACCAGCTGCGTGGCATCGTCAAAAAGATCGACATCGGTGTAAACAACGTTTTCGTGGACTGCAACAGAGACTGCGGTCACCATATCATGGAGAGCAATGCCAGCATTGATCAGGGCAAGAGTGGCGACATTAACCGCTGCTGCAAGCTGTGTATACAAGGAAGGACCCGCTGCGAGTACGGTGACGGTAATAGTAATTTCAGATTTGGGGTAATCGTCTAAAACAATCGCCGGAGTGACGCAGGTCTTGACAAAGTCGGAAATCGTCCGCTCAGTGTTCTCGTGGTCTTCGATTCCGGCAAAGTTTTCGATCTCAATATTAACATTCACCTCGGCTCGCGGGTTGAAATCCTTGCGTGACGGCTGCGGGCCGTAAACCGAACATTGGAATCGGCACTCGCCCACCTCTAAATACGCAGACCCATTAGCGTGGCTGGCTACACCTTGGGCAATAAATACTGGTCTAAGTCCATCCGACAGTTCTGGCTCTCTTTTGGCTCCTTCAACCACTAAAGGAACAGTGTCCGTAGGGCCCAAATTTCTTCGTCTATCTGCCAGGCTCATGTCAGCAGCTGAAACTTCTGTGGGATCTCTGGAGCCTAGCACCAAAAGAAATGATTTCACGGCGTGATATTGAACATGTCTTTTATTTTAAACATTTGATCAAAAATACTGCCTACGTCTGCGAATTCACACACTTGAGTAAATGCTACGGCAACTAAATATCTCGTATAGCTAAGGGCGTATTCAATGAGCCATGTGCTGGGAACCTGAACCACCGTTTTGTCAGTTCATTCCAAAAAAGAATCATAACATGCGGGGTGTCCATCCTCGTTTGGATTCCATATGACTTCCTTTTCTGGAAATGCACAGTGCTATACCCTGCATGCGTGGGTGCAGACCCTACGTATAGTCATGCTTTGAGATTTGGTTCTACATGCTGTTATACTTCTACCAGCGGAATGACCTACCACTGTACACTATTGGTGTGTTAAGCTGTATTGTCGATGCCTTTCTGAGTCCTGTTAGCAATATAATTATCGGCAAGCTCTTCAATGCCTTATCAGGCTTTCAGGTTGGAAGCTACACATCAGATGCGTTTATGAGCAGAGTTTTGGAATTGTGTGCGGGCATGTGGTCTTTGGCACTGATACAAATGTTCTCATGCTGGGTGTCACATTTTGTTTGGACTGTGATCGGTTACCGCCATGGGCACAGAGCCAGAAGTCAATTGTACGCATCGACGGTGTCTCGCGATGTCGAGTGGTTTGATGAAAACGAAAAGGCCATTGGCAGTGCTACAATGAGTTTCAAAGACGTCCAAGATCTCGAGTACGCTGTTGGAACGTCTACTCGCGATATTTTAACCACGTCAATCTCCATTGTCCTCCAATTGATCGTATCTTTCTACTACTCATGGTCAATTACCTTGATATGTATGATTGGCGTCCCTATCATGGCTTTTTCAACATATTTTCTGAGTATCCAAGTGCATACTCGAGTTATAAAAGCAAAATCCTTGCTTGACACTATTTCAACCGCTGGCGATTGGGCCCTCAGAAGCTTGTCCACCGTTGTTTCGTTCCAAAAACAGGGCTATGAGAAGGAAAAGATGGAAGAGCTACTCAAGAACGAGCTCAAGCTCAATATGGGCCAGCATCAATTTAGTGCACTGCTACAAGCCATTGGCCGCTTTCTTGTGCTCTCGATTTTTGTCCAAGGGTTTTTCTTTGGCTCCTATATGGTGAGGAGTCATGGTGTCAATTCCGGAAACGTAATGACAGTCTTCTGGTCTTGCTTGTCTTTGACAACAAGTCTGAACACTATGCTTTCGTTGCTAATGGGATTGCAAAGAGGAATTGTGTCGGCACAGCGCCTGTCATCTGCCATTGAGCGTGACACCACGTCAGAGCTCAAAACTTCCATCGGCATTGTTCCATCAAATTTTGACTATGGAACAGGTGAAGTGGTTTTCGATGAGGTAGTATTCTCCTATCCAACACGACCAACCCTAGTTTTGGCTGGATTATCGCTGAAATTCGAGGCTGGCAAAACTACTTACATTTTGGGACCATCGGGTAGCGGGAAGTCATCTTTAGCGGCCTTAATGGGTGGACAGTACGAATATCAGGCAGGACAGATTACTATCAATAACGTGCCTCTTCCTCATATCAGCACTAGCTGGCTTGAGCACACTGTGTACGTCGTCGAACAACAAGCAAAGCTTTTTGATATACCCTTATCTGAGAATATTCGTATCGGCGCAACAAATCCGGCATCGGTATCATTTAGTGACATTGAAAAAGTTTGCGATCTAGTTGGTGCAGACTTTATTGCTGACCTCCCGAGAGGACTTCTGACACCTGGATCCTATCAACTTAGTGGTGGACAGAAGCAGCGAATAGGTTTAGCAAGAGCACTTCTGAGAGATGCACCAATCATGGTTTTTGATGAGTCCACAAGTGCGCTGGATCCGTCAATGAGAAGTCATGTCATGAAGGCCGTTCTTGAATATCGCCGCAACAAGACGAATATCATTATAACCCACCAAATGGACATCATACCCCCTCAAGCTCCCATACACTTTATTCAGGACGGGAGAGCGTATCAATACAAATCCCTTGAGCAATATAAACGACAGTCAGTGGTACCAATGGGGCCACCAAAGCAGCGCGTCGAACACGAAATACCAATCAGTGTGGAACCAAAATCAGAGAAAAGAACCGCAATGTTTATCTTGAAAACCACCAAACAGAAAGGGCTTCTGTTTTGTGGGTTCGCACTTGTGGCAGCCCAAGCAGTTGTGAACCCGCTTTTTGCTTTCTTCTTTTCCAAGCTTCTAATGGGAATTTTGCCTCAAAACCATGTTAATACCACTCTTTGGGCACTTCTAGTTCTTTTACTGGCATTCACAGATGGTCTGCTAACCTACTCACACATTGTTTTGGACTATGTTTCCGAGAATTGGCAACTCTTTATAAGGAAAACTATTTACGACAACCTCCTCTCTCGGCGGTTTCTTGACGAGTCACAGGTATCATACTATACAAAGCTTCTCTTCTCCGATACTGAAAAAGCATCCCTCATACTTGCATCATATTGGCCAGCCATGGTGAATCTGGTTGTTCTGGGTGTGGTGTCACTCGTATGGAGTTTGGCGGAGGGCTGGGAGCTTTCGCTCATCGGCTTGTCTATTGCTCCTTTGTTTTTCGTGGCAACACAGTTTCACAAGTTTGTCAACTCCAAGTGGAATATTGCTAGAGAAACTCGCCGTAATGAAGCATTGAAGCTGTTGGTAGAAGTGGTCGAAGGATTTCGAACAGTCAAAACTCAACATTTGGAGCATTATTTCGGAACACTTTATGCTCGCAGGGAGGATCGGGTCCAGGATCTAGCAATTAACATGGGCCTTTCAGTCGGCTTCGCTCTTGGTATTGTAAAAATATTCCCGTTCGCAGCTCAGGGACTGTTACTCTGGTACGGTATGCACCTCATTGCGCAGGGTAAATATACTTCTCAGCAAACGATGATGGTGTTTACTATTTTGATCTTTGCATTAATGACAATGATTAGCATCGCAGCATCTGTAACCTCTGTTGGAAACGGTTTCGAAGCAGTGAGTCGTTTGGAGATGGCAATCTCTGACGATCAGGACCAGGACGAGCTACAAGCACTATCGGTTGGCGAAGCTCGGAATTATGACTCCGTTGACTTCAGCAGACTATCATTTAGAGACATCGGAATCACATACCCCAACGGAACTTCAGTTCTTGGAGGATTTTATGCCGATATCGATAGTAAACAAGCAGTTGCGGTTATTGGTCCTTCCGGCATAGGTAAATCAACTTTGGCGCGGCTTCTTTTGAAACTTCAAACACCATCAACGGGCAATATTACAGTCGACGGATCATATCCTCTACAAAAAATCCCATCTGATATTGTCCGCAGAAAAATTGCAGTAGTGGGACAAATGCCCCTGGACTTTTTGGATGGCACGATTATGGAAAATTTAATGTATGCGTGCCCACCAGATATGTCGCCACCTACTGCAGAGTCAAAAGCCAAGAATGCCTGTAGAGCCTGTGGCCTAGAAGAGTTCATTATGAAACTTGAAGATGGTTATGGTACGAAAATAAAAAGTGGGTTACTTTCGGGCGGCCAAATGCAGCGTTTAGGAATCGCCCGTTGTCTTATACGCGAGCCTGATTTGCTTGTTTTGGATGAGTGTACCTCGGCCCTTGATGATGAAAGTACCGAAGTTATCAAGGACCTTCTGACCACAATCAAAGAGCGACGCCTTATGTCACTCCTGATAATAACGCATCAAATGGATTTGGCTGCGATAGCAGACAAAACTGTCAGCCTCTTTCAATAGTTTTGCCTTTTTCTTTGGTATTAGCTTCCAAAAGTTCCGGCAGGTTCCCGCGGTTCTGGTTTAGGAATGCAACCAAACTTTTAGCCCGGTCAGTAGCGTTCTCGAAAATTGAGATGATAAAATAAAGAACGAGAAGGATACCAACTACCAGTACGATTAAGGCAACACAAAGCCAGCGTCCCCATTGCTCCCACTCGATCTCGAGCGTGGTGCATTGTCCGCTGTCGAGGTCCAAGTGATATACTGCATCTGAATGGTGTTTGAAAGAATCGGCAAGCATTCGAGTGGCTTTCAAACATTTCGGGAAATACTTGCAGTTAATGTCCGCAATCATTTGCAAAAACGTGCTTGAAAAGCGCTGCACCGGGTAGGATAGCACAGTCAACTCTGTGGATAAACGATAATTGTCTCGACCAACCAAGTCAAGCTCTGATACAACTAATGACAGCGTTGCAAGCAGCTCTTGATACATTTCAACGTAAAGTTGGGGCGACTTTCGTAAGTTCCTTTGCATTTGTCGACGACACAAGTCCCGTAAATCCATGAATGTGATCGAAAGCTCAGAGAGCTGTTCAGTGAGGGCAGTTTGATTCTGTTGTAGATAAGGTGAATGCAAGAAACGATTCACTGTGTCACAGCGTTCCTGAGCCATTGGCATAGCCTCATCCAGCTGTGATGGCCTATTCCCGCGGTTCTGTGTAACTTTGGGTAGATAGAATACAAAGTGTCCAGCGGGACCCTTGCTTTCGACAGCAAACTGGGGCACATCTGCAGAATACACGCTTGCCACATTAGCCATAGCTGAAGCAGCAGAGTATGCAGCAACAAAGACACTATTGAAAATATTGTCATTGTGGGCCCAATACACATTATTCAAGAAGTGTGAGTTCAGCTCGTAAAAGGGGAAAGACAGCGCAGATACTTGGGTAGCCACTAATGATTGCAGACTTGTCTGCATGAATGTATCAGCCTTTTCTTCGAGAGCACCCAACATTTCAATGAGCTTTGCATTGAGATCCACAAAGTAGGGAACAAGTGGGACCAGCTGGTGCGCTTTAGCTTGTTCCACGTCGGAAGAGACAATCGAGACTTGGGTGGATAGGTGCGAGAACAGAGACATCTCCGTACATTTGAGTGTGGAGCTCATATTCATCTCTCGTCCATTAAATCGATCGAGATGTGTTTCAAAGTCGTAGATAGCATGATGCGCCTTTTCAAAGTCATTCTTCATGATCGCTGAACCGCATTTCAAAACGAGAAGCACAAAAACGAAGTTTCGCATCATTGTCTTGAAGGATGCACTAGAGAGGAATTAACATCAGCCTCCGGTATACTCTAAAAAACCACCATACTTACTTGAAAAGGAAAATAAACCCGGAGAATTATTCATCTATAAAGTAACCACCACAAAAGGCAAGTCCTCTATGTCGTTCCCCTCTCTGTCTTCGGCACAAATTTCGAAAACTAGTTGTTTGTTTTCGATAGGCTTTTTGCTAATACTTTCAACCAGCTTAGACAGATTAAGAGGTAGGCGCTCTTTCAGTTTCGCCGGCGGCTGGAAGGAAGCGTAAAGCAACAGATTTTCGCAGGCAACCATCGAGATATCTAGACCATGCTCCTTCTCAAAGTAGTCTAGGAACTCCTGCAGGCTGACGTCACCATCGATGGAAAGACGACCCCAGATCCTATCGATTTCACGATCGTTGTACTTGAGTTTGGTAGAGGCAATTGGTTCGCTGAAACCAAAGAAAGGTAAAGCTAGTGATACAAAACCGTTCTTATAGTCCTCAATTTTGCGCCTTTGAACGACCTTGAGTGCCTCAATAGTCCCAAGACCCGTGACAAGCGCTGTAGTGGTGGCAATAGCAGGAATAATGCGGCCAGCAATGAACTTGGTCTTGGATCTCTCCACAGCGTCAATTCCGTAATTAGTAGCACGGAGGTTAGATGCAGCATTGATAAAGTCGATGTGGAAGTTGGTGTCGTCGTCTTTTTCAAACTCAGCAGGAAGGAGACGGAAGCCAGCTAAGGAAGAGGGAGCAGGAAGCTTATCGGCAATTTTAGCGAGTTCATTGGACTCCAAGGAGCTATCGTTTGAAATCTCATCATCAGTAACCGCAATCTTGATACCAGAACTGGGGTTAAACTCCTTGGAATGATAGTTACCAACAACCTTGGCGAAAACAGCTGGGTCAGACTCACCCTTGAGTCCATAATTAAAAGCACGCAAGTTTGCTGCGGCAGTTAAGAACTCTAAGTGCGTGGCGTTGTTGATATCCAAAACCGCAGCAGTGGGCTGACGTTTAGGAGGAGCCCAGAATGGAGCACCAGTGGTAGTTTTGGCATCGGGAGGGAAATTGTACAAAAGCTGCAAAATATCGTTGCGGAAAAGACCATTGAACAAATCTACAGCCCATGTGATGCACTGCTCGAAAGTAAGTGGCCGTTCCTCGACCAAATACGAGTAAATGACCTCAAGAACCTGCTTTTGATTAGCCACCTGCTTAAGAGTAGACTCAACAAAGTTGGGCTGGGTCAGGTACTGGTTAACGTTGAGGCACGATTCATTGAACAGTTCCTCAAACTGAGCCTTTGCCCAAGCAATTGTATGGTCAATTTTAGCTGGGAATGACCGGATAGTACAGAGCGGGATACCCTTCTCTGGCGGGTCATGCGAGGAGGTGTAAGACTCTGTGAGGTTGGGGACAACAACCTGGACATTGCATTTAGTGCCCAATGTTCCAGACTCAATAAGAGGCTTCTGGTAAAAAATGCACTGGCGGTCAACATAAGCACGAGCCTCGACATTGTCCAAAGCGTTGGTAACATAGTCGAGTCTATTCCAGAATTCGGCGTTGAATACATCCTCCGACTCTTTGCCAACCTTCTCCGTAAGACAAGTGAACTTACCTTTCAAGTCGGGGTTAATTGCAGCAGCTGCTGCAGGAGCAACCTCAGATTTAGCATGGCCCACATCTTTAGGTCGGAACAAAAACTGACGGTTCAGGTTACTCTTTTCGATGGTATCATTATCGGTAACCCAAATATGGCCATCGGGGCCGGACCCCATTCCCATGAGGGCCCAGTTTTTGAGCACCTCACAACCAATCGCTCCGGCACCAACCAAAAACAGCTTAAGGTTAGCCAACTTGTCCATAAAATTCTTGCCAAAGACAGCATAGTAGCCATCGTAGCGTGTGTTGCGAGGAGCAGCGTCCTCGGCAGTGACACCTTCAGGCAGTGCCTCTAGAGCATCAAAATACATCCATTGGCGAACGGGCATGAACTTTCCAGAAACAGCCTTAAGAACCTCTTGAGCTGCCATACCACCAATAACACCAAACATTGGAGCCACCTGACCCTGTGACTGGGAGAACACAGTTGAAAGCAACTGCTCATCGAGCTCTTCGGTGACAGGGTACTGAGTTCGCACATTCTTGGCTAACTGTAGAGTCTCTGTGATATCTGCCGCCGTATAAGGAGCAGGTAGACGCCCGTGACGAGTCTTGAACGAATGCAAAGCCAGAGTTCCAACATGGAGCTGAGCTGGACGCTCGAGCTTGGCGAAATCAGTAAGGAAGTATTCTGGAGAGGTCAATTGATCCTGGAGTGACGCAAAAGTCACAATTTCAGGCTCTTTAACTTGAGTCCACTGCCCACCTTTGACGTAAGAAGCCTTGAGCGAACCGATGTTGAAAGACAAAGGTCCCTTGACCGAGACTCTGTATTGACCATTGATCTCGGCGGGCTCTGCATCACGCAGCTCAATAAACATGCCATTTTCCAAGCCATGCATGGCGCTATCTGGGGCATAAACTTCACCGTCATTCTCGATGGTTGCAACCGTGCCCACTACAGCCTCTTCACCATTAGTGTCAGTGACCGCAAACGCAGGGCCGAAGTCGTTGAAAAGAGTACCAACCAGACCGAAGCAGTTCGCATAAATAAACTTGATGTTGTGCTTACGAGTAATCTGGTTCAACATGACAGCATTCTCGATCAAAGCGTCAGTAACGACCACAACCTGATAGTTCGGGATCAACTGGGCCAAATCACCGTGAACAACCGACACTGGTACGTATGAGTTCAGTTCAGACAAGTGCCGAACACACGCAGCAGCACGAGGTTTTCCAATATCGGTTTTTCCCAAATAGAATTGGCCCGCCAGGTCCGCAACGACGGCTGGTTCCGAGTCGTAGATGGCGAGCGATTTTACACCCGCAAGCGCCACGTTCTTTGCGATCTCAACGCCAAGACCGCCAAGACCGACAATCAAGACATTGGAGGTTGCCATTTTCTGCATAGCCTCTTTGCCGAGCACATAGAGCTGGCGAGAGTACAGACTCTCATCAATTTCGCTGTCCACTTGCATTGGGATTATAGGATAGTTCACTGCGGTTTACTCAGCTGGTGAAGAGTAGCGAGCGAATATAGCACCCCTGTATGTTACCCAATACCCCTAATCGGGTTTGCCTCTAATTTACTTGTATTTTTGTACTGGAAAACAGGTATGAAAGTTGTATTCGGTGCGTAACAAATGAAGACCTCCAGCACAGTTTACATCAATCTCGGGGAAACTGCTGAAGTATTTATGTATGCGTGGAAGCTGACAGCATTTGAAAACAGTGGCGATCCGATGAGATACGTAGCTAAGTTGCCTGTTTCACCGGGTATAATCTCACTAGTACGAATAAGCGTCAGTGAGTGCTTGGGTGCAGAATATGCGAAAGCCAGTTAGTATGACAGTGATGAGTTGGTGCGTGCTGCAGAGTACGAACGTTTAGGAGGTATGCTTCTCGGTTAGTCAGGATTTACCAGGGGCGCAGAGTCTAGCAAGCAGTCTATTATGACTGCAGATGGCCAATAAGCTCACCAAGCACTTTGCGCAGAATCGAATTAAAAAAATTGGCAAGTTAATGAAAGAATACTTACTGAGATAGACTTTGAGTGTGCTAAACGTGTTGTAGTAGTTATTTGCCAGATGTAGTGGATATTTGCCACTGCTCGCCAAAAACGGTTTGTGCCAATTAGGATCTTCCAAGCATGCGTCCTGCAGCTCCTGCTGCGCCCTATTTCTTAGGGCGTATTCCAAAAAACTATATTAGAGCAAGATTGCCGGTATGGAGGCGTATCAAGATCCAAATGTCGTTTCCATCAACAAAAAAGTCTCCTGAATCCGCAATCTACGTTACTGAACGTGAACTAGCTGACGGTAATGACAGCTTGCTTACCCCAAGCTCATCTTCAGATCCCACCACAGCGCCACGAAAGTCGAAACTCTCAACTTTTGCACTGCTATTCAAGGGCCACAGAGCAAGACCAGATCGCCGCGCAGACATTCCAGCGCAGGCTAGAAATATGATGTCACTCCTCTGAGTGGAAGGAGCTATAACATCACAAGGTGCTATATCATCCCTTCAGACTCACTCTATTTTGTACCTAGAATCTAGCTTATAATAGAGCACTAGTTAATTATTCCGATCCATAAAAGAACTCTACACTGATATCAATTTGAACACACTCCTTTACGTATGGTTACATTGTGGACAACTTACTGCAGAGTTACAAAAGTCTGCAGTCGAATGCAAGCTTGGGTTTGGAGAGGATGTTCATTTAAACCGATACAAATCCCCCTGATCTAGCCTAAAATACAAAGTACAAAATTGACGAACCAATATGATAGCACAGAAAGCTCGAAAAGGTCACACCATTTCGGCTGTGGATTTAAGCATCTCATAACCCAGGCGGTTAAATTTTGTCGCGTTCTTATGAAGCCACCAGAGAGTGGGCCGGTTTTTTTTGAGCCCACAAACGAGCATCCAGATTCTGAGACCCCAACCCATTCCAGAGAAAACGCTTGAATTTTTTTCTTATTTCATTGCGAACTTTTTAATACTATTCGTGCTCTTGCATTGGAGTTTAGATCGCGTATTGCCACCTGTGTTTCATTTTCGATTGCCTAACCTTGGCTTAGCGGTGTCAGAACATTCTGCATGCTTTCATAACTCTGCAGGATAATATGCAGTCACCAAGCTTTTGTGACTAATTCTTATGAGATCGAGTGCCCCTATGTAAAATATAAAAGAAAGAACTGCTTGCCACAGATCCTAATAACTTACAACCCAGTGAAGCTCACAAATGTTCAGTGAGACGATACATCCTTGCCAATCCCCGTCATCGTGGGAAATCGATAGAGTTCCCACCGCCACGAGCGGTAACCACCCACATCATGACTTTCGAAGCAGACTTAAGATTTTTCTTTCTGCGGCTCCAAGAGCGATACATTTGAACCTACCACATCAGACCTCAAGCAGGTTCAAAGAGTTATAGAATTGAAGGTGGCCAAGTGACGTTGTCACGAATCCTTATGGACGTTGGCCACCCATTGGAGATCGCATATTTAGTTAATGAACAAGTAATGAATTAGAGTCTAGAGTGCCAGTAATGGTTTGTTTCGAGGAAGACTGATCAGAACCCCTGGTTAGAGAATGACCAGAGACTGTTGCTAGAGACTGATCGGAATGTGATCAGAGAAACGTCCCCAGACACATCCCGAACGCTTTAGCTTGTACTTCTAGCAAGTCGGCAATAATACTCTGTTGATTTAATTATATATCTCCAAGTCCTAATATCTTTCGTATCCTTCTAAAACAACAGCTTCGCACGTCCATGCAACTTGCCGCGGAGTGCATGTGATAAAAGCTGGAGTCAACGGTTAGGTCAGCTGGCAACTTCAATGATCAGCGACTTATCTTTGGAAAAAACTCTACCTATTGTTTGGAACGACGAGGCGTCTTTCGCAGCAAAATTTATTGCCTTCAATCCCGTCTTCTGGAATATTGCTGCTCAGCTTGAACTGCGCGTTAAGCTGTTTACCAAGCTGGGTCTTGGAAACCGATACTACGGGTGCTACATTTTGGCAGCTATCATTTTCTCGCTGGGTATTTACCGCGATTGGATTTACAGGATCGCTTTAGAGTCTCAGCCAGTCGCTCCTCTTCTCGATAATATCTACGCAAAGGTTGGTGGCGCGGCAATGTTTGGCGTGGGAAATGTTCTCGTTCTCAGCTCGATGTGGGCGCTTGGCATTACCGGCACTTACTTGGGCGACTACTTTGGCATTCTTATGGACGAACGTATTGCCTCTTTCCCTTTCAACGTCTGCAACAATCCTATGTATATTGGCTGCTATCTGTCGTTCCTCGGGGTCTCTCTGTGGTACGGCAAAGCGCTGGGCTTCGTGCTGTCGACTTTGATGTGGGTTATGTACATGGTTGCTTTACGTTTCGAGGAACCCTACACTGAGCGTATTTACAGTGACCGTGAAAAGGCCCGCGAGGCTGCTGCTGAGTCGTCTGGTTCGTCAACCGGCACCTCGCGCCCCTCCACCCGCTCTCGAACCAAGCGGGTTTAAAAAGCGAGGTTAAAATTTTTAGTTCCGTCATTCTAAATGTTCAACCAATCAAGGAACATTCAACATGAGTTCCATCTTTGTAAATATCTATTATTCTACCTTTATTATAGACGCCCCGGCCTCCCTACGCGTTTTGTCATGCCTCGCGAACTAATCACCATCCAGGCGGGCCAGTGTGGTAACCAGATTGGCGACTCGTTCTGGCGGCAGTTGTGTTTGGAGCATGGGATTTCACCAGATGGCACGCTAGAGAATTTTTCGATTCCAGGCGCCGACCGCAAAGATGTGTTTTTCTATCAAAGCGACGATACTCGGTACGTTCCACGGTCGGTTATGATAGATCTGGAACCCCGCGTGATCCACAGCATCCAATCCGGTACGTATGGATCGATGTACAACCCAGAAAACATGTATGTGTCTCAGAATGGTGGCGGTGCTGGCAATAACTGGGCGGCGGGATACCACGCTGGTGAGAAAGTCATGGAAGAGATCTTGGACATGCTTGATCGCGAAGCGGATGGCTCCGACAGTCTGGAAGGGTTTATGCTCTTTCATTCGATTGCTGGCGGCACAGGGTCTGGCTTGGGATCCGTTCTGTTAGAGCGGGTGAACGACCACTTTCCTGGCAAGCTTATCCAGACGTTCAGCGTGTTTCCAAACGTGGCCAACAACGTGAGTGATGTAGTTGTGCAACCGTACAACAGCATCCTGACCATGAAGCGGTTGCAGCTGTATGCAGACGCCTGTGTCGTTCTGGACAATGGCGCCCTTATGCGGATTGCCGCCGACACACTCAATGTTCAATCACCGACGTTAGAGCAAACGAACCAGCTTGTTGCTACCATCATGAGTGCATCGACAGCTACTCTTCGATATCCTGGCTATTTATACAACGATATGACCTCCATCTTGTCTTCACTGGTGCCTTTCCCCGAGTGCCATTTCTTAATGACCGCCTACACACCGTTCACCACCACGATTGAAGCGGCCAAGTTTGTGCGCAAAACCACAGTTTTAGATATCATGCGAAGGCTTTTGCAGCCCAAAAACCGTATGCTTTCAACGGCACAAAGTAAAAACGCGTGTTATCTATCATTGTTAAATATTATTCAGGGCGAGGTTGACCCCGTGGACATCCACAAGTCGCTACTGAGAATCCGGGAGCGGAACCTGGCCACTTTCCGTCCGGATACTCCAGCTTCGTTACAGCTGGCATTGGCTAGGCGGTCACCTTACGTCGAGAGCCCAAACCGATTGAGTGGGTTGATGCTTGCCAACCATACATGTATTGCGAGCCTATTTATGCGCATTTCGGACCAATTTGACCGACTCATGAGACGTCAAGCTTTCATCGACCAGTACAAAAAACAGCCAATATTCGAGGAATCCCTGGACGAGTTCCACGACTCTCGTGAAGTAGTTCGACGTGTGGTTGACCAGTATCAGAAGCTGGAACCTGAGACGCTTGATCAGCTGTCGTAATAAATTCACTAATTGCGTTAGGGTGTAGCCTGGATTGAATGCTAAAGGTCGGGTCATGGCTGTTGCAATTGAACAAAGAGCCCCAGCACGTGCTTTATTGCCCAAAACTCAATTCGCTGGTGAGTAAGCTGGGTTTCAGTCCCAGGGTTAGGTCCGATACGGCAGAGGTTGGCCGGAAGCTCGCGCTGCCCCCTCTCTTCTACACCAGTCGATTTCCAGAGTCCAAAGTGCTTGCAAGCAGTGCTAGGAGAGGCTTCCATTTTTCTGCTCAGATCGCCAAACACATCCCTCGAAGACGACCTTGTACGCTTACCAACATGCAAACCTCTTTTGACAAGCCCGTAACCGTCGCAGTTATTGGAGGCACTGGTTTATACAAGCTGGATGGCCTCAGCCCCGTGGCCATGCTCGATATCGACACGCCCTGGGGCAAGCCCTCGTCGCCTATCACTATCGCGCTGACGAAATCTGGCGACCCGGTGGCTTTCATTTCTCGTCATGGCCGCAGTCACCAATTTTCACCGACCGGCGTGCCTGCACAGGCTAACATCGCAGCTCTGAAGCATATTGGCGTCAAGGCTATTATCTCATTTTCGGCCGTTGGTTCTTTGCAGGAGGAAATCCGCCCTCGTGACTTTGTCCTCGTGAACCAGGTTTTCGATCGCACCAAGGGCATTCGGCCCAGCACTTATTTTGGCGACGACTTTGTCGCCCACGCTATGTTTGGTGAGCCATTCGATGTCAAGCTCAATGCGTTCATCAGCGAATATGGCCATATCATGGAGGGTGAGTTCGAAGGGAAAAAGTCTACTCTGCACACTGCCAAACCTGGGAAAGACCTTACTGTGGTCTGCATGGAGGGCCCAGCGTTTTCCACTCGCGCCGAGTCGCAGTTCAATCACCGCAACGGGTTTGCTGTGATTAACATGTCTGTGCTACCTGAGGCCAAACTTGCTCGGGAAGCAGAGATCTCCTACCAAATGATTTGTATGTCTACAGACTACGATGCTTGGCGAGAGTCTGAGGAGGCTGTGACAGTGGAGCAGGTCATGGCCCACGTGAAGGCTAACGGCCATAATGCCGAGCGGTTCTGTGAGTTCCTGCTCGATCCCCTGGTCGCCAAGGTGAAAGCTGGGGAAATCGGCAACGACCTTGTCGACAGCATGAAGTACTCGGTGAGCACTGCTCCGGCTGGCCAAAGCGAAGAAATGAAGACCAAGCTGAACTTCTTATTCCCTGGCCGCTGGTAAAATCAGTTGACCCAGGGCCCCTTGTGGCGGCTATTTTGCCAGGGAAAACTATCAATGCTTCCGGCCGTCCTAGTAGACCCCCATGTCAGCACCAGAGTTTCGCTTTGTAGTATCTGCTGTGTGATATCAAACGGCGAGTAGACCACGGTCTTTTTGCCTCGCGCCTTCAGCTTGACCAGCTTTGTATAGACTCGTTTGATGTTGGTGGCTACCATTACGAACGCGCAATGCAAGACTGCCATATTTTAATGCAGCATGATATGTGATATTACAGCTTAAGAAATAAATAGATACCTAGTACAAGAAAGAATCGAGGTCTTCGGGTGCGACGGATTCTGGCAAGACGAACTCGCTGGTGAAGTCAATGTTCCAGGACGAAAGCTCGAGGGGGTACGGTCCTGAATTTAAGACTGCCGACAGAGCTTCGGTGCCCAGAGCATCATAGTAGAGATTGACTTTGTTCATGGGGCGGCCGGCGATGGAAGGAATGCGCGACAAGACAGATTCTAGCGTTTCCGCTGCCTGGTTGGGCGCATCAGTATGTGCAGAAGGGGTGGGCTCGCCCGGCTCTGAGATTAGGTCAGACACATCGCTGCCGACTCTCTCCAGTTCGGGCACGGGCTCGACCTGATCAATCTCAGACGCAGAGCCGGATTCTGACGGGGTATGTGACACTGGGGAAGTGAAAGTAACCTCTTCGCGCGCCTCTTCACGTTCTTCGAAACGCGGGCGCTTTGCAACCGGCTCGTGTTCGTCGGCTGGCGGGGTCACCGGCTCGTTGGCTTCGGAGTACTCAGGCTCGCAATACGTATAAACCAATCGCTTTGGCAAGTCTGAGCTGGTCTCTCGTCGAATCGGTAGAACACTCAGCTGGTCATCAGTAGGCTCGGGGCTGTCCCCGTGGTACTTTCGAAACAGTCCATTCAGCCGGGACGAAAGGGTGGTGGATGACAGATTAGACGGCAGAGACAACGTGGAGTCGCCCAGCAGCTCTGCAGAAAGCTCTTTACTAGTCATTCCTTTCGGGTGCACACGCGACAAGACTTTGACGCAGGCGGAGATGAGAAGCTTGTTGACGTCTTCCTTCTCTTTAATTTCGGGACTTGCAGACCGACTTTCGATCTTTACTTGTTGGTGACGGCGCTTAGTGGCAGGCATAGGCGGGAAATCAGACCTTTTAGAGCACTTGGGAAGGTACAAATAATGCTAGATAGCCCGGCAATATGGTATAGCGATAATCACACACAATTTTTATCGAACAAAAATAAATTCTCTTGACCAATGCAAAAGAGCGGCGTAAACTTTTTTTTTGTTCCGGTTGCTGACTATCCAAACTTGCATACGGGCGACGGGACTTTTTCTTAAATACAAACCCACAATGAAAAACTTGCATTGATGAGTAATCGTTATGAGAGTATCCCGCAGCGCATATCTTCCCAAAAAAATATACGGGTTTGAGCAAACATGCTTAGGTTAGTTTTTGAATGGCCGTTTTGACGATTATTTTGAATTTGAAACCGAGACTTTTTGTCTTAGATTAAAAATAAGTGTTGTAAACCAAAAACCGCGAACAAGCCTAGCTCAAGGCTGTTTTTTGGGATTGGCTGGTCCAATCGCCACTTGGGCAAACAAGGCTGTAACCCTTACCTGATATGCAATGGCCCTCACACCCAAAACCATGCAGGGACACTTTGTAATAATATTTCATGCATATTCCGTATGACGTTGTTAGATGTCCCACATGGGGAGGAAGAAAGACAGAGGGGAGTGGGTATTTTGGTCAGAAAACAGGTCGCACACTGAGTGCGAGGGGTTTTGGCAACAGTTCAGCCCTTTGGCTCTAATTCGGTGAATTGAAGGCGAGTAGCGACAAAACCCCCTCGAAAGGCGTGGGAAAAGGGTATCAGATGACTGTAGGCGAAAACCCCCGATGCCCATACGCAGCTCAGAAAGCTGGCTAGCGACCCAGTTTCAAAACCTCCACATCGGGCAAATGATTTTAATTTAACGCTATAAACGTGAATTTAACATAGATACATGCCGCTAAATTTTTGGATTTCTTCGCGAGCACCAAACGAGCCGCTGCGAACAGGACAGGCGGGATAAGGGTGCCACCTCATAGCTTGAACTGGCCAGACGTTTTACTAATCATGATGTTAGGGTTATTCCAAGATACTGCACGCTTGCCAAGTGCAGGCAGGTTAGATCAGCGAGCGTTCCCCAGCTTTTCCCGCAGGCAACGGATTTGAGTGGTTTTGCATCGCCATCTCTCTCTTGGCTGCGAGGCGTCCTGGCCTGTTGTGACCGCGATCAGCAAGCCCTAACATTAGGTGCCGCCATAGTTGTCCATAGTAGTCGATCTGAGCTCTTTTTACGGTAGATTACCCAAAACCTTGGGGTCGTTATTTTAAAATAATTATTTACAATTGGGTAACCAGTGTCTGCTACTTATCGAGCCCAATCAATGCTTTGGGCTGCTGCGGATGGACATGATTAGTAACTGTCGCTAACCCGGAGATCGGTCTGCATGCCTAATCAACGAATTTCTGGGGGTCTTGGTCAAACGGCAAAGTCATTGCTCTCGCAATCCCGGACCGACACTGCAACGTAAGCATCCGGGTTTTGCCTGGTATCGTCTGCGGGAGCGTGGGAGGGCGATCTTCATATACGCAGCAAACCAGGCGTTTCCAAAGGATTAAGAACAAGCGTGTAAGGGTGTGTGTGTGTGTATGTGTGAATGCGTGAATGCGTGCGTGTGTGTGTATGTGTGGGTGCGTGCGTGTGTGGAACCTTACAGACATTAGCAAAGTGGTCGAAACCTGGCATCATCAAGTTACTGCCCAGCCCGCGGCTTCCATGCAGGGTCGAGGATATGCTAATCAAACCCTTTGGGGAGCCGTTTGTTGGCTATAGCATCGACTTTTCTCAACAAATTATCGAGACTGGAGTGCACATTTTGGAGTTTCGCGTCTAATATTGCTATTCGGCTGTCCACGCCGTCCAGTAACTCGCAAAGCCTTTTGCATTGGGAACTGGGCGCTGTGCATGCCAATGAGTTGGAAGCTGGCATCTGGGAGACAAGGGATCCTCGACAGGTACGATATCGAAAGAAAGACGCTTAAGCCACGTATAGTTTGGAGAAAGGTTCAACACCGCTCGTCTGTTGACTTTGTCCAAACGATGCTGCAAGTATCCCTCTGCCACGCCTTGGGCTTAGAGTTCAGGTAAATAATAAAATTTTCTGTTTGGGGGAGTTGCAGAAAACCGTTGGATTACTAATATATGCCTCCAGGGCGGCTTGGCTGCATGAGTGGAAAATCGGGCAAGCAGCACGGCGAGAGGGGCTACCGGTATTGGCGCCCTCTCGCACATCTTCGCGTTCAGTTAGCTGGAAGCTCTTCTAAGTTCCTATTTCAACACTGTACCACTAGGCGGCATTCGACTAGAAGCACTCGGCCAGCACACTCAATTGGTGTTCATAACGTGTAAATTTTCATTCAACCATGTCATCTGATTTGTCGCTAGTGGGGTTGTGCGGAGACATGAGACTTGGGCTGGTCACGTTTATACCGATAAGGTAATACCAATCAATATATGCAACCCCCACGCTACATCGAAGTGCGACTAGATTCGTTACAGGAACCCTGACGAGACAAAGTTGCCCGCCAGAGGCTGGGGCGGGTCGAGCTGCCAATAATGCTACAGCCAAAGCCGGTTTGTCTTGAAGCCTTCATTTTCGTGGGCAATGGCTCTCCATGTGCGCCTCATACGTGCGCTGCATGACGTCTGCACCACTGCCGCATGTTTATCGTGACAGATCTGCAGAGCGGCCCTAGCGCGGAGTACGAGCTGCATGATGGATTTCTGAAAGACAACCACAGCAGGCAATTCAGAGAAATAATGGGATTATTGCGTATGTCAATATGAAGAAATAATCATGAAGCACATAGGCTAAAAAAATTAGATATAGGGCCAGTTCAGGTCCAATGAGACTCTGAGTTCGCCCAAACGCTATTTACTGCTGATGCTGCACGCTGAGTTGGTTTGCGCAAAACGAGCGGCGAAAGAGTGTCGGGCGTCCGAGGTAAACGATACCAGGCTTCAGGATTGTCAGGCGTACTGCAGATGGAACAGTCGTCTTCACTCTGGTCGTATGTTGCAGCGAAGAACTGCTGGATTAAAGCTGGTACGTTGTACTCCGACTTGGAGGTCCAGGCGGAGATTTGGGGCGGGGGGGATACAATCAAAGCAACGAGGGAATCGAAGCATTCACGAATAGTGCCCGAAAGACGGAAGCTCTGGCCAGGGAACTCACCAGTGAGGGAGGCCAGGATAGCGCAAGTCAGCTCAACCGCGGCAGTGGCAACTGCACGCGGTCCGTAGGCAATCATTTCGCGATTAAATAAAGCGCACATGCACATGTATTGTGCCATGGCAGTATAGTGAGGGATCTCTGCTGGGGTTCTCGCCGGCAAGCAACCCGATTGGCACAGATCCAGAAATAAAATGTCAAGGAACTCCAAGCTTGTAGGCGCACTGACATCCCACTGTAGAGTCTCCAGAATGTGACGTTCCATTTCACTAAACATGTGTGGGGCGAACGCATTTGCGCAAAGATAAGAAAGATCGGATACTGAAGGCACCCGACGCTTGTCGTCGAGGAACTTTGCGGCAACTAGTAGTGAAACGCATCCCACCAGCTGGTAGTGCCGAGCGTAGACAATGCGTCGGGAAGAGTAGCGATCAAGAATAGAAACTGCAAGGGTCATGGTTTCGGGCCGTAGGCGAAGAGCTTCGTGGGCCTCGAATAAGAATGCTAGTAGTCGTGGCCGCATGGTCCAGTCGATATCCGGCTGGGAGTCAATGAGCTCGACGTTGATTCTCTTGGCCTCCTCAGCCATACAGATGGCTTCGAAAATTTCTCCAGCATACTCTGCAGTTGCCCTAGCAGCAGCCTCCTCGGTATACAGATGGCGCATATTGAACGATGAGCAGTAACAGGAAGGTGTGTAAGGTGTGGTGTTAGCAATAATGCAATGCTAGAAGTATAGTAACAATACTCTGTGTAATTTGTCCTGGTGGAAGAAAAAAACTTTTGGGTTGTTTTTTTTTTGGTGGACAATAGTCACGCGGGTAGCGGAGGGGCTAAGTGGAGGTCGAAGTTTTTTGAGGGGAAATTTGTGTAAACGGAAACAACTTGCAAAGCTGTTTGAAAGTCAGAGTGCAATGGTGTGTAACTGTTGTACACGCAGTTAATTTTGATCTTTAAGGTCAGGCCACTAAGAACAATAAATATGACCTGTCACTGGAAGGTTTTTAACCCAGCCTGTCAAGATTGAGAAAAATGAGGAAAGAGGTTGAGGAATATTGTTAGCTGTTAACCACAATACCGCCAATTAAGGGGTCTTGTAAGTGTCCAAATGTCCTTCTGTTAATGATACCGGTCTTTGTAGAGACTCGGCGTGAATTTTTCTGAACGATTAGTCGGCGCCTGGAGTATATATTTGTGGCAATGTAAGCCTGAGCTGCATGCACACTGGTTGGTCAAGCACGTTTGCAGGATATGCAGGAGGAGAGTGTTTATGACGATTGGTATTGAGGGTAGGCCCGAGTGAAATAAAACAAAAACCAGTGAGAACTTACAACCAGTGAAGCGATATTATCGTTAATGCATCACCCAGCACGTCGATACTAGCTCGTTGCCCCCTCGTCCGCTTGTCAGAGCATTTCCCAGGATCCGATTCTTGTTGCCTATGCCACCACCTCTGGACGCAGCTTTGCTTGATTGGGTTAGGTACAGTCCCAGATCCCAGAGCGATGTATTAAAAGAAAACTATCTCTGCTATTCTCAAGGCGTACATACAAAGAAACCCTGCGGCACCCGCTGCCACCAAATGCTATATTCCGGCTATTCCACCCTCCAACATTGTCGCATGGCCCAAGATTCGCTGCCTCTGCGCCCTTGTCTGAGCCAGAGGGCACAACCCTGCAGGATATATCCTCTCGCGTTAATTATCAATCGATCCCCTCCTGCAAAAATCTAGGTGATTCGCAGAGCCAATTTATGACTAACCAAGTTGTCAGCATCCTGCGGCCCCCATCCTAACCCTCCTAGTGGGGGCGGAATTGTCCAGTTATGTCGGTGATATGCCAGTAAAAACGAGTGAATAACTTTTTAAATTTTTCTATAACCCCATCCCGTTCGACGGACAGCTTTGGTCTTCACCACACGCCGGTGGTGCGGGTCTTATCTTTTTTTTTTTCAACCCAACAAGTCAATTTATCGCCTTAGCAGCGTGCTTAGTCGACTAGGCAGCATAGCCGCCGATATGGTGCGTCAGCTGGTAACCTGCCAGGGGAGACTCCTTGACAACGAGAATTCATGCCGGAGAAACAGACATTTTAAAAGTTTCTGCACTGGCCAGCTTTAACTTCGTCTGAAATGTCTCGTATATGCTTGATCGTCCCCAGCATAATCACAAAAACGTGCGAAACGGCGCTGCTATTTACCCGTCGATTGTACCCGTGCAAATAGACACTTAGATACCTTCACTAGTGCGACAGATCAGACTTGCATTTCTTCAATTTGTAGATTCAGCCTTATCCCGAGCTCATGCTGCTGGCTTTCTTCTAATTTGCCGTCCGCCGCCCGGCAGGTTCCCAGACTGCCAATGATAGCCAATACCGCCCCGATGATACATGTGTGAGACACCGTATCTCCTGCACGGTGCAGACCGGCCTGCGAAATTACCTGGCCACCAGGGCCAATTTAGTGTACTAGCTTATGGCGGCACTTTGATTTTGTATATGAGCTCAAGAGTAGTAAAGTGTGTGGAGATTTTAGATCATATGCGATAGTCTTGAAGACCATCGCACGTGTGGCCGCTCCCGTGCATCGTGCAGTAAGGTTCTTGCCGGCCAGACATGAATCACTTCACTTGCTCGATCGAGCCAACACGGTCACTCACGCTAGAATATTTGAAAACCATCCTTGGGCTTTCAAACAAACTGGGTTATTACGGAAATACATTCACAAGCCAGCTAACCGTTGATCTGCCTTATTACTCACTCTGCTGCTATATTAAGACACCGCGTCAAACGGTGCATGTGGCTGGAGGCCCTGTGCAATTTTCGCTCTACTCTTTATGTTTTCATTACGTCAAACTCTAACATTTCCCGCCAAATTATTTTTTCTCCAGCAACGTGCTCCAGACAATCTTGGAACGCTCGATAATTAATATGCGCCAGCGACGACAGTCTCCCTGCACAACGCCAATCTAAGCTCACCCCACTCGTTGTCAGGGGCAACGTCTTTTCTGCAACCAGATATACATACACCTACAGACATAGCTGCGAAGGTACGCAGGCTGGTTTGGCCCTTTTAGCAGGGATTTTTCAGGGAAATTGTGTTTTGCCAGCTGCAACTACGCAGCTACACAACTTGGTTTTGCCGCCTGCGAGCCCTGTAATTTCTTTCATCGCGTGCCTTCAGATCTGGCCAAGCGTCAAGCGCAACAACCAGAGTCTGCATCTCCAGCCCCAGAATTATCCGCGACAAATTATACGGTAGCAGTCGCAATTATAATTGTCTGTGTTTAAACATAAGCCTATGCAATCCTACAGAGTTTGTTATCTATAGCACTATCAAGCAATCTCTAGCACCTGTCTCAGATAGAGGACGAGATCTTGCTCGATAGGATACCCATCCGCTGTAAACGCAGGCACAGTTCCCTTGAGTGTATCTCGGGAATATCGTGCGAGAAGCGGAGGCTTGCTGGGGTTTTTCAGAGTGGCCGACTTGAGCTCATCCTTTGTATTCCTACCCGGAGGTCCGTTGTGGCCACGTGATTGGGGTGCCGGCGATCCCTTCGACGATCCTGTGTCCGCCGCCTGTTTTCCATTACTCGCCTTTTTCTGATCTGATTGCTTGGGTTTGGAATCATCCCCACGTCGTTTGATGTTTTTGCTTTCTGGGTCATCTCCACCTCTCTTGTTCTGCAGCTCCTCCGATTCCGTGCGGCTCTGTAAGACACCGCCGCCTGCATGCTCCTGCTTTTCAGCTGCAATTTGACCAGGATCGGAACTGACAGCGGACTGCAGCAAATTCATCAACGATGATGCTGCGGGTGACGATTCCCTGAGAGGCATAGTTGAGTTATTCGTCGCGTCGATAAGTGGCTGGACAGCGTCGATCTTTGTGTCGCCATTACCCTCCCGTGGTTTGACTTGAGAGGCGGCAGTGTCCGGTATTTCTGCTGATTTGCCCGCTGATTCTCGGGGCTTAAGTAGATCCATAAGGTTAGGCCTCTTTGAGGCTTCAACAGGCTCTGCTTGCTTGGGTTGTTCAATAGACGAGTTGGCTGGCGCTTTAGTTGTCAGCTCCATGCCTCCGTGCAACAGGTTCATCAGCTCAGAACCAGCTGTGCTCTGAAATTTATCCTTATCGGCCTCTGTTTTGACATCTGTCGGTTGCCCGCTATTTAGCAGCTCCATCAAACTCACATTGGGGGGGGCTGGTGCAGGTGCAGGGTGAGGTGCAGGTGCAGGGTGAGGTGCAGACTTGACCTCTTTGTTACCATTCAAAAGCTCCATAAGACTTGAGCTTGCGGTTCTTGATTGAGGTTCAGGGATTTTACCAACCGCTTCTGCAGATACCGCAGCATCAGAGGCCTTCAACAGACCGAGCAGATCTGACTCTGCTTTACCGCGCAGTTTTGCCTGTACGGTCTGCGCTTTCGCCTGGTCCTCGGTAAACTTTTCGGTATGCTCCTCAGCAAAGTTTTCGACATGCTCCTCAATCGGCTTCATGACCGGTTCGTCGGCACGCTCCTGTGTCACCTCTTCAGTCTGTTCGTGGGTTGTGGGTGTGGACGTCTTCAGAAGGTCCATCAGATTGTTAGCAGGTGCGTTCTGAACCGAGGGCTTTTCCAAAACGCCCTCAGCAGGAGGTTTGCCCTTGGTTAGCATTGCCATTAACGAATTTTTGGCCGAAGAGTGATTTGAAGTCAAATTAGATGGGTTTGCAGTTGCGTTCAAAGTCTCAGGCTCAGGACCCTTTAGCAACGACATAAGTGACTTGCCACTAGACGACATAGTCGATCCAGTTTTCAAAAACGAAAGCAGATTATTCTCCGATTTCATGGGCTGTACAGGCTGAGCAGGCTGAGCAGGTTTTGCAGACGGTCTCTCACCGCCCAGAACAGAGAGCATGCCAGAATTCGTGCCCTTGCGATTGGTTAGCAGCGACTGGAGCATGGTATTCGGAGGAACAGGCGGTGGCGAAGCATAATTACCAGGCGTTGGGGTTGGGACTTCAGAAGCAGGAACAATGATCTTTGCGGGAGTTTTGATGACCTCCTCGGTAGCAATTTCATGTTGCAAAAGCTGCAAAATATGCTGTGCACTCTTGATATTTTCCTCAGACGATTCTCTGTTTTTGAATAGATCCATAATCACTTGTCGATCCTGATACATTGGTACCACATCGAACTGGGGTGCCGGAGGGAACAAAGGTGCCTGCATGGGAGCCTGGATCATAGAAACCAATCTCTGCGCACTTGCCTGATCTGTCTCGACTTGGCCATTGAGACCCAGCAGGTTTTTGAGGGCATTTGTTTCCTGGGTAGACAGCTCAGACACCTCACCACGAGCCCGAGCAATATACTGCTTGAGACTGTACAAGAACGGAATAGCCGTTTGGTACGCAGCGACTTTTTTGCTTTTCGAAAATACGGGCAAACTCTGTACCTTGTGCCATTTGATCTCAGAAATTTCTTTTCGTGTTTGCGTTTTGAAAACAGTTGACTCAGGTACACCTTTAACCACATAAAGTCGAATATTCTTGTTCTGTCTGGTCACTTCGATAAAGTCGTTGGGGACAAGATATGCGCCCATATCAAATCCGGTTTCTTCAAGAACCTCCCTGATGGCACATTTCTCATCCGACTCGTTTTTGTTGATCTTACCTCTTGGGAATACCCAAACTCTGGACTTCCAGGGCTGCACCATGAGGACCTTGTCCAACGTCTCATTCAATATGATACCACCTCTGACGGGAATAACAGATTTGTAGCTTCTGAACTTGGACAGACCGTCAATAGGGTTGGTAATGTAGTCTTTCAATAGTGGTACTGCTAGGAACAAGCTTTCAACAAAGCTCTTTAGTGTCATGTGCGGAAGGGCTGGGTGGCTGACCCTGGCAAAGTCTTCATAGAACCAGTGAGCTTCTTCGACCTGGAAAAAGAACCGCTCGAGGGTTGATAAGTCCTCCTCGGGACAGTTCAAGATAAACCGCACAGCTATATCAATCAATACATCGTCAAGGCTGAACCGCTTGTACGAATAGGGTGTGACGGGCATGACAAATCCGATCAGGACGCACGACAGGTTTTGAACGGCGAACGAAATTTCAAATTGCGAGCTGAGTCTGGGACATTTGATGCCGTTTGGCTTTTAGTTCTTGTTCTAGTTGCATAATAACCTTTTGTGCCTCACCGTACGATCTCGGCTCGTTGTTTTTTTCCGCAATTGTCATACGAGTCTCTAGTTCTAGCAGGTTTCGCAGCTGAACCCCACTTGATTCGATGTCTGCCAGTAAGCGCTCAATGCGGTCCTTGTACTTTTCGCATAATCCGTGGTGTTCGCAGTAGTGCCATAGCCCATCAATACGGTCTTGGATTTCACATGAATCGTGTGCCAGCTGGGGCTCCATAGGCTGATCGGGGTCCTCTTCTGTCAACTGGGGACGATAATTATTCAAGTTCTCGAGCGCTAGAGTATACTCTCCCGCTGTTTTAAACTCATGGCTTTTCAATTGATGTGCCAACGTCCAAAAGTACGATTTTGTTGACATTTCCACTTCAATTTCAATCGTGCGCGCGCGACAACCTCACCGCTGACAAAGTGCCATTTCAGAGCTTTCTGAGCCCGCGACAATGGAAGGATTCGATGAGGATTACTTGCGGATTCTCGAGCTAATCGACAATCTTTCTAATTCTGTGCTGGAAGATGATGAGATGCTAAAGTCTAGGGAAGATATTCTTCAGAAGCTTGCCCAGCTAAACAGTAAGGTTGAATGCGTCGCTGTTGGGGTAGGCGCAGGGGACCCGGCTGTTTCTACGAGTCTGGAAGAAATTGAATTTGCACGTCAGAAAACAGAACTTGGCTACCGACGATTCAGAAACGCGCAGGTTGTTGCTAGCCATGCACGAAGCGAACAATGGCTAAAGCGGCGGGAAAAGCTGCTAAGACCAGCCGCCCATGGTCCTACCACCATATCGGAAGTCGAGCAACCCAGAAAAGAAGCTCCCAATGACTTTAACCCGGCGGTCTCAAAGTCCGAGGACATTACTACCACTTTACGACGGGTTCATCAAATGGCCCAAGGCGAGGTGTTGAAGGCAGAACTCAACATTGAAGAGCTGGACTCTTCTACCAAAGCTTTGAAAGATCTTGAAAACAAATACTCTGCTGTTGATGTGCTGTTGAATGGATCGAGACGGCTGGTGCAAGTTCTGGAAGAGGCAGACAAAGGAGACAGGCGGCGTATTCGGCTCTCTTTGGGCTTTTTGGCGGCTGTTCTGGGTTGGATTGTGTATCGACGAATATTGAAGCTTCCCTTGAAGATTTTGTTCTGGAACATTGTTAATTTAACGCGCTTGGGCAAGTGGGCAACTGGCCTAGCTAGAAAAACCGGCATGGGAAAGGAGCAGTTGCTAGCATTCGAGACAGCTTTGGACAACAAAGAACACAACCTTTTGGATATTGATCCAGACTCAATTGATCTGGCGTTTGGAAGAGATCCTCTCACCACTCTGACCGACCCGGTGGAAACCGCTGAAGCTGAAGCACACGTTCATACAGAGATTTCTGAGTTGCCCGTCGAGCTTGAGCTGAATGAATTCGAGCTGCCTGATGACGACATCTCTACACCCGGTGAAATACCTGCCACCGAAGCAGAGGTTGAAACTGAAGAAGTTCCTCCGGTACACACAACTGCACTCGACGATAACCTGCTGCTAGAGAGAGAATATCTTGAGATTCACGCTGAGCCGGAAGCTGAACTGGAGGCTGAACCCATTGAATCCCTTATCACCGAGTTCAAGTCCGAGTCGGTAGAATTCGAGAGGACGGTTGAGCCTGAGCCGGAGTTCGGCTCTCAACTGGAATCTATCGATGCCGAAATTGTATTTGAGACAGAGCCGGTACTTCATGACGTGCTCCACAATGCTGAAGCGGAGGATTTGGAATATCCAGCACAGCCGCCAGCCACTGAACCGGAAAAAGACCAAGATGAGCTTTATTCTATGGAAACCCACTATTATGCATATGAACAAGTCGTTCCCGAGGAAACTATAATGCCAACAACCGGCACAATCTATTGCGACCCGGAAGACACTTTAATAAAAAAAGAGCTCTAAGCCCTCCATTTGACCCAGACCTCGTCGGTTCTGAACCGCTGCGTACAAACGGATTTTTCATATGGAGTTCGCTCACCAGTTCGATAACCAAGCAGACCGGCGTGTGCAATCATGATGCCATTATCAATACAAAAGCGTTCGTCAGTAGCAAACACTGAGCCGCCGCGGTCCCGAGCCATGACACCCATCATCTCTTGGAGCCGTTCATTGCATCCAACGCCGCCAACAACAAGGACCTGCGACGAGTTTACGTGTGCCATTGCTCGTTCTGTAATTTCTACCAACATTGCAAACAGGGTCTCTTGTAACGAGTAGCATAGATCGGCAGCGGTGAAGTCCTTTTGGTCAATGTCTTGGGCTTGCTCCTCGATAAATGCAAGGATGCCACTCATGCTCAAATCCATACCTTTAACGGTGTAGGGCAGCTGTACGTATTTTTTGCCCTGTTTCGCAAGCTGCTCGATATTATAGCCCGGGGATGGCTCGTTGGAGATTTTGAGCACGCGAGCGAACCGGTCAAGGCAGTTTCCGACGGCAATGTCGAGAGTCTCGCCGAAAATACGGTACCGCTGGGCAGAATAGGCAATTACCTGGGTGTTTCCACCACTGACGTACAGCACGACCGGGTTATCTGCCCCCGTGATCTCACGCCCCATCTCAATATGACCCACGCAATGATTCACGCCCACTAGCGGTTTGCTCCAGAGCGAGGCTATCGTTCTGGCGCCTACAACGACACTTTGCAGAGGAGCGCCCATACCGGGGCCCTGGGTGAAACAAATGCAGTCCAAATCCTCTGGCTTGACATTTGCCTCCTCCAGAGCCTTTTTTACCAGTCGCACAAACCAGTTGCGGTGGTGCTTGGCGACGTCCCGCGGCAGAAAGCCCTCCCCAGGCGGTGCATTAAAAGTGTCCCGGACATTAGCCAGCACCTCCGCACGGTTGTCTGCGGAAAGCTGGCCCTTATAGTGCTTGACAATTCCCACGCCAAGTTTGTTAGCTGAACCTTCAAGGCCAAGTGCCAAATAGTACCCCCGTGGAGGCAAAAAACGATCCAGAACAGGTTCCATAAGTTACCATGACAAAGCCTCGACTTGGTGATTTTATAGAATTTTTCCGGGGGCACGATCTTTTAATAATCGAGTATCTATATAAATAAACTAGGCTTGGAGCTGAGCTTTTTCCTTTTCCAGCTCCTGGATTTGCTCTTTTAGCTTTTTGAGCTGCTCCAGAACCTGCTCGTTCGCAGCGTCTAGCCGGTCGATCTCCTCTGTTTCCGTCTGGTAAGAAAACGGCTTCAGAGGCGGATCTGGCTTGGTGGGGATGACGGCACCCGGTCTGGAAGTAAGGATCTGGAACATGGCCTCCGTGGGCTCACAAAACACCAGCTCGTCGTACAGAATTGACTCGACTGGCTGTGGTTTGGGCGTCTCGCCCGGAACAACGCCGGGCCCAAACGGATGTAGCTTGAGGTGGTGGTAGAGTACAATAGTCTTTTCCGCGGCCGCCTGGGCAAAGACAATGCGGATAGTGATTTCAAACTCGCCCCAGCCGGTCTCAGTGACCTCGAACGGCGGCTTTTCAATCGTCCGCAGCGAATTGGCGTAGGTGTCGTGGAGCTTGAACGACACCTTCTTGATGAAATAGCCCAGGTCGTCCTTCCCGGCCGGGTCCCGGACAAATACCGTCCATTTATGCGTGTGGTCCTCGGGAGTATCCTTTTTGCGGTCAACAGCCTCCAGTGGAACGGCCACATTGCCGTACATGATGGGCCGCGTTACCGACACGCTCTTTACTCTTTTCACGGGCATGTCGTAAGCGGAGATTGCAACGACAAAAAAAGGAGCATATAGTGCGATTGGTTTCGGGCCACGGCGGCTCGCTAAATAAAGTCATACAGATTAGGTTTTTTTTAAAGGCGTCGTCGCAATCACAATGGCAGCGACATGCTTTCGGGCGTTTTGATATGCAGTTTAGCGTCAGGGTACCGCTTTAGAACAAACTTTCTGGCCGCATCAATGTTTTGCTGGGTCTTTTCTGCGTCCATCTTTGTGTGGCCCACTCTTACAGAGGCAAACGTTGACGGCTTTAGCACAAGCTGTGCACATTTGGTGCCCTGACGCACCTGGTACTGAACTTTCCGCGGATCCAACGCCTCGTCCAGCTGTATGGGGATTGGCAGGTGTTTTGCTCGTTTGAAATAGCTCGTTCCCAATACTTCACTCAACGGTTTAGCCACTTTATCCTGGACGAAAATTTTTGTAAACGTCTCCCCGAAAGACTCGATCGCCTTTTTGGACTTTAGTCGCCGTCGCAGCTTGCCAACACCGGTGACCTCGTCGAAAAGAGTTGCTGTGAGCTTGTTTTCCCCGAATTTGGTCTGCCAGGCATGCTGGGGGTCCTTGACTACCACGCAGATCATTTCTTCGTCTGAGCGCCTTGTACGGTGCGGCAGCGGGATCAACATCGCGTGCTCTTGGTAGTTGGCCACGGGATCCTTTTTAAAGATTATTCCCAAGTAAATAGGGCCCTCAAGCTTCGGATGCCGCTCTGTTTCGTCCAGTAAAGCGAGCAGCGGCCGGGTCATGCTGACTTTGCAGGTACGATGCACAAACCTTCATTATGTACAGGATCTAAGATCTATGCCTAGTGGGTCAACACTTGATCGATGTCGCGACTCTCGACCGGCTCGAACGAGGCAAAAGTCATTTGAATAGTGCCGCGGCCTTGGGTGATGCTTCGCAAAGAGGTCAAGTAGCCGACCATTTTTCTTAGGGGAACATGCGCATGAAGAACAGCAGGTTGTGCTTGCTGCTCCTCGTGCTTGGACAAATACATTGTGTGATCAGTCGGAGCGTACATTGAGCTTGCCATCTGCTGGAATTTATCGTCTGAAGCAGTAGATTCGTCTCCGAGTCCGAGAATGTGTCCTCTTCGGTTTGACGACAGGTCAGTCATGACCGTACCCATTTCAGTTTTCGGAACAGTAATGGCAACTTTCATCACGGGCTCTAGAAGAGTGAATTGCCCTAGTGGGGTACTGGCAAGAGCTTCGAGCGAGGCTTCTCGCACGGCGGCAGAAATGGCATCTGTCGACTGTAGCTCTGGAGCGAGATCTAGCTTGACAGAAAAATTCAACTCGAAAAGAGCGCGTCGACCAACTTTACCGCCCGATGCAAGCACCGGCGTAATTCCTACTCCAACTGCAGCCGCAATTTCATCGTTGCTGAGTACGGGGTGACGGGGATGGCGAACGCTGTAAACGTTGGAATCCGTGAGTTTGTAGCCCTCCTGTTCGACAAGCGGTTCAATTTCAACAACAGCAGATACCGACCCGTTGTCTGATTCGCGTTTAGCTGATCCATTAGCAGACCCTGCGAGGGTTTCCTTCAGGGTGATCATGATCTCTCCTACCTCAACATTGGCCTTGAGGTCTTGAACAAGGCGGTCCCGAGCAATTTCCAAATGTAACTCACCCATGCCAGCCAAAAGCCACTGACCAGTCTCGTCATCATACGACAAATTAAGCGAGGGATCCTCACGAAGCAAAATGTCCAACGCAGCCTTCATACTTCGAATGTCTGCTACGCTGACCGGAGTAATTCGCGAGACAAACACCGGCTCAGGGATTTCAATAGGCATGAGCTTTGTCTTTTTGATGTCTTGCGGTAGGGTAGAAATACCGTCTTTTTTGGTGGGGTGGGCAATCAAAGTGTCACCCGTCTTGATGTCCTTTGTACCCACAAGCACACCAATAGACCCCGCAGGGATCTCTGCAATATCGATAGGCTGGTCTGCTTGCATCTGCAATAGCTTTGTAGTCTTTTCTTTGGTCTGCGTAGTTGTATTCAAAACAGTGCTGCCTCTTTTCAAAGTCCCAGTGTAAACCCGGACGTACACCAACGGTCCTCGGATCGGATCATAGCGGACCTTAAAGGCTAGAGCTTGCATAGTGTTTTGGGGAGCTGCTTCTATCTTGGGTGGGGGAAGATACTCAACCACAGAGTCCAGTAAAGGCTGGACACCAATATTTCTAAAGCTTGATCCGCAAAGCACAGGAACAATTTGATTACTTTGAGTCAATCTTGCCAACGCTCGTTTCAATAGGTCGCTTGGTACAGCATCAAAGTCCTCTTCAGCTTCCAAGAAAGCGTCAACAACCTCCTCATCGATAGAAAGTGAATCGACCAAAGCATCCCTGGCGGCTTGAGCCTCTTTGGCAACGTCTGGACCAATTTCCGAAGCAGGTGAAACTTCCACATGCTTGCCGTCACCGGACCACTGAATGACCGACTTTGAAAACACATCAATGACTCCTTTGAACTCGTGATCACGGAAATAAGGTATGTTCACGAGGGCAACTGGGGTCCTGAGCTTGGAGACCACCTCCCTGACCGTTCGACTAAATCCAGCGCCCGCTCTATCCATTTTGTTGATATACACAATTTTTGGAATGTTCAAATCGCTCGCCTGGGCCCACACTTTTTCCGTCTGGGCCTCGACGCCGGCTACTGCATCAAGAACCGTGATTGCACCGTCCAAAATACGCAGAGATCTCACTACCTCAAACCCAAAATCCGCGTGGCCAGGAGTGTCTATAAGATTGACTGTGGCTTTGTTCCAGCCAAAAGTAATCGCTGCGGACTGGATGGTGATTCCTCGTTCCCGTTCTGCCGGTAAAAAATCCGTCACTGTGTCTCCAGCATCGACATTTCCCAACCGGGAGGTCAACCCGGCGTAATAGAGCATGCGCTCTGTTGTCGTGGTTTTCCCTGCATCAATATGGGCAATAATACCGATGTTTCGCACATCCGTAGTATACGTACGTGCTAAAAATCGCCCCAGGCACCGACCCCAGAGACCCCGAGATCGGATGGATGATGACATGCCGTTTGACATCAAGCAGACGTACCTGAAATTTTTGGAGGAGGATCCGCAGCTGACCATGCCGGTGGCTGCGATCCAGAGTCTTGTGGCGCTGCTTGCTGATGCGCAGCCGAAGACGAGTGCAGAGCTGATTGAAGTACTGCAGGAGGCGTCGCAGACGCTGAAAGATAGCGTGCCGAACTCGATCTCGTTATCGGCAGGAAGCGACCTGTTTTTACGGTTTGTTGTTCGAAATATCCACGATTACTCTGACTGGGAGGCATGTAAACGCAATTTGGTGGAAAACGGCCGCACGTTCGCCGAGCGAGCCAAAGAGTCCCGCTCGCTGATCGCACGCTTGGGCCTGCCGTTTGTTAGAGACAACGACATCATTCTAGTGCATGGCCGGTCCCGTGCCGTACACCAGCTGCTCGAGCTGGCTGCCTCAAAGCACGTACGTTTCCAAGTCTATGTTACAGAGGCGCGGGTCTGTGCAGAGGGTCAGATTGCCGCCGCTGCCTTCCGCAAGCTGGGCATTCCTACCTGCATGATCCCCGACAGCAGTGTTGGCTATGTGATCCCCAAAGTACACAAGGTCTTTTTGGGTGCAGAAGGTGTTGCAGAGTCTGGCGGCGTCATTAACCAGATCGGGTCCTCCCAGGTAGTCATGCTGGCTCATCAATTCAAAAAGCCCGTCTTCGTGCTGGCAGAAAGTCACAAGTTTGTCCGATTATTCCCGCTGAGCTCAGACGACCTCACGACCGAAACGCCCTACACTTTTACCACTACAGAGACCGAGGAATTCGACCCGGCAAACGGCCCCCAGATCGACTTCACTCCGCACAAGTACATCACGGCACTAATCACCGATCTGGGCGTTCTTACCCCATCAGGTGTCTCAGAAGAGCTCATCAAGATTTGGTTTGGCTAAATTCTCTATAAATTAAACTCCAACTTACTGCCATAGTCCCCTGCAGCGTCGATGGGAGCCTTCGACTGGCCAACTAGCTCTCCTTGGTCGCCGGGCTGCACGCTTTTGCTAACAAATTTCTCCTCGTCTGCTTCTTTCCAGAACTCCAGGACCTCAGAGAACTTGACTGACTGCTCGCCAGACGTCTTGGCCGACATTTGGACGGTTCTGGCCGCGGCAGAGGTCGGGGCAGGTGCCTCGGGGCGAATAAACGTGATTTCTTTGCTTTCGCTAGATGCCTGGTCGTACCGGACAAACTGGGGTCGAAGCTGAGTGGTTTGAGACACTATGCTCAAGTGCAATTCCCCGTCAACGACCTTACCTACTGCGTAGCGACCATTACCGGGCTTGAGCAGTCCAGTGAACGTTTGTATTCCTTCATCGCCCCATTTCGTAGCTTTTTCGGCATCTACGTAAACCTCAGGCAGGCCACTGAATATATCAGTCTCAATGACCTGGCTCTGGGGCTTGACTCTCACTTGAACGACGTCCTGCGCCTTGTTCTGAGCGGTAGCCTTTCGGGTGGGGTACTGCAACACCGCTAACCGGTTTCCTACAGTGTTGGACAAGATCACCGGCACACTTTTGACAATTCCCTCATCTTTTGCGTCCATATCCTGCATAGTCGTATCCGTTTCCTCAATTTCAACACTTTCTACAACATCAATCTCGTCAATAAATAGTTCGCTCATGTGGAAAAAAAAATTACCTAATGGAAGACGACGGCCTACTGATAAATTTCAAGTCGTCTGGCGATGCTAAACCTGCCCCTGTGAAGGCTAGTGGACGCTGGAAAGATCGAAGAAAAAGTCTCAAGCAAGCACGGAAGCAGGGGGGAGTAGCAGACGGCCGGGTAGCTAAGGCCCCGCGTCCTGAACCTAAAGCTCAGATCAAAAAGCCGGCGGTTAAAAAGGTTTCAAAGCCCATTGTGGGGCCAACAAAGCAAGTTTCAACAAATCCCCAGGATAAGGATACGTTTCTGTCTTCTTTGTTCACTTCAAACCCGGAGATCACTGGTGAAGCCTCGTCCAAGGAGGCCGGAGAAGTCACTAATGCTCCGATGCGAGATGAGATCTTCCCTGATCTGGGTGTTCCACCAGCTATGTGCAATTTGTTGAGCAAGATGAATGTTGAGCGGCCGACTCGAATTCAAAGACAGGCGATCCCTGTGTTGGCTCAAGAGAAGGACGCTCTGGTGATTGCCCAGACGGGCTCAGGCAAAACGCTGGCGTATTTGCTTCCTATTATCAGTCGTTTGATGAAACAGCCCGATCTACATCGAGAGAGCGGAATATTCGCTGTCATTCTTGCCCCGACTCGCGAATTGGCTACCCAAATCTACCAGGTCCTGGAAGAACTGGTTCGATGCTGTCATTGGCTTGTGCCCGGTATTGTCATCGGAGGAGAAAAACGTAAAAGTGAAAAAGCTCGTCTCAGAAAGGGTGTGAATATTCTTGTGGGTACCCCGGGCCGTTTAGCTGATCATTTTGACAATACCCGTAGTCTTGATTTGGCCGAAGTGCGCTGGGTCGTGCTCGACGAAGGTGATCGGCTGGTGGAGTTGGGGTTCGAGGAAACTTTGACAAAGATCATTGAGCAAATTGCTGCGGCGTCTCAATTGTCTCAAAGCCGCTACAGGGCTCTTCCTTCTACCCGCACCCATGTGCTGTGCTCTGCCACCATGACCAGCAGTATTGAGAGGTTGAAAACAATGACACTGCGCGATCCCATTTGGATCAAAGAAGAACAGGCTGAAGCAGGAGAATTTGCACCGGCGCAACTCCAACAAAGCGTTGCCGTGGTGCCAGCAAAGCTTCGTCTTGTTACTCTGGCCGCTGCTCTCAAACGGAAAGCATCAAAGACCAGCAAAGCAATCGTCTTCTTCAGCTGTTCAGACTCTGTCGATTTTCATTACGCTGCGTTGACCTCAGATGATAATGAGGAAATTGATCTGGACAAGGACGAGGACGACAACCCGCAGACGGCGGCAAAGCGGCCGCTGGGAGCCGGCGGAAAGCGAATTGGTCGCCAGACCGCCGTGTTCAAGCTCCATGGCTCTCTGTCACAATCGCAGCGTGCTACAACGCTCTCTGCTTTCTCTGCAAGTAAAAATTTTGCTGTTCTCTTGTGCACAGATGTCGCTTCGCGAGGCATCGACGTTCAGGTCGACTACGTTGTAGAGTACGATCCGCCTTTCGCAGTTGAAGACCACATTCATCGTGTCGGTCGTACTGCACGCGCTGGACGCTCTGGTTTTGCTTTACTGTTTGTTCTACCTGGGTCTGAAGAAAAGTACGCTACGGAAAAAATCGCTGCTGTGCACCCAGCAGGCGTCAGCTACGAAACTTACCAGCAGCTCTTGGAGCATTCATTCGGCCGCCGATGGGAAAACGACGCGACCACATGGCACCTGAATGTTGAGAGGTGGATTCTGCGGGATGAGTCGGCCCACGAGATGGCGAAACGTGCGTTCATGTCTCACGTCGGAGCCTACGCTACCCACGTCTCGGCGGAGAGGGTATATTTTGGTATCAAGAACTTGCATTTAGGCCATATCGCCAAGGCATTTGGGCTTCGTGAAACACCCGGCAAGGTCAGCTCTCAAAATGCGAGTGGCCCAAGGCTCAAGAAACCCAAAATGTCAACAGAAAGAGCCATGATGCAGGCTGCTGCGAAACACTCTAATATGAGCGACTATAATATCATGTGAATAGTTTAACTCATCTTTTTAACAACCTAATTTTGACAAGCAAGCCTCTAGAATAAACCGGGCCCGTGTCCAATCTGCATCGCTTTCAGGAAAGTGCTGGAGCTCGTACGCAAGTCGATCAACCAACTTTCGGGGTGGTAAATAATTCCGTCCCATAGTCAATTCACAGACTGCGGCGGCTGCTCGAGCAGCCGTAAAGCCTCTGTTCAAAGCACGCTGTAGCACTACTCTCAAATCAGCACCCTGTCTGACTGGCGGGGATGGTTCATCAGGGGTAGCCCACGCGGCCATTCCCAGCGCTTCCATTGCCATGACCGGGTGGTTGATTTCAGCAGCACACGCCAGATGGATAAGTGCTCTAGCCTCGTATCTGAACAATCCGTCAAAAATCAAGTCTTGAAACTGGGCTACCACACTTTCCCACTCGGTAGATTCCGTAAGTTGGTCGCGAAAAAAGTCGTAATAGCGTTCTTGGTACTGTACGTCATTTGCAAATTCACGAATATTGTCTTCACACACACTGTCTGCCTCCGGATCATCTTGAACCCACTTGGGCAGCTTGGCAGCTTCAGTGTCGAAGGTTTTGATGAGTTCTGCGGGGGTGGCCCCCAGAAAATACTCGTTCACCAAGCGCTCACCAAGCGAGTTGAACTGGTAATTACTGCTCAATGCCAACAGGAGTTGATCAACCTTGACTCGCGACTCTTCCAAGGGCGGCGTAGGCAGCGGTGTAGGGTTGCCAAGGCCATCAATCGCCAATTTACTCGACTTGTGACCCATTCGCAAGAGTAAGCACAATCTGCAGAACAGTCATATGTTGAGCAGTCTCGGGCGACTAGATTGGGGTACACTTCTAAAAAAGTCTCCGCGGCTAAAAATCTATTTTGCAGGCGGCAAGTTTAATTTCGAGTCCCAGGAGGCGCTGCGTCTCTTGGTAGAAACCCAGCTCGAGCTCTACTGTGGCCTTAAAATAGCTTTGTCGCCAGGGTTCTTGGTACCCCGTTTAGCTAACCGTTTGGACTACTTGCTATGGATAAAACAGCTGACGGGCGAAAACTCGGCAGGCATTGATTTGGGAGTTGGCGGGAACTGCATATATCCACTTTTGGGGAGCCTGATAGGATTGACCATGGTCGGGGTGGACATAGATCCTGAAGCAATTGAGGCAAGCAAGACTATCTCGAAGCAGGCTGGCCTGGACATTGACCTGCGGCTGGTTGATGCCAATCAGATGGCCGGTGTTGCATCCCAAATCAGCCCCCGCCCTAAGTTCCTGATCTGCAATCCTCCTTTTTTTGCTGATAGCAGCGACAGAGCAGAAAAACCACCCAGAACTCTGGTTGCTCGAGATAGTGAGCTTTACACATCTGGAGGCGAACTTGAATTTGCCCAAAAACTTTTCGCGTCATCTAGATCTGCTGGGCTCGAATGGACGAGCATAATGCTAGGCAAGAAAAGCTCATTGGAGCCATTGATCGACCACATTGTCGCAAATAACGCCCACCACGCTGTGCATGTAATTGCTCATGGTAAGACGCGCCGGTGGGTGGTGGCATGGTCTTTCTCTGAACGGGCCCCTGATGCCTTAGGTCGAAGTTGCAGAGTACAGCGAAAGCTCAATCCACCGAAAACCCAGCGAGTTCTGCGCACAACCCTGGAGTTCGTGGAATCAACCCTCGAGAATTTAGAAGGCTCCGTGCAAAAAGGCGATCTCATCGTGTACCATGCGCCTGGGATCGTTTGGTCGCGTGCATACAGGCGCAGCCAGCGGCTACTCGGAAGCCCTGCAGCTATCGAGTTTCAACAGATAAACGATGGTCAAATATCTATGAAATTGGTGACTGGTGATATAGCAGCCTTTAACAGCCTGGTCACATTTCTCGAAAGAGCTATTAATCAATAAGTGCACTTAAAACGCCCCCTTCATTTCAACCTTCACGTCCCAAACCAAGATCGCTTACTTGCATGACCCAGGCTACTATCCAGAGTCTATTTGCGAAACGGCCGGCGGCAAAGCCTGATTCTGGAGATGTACAGCCTCATAAAAAGGCCAACATATCAAAGCTGTCATCTTTCAGGGCAGGCGAGCCTACAGATCCCGAATTTTCCGCCAAGTACGCCGAGCGTCGCGCGAGGTTTGCCAGCACCATAGGCCGCTCCAGAACCAAAAGAGGGACACCCGGTCAACGCAAACTTGACGCCGTTGGTGAGCAATTTATGGAACTCAAAAATAAAAACCCCGACAAGCTCCTGATTATTGAGGTCGGTTACAAATTTCAGATCCTCGGAGCTGATGCCGTCGATGCCAGCCGCTGCTTTGGCTGGACGGCTATTTCGGGCTGGACAACCCTAGATGCAGGTGGCCCTCAAGACGCACTGTACAACCGGTTCGCTATGGTGTCTTTTCCGACGGCCAAGTTATCGTTTTATACGCGCAAACTGGTGTCTAAGGGCTACAAAGTTGGCATCGTCCGACAAATGGAAACTGCTGCAATCAAGGCCAGTGAGCGCCGCTCGGGGCCTATGCGTCGAGAACTTGCTAATGTTTACACGCAAGGAACCTATATTGATGAAGATTCTGTTGACGATGGAGTGTCAGGCCACGTTCTCGCCCTCAAGGAGGACGTCAAAGGACAAAGCCATCGTTTTTCAATGATCAGTGTCCATTTAGCTACCGGAGACATGGTCTATGACGAATTTGAGGACTCAAGTGTGGTTATAGAGCTCGAAACCCGGCTAATGCACATCCAGCCCGCCGAGATTTTGGCGGTTGGTCAATTTTCGTCGGTCGTTCGCCGTCTCATTGATCAAATTCAATCCAGGGGCTCTGTTCGTGTCATCACGGCAAATGGAGAGTCTTCCGTCAAGGAGTATTCTCAGCTTCAGTTGTCTCCAGCATTACAAGAGTGCTCCAGATGCCTGCTCTACTACCTCACAGAATTTGGGCTCCAGACTGTTTTTCAACTACCAAACTTACAGCCATTTAGCTTGCAATCGCATATGCAACTCAATGGCAATACACTGACCAGTCTGGAGATTTTTAACAACGTCACGGACTACACGGCCCGAGGATCATTGTTTTGGGTTCTTGACAACACATGCACTGCTATGGGCAAAAGACTTTTGAAAAAATGGGTGGCCCAGCCGCTTCTTGACAGAAACATGTTGACGGCTCGGGTTGATGCTGTAGAGGAGCTGGTTGTGAACTATAATCAAGTGCTAGAGTCTGTGCGCAGTGTTATGACTCGACTCCCTGATCTCGAAAGAGCTTTGCTTCAAATACACTATGGTCGCATCTCGCGTCGTCAGCTTTATTGGACTTTACATTTTTTTGACCGCATCGCAAAAGCAACTACGCTGCCCTATATTCAGCACGCTCGGTTCAAATCGCCAATATTGATTGATCTCCTGGAACAACTTCCGAAGATTCGCGATCTGGTCGCCGAAATATATAGCTCTTTGAGTCCAACCGCAAAAGAGGGAGGTAAGCTTGATTTTTTCAACCAGGATCCTCCTGAGGTAACTGTACACAAAGAAGCGCTTGCTCAAATCGAAGCAGAGTTTGACTCTTACCTTCAAACTGCTAAGCTCGAACTGGGTGTTGACTTAAAGTATGTTTCCATCAATATGGATGAATATCTGGTGGAAATATCCAAGAGCGACGCCAAAAAGGTTCCAACGGAATGGCGGAAAATGAGTGGCACTCAAAAATCAGAACGGTTTCGCACACCTGCCACTTTAGACCTTATAAAGAGGCGTCTGTTAGAACAAGAACGTCTTGAAATCGCTTGTGATAAAGCTTATTCTGAATTCGTGGCCCGTGTTTCCCAGCACCATACTCAACTTCGCTCGGTGATTGTGACCCTAGCACAGCTTGATTGCCTGATGTCTCTTGCTGCAGTATCGCGTAAATCAGGCTACGTGCGTGTGGATTATGTCGACGAGCCTTGTCTTGAAATCGTGGACGGTCGTCACCCCATGATTGAGGCTCTGATTTCCACACCCTTCATCCCCAACGACGTTTCAATGTATCCGTCCCGCTCACGGACAATGATTGTAACTGGGCCCAATATGGGTGGTAAAAGCTCCTACGTACGTCAGGTTGCTCTCATTGCAATCATGGCCCAGATTGGTGCCTTTGTACCGGCTAAAAAGGCACGAATGAGCATGATGGATGCCGTATTCACGCGTATGGGAGCGTATGATAACATGATGCGTGGAGAATCCACCTGTATGGTAGAACTGAAAGAATGTAGCGACATTCTGGCGTCTGCTACTGAACGATCACTAGTGTTACTGGACGAAATCGGTAGAGGTACCTGCACGGTTGACGGGATGGCAATCGCCTACGCAGTACTGGACTACATGGTGAGCGAAAAGAAATCGTTCACATTATTTATAACACATTATCCCCTTCTGACCAAGCTGGCCGATCTGTACCCCAAGATTGTTACAAACTGGTGTATGCAGTACGAAGAGAACAAAGAGACCAAGCTGGTCACTCTGCTGTATAAACTAATGGAAGGAGTTGCCTATCGGTCGTATGGTCTGAACGTTGCTCGGCTAGCCAATGTTGACGACGCAGTGCTCGAAGTCGCGGCATCAAAAAGCGCCGAGTTCGAGCGCCGGCTCGAAAACCGCAAAATTGCAAATAAGCTTTTCCAGCTTCTTTCAAATTTGCCTTCCTCTATTAAAGACCTGAAATCGTACATAAAATAGCAGTTTAAGACACTTAGGGGCAAATGCGTGACACTTTCCAGTCAGAGCCTTGCTTGTCAAAAACAATGCGATCATGTACACGAGACTCTCGGCCCTGGAAAAACTCCCAGTGATCTGGCTCTACCGCCAGACCTCCCCAGTACTCTGGGCAAGGGATCTCTTCTGTGTCTTGGTACTTTTTGGCAACTTGAGCAACTGTTTCCTCGAGTTTTTCACGGCTCTCGATCGGTTGGCTCTGTTTGGAGGCAATGGCACCAATTCGCGAGCCCTTGGGCCGTTCATCGAAGTAGGGCTGGCTTTCCTCTTTTGAAAGCAAATGCGCTTTACCCTCGACCCGGACCTGGCGCTGCAGCTCCTTCCACCAGAACGTGAGCGAAACATACGGATTGGTTTTGAAGTCGGCCGCCTTGCGACTGGTGCCCCAATTGGAGTAAATAACAACGTTGCCATTGGTATCCAGCTCTTTCATCAGCACCGTACGATTAGATACCCTGCCAGAGGGGAGTTCAGCGGTAGCAAGATTCAGAGCCTCGGGTACCACGATGTTTTGTTCCTGGGCCTCTTTGAACCATTTCTCGAATTGCAGCTCAGGGCGTTTTGCAACGTCCTTCTCGTTCAGGGCAGCAAGCGTGTACTGCTCGGTTTTGGGATTGTGAATCAGTGAAGACATGGTTCGACGAAACAAGAGTGGGGACTTGCGAAGCATTTAAATCACCTTACGTACCCGGGCCCCGGGCTTATATGCCAAGCTATTAATGAGGTACTCGGTCCCAGGGCTTGTAGGCTTAGCTAGCAAGGATTTACCCGGGGCGTTTCCTGGGCATCGAACGTTTGAGATACCCTAACCTCTGGGATATGAACCACCCGTTTTTCCGACTGTGCGTTAAAGTGTAGATCTAACTATGAAGATCGGAGTTGTCGGAACAGGAATCTTTGCCACAGATGCGCATGTACCTGCCTTTGAACAGGCGGGCAATATCCAGGTAACTGCCGCGTACAACCGTACTAAGTCAAAGGCAGAGAAGTTCGTAGAGGTTGCCTCCAACGGCCAGGCCAAGGTCTACGACTCTATTGATGAGGTCTTTTCTGATGCAAACATTGACGCTGTCGACGGTTTGCTGCCTGTAGACAACAACCTTGAGCTTGTGAAAAAGGCTATTGCTGCAGGAAAGCCCCTGGCGTTTGAAAAGCCTATTGCCCACGATCTTGATGCCGCGAAAAAAATTGTCGAGCTCACCAACAAGAGCGACGTGCCCATCATGGTTCTGGAGAATTGGTGCTTCCATGAACGGACTTTGAAAATGAAGGAGCTCGTCAAGAAAATCGGCAAAGTTGAGCTTTTCCTCTACCAAACTACTAAGCCCTTTTTCATCTCCAAGTATCACCAGACCGCGTGGCGACAGAAGCCCAAGCATATTGGTGGTTTCATTAGCGACGGTGGTGTTCACGACATGGCCTTCATCACCGAAGTTCTAGGTGATGTTGCTGAAGTTAACGCTCGCACCTCCCAGCTCCGCGAGCAGAATGGAGATATTGACACCCTCAATGCCCAATTGCGCTTAGAGTCCGGTGCTTTTGGTAGTTTCACCTATGCTAAGGCATTTGGTGCTGCCGATTCCACTCTCTCATTCCAAATTTTCGGAACTGAGGGGTCTGTTGTTTTTGACGGCAACTCAATTGTCTTGAGAACAGGTCCTGACGGAAACGATATGAGCAGCGAAACTTTCGAACTTGCTCCAGAGTCTGTCAATGGTGTAGTCAGTGAGTTCAAGAACTTCACTGAAGCTGTGAAAACCAACGATAAGTCTGTTATCGTCTCTACCCCTGCCAAGTCGTTCCACCACTTTGCCACGATTGTAGCCTGTACCGAATCTTCAAAGAAGAACGGAAACACTGTTCAAGTATCAAAAGCTTAGGTATACGTAGTAACTTCTACTTTTTGGTGATCTGATGGGATAGTCTTGATACTAAATACACTTAAGAGACTTTAGAGACTTAAATGCGCAGATGCCTGGCTCGTTGCAGGTGGTTATATGATGGCAGTCATCCGAGAGATTTACAAGACTTGTTCCCAATGGCCCAATGGCAAGGCGTTCGCCTACGATTTGGTCCTAGCGAAAGATTCCAGGTTCGACCCCTGGTTGGGAAGTCTCTTTTTTATTCTTATTTTCAAATTTTTTTTTTTTTCTTTCCGTTTCGTGTCGTTTTGCCGCTCGCATATTGTCGATTCGGCATAACGTTTTTATTTAATGGGCGGTAAAACCTAGCTGTCCCCATAGATGCAACCCTCTTTTGAGCCTCTCTCTCACAAGACCGCCTGCGTGCTGATCTAATTTTTTTTTTTGAAACCCCTTGATCGTCATGGAATACGTTCCGCCGTGGAAGGAGCCGTACTTCATTGCCATTGCTGGATGCTCTGGTAGTGGTAAGACTTCGGTCTCGTCTTGGATTATTCAAAAATTGAACGTTCCCTGGACCATCATTCTCTCAATGGACAACTTTTATCGAGAGTTGACAAACGAACAGAGAGCTCTTGCTTTCGAAAGTAACTGGGACTTTGACTCTCCTGATGCCATCGATTTCGATCTGGCAATCGAAGTTTTACAGAGCATAAAGAAGGGTAAGAAAACGGATGTGCCCAACTACTCTTTTACTGAGCATAAACGCACTGATCGTACAACAATTATCTATGGAGCTAATATTGTGATTCTCGAGGGTATCTACGCATTGTATGACAAGCGAGTTTTGGATCTTGTTGATCTGAAAATATTTGTACAAGAAGACTATGATGTCTGTATGGCAAGGCGTCTACATCGCGACATTTTGCACCGCGGTCGTGAACTAAGGCTTAGCATTAAGCAGTGGGAACGGTTTGTCAAGCCTAATTTCATCCGTAACATCCAGCCCACAGAGAAAGAAGCGGATATTATTGTCCCCAACGGCGTGGAAAACAAGATCGCGCTAAACCTTCTTCTGACCCACATTCGCCTACGTCTAAAAACGAAAAGTGCGCAGCATCTTGCCGAACTAGCGAAACTTGGACGCAATTGTGATCAGGATGTGCGGGACCTGGTTCGTCTCCCGCAGTACTCCACTCAATTGAATGGAATTCACACAATTCTCTTGGACGCCAAAACTTCCCGCGCGGACTTCATCTTCTACTTTAACCGGATGGCTGATATTCTAGTTTCACTTGCCTTGGAGACGGTTTTCGAATCAAGTGTCGAGTCTAAGACTGTTACTACGCCCACAAAACGTCAATTCAAGGGTCTGTATCTTCCATTCGACAAGGTATGTGCCGTGACCATGATTCGTGGCGGCGAGTGCTTTGAGAGCGCACTAAAGGCAAGCATTCCCACTCTGTCTCTAGGAAGACTTTTAATTCAGCGCAACACCAAGACAGGTGAACCAGAGCTCCATATTTCTCGGCTTCCTCCGATTATAACGGAGGGCTGCTCCGAGCTCAAAGTTCTCCTAACGGATGCGCAAATTCTTTCTGGTGCTGCCGCCGTTATGGCTGTTCAAATTTTAGTTGACCACGGTGTCCAGCAGCAGAACATTGTTTTTATTGTCTATTCGTCTTCGGAAATAGGGATCAGACGTTTACATGCTGCTTTTCCTGAAATTAGTGTAGTTGTCGGTCGAGTCAGCCCTTCGATCTTGAGCTCAGACTACGACAGATGCTATTACGGTACATAAGATATCTATTATATGCGTACTTTTGGCGAATTCTAGCTCCAGAGGGATAATTGCAGCCCAGTTAGGGGAGTTAGAAAAAAAGACTTCCCAACCAGGGGTCGAACCTGGAATCTTTCGCTAGGACCAAATCGTAGGCGAACGCCTTGCCATTGGGCCATTGGGAACAAGTCTTATAAAGTTGGATGTTGTGACACTTTATCACCATGCATATGCACTAAAGATTAACGCGCACACACTGCTTGCGACAAAAACCACTTTGAGCATGGTTAAATTCTTACGCTCTATAAGCTCTACTCTTGCGTTCAGTTTGTGTTGTTGAATATGGTATGACGCAAACGAAGGCTGCATTCCAAGATTTCAAGAATCATCTCAAGCGAAACATGTCGTCCATATAACGGCATCCGAATAAGTTCAAAATGTTAGTATAAGATTAATAATTATCATTCGGTATTCAGTACAAGATCTAAGCAAGGAGAGCAAGGGCACCAGCAGCAATGGCAACAGCAGCTGAGACACCCTTGATAGCACCAGAGTTAGCGGGGGCAACGCTGGGGCTGGTGTTCACGGGAGAGACAACGGGTGCAGCGCCAGAGGTGCCAGCAGGGGCAGTAGGACCCGGGGCAGGGCCAGGGCCAGCAGTGGAGCTGCAGGGGATGGTAATAGTGGTAGGGGCAGTGACAGTGTAAGTCTTCTGACCGTAGGTAAAGGTAGTGGGTTCAGGGCAGTAGGTGACGTAGTCGGTAACAACGGTGGTCAAAGTGCAAGGGCAGTCAGTGATGGTCAAGGTAGTGGCCTCAGTGACAGTGTGGCACTTGCCGTTAACGCACAGAGTAGTGGCCTCAGGGCAGTAAGTGGTGTAAGCGGTAACAACAGTGGTGATGGTCGAAGCGACACTGCTGCCGGTACCGGTAGCAGTAGAGTTGCCGCTAGTGACAGGAGCCTTGCTGGTAGCATTGCCGCTGGAAACAGGGGCCTTGCTGGTAGCGTTGCCAGACATAGAGCTAGCAGGGGCAGAGCTGGCACCAGACTCGCAAGCAGGGGGGGTAGGGAAGCTAACAATAGAGACACCGTAGGCAGAAGCAGCAGAAGAGAATGCACCAGCCAAGCTAGAAGCAATGGTGGAAGCAGACTGCAGATCAGAGCAAGCAGCATCAGTCGGGAAGTTGGCGAACAGAGTGGACTCGTACTGGGAAACGAGGGAAGCAATGCTCTGGATGTTCTCGCCAGCATTGTCGCTAGCACCGATCATCAACTCACGCTTGGAAAGAGTAGAAGCTTTCTCAGTGAGGCTGGTAAGAACCTTGATAAGAGAAGCAGCCAAGGTACCGAAAGCCTGGACAGCAGGACCAACCTCAGCAGCATCCAAGGGGCCAGCAGCCGCAACGGCAGAGACGAGAGAACCAAGGCTATCCTCGAGGTTCTCGAAAGGACTTACGAGCTGGGCAGGGCTGGTGGCAGTCTCAATAGCACTGGCCAAAGCGTCGGCAGCACTGGCAGCGGAAGTGGCAGCGGCATCAGCAGCAGCGGCGCCACCGGTAGGCTTGGAAGCACCGCTGGAAGCAGCGGGAGCAGAGGATGCAGCAGGAGCGCTAGAGGCAGCAGGAGCAGAAGATGCAGCGGGAGCGCTGGAAGCAGCAGGAGCAGAAGATGCGGCGGGAGCGCTGGAAGCAGCGGGAGCAGAGGATGCAGCAGGAGCGCTAGAGGCAGCAGGAGCAGAAGATGCAGCGGGAGCGCTAGAGGCAGCGGGAGCAGAAGATGCGGCGGGAGCGCTGGAAGCAGCAGGAGCAGAAGATGCGGCGGGAGCGCTGGAAGCAGCAGGAGCAGAAGATGCGGCGGGGGCAGAAGATGCCGCGCAGTAAGTGGCGCAAGCAGTAGGAGCAGGGGGGAAAGTAGGAATACCCGAAGAAATGCTAAAGGTAGAAGCGGCACCACTGAAAGCGGAAGCGAAAGAGCTAGCAATATCGCCAGCGGTGCTCACCTGGTCGCAAGGAGCATCGGTGGGCAGACCAGCGAACAGGCTAGCCTCGATAGCTGAAGCAGGTCCAGCCAAAGAAGTGACGTCACCAACAACAATAGGACCAACACCGTTGGCAGCGAAGGCATTAGCCTTCACATTAAGGGCATTCATAAGGCTAGAAATATCGCCAACCAAGCTGCTCAAAGAGTCGATGTAAACAACAACATCATTAGAAGCAATAGTGGGAGGAGTAGCAACGGCGGAGCTCAGAGCAATGACAGAGCTGTAGAGGGGGTAGTAGCTCTGCTGGATAGCGAGAGCACCGTTGATACCATCGGACGATTGCCAAGCATTAACCAAGCTGCTAAGAGTGGAAAGGGGAGGTGCAACAGCGGCAATGGAACTCAAAATAGGGTCCTGGACGTTGCCGGGAGCTGCAGATGTGATGCAGGTGTCAGCGGCAGCGACCATAGAGAGGGTGGCAAGAAGAACTGCCTGAGTTCTGTTATCGGAGAGCTTCATCGTCAGTGTGTGATCAAATCTAGCCGGGGACTGAAACTTTATATAGGAGAGTGTCGATCGTCGACGTCAGCACCGAAAATGAAGCTCCTGCATTTGCATTGCATCTATGACAAACGTGGGGGTTAGTTCCAAATGTAAACATCGTCGCGTCTTTGAGTTAAAGCTATGGTTCTTAGAGTGCTTTTTCTGAATACTGTAATGCCCCCTATTTGCTGATAAGATCTCCAATAATTATTGCGTGTATTAGGTTCAAAGTTGTGGGTATTGTCAAAGTTCCTCGGCGCGGCCATCTTGCACGAGGCGCTCGTCATACCTGACCCCACATGTACACCTCTCAAACAAGGAGATTCCGGCTACCCAAGTGCCAGGAATGATCGAACCCCTTGAAGCGTCTGTGGCGGTTTGATACTATTTTTGGCTGTTGTAGAAACAGTCGGCAGTACGTTCATTTTGCTGGAGTCTGCCCAAGTCAGACCTCACTTGGCTACCTGTCAAACGCTCACCAGTGGAGGTATCGTTGTCCCAACACGTATCATGCATCATGCATGCATGATGAGCGCAAAGCTCCATATTTGGAAGGAATGTACTAACCTAACGCGATCGATTTTGCTAACTTTAGATCCAGACAACCACTCGACTCAATTCATTTGTTCCTGAACGGTTCTTGCTCAAAGGTTCATGTCTCCGTGAGTTTTACCGAGGATGTCCTGTATGTACCGAGGCCTTTCTTATCTAAATTTAGCGTCGGGCCGAGGAGAAAAAAGCCCAGTAATCTGCAGCGATGTTATTGCTCTGATGCTTGGCGGCCGCATAAACATGCACGTTCAGGGCATGCTCGATGTCATTTCGGGTCAGATCAAACCGTATTTCGATATTGTTGATATCCAAGCGGGGTTCTGTGGAATTTACCATCTCAACAGACTTCGAGCTCTTGTTTGAATGGCTTCAAGACAAGATTCACCTGCCTAACCCAACCTTTTAGTTCACGCATTCTGCTTGTTGCACATGTCCTAACTGGCTCGGTCCACAAACTTGCAACCCAAGGGGTGCATGTATGTAAAGTGGTCACATGGTCAATATGGTCCCACAGCATGCAGGTTCTAACTTTTCAAAAATAGATTTTTTCCAAGGAAGAAATGCTCTGACTGCAGGTTTTTTTGTCGGATGCTCGATCCAGTGTTTTTCGATGGGCCAACGCATGCAACTGGAGATAGTTGTGTATTTAGTGGTAACTAGTTAATTAGCATTACCTAGCGGTTGCCTGTTTCAGGAACTCCACCACGATCTGGGCTATCTCTGTCGCTGCACTGGGAATCTCAAGAGCACCAGAAATTACCTCTTGGGGTATTCGGGCTCGAAATCACGGAACTCGAGTACACCTTAAAAGCTGGCATATATATCTGCTTGTAGTTTTGCCGTTAGTTAGAATGAACCGACTTCTATTGCTTTCAGCTCTAGGTGGAGTATCCGCGAGGGTAGGAGAGCCCTATGGGTGGGCATGCTATACTCTTGCTGGGAAAATGGACTGGCCTGAATGTGCAGGTAAAACCGGAGACGAGCTAAGGGAGTGTCTGTGCGACCTTCCCTTATTTGTATCGGTCACCACGGAATGCCTTGCTCGGGCCGTTGTGAACGACTCGAATCCATATGATGCCTTTGATCGCGGGTACTTGTCTTTATGTCAAAGAGAGCCCGAAGTCGAAGTTCTGGTAGATATCGTACCTGACGACTTGTTACAGGACGGCGTTCAAACGGCCAAGGCAGCAATTCAAAACAAAAAGCTGTCTCAGATCTATGGTCTCGTGCTCATGCTCTTTTGGATGTCAATTTGTCTCATAAGAATCATCGCAGTGACATTGTCCGCATTTGCACCAGGATGTGCTCAAAAGATTCGTGAGAGCAAGATCTCCTCGCATTTTAAGTCAATGATACTATATCCAGCTACAGTGAACGGAAAGCATGCGCTGCCAGTTTTGCGCATCGGGAAGTTTTCTATACGCTTGCCAGTACGCTGGATCACTATCGTACTTGTTGTTTTTGTTTTTTTGAATTTTGTTTTCCTGTTCTCCTCTTTTACGATAGTCGAACGCAGTATCACGTTTAAGACGCAGTCTATGCAATTTAAAAGGGTACTAGGTTACCGCAGTGCATGTTTAACAATGTTCCTGCTGCCTGTTCTTCTGCTATTTGGGGGTAGGAACAATTTTTTGATGCCATGGACCCGTTGGAATCATGGCGTGTTTGTAATTTTTCACAAGTGGATCGCCAGGATGATTATGGTGAATATAGCTACCCATGCAATTTGCTACAGTCTTCTCCGCACTGAGCAAGGTTTATATCCTGGCGTTTTCAGAAAGTTTTATTGGAAATGGGGAGCAGCCGGCATTGGCTCTTTATCTCTATTGATTTTCTTCTCGCTACCGTACTTTAGGCGCTACAAGTACGAGCTGTTCTTGGTCTCTCACATTTTGCTAGCTGTCAGTTTTGTCGTGTCAGCTTGGTATCACGTTAGAACACTTGACTACGGAAAGTATCATGTCATAGCTGCTATTGTGGTATGGGGAGCCGACCGCCTTCTGAGATTCCTTCGTATGGCGCTGCTCAGCCCAAGACATGCGACCATTAGGCACTCGAAGCATGTATCCTGTTTGGTCATTGACAACTCTGGTCATTGGGAAGCAGAAGCAGGCAACTATATTTATGTTCATTTCTCCAAACTTCGATTTTGGGAGTCGCATCCTTTTTCTGTTGTACCCACGCCTGAGGGTAACATCAAGCTTTGCATTCAGCGCAAAGAAGGATTGACTGGTATGCTTGATTCTCTCACTGACGATAAAATGAAAGTATGGATCGACGGCCCATATGGCTATCATACTAGCTATAAGAATCATGACCGAATGGTGCTCATTGCTGGCGGTATCGGCATAACCCAATCCCTCGGTATAATATATGGCTTGCTTGAGGAGAAAGTACCGAGAAAAATATCTCTGTACTGGAGTATCCCGTATTTGGACTATCTGGAGTTTTTCGTCGATGACATTGAGAGGCTTCAAACCGACATTGAAATCAAGATCTTTGTAACAAGAGACAGTCCAGACGAAACGCAGGCAAAGAAATCATTTCCCATTGAATACGAGCATATGGACATCAAGTCTATCATTACTGACAACTGTGAAAAAGACCCTAGCGTTGCGTTTATGGTCTGTGGTCCGCCTCGCATGAACGATACGGTGAGAAAAGAGTCTTGCGATGCACTGAAAAACGGGGCGTCGTTGACATACACTGAAGAGCTGTTTTGCGACTGATTCCGATCAGGTTAATTTATCAGCCTTTGAGCTACGTACATTCCTCCCCATACACAGCTTTACTATTCCTAGCATTCATAGTTTACGCATGTCCGTTATTTGGCCCTTGCCCAGGCAAGTCCAAAAAAAAAATTAGTAAGGAAATTTTTCATGAGTGATTCCTTGAAGGATAGGCTCAATAGTCATTCGGATGCATTTAAGGGGCTTCTTTCTTTGATCCCTGCTAAATACTACTATGACGACGAGTCCAAGTCTCAGTGGAATCGCAAAAAGGCCACGAAGAGTGATGCTCATCGGGTCAAGCAAGCCAAGTTCGATCCCAGCCAAGGCTCTAGTGCATTAGACGAGGTCACTCGTCGTGAAACAGATGCGGTTGTATCCAAGTCTGGTGCTGATAGTATAGAGGTCGATTCATTCGAGCAGGAAGTTTTGGACGAGGAGAGCGATTCTGATATATCTGTTATTTTCGACGACCATGGAAACGAAATTCGTCTTTCGGGAGATGCACCCGACTCCTCTGATGATTTACCAGTCCAGCCCGCCAAAGTTCAAGAAAAGCCTGCCAAAAAGGCCTCCGCAAATCCCAAGGTTACACAGGCCGAGTCCAAGCGTCAGCCATCTAGCGAGGCTCAACCTGAGAAAAAATCCAGTGCAAAGCCTGCTGCTAAGCGAGATGCTCAAGGAATAGAGGAGTTGCGAAAGAAGCTTGCAGACAAAATTACAGAAATGAAAATCAGACGGAAAGCACCTGGCACTAACGCACCTGGCGCACCAAAAAATCGTGAAGAGCTGTTAGCAGCTCGAAAACAACGACAGGATATCAAGAAAAGGAAATGGGATGAAACAGATGCTGCCTCCGATGGTGAAAATATCGACGAGAATCATTCATTGGCTGAAGATGTGGATACCCCGGAAAGAGCCTCGAATGAGGAGACGATTATATTTGGTCAGATTAAATTAGGGGATGGAAACAAGCTGGGTCTCAATTTGTCTGCGGATGAGCAGAAAGTATTGAAGCGACGGAACGCTGCAGATCAACTGCGTGTGCTTGAAAGTCGCAAGGCCAAAATCAGCTCGCTCCCTGAGGCCAAACAAACAGAGATTGCTAACAAGGCTCAATGGAGCCGGGCTATCCTCCAATCCGAGGGTGCTAAAGTGAGAGACAACGAGAAATTACTGAAGAAGACTGTCAAACAACAGCAAAGACGGAAGCTTAAATCCGAACTTCAGTGGAAGGACCGTTTGGACACTGTTGCAAAAGGTATTGCCTCTCGCGAGGCCAAACGCAACGCGAATCTCGCTGCTCGCAAAGAAGCCAAGTTTTCTAAAGGTAAAAAGAAGAAACCCAAGCGTGCTGGCTTCGAGGGCAAAAAGCGTCGCAAGTAGTTTCCTGTTTGTATCTCTATCGTTATTTTATGGCATTTTCTCTATGAACCCATCCCCGTCAACTCTTCTGAGTGACCTTTATTTATGTCTTTATTATAGCACAGTCAAGTCACGACGCGGACTGCGTTCGTCGCCTGCGCTCCTCCTTGTTTCTTAAAGGTGTGGTCGTATGCAGTGGGTTTATGCAGGGCGTGTTTGAAGTTAGATCGAGCACTTTGGTCGCAGGCCGCCAAAGTGTAATTTCGCGATAAACGACACTATTTGTGTTTAAATTTGGTATATCGTTTATAGTTTCGTCCGAATTGATTATTTCGGCCTGCAGCAGCTCTTTCCAATTTATCCAGCACAGATCCTATCTACACTTTGTCATGACACATACGTACCTTGATTTAATGCGCCAAGTGGATTCGGCCAAAAATCTGGAAGGGGTTTATGAGTTCCGTTCACACGATGGAAACAAGATAGGAAAGATACTACCGTTTGTTGTCGCTCAATTGAAGAGGAGCGCTGCGTTTGAAATCGAAGAAGAGTGGAAAACAGTCAGAATCACCTTGGAGAGTGCACAAGAGCGATCTGCAGCTTTGAAGGCACTATGTGCCGATTGGCGCCAGGATAAAGTTTTCAGAGTACTCGAGGGATGGAGGAACGAGCTTTATCCTGTGTATAGTCCGTCGAAGACCATCTACTTTGTGATCGAGAGGTCAGCGGCATGCCTATTTGGACTCGTTACGTACGGATCGCATATAACAGGCTATGTTCCGGCGCAGCGGCCAGAGGATTTCTTGCTATGGGTTCCAAGAAGATCGTATTCTAAGCCTACATGGCCAGGGAAACTGGACAACACAGTTGCTGGCGGGCTAGGCTTCCCGGCTGGACCGTGGGAAACTGCGATCAAAGAATGCCAAGAAGAGGCAGGTCTACCGGCAGAGTATGTTCAGCCTCGGCTGAAAACCGTCGGAGTTCTTACATACGAGTTTCAACTTGAGCATACCGTTGAAGAAGAGACTGGAGTCTACCAGCCCGAGGTTGAGTACATATACGACCTGGAAATGGACAAAGATACACAGCCCCACCCTGAAGATGGAGAAGTCCACGAATTCAGCCTAATGACGACACAGCAAGTCCACGAGAGACTGGTGAACGGCGAGTTTAAGTACAACTGTGCTCTGGTCATGATCGATTTCTTCATTCGACACGGCATTGTGACACCTGAAAACGAGCAGGACTATATTGAAATCGTGGGACACTGCCACCGTAAACTAGACTACCCGCTGCGATAAATTATAAATGCGATTGTTGGGCCAAGAGCGCCCGACCTTGTTCAGTCGTTTGAGCGGGGGTCAAAGCAATTCTAACCGCTGATCCCGATCCTTGAGGCGTATACACAAGTTTCTCCAGATCATAGCTTTGGTCCCACCCTAGTATGTACAAATTTTTGAGATCGGGAAAGTTTATTCCAACCAAGTCCTGCTCGTGAAGGATCTGAACCCGATGTTTGAGTTTCGAGAAAACAGCCTGGGCAATTTCTCTGGGAGAAACGCTTGATGGCACCACAACCACGCCGTCACCATGCCAGATGTTTGCCAATGCTTCCACGTAGCGATCGATTGACACTTTGGCGCTGTGGATCCAATCTGAATTGGTATCAAGAGTTTTCCCGTTTGGATCTGTCAAAAACACACTGGCCTTGGCAGTCTCCCAGTCGGTAGAGACCTCCAGAAATGGCCGCTTTTTACCCTGTACTTCGAACACGCCAGCCAGCTGCAGGAACTCCAGCGGTCTTTGCACGGACGACAGCACTATCACAGCGGGATTGTCTGCCTTGCCCAGAATGTACTTGGCAAGCACCTCGACCCCGGTCACTTTGCCCTTTTTCTCGTACTCCTCGAGCTCATCGATCACCAGCGTTTCCAAGCTCGCAAGGTCGACTAATGAAGCGTCATAGTTCATGTAGTCTAGTAGTCGTGTGGGCGTCGCAACCAGCGTCGAGCAGCCAGAGACAAACGAGCGGTGCTGCATCTCGTCATTGTACTCTTTGCCTGTTCTGTAAAGCTGCCGCACGGGTATTTTAAGCGAGCTCAGCAGCTTTGCATACTGCTGCGCGAGGCCCCCCGTGGGGACCAAGATGAGATTTTTGAGCGGGCCCTCTTTGGTGCCTTTGGACAGTGCTAGTGCAGCAGCAACCGACTTACCGCTGCCCGGCGGCGACCGGGCGATCAACGATTTGCCAGACTGAACGACCGTCAGCATCTTCTTCTGCATCTCCGTGGGAACAGGAAACTTAGCACAGGCCCGGGGCGTCAGCCCAAGCTGCTCAAAACTAGTCACCGTGCGGGGGTCCCTGAGCACTGAAAACGCTCGTCCGCCGCCTGGACCCAGCCACCGCGGCCATATTGACGGTTTCATATAATTTAATATTTTTTTTTCCTCCTTAGATCAGTTGGGAGAAAAAGCACACTAAACAGGCTCGACGGCTCAGTGCTTACTTACAGACGGCGAGGTCCCACTGTTTTCTCCACATTTCCACAGAGGGCACAGTGAGCTGGGACCCAACGACCACAACAATGTCGAACGACACCAACGTGATCCTCATGGAGAGTGCCAATAGCCTGGACGTCCAGGACCTGGTGGAGCCGAAAAATGGGTTGATATACACTACATTGATGCTGCTGCCGCGTTTAGGGTGGGCGATTCTCCAATTGCTCTACATCGGGCTCATGGCGATCTTCCGCGCGATGGAGCCATCGCTGAGCCGGAGGCTTTCTGTCTCCTTTTCTGTTTCGGCGCTGTTGATGCTTTCTCTGGTGTTTTTTGCTGTTTTGTGGGCCCTGGTCAGATACCACTGGCTTACCCGGTACTCGCGCCTGCATGAGGATGATCAGGCAGAAGACGAGATTTCGGAACAGCTGTTGGATGACTTGCATTACAAGGATAGCGACGACGATAGAGACGACACCAGTGGCTACTTTGATGAGTTCCTCAGCGCCATCCAGATCTTCGGCTACCTTGACCGTAAGGTCTTTATGGAGCTCACTAAGAGCATGCAGACGTATCGGCTGAACGAAGGCGAGACTCTTCACCACCATGATGTGCATGGGTTCGCGTTTGTCGTAGACGGTGTGATTCAGGTGTACTCGAAGCCTTTGGAGAACAGCGGCGAAAACAATGGATACGAGCTCATCAACGAGGTCAAGAGAGCCGCGCCATTGTCTTCGCTGTTTTCTATTTTATCGCTATTCACTGAAGACGTCGAGCTTAACGAGCATTTAAATCCTACTCGGATGGACGATTTCGAAATCAATCCTCCCCCGTCGGTTTCAAGAGCTCAGAGCCCTACCACCTCCTCGCCCAAAGGAACGGGTTATTTTGACCACGTTCATGACGAAAAAGTGCGCTCAGAGTCTACAGCAAAACCCCGCGAGTCTGACTTTGACAAGGTATCCAAAGAGATCTTGTCCGTGGCGAAGACCCCGGCTACAATTGCCGTCATTCCGGCACGGGCTTTCAGAATGCTGACTCGAAAGTATCCGAGAGCCACAGCAAATATCGTCCAGATCATTCTTACTCGCTGGTCTCGAGTGACATTCCGTACCTGCCATCACTACCTCAATTTGACATCTCATATCTTCCAGGCTGAAGTCACGTTAAACCAATTGGCGACCAATGACTTTCCCGACTGGCTGCGGGAAGGAGCAGTTCGAAGACTCCAAGCCATGGCAGAGAATGATCAGGATGCAAAGAAATTCTCGCTTAAGCGTTCGCGAAAGGGCCCTGTGTTCGATTTGTCGGCTACTTCGCACCAGGTGTCGCTCGACCACAGCATTGATCCTACTTTCCCCGGTGACTTGTTGTCAAACGTGCCATTATCGCGAAGACCGACCATGGCAAACATTCGTGACAATTTGCAAACTGTCAACCGTAGGGACACTATCAATCTCATCAATCAGCAACTCAGCCAAGCTTCGTCCAAAAATTCATCAAAGCATAACTCGAGGCCTTCAAGCTTGAAGGGTGCTTATCCTAGTGCTGAAACAAGTGCCATTGACATTCAAAAGCTTCTGCCACCTAGAATGCGTCGGAATGTTAGCTTTATCACTGATGATGGGCTGCACCTCCAGGAAGACAATCAGACCGAGGACGCCGCGCTTAGGCATGCCCTCGTGGAGGTGATGTTTTCAATCATGGGTTTTGACTCGACAATGGGCCGCCAGCATCAAAGTAGCGGGAACAAGCCTCGAGATGAACAAGCATCGAACGGGACGTTAGGAAATACCCTGGAAAGCTTCAAGATTTCTGCCACGGAACCTGTGCCCAGCAGCCAAGATAGTGCCACAGAGGTGACTTCTGTGTACTCAGATTCTGAGACCATTCACATGTCATACGAGGAAGTGGTTGAGGAAGCATCTGAATACATTGATGTCGAATTTTACCGCGAGGGCCAAATTATTTCGGAGACCGGCAAAACTTGTCCTGGCATGTTTTTCATTCTAGACGGCCAGCTTCAAGTTGTTAGTCCTAAAGGTGATGGGAAAGAGGAAGTTCTTTATACTGTTCACCCGGGTAGTGTGACAGGGTATTTGGAAACTGTGACCGGCCATAAAGCTTCCGTCAACATTGTTGCCAAAACAGACGTTTGTGTGGCCGTTCTAAGCCGTGAGCATTTTGAAAGAATCACGGAAAGGTGCCCCGCACTATATATTTATGCTGCAAAGACCTTAACAACGTTGTTGAGCAGACCCATCATTCAGCTTGATTTTGCCCTTGAATGGACTAACGTCAAATCTGGCAGTACGATCTACCATCAAGGAGCGTCTGCAGATGCAATTTACTTTGTGTTGAATGGACGCGTGAGAACCGCTGTGGAGAAAAAGGACGAAAAACAAAAAACAGGAAAGCAGACTACTGGCGAGTACGGACAGGGATCTACTTTAGGCGAGCTCGAAGTGTTTTTGGGTGGCCAGTACCTATCGACAGCTGTTACCGTTCGCGAAACAGAACTTGCGCGATTTCCTCGTACTCTCGTCAAGAGTCTAGCGCAGTCTTATCCATCGATCACTTTCGAACTCACCAAGATTGTCGCTACGGAGATTGTTCGACTGAAGAACGGCGAAGCGAGCAGTGTTCCTTCGGCATATTTCAGAACCATTTCTGTAGTTCCGACTCATGAAGGGCTTCCAGTCTCAGAATTCGCGCATCGCCTATCTGCGGCGTTCACATCGATCGGCCGAACCAGTGTTGTATTGACGAATGCCAGTGTTCTGAGATACCTTGGCCGCTATGCATTCAGTCGTATGGGTACATTGAAGCTCAAAGCGCTTTTGGCTGACCTTGAGGAACAATACGATAACGTTTTATTTGTTGCGGACACTGGGCCCAAGACATCGTGGACAAGGACTTGCGTCGGAATGGCGGACTGTGTGTTGCTTCTGGCTGACGCACAGGCGAGCCCCAAATTTGGCCCTTACGAGCCACTACTGCTACGGGCCTCTGCAGAAACGAAATTGATCCTTCTCCAACATGAACAGCATGTTGTCCCCGGTTCGACTTCTCGGTGGTTGAAAAACAGACCGTACGTGAAATCGCACAACCATATTCACATGAAATTCTCGCACAAGGCCAGCACAGTGCCAACAACGTCGCAAGAGCAGGGAGCTGTTCAAAAGTTGCGCAGCTTCAAGCGACGGGTTGAGCAAGAGTTCCGGAACCGGGGGCCTCAAGGTCGATCACGTGTGATTCAAGCTGAGCGAAACTCCTATGCCTTCAAGAACGATTTCCAAAGACTCGCACGTGTGCTGTCTGGGCAGGCTGTTGGTTTAGTGCTTGGTGGAGGAGGTGCCCGCGGTATTGCGCACATTGGCGTGTTGAGAGCGCTGGAAGAGAACCAGATTCCGATAGACATGGTTGGCGGTACGTCGATTGGCTCGTTTGTCGGCGGGCTGTATGCGAGGGAGTATGACAATGTTCCACTCTATGGACGTGCCAAAAGGTTTGCCAGCCGACTGAGTAACTTGTGGAGAATGATGCTGGACGTGACGTATCCAGCCACTGCGTACACGACAGGCCACGAGTTCAATCGCGGTATCTGGAAAGCATTCGGAGAATCCAGAATTGAAGATTTTTGGCTGCCGTACTTTTGCAATACAACCAACCTCACAAGGTCGCGAATGGAGATCCACAAGAAAGGCTATGCCTGGCGGTACATTCGTGCTTCCATGTCGTTGGCTGGGTTAGTGCCTCCCATTGAAGACAAGGGAGAAATGCTTTTGGACGGTGGTTATATGGACAACGTCCCCGTGCGCGAGATGATAGAGGCCGGTGCACGGTACATCATCGCGGTTGACGTTGGTTCTGTGGACGATACATCGAAAGTACAGTATGGTGATACATTGAGCGGGCTTTGGGTGTTATTCAACCGGTGGAATCCGTTCAGCAAGCACCCGAATGTGCCGAACATCGCCGAAATTCAGCAACGGCTAGCCTATGTGTCGAGCGTGCAAGCACTGCAGGAAGCCAAGGCTTCGCCCAACCTGCTGTACTTGCGGCCGCCTATTGATTTCTATGCCACGCTTGACTTTGGCAAGTTCGACGAGATCTTGTCTGTGGGGTACACCTACGCCATCGACAAGCTTAAGGAGGTTGGGGCCAACGACAAGCTGGGACTGGGCGCGATAGTTTCCAAGGATCCACCCAAAGTGCGGTTCCGCCGGCATTCGATTTAGTATTTATGTATATTATAGCAAGCAAAAAGGGCAGTTAAATACAGATTAGCGAGCACACAAAACGCGGTGGGGGCGAAGCGGGTTCACTGGCGAATCAGAATGACGGTGTCGCCGCGAACAAGAAGCATATCGCTGCGGGCCGTCTGTTTTTGGATCTGGTTGTTGTCGTCGAACGAGAAGACCGTCTCCTCGACGTCGCCGAGGACCATGTTGCAGTGCTCGTCGTAGCCGTGCAGGGTTCCCCGCAGCTCGCGATTGTTTCTGAGCTTGACCAAAATTTCCTCGCTGAGCAGGGCCCTCACCATGTCCAAGGGTTGCGGCATATTTAGGCGGTTGGTGTTCAGTCAAAGTACAAACCAGCCTTTAGGTGCGATGGTGCTTACTCAGGCGACGGCCGGGGCAAAAGCCTGCTTACGTGACGGGGGGAAGTTGAGTTCTGAAAAAAATGATGCGCCGGTTTTCAACGAGCGCAGCGGTGCTCAGACGGTCGGTGGCCAATGCCAAACCACTGGTGCTGCGCCCGCCCATCGAGCCGCGGGTTTCTGATGTCAATGTCCCTGAGGATCACCCTCTGTGGCAGTTTTTTGCCGACCAGAAGTACATGCGCACCTCGACGGAGCTGAACGGTGTGGGCAACTCGTGGACGATTCCACAGCTCCGACGTAAGTCTTTCGACGACCTGCACACTCTCTGGTATGTTTGCTTGAAAGAATGGAACAGATTGGCCCGCGAGCAGTACATTGTCAAGCAGTGGATGAGTCGGCCGAGTGAAGACACGTTTACGGACGATAACTCGCTCTACACTGAAACTGTCAACAAGATCCGCGAGTCCATGTGGCGTATTCGCCATGTCCTCGCCGAGCGCTATCATGGGTACCGCGAGGCGGGCCAGATTCTGGGCGAGGAGTACCCCAAGCTGCTGGCGGAGTTCTCCAAGGAGTACCTCGAGGCAGATTCTAATGCAGACGCCGAGGTCACTGGGCAGCTTGAGCGATTCCAGTTTGCATTCTTTGGCATCAATCCTCTCCTCGAGGGCAACTTCCCCGAGCCCCAGGTTCTCAGAGGCCTGTATGCTGTTGCCAGACTCAAGCTGGCTCGCTATGCTTCTGAACAGAGCCAGGTCTCTGACGTGAAAGACGTCCGCGAAGCCTTCCTTCTGTTCACTTGCGAGCACTCTCCCGAGGGAGTTGCTGAGGCCATCGAGAGCATCCTGGAGGTGCGTCAAGCCGAGCCCGTAGAGGACGAACTCGAGACCCTTTCACAGTTGATGCTTGCCAGCCAACAAGCATGAGCACAGCAATAAAAAGAAAAAAAAGCAACAATCCTATCTAAAACACCCCTACAAAATCCGGAACACCCACGAAAGCTGGTGCAAAATCATTTATATTCCGTCGGCTGCACTACCGCATCTTCGCGTCCGCCGGCAGACACTTGACCCCAGCGAGAAAAGGGATAAATAACCTGTACAGCCTTTCCAATAACTAATCCCGTAGAAACCGGCCCGAAAGTATTGCTATCGATCGAGTGCACGTTGTCGCCCTCCAACCAAACGTGGTTGGCCGGGATTTTCACCTGCTTCTTGGGATAGGTCGACGTCGGCCGCGGCCTGACTGTATCGCCTGCTGTGCCAAGCACACGCTTGACCATAACGCGTTCGGCGTCCATTGGCGATCTGAACACAAGCACATCGCCCTTGACAATCCCTCCAGGCTTACGGAGTCCGTACTTTTTCAGCACCAGCAAATCGTGCGCACCCAGCGACGAGTCCGGGTTCAGGCTGGGCCGCATTGACGAGCCACGCACCCACGTTAGCTGGCCAATCGTCTGGTTCACCGAAATCGCCACTGGGGCCCAGCTCAGAGCCCATAAAACCGTCCCACGCATCTGACCGGGGCGAAAGATTTATCAGCTGTGAAGTGCGCGCAGACCCTGCATTTATGAGTATGGGGTAAGAGAGTAGTTACGAATAGCAGAATATATAGCGGGAATATTGGCGACGCACTGAACACGGGGTTTGCTATTGCGAGGGCGCTTGGTGAATGCGATACACGGCCGGCGTGCATGCAGCGAACCAAATAGAACAACCGACGAACCCAGCCCGTGGGTTACTGCGTTGGGCAAGAACACGCCCCCAGCACAGAACTGGCAGGATTCGGCCTGCATTTCACAGCCAAATCAGTTCTTATTCAATAATATAGCCCCAACTGCTCAAACCCGGCCAGAAACGTACTGGCTCGCCATGCATATGCAGGGCTTATATAGGCCACGTCGACTGACATAACCGTCAGTTTTCCAATCTCACGTCGACTAGTGTTTGAGCAATGAATTACCGAGATTTGCTTATTGGCGCTCTGATGATCACCGGCGTGGTGGCTCAGCAAGAGGCGGTTAAGTTTGTTGAGGAGCAGCAGCCGCTGGCCTTCGACAAGAAGCTTGGCTTTGAAATCGAGGAGCAGGCTCGCGAGGCTCGTAAGAACCCGGACAAGACGGTCGACCATCCCGAGTACGTGCCCTACAGCGATGCCGTCAGCGAGGCTGTGCTGTTTGAGCAGTTCACCGACTCCGAAGACGACATTTTCGCCAAGTGGAAGACGTCGCATGCCAAGAAGGCTATCACCGACGAGAAGGAGGAATTTTCCTACGTCGGCGAGTGGGCCATTGAGGAGGCCACCATTTACCCTGGTTTGAAGGGCGACAAGGGTCTTGTTCTCAAGTCGCCTGCTGCTCACCACGCAATCTCCCGTCGCTTCGACAGCGTGCTCGACAACACCGGGAAGACTCTTATCGTCCAGTACGAGGTCAAGCCTCAGCAGGGTCTTACCTGCGGCGGTGCCTATGTCAAGCTGCTTTCTGACTCCGACCACTACTCGGAGAACGAGTTCTCCAACGAGACCCCTTACGAGGTCATGTTTGGCCCTGACAAGTGCGGTGCGACTGACAAAATCCACCTCATTATTCGCCGCAAGGACCTCAACACTGGTGAGGTCAAGGAGCACCATTTGGTCGCCCCTCCTCGCACTTTCCCCGGCACCATGTCCACTCTATACACTCTGATCTTGAACGATGACCAGACCTACGAGATCCGTGTCAATGGCGATGTCCGTAAAGCCGGCAGCCTCATCGAGGAGGGTGTTTTGAACCCGCCTCTTAACCCTCCCAAGGAGATCGAGGACGCCTCTGAGGAGATGCCCGAGGACTGGGACGAGGAGCGCTATATTCCCGACCCTGAGCAGACCGTCAAGCCTGATGACTGGGACGAGGATGCTCCTGCTCAAATCCCCGACCCCGATGCTGAAATTCCTGAGGACTGGCGTGAGGACCTCGAGGAGTTTGTTGTTGATCCCGAGGCTTCCATGCCTGAGGACTGGGACGAGGAAGAAGATGGCGAGTGGGAGGCTCCCCTGATCTTCAACCCCGAGTGCGAAGAGGTCTCCGGATGTGGTCCCTGGGTTGCTCCTCTTATCCGTAACCCCGAGTTCCGCGGTAAATGGAGACAGCCTCTCATTGACAACCCCAACTACCAGGGCCCGTGGACTCCTAGCATGATCCCCAACCCCGACTACTTTGAGGACAGCACTCCTGCTGATCTTGCCCCCATTGCCGGTATTGGTTTGGAGCTGTGGACTATGCAAAGTGATATTCTGTTTAATGACTTTTACATTGGCCACTCTGTTGCCGAGGCAGAGAAGATCGGTAATGCCACTTTCCTCCCCAAGCTTGAGGTCGAGCGTGCCGAGTACGCTGCCAATGCTCCCGAGCCTCCCGAGGAGTTCAAGATGCCTACCATGTGGGAGATCTTCAAGAAGGACCCTCTCGCGTTTGTGCAGGGCGCTGTTCAGATGTTCTTGAGTGAGTTCGAGGTCGACAAGATGGGTGCCTTCAAGCACCAGCCCATCGCGGCCGGTATTATGATCGGCTCGGTTCTGGGTGTCTTTGCCATTATCTTCGGTATTATGAACGTGATCACTGGGCTTGTGTTCAAGACCACGCTGCCTACCCCGAAGGAAACCAAAAAGACCACTCTTGCCGCCGATTCTGCCGAATCCACCTCGGCCAAGACCGAGAAGGAAACCGTCACTAAACGCAAGTGAGAGATAAAACAGAAACTAACTCACGTAGATTCACATATAATGACCATTGTAGAAAAATCGCATTCACTATCCGCCTTAGTCACCATCGCGAATTGAGCGCGTCGAAATGTCATATAAACGGCCGCCACCGCAAGACGACCGTGGTGCCCTTTCCCGGCCATTTAAATTGCCAATAGCTGTCACGCGCAATGAATTAAGAAAGACCCGTCGGATTATCAACTACGACGACGAGTCCGGAGTGCCATTGCGTGAGGTTTCCGTGAACCGAGGGCCAGATATTGATCCAAAAAAGCTTTTGGATCGTCAATTCAAGCCGCCACTTCTGGATAAGCGCCCAGAGAGTACAGAGCCGCCCGCGTTGGGCATGACTCGGAAAAAGGACTGGATTCCGCGGCCCTTGCACGACCCCTGCGGCGAGTTTGCAATAGTGCTGTACGACCCCACCGTCGAGCCAATTGCAGAGGCAGAAGAACAGCTAATTGCCTCACAAAAGCTTCTGGACGAAAGCAGTCAAGAAGTCCCGGAGTCTCCCCAGCCAGATCAGGCGGAGCCAAAAACCGGACTGTCGGGCCCGTCGCTCGCATCCTTGCTAGGGCTTGATAGTCCCAAGAAAACTGAACAGGTCAAGGTGCCTGTGGTTATTGACCCCAGGTTGTCCAAGATTTTACGTCCCCACCAGGTCGATGGTGTGAAATTCTTGTATAACTGCACAATGGGCTTTGTCGATCCAAGAGTCTATGGTTGTATTATGGCGGACGAAATGGGTTTAGGAAAAACCCTTCAGTGTATCACTCTGATGTGGACGCTTCTCAAACAGTCGCCTGAGGGCGGCAAAGGATCAATCGAGAAGTGCGTGGTTGTTTGCCCGAGTAGTCTTGTGAACAACTGGGCCAACGAGTTGGATAAATGGCTAGGGAAAGGTGCATTGAGGTCCCTCGTAGCCGATGGAAAGAGCGTCAAATCTGCAGACCTCGTTGAGGCATTAAGGGCTTGGGCAAGAGCAGAAGGCCGCCAGGTCACCCAACCGGTTCTCATCATTTCCTACGAAACTCTGAGACGTAACACCGAAGAACTGAATGGCGCGGAAATCGGTCTTTTACTCGCAGACGAAGGTCACAGGCTGAAAAACGGTGACTCGTTAACATTCACCGCTCTAGATAGCTTGAACGCCAAACGGCGAGTTATTCTTTCCGGTACCCCTATCCAGAATGACTTGAGCGAATACTTTTCGTTACTGTCATTCGCTATCCCTGGGCTTTTGGGGAGCCGACTTGATTTCCGCAAAAACTACGAGAATGCCATTATTCGCGGCCGTGATGCATATGCTACGGATCAACAGATGTTTGTTGGTGAGCAAAAGCTGCAAGAGTTGCTGCATCTCGTCAACAAATATATCATCCGTCGCACCAACGATATTCTTTCCAAGTATTTGCCTGTGAAATACGAGCATGTTGTGTTTTGTGAGCTCAGTGACTTTCAAAAGAAGCTGTATCAGCACCTTGTGCAGGAAGGAGCTAAAAAGTCAAGTGACGATCTGCTAACAAAGTTCAGCAGCCAACCATTAAATGCCATCAACATTCTAAAGAAAATTTGCAACCATCCAGATCTCGTCGACCTCGATAAACTCCTTCGCAAAGGTAAAGATATTTTACCGGCGGGCTATCACCCTCCCGGGCAACGGGGACGAGATCGAGAAATTTACTCTTGGTACAGCGGCAAATTCATGGTTTTGGAGCGTATGCTTGCCCGTATTCGGGCTGATACGAACGATAAGATCGTCATCATTTCCAACTATACGCAGACGCTTGATCTGGTAGAAAAAGTGTGTCGCCTTCGCAAGTATGGTTTATTGAGGCTAGATGGTACAATGGCCATTGCCAAGCGCCAAAAGCTTGTCGACCGGTTCAATGACCCGGATACCCCGGAATTCATATTCCTTTTGAGCTCGAAGGCAGGCGGTTGCGGTATCAACCTTATCGGCGCGAACCGCCTGATTCTACTGGATCCTGATTGGAATCCGGCCGCCGATCAGCAAGCGCTCGCTCGAGTGTGGCGTGACGGACAAAAGAAGCATTGTTTTGTTTATCGGTTTATTGCTACGGGAACTATTGAAGAAAAAATTTATCAGCGCCAAAGTATGAAGCAGAGTCTTAGCTCTTGTGTGGTTGATGAAAACACCGATGTGGAGCGGCTATTCTCGTTCGACGATTTGAGAAGGCTGTTCAAATACAATACAGAAACCATATGCGAGACCCACGATACTTTCAAGTGCAAACGGTGCACACCCCTAAAACAGACCATTGGAGCGCAGGCTTTACTCTACGGTGATGCGACTACCTGGAACCACTATCCTAAATCACAGCTCGCCAAGATTGAAGACAAACTGCTGCAGCAGGAGGCTTCGGAGGATGTCGTCAGCTTTGTTTTCCAGTATATTTCCCATTAATACTTACTATGTCAAAATAGGATGCTCGTATAGCGGAGTATAAATTACATCAAAAGCTAAACGCACCAGGCGCTGGATAAGTTATTTTGCAGCTACTTCTTCTGCTGGTTGTTGAACATATGCATCATGTTGGGATTGAATCCCATAGGGAACACAGGCATCATACCCATCATACCCATCGGGGCGATTGGCGCCATCGGGGCCATGCCCATAGGAGGCACCATTGCTTGTGGGGCGACGGGGTGAGGTGGCGGAATTCCCTTGAAGGGGGGGAATCGAGTGGGAGTAGCCTCGGGCTGAGCAGTTTCCGTGGGCTCCTTGGGGGTGGTGGGACCAGAATTGGGGTCTGGGAAAGACGCGAGTACTTTTGACTCTCTGGCTTGCTGAGCTGTTGCTTCGGGGGAGTCGGGCTGTTTAGTACCTCCTCGTTTTACACCCATCAAGGCCCGCAGATCACCAAAGTATTTGGGATCGAACGAAATAAGAACAGGTTCACTCCATGGGATGACTTCAGCAGACCGTTTCGTTGACGCAGCCTCGTCCATTTCCATTTCACGAGCACCCTGAGCAGAGCGTAGGTGGCTTCTGACCTCATCAGTCTCAAAGAACTTGACCTGAACAAGCTCGCTATCGTCCTTCCAGTGAACTCGCTTACCGCTTTTGGCCTTTTTCGGTACCGGCACCTCGACGACTTCTTCAGGGGGGGATGTGCGTTTTTGAGAACCGATTTGTGCCCGTAGACTGGACAGCGTGAAATGTTTTGCAGGAGCGGGCTGCTCAGACTTCACAGGGACAGGCATGGGAGGGTCCGGCAAAACCTGGACCTTGGGCTTCTCGACCTTAGCACGGCGATGGCTTGTCAATGAAAAAATACCCTTGTTCGATGTCTCCGGTTCGCTGGGAGGCGAGGGTTTCCGCTCTGGCTTTGGTGTGGTTGCAGCACCCGGACCAGCAGGGTCAATATGATACTTTTGAGCTATAAGCTCGGATTTTCGTGCGATTTCATCATTACCCTTTCTAAGGATTCGAATAATGGGATGCATTTTCGATTGCAACATCTCAGCATCGGTTGCAGGGATACGAAGGAAGAAGTCCAAAGCAGGCGCTACCAAATCACGTTTGCGAAGTTTGATCAAAGCAGCCATCCAGTTACGGCTGCGAGCCAGCAGCTGGGCCCGCTTGGAATCGGAGAATGCGGTATAGAAAGCGTCCGGAGCCTGGCTATTAACCAAGTTAAAAGCTTCCGTCATGGGGTCCGGGGTCTCGCCCCATTTGGATTTGTCCATTGTCTCGCATACATATCGATGGAAACGCTCTGCAAGGTAGGTCGGGTTGTCAAGAGCGATACGGAAAGCAGCCTCCAGGTTTTTGATTGTTTCAAGACGTTGTGGTGGGGCAGGAGTTGCAACCGCACGCGAGTCCTCTGGCCGGATCTCAGAACTTGCCTGATCGATTGCGGTCAAGCCCATTATGACACTCTACTAGACGTGTTCTTGAGCAAATAGGCAAAATACACCTATGCAATTACTGGAACTTTGGAAAGGAGGAATGCGAAACTCTATTCTAACAAAAACTCTTGATGGGCGTCTTTAAACTACCTCTCAAAAGATAAAAAAATTGAGCAGAAACGAGCTCTGCTTTAAGGGTCTTTACTTCTCGTGTGGTTCTTTTAAGAAACTCTTTTGAATATCCCCGAACCGTGAGCACAAGGGTTTGCACGCAAAAGTTTGGGTCTAAAAGAATAGTAAGCCAGCTATGCTCGCCATCCTAAAAGAGCGCATGCTTTGTCAAGGGGTATAGGGACACTAAAAGGGACAGCTCCTATGATACCGTAATACCCCTCAAAGTTTTTTTTTCAGTTGGTCGGGGTTAGGGCTTATGCACTGGTTCGAAATTTTCTTGATTCCTTCCGTCCCAGAGCTACACTCCAGAGAACCTCGACTTGCTTGGCTAAACACAGACGTGAATTGCAATGAGCGCTTTTACCAAGTTACAGAGGGTCGCTAATTCGGCGTTGGTGCTCCCCGTGTGCCGGTTTTCCACCTCAGCCCGCTTGGCTCGTGGCGAGGACTGGACCAGTGGCGGAAGAAACCAGCGTAAACCAAACTACAAGCAGTCAAACAACTTCAGAAATCGGGATGATGATTACAGACCTCGTGGAAATTACAACGACCATCGCGGCGGCAACTTCAACCACCGTAACAACAACAGAAACGACGGCTGGAAATCCAAAGGGTTTGGAAATTCGCGCAATAATTTTCGACGATCTAGCAGTCAGGACGCAGACGACAGCAAACTTATCGAGAGAAACCGCAGACAGAAGCAGAAGGACGATGGATTGATGGGCATGCCTGATTATGACCTCGATAAGGAGTCTTTGGCTACCCTCAAGTACGAGGACCTTTTGCCCGAAGAGGACCTAGAGGCCAAAGAAGGTCTCTCTGGCGTGCCCACTGAGGCTTTGGCAGAGAAGCGTCTTCTTTTCCGTCCTCTCGTGAATTCGCTGGTCAAGAATCGCAGTTACGAGCGTCTTACCCCGGTCCAGGCCCGCACACTGCTTCCTATTTTGAACAACCAAAGTGTGGTAGTTCGTGCCAAAACAGGTACAGGTAAAACTGCTGCTTTTGCTATCCCAACAATTCAAAAGGTTCTTGAGGCCCACCGACAGGGAATCAACCAGGGCAAAGTCAAGGCTGTGATTATTTCGCCCACTCGCGAACTTGCTCAGCAAATTGCTGATGAAATCTACAAGATTGTTAATTTTGGCGGATTAGACGATATTACAGTCCAGTGCTTTGTTGGTGGCCTTTCCAAGCAAGCCCAGTTGCGTCAAGCCAATCTCTTCGAGGGCTCGAGAAAGCCTCCCTGTGACATTATCGTCGCTACTCCTGGCCGCTTGATGGACATTCTTGAGGAGCCCGGTGTCCTTGACAAGTGCGACCAGCTTATTTTCAAAGTCTTTGACGAAGCTGACCGCCTTTTAGATATTGGCTTTGAGCGTATTTTGGGTGACATTCGCGACAAGCTAGCCCAAGTCACTCCCAAGGACCACGAAGTCCCTCTCTTGCTGTTCTCTGCAACTGCTGATGCTAATGTTCTAAACTTTGCTAGAGACGAGTTCGGATCTCGTGTCAAGGTTGTCGACACTGTGCCCAAAAACGAGCCCACTGCTAACGAGCTCGTGGACCAAACCGCTGTTGTTTGTCCCACCTGGGCTGAAGTCTATGAAGCTACCGTTCACCGTATTATCACCGATTATGAGGCGGCACAAGCCAACAAGGAATCTCTCAAGGCCATTGTCTTCATGCCCACTGTGGCTATGGTGGACAACTTTGAGCGTATTTTGAAGCAGGCCGTAGGCCGCACCTCTCCGCTTCGCAACCTGATCATGGCAATCCACGGCCAGCGCAGCCAGTCTAGTCGTCAAGTTCGCTCAGACAAGTTCCGCAAGATGCACGATGCTGTTCTCATCACCACCGATGTTGTTGCCCGTGGTATGGACTTCCCCAAGGTTTCTCACGTTATTCAGTGTGGTATTCCTCCTGATGTTGCTTCCTACGTTCACCGTATTGGACGTACTGCTCGTATTGGTAACCGCGGCAAATCTTATATGTACCTCACCAACCACGTTCGTGCCTATCTCAAGAGCTTAGCTCGCGAGAATATCAAGCCCAAGCTGGAGACTTTCAAGCAGGACCCCGAATTCCACGAGAAGTTCGTTTCCGTTGTTCCTAGCTCGGTTGTTGACGAAACTGAAGCTAACGAACTTATGAACTCGTTAATGTCCTACATGTCCATGCTCAAGAGTCGCTACAATGTTTCTGCTGGTGACTTTGTCAAGGACATGCAGCCTTTTGTGGAGCTCTACGGCCTGGAGTCCCTCGATCTGCACCGTGCAAACAGAGATGTTTGGAGGGAGAAGCGTAACACTCGTCGTCCTGGCTTCGGTTCAAGCAGACGGTCTCGGATGCGTTGGTAAACTCTCTGCAACGTGAACAAAAAAAACCCTGTCAAATTATGTACATATCAGCGCCAGCATATTATTATAATTACTTTCTATCTCTAACAGACTAGAATCGGCACAAGTCCTCACAATGCAGCCGAGAACATATGCAGGACTCGGCTTGATCCGATAAATTTTTTTGGGTTAGTCATACTGGTTTTTGGGGGCCAAACCGACTCATTTTACTACGAGAATTTTGGCCTGAAGATCTATTTTATTTAATATAGCTGTTTGAGATCAGTATCAATTGACATAAAAAACTCATATGAGTGCTCTTAACAGTGTCGATTCAAGAATCAAAAAAGGTTTCAATGCTTTGGTGGACACCAGCACGGAACTGGACCTTGATGGTGAAAACGGCTCACCAGGTGCTTTTAAAACTATTCAGGGAATAACCGAAAAAACTGTATTGAGGTCCAAGAGTGGCCATAGGCATATAGATCTGATTGAACACAAAATTTCACAGATCGCCTTGCTAGCTCAATCGGTAGAGCGTGTGACTCTTAAGCCCTCGTAAGAGGATAATAGTCATCACAAGGTTGTGGGTTCGACCCCCACGTAGGGCTTTTTTTTTCTCCTCAGAATCGACAGCCAGTTACAGTAAGTATCGTTTTTGCCGTGCAAATCTAATGACGGTTTCCTGTCAGTTTATAATTATATGCTATATATGCTTTTTCCTATGCAAAAAGTTCGTAGGATCCTAGTGATGCCCTGCCACTACCCACAAGTGCCTTTGCAGCTTTAGATTTGGCTTCAGGTGCATTGCTGGGATTTAAATCATACAATAAAAACAAATTGTAGAGACCATTCAAAGAGAGGTCCGTCAGACTCTTCTCTAGCAACCCAGTAGCTGTCTCGATATCACCCTTCTGAAATGCAGCCAAAGCCCTTGCAATCGCGCCATTGACAGTAGAAGATTCACGAGGAAACTCACCGAGCGAAGCTATGGTTTCAAGGTCCTCAATCTCACCTGCAAAGGAGTCACGAGTCCATTTTTTGGCTTGAGAAATGTTGCCCATTTGGAGATGCAGTAAGGCAAGAGTCCTCGCCAATGAATCCGCGTAAGTCGGGTCCACTTGCTTCTCACCCTCATGGAGCGATTCAAGGTGTGCAATAGCGGTAGACGGATCCCGCATTCCAATCAGTGCTGCGGCAACATGAAGTCCTAACTTACGGAGCCGCTGCTCCCAGAGCGATGAGTCCTTCCCGCCAATGTTGGAGCGAGCGCTTGCAGCCATTACGAACATTTGCTGAATTGCCGTTTGGTTGATACCTTTGGCCTTGACGGGAATAAGCATTAGTCGCAAATCCCAGACAGTGGCCTCGTCAAGGCCTTCGGCCTCTGGTGCGTCAATGAACTCCAAACAAGAAAGGGCCTCATCATTCACATAGACACCCAGACGCAACTTCAACATTGAGTAAAATCTCAGGTACCAGATACGTAGGATTTCTGGAATGTCGCCGGGCTCTATCGTTTCTTTTTTGTTGAAATCAGCGAGCAGGTCCACCGACTTGTTCACCGCATCAACCCAGTACTGAGCATCAACAAGCTGCTGCAGCGTGCTCGACTCTGGAGCAGCCTGAAAAGGTTCTGGGATTTTCGGCTCTGGTAGCTTCTTGAGTCTGGACACTTGAACCAGTGATCTGTACATTATGTACGCAGCTGATTCTACGGCATGGCTAAATAAGCACTCTAGTGGCGTAGCAGCCTGTCGAAAAGTTACCAAAGAAGCAAAGTGCACAGAACTGTCGTATTGAGACCGTGAAGAACTCAACGTAGGCCAGTAATGCCTGCCTATCGGTTTACGGGCTGGCCCCAAATGCCAAGGGTTGCATTGCTCCCCAGTTTTATGCACCACCCATCACCCAACATGAGCCCGCTGCAAGATAGAGTAAGGCCTCGATTTGTCAGTTTTGGAGCCGTGTAAATAGAGAAACATTTCTCCTATCCACATCAATTAGCTGAAAATGTCCAGTCTTCAGCTTGATGAGGAGATGCTGGAATCCCAGCGGGATCGAATTCTGTTCAGCCCAGATCCCGAATTGGAGCCTTTGACTCCCGGCCTTTCGAAGCACAAACACCCCCGCAGAGTCTTCGGGTATATTCCATTGATGATTTTATACATTATATCTATCGTCATGACTGCCACAGCGACTCTAGATGTGATATACTATCTTGTTTGCTTCTCAGAAGGTGTCGAAACTGCTCATTGCTTGACCAGCGAGGTGGTGGGAGAGAAGGTCGCTTCGTACATGAGTTACAGCTCGATCCTATGCGGGACAGTCAGGGTATTTGTGGGCACAATTATGTCGCGCTGGTCCGATAGAATTGGCCGCAAGCCGGTGCTTATTCTCTGCTTCTCGGTATCTGTGGTTGCCAAGAGCCTGGAGTATTTCATGGTGTTTGGCAAAGCGGAGCCGGTTTATTACATGTGGCTCTTGCTGCCCTCCATTATCGCTGAACTAGGTGGCTCTGTGAGCTACATGTCCGCCGCCTCTGTGTCGTACGTATCTGACTTGGTCGAGGACAGTGTGAATCGAACAAAACTGGTCGCCATGCTGGAGGGGTCTTTCTTTGCTGCTCTGGCATTCTCGCCTACGCTGGGCTCCATTGTACTGCGCAATGTCGGCTTGCAGAACCTTTACTTTGTTTCGCTTTGCTTGTCGGTGTTGGTGGTAATTCTGGTCGCCGCTTTCATGAAAGAGTCTCTGCACGAGAAACTCCAGACCTCAAATAAGGCTGTCCAAAAACAGCAGACCGGAACGTTGAATACCCTCAAGCCATTGCTGTTCCACAATGTAAAAGATCCCCTGGCTCGGCGAAATGCTCGAATCTTCCTTGTCTGCTCCCTTCTGGGCACCGAGTTCGCCATGTCATTCTTGCCCATTGTGCTTTTGTACCCCAAGCGACTTTTCCAGTGGTCTGCGGTTGAGATGGGCTATCTAATTACCTCCATGTCTTCAACGCGTACCCTCATGTTTGTGGTTGCATTCCCATTCCTGTATACGCAGATCCGGAAGCTTGTCACTGTCCACCAAGCACAGATCGACCGTGCAGACGTAATACTCTTACGACTCAATATGATACTGACGTTTGCTGGATACTTTTTGATGGGAAGATCCACCACCGCCCCGCATTTCGTCGCTTCGGCAATTCTCGACGCATCGTCAAGCATTGGTGGGCCGGCCCTCAAGGGCGGGTTCTTGAAGCACGTTCCCCAAGGACAGTTTGGTACGTTCATGGGAGCCTACCAGCTATTGACCAATATGTTCCTGGTGGTCACCCCGTCCTTGTTTTTACAAATCTACCACTGGGCATATGAGCGCCGCCCAAGCCTGCCGTTTGAACTGGTATCGCTGCTGTTTTTGGGCCTGCTCGCGATCTCATTCCTTCTTAAGCCTGTCCGGTAATTCTATTTTATATATATTCTCTTCTTCCAAATAAAAGTAGTCAACCTGCAGCACGTGTCTGACGTCAGATCCACAATGAGCTTTGCCCGAGATTCTGAGGGCCAGAACGTGTTTCATCTAGCGGCGGCACACCCCAGCAGTAGGCCGCTATCCAAACTACTTGCTGGTTACTCGCGGAAACAACTGCTGGTTGGTCTGGTGGCGAAAGACGCTCTAGGACGAACCCCGGCCAAGATCGCGGCTGAATCGAGCAACCTAACCAACTTGCGACTTCTTCTTAAGACAAACCCAGACTCTGTGGGCATACGTGATGCCAGTAATGCTACATTGGTCGAGAGTTTGAGGCCCACAGAGCCAGACCCGACCCTATCTTTACGGTCCTCCATGATCACATGGGGCGACAATTCTCGAGGCGTTCTAGGCCAGGAAAGCAGCCACAATGACTTTTTACCGCCGCAAACGGTTGATATGCCCTTCAAACACGCAGAGAAATCTGATCTATTTGGTGCTGTTAATCTACCTTTATCCATAATCGATGTCGATCTCACAAAGGGCCATTCCGTGGCGATAATGCAGCCGTCCGATTCTTTTGCGAAGGAAGTTTATGTTTGCGGGTCTTCCAAGTACAGTATTGGACTCTCAGACTCTAAAAAGGCCTTTCAATGGACGCAACTTGTTCTGGAGGTAGCTCCGACCGACCGCCTGCTCGGCGTTTCTTCAAGCGCCAATCATGGAATCGCTATTTCGTCCACATGCTGTTGGACTTGGGGCGCAAATAATGCAGGACAACTAGGATACGATTTGGAGGGCGAGAAATTGCAGGTGTTGCCCCGCAAATTACCGGACTTTATGGAGTACGAAGCAAGAGGAACTTTCAATGCTTTCGACGCCTTAGCTAGCGACAACACAAGGACGTTCAGTGAGACACTTGTTGGATGTGGATGTGCACAGTCTTATAGTGTTGTGTACACGGCAACCAAAATATACATGTGGGGACAGGACTTTGGGCAAATGCTGGGCAAAGGAGCTGGGGGGCCGGTGGAAGAACCATTGCTTGTGGCTAATTCTGTCAAGCTGTGGAAATCGCGAATTGAAAAAGTCGTTTGCTGTGATCTCGCAGTTTATGTGCTTCTTGCAAATGGTGAAATCATCCAGCTCGAAAAGAATACCGCCGCCTCTTTGTCGTTGAAATACCGAGCCCTCGACATCAGGTGTGCTGGGAAATACGCAGTCATTCGCACAGAGAAAAAGCTGCTCAGGTTTCAGAACAACGAGGCAACAAAGCTTTGGAGCATCAATCGGCCGCTTGATCGTGTTCGTTCTTTCGATATTGGTGAGCAGGGACATGTTATATTTAGCACGGCATCTGGACAGATCTATACGTGGGAGAATGGTCAACTTATAGAAAACAAACAGGTGTATGGTGGCGAGATCGTGGCTGTGCGATGTGATCCACTTTTCAGATCATTCGCTGCCGTTCAACAAGTGGGTGTCGAACTATTTCCCAGCGCTGCTTCATTTGCACGTTCTCCGAGCCCAAACCACAAGAATTGGAACCCTCGTAATGAGATCTGCATAGCCGATACCTTTTTGGAGAGTGCCTCGCAAACAAAGGTGCCTGTTCATTCTGTCGTGCTATATGCGAGATGTCCTCGCCTGCTTGGCGCAGATCATGTGGCTCCGTCGCAGTCAATTCGGTTTGTGCAAAAGGGAAATGGTTGGTCTGTTGAAGGTGTCAGTGATAAAGTCCTTCGGGCGTTTGTTGACCAACTTTATTGTTCAAGTTCTATGAACAATCACGACCTCAACCAGCCGGTTTCAGCTGAGGGGCAGCAGTATCGTGATGTGGCTAAACTTGTTTCCCAGACACTGAAAAAGGGTCTGCTAGCAGCGGCTGAGTCTAACAAGGGTGATGTTGTTTGCGAGTTGGAAGGTGGTGTCGATATACGAATTCACGGAGTAGTGTTTGCTGCCCGTAGCGAATACTTTGCTGCTCGATTGAGTCCATATTGGTCTCATGAGGCGAAAGTGGAATTGAAGCATATCTCGCCAAAAGTTTTCGAGGCCGTAAAACGTTTTGCTTACAGCTTTTCGATTGCCGACTCGCTTCATTCGATGCCAACCCAACTCGAAGCAGTGGCATATCTTTACGATGTCGCAGCAGCAGCCGACGAGCTGGGCTTCCGGGATCTTGCTGAAGGTTGCTGGGCCGCTTTGTGCGAATTCATTTCTCTCGATTACGCACCAGCCATGCTCCAGGAGCGACCACCGATCAAGTTGCGAGACATAATTTACCGGTTTATTTTGAACAACCTGGATTTCTACCTAAACGATCTGGAAAGTTTGGCATCCTGTTTGGACGCCATCGAAAGCTCAAGTGGTTCCAAGAAGAGCAACAGCGCGGCCGAAATCGATGCTGCTATTGGGGCCTTGCAAAGTCAAGAACGTAGGGCTACTGAGGAAGAAGCCAAAGCGTCGAAAGTGGCAAAGGCCCAGGAGAAAAAGCCTGCCAAGATATCTGAACCAGAGCCAGTGTGGACTCAAACACAAGCTCGGTCTCGGCGACCTCGATCGCCTGCTCAACCGGTCGCTGCAACGACTGACGCAACCGAGGGCTGGACACAGGCTCGCACTCCGCAGCGCACACCGAACCGAACGCCGACAAGAACCCCTATCCAGGTACCCATGGCCACACCGGTAGCTACCCCACCTCGGATAGCTTCACCACTGGTCCGTCCACCCACAAACGCTGCTACATCCCAGAGTTCTGTTGGGGCAGCAGTGTCGGCGGGATCTTCGTCACTTCCATCGTTAGGCAGTCTGCCGAGCCTGGGGTCGAGAAACAAAGCACCAAAGCCACGGACCCAATCCACCGAGGGACCTCGTCCCAAGTTGTCCCAGAAAGAACGGAAACGCCAGCAGCGCAACCAACGAATCGAAGACTTGGCGCCCGACCCCGAACCTGCGCACACCGAGTCGCCCTGGCGTCAAATCGACCGCACGCCAGCGCGTCCTATTCTCGAACTTCTTCAACGAACCAGGCGACCACAGGCGTCTTGGGGCAGTTGAGAACTTTATTTTATTTATTTTTGATAGATTAAACTATTTGATGGTTATTTTTAGGTGGACAGCTTTTCGCGATAAGCGTTGAGTTGCTGGAAGTAAGCCGGATCGACGTCTGTACGGTCTTCGACGAGCATGGAGGTGGCCCACATACGCAAAGAGGGGTCAGTGTTTTCCTTGATGATATGAACGGTGGGCCAGTAGACCTTGTCGATAGGGCTCCGCGCGGCAGCAATGATGTTGCGAATACGGATGTTGAGATCGGTGTCGAGTTCAGGGACTTCAACACGGCCAGAGTCGACAGAATCCAGGCTGTCTACTCCAAACGCATCCAGAAGCAGCTGCGGCACAGCATCGCGACCAATCCACAAGAAGATTACCTGGCCATCGCTGAGGAAGTACAGACCATGCGATTCGATACGCTCACCAGTGAGGTTCAATTTAGGAGGGACAATCAGCAGTCCATTCTCATCAACAAGACCATACTCCTCGCCCAGGTCGTGCAAAGCAAAGAAGTCTGGGTACAAGTACTTGATGAGGTACTTGACAGGCAAAGTCGACAAAAGACTGAGCGCAGCCATGCGCAAGTCAGGCATGATGTGTGCAGACTTTTTGAGTCCAGTATGTTTACGCAACGCGCTCAGGAGAAGAGGCAACATACGCATGTTGGCACCGATTTGTAGTGCACCCGATGTGCCGGCGTTTGTGTTGAGAACATCGCTCTTGAAGACCTTGAATATTTCAAGCATCTTCGCATTGAGCATCTCACCAGCATCGACGACGCCGCGACTCAAGGCCTTTTCAACAGCTTTTTGCGTAAGATAAGCTGTGATGGCGAGCTGATCTGCAGAGGCATATACTGCAGTGAGTGTGGAAGCAGTAGGCACAGCGAGGTTCAGCACACGAATACGACGCTCACCATAGCAAGTGGTGTGCAAAAGAGCAGCCTGGAACAGCACATAAGGTTTGGTAATAGGGTCGTCAATAGACATTTCGATAACGTACGACTGATCACGAGGGAATGTGGGATAAGACATGAGGTCGGAGGATCGGATGAACGCGTTACCGTAGTAGCCGACAGAGCGAATACCTGTAGTTGAGCGAACACGAAGAACAGCCTCTGTTTCAATCTCCATACTCAAGTGATTGGTGAACTCATTAGCGAACTTTTGAACGTCAGACATGCGGTTGCTCATCCAGCCAGCATATAGGAAGGTCTGACCACCGGTATACTTGGGCAAAGATGACAGCGAAGCGACATCCTGATACTGGGCGCCAAACAAGAACATATCGACGGAGACCTGCGACCTGTTGCAGTCAACTGCAAACGACTTGTAGAAGGAATGTCCGGGTTGGAAAAGAGAAGTCTCCTTCGCAGTGCCTAGTAGCTTGCGGTCGTCGCGAACGTCGAGCTTGGCGATTCCCACAGTAGGCATAGAAGCTGAAATAACAATAATTTTACCGCCCACATTAGCGAGCAACTTGTGAGCAACTTGAAGAGCCGAGCCAATTGCGCAGCTTGACTGCACGGTGTTGGCGTAGATTGATCCAAGCTGATCGAGAAGGCGATCAATACCAGCGCGACTCTCTTTGAGATTGACAAGCAACCCGTCAGGACGAGGCAGGAAAGGATCATCCAGATCACTTACTACAATAAGGTTGGGCTCGACCTCCTCTTCGTCTTCACCTTCGTTTTGGGAGGGCAAAGGAACGTGGAAGAAATTGAGCGAGCCATCGACAGCGATAAAGGACACGCGTGTACGGTCATCAGAATTGGGGATACGGTCTAGCGCATCTTTAATGACCCGAGCGGCAGTGGCCAGCAGACCGTTTGCAACGGCATTGACGCTGACGTCAATGACAAACACGTAAATAGGCGGCTGAGGAGCCCGGCCAAGGTACTCGGGGGGAGCCACAAAGTCTACGATTCCGTAATTGAGCTCATTGCGCGCATACCTATCTTTGCGGACGTTTGGTTGGGATCCCAATCGAAGCGGGAGGGAACGTCGTTCAAAAGTTGACAAATGTTGCATCGCCAGCGGGTTCCGTCTTCGTATAAGTCAACAAACGGGTTGATATATGTACGGCAACGGCGACAACGAGTGACGACCGCGTCTTCAACAACAGGAATGTTCTCATTAACGTCGAGCAGAGCAGCAGAGGGCCGGATCACAAGGGCGAAAGGAAGTTTACTCTTGTTCAACAGACCCTTGGTATTGGGAACAGCGTTCAAGGTGCACCGCATGTACTCAGGTGAAGCGTTGGCCTCATCTTTGTTGCCAGAAATGCCCAGGTTTTGCGGCAAGACCAACGGAGGAGGGTCGAGGTCCAGCTCGGAGATGGGAGGCGGCAGCGACTTCATCAAATCAACAGTATAGAGTTCGTTCAATGGCAGCTGCATACCAGCAGTCATATTGTTACCACGCACATTGGCAGGAACCGTGTTGGCCCCGGGGTACGCACCGCCAGCGTGCGCGCCCATACTACCAATCGCAGGCGACGGCGGCATCGCGCCGGTACTATATTGGTACCCGTAGGCATCGGGCGCCGGAACAGGCGGCTGACCAGGAAGCGGCGCGGCAGGGGCGCCCGTATAGCCAGCACCGGCCATCTGCAAATTCCCCATGGCAGCGGTCGCGCCATTCACGTCCGGGTAGCCACCATATCCGGGCTGCTGACCAGGAGCTCCCCCAGGTGCTCCACCAGCCGCCTGTGCCGCATTAAAATCGTACTGTTGCGTAGGATATTGACGCCGTCTACTATGAGGTGCGTGCGAGTCCATGATGCCACGATGACAAACTCGCTCGGTGGTTAATAAATCGCGAGGGCGAGACGTGGGAGGATGCTGAATGTTGGTTTAGACATATAAAAGAGAAATAGGAAGGGGGATTAGAAAGCTAGAGTGAGATTAGTGGGGCGGTGCCACATTTAGAGTTTTGGGTAGCGTTAAATGTCCAGAGCGAGCGAGATTTGCCGTTTGTCATGAAACGCTCATCAGGATCACTGCCCGATGGCATCAACTTCGTCAACGTATGGGACAACGCAATGATCAGTGCGCGAATGGTCATTGTGCATGGTCAGGTGCGCAATTCTCCAGAGGGTCCCGGATCTGTGGTGGTATATTTTCCGGACTTTCCGGCTCAGCGGTTTCCCAGTATGCATGGCTACTTTAAAGCGCTCGTTCATCTTGAAAAGGGCGAGAACATCTTGAAGTTTGAAGCCGAGGGCCCCAATGGTCACAGATCTACGGATACGTTGCGTTTGCGCTATCAACCGATCGAACGAAACCCGCCCGTGCACTTTTGTTTGCTTGTGGCCAAAGATTCACCGCTGACCTTTGATGCGCCTGAATACAAGATCAAAACAGAGGGTAATAGCATTGACACCGCGGTTCGAAAGCTCAGATTGGCCTCTTACATGATGTCTGCCTTCACGATGGAGCAGATGAATCGAAACGATATGGGGCTGCGTACTTTTCGGCCCTACGAGGAGAATGAGCCGGATACGGTGTCCAACCGGGACCGAAATGATAAGCGTATGACCACGCATATCCACATTGTGCGTATGGACAAGACTCTCGCCGACATTCGCCATCCCGATGTGGCTCAGCAGAACTCCAAGGCGACGCGAGCCAATGATCTGTTCAGCTGGGCAGGAGATGCGCTCAAAAAGTACGGGGGTCCCTTTTCTGCCAATTTCTCCCAGGCAGCTTGTATCTACCTCGATACTCACTGGGATCCGAGCCGTCAACTTGTGCTTGGCCATGCAGCGCTAGGAGGCAACGTCAACAATATTCAATTGGCGATCTTCGGTGGTCATACACTCAACGCGTGGCCAACATGCATCGAGGATATCCCGCGAGCCTTTTTAGATGAGACCCGCACAGATACCCGGGTCATTGCAAACGACGCCAACCAGAGCGGCTCAGCCTGGGAAGCCTGCAATATTGGCCAGGGTGCGTTCATGCATGAAATCGGCCATCTACTGGGTTGTCCTCACGAACCCAGTGGTGTCATGCTTCGAGGGTATCTCAACTGGAACCGATCTTTCATGGCAATTGAGGGCTTTAATGTGCGTGAGAACCGTAAGCGATTGGAAATCGTCTCGTCTAAAGATGAGGACTACTGGCACCGGCTCGACATTATGCGTTTCAGATTCCATCTCGCATTCGCTCTGCCTGGTGAGCCAAAACAAGAGCGTTGTTCCAAGCCCGCGCTGTTCCCCACAACCAACGGGTTTTCTGCCGCTTGCCCAACTGGCATCTATATGGTAGATATTCATTGCGACGGCACTTCCAGAGGACACATTGAGTTTATGGACTGTCCAACTGAAATTATGCTCACTAACGAAGATCTTGCCCAGGCAATCGAGCCCCAACACCGCCAAAAGCCCTTCGAGATCCATGTGCACGGACGGCACATGGAACAGTCCAACATTAGCAATCTGCAAACTTTTACCCAGAGTGCGAAAGCCGGCAAAGATGTGCGTAGTGGCGTTGCGGGGCGAGAAGCCGGGAATCTTGTTGAGGTGAAGCTTCCATCCAAGCCCCTTTCTCAGGTGACTGTGTTTTCAGGTGACGCTCTTGATGGCATGGAATTCACTTATAGTGATGGCCAATCTGTTTTGTTCGGCAAAAAGGGAGGCTCTCCTCACGTCTACAAAGCCAACGGTGATAGTCTCGTGGGTCTGAGCGTAAGAGCAGGCTACTGGGTCGACGCAGGCGGTGTAGTGCTGTCGGGAGGCCGCACTGCTATCACAGGTGGACCCGGTGGAGGTGTGATAGATTTGATTCCGCCCCGTGGTTATCGTCTGACCGGCGTGTTTGGATACTTTGAGAGCTGGTGTCAAGGAATCGGTGTTTTATATCAACCCTAGGTCGAAGGTATTTCAACTATGTACATTTCTTTTACTGCCATTTCTTTGCATGAGCGACCTTTGCCCGCATTGCATCGGACACAGACGCGGCGCGGCGCTGGCGTAAAACCATGAAGAGCATGGCGGTGGTAATGATGGAGAGACCGAACCATGTCATTATATATTGGAAGTGAGTATTGCGGAATTCAACTTTAGCGGTAGCACCGAGTGGAATTCCCTTCATTGCAGCCATTTCTGGTAGCAGTTCAGATTCTCTATCCTCGAGTTCTTGGAGGTAGACGGGCTGAGAGCCTGTTCTCGCAGCCATCTCAGGAATATCCATAAAGTAGTAGCGGCCGATTTCCGGCTTGGATTCAGGGGTAAACATGTTTTTCTTTGGGGTTTTCCGGATCAAACACTGTACAGTTACCGGCCCCTTGACCAAACTCTCTGGGCGGCTAGATTGCTGCTCGAAAGACTGCTCGATCCAGCCTCTGCACACTAACAACTTTGAGCCGTCCTTACGCACAAGCGGTGTAACAACCAGGAAGCCGTTTCTTCCTTCGTAAAGACGCGGGCCAACCAGCATCTCATGCGCGTGATCAAATTCGCCTGTTGCAGTAACTCGGCGATAATCAAACTCACTGACCACGTCAACGTTGAGATTGTTGGGAAGGGGAAGGGGCGGCAGAGCAAGTTGCGATTCCGCATTGGCAATGAGGTTGTGCTTCCACTGCAGTCGTTTGACCTGCCAGCACCCTAGTCCAAACGAAATAATAGGCATGAGCACAAGCAGTGTCATGAACGAGGACCGCGATCTGGAGCCCTCATCCTTGTACGTCTTGGATTTCATTTGGAGACTGCGAATAGGCGTGAACGGTCGGCGGCCAATTGTGGAGCCAAACCGGCTCGCCAAATTCGCACGGAAACGAAACATGCTTGTTGCTGACAACGCGCAGCCCTGCGGCCGCGAGTGTTTAAAGTAAAGAATATAGATAGTTTACGGTTCAGATAAATACCAACGTCCCGTATCTATACAGTCTGCGACGGTGAATTGCCGCTTTAATTGTCGGGAGATGTCGAGGCCGATTCGCACGGTGTCCATTGTCGTGTCGTGCTCGAGAATCAGCCCTTGGGGCCGTTTGGTTCCTTTGGGAGGGACTGCCATGTTAAAGACCCGCTTTTTACTAGTAGAGCCATTGTTCAGACGCCAATCCTGAGGATCACTGTCCCAAAGCACTGTGATGAGTCCAAACCGGCTGGCAATCTCCCGAACTCTATTGTCAATGCCTCCGTACGGAGGGCGGAAAAACCGGGGTACAACGCCACCCGTAACATTCATAGCAAACATGGACCATTGCAATTGTGCTGCAATCTCCTCGTTGGTTAGAGAGGGAAGGTAAACGTGGCTCCAGGTGTGAGTTCCAAGCAGGTGACCGTCATCGCGAGCGCGTTTGAATATCCCGGGGTATTTTACAACTTGGCGCCCAAGTGTGAAAAATGTAGTTGGCTGCTTCAAATTATCCAACAGATAATCTGTGGCCATTGTTGGCCCGTCGTCGAAGGTTTGTGATAGCCGCGGGCAGGTGGTTACATCAGAGCTTGCAGCGCAGTTATCACAATAAAACGAGCAAGCCTCGATAGGAACACTGAGACAATCATCCATGCCATATATTGGTCCTTCCGGTACGGTATCCAGCTCCAACTGCGGCATCGGTACATACGGGGGAGAGTCACCGGGCCAGTCGTCCAGGCCAGTTAGGTATTCAAGCCATAACGGGAACCGTTGACGTGCGAGCGCTAACCGACACACACTCAACAATAGTATCAGCATGATTTGCATAGTGTGAAGGTAAATCACAAGGACAAACTGGCGGCTACATTATGCGCATGATCCTGGGTCCCAAATAGGAAATGAGAAGAAATTTAAAATCTATGGAGTTACAAGGTCTCTTGCAAACGGGCTCTGATCTTTTCTAGATCATCGCCGTCTTGATCGGAGCCACTGCTGGATCTCTCGTTCTTGGGTTCTTCTTGGTTGTGCTCGCTCGGCTGTTCCTCGTCGTCCTCTTCTATCACGGAGTCATTATAGATGACGCACTTGTTGCGCTCGAGAGTATCTCCAAGAACCATGTCTGCAGTAGCAACCACGGTGTATCGACGTTTTTTATCTGTGAGTTGGTTCTTAATAGTCCCGGCCTCTTTGGGGACATGGTAGAACCAGTTGGAGCGCTCGTTGTATTTATAAAGCTCCCACTCCACACCGTATGGTTTCGGCTCGAGCACGTAAAGTGTATGCAAAGGTACTTCGAGGTCGCCGATGGCATCACGGCCCAAGTTCATGAAATATGCTAAAAGAATGCGAGCGACCACTCGATGGCAAATGACCAAACAGTTGTCCGACATACGCTCAATTTCCACAATGACTGCCCGCAGTCGATTGATAACATCCAGATAAGACTCACCGCCGACACCCGGGTACCGGTATCCAATCTTGTTGGCCATACGAGCTTTGTATTCGTGGGGGAGGTTATCGCGGATTTCTGAATAAGTCATACCGTCGCAAATGCCAGCATCGATCTCATTGAGCATGCGCATTTCCTTCAAATCGAAATCGTTCTCATCAAAGTAGCTCGCTGTTTCTACTGCTCGCTTGAGCATGGATGTCCACACACAGAAATTGACTGGCTCGGGCTCGCTCATGGGGGTTGGCGGCTCGCTTCCGCTTTGTTCGATCAGACGCACAAGTTTGGCATATTCCGCAAGTTGCTGTCTCCGGAACTCCTTCTTCTTGTACTCCATGAACTTGGCCAGGGCCTTGCTATACCGGTCACCTCGTTCGGTGAGCGAAGCGTCACCACCGATACGACCCTTTTCGTTGTCGGTGGATTCACCGTGGCGGGTGATCCAGATCTGACGCATATCCAGATTGAAATTGAGCAAAAAGAACACCGTCTGGCCGGCCAAAAAGCCCTTGATGTTGCCGCACTCGAGCTTCTGACCGACGTTGATCATCTTGACATACTGGAAATCCGGATCGCTTTCTTCCTCGGGGCCAATCGTTTCATATACTTTTTCGTAGTTGTGAAGACGATTCAAAAAGTCTTTGAGAGCCTTTTGCTTATCCATGTTGCGGTAGTCGGGGCCAGAAAGCTTCAGGTTGACGTTGTTCTCAATGATCTCTGATCGGTTGCAGATGCTCTCCAGGAACAAAACTTTGAGTTGGTTGTCTGAGCGTTCACGTATTCTGTTCATAACCGCTTGTCTACGTGCGACGGTCGTGTTTGTGGCATCCAGAATCCCCACCGAACCCTCACCTTCGAGGACGTAATCTAGCAGCTCGTTCAAAGTTTCGTAGGCCCATTGTTCGCGCATTTGGAAACTCTTGGGATTGTCTGGAGAGAAAAAGTCGGCATTGTGTGTAGTATCGTTCTCGTGCGAGGGCGTAGAGGCCAAGTTCTGCTGGCATGCAGGCAGGTCCGGAAGAGGCCGATCTGAGGGGCCGGCATGCTGATCGGCCTTGCGGCGAGTGTTGCCGACGTTGAAAATCCTGCAGTTGTGCTGTTGCCAGTTCAGGAACCGGCATAGTTTCTTGGTAACGTAGGACTTGCCGCGAGCCGGCAGACCCACCATTACAATAACAAGCTTTGATCCGATGTCCAAGGAGGAGATTTCACCATTCGGCGAGACTTTCGATCGGGTTAAGCCAGGAACGTCAAGGGTAGTTGCGCGCGAACGGCTGCTGGGTCCACCCATGTTGTTGATGGACACCGTTGAGGCCGCCCTCGAGGTTGGCGAGAGCATGGGGGACTCGGCGCTCTGGGGATCCGGCGGGGCGCTCCCACCAGGGGATCCGCCGGCCATACCACGGGCCTGAGCCGAAGAGGTTGTTGAAAGGGTGTTGAACTCCTCGAGTTTCGACTGTCGTCTTCTTCTTTTCTTCTCGTCCATACGAGAAAGACTTTGTGTTATCAGGGTTGATCTCGGATTAGGTAACTAGCGGGACGACTGTGCAGAACTTATAGCTGAGATAAGGGAACTAATGCAGTTTTTTAGGGCGGTTTTTCTCTATAAATTTTAGATCAGGCGGTCCGATAAGTGAAGTGGAGCCGCAATCGTTGGCATGCCATGAGCAGGCATGTACTGGTTTTTATTCCCTCTTTTTTGTTTAGGTTGAGTCGTACAGGGCTCGTATCTTGCTACTTTTTGGGTTGGTTGGGTTGCCACCAGTGAATCAGGTAGGTAGAGAGGGTCCCATGCGGGTTGATGTCGGGCTGCACGAGGTCACTAAGGCGAAATAATTGGACCAGAGTGGAGACGAAATATTTATTTAGTTTTAGTAAACCAGAGCACTAGCTGGCCGGCCGCACCGTTTTGGCTTTTGCGCTTTATCTGGCCGGCCCAGCTTGGGCCTGGGCCTGTACCTTCAACCGTTGGGAAAACTGCATTGTAACTATTAATAAGTTCGCTTAGTACCTCCTGGTGTTTACACTGCAGTCTTTGATCCACCTGACCACGCTGGGCGGTGTCTAATTGTGAGAACGGGATTTATTTATACTTGAAAAAATGGCTATGTTTCAGGAGAACTTGAGCAGCCACTCTCTACTGCCGCACCCCGCATCCAAAATCATGCTGGTGCCTCGGAAGCCTGTGGGGTTTTCCTCACAGCCCTTGAGACAGCAGCCCAAAATCGACGGACCCACAGTGCGGGCTGGTTCCGGGAAAAGGCACATAAACATAAAAAGACGCCCCGTGGGCGCTGGGTTCCCCCAGTGGTTCCACGACAAGATCAAGCTGCCGACGTCTGCGACGTTCCCGGAGTCCCTGGCCATTCTGAGCAGGTTCGACGAGCCTCGGCCATTAAGGCGAGAAATTAGCGTACCTCGTGTTCCTGTGCCCAAACGACAAGCTCTTCTGGAGCGGTGGTCGTTTGAAACATTCGAACCAAGTCTGTCGGGCCTAACTAGCAGCTCGACGGAATGTGTTTAAAGTACATATATTTATTGCCAACCGATTGGGTTGCGCTGACTCTCTCTGTGGCTTGGTTGCATCTGCTTGTTTATTGGCCAAGGAACGCCTGGTTGCTTGTTTTCCAGGACACATGCTGCAAAATCCCTCAGGTAGGGCTACTGCATCAATCCGCTGCCATACTGGCAGCCAGTTATTATTTGCTTACACACGTCATACTACTCGATAAACCGAATCACCACCAGAGGGCCTGGCAGCCTTTAAATCCGATCACGTGACGCTCGCCGGGGTTGACCAACCTGATCTGCACAAGATCAGAGACAGCCAGTGCGATATAGAGCGGATGCCCACAATCGAAACATGGTGCTAAGTACTTCACGTTCTTCACGCAGGGGTCGAGCGGCTGTTATTTTTTGTTTATTGGCGTGCTGTAGTTGATCAAAGCCCTTGCACAAAAAACCCCTCTCTGCATATTCAAGGTAATTTAGTAATGCGCATCTTCAGTGCACCCAGCTATCTGCTTTGTCTGATGAAGCTGCAGAGTGATGTGAGCTACCGGCCGGGCGAAAACACGGCCCCCAGTGGAGAATCTTGAACATACTTGGGCGGAAAAAGGAGCGATGGCCGAATGAGTTACATTCTACGTATGCCCCATAAATAAACTGAATGTTTTCTTCACTAGGACCTGTTTGCTCGAAGCTTTTGCACTCAGCCTAAGGTCATGCTCTGCGACGGTTAGGATCGTCAGCCTGCATACTTTCAATTTTTGGCCTCAGCACCCCTCAGCCAGATTTGCTACCCTAGGCCCCGTCCAGAGGGATCCGAGGAGCCCGGTTGCCAGATAAACTCAGGCGGGTATTACGGCAACTCAAAATTTAGATACAGTGGAGCAAGTAACTCTATCAACCAAACTAAAAAAATTTAAAATCTTCTATTGGCCAACCTTCACCGCGACCCAAATTCTGTATTTTTTTTTGGAGGGTTTGCTGTTTCTAATGGCCCATTCATGCATGACCTATCTTCATGCATAGGTCTTGGGGCGTTGGCTGCACCTATCTCGGCAAGGCGTGAAACAGTGTGGCAGAGATCTCAAACAATGGCCAGTGCTCTTGGCTAGATTCGATACCGCACAGCAGAAACAATTCTTCAAATCGAAGCTGGACGCCACAAATAGCAAGAGTTCACTTGGTATTTCACCTTGCCGAGAACCAGTCGCTGCCAACTTGCGACAGTTTTGCCAACCGCAGGAGAATGCAGGTCACCACGTTGTTGGCATGCCGACAAAAGATCGCCCTGGATGAGTTTTTTGTAGGACTTGTGATTATACTGGTGGAGATCGTCCAGCAAAACGTTCAAGCCGGCTGCTCAAGGAAATTATCTGCTCTAGAGCTATATTCTCATAGAATGTTTTGGCCCTGCTTCGAATTCCAAGCAACAACTTGCACTTTTGATGCTGCTGTGAAGCAGGGTATAGCAGGTGTTAACTGCAAGGGTCACCATCCCGCAGGTGCATTTGCAGCTGCGAGACAATGCCCCGTAACCCGACGCAGAGAGGTTAATCACTTATATAGACCAAGAGCAGAAAAGTCGATACGCCACAGAAAAGTCGAACAAGTCAAGCTTTACTGCTTCGCCACACTGCTAGCCCGGCTGCCCCCCAGGACATCTTCCTCAACGTCGCCTGACTATATTCCTACATTTCTCTTCGTCCCAGAAAAAAAATGGCCTTTGCAAAACGTTCTATAGACAAGGTGTCGAAATCGCCAGTAGTCGCGCCTAATTTTGACAAATCCCTTTACAACAGGTGTTACAACTTTGCCAGTCTCACGTGCCTCCTTTGTTACAACCCCAGCAACTTGATAGCGGGGCCGGATGGCCGGCCCCTCTGCCCGTCTGAGGCTATTTATGAGTTGGCGCGGGAGTCTGCCCCTAAGCCTGCGTTTCTGTCATATACCATTCGACTGATCTCGCACTCTAAGGTCTCTCCACATACCCTTACGCTGGCATTACACTACATCTATCGTTTCCGTACTTTGCACGGCAAACTCGACAACTATCACACCGGATCGGAGTACATTCTTCTCGTCACCGCGCTGATGATCGCCAACAAGCTGCACGAGGATGTTAGTTATACAACGCGGTCTTGGGCCACGATGTCCCAGATCCCTGCTGCAGAACTTACTCGTGCTGAAAAAACTTTCCTCTGTGTGCTAGACTACGACCTTGTTATGTCCAAACATAAATGGAACCTGTGGCAGTACGACTTGACTGCGCTTCTCCGCCTTCATGGCCAGTTCCGTACCCTGGCCTCACGCTCGAATCTGCACAGCTTGCCACCCCAGATGCATCTCGGCATTGCTGCATCCCCCATGGCTTGTGTGGCTAAGTAATCACATCCCAAGTGGCTGAAAAAATTATTGAAGCACGCGGCCTGCATATTTTTACTCTGAGTGGTCGGAGCTCCATCTCGCCGCCACAATTCTAAGCGTCATCGGGGGGCTACTTGAAAAAAAAAAAAAAAAGGGCACGGAATTTTCTGGTTTCTCAAATCGTGTATTCTACTTGTTCTTCGTTTGCATTCTTCAACACTTACTCCTCCATAGTTCCGTATCTGAACTCTTATTTATTCTCCCTCACAACTTCCTGCATATGTCCCCCAGTGAGATCGGTTTGAGCGTGTGGGGGCACCGCAGCCACTCAATTTGAGAGCAATCGGAACCATTAGGTTTATTGCGGCCTGCTGCGTTTCTTTGTATTTTGGCGGCCCATGCTTTTCCACCCTTTTCCCCCACTATAGCTCCCCACGACAATCGCGAAACCCAAACATCGGCAGCTGCTTGCACCCCAGGTCTGTGACAGGACCAACGCCTGTCTGACTGGACAGACCCAGCAGGCAGTGAGTGACCGTAGCGTCCCAGCTGGGTTAGTAACACGGCCGAATCCCACGTGAGCGCTTCCCAACGATAGCATTGTTGGAAAATTGTTGTTCGCTGGAATATGGCGTCGGAGAGATTCAAGGGCAGACTTGTGCATGTGGTCACGTCCACACAGGTAATTGATGGAACAGTAGCAGATGTCGGAGATGGCGTTTTGCATCTGGTGAACGTGGTATGCAACCAGGCCTTTGTTGACTCTCTGACCGTGCCGGCTAGTGAAATCAACGAACTAGAGGTCCTGCCTAGAACCGGACCTACTGTGCCTGCTGTGCCTGCTGTGCAGGCTACCAAGCCGTCCGCGGCGCTGGCGCCCAGTGAGCCTCGACGTGCGAAGCCGCCAGCGCGCAAAGGTCAATCTCTTCATGCGCCCTTGGACCAGACCGTGACCAAAGAGTTTGATTTTGCCGGAAACTTGGCTCTTTTCGATAAAAAAAAGGTGTTTGACGAGATCCGCCAGAACGACACCGTAGATCAAAACCAACGCCTGGTTGCGCATAACCGTGCATCTAACAACTATGCTCATAATGAGATGGTTCTACAGCCGGATAAACCAAAGACGGCTGCCAAAAATGCGAGCGTGGACGGGCTGCTCTCCCCGTTCGGTCCTGTTCCTTTGGCATCACCGCTGCAGCTTGTCCAGCTCGAGCAGCGGTTCTTGGAAGAGGGACGCTCCGCAGATGCACTGGTTGAGCTCGCGGCGAGGGGAGTATGTGAAGTGGCGATCAAGGCATTGGGCGTTTCGAGGTTCCATCCAACAAACCATAACTCTATGCCTTTCGTGGTCGTGGTCGCCGGTCCGAATCGCAGTGGGCTGAGAGCGTTGGCTGCTGGTAGACTCTTGGCTGCCAGACGAGTCCAGGTTCTTCTGTTGATAGTCGGTACCCCTCCTGACTCGTGGAAGAATCAGCTGAGAGCCTTCGCAGCGTCGGGAGCCAGCACGGTTGCGTCGAAATCAGACCTCGAAAGGACTGTTAAAAATAACCCTGCACCCCCCGAATTAATTATAGACGGCTTGCAAGGTTTTGAGGTCTCGTTAGCTGACCTGTACGATAGAGCTGATCTGGAATTGGCGCAGTGGGTGGTGGACTGGGCCAACGGACAGAGGGCACCAATACTCGCCGTGGATGTTCCCAGCGGCGATAAGGTGCAAATGGACGCCAGGTGGATTGCCTGCTGCGGGTTCCCTGTGCACGCAGTAGCCTACACCTCTGCCAAAAAGTTCGTCGTGGACTTGGGGGTTGCCCCCGCAGCCTTGAATGCAGCAGGCATGCGGCGGTTCGAGAACGTCTGGTTCGGTGCACAAACAGTAATGCCAGTCGACACCCCGTAATCTAGGAGAAGTTTCGTATTTTGCTTAGGTTTTTGACAAAGTGCATGCCTGCAGTTTTTTAGCCGCTCCCCCGTAGCCACTGCGATTACCCCTGCAGGCTGAAAACCCACTTATCACCAAACGGGAAGCGTACCCACCTGCTCACCACACCTTTCTGCTTAGTCATATATGGGCATGTCGTGCTGCTGCTTCCCCTGGTCTTGCGGTGACCGGTCAGAGAACGGCGTGTACGCGCCAGTGCTAGGCGAGAATGAACGTCAAGCGGTCGAAGTCCTGCTTCAATATCTGGACAATCGCGAGGAGTCTGACCTGCTCTCAGAGGGCGCCTTGGACGCGCTGACCACTCTGGTCAACAGTGATAATATGGACCTCCAACGGTCTGCGGCGCTGGCGTTTGCGGAAATAACAGAGAAATACATTGCAAGTGTGAGCGGTAAAGTGCTCGAGCCCATTCTGGTCCTGCTGCAGTCCCCCGATGCTGAGATCCAGCGCGCCGCTGGAGCCGCTCTGGGCAACCTGGCGGTTAACAATGAAAACAAAAAGCTGATCGTTGAGATGGGTGGCCTGGGTCCGCTCATGAAGCAGATGATGTCGCCCAATGTCGAGGTCCAGTGCAATGCGGTTGGTTGTATGACGAACTTGGCCACTCTAGAGGAGAACAAGGCGAAAATCGCCCGCTCCGGCGCCCTGTTGCCACTCACAAAGCTAGCAAAGTCCAAGGACATGCGGGTCCAGCGCAATGCCACCGGTGCTCTGTTGAACATGACCCACTCCAACGAAAACCGCCGCGAGCTCGTGAATGCTGACGCCATCCCCGTATTGGTCTCTTTGCTCTCGAGCACGGACCCAGACGTGCAGTACTACTGCACCACTGCCCTTTCTAATATCGCAGTTGAGGCGGAGAACCGCCAGAGACTCGCTCAGACCGAGCCACACCTTGTGCACCACCTTGTTCATCTCATGGGCTCGTCTTCCCCCCGAATCCAGTGCCAGGCGGCGCTGGCTCTCCGCAACCTTGCTTCCGATGTAAATTATCAGGTGGAGATTGTACGGGCTAATGGCTTGCCCTTGCTGCTTAATCTATTGCAATGTTCTCATACCCATCTTGTTTTGGCCGCAGTCGCATGTATCCGTAATGTGAGCATCCATCCTCTCAACGAAGCGGCCATTGTTGACGCAGGCTTCTTAGGTCCGCTTGTTGATCTACTTAGCCAGACCGAAAACGAGGAAATTTTATGTCATGCCGTATCGTCTCTGCGTAATTTGGCGGCGTCCAGCGAGAAAACGAAGCTCAACATTGTTGAAACCGGCGCTGTACAGAAATGTATTGATCTCGTAGGCCGGGTGCCAGCGAGCGTTCAAAGCGAAATTACAGCTTGTATTGCAGTTCTTGCTCTTGGCGATGAGCTCAAGGGAACCATGCTTTCCCTGGGCATCGTCAAGGTGCTCGTGCCGCTTACTATGGTAGACAATGTCGAGGTGCAGGGCAACTCGGCTGCCGCTTTGGGCAACTTGTCTTCAAAGGTTTCAGACTACGATCCGTTTGTCGAGGCTTGGGACGAGCCAAATGGAGGCATTTACCACTTTTTGGTAAACTTTTTGTCCTCCAAAGAACCAACGTTCGAGCACATCGCTGTATGGATGATTCTGCAGCTACTAGAGTCAGAAGACCCCAGACTCCTCAAGGCCATTGCTGCTGCCCCCGAGCTAACCCACCGCGTAGAGGCCCTGGCGACGCAGGATGTCGATGTCGCGGGTGACGGTGCCGATAAATCGTATACTTCGCAGATGGCCGTGCCAGCGCTGGCCCGCAGAGTAGTAGAACTGCTCCGTGAGTCCTGAATTGTTTCTCCTCGTCGACTCCTCCGCCCTTACTCTATCTATTATCGTCTGGTCTAAATATATAATTATCATAGTGTCGACTCCAGTGTCTTTTGTCATCATGGACAAACTCGAGAGCCTGCAGGCCGAAGTGGAGTCAGATCCGAGTGAGGCGAATTTCGAGGCCTTGTTGACAACGTACCCGTTGTTATTTGGGTACTGGATCAAGTACCTTGAGAAATTTCCGGGCGAGATCCTGTGGAAACGTGCTTTAGATCAGTGTCCGAGTATAGAGCTGTGGACAGCGTTTTTGGACCGTGAGATGGCCAGTTTAGAGGACTGTAAGCTTGCGGCAGACTCTGTCGGACTGTTTTTCCAGTCTCACCCCATCTGGGACCGCTACCTTGCCAAACTGCAAGGTGTCGAGCGGGCAAAAGTTTTAAGTTATTTGATCACTCTGCCGCTGTACGAGTACTCCAAGTACTCGCAGCTAGCCATCGAGTCACAAAATGAGTATCCTGGGGAGTTTGGTGATATAGCCGAAATACTGAAGCAAACCTCGCAGCTGGTAAACGACAAGTGGGCGTTTGAGTCGCAACTATCCCGACACTACTTTCACGTTATTGATCTCGAGGAATCAGAAAAAAAAGTTTGGGACGAGTATCTCGACTACCAAGAAAGCCTGGGCAACCACGCACAGACGGCTGCTCTCTACGAGCGCTGCTTGGTACCTTGTGCTTTGTACAAAGGGTTCTGGATGCGGTACATTCGCTGGCTGAGTGCCGCCATGCCAGACAAGGTAGACAGCGCGTTCGAGCGCGGCCAACTTTACCTGGACCCCACAGAGCTCGAACAATGGGCCATTGAACGTGCCCGGTATCGCCAAGGTCTGGGTTTCCCCGGAGCTCAAGAGATCCTCGCCCCGTTCACTAGTCGGACGGTTCAGGAAGTGCAGCGTCAATTGGCGGATCAAGCAGCAGGTTCTGTGTCGACGGTCAAGCGACAAAGTTTGCAGTCTCTTCGCGACAACGGTGATCTCGTGGCATTTTTCAATGCAGACATTGCCCAAAACGGCTGTGCCGAAGCTAGAGCACTTGTGAAGGCTGAGCCTTTGGTATAAATTACATAGTTCCTACAACTGTTAGATTGGTAGGCAGCGGCATATCGCTTAGTCGAATATTTCCAAACGCGAGCACGAGTTTGAGGGACCTGCTGGTGGCGAGTTTGTAAATGTGCTGAGGTTCGACTGAGCCGACGAAACCAACGTCCAGTTTAGTGAGATTCGGAAGCGATGCAAATGAATTGATGGATTTCCCACTGAGCAATCGCAACGAATTGACATTGAGGTCGACTAGAGTTGTCCGCGAATGCTTGAGAAATGCTTCAATGACTTTGTCCCCTAGGGCAATACACCGTTGCAAAGAGAGGGTCTGCAGGCCCGGAGTCGACCGCTCTGACCAGCTCTCAAACATGTTGGTAACCGCCTCTTCGGTGACTGCAGACAGATTGATAAGTTCGAGACTGGTGAGGCTACCACATGTTGCAGCCACAGCGTCGATAAACTTGTCGGTGAGATTCGCAGTCGAGACAGTTAGCGACTCAAGCTGAGAACCAACCATGTTGAGGGTATTAAGCATACAATTGTCATCCAGGGCTTCAGGCTCGAGTTCTATGAGCTCCAGATGTTTCAGCTGGGCCAGGTTTCCTAATAAATAGAATGGTGTAGTATCGCAAAGCTGGCTGAGGCGAACCAGAGTCAGACTCTCTAAACTTGAACACATCTCCACGAGCATTGCCAGAACCTCAACATCAACACGATACACGGACTTTATCGTCAGTTTCTTCAGCTGAGAGCCGATGGTTTCAAAAAACTCAATCCAGGCTTCTTTGCGGATAAGGAAGGCGCCATCGAGGACAATTTCCTCAAGACTCTGTAGCTCGGAGATCCGCTTCAAATTCTCGTTGTTAAGCTGCCCACACATTCCAAGAACTAGCCGTTTCAGATTGGGACAGAGGGCGGGTATCAGGTTGAAAGACTCACAGGGCAGCTCGGAGCAGTCCCACAACTCCAGCGTCGTTGCTTCTGGGCGGAAAAACAACTGGCAAGTACGAGCTGTCAGCTTTCTGTTACGGCTAAGAATAGCCGAGATTTTGATAAAGTTCTGCGACGATAAATCACCCAATTCGTCTACGTCGTCGATGTAGTCGGCTACGCAGGAAATACAGAGATCTTGCAGCGAAGGCACGGCCCGGTTCTGCTGTTCGAGCAGCGACTCTGCCGTCTTCTTGCGCTTCTTCCGAGCAGCCGCAGTGGCTGTCTTTTTCGGCTTTGCGGGCTTACTCCTGGCCGCACACGACAGACAGGCGAACCCGTCATCGACCTGTTTCGAGTACACTGTGATGGTGAACCTGCTACCGCAGTACACGCATTTTGTAGTTCCTTCTTGTTCATAATCCTCGGCGTCTGCTCGAGACTTTCGCGCGGCCGCTAGGGCAATCGCTTCGACCTCGGGATCAGCCCCGCCATCCAAAGTGGCAACTGCCTCTGGGCGGTTCTCAGACCCATCCTCGGTCCGTGGGTCCACGCCGCGCTGTCTCCTTTCCCACCGGTCTCTGATTTCTCCTGCATTGATCCCCTGTGACCGCAGGAACTCTGTCAAAGCCGAGTTCGGGCCTCGAACACTGCTCATTCAGAATATCGAAAGTTACTCAGCGAGCGGCTGCAGGTAAATTGAAGAAAACTCCTGGAGGAACGGGAAACCACCGAGGCAATAAAAAACCTACAAGAGAAACTATTCTAGTCGGACATTAAGTTTGCGATTGACACTCTGCGGGAGCGATCCGACGGGTCTGGTGGGCCGCTGCTGAAAGGCGGAGCAAGTAACGGCGCCTTGCCCGAGCCAGCAGGCGGAGGCGGAGTGTCCAGATGGTCTGCAGCAGGCAGGGCCGAGCTACTGCGCGGCGAAGCTTGGCGCATTTCCGGTACTGCTGAGTGACGTCTGGACGAGTCGGGAGGCGCCCAGCTGGTGCTAGGCTTCCGCTGGAACTCGGACGAGTGGAGCACGCTCGAGCGTCGCGAGTCCGGGGTGGATGGCCGTGATGATAACTCAAACGATCTCCTAGAGAGCTCTTCCAGGCTGTTGCGGCGATAGGGCGAGTGGTCCACGGACAAGCGGTGTCTCATCGCGTGTGAGGTGCCCATCAACGACATTGGGCCCGGAAGAATCTGAGCAGGTTTTGTCACTGTCACGGCTGGCGAATGATGCTGAGGGTCAGTCTCTTGTGCAGATTCGGCATAGCTGGCTTTGAAAAGCGATCCGAAAGGCTGCTTTTGCTGCGCATCGCTTCCGAGTGCGCTTTCAAGGGCCCTCTGTTCGGGCGGGACTTGAGTAGGGCTGAGGGCGTCAGATATTCGCCTCACTGGGGAGGTCTGAACCACCTGGGATCCCGGACTCAGTTCAGACTGAGATGCCTGAGGTTGCCCAGGGGGCTGTACTTGTGCCTGGGCTGGTTGAGGCGTGTGAGCAAGCTTGGTCAACGGGGGCACGGCGGCAGGTGAGGTGCCAACTTGGGCCTGGCTTTGGCTCAGCATTCCTGCTGGCATTTGTACTTGAGCCGCCTGGGGCTGCATTGGCATCATTAATTGCGAAGAGTACCCAGGCATTGTCATATAAATAGGGCCAGCTCCCGCCTGCTGGCGAGCCACGTTCTCGGGATTAAAATACTGTCCAGCTGCCACCATGTATTGTTGTTGCTGGGGTTGTTGCTGAGACACTTGATAAAATTGACTTCCAGGTACAAATCCCGTAGAAGCATGTTGGCCAGGGACTTGATAATACTGATATCCTGGGTTTGTGTATCCGTAGTTCATTTGCATAGGGTACAACGAAGGAACAGCAGGAGCGTGAGGCTGTAAATACTGCTGCTGCTGCTGCGGTAGCTGTGGTTGATGCTGCTGTTGCGGCTGCTGTGGCTGCGGCTGCGGCTGCGGCTGCTGGTCGTTATTATTTGGAATGGAGGATTGGTCGGCGCTCCTAGCTTCACCATTCCCGGGAGGAGCTGCCAACTGAGAATTGAGTTCAAGTCGCCGCCGATTCGCTCCTGCGTTCCACCAGTTCTTGATAGTATTGTCTGAGCGGCCCTGTAAATGACGCGCAATAGCTGCCCACCGCTTTCCGTAAATGCCTACCAGTCGGGTAATCTCTTTGCCCTCCTCTTCAGTGATAGGACGGTGGTTCAGGCTTGGTTTAAGGTTTTGATGATAACGTTCACGACACTGTTTTGAAGTTCGGGTCCCCAAGAGCTTTGCGATTTTGACCCAGCGCAAGCTGCGGTTTTGCTGCACCAGCTCTAGAAGCCTCTGATCTTCCTCGGCAGACCAAGGGCCGCGTTTTAATTTTGGGGGCTCCTCCTCTTCTTCATCCTCAGCTGTTGCTGCCAGTTCGGCAGGAGCCGGCGCGCTGGACGGATCTTGTTGCTTTTGTTCCTGCGGAACTCCGGCCGGTTCCACAGGACTCGAATGGGGCGAATCCCCATGTGAATGTACTGGCGCCACTCCGGAAGGAAGCTTTTCCTCGGCCGGCACTATTGCGGCCGAAAACGCTTTTTGGGGTGCAAGCACGGTCAATGTTTAGCCTTGAATGGGGGTTAGAACGTCTCGAAAGAGGAACTACCTTGGCCGAGATAGAGCGGCTGTAATTGGTTCCAAGATGCAAGTAAAAGTATCCACGGGCTTCTTAACCAGAGGAGACAAAATGCACTATTATAAGACGTTTTCGTCTTGCGACGCAGAAATGGGAGATTGTCCTAAAGGAAAAATCCTGGTCGAGCTCGCAACCAAAATTGGAAGTTCGCTCTGTGTGGTTAGGGTTAACGCACAGCGCTTGGGACTTCGACCGTTGCTGCAACCGCACAACGCCAGGCCGTAGCTTGTAAATCGTCCCCCCTCCATTGTGTTGGCAAGGCGAGATCGATGGATCAACTAATCGCGGCCGGAACCGAACACGAATTCGTGTAGGGTAATTTACGATATTCATTTTAGTGCGTTGGAAATTGAACGTTTCCGAATCCGCTGCCATTTTTTTACTTGATTTTATATCGCGCTAATCTTTCGGCTATAGCTCGCACGGTATTGGCTGCAACAGAGGCGCCGTTGGGCCTGTCGTTTTTACTGGCCGCCGCGTTTTTTTTTACTGGAGTTGGGAGCTATACTTGCAGTGGTATCGCAAGGGTAAGGCACAGTATGCATAGTCGAAAGTGCAAAGCTAACCACATATTGTTTTGAAACAGTGGCGTAGCCACCGCCTCGGTTCGTAATACTCGTGCGAAATCAGGCCGGTATTAGAGACCGTCTGAGCCCAAGCACCACTATGTATTGTAGACTGGTGGTCACGATCCACGCACACTAGAGCCGACGCAAGACGCTATAGCAGGCCCCAGGTGTTGTCCTGCGGGTACCAGCACCTCCTGCTATGTAATCATGTCAATATTCTTCGGAAGCCAGGTGTTTCAGCAGAGAAAAGGCTTGGTATACAAATTTACATTTCACATATTACTAGCTGCGAGTACTCAACTTCTGCGCCGTTTTTTTTTTCTTTCAGTGTTTCATAGGGTTCCTGGTAGATGTACGAGTCAAGCAAACATTTGATGCTGCCAAGAACTATCAAAATCCATCACTAAGGGAAAACAAAAAGGGGGTGGACCTCATGTTTTAATGGAAACCTGGAGCGATCTCATCGAAAGTTTCAGGCACAGACGGTAAGAAGAACAAGATATTTATCGCCCTCCCCAAGTAAGGATGTTAATCTTCATATTTTAAACCATCCCTTTTACGCACACATGCAGTTTTAAGTAGGGTTGCCAAAAAAATTTTAGCTTAAACGTTGCCCGCCGCAAACGCGCCCTGTAGATGTTTGCCTGCAGCTACCTGCAGCATTGTGGCCATCCATCAAAGTCTGGAGCCGTCCTGCCTGCCAAAAGGACGCACGGGTTGCCATCCCGAACGGCGACGAAACGGTTTTTCATGAATGTGTACGAGAGGTCAGTTTGACGCAAATTGTCGTTTTTTTTAATATTGGTTAGAACTATCCCGAGATATTCGCTCAGTGCGGAATCTCCTAATTACTAGTATCATCTTCAGCACTATATGCAACGCTTCACTAGCCTGCGCACGGAGAAGCAGGCACATACTGACCAAAAAAGCCTGAGCACTCATGTGGCTTGGCCGGTGGTCGTCACTTTGTGTACCGGAACCTTGGGTTTTGCGTTCTGTTTATGTATGCAACGGGAGTTCCATGCTTCTCCCAGGAGATGTCTCCACATCGCACACGCAGTCTGGTCTGCTTACTGCATGCACATAGCGACACATATTGCTTCCTGTCCCTAAGGCGAATTCAAGTGCGCCCCAGCACTGGCATTAGGATAGATTCAGCGCAGACTCGCTGGCGTATGTCTTGGAAACCTTTTTTTTTTCAGCCATCGCACAGCCCAGCTCCATTGTCCCCGTGCTCTGTCTTCCGACCTTCACTACACAGTTCTTTGTCATGATCAAAGCAGTGGTTTTGGACATTGAAGGCACTGTCTGTCCCATTTCGTTTGTGAAGGACGTATTATACCCGTATGCGCTCAAAAAAGCCATATACGTCGTCAAGACCGTCGAGTTTCCTCCAGTTCCTTCTAAAGGCGAGCTGGAAGCCCACCTGGCTGAATTTCCTGAGGTGTATTGCAGGTCTCCCAACGCTCTTTTGGAGCACATGTCATATTTGACGGCCCGTGACATCAAAGCACCATATTTGAAAAGTCTTCAAGGCTATTTGTGGCGAGAAGGGTACGACAGCGGTGAGATTAAAGTGTCCTTGTTTCTTGACGCTGCTCACGCCATCAGTCGATGGTCGAAATCTCTTGAACAATATGGCAGCCCTGCTGGCGTGTACATCTACTCTTCGGGCAGTGTTTCGGCCCAAAAACTGCTCTTTGCCCACACAAGCCAAGGAGATCTCAATCACCACCTGAGTGGGTACTTTGACACACTCAATGCCGGGCCCAAAACCGAATCCGAGAGCTACCGGAAAATAGCCGAGGCAATTGGCTTGCCCGGCAGTGAAATCACTTTTTTCAGCGACAACCCTAAAGAAATTGAGGCTGCTGAGGCTTCAGGATGGTCTACTTTCTACACAGTCCGAGAGGGGAATGCCCCCACCCCAGCTTCATTCAAGCCACTCGGCCAAGTGACTTCAGACTTTAGCGGCATCGACTTTTAAAGCTGAGAGAGTAACATATAGAAAAGGATTAGCAACTATTAGGAACTATTGTTGGGTATAAGAGGTCCTTTGTTTCTATATGAAACTAATCATCATAGCCATGTTCGAACAAATAGTTTGCTGCCAACTCTTCATTCTTATCGCAGGCGAAGTAGGCCTGGATGACGATGCTGCGGTCAAAACCGAGTTCCATTAGACGGTTGATGGCATCGTTTTCCTCAGGAGTGATCTCGAGCCGCCATGCCCCACCAGGTACACCGCCTTCCTCTTCTTCCTCGTCACCCGGGAGATCCAGCTCGTCAGCGCCTTGGAGTAATTGGAATAGAGCATCTGGGTTTTCTCTAATGACCTCGCCTAGCTGCGGGTTTTGAGCAACCAGCTGCTGGATGACTGGCTCGAAAACGCCTGGGTTCTCTCGGATCATTTGTCTGAACGTCTCGATTTGACCACTTGGGAGGCCAGAATCGTATCTGCGCATGAATTCGACGTCCTCTTCATCTTCAGTGGTCTGCCGACCGGCGGCTTCGAAAAGATTGATATCGGTGGTGTCTTCCCCGGCTCCAGCCGCTGCCGTGGGGGCCGGCTCCTCGGCGGCCCTGGTGGGGGCCTCAATTACAGGCTGATTGGCGGCCACATCGTCCGCAGCGTGCTCACTGCTCTCGCTGGTTTCGGGGACCATGCCAGTGACCAGGTATTCTACGGCCCGGTCGGGATTGTTGAAGGCCATGCGCAGGGCGGTCATGACCTGTGCCCGCTCGTACCCCATATTTACAATTTTGCTGGTAATCTCCTCAAGCTCGCTACCCTTTGCAAGAACACTTGCGGCATCAGCAGGAGGAGCAGCTGGCTCGGAGGGGGTTGGAGTTGTTGCTAAGCCAGATTCAACTGGAGCCGCCGCCGCAGAACTTGTGGCACTGGTCGAACTGGCAACAGTGGAGGCCGGCGAAACCGACTTGGCCTTCTTGGCCTTGTGGACCATGCATACAATAAAGTCCTTTTCGGGTTGGATCTTGTAGCTGCTGATGGCATCATCGTCTTTGAGGATCTTGCCGGAATAAATCAGCTTTTGCGATTGATCGGCGCCAAAGCCACGAGCACTTGCATTTTTCTCTTTAACCTGCCTCACTGTATCGCTTTCATCAACCTCAATACTCCACTTTTCATGCTTGAGGTCCCGAAATGACAGCTTCATTATTCACAGTTGAGTTAAGGTGGGAAAATGACAAACACCCCCAAGTGTGGGTTTTATAAAAAAAAAAATGCCACCATCCCAAAATCGCCGCCCCGGGGATGGGTGTGGCATGAGCATTGCGCGGGTGCACAAAGTAGGGAAAAACACACAATAGTTTGGATAAATAGGTAGTATAGCGAGAGGAATCTATATTTCAGCATCTAGCCGCAAATTCCGACCTGGCCATTTTCAACTACATGCTGCAGCCCGATGAAGTGGGAAATCATGGCGATTTTAGGGAACACGGTTTTTTCGCCAGCCAACATCATTGCCGCCAGCTCGTCACGCGAAGGGTCCGAGAGGATTTTGAGGAAGTCACGCAGACCGATCCGGGGCCAGACGGTCACTGAGCCTTCGAACTTTTGTAGAAACACAGTCGAGAAGTCCTGGTCCAGGACATGCGGCATGAGGTCCAGGTTGCGCATCAGCTTCAGGCATTTTTTGATCTCAAGCTTGACGCTGGTCTCCATTGTCGCCAATAAAAAGCCGCCCCGCCATCTCGATTTGGAGTATTTGTGGATCACCGGTCGTCCTACCTGGCCGCGAGGTAGATAAGCAAAAAGACGAATATGCGGGTTCACTTGAGAAACAATTGTGTAGTTTACATTGAAGAATGTGTTGAGGGCCTGAGTCGGAATGTCAGTTCTGAACGATCCGTCTCGCCAACGTGACCCAAACGAGTAAGGAACAAACGAGCCCTGGCGGGTTTTGCGCATCAAAACAACCGGCTTCAAGAGTCCAGGAACCGCGGCCGATGCCAGTAGTGCCGACCAAATCAGGCAGTCGGGCGAGGTGATGTGGTTGCAAAGAATCGCTGGGGTTTGCGGGTTTGCCGGAACAGTCGAGACATTCAAAATCTTTCCTGTGCGTTCATAAGCCTCCTTGAACGTCAAGTCGCCCAGAGTGAAGAACTTAGCCCGCTCTGCCCAGTCCACGCTGTCGAAGCGGGCTCCGGTTTTCCACCAGCGCACCAACCAGTCGGGAAAAGGTTCCCAGCATGCGGTCAGATTATCGGCGATCTTTGGATTGATCAGTTGCTTTAGTTCCTCATCCGTTCTAGTGCACACCAAAGCCGCAACCAACCCACCGCCCGATGTGCCAGAAACAATGGGCGGTAGGAGGTTCAAATCAAGCAAAATCCTCACCACCCCGAGATGGCGGTAGCAAAACGAGCCGCCGCCCGATAGGCAGAGAGCAGACTTACCTAGGTTGACCGACATTGATTTGAACAGTACCGATTTCGTTTCCTCAGCAAGGGGGCACTCTGGGGACGCTACCTCGTTGATTTTCTTGATGACGGTCGCATTGAACCGGTCAATGAGTTTTTTGGTTCCCGAATAACACTGTGAGTATACCTGGGGGTTGTTGATGCCGGCAAAATTGTATTTGACGCATGTCTCTAGAATGACCGCAACCTGCTCAGCTTCCTTCTGGTTTGTGCTGTCCAATGCATTTATCTGCCTTATAATGTTCCTGACTGTTCTGTAATCGTAATAGGTCGACTTATCCTCGTCCCGCCATGCGTTGAACCCCAGAAACTTGTCCAGCTTTGCCGCCCAGTACCTCCACTCTTTGATGGTAGTAGCTGCTCGGAGGTTCTGGCGCAGCTGGCGACGAGGGCCCCGCCACACAAACAACCACTCGGAAATCGAGACGTACAGCCGAATTCCAAAATATATCACAAGCAATGGTAAGACCCACAAAGTGAGCCCCACCAACACCGGCCACCGCAGCAGGTGGTAGCCTATACCGTAGTTGGCATAGTCGGAACGACTGGTGATCTCGCCCGCTGGCGCCCAATCGGGCGCACTGGTGACCTTGTCTGTGTCATCGTTCGAAAGAGCCGCCTCAAATGCCTTGACAGACTCACTTTGAGCATATATTTGCATCTATAAGCGCAACAGTGTGGTGTTGAGGATGGACTGTTGAATCCCAGTAATGCATCATACATAAAACTATTAGGGTTAGGGTTAGGCGAGCGTGGAAAGGGCAGGCACACTCTGTATGAAATAAAGAGCTAAGAAGGTGTGAAGGACGGATACTGTCTTAAAACAGTGGTGAGATTATAAATAGCCAACCGCGGGGTGGAACTCATCGTAGAGCTTCAAGGTCTCCTCGGTGTTAGAGCCCGTATCGGGAGCGCTAGATGTGATGTTCTGTAGCTTGTGCTCATGCAGTAGCAATAGTCGCTTATCGCAGGTCTTAAAAGAAGCAGTTTCGGGATCACAGTCCTCTAGTTGTGGTGAGACAATACATGACAAGTAAGTGTCTGAGTCGTACCCCGCCATAACCTGATGACAGGTTTTTTTCTGTTTCCACAAGCCGAGCTCAGAATCGAACCTCCAGTCCCTGAATCTTACAGCGTCGAAGCTACTGTACTCGTCGTGGAGCCCGTTCCAGTTATGGTTCACGTACGAAGGGGCGCCTTCGTAAAGTGTACGTCTCATCGGAGACAACGTGCTGTGTGCGTACAAGTGGTCTGCCTTGCAAGCAATGGGCTTGTCACCGCCTCTGATTTTTGCTAGACCGGTGATGTCAATGTATGCACCGTTTTCAATATCGATAAAACGAGCATCGATAACATTGCGCCCGTTACCTTTTGTTCTCTCAATGTACCACGGCGTGACGTCGATAAGGAACTTCCCGTCATCATCAAAGGGATGCTGTAGCACCAATGTGCCGTTGAACTCTCTGGCGAGTCGGTCCAGTTCCCAAATGGGCATCTGGATGTCGTTGTCGGTGTCCCAGGGCATGGTCATGCCATTCCAGTACCAGCCGATCATTGACCCATGGGCCAGCCAGTAAGCCACTCCTTCCGCGTCGGCAAACTGAGACCAAGCTCTCATTAGCCTCTCCTTGACGTAGCTTTGCTCCTCATTTGTTAAGACACCTCTGAAAAAGCGCCAGTCGTAGTGGGCGCCGATAAGAGCCGAGTCATGGTCAAGCTGGATTTCGTTAAAGTACTTGGGTGAATCTTCAACCTTTGCGATTGCGTCACCTATTGACAGGGCATGCAGTTTAGCCAACGGGTCGTCACTCTTGAGCAAGTCAGCGGCTACGGCCTTGGGGTCATACTCGAATAGTCGTTCGGGCAGCTCGATAGAGCCACGGCTATCGTAAGAAGTGCCATCAAGCTCAAGCAGAAGAGGCCCCAAACGTTCCAATTCACGGTACTCATTGCTCCCATGCTGCCGATGGTCTCTATTTGAGTTTTTGTGTCTGATGATGGTGCGCTGTCCCGAAGGGGGGACTTCTTTAGAAAACGAGACGCGGGGATCTGGCAGGGCCAAAACCACATAAGGGGCTGACATGCGATGCTTGAGGTAAAGGCGTCCTATCATCGATGCCTCGCCCACAGAGAGGGGTTTGTTGCGGGGCATATCGATGTTGTCCACGTCGTTTACGATAATATGGGGATACTCCTTCTCGTCCAGGTCTCCGGTTTCGTATTTTTTTATAGCCGACAAATCGACGACTTGGCTCCACTCGAACTTGGCCAGGATGCCCTCATCGAGCTCTCGCCTCAGCCAGCCATTAGATGCAATTTTATCAGTTTCGAGGTCATAGTATTCCTCAGGCTTGACTACCTTTCTGTTTTTGAGTTCAACTTCGTAATGAGGCAGCGGTTTCTGCTTCCAGCGCTCCGGGTCCAGCGCGAGGTCCGGCGTATTTGCCTCGCCAACGAGTGGGCCACCTAGCGTAGTATTGCCCAGGTGCGGGGCTTTGCCTGCAATGCGATGGGGCAAAGAGCCATTTTGATAGTCGACACTGAACCAGATATATACAAAGATGATCACGTAGATGAGGCTCAGTAACATTATGTTCCTCATACCGTGATCCTTTATCTGGCTGCTCCAGAAAGAAAACATGGCGGCCATCGTCCTCCTGTCTTTCGGAGATGTAAGATTTTCCAAGATTCTCCAAGCGGTCCTTGAAACACGAGCGCTGTAGCCAGAAACCTCAAGAGCGACTTTACTTAAAGGTTTCTGTGACCTTTGATAGTAATCAGTTTCATATACTTGGCGCAGGTCTCACACGAGACATGCCGATTGACCCTTGCCCTGCGTGTCAAGGTGTTGACTTGAATTATGTTGACACATGGTATTCGAATCGAGAGAGGTGAATTCACGCGTACCAGCTGGTTGGTCATGCCTGCCGGTGTAATTTTATTTATCTCTAATTGCAAGCCGAAGCCTGCTCGATGCGCCACACTGGCGCTCTAAAGGATCTGGACCGGTCCTCCATATGCAGGGTGAACAGGGCTCGTTCTCATGATCGGTCATCAAATGTACAGTTGAGTCCATCCTGATCACGAAGAGAACGGCGCCTCAAGGCATCTTAACGTCGCGATCGACCACGTTCGAATGACGGAATCTCTGTCACGACCTAGGCCCCTGAGTAATGCTTGGTCAGATTGTCGCTGATTGGCCTAAACTTGAGTTTAGGTAGAACTGACGTTTTTTTGCTTTGCTGCACCGCGCACATGCGCACCCACATCCAAAAACCGCTCAGTAATAACAATAGGGGAATTTCGTCGAGGCACGCTGAGGAATTGTTCGTATCCGGGTAAATCCCAACGCACGAACATTATACGAAGCTTATTTCATATCGTCAACGATCGGCAGCCCGCGGCGGTCTTGTGATCTCCACCAACGCGTTATCGCTAGTGCATGCCTAACCCTGAACTGTCGAAATTCTTACAAAATTTACTCCATGCCAAGACCTCCTTGTGCAGCAAGCAGATCGGTTATTTCCAGGGGGGGTTGGTTGTTACGGACTGCTCGCAAGTTTTTCCCACCTGAGAAAACACTTGGTTAGAGAAGCGACACTTGGTTAGAGACAACCCATGTAGGTAAGTACGTACTTTTTACAACTTGGATACTTCAAGTCACAAGAATTGGTGCTTTACAAGCCAGTCCTTGACGTCGCCAGCATCTTTGCCAAGCCAGTTAATTGACGCACGCACGCGGTCCTTGGCAATGTTCAATGCCTGATCAATGCCCTTGAGGTCCCGGCCCGAGAAGAATTTCTCAATGTCGGACAACTGCTCCTGCTTTGTGAAGCCGGCCGTAGCACTAGAAATAATGTGAGAAAGCAAGTTCAATCCGGGAGGGAAGGTCTTGATCAAATCGTCGTACTTGGTCTGCAGCCACTTCCATGCGAGCTCTTGGCCCGCTGCGTCATGAGCAACACCGCCAATGGCGCGGTAAGAGTCCTGAGTGCGAACTGTGCCGTCAAGAATAAAGTCGAGAGCCTTTTGCCTGAGCGCCATGTCCTTGGTAGAGCCCAGGGAGCTCAGGGCCTCGTTGCCAGTAGCGCCATAGGCACCGCTAGTGTAGATTTCAAGTAGCTCATTCCACTGTGCGGTAGTACCGTATTCAGCAACAGCGCGGAACACAGTAGGGCGGATGTTGGCGTTGATGTTGGTGACACCCTTGCTGTAAAGAGCCAGGGCGGTGTCAACAAACTCCTTGTTGCCGGTGCCCACTGCAGCAGCGAACAGGTCGGCCTTGAGACTGGCAACTTGAGCGCTGTCAGAAGCCGAGAACTCGTGGCCAACCTGCTTGGCCATGGGCACAATCACCGCCTCACGGTACTTTGTGAAAGCATCGCGGACTTCGGCAGACTCGAACTTCCAGGCCTGGCGGATGCGGGCAATGTTGGAGAGAATGGAGGTCCAAACAGTAGATTCCTGCTCGTTCTTCCACGTCCAGATCAAAGTCAGCAGCTGCGAGGTAGGGACGTATGCACCGGCCAGAGCACCCAGATCGGTCACCAGACCAACCCGGTCTTCGACCGACAAACGAGAGTGCGGCTTGGCTCCCTCCTCAGCCAACTTGAGCAGACGATCAGTTGGGTAGTGGACGCGGTAGATACTGCTCTGATCGGCATTGAGTTTGTAAAAATCACCGTCAATAGTAATCTTACCAGTGCGCTCAGAGAGAACCTTGGTGTGGTCGACCTTGCCGTTGGCGCTGCGTACACCGAGAACAACGGGGTAAACAGTCTCGTTCTCCTCAGGCTTGACATCCGCGGTACGCAAGTAACGGTTCTGAGTCAAAGTGAGCTCGTTGCCGCTCTCTTCGACAGTAACAAGGGGGTAGCCCACCTTACGGGTCCAGATGTCCATCTGGCCCTTGACATCCTTACCAGAAACCTCAGCAAGAGCATTCCAGAGATCATCAGTGGTAGTGTTACCGTACTGGTGGCGTTTCAGATACAAGGCAATGCCCTTGATGAAGATGTCTTCGCCCAAGAATTGCGAGATCATCTTGATGACGCAAGAGCCCTTGAGATAAGAAATGGCATCGAAAATCTGCGCAATCTCATCAGCACGCTTGACGGGAACCTGAATAGGGTGCGAAGAGCGCAGACCGTCGAGATCAAGACAGCCCTGCAGCTGCTTCGAGACATAGGACTCCCAAACCTTCCACTCGGGGAAGAAGTGGTTGCACGAGTACCAGGACATCCAGGTAGCAAAGCCCTCATTGAGCCACAGGCCGTCCCACCACTCCATGGTGACGAGGTTACCGAACCACTGGTGAGCAAGCTCGTGCTGGACGACTTCAGCAACGCGGATCTTGGTGCTCAGAGAATCGACACCCTCCTCAAAGAAGACGTCGACATTGCGGTAGGTAATGAGGCCCCAATTCTCCATGGCGCCGGCGGAAAAGTCGTGAATACCCACCATATCGCACTTGGGCATGGGGTACTCGATACCGAAAGTCTCCTCGAAGAACTTGAGGGTCTTGGCAGCAAGATCGGCGCTGAACTGGCCCTTCTTCTCAAGACCGGGAGTGCCGTACACGCGAACAGGGACACGGAAATCGTTGCTTTCGACGTAGTTGAGCTCGCCCACAATGAAGGCAACCAGGTAGGTGGACATCTTGGGCGTGGTGTTGAACTGGGTCAGCACCTTGCCAGAGGGTAGCTCAGAGGTCTTCTTGACGTCAGAGTTGGACAGAACAGTGTACTTCTTGTCAGCGACCATCTCGATATCGAAAGTTGCCTTGAGAGCAGGTTCGTCGAAGCAGGGGAAAGCGCGGCGGCAGTCAGTGGCCTCCATCTGGGTAGTGGCGACAACTTGCTGCTTGCCGTTCTCATCCTTGTGCACAGAGCGGTAGAAGCCTGCGAGCTGGTCGTTCAGGGTGCCGTCGAAGGCAACCTTGAGCTTGGCCTGCGAGCCGGCAACCAGCTGAGACGGGAACGTCCAAGTCATGGACTGGGCGTCGCCATCATGCTTGGACTCAGAGGCCTTCTCGCCGTTGATCTCAGCAGAGTGGATCGTCAGATCAAGGATGTTGACGGCGACCTGGTTGGTAGCGGTCGCCACGTCGAGCGAAATTTCCACCTCTCCAGAGAAAGTGAACTTCTCCAAATCCGGCTCCAGCCGGACACGGTAGTGAGTCGGTTTGACGTCGCTAGGAAGAACCACGCGATTGGGAACGTTGGCAGACCGGGACGAACACATGCGAGAAATGAAAGAAGGTGCGATGTGCCGTGCCCGAGTTAAATGACGAAGCATAGAGACTGCATGTTGACGGGCCCTGCATTCAACGCCGTGTGGGGACGCTTTAGAGACGGCGAATCTGCATCATTGTGGGTGGTGTTGGTCTTGATTTTGTTGATCCTCTCAACGCGTTAGATACACGCTATATACTAGCTAGCTTTATGGCCATTGCCTTGTTTGCAACCATCCCTAGTCCTGGTCCAGGTGGCATTACATGACGTCAGGGCGGCAGCAAATTCTGGATCAAACACTTTGATCTGGTTGAAGCGTGCAAATCGTGGGCCCTCCAAGTAAGTTCAGTACCATCAGGTAGTCCACGTAGAGCAGGAGCGAACTTTTAGGGGTAGTCGATTTTTTATTGTTTCTTTTTAGGGGGCCTTTTTTTTTCTAACAAAGGTATATCACGTGACTATTACTTGAAGAACTTGGCGAGAGCGACTTCACCATCGTCGCTGCGGGCCATAACCTTTGCCACTGCTAGCTCAAAGTCCTCTTGGGTGACGTGGATGCGGTGCTCGCGAAGAGCGTACATGCCCGCCTCCGTGCAGACGCCTTTGACTTCTGCACCAGAGAAGCCTGTCATTTTCTCGGCAATCTTGTGCAAATCAATCCCTCGAGTCAAATTCATTGATCTCGAGTGGATGCGCAGAATGTCAGCACGTGCCTCAACTGTGGGCGGCGGGAACTCGATCTTGCGGTCAATTCGTCCGGGTCGCAGCAGGGCGGGATCGAGAATATCCAGGCGGTTAGTAGCCATGATGATCTTGATATCCTTTGATGACTCGAACCCATCAAGCTGGTTTAGAAGCTCCAGCATTGTCCGCTGGACCTCTGAGTCGCCAGAACCCGATCCGCCTTCGCCCCGCGAAGAACCAATCGAGTCAATTTCGTCCATGAAAATAATCGACGGCGCGTGCTCACGAGCCATCACAAAGAGCTCGCGTACCATCCTAGAACCCTCGCCAATGTATTTCTGCACAAGCTCAGAGCCAGACACTCGAATGAACTTGCACTCGGTGTGGTGGGCAACCGCCCGAGCCAGCAGGGTCTTGCCGGTTCCCGGGGGACCATACAAGATAACACCCTTGGGTTGGGCAATGCCCAAAGACTCGAAAAGCTCTGGGTGCTTGACTGGCAACTCAATGACCTCTTTGATTTCCTTGATTTGCTTGTCCAAGCCACCCACCATATCGAACGTGGAGTCCGGAACTTTCTCGACCATCATGAGCGAAACCAGCGGGTCTACCTTGTTTGGCAGAATCTGGTGCAGCTGATAGCTGTCGCTACGCAAACAAACACGCATGCTGGGTTGGATCTGCTTGACATCGATATCGCTTGCCACATCTACCACATACTTGCCCTCGGGGTGGACTTTTACCAGGACCTTGTCTTTGCTCATGACCTTGACGACCTCACCCACGTACGAGCCAGGCTCCTGCAAAAGCTGTAGCTCTTCCTTGAGCAATCGAACCTTGGCATTCAAGGCATTGCGCTGGGCCTCGAGCCGGCGGAGGTCCTGCTGTTTCTCATTAATCCGCAGCTCCATCTCCTGGATGGTTTGCTGGTAAAAAGGGGTAATTCCTGCATCGCTACCTTTCTGCGACACGCTTTTGTCATTAAAAATAGCGGTTTCCCTTTGCACAAACTCTGTTGCTGGTGCTTTATCTACCGCCACAGACATTATGTCCACTGTGACCGTCGCTTCTGAGTAATCAGCCTTTTATCGCCCTGGTCAAATGGTGAGGCACCTGAAATACTGCTCCTGCGATTGCGGCACTAATCATACTCTGATTCCATTGGTTTTAGATGGCCTAAAACTACCATGTACAAACTGCACCCGAGAACTTTGTAGCACCAATGAAGCCTGTTTCGGTACAGAGGTAGACCTCATCAAAACTGTCTGCTTTCAACGTGAGAGCTCCAAAGAATCTTTTTTCGTTATAGCTTTCATTGTGGCCACACTCATATTGGTAGGCTGGGCAATTCGCCGCCGCTTGAATTAACACCAGTGGCGGTGTTTTGTGGTAGCTTCTTTCCCACCACAAACGCGAGTTCTGATTTGAGGTGTTTACTTGAATTCCAAGTTTTTTCTCGATGAGCACTTCAATTCTCAAGCGAATGCAAGAAACGAATCGTACGCAGCAGTTTCTGCTGCAATTTCGCTCGGTGTTGAATCGCTTTTTGGAAATCGCCAGTATTTTAGCCGTCCAGCTCCTGTTCCTCGCCCGCAACCTGGTCACACTGACTGCAAACGCAGCCGTTTGGTGCTGTATAAAGCCGTTGGATTTGATGTTATTCGCTATTTATTGGGTCGGTGAGCGGCTGGGCATCGTTTCTCCTCAGACAAAAGAGGACTTCAACAATTTACGGAAAAGTTTGTGGAATGGTACGTCAGTTGGTGGGAACGGCCGCCTTTCGACTTTGCTAGTGCCCCATATCGACATCGACGAGCAGTCTGACTCTTCGTGTGGGTTCGGTGAGGACGAGCAGGGGCCCCTTATCGCCTCAGTCAACGCCGTTTGTGACTCGATAGACGAGATCGTCTCCGCGGCCCGTAAATTTGTTGACCCCATTGATGCTGAGCAGGACTGTGATAGGCTTGAAATTTTACCAAGAGCTTCGCTGAAAGCCGCCTCGCGGGCGAGTCGGCGTTGGAGAATAAAACGCCGCAAAGAAGCCACTCTGAATGGACTTAAACCTTTACGCTTGACACCTCAATCGAGAGGACAGAGTTCAAGACCACGGCGGCGTGGCCTCCGCATCAAGTTTGATTGGCATCGCCCCAAGTCAAGGGCCGCTGTAGATGACTCTGATTGAAAATACAAAATATTATTTTATGTCTAACCGGTATGGAAGGTATGTGCTTAAAAATAAACTGAGACTGGAGCGTCTCTTTTGGGGGAGGGGGGGGAAGGTGACGGCGAATTCTTTAATCGTCGCCGAGTGCAGAGAAGCGGTTAATCTTAGGCTCAGCCTTGATGGGTTCTGCGGGCACTGCTGATTGGCGACGGCCAGACATGCTCTGCTCGCGATCAATAGAGTCTTTAGTTTGCTGAGCAAGCCGGGCTTGGCGCTGTTCACGGTCGCGCTCGCGGCGTTCGTCACGCTCACGGCGATCTTCGCGCGGGTCATGATTGCCGCGGTCCCGGCCAAGGGTGTTCTGACGGTTGCCGCGCTGGCTGCGGGCCTTCTCCTCTTCAGCAGCACGCTGCTCCTTGGCGATGTCTGTGTGGATCTGGGAGATGGTTTTGGGGCCCTTGTCGGCGTCCTTACTCTTCCAGCCCTTCCTGCGAGTATCCTCCACGTCCATGATCATGAAACGCAGACGAGCAGGGAAGCCCTGAGTATTCTTCCATTCGGCAAGCTTCTTCATGGCGTTGTCAATAGCACTACCAGAACCGTCTTTCTCCATACGCTGAGCGACAGTTATAACAAGTTTGCACATAGACTCAACGATATCTTCGTTAGGCTCCTCGTTGACCAGCTTGACGAAGCAGCGAACAATAATACGCGGTGACAAGAATCCGACTTTGTAGAGCTCTCCAATGAATCTAATGATACCCAACCCGTGGCGCTTGGCCTTGACTGCAGTGTAATACTCGTCGCTCATGACGCCAGCCTGCTGGCCATCCTCGCCCACGGGAATTTTCGACGTCCAGCCCTTTTCGAACTCGGTCTGGCATCGCGTCAAAAGATAGCGACGGAACAGCCGGGGGCCGCCAACGGGAACAGCGTTTCCGTTTTCGTCGGTATGCATAGATGCCTTGTCGGTAATATCCTCGGAAATAGTGAAGGACTGTAAGCAGAAGGCGGCATACATAGCCGACCAATGCGGCTCATCAACTGCCTTCGCCAGTGTCAACTCAATAACATGTCTCAGAGTTTCACCATCGTCCTCGTATTTAGACTGCTCAGCAATCTCGTAGACCTGCTTGGAAATACGCTCAAAGTTCTCCAAGGTCATCTTGTTCAACAGAGATTTGACCTTACGGGCAACCTCCTCCTGGCTCATAAGCTGGTTCTCAGATGCAGCATCCTCAGCCTTGGTCTGAGAAAAGCGGGGCTGCCACGCATTCTCACTACGCTTGAGAGGCTCGACAGGCACAGCTGGCTTGTCGTCTTTATGGTCATGACGATTGGAGCCACGGTCCTTGCGACGAGAGCCTTGACGGCCGGATCGAGACCCGAAGTTGGTTGTGGATGAGTTTCTAGACATGCGACCTTCCCGCATAGAGCCGAATCCGGCATGAGATCCCTGGCGAGCGCCACGTTGGGACATAGCACGACCGCCGGGACCGCGGCCTACATCGATCTCAACGCGCTTGCGCAGATCAGTAAACATAACTGGCACTGCGGTCGCAAAATTGCGCAAGAACGCAATATCATAGCGGTACGTTTTGTTTGAAGCAGCGCTGTTGACAATGGGGGCAGGGTAGCTGAATGTAGCAACCTTTTCAACAGGCAACCGCTCGGCAGTTCCCAGCCGCTCAACAAAAGCTTCATCCTCGGCATCGTCTTTAGCTTCTTCCTTGGCTTCCTCTTTGGGTTCTTCTTGAGACTCTTTAGGCTCGGATGCGGAAAGTTTGGGCGAGCTGTGGGGCGAAACATCGTCATCTTTGACCGATGGTTCATCTGTGGGTTCGCACTCTACCTTCTCCTCGAGCGTAGACTCTTGTTCAACCTTGGGCTCAACCTTTGTGTCGGCCTCGATTACAGGCTCGGCCTTGGGTTCGGCCTTGGGCTCAACCTTGGCCTCAACCTTGGCCTCAACCTTGGGCTCAACCTTGGGCTCGGCTTTAGGCTCGACCTTGGCCTCAACCTTGGGCTCAACCTTGGCCTCAACCTTGGCCTCGACCTTGGGCTCGACCTTAGCCTCGACCTTGGGTTCAGCCTTGGGCTCAACCTTAGGCTCAGCCTTGGGCTCAACCTTGGGCTCAACCTTGGACTCAGTCTTGTGCTCAACATTGGCCTCAGTCTTGGGCTCAACATTGGACTCCACCTGAGGCTCTGCCTTGGGTTCAACCTTGGTCTCAACCTTGGGCTCAGCCTTGGTCTCCACCTTAGTCTCAGCCTTGGTCTCCACCTTGGCCTTAGCTTTGGGTTCAGCTTTATCGCCCGCTACCTCGACCTTGGAAGCAGGCTCTGAGACAGAGTTGGGTTCGCCCTTTGACTTGGCAGCGATCTCGGCCTTGAGCTTTTGAGCAATCAGCTCTTGTAGTGTTTTGGCGGCTCCACTAACTGGCTCAGCCTTTTTCGGTTGCACCGTCGGAGAAGCTGTAACAGGCCCGGGAGAAGGCACCTGTGCCTTGGAAACAGCTGGAGACCCGTATGCGGGCTCGAAGGTTTGCGCGTGCCCCACTCTAGGCGAGTGAGTGTGTGCAATAGCGGTCAATGAAATCTCTTCGCCCTGGGCATTTGTGAGACGTACAGGAGCACGAGCTATAGGAGCATGCTGGGGGACTAAAGCAGGACGGTTGAACTGCATGTGAGGAGAGAGGTGAGCTGCTTGTGGAGACATAACGGGGGCCATGGGAACGACACCAGGAGACGGCGGGACACCGGACCCCATGGGCATCATTTGATAGGGCATAAGGTTAGGTGCGAGAGGGACATACTGTCCGGGGTATGCAGAGAATGGAGGCATGCCGCCCGAAGGGTCAAAGTAGCCACTGCCTGTATTGCGATGGCCGCGCTGAAATGGGGCTTGACCGTCGTTTGAAGCCATGCGATGGTGGCCAGTATGACCGCCATTGTTGTGATTATTGTGACCGCTGTGGCTGTTGTGGTGTCCGTTTTGGCCGCCTCTGGACCGGTTGTTTCCATACTGGCCCGAGCCACGGCCGCGACGAGAATAAGTGTGTCCCTGGTTACCACCCTGGCCACCTTGTGGGCCCTGGGGAATTTGTTGCTGGCCCTGGTTGTTGCGGCCGCCATTATGCGGCGGCTGGCCCGAGCTATTGCCACCAGACGATGCGGTCTGCCCAGAGGGCTGGGGCCGCTGTGAGGACTGGGTGGTAGCAGAGGGTTGTTGAGGTGTGCTCATTTTCTTATGAGATCCTAGGTCCGGATATGAATTACCGTGAAGAAATTATACGAGTCCAAAGAGTTGGGTTCTTTAGCACTCGGTTTCTTCACAATTAGACACACGCGTAAAACGATGTGCTTTTGCTAAATGAAAAAATCTTACGTTGGCTGGTTAGGGCTGTTTGGTCCCAGCGGCTGCTTAGTTTCTTTCGTTAACAGTGAAACAAGAGATAAATAGCCTCTGGGCCGTGTATTGCGGGGCTAAGTCGTGTAATTAGTGATTGAGTTTAGTGCTGATAGTCTGGTAGTGGTTAGGGGGGCGTCCTGATACTGTCTGGCTCGTCCGTTGTGGTTGCTGATATTTGAATGGCGGTCAGCGTGCAACGAGAGGGTAACCCTTGGACTGATAGGTCTGTTGAATTATTTCGTAAGTATACTCGCTGCTAGAACTGTGTCTTTCCGATGTCGAGGTTTTCTGTTTCGTCTTAGTTAGGCTATGTTACGCAGATCGCTCTCGACTCACTGCGTGAAATTTAGGGGATAGGTAATGAGATCTACGGTGGTTGATTAAGGCGCACAACAGAGATGGTCTAGGCAATCTTGAGACGGAGCACACTAAGCAACCAAATCAATGCCCTTAGCGTGCAATTGGCATGCATTGGGTTGAATAACGAACCTACATGAATACGAAAGTATACCACGAGGGTACCCAATCGAGTCGGCTAGATCAAAGTTTACCGGGGTAGCGGCCCAGCGTTTGAAAACCAAATATAATGGCCGCCGATCAGGTCGTAGCTCCGTTTAATTAGTCAACCACGGCACATACACCAGAACAAGCAATTGGCTAAGCGGTTGATCCAGGCATTGAACAAGAGAAATGGACAGCTATGTGGAAAAAAACCCAAAAAAAGATGGCTAGCCGGACTCGAGAATCGCACCGAAATTTTTGATATTTCTACATACACTGCATGATCAGCCCAATTCCCGAGTCACCGCAGAAATCGATACAGAGTTTACACGCCCGAAACAGTTGAGGGTAGTTGCATGGACAGCCTGCACCTCACATAAGCTACCCTACAGTGAGAGATCGATGCGCCATCATACCTCGCTAACCCAGGACATCTAGTGAAACAGCAGGGAGCCGAAAAAGCGAATTCTCGGAAATTTACGAATCTGTACAAAAATACAAGCTACATAAACAAACTGGCAAGCCACAGAGGATCTATCGCTATCAGAACCTTCATCGCCACGCCATAGGACGGTCCTATGCATCGCTAAGTTGCTATGAGGTATGCATAAGCTGGTGGTGTGTAGGGTACGGCCTTGAAATTGGGAAATCGTTAAGCCCCCAGGAAAATGAAACAACATAGAGAAGCTGAGCCTGGACGTTGAGTGGAATGCGAAAAAGTTGCATCCAAGTTAATATTTGCAAATAGTACCATCCCATAGCAGCCCGAACTTTGCCCCTAACCATTCAACGTTGCGCTTGTTGGGAAACCCATTCTCCGTTCGCAACCCCCTCCTTCGTTGTCAAGTCAGCGCCACATCCCAAACCCAGGACTGCTGTAAATGCACGTGGGCAAGATGCATCTAGATAGATATGAGGCAGTGAGGTCCCAGCCGTCACTTAGAAAACAAAGCTTGAACGTCACGAATAGACTGCTGTTCAGCAATCCTCCTGATTTTACCACACCCGCCAGGTAGGAGTTAATTTCACTCACCAACGTCAGCGCAATGCCCGTTTCTAAGAGCGCCCGTCCAGTGGACGTGCCCGGATCTGTTCCTACCCAGTACAAACGAGCGCCACCACTGGGATTCCTGCCCAACTCGCCTCCAAACGACGCTAATGATGCCCAAGGTTTGAGCTTCCGCAGCAAGCAACCTTACCCGGACTACCAGAACTTCCCCCTTGGCAATAGGTCCCCCCCACTTTCCCATCCTTCATCCAACGGGGGTTTCGCCCCGAACAACGCGCGTTTAGGGGCCGGAGAGCCCGCAAACGGGATTATCCAGGGAGATGCTTTCGCTCTTGACGACGACGACGACGAGCAAATACAATTTCTAGGGATCCGCCCTGCCCAGGGAACAGACAAGCGGCGCCGGACGCAGCGCCAGAACAATGGCCCGTTCAACACTAAAAGCCACGAGGACGATTTGAATAATGGTATCATCCCGGGTCTCACAGATGCACTCGTGTTTCCATCACCGCCATTGATACCCGAAAAACTCCAAAAGCCGTCCGATATTTTCCTCCGCCAGGTCCACGATATTACACCGCCGCAAGAGCCTTTTGACGACGACAGCGGCCATTATTTGGTTAACGTGGGCGAGCAGTTTGCCAACAGGTACGTCATTACCCGGCTACTGGGCCAGGGAACGTTTGGACGAGTAGCCGAAGCCTACGACAAAGTGACGTTCCGCCGTTATGCCATTAAAATTATTCGCGCCATCCCTAGATACCGTGACGCATCAAAGGTTGAACTTCGAGTGCTACACATGCTCTCCCGTTATGATGGTAACAACATCAACCGCTGCATACAACTCAGAGAATGCTTTGACTTCAGGAACCACGTATGCCTTGTGACGGATCTTTTGGACATTTCGGTTTATGACTTTTTGCGTGAAAACCGGTTCAATCCTTTTCCTGAGCAACATGTACTCGCGTTAGCTCGTCAGCTCATCAAATCTGTCGCTTATATTCACCGCCTGGGTCTTGTCCACACAGATCTCAAGCCAGAAAACATATTGCTCCATGACTCGAGCTATGACACTTGCACGTACCGTCGAAGCCCGAGAGGTTCAACCCGTCAAAGAAGAGTGCTGCGCAACATCAGCACTACTCTTATTGATTTTGGATCGGCCATTTTCGATGATGAGTTTCACCCTACCGTCGTTTCCACGAGACACTACAGGGCACCAGAAATCATCTTGGGCACTGGCTGGTCCTTCCCTTGTGATATGTGGTCTGTTGGGTGTGTTTTGGTCGAATTATGCACAGGTGCCGTACTTTTCCAGACAAGGGATAACTTTGAGCACCTTCACCTCATTGAAAAGGCGCTTGGGCGAAGCTTTCCTCCATCTGTGATAAGAAAAGCAGCCACAACAGATCAGGGGGAGCTCTTTGTAGACTCGGCCAAGGGCAAATTATATCCCTTATCGGACTCGAAGCAGATTAAAGCGGTTCACGACCAACTGACCATCCGTGAGCTCCTGCGCAAGCATATCCCGATGGACAGCAACACTCTTTTCTGGAACAGGCTTGTTGATCTCGTCGACCGCATGTTAGCTATCGACCCTAATGAACGAATCACTGCAGAAGAGGCAATTCAACATCCTTGGTTCTGCTAATTCACACAACTCTTTCTTATTTAATATTTTATTCTTCTGCTGATGACTTTTTTTATTCTTATTCTTATTCTTTTTTTTTTATTCACTTTATTGTTTTGTGAGATTTCTTCGCATTGACATTATGTAGTTTTTTTTTCTAGCATAAATATACATACGATACAAAATAGAGATGCCGCTGGTCACAATACACACATCACTGCTGCGACCAATGCTAGCAAGGAAGCACCAGGTATTATAGCGTCATTCTTATGAGTGCTTCTAGATGCTGTACCGCCAGCGGTTAAAAGTGTCCCAGTGGGAAGAGCTGAACCCATGGTGGTGGGTGTCAAGGTGCCGCCTTGAGCTGTTGTTTCAACAGAACTCGACTGGCTAGTTTCTGAGCTTGCTGAACTATCAAGAGTAGTTTGACTACTAGTTGCCTGGGTCAGATCCAGTTCAAATGTAGTAACGTTTTGGGAAGAAGTGGCAGAGTACAACTCTGCGGAGCTGCCAGGTATTCCCGTCACAATTTCCTCAATATTTGAATCCGTTGCGTTGAAAATGGCCTGACCAAGACCCGCCTGAAAAGACTCGTAGTCAAATGCCGCATACAGTCCCTGCAAAAAGTTATCACCAAGGATCCACGGGGGCTCGTCAGCGATCACTTGGAGTTGGCACAGAATTTTTCCGTGCGAGTCAGTGACAATGTTGTTATTATCATCAATAAGAGGGGCGTAAACCTGATCCAGCGGGAACTTGATTGGCGTGCCGCTAAAATTGAAGATGAAACCATCCAGAGGGATCTCAGAGCATAGGGCCGTGTAAGTGCCTAGGGTCTCGTTGTACTTGCCATCAGTGGCCTTGGCGATAGAATCAACCAGGGAACTCGGGAGATATACGAGGGAGGTTCCTGAGTCTAAGAGAACAGGGACGGACATCTCGGCGACTCTACCGGCTTCACTGCCTTTGTAGGCGGAAACGCCGTGAAGCATAATGAATGGATGTCGTGGAAAAGTGAAGTTATCTGAACCGCTGATAAGGGGTACGATGGAAAGGTCCCCAGTGTACTTGTCGTGGTCAACACCACCCATGAGAAGACTGCCTTGGCCAGCATATGGATCGTTTAGCCAAATAGAGTAGGCAATGCGCTGGATCTGACCTTGAGCCTTGAGCTGGGCGGGAATGTTGGCGTAGGTAGGACTAGGAGTGCCTCCCTGGGGGAGATATGTGGCATACACCTCGCCGTAGACAGGGCCAATTCCAAAGACGGCCTCAGTCGAGTTCGACTCCAGAGCCAGAGCAAACATAGCATTGGTGGCAGTCAGATTGCCCAGTCTGATCGTATCGTGAGCGTAGAAGCCATCTGCAAACGTAGTATCACCATAGACGATAGTAAAGTGAGCAGTCCTGTTCATCTCGAAGGTAGAAGAAGCATTGTAGTTGTACACAAAGTTCGAACTGCAGTTGGGCGCGTTGGGGTCGCTGGTGGAGCAGTAGGGATTGGACGACGACATGACCCAGAGATCAGAAGACCCCGTATCCAGTGTAAACGCTATGTCTTGAGGAGGAGTGCCAATGGACAGAACAACTTCGTAAAAAGACTGCATGTTCAGCAGCCCTAGCGAGGTTGCTCGTTTGGCGATGTTGCTATGGAACTCGGGTAGCGCGGCATCTGTCCGCCGCTGAACTGCAACATTTACACTTGCCAGAGCCACAAAAGCTGCTGACAGCAGTACCAACCATTTCCCTCCAGCAAGCATGGATCAAGTCAAAGACAATAGCTACCCGCTTAATGATTACAGCACGGCTGCATAACGGGTGCCTCCCTCGATGCAGCAACCGACGGGGGTGTGGACGGGGCAACCAAGGCTAAAAACTGAGGCAAAAACTTAAATTGCAGATGAACCCGAGCTATACCAAGTCGTGCGACACTCCCATACAGCTCCCTCGTGGCAAGCGACCGGCTGCTAATTTTCGGCCCGCCCGCCTCGAGGTCAAATAGTCCGCCTCGGCTATCTGACAAAACCCTCCCCACACATGACCGGTGAAAAATCCAAGGACCAGAAGAAGAACCCCATTAGTATATACCAGCGCCTGCACAGGGCAAAGATATGCCTGAAGCATTTCTCTGCCAACCAGGGCCGCATTGGGGACCTGATGCTTTCTAGCACCGGCTACCCTGCCACTTTACTGAGCGCACTGCTTGCGACGAGGGCGCCTGGTCTGTCTGGTAATCTCAAAAGTTTGTCGGCGGCAATTTCAGACTATCGGATGTTCTGGCGTGTATTTCACACCCCGGCTACAATCGAATGGGCTCTCGATTTGCTACTGGACAACAAACAGTCCGACGGGTTGCTGCGCTGGAGCGACTACATCCAGGCAGTGTCAGGCGTCGGCTACCAGGTGTTGGAGGACGTTGCCTATTTGGCAATGAAGGGCGTGCTGCCCATTTCCAGCGCTCGCCAAGCCGACATCTGGGTAGTGTCTTGCTTGTTCTGGCTGGTGCATGTCGCCCTAGAGCTGCTGAAGGCAGCGTACTTCCGGATTAGCAAAAAACCCGTCAATTCGCTCAACCTACTTGTTAACCTGGCATGGGCACCTCTCACCGTGCACTGGTCCACATATACAGGACTGTTTGAGCCTCAATGGGTTGGTTTGTTGGGATCCATTGCCTGTGTTCCTCGACTTATCGCAGCGTTGCGTTAGGCTATAAAAAGACGATTTCGAGCAGTATAATTTATAAAGATACAAAATTGTCTTGTTTGATGTAAAATGCAAATAACTTATGACCTATCTGGTCGCGACCCTGAACGGCTGTTCAGGTTGCTGTCATTACGCTGAGGCCGTCGTTCGGGGCTCAGCTTGCGAATCGACTCTACCATGTTGCTGAAGCTTTGTTTGGGTTTGAGCCGTGGCGTCTGTTGGCGCCCTCGGTCCTGAGCTGGTCTCGGGCTTTCGGCCTCGTCATAGAAATCCTCCGGCCCGATCGTGGCCGTCTTGACGTCTTCCACAAACGACCAGAACTGATGGTTGATTTCATCGACTACCCTTTTACCCATGACCAGCATTTCGTTCTCGCGTCTGGGCACAGCAGAGCCTCTACGTTGGGGAGACGGGGACCTACTCAATTTCCGCGCCACGGCCGCATCTGAGAGCTCAGCGATCGACTGTTGACGTAGATTGGGAGAAGTTGTGTTTAGGTGCTCCATCAACGAGTTACCGCTGGCCTTGAACCTCTTGAGGTCGGACTCAGCAGTTCTAACCTCCCGCTCAGCCTCCTGTATAGCAAGCCTGAGCTCTGACACGCGTTGCTTGAGACTACTGACTCGTGATTCTTTTGACGCAAGCTCACTCAAGTATTTGCTGAGCATACTGTCCTGCTCTCGGGCCGCGGCTATAGCAGAGCCCGCAGAGCTCGTGGAGCTTGCAGGAGCAGCACTTTCACTGGCAGATGTGTCTCCACTACCTCCAGACGCAGTCCTTTCTTTAGGAGGCGAGAGAACGGGAGAGTAGAGGCCGATGTGCGGGGCATTGGTTCGCGACGGCGTAGAGTCTGGCTTGGGAGAACTCACGGGCACTATACCAATATTAAGAAGCCGTCGTTTCGGAATTGGCGAGTTCGAAGACTGCCCTACAGGCGAGCCTGGCTTGGAATGAAGACCAGCTGATTTCGCGCGATCAAGAGGCGTCTCAGAGAGAGCCGGCGATTTGCTCTCGTTATCTAGAGAAAGATCGACAAGTGAAGTACTCAGAGACTCCGTGCTGGGCACAGAAAGTAGCTCCTCTGGTACTTTAGAGATATCTGTCGCCATTGGAGACAAGTAAGACCGTGCTCAAACACAACTTCCAGATCCTCTGTTGTCGAATGGTTCTAAAACACCTGACATAAGCAACGCGGGCGGTTGTTGTATTTGGCCACAGATCCACCACAAGGGAACAAAGCCAACAGGGTCAAAACTCGAAGTTTTGCAATTGGGAGCACAACTAAACACCCCCCCTCAAAAATAGCGTCAAATCACAGAGCGCTTCTTTTTCCTTTACAAGCGCTCTTGGGCGACTTGGTAGCTCCCATTAATAATTATACCTCCGTGCACTGCGTGATGGGTGCGACGGTCGCGAGCTCAAAAAGTAAGCGCTCGCTCGCTAGTAAAGGGATGAGCGTTCTCATATTTGGTGGATTGGTATTTGGAACTGCTATTTGGTTATTATTTATTGCCGCGGGCGTCTACGCAACCGTGTACCATTTCTACATTCCTCAGTCGGAGGTTCGTTCCGCAGTGTACTTTCACCATGACGTGCGGCACAAGAATTATTCGCTTTGCGTTATTGATTTGGTGCATCTTCCATTCAGCCATGTCGACTACTCACTAAACTTGGCTTTGGAAATGCAGAGATCAGATCGTAACAAACAAATTGGAAACTTCGGAATCACGGTAACTTTAGCTGATGAGAAGACAGTTGACTCTGCCATTGATGGTGCGTCCAGCATCGCGATTGAAACGAGGATGAAAGTACGATCGGGTAGCACTACTATGCTCACGGGAATCCTTCCTTACAGGAGCCCTCTGCTTGAGTCGCTCAACACCTTGACATTCGCGCCGCTGTATGTTTTTGGACTTATAAAACAAACATCGACTATGGATTTGAGACTGTTCGATCAAATTCGCTCGTTGAAACGCAACTACAAATACGCTGTTGTGCACATCAAAGGCCGGATCGATCTGGAAAACGCGAGTCTTATTTGGAAACCTCAACTTAGAGGTGTTCGTTATTTGATGTCACAGTATCAGCTGCTGTCATTTTTCTTTGGCACTTTGTTTGTGTGGTTTTGGGAGCTGTCGGCCACGTTGGGAACAATTCTCATCATTCGCAGTCGCAATGCCCAGGCAAATGAGCGGAGCGACAAATTGACGTCACACGAGATACAGATCCCGCGAAGAAGTGTATCAAGGCGCCACTACAAAAGTCTGAACCCACCGTCTGAATATTTTTTCGAGTATTCGGATCACTATAAAGCGGATACGGGTAGCCCCCTGGAGCCACTCACCACCGGCCCCGTAGATGCGAATATAAATCGTGAGCACACCAGAGAGACCACGCAGGCGCAAGAATTCGAAGAATCTCATAGTCAGGAGGACACACCAAACGTATCCTACGCATCTGACACGGTCGAAGCTGAAACACCAGCGACGACGATCGATGATTTCGAAAGTTTGATCAATCAATCTACGATGCAAGACACCTCCAGAGCCGGTTCGTCGAGTTTTTCGGCTCTCAAGCCAGGCCAACCAAGAAATAGAAAAGGTTGAACATGTGATATTATTTTTCAAAAAGATGTCGACTGCTAATGTGTCCAAGTAGCTATGTATGTTGCGTCCCAGCCCAATCATAAAAAAAAGCGGATTTTAATGACATCCCTGGACGTTGACTTGTGGTTATTCATAATTCGTTTACGTACCAGTGCAATGCATATAAAGTGCTTGTAATTTTAGGCTTCATATCAAAGATGGCTCCCGACTACTAAGTACATAATAGTGACTCAGCATCGTTTTCAATTGGGAGCCCTGAATAGTCGCGATCCTACGGCTAAACTCTGCCCCGAAGCCAACCTCAATGAGAGCCCCAACGTTTGCCGCCTGACGCCTAGCCTGACGCCTAGCACATAACACCTGGCGCCTAACGCCTGGCGCCTAACGCATAGCGCCTAACGCATAGCGCCTAACGCATAGCGCATAACGCCTGCCACCTAACGCCTGGCGCCTAACGCTTTTCTAATTATGGTTGAACCCCGCAGCAGGTGTTTTAATTTGGGCTTTCCAGACTCAGAAAACACAAATAAGATGAAGAACACCCATAAAACTCCTATGCATAAGAACTCGGGCGCCAAAACTTCATCGAACAGACAATAGAGCACTCTTTACGCCTCATTCGAAATATGCAGTAGCCTTAGCGATCCGTTGATGCATAGAAAAAAGTGGGGCCCTCAGAGTCGCTTACTTAAAATGCGTAGCGGGGATGTTCGGGCGGTACGATAGGGAACTACGGCAGATTTAAGAGACGTGGCATCGTGGTATTCCCAAGAGTTGTTTGCATCTGCGAATAGGCTATATGAATTCTCATAAACCTGACCTGTGAAAGTGACAATCAATTTTCAATAGCTTTTTGGATTTACGACGCGCAGGTCACATTCTTGGCTCACCTCGCGCGTGCTATATGCAGCGATCTGCATCATGTCAGCCTATTAACAAAGGAGCAGATCCATCCTACATCCAAACTGGGTTGCAACTACAGATGCAGCTCGCATTGCAGAGATGATGCAGCTCACCTTGCAGGTATGTATGTCAGCCAAGAAATCAGACCCATAGAGCTTCAACCATGAATCGTCGTGGACACGCGGTAAGTATTGCCTTTAAAGATAGAAAAAGCGCCGAGAATTTGATTGCAGTCAACACTGTTCTTCACTGTCTTTTTTGGGGGTTTTCAATACTGGATCGGGGTTTTCAAGTTGCGTTGAACTCACAACCGACTGCATCAGACAGTATAGAACGCTAAATCATCGATAGTGCGAGCTACTAAAATAGTAAATGATGTAAAGCGAAAGAATTTTATGAGACTTGAGCCAGTGTAAACCGAAGGCTCAGATATACTGGCAGACTACACCAAACCTAAAAAAATTCGCAACTACCAGTCCACAGAATCGATTGTCTGCCTCTGATTAGCTCTCATTCTTAGCAAACATCGGCAACTACTATCTCTAGGCAAATATGGCATACAGTTGTGCACCGTTGGAATGCACAGCATAGACCCCCATGCATCCAACCTCAAATGTCACTCAGTAAACATGACTCCACCATTGAGCTCAGACTTACAAGAATGATCCGATTTTCTCTTTTGAGATCAGTTTTGCATAGTTTTCCGTTCTAGTGCCATCTGGTTATTGGTTCCGCCTCACTGCATGCAGCTCTCACTGCATATAACTGCAAGTATGCAGATGATCGGACGCAGGCGGACTAGGTATCTTGCTCAAATCTAGAACAGAATTAACGGAGCAAAACCTTCTGAAGCTAAACGGACATAATTCAACTGATATCACCGTTCAGCAATGTTTGAGCCACACAGAAAATTTAAAATAGTACAGCTAGGAGTATTTAAGATCAATTTGCTAAAGTACTACCATGCGTATTTGCAACAAAGGAGTAAATTATCATTACCCTATCTCGTATTCCTCTTCGAACAAATGATATTTGTGCTGCGGATCATTTTACGTTACTCATTAGCTTCATATTCCGTCTCCGAATGTATTGTATAGCTTGCAAATGCAAATGCTACAACCATGCATTGCGTGCACCACGTTGACATGCATACCAATGCAAGAAGAGTGCGGGAACTGCATCGAAATGAACTTCCCCGCTGCGTTAACCTATAAATATTTCTTTCTACGGTCAAGTGCCCCATTATCCCGCCGATGAAAGTTAACGACGGCCGGGTGGGTGTGCTTATTGCCGCATCTCTCTCTTGCGTCGCGGCCGCTCAAAGCGTCACTTCACCACCTGGAATTGTCAATGATCCTATCCTTAGCTCCATCTCTGCTGTCATCCCTCCTTTGACCACTCTAAACTCACCGCCCTTGATACCCGACAAACTCCAAAAGCCGTCCGATATTTTCCTCCGCCAGGTCCACGCTGCTGCAAATACCCCCGGTGCTTCTGTCTGCACTACCCTCATCACTACCACTGGCCTTATCCCCAGCGCTACCGCGTGTGCTTGCGGTGAATCTCCCAGCTCTGGCTTGCCCTCCGTTATTACTTCCGTTCTACAGACTGTTGAAAAACTACTGAATGCTCTCGGTAACGCCGCCGGTAATATTGGCGCGCTTAGCCCTCTGCTTGCTGCAGTTACCGGTGCCATCGACGCTCTGCTTGCTGCCCTTGGTGGGGTTACGTGTCTCGCTGGTGATGCGCTGTTGTCGATCTTCAAGATCGTTGATAACTTGGTCACTGTTATTGAGAATGTTGCACAGCAACTTGCCAATAGCAGCGGTGTCTTGGCTCCCGTCCTCAAATTGATTCTTTCGGGTCTTATCGGTAGCCTGAACAGCGTCATTGGTACGCTTGCTTCTATTCTCGCCAAGTCTAGTGGCTGCTACGACTGTGCTGATATCGACAACATCAACAAGCTTATCAACAGTGTCAACCAAATTGGCGCTACGCTTTCTTCGCCTATCACCATTCCGTTGTTGAAACCGTGCACTAGTGGTCCCATCACTTTGACTACGGTTGGACCTTGCCCATCTAACACTGTGAACCCCTCTAGCCCAGCTCAGTCTAGCTCAGCTTCCCCAAGTCAGTCAGGTGCTTCTAGCTCTGGTGCACAATCCGGCTCAGCTACTCCTAGCCAATCTGGTGCTTCTAGCTCCGCTGCACAGTCCGGCTCTGTTGCAGCTACGGGCTCAGGTGCTTCTAGCTCAGGTGCACAGTCCGGCTCCACTATCGCAAGCGGCTCAGGTGCTTCTAGTTCATCTGCAGGTCCTTGTGTAACCTCATCCGCACCTGGCATTGTCAACGATCCTATTCTTAGCTCCATCTCTGCTGTCATCCCTCCTTTGACCACTCTAAACTCCCTTGTCCAACAGTGGCAGTCCAGTGATGGTTTGGGTGGTGCTCTTGCTATTCAGAACAGCTACTACCCGCTGTACAGCTCGGTTATGAGCCTACAGGCTGCCGTTGCTAACCCTCCCCAGATTGCTTCCAACAACGCTATTGTCTACATTAACTCGTTGAATACCCTTGTTGCAGATATTGCAACTCTGATGGATAGCCTCAATGCCAAGGCGAATGCATTTTCTGCAAACAATGTTGGAGGCATTGTTGTTGGAGACATTACTTCGCTTGCGAGCCCAGCATCTAAGATCGAGGCCCAGCTATTTGCCGGGTTCCCCAGTGATATTGCTTGTGCCGATGTTTCTTCGGCAGCTAAGGTTGCTAGCAGTTTCTCAGCGGCATTCGCTTCAGCAGTCAAGACCTTCACGATCGCTCAAGGAATTCCTGCGTTCCCTACAGCGCCTTCAGCCTGCTTGAGCTACTGTTCGGCTGTTTCCAGTGTTCCTGAGGGAGCTTCTAGCCCAGCTCACTCTGGTTCCTCTACCTCGAACCGTTCTGGTGCTTCCAGCTCTGGTGCTCCCTCTGGCTCAGCTACCCCCAGCCGTTCTGGTGCTTCTAGCTCCGGTGCTCAATCTAGCTCAGCAACCCTTAGCGGCTCAGGTGCTTCTGGCTCCAGTGCTCACTCTTCTTCTGGATCGGGTGCTCCTTCTGGATCTCTCTGCACCATTATCATGACCACTACCATCACCAACCCGAGTCTGGTTCCTCGTGCGGCATGTGCTTGTGGTGACTCACCCAGCTCTGGTCTGACCTCAGTTATTACTTCTGTTCTCCAGACTGTTGAGAATCTGCTCAACGGTCTTGCTGACGCCGCCGGCAATATTGCCGCGCTTGGCCCTCTGCTTGCTGCAGTTACCGGCGCTATCGAGGCTTTGCTTGCTGCCCTTGGTGGCATCACCTGTCTCGCTGGCGATGCACTCCTGTCGATCTTTAAGATTGTTGATAACTTGGTCACTGTTATTGAGAATGTTGCCCAGCAACTCGCTAACAGTAGCGGTATCTTGGCTCCCGTCCTCAAATTGATTCTTTCGGGTCTTATCGGTAGCCTGAACAGCGTCATTGGTACGATTGCTTCCATTCTCGCCAAGTCTAGTGGCTGCTACGACTGTGCTGATATCGACAACATCAACAAGCTTATCAACAGTGTCAACCAAATTGGGGCCACGCTTTCCTCGCCTATCACCATCCCGTTGTTGAAGCCGTGCACTAGTGGTCCCATCACTTTGACTACGGTTGGACCTTGCCCATCTAACACTGTGAACCCCTCTAGCCCAGCTCAGTCTAGCTCAGCTTCCCCAAGTCAGTCAGGTGCTTCTAGCTCTGGTGCACAATCCGGCTCAGCTACTCCTAGCCAATCTGGTGCTTCTAGCTCCGCTGCACAGTCCGGCTCTGTTGCAGCTACGGGCTCAGGTGCTTCTAGCTCAGGTGCACAGTCCGGCTCCACTATCGCAAGCGGCTCAGGTGCTTCTAGTTCATCTGCAGGTCCTTGTGTAACCTCATCCGCACCTGGCATTGTCAACGATCCTATTCTTAGCTCCATCTCTGCTGTCATCCCTCCTTTGACCACTCTGAACTCCCTTGTCCAACAGTGGCAGTCCAGTGATGGTTTGGGTGGTGCTCTTGCTATTCAGAACAGCTACTACCCGCTGTACAGCTCGGTTATGAGCCTACAGGCTGCCGTTGCTAATCCTCCCCAGATTGCTTCCAACAACGCTATTGTCTACATCAACTCGTTGAATACCCTTGTTGCAGACATTGCAACTCTGATGGATAGCCTCAATGCCAAGGCGAATGCATTTGTTGCAAACAATGTTGGAGGCATTGTTGTTGGAGACATTACTTCGCTTGCGAGCCCAGCATCTAAGATCGAGGCCCAACTATTTGCCGGGTTCCCAAGCGATATTGCTTGTGCCGATGTTTCTTCGGCAGCTGAGGTTGCTAGCAGTTTCTCAGCGGCATTCGCTTCAGCAGTCAAGACCTTCACGATCGTTCAAGGAATTCCTGCATTCCCTACAGCACCTTCAGCCTGCTTGAGCTACTGTTCGGCTGTTTCCAGTGTTCCTGAGGGAGCTTCTAGTGCACGTTCTGCGGCCCCCAGTGGGTCTGAGGGAGCTTCCAGTTCACCTTCTGCGGCTCCCAGTGGATCTAAGGGAGCTTCTAGTGCACCTTCTGCAGCCTCCAGTGCGCCCACAGCTGTATCCAGTTCACCTTCTGCTGTCTCTAGTGCCCCTGCTGCTTCTGTCTGCACTACCCTCATCACTACCACTGGCCTTATCCCCAGCGCTACCGCGTGTGCTTGCGGTGAATCTCCCAGCTCTGGCTTGCCCTCCGTTATTACTTCCGTTCTACAGACTGTTGAAAAACTACTGAATGCTCTCGGTAACGCCGCCGGTAATATTGGCGCGCTTAGCCCTCTGCTTGCTGCAGTTACCGGTGCCATCGACGCTCTGCTTGCTGCCCTTGGTGGGGTTACGTGTCTCGCTGGTGATGCGCTGTTGTCGATCTTCAAGATCGTTGATAACTTGGTCACTGTTATTGAGAATGTTGCACAGCAACTTGCCAATAGCAGCGGTGTCTTGGCTCCCGTCCTCAAATTGATTCTTTCGGGTCTTATCGGTAGCCTGAACAGCGTCATTGGTACGCTTGCTTCTATTCTCGCCAAGTCTAGTGGCTGCTACGACTGTGCTGATATCGACAACATCAACAAGCTTATCAACAGTGTCAACCAAATTGGCGCTACGCTTTCTTCGCCTATCACCATTCCGTTGTTGAAACCGTGCACTAGTGGTCCCATAACTTTGACTACGGTTGGACCTTGCCCATCTAACACTGTCAACCCCTCTAGCTCTGGTGGGTTCTCCGGTACCGTTGGCCCCATCGCCTCTAGCCCAGCTCAGTCTGGTTCATCCACCTCGAACCGTTCTGGTGCTTCTAGCTCCGCTGCACAGTCCGGCTCTGTTGCAGCTACGGGCTCAGGTGCTTCTAGCACTGGCGCACAGTCCGGCTCCACTATTGCAAGCGGCTCAGGTGCTTCTAGTTCATCTGCGGGTCCTTGTGTAACCTCATCCGCACCTGGCATTGTCAACGATCCTATTCTTAGCTCCATCTCTGCTGTCATCCCTCCTTTGACCACTCTAAACTCCCTTGTCCAACAGTGGCAGTCCAGTGATGGTTTGGGTGGTGCTCTTGCAATTCAGAACAGCTACTACCCGCTGTACAGCTCGGTTATGAGCCTACAGGCTGCCGTTGCTAATCCTCCCCAGATTGCTTCCAACAACGCTATTGTCTACATTAACTCGTTGAATACCCTTGTTGCAGATATTGCAACTCTGATGGATAGCCTCAATGCCAAGGCGAATGCATTTTCTGCAAACAATGTTGGAGGCATTGTTGTTGGAGACATTACTTCGCTTGCGAGCCCAGCATCTAAGATCGAGGCTCAACTATTTGCCGGGTTCCCCAGCGATATTGCTTGTGCCGATGTTTCTTCGGCAGCTGAGGTTGCTAGCAGTTTCTCAGCGGCATTCGCTTCAGCAGTCAAGACCTTCACGATCGCTCAAGGAATTCCTGCGTTCCCTACAGCACCTTCAGCCTGCTTGAGCTACTGTTCGGCTGTTTCCAGTGTTCCTGAGGGAGCTTCTAGTGCACGTTCTGCGGCCCCCAGTGGGTCTGAGGGAGCTTCCAGTTCACCTTCTGCGGCTCCCAGTGGATCTAAGGGAGCTTCTAGTGCACCTTCTGCAGCCTCCAGTGCGCCCACAGCTGTATCCAGTTCACCTTCTGCTGTCTCTAGTGCCCCTGCTGCTTCTGTCTGCACTACCCTCATCACTACCACTGGCCTTATCCCCAGCGCTACCGCGTGTGCTTGCGGTGAATCTCCCAGCTCTGGCTTGCCCTCCGTTATTACTTCCGTTCTACAGACTGTTGAAAAACTACTGAATGCTCTCGGTAACGCCGCCGGTAATATTGGCGCGCTTAGCCCTCTGCTTGCTGCAGTTACCGGTGCCATCGACGCTCTGCTTGCTGCCCTTGGTGGGGTTACGTGTCTCGCTGGTGATGCGCTGTTGTCGATCTTCAAGATCGTTGATAACTTGGTCACTGTTATTGAGAATGTTGCACAGCAACTTGCCAATAGCAGCGGTGTCTTGGCTCCCGTCCTCAAATTGATTCTTTCGGGTCTTATCGGTAGCCTGAACAGCGTCATTGGTACGCTTGCTTCTATTCTCGCCAAGTCTAGTGGCTGCTACGACTGTGCTGATATCGACAACATCAACAAGCTTATCAACAGTGTCAACCAAATTGGCGCTACGCTTTCTTCGCCTATCACCATTCCGTTGTTGAAACCGTGCACTAGTGGTCCCATCACTTTGACTACGGTTGGACCTTGCCCATCTAACACTGTGAACCCCTCTAGCCCAGCTCAGTCTAGCTCAGCTTCCCCAAGTCAGTCAGGTGCTTCTAGCTCTGGTGCACAATCCGGCTCAGCTACTCCTAGCCAATCTGGTGCTTCTAGCTCCGCTGCACAGTCCGGCTCTGTTGCAGCTACGGGCTCAGGTGCTTCTAGCTCAGGTGCACAGTCCGGCTCCACTATCGCAAGCGGCTCAGGTGCTTCTAGTTCATCTGCAGGTCCTTGTGTAACCTCATCCGCACCTGGCATTGTCAACGATCCTATTCTTAGCTCCATCTCTGCTGTCATCCCTCCTTTGACCACTCTAAACTCCCTTGTCCAACAGTGGCAGTCCAGTGATGGTTTGGGTGGTGCTCTTGCTATTCAGAACAGCTACTACCCGCTGTACAGCTCGGTTATGAGCCTACAGGCTGCCGTTGCTAACCCTCCCCAGATTGCTTCCAACAACGCTATTGTCTACATTAACTCGTTGAATACCCTTGTTGCAGATATTGCAACTCTGATGGATAGCCTCAATGCCAAGGCGAATGCATTTTCTGCAAACAATGTTGGAGGCATTGTTGTTGGAGACATTACTTCGCTTGCGAGCCCAGCATCTAAGATCGAGGCCCAGCTATTTGCCGGGTTCCCCAGTGATATTGCTTGTGCCGATGTTTCTTCGGCAGCTAAGGTTGCTAGCAGTTTCTCAGCGGCATTCGCTTCAGCAGTCAAGACCTTCACGATCGCTCAAGGAATTCCTGCGTTCCCTACAGCGCCTTCAGCCTGCTTGAGCTACTGTTCGGCTGTTTCCAGTGTTCCTGAGGGAGCTTCTAGCCCAGCTCACTCTGGTTCCTCTACCTCGAACCGTTCTGGTGCTTCCAGCTCTGGTGCTCCCTCTGGCTCAGCTACCCCCAGCCGTTCTGGTGCTTCTAGCTCCGGTGCTCAATCTAGCTCAGCAACCCTTAGCGGCTCAGGTGCTTCTGGCTCCAGTGCTCACTCTTCTTCTGGATCGGGTGCTCCTTCTGGATCTCTCTGCACCATTATCATGACCACTACCATCACCAACCCGAGTCTGGTTCCTCGTGCGGCATGTGCTTGTGGTGACTCACCCAGCTCTGGTCTGACCTCAGTTATTACTTCTGTTCTCCAGACTGTTGAGAATCTGCTCAACGGTCTTGCTGACGCCGCCGGCAATATTGCCGCGCTTGGCCCTCTGCTTGCTGCAGTTACCGGCGCTATCGAGGCTTTGCTTGCTGCCCTTGGTGGCATCACCTGTCTCGCTGGCGATGCACTCCTGTCGATCTTTAAGATTGTTGATAACTTGGTCACTGTTATTGAGAATGTTGCCCAGCAACTCGCTAACAGTAGCGGTATCTTGGCTCCCGTCCTCAAATTGATTCTTTCGGGTCTTATCGGTAGCCTGAACAGCGTCATTGGTACGATTGCTTCCATTCTCGCCAAGTCTAGTGGCTGCTACGACTGTGCTGATATCGACAACATCAACAAGCTTATCAACAGTGTCAACCAAATTGGGGCCACGCTTTCCTCGCCTATCACCATCCCGTTGTTGAAACCGTGCTCTAGTGGTCCCATCACTTTGACTACGGTTGGACCTTGCCCATCTAACACTGTGAACCCCTCTAGCCCAGCTCAGTCTAGCTCAGCTTCCCCAAGTCAGTCAGGTGCTTCTAGCTCTGGTGCACAATCCGGCTCAGCTACTCCTAGCCAATCTGGTGCTTCTAGCTCTGGTGCACAATCCGGCTCAGCTACTCCTAGCCAATCTGGTGCTTCTAGCTCTGGTGCACAATCCGGCTCAGCTACTCCTAGCCAATCTGGTGCTTCTAGCTCCGCTGCACAGTCCGGCTCTGTTACAGCTACGGGCTCAGGTGCTTCTAGCTCAGGTGCACAGTCCAGCTCCACTATTGCAAGCGGCTCAGGTGCTTCTAGTTCATCTGCGGGTCCTTGTGTAACCTCATCCGCGCCTGGCATTGTCAACGATCCTATTCTTAGCTCCATCTCTGCTGTCATCCCTCCTTTGACCACTCTAAACTCCCTTGTCCAACAGTGGCAGTCCAGTGATGGTTTGGGTGGTGCTCTTGCAATTCAGAACAGCTACTACCCGCTGTACAGCTCGGTTATGAGCCTACAGGCTGCCGTTGCTAATCCTCCCCAGATTGCTTCCAACAACGCTATTGTCTACATTAACTCGTTGAATACCCTTGTTGCAGATATTGCAACTCTGATGGATAGCCTCAATGCCAAGGCGAATGCATTTTCTGCAAACAATGTTGGAGGCATTGTTGTTGGAGACATTACTTCGCTTGCGAGCCCAGCATCTAAGATCGAGGCTCAACTATTTGCCGGGTTCCCCAGCGATATTGCTTGTGCCGATGTTTCTTCGGCAGCTGAGGTTGCTAGCAGTTTCTCAGCGGCATTCGCTTCAGCAGTCAAGACCTTCACGATCGTTCAAGGAATTCCTGCATTCCCTACAGCACCTTCAGCCTGCTTGAGCTACTGTTCGGCTGTTTCCAGTGTTCCTGAGGGAGCTTCTAGTGCACATTCTGCGGCCCCCAGTGGGTCTGAGGGAGCTTCCAGTTCACCTTCTGCGGCTCCCAGTGGATCTAAGGGAGCTTCTAGTGCACCTTCTGCAGCCTCCAGTGCGCCCACAGCTGTATCCAGTTCACCTTCTGCTGTCTCTAGTGCCCCTGCTGCTTCTGTCTGCACTACCCTCATCACTACCACTGGCCTTATCCCCAGCGCTACCGCGTGTGCTTGCGGTGAATCTCCCAGCTCTGGCTTGACCTCCGTTATTACTTCCGTTCTACAGACTGTTGAAAAACTACTGAATGCTCTCGGTAACGCCGCCGGTAATATTGGCGCGCTTAGCCCTCTGCTTGCTGCAGTTACCGGTGCCATCGACGCTCTGCTTGCTGCCCTTGGTGGGGTTACGTGTCTCGCTGGTGATGCGCTGTTGTCGATCTTCAAGATCGTTGATAACTTGGTCACTGTTATTGAGAATGTTGCACAGCAACTTGCCAATAGCAGCGGTGTCTTGGCTCCCGTCCTCAAATTGATTCTTTCGGGTCTTATCGGTAGCCTGAACAGCGTCATTGGTACGATTGCTTCTATTCTAGCCAAGTCTAGTGGCTGCTACGACTGTGCTGATATCGACAACATTAACAAGCTAATCAGTAGCGTCAACCAAATCGGCGCCACAATTTCCTCACCTATCACCATTCCGTTGTTGAAGCCGTGCACTAGTGGTCCCATCACTTTGACTACGGTTGGCCCGTGCTCATCTAACACTGTGAACCCATCTAGCTCTGGTGGGTTCTCCGGTACCGTTGGCCCTGTCGCCTCTAGCCCAGCTCACTCTGGTTCCTCTACCTCGAACCGTTCTGGTGCTTCCAGCTCTGGTGCTCCCTCTGGCTCAGCTACCCCCAGCCGTTCTGGTGCTTCTAGCTCCGGTGCTCAATCTAGCTCAGCAACCCTTAGCGGCTCAGGTGCTTCTGGCTCCAGTGCTCGTTCTGGCTCAGCTACCCCTAGCGGCTCAGGTGCCTCTGGCTCCAGTGCTCACTCTTCTTCTGGATCGGGTGCTCCTTCTGGATCTCTCTGCACCATTATCATGACCACTACCATCACCAACCCGAGTCTGGTTCCTCGTGCGGCATGTGCTTGTGGTGACTCACCCAGCTCTGGTCTGACCTCAGTTATTACTTCTGTTCTCCAGACTGTTGAGAATCTGCTCAACGGTCTTGCTGACGCCGCCGGCAATATTGCCGCGCTTGGCCCTCTGCTTGCTGCAGTTACCGGCGCTATCGAGGCTTTGCTTGCTGCCCTTGGTGGCATCACCTGTCTCGCTGGCGATGCACTCCTGTCGATCTTTAAGATTGTTGATAACTTGGTCACTGTTATTGAGAATGTTGCCCAGCAACTCGCTAACAGTAGCGGTATCTTGGCTCCCGTCCTCAAATTGATTCTTTCGGGTCTTATCGGTAGCCTGAACAGCGTCATTGGTACGATTGCTTCTATTCTCGCCAAGTCTAGTGGCTGCTACGACTGTGCTGATATCGACAACATCAACAAGCTTATCAGTAGCGTCAACCAAATCGGCGCCACGCTTTCCTCACCTATCACCATTCCGTTGTTGAAACCGTGCCCTAGCGGTCCTGTTACTTTGACGACGATTGGCCCATGCCCATCCAACACAGTTAACCCCTCTAGCTCTGGTACTTCTAGCAGTTCTGGTGCTTCTAGCTCTGGTGCTCCCTCTGGCTCAGCTACCCCCAGTGGCTCTGGAGCTCACTCCGGCTCAGCTACCCCCAGCGGCTCAGCTACCTCCAGCGGCTCTGGTGCTCACTCCGGCTCAGCTACCCCCAGCGGCTCTGGTGCTCCCTCCGGCTCAGCTACCTCCAGCGGCTCTGGTGCTCACTCCGGCTCAGCTACCCCCAGCGGCTCTGGTGCTCCCTCCGGCTCAGCTACCTCCAGCGGCTCAGCTACCTCCAGCGGCTCTGGTGCTCACTCCGGCTCAGCTACCTCCAGCGGCTCTGGTGCTCACTCCGGCTCAGCTACCCCCAGCGGCTCTGGTGCTCCCTCCGGCTCAGCTACCTCCAGCGGCTCTGGTGCTCACTCCGGCTCAGCTACCCCCAGCGGCTCTGGTGCTCACTCCGGCTCAGCTACCCCCAGCGGCTCTGGTGCTCCCTCCGGCTCAGCTACCTCCAGCGGCTCTGGTGCTCACTCCGGCTCAGCTACCTCCAGCGGCTCTGGTGCTCACTCCGGCTCAGCTACCCCCAGCGGCTCTGGTGCTCACTCCGGCTCAGCTACCCCCAGCGGCTCTGGTGCTCCCTCCGGCTCAGCTACCTCCAGCGGCTCTGGTGCTCCCTCTGGCTCAGCTACTCCCAGCGGCTCTGGTGCTCACTCCAGCTCAGCTACCCCCAGTGGCTCTGGTGCTCCCTCCGGATCAGCTACCCCCAGCGGCTCTGGTGCTCCCTCTGGCTCAGCTACTCCCAGTGGCTCTGGTGCTCACTCCGGCTCAGCTACTCCCAGTGGCTCTGGTGCTCACTCCGGCTCAGCTACTCCCAGTGGCTCTGGTGCTCACTCTGGCTCAGCTACTCCCAGTGGCTCTGGTGCTCACTCCGGCTCAGCTACTCCTAGCGGCTCTGGTGCGCACTCCGGCTCTATTGCACCTACCGCTTCAACTGCTTCCGGATCTGGCACTCAGTCCGGTACTGTTGCGGCAGTCGCTTCTAGTTCAGGTTCAGGTTCAGGCTCTAATGGCTCCGGTTCAGGCTCCGGCACCGGCTCTAATGGCTCCGGTTCAGGCACCGGCTCTAGTGGCTCCGGTTCAGGCACCGGCTCTAATGGCTCCGGTTCAGGCTCCGGCTCAGGCTCCGGTTCAGGCTCCGGCTCAGGCTCCGGCTCAGGCTCAGGCTCAGGCTCCGGCTCTAATGGCTCCGGCTCAGGCTCCGGCTCCGGTTCAGGCTCAGGTTCAGGTTCAGGTTCAGGCTCAGGCTCAGGCTCAGGCTCAGGCTCAGGCTCAGGCTCAGGCTCAGGCTCAGGCTCAGGCTCAGGCTCAGGCTCAGGCTCTAATGGCACCGGCTCCGGCACCGGCTCTAATGGCACCGGTTCAAGCTCCGGCTCTAATGGCTCTGGTTCAGGGTCAGGCTCGGGCTCTAATGGCTCGGGATCTGGTTCAAGCTCTAATGGCTCCGGTTCAGGCTCAGGCTCTAATGGCTCTGGTTCAGACTCGGGCTCAGGCTCAGGATCTGAGTCTTCCGTGGCTGCGTCCAATGCTGCTCCAAAGGTTAAATATAGCCTGTACTCTGCGGTACTTGGTACTATTTTGGTAGCCTTGCTGTAGTCGCTATAGATTTTTAGAATATTTCTCACCTATTGAAAAGTCTATATCAAGACTGAAAATTTTGAGCCACTATGGTCTTCCGTATCGTATGTACGTTCTAATGAAGCTACTGCTATTCCGTTCCTGTTTTTGGTTTAGACTTGGTTGGACTCTGAATGAAACCGAATTGGTGGTAATTCCAGACAATATTTTCATAGACCTGATAAAGATAGCAGATCGAAACAGTATTATGAATATAGCAAGGAAGCTTGATGTAGATCTGGGAGCTTGGATACAATCCTGTTGGTAGGCTAGAGGCACCGGTTGTCTGGAGCCGAGGACATGCAGCTATGGTGAAACGGTCGGAGCCCACTTCTTGGCACAAGCGGGGTAGGCCCAAAAAAAATCAACCGAAGAAACCAAAATGATAAAAAACCGCCAATTTTCAACTAAAAGCCTCTAGATATGGAAATTTCTTTAATGAATTGCTCCTTCATAGATTTGAGCCGCTGTACATACGTTTGATGTACGTACGCTGTGTTCTGTGGCAACCAAACCAGCGGGCAGAATCTAAATATGAGAATAGAGGTCAAAACGTACCATTTTATCTGCTGTCAGTACATTGGTATAGTTTTTATGTCGGCATTCGCTGCGATTTCACACGCATTGCCAATTTGTTCTCTCCGGGCCGGACGGGTGAACCCATGCCAGAACACTGCCGTACTGACTAAATTCTGAAAAAAAATCTTACTGCGGAACAGACGCAGATGCAACTGCAGCTGCAACCCTCAATAGGAACGCGACCAAAGGTGTATACGGTTGGAGTATTTCAGGGCTGAATGGCGTCTGGCCGTAATAGAAAGCATTGTGAGGTTAATATAGATGTTTTTGAGGCCACTCACAACTTGAATGCAGGGTTATATACTTGAATTGGCGAAGCTACCAACTCATTAGAACTTCTATAAAGGTAGAGAGTATAGGTTCAGACCTTAATAGCGACAGGAGGTGGCAGGCATAAATAGCGTGTCACGACACGGAGGCATTTTTTGCCCATTCAATCAGGGTAGGGCAAGTGCACGGCTCCCCAACGTTTTTTCGCACAAGCGAACTGGAATTGACCAAGCATCAGATGATGAACGACACCTTGAAAGTTACCATATTTAAACTGTATACGAGAAGTTTCATCACATGTGATGAGACGAACCATTGTTAGTCCTGCTTGAAGAAACACGTACCTAGCAGTCTTCGGGGTGCCCAAAAAGGAGTAGTATTGCTTTTTCTGTGCAGTTGCAGTCAACAGTCTCGAGGGCATCTGAACAGGAAGATCTCCATGAACGCAGCTCTGGTTGGTTTGATACACCATAAAACAGATAGATAGCTCCAAATATGTTTTACAAGAACTCTATTTCAGCTAGTCCCTTGGTTTACTGCCAAAGTGAGGTTGCTATGCGGACATGCACTATGTGTACCCCACTCAAAAGCCAAGGGCCCAGCACCACCAAGCAGGGCCTACTCAGACCATATATAAACACCCCAGGACTCAATTGTCACAACGCAAAATATCAAGATGAAGATGAGTTCTCAGGCCATACTTCTTGCTTTGCTTTCTATAGTTTCTGCTCAGTGTGTCACCTCTGAGGCTCCAGATGCTGCTGATGGCCCATTATTCGCATCAATTACTGCTGTTGAGAGCAATCTTGACATCCTTAACAGCCTTGTACAGTCATGGTCAAAGTATGATGGTATCTTGGGTGCGATAGACATCCAACAGAACTTCTACCCTCTCTACAGAGCTTGTACAAGCTTGAACGATCAAGCTGGCAAATTGACTGTTGTCGAGTCCAAGAACGTTGCCAACTACATCAGCTCCATGAACGGGCTTGTCGCTGAGATTAGCACTCTTATTGGATCTTTGAATGAGAAGGCTAATGATATGATCAGTGTTGGCGCTGGCAGTATCGTCTCCGGTGATATTGTCTCTCTCGCTGGCCCCGCCTCTGACATTGAGGTTAAGCTTTTTGCCAATCTACCTTCTGATGCTCCCTGCATCCAGATCGCTTCTGCTGCTGAGGTGGCTTCCAACATGGATGCAGCATACAAAAATGCTGCTGCCTCATACACCATCACCAAGGGTATTCCTGAGTTCCCTGCTGCCCCTAGTGTCTGTTCTAGTTATTGCACCGAAAGTTCTGCAACTCCTACTTCTTCTCCTGCCACTTCGAGCACCAGCCCTACTACCCCGGGCACCAGTTCTACTACCCCGAGTAGCTCTCCTGCTGCTCCTGCCAGCTCTTCTCCTGCCGATGGCAAGTCGTCTACTGCTCCTGCCAGCTCTTCTCCTGCCGATGGCAAGTCGTCTACTGCTCCTGCCAGCTCCTGCCCTACCGATTGCAAGTCGTCTCCTGCTCCTGCCAGCTCCTCTCCTGCCGATGGCAAGTCTTCTGATGCTCCTGCCAGCTCTCCTCCTGCCGATGGCAAGTCCTCTGCTGCTCCTGCCACCTCTTCTGCTGCTTCTGAGGGTCCATGCGTTACTTCTGCCCCTGCCCAGCCGATTCAGCCAGCCTTTGGCTCCTCTCTCGATGCGGTTATCGCACCTCTTACTTCTCTCAACGCACTTGTCGAGAAGTGGTCAGTAGCTGATGGTCTTCCAGGTGGTTTGTCCATCCAAGAGGGCTACCAACCTCTTTACGATGCCGTTATGAACCTCAAGCAAGCCGCTGGTGGGCTTACAAGCTTCGAGGCCGACGACACTGTTGGCTACATCCAGACGTTCGGTGCTCTTGTTAGTGATATCAGCGCTTTGCTTGGCAATCTTAACGCCAAGGCCCAAGACTTCACTGCGGTTGGTGCTGCCCAGATTGTTCAGAACGATATCTCTTCTCTCGCCGGCCCTGCTTCTGAGATTGCTGTTTCCATTTTCAACCAGGTACCTACCGACGCTCCCTGCCCCGTCGTCACCTCTGCTGGCGCTGTTGGCTCTAGCCTTGGTGCTGCTTTCTCAAGTGCTGGTGCGACATTCAGTGTCCCGAATGTCCCTGAGTTCCCTGCTGCCGCTACCGCTTGCTTGACCTACTGCGGTGGTGAGACAGCTGCTCCTACCGGCCCTGCCGCGCCCAGCACACCTCCTAGCTCTGCCACCGCTCCCGCTGGCAACGCTACTACCTCTGGTGCTCCGGATGAAACTGTGACCACTGTTGTCACCGCTTTTACCACCTACTGCCCTGAGCCTACCACCTTGTGCCCTGGAAATGGCAAGTGCTACACCGTTACTGAGCCCACCACTTTGACGGTCACTGACTGCCCCTGCACCATCCCCGAGGAAAGGGAAACTACAACTACCGTTGTCACTGCTATTACTACCTACTGCCCTGAGCCTACCACCTTGTGCCCCGGAAATGGTAAGTGCTACACCGTCACTGAACCCACTACTTTGACGGTCACTGACTGCCCCTGTACTATCACCAAGAAGGAAGAGGCTACCACACACAAGGTCACTGCTGCAACTACTTTGACGGTCAACGGTGGCGCCAAGACCCATGCTCCTGAGGCTACTGCTCCCGTTGCCACTCTCCCTGTCGAGCAAGGCACTGGTGTGACTCCTGCCAACGGCGCTTCTAGCCTCGCCGCTGGTTTGTATGTCGCGGTCGCAGGTATTGCCGCTATCGCTCTGCTTTAAGAGCCGCCATTTTCAAGTTTAAATAATTATGTTTTGACGATAGGATAATTCAGCATTCCTCTAACTGAACCAATAAAGGTTAGCAATGTAGCCACCATGCTTTTCGTCTATCCTTCCTGTGTTGCGGAGCCACTCCACCAGGACTTTGACCTCATTGAGTCTGAGAACTGCCTTCAAGTTTGCAGCTATGAGCTCAAGGGTAATATAAGGCCGCATCACCAGTAAAAGTAAGACTTTGGAGACCACCGCCTCGAAGGCAGATTCAGAGTACTGCCAAAAGTAGATTTCGTTGGATTTCTTAGACACGGGGTAAACGCTGTAGAGAGGAGGTGGCTTTCTCAAAGATCTTGAAACCTCGACAACCACTTCGAAATCTAGTTTCTGCTTTTCGATCATTCGAGACCGATAATCACTAATTAATCGGCCTGTCGTATGGTTCAAGCGACGGAGGTGCAGGCCGTCCGTGCTCGCCAACTCGAGAATCGCAGCAATTGACGAGTCCTCAACTGTAGGAGGCACAAGGTATGAGTTTGCAAGACTTTTCACAAATTCACGAGCTTCTCGACTAAAACTCGTGTCTAACTTAGTTGATAAAGCATTGGTCACGCGCTCACTGAGAGTGTAGTTTCTTCCAGGCAGTACCTTTGTAGGATCACGCGGGGTGTAGTGGATAACTTTGTTTGAAACCAAAGCCTCTGTTGCTTCGCTGACGCGTTCCTCGCCCAGCTCTCCCAACAAACCGGCTGCACGTTCTGGAGATAGATCGTCGCCGCTCGTGATAACAGCCCTTACCAGCTGCTCATCGGAAGTGAAATCGACACATCCAGTCACCTTGTTTAAAGACCTTCCTGAAGGTACGGAGAAAGACGTGTTTGTTATGAGCTCCTCAACACGAACCATAGTTGGAAGGTTGAATACGCCCTCTAGAGGATTGGATACTGGCTGACTTCGTATCGTACCATATCTTGCTTCGAAGTCAGCACGAGTAGTCAGAGCCTTCACATCATCGAACAAACTAGTTTCGGAATGATGAATCCAGAAATCAACGTACGGCTGCAGGCTAAAGCCTTCCTTCTCCGGGTCGTGGAGCTCTATTTCAGAGCGGCTGTAGGCAGCTAAAAACAGTCGTTCCCATTGCTCCGTAGCTTTTGAAAGTGCCTTTGTACCACCGTACTGGTCACGGATCGCTGGCCAGCGTTTTCTAGCTCGGCTGGCACTAAGTCCAGGGATGTCACTTACAATCATTTCCCAATCAATATTAGCGCCTCGAGGATAAAGAGATCGCGAGACCACAATTGACCTGTATAAGCGCTCAGGGTCAATCTGAACGGGCTGGTCATCTTCTTCCCGAGTTTCTTCGTGCTTACGCTTCTTGGTTGTGAGCATGCTCGACAGTCGGCCTGTACGAGTACGTTTTGGAGTAGCCGGTTTGGAAATTTTTGTAATTTTCGCATTGTCTTCATTGGTGTTTGCAGTACCAGCTGCAACATCACTAGCCTTAGGGCCAAACTTTCTTCGGTTAACCTTTGTTTTGACTTCAGAAGCGAGTACACGAAACCTACGCGGTGTGCTTCCACAGCTTAGAGCCGAAATATCGCCTTCGACGAGAGCAGGCAGCTTGGAAGGTGTAGTAGCGTTGGGTGGATTTTGAATGGACTCAGAGAGATCCGCTTTTAGTTTTGTGATTATTTCCGCGCCAGCATCAATTGCAGGGTCGTGAATAATATAGCGTGTGACAAAAATACCCCGCATTGGTGCAGTAACAAAAATCTGCTTTATCTTTCCGCTGCCAACCAAGCGAGCAATAGACTTTTCAATAGTTTTGCGATCAATGGTGGACGCACTACTCTCTGTCTTCTCTAATCGTTTCGCCAAAGCCAAGCCACCAATACATGCACCACCATCAGCAGCCATAAGCGCTAAAATGTCGGCCTCACGCTTTGTCGCGGCAATGGACAAAGATGGCACAGTTGGTTCAGGTGTCTGTGTGACAACGTCTGAAACTGGCGATTCGGAAACCACTGAGTGAGTTTTGTTATCTGTAGTTGGCTCGTTAATCGACGGCGAATGGAATGAACTCAGAAGGGCAGCTGGAAGACGTGTGCGAGGGAATCCGGGTGTTCCCCCTTTCCAGTTCCTCTTGGAGATATCGAACTTGTCCTGGTCTTGTGACTTTCGGATTTTGGGCACTTCATTCACAGGTTTTGGTGCATTCTTGCGCGGTCTACCTCTTCCTTTCCCTTGGGCTGGTGGTGTGGCTGCAGCTAAAATAATACGTGATCCTTCTAGCTTTTTATCTCCATGGAAATGAGATAGCTGCTGGCTGTTTTCTGTTTCGATTATAACGGCACCTCCAACGAGAGGTGTGCTCTCTTTCGAGCTCAACATTTGTAAAGACGAGGCCCCGGATGAAGGCATGGGTGGGAAGACACCCCAACATGGGTTTGCAGGACGATTTTCGAATTGAGCGTACGTGATTTGGGTGAAGTAACGATAAAACTTCATCCTAGCAACAAAATCAATGCCTCTGACGAAATCGAGATAGGATAGTTCGTTTGGTATGGCCTTCTTTTTAGCCGTAGGCGTGGCCAACAACCCGTCCAATAGCCGGCTGATAGGCTTTTGATAGGCTGCACCAGTCAAATTACGATATAAAGACATTGCAGGGAGGCCAAATGATCCAGAATTTTGAACAAGATCGTAGATTTGGTGCTCAATAGGGTAAATTAGGTTCGCTATTGGGCCCGAGTCAGCGACGGCATGCGAGGCAACAACGACCTTGGCGACATCAGGTTGGTAACCTGGAGTTTCAATACTGGGACCCTCCTCGTTTTCCTCTTCATCATCTTCCTCGTCTTCCTCCTCGTCTTCCTCATCACCCCTACCTTCTGCCTCCTCATCAAGATCTTTGAGGTACTTGACACAGCGGTAAAGCGAGTCTGGGCGTTCAGACTCGTAGACATTCATACAAACCAGGTAGTTACCTTTTTCACCCTTTGCCAGTAAATTGCGCAGTAAGGGCCCACCTCTCGGGAGTTTATCGAACTGCAATTGGAAATATAGATCCTGCCTCAACCGCATCCCATTTGGGCCTGTCTTACACCACTCCAAGATGGATTTCAGCAGCTGGAACTTATCAATATGACCACCTGACTCTGTTCTTTCCGTGCGATATCTTTCAGCATATTGTTTGTGCACGATCAGATGGGTATGAGCTTTGTTTTGGACAACCGGGTAACGAACCACGAGGCCCTGGTCAGCCAAAAGTGCAATTCTGCCGTGTATGCTTCTGGGATCCTGCCCAGTTTCGCGACTCAACTCAATTGCAGACATGCCAGCAGAACGAGCCCTACAGACTGCGCAAAGGAGTTTGAAAGCCATTACACCAATGGGGCTATCAGCCTGTTGCTGACCTGTGAGGGCTAGCCATAGATACTCTTCGACAGTCTTGACCACAATTTCATCTTGTATTTTGAGCGATTCAGGGTTGTTAATGTCTGAAACAGAGACAGGCATTCCATCCCGGTTTGTTACAAGAACGCGTTTATCTGCAGTAACCCATCGCCACAGAGCAGACTGAAAAACTTGGTCGAGAGGCTGTCCAATTATGCTCTGTCCGAGCTCCCAGAATTCCTCTAACGTGGAGCCTTTCTCGCCCCTCAGAGCGAGATCATGAACGACCTGCTCGACGACACGACCAGGATCCATTACGTCAGAAAAGTCCAGTGCGGACAAGGTAAATTAGTGCCATATTAATTGGGCCACTGATGATAGCGGAACGTTATTGAGGTATCTATGGACAAACAAGTTACGTTTTATATTGTAGACTCATCTGAGTCGATGGTAGTGAGTCATAACGACCGAACACTTGCGAATGTGGAGTGGGTCTCAGAATACGTTGTAGACGAGATGGCAAACCGAGTTCTTTACGACAGAGTAAGCGATAAAGTTGGTGTTATTTTTGGAAACCAAGAGATTGTACCTATAGAATCTCCTAACCAAGAGAACATTGACGCGGTACGGAAGGCAGCGAGAAGTGCATCCATATGCGACGGATTTGAGCAAATGATAATCAATGCTTTAGGGTCTATCGAGACACACTGCAAGAAGCTGAAATTCAGCAAAAAAATTGTTGCATTCACCGATAAAGTGCCAACTGACGACGCGCTGCTAGCCCAGATACACGAAATGAGTAGCAGCTCTGGGGTTTCATTATTGTTTGCGTTTGTGGACGTGCCTCCACAAGAAATAGAGCAATTGCCTGGCGCAGCCGTGGGTTCTTATGCTGATGTAGCCGAGACTATCTGCGCGGCCAAGCCGAAGGTCATCAAGCCCATACATTTGTACAAAGGTCAATTGACACTAGGATCACCTGAGAAGAGTCATTTGGCGCTTGATATCGCTGTATATCCAGCCACAAAACGAGCCACTGCACCAACAGCTCATTGGGTGTATGGCCCCAACGGCCAGCAGGTCAAGCAGATTCGAGACCATCTTGTTGAGGGTCAGTCTGTGGAAAAAGACACCTTGGAAGCTGGGCATTTATTCGGGTCTGAAATCATTCTGTTCGACCGTATAGATGAGACTATGATATCCGGTGGTGGCCCGATTCGGGACCCTGGGTTGGAGATCATTGGGTTTGTGGAGGATGTCCCAGCATATATGCCCATCGGATCGTCAAATTACATCTTGGGGACGGAACCGCAGTCTGTTCTAGGTATCTCTGCGCTAGCCCGGTCTCTATATGAACGTGAGCTAGTGGCGATCGCGAGATTTGTTCGCCGGAGTGGCAGCGACATCGAAATGGTCTCATTACAACCATTAATCACACAAGAGGTTGAAGGCTTTTTAATGAATCAACTGCCCTTCAGTCAAGACTGTTTGGCGTTATCGTTTAATTCACTCGAAAGAGACGAACGCCAACCCTCGGCTGAGATGCAAGATCTTATGGATAAAGCAGTTGATGATATGGAGATTGATTTCGATTCGCAGTCAGTCGCGAACCCGTATAATCACCGCATAGCCAATTTTCTCAAACAGCGAGGACTCGGGCTCGACGCAGAGCTTCATATCACATTGGCGGAACCCGTTTCTAGCACCCATGTCAACAAGGCGTTTGTTGACGTTTTTGATATCCAAAAAGTGGATCGCACTGCAACAGAAGCCAAGGATAAGGAGAACCTGGAGTCTACTGCTGGCGATCTTGATCTTGATGAACTTTTGAACTAAATCTATTTAACTATACTCAAGTCTTCACATCGGGCTCCTCGCGGCCAATGAACTTCTTTAATTCAAGTAATCCCTGGACGTCCTTCATGGTGCGGGCGAGGTAGTTCTCTGAGGAGAGACCGAACTTGCTCTTGTCGCTCTCATACTTTTCCATGTAAAGACGGATGGTAGCACCGGAAGATCCGGTTCCCGACTGGCGAACGACAGTACGCGCGCCGCCCTTGAATTTGATGTAGAGGCCCTGGTTCTTGGATACCGAGCCATCGAGATCAGTATACGAAAAGTTACCAGCACTCTCGACTTGGAGATCACCGACCTTGCTGCCGACGAAGCTGGGATCTTCAACAAGCTCGGCAAGTTTGTCGGTGACCTTGTTGGCGCCGTCGGTGTCGACATTTTCGTAGTCATAGCGAGTGAAGAAAGTACGGCCGTACTGTTCCCAGAATTTCTGCTGAATGGCAGCGATCGAAGCCAGCTCCTTGTTTTCCTTGCCAACTGCAGCAATGATATTCAGCCAGGCAACAATGGCCCACAAACCGTCTTTCTCCCGTATATGGTTGGCGCCTGTACCGAACGACTCTTCGCCGCAGATCGACAGTTTGTCGGCATCAAACAAAGCGCCAAAGAACTTCCATCCAGTGGGTGTTTCGTACATGTCAAGGCCCTGAGCCTTGGCTACGCGATCGAGAGCGCCGGAGGTAGGCATTGAGCGAGCAAGGCCAAAAACGCCATTCTTAGCAAAGTAAGGGATCTTGTCGGCATAATGCGCAATGATAGCAACTGAATCACCAGGAGAGACAAATGCCTTGTATCCGTAGATCATATTGCGGTCACCGTCACCGTCAGATGCAGCACCGAAAGGGATCTTGTTGGCATCAACCTTGTCGACCAAGGTGCGGGCGTACGTCAAGTTAGGATCGGGATGGAGGCCGCCAAAATCTGGCAGCGGGACAGCGTTTTGAATAGAGGATTCAGGAAGGCCGAGCTTGTCGATGAAAATGGCTCTTGCGTAGGGACCAGTAATACCGTTGAGGCCATCGAACAAAACAGTGAACTCAGGGTCGCCCTTGATGAAGGTGGAGATCAAGTTGAAGTCGAAGATTTCAGCGAGCAGCTCAACATAGTCCTTGACGCTGTCGATGATCTCGACTTCCAAGCTTCCGTAGGTGCGTGTGCCAACTGTAGACAGATCGATTTCGCTCAATTGCTCCCGAGAGTAGCTGGACAGAGTCTTGGTGACTTCGAAGATCTTGTCGGTGACCGACTCCGGGGCGGGTCCGCCATTGGCCAGGTTGTATTTGATTCCAAAGTCATTGTCCGGACCACCTGGGTTGTGCGACGCAGTGAGGATGATTCCACCCGTCGCCTTGAATTTACGGATAACATGGGAGGCTGCAGGGGTAGACAGCAGGCCGTTTTGGCCAATGATCAGTTTCTTGACTTTGTTTCCGGCGGAGAGCTCGGCAATGACTTGAACTACCTGCTTGGAGAAGTAGCGACCGTCACCGCCAATGACCAGAGTAGCGCCTGGAGCACCCTCTGGGATGGAGGACAGGATTGCTTGAACAAAATTCTCGGTATACTTGGGCTGTTCGAAAATCTTGGTCTTCTTCCGCAGTCCCGAGGTTCCGGGCTTCTGACCGTCGAATGGCTTGGTCTCAACGGAGGGCATGGTTGCTGGGTGGAGGGGCATTGCTAACCGATCCGCGATGTATCTCGTGTTTGGGGTTAGGGCGATATGCTTGTGGTCAGCAAGCGCCATTTACATGGCCGCCGATGTATTATGGTTCAGAAAGTTGGCATTAGTTTAGTCTATAGCGTTTTAACCAGAGACAGCGAAAATAGCCTTAGCAAGGTGGTCGACGTTGCTGGCATTGATACCGCAGATGGAGATGCGGCCATCACGGGTGCCGTAAACGCTGAACTCGCTGGCCAACCGATCAACCTGCTCGGGAGACAGGCCCGTGTAGCAGAACATGCCGATCTGGGAGGTGACGTGCGACCAGTCCTTCTTGGAGCCGAGGTTCTCGAGTTTCTCGCGCAACAAGCTGCGCATCTCAATCATGCGGTCGGCCATGGACTTGACCTCGCCGAGCCACTGCTGCTTGAGCTGAGCGTCGTTGAGAATCTCCGCGGCAATGCGAGCACCGTGGATAGGAGGGTTGGAGTACAAGGGACGGACGATAATCTTGAGCTGCGAATCAACGCGGGCCTTTTCTTCGGGCGACTCGCAGACAATAGAGAAAGCACCAATACGCTCACCGTAAAGACCCATGTTTTTAGCGAACGACTGGTTCAGAGCCACGGGCAGCCCATTGTCGACAAAGTAGCGGACGGCGTAGGCATCACGGTCGCAGTCGCCGGAGGCAAAGCCCTGGTAAGCCATGTCGAAAAGGGGGAACAGCTGGCGCTCCTTGACGACGTTGAAAATAGCCTGCCACTGCTCCTTAGTGGGGTCAACACCTGTAGGGTTGTGGGCACAGGCATGCAGGAGGACGGCGGTGCCGGGAGCAGCCTGCTCCAAGTCAGCCTTGAGTCCATCAAAGTCCAAGGAGATGGTGGACTTGTCGTAGTAACGGTACTGGCCGACCTCAAGACCAGCAGCAGAGAACACTGCCTTGTGGTTGGCCCAGCTGGGGGTGGGCAACAAGATCTTCTTGGAGGGCAGGAACTTGGCCAAAAACTCAGCGCCAACCCGCAGAGCACCGGTACCAGAAATGGTCTGGGAGACAGCCAAACGGTTCTCCTTGATGGGAGCCGAGTTGCTGCCGTAGGCAAGCTCTGCAGCAGCAGTGTAGAAGTTGGCCAGACCAGTGATGGGAGCGTACTCCTTATCGAGCTTCTTGCCAACGACCCGTTTCTCGGCCTCACGAACAGTGTTCAGGACAAAAGGCTTGCCTTCGTTGTCGCGATAGGCACCGACGCCCAAATTAATCTTGTGCGAAGCGGTATCAGCCTTGAACGCCTCGGTGATACCCAAAATGGCGTCAGGAGGGCCCTGGGGAACGTTAGCCCAGGTGGAGGCGAAGCGTGCAGAGCTAATTGCGGTAGACATTGTCACAGCAGCAACTCGGCAGCGCATAGAGCCAGCAGAGACTCGGGAAACAGCACGTGCGCTCAGCATTTCGGATTTTTCGGTTTGTGGTAAACTTGGCAAGATGACTCCCAAGGCAAGGGTCGGCTTTTCTCCTCTGCGTGTGACATCTATGACTCAGCAGTGGCGCGGGGAGTGCGCCTATCAGTATATGGCGTGACGCACCTGGATGCGCCGAAATAAATAGTTTTTGCAGGCTATGTAACTTAGTGCGGCAGGTTGGACGAGTGCTCTGCAACGTACGCACAAAACTCCTCCACCAGCTCGTTTTCCTCGCGGCCGCCCTTTCTGAGCTCGCGCAGCTTTTTCAGGGCCACCAGCTGCCTGCCCTCGGCAGTTTGCTCCCGCGACACCGATGAGTCGGTCAAAATGCTTCCTACCAGCTTCAAGTGCTGTCTCAAGCTCGAGTACCGAAGCATTCGCTCGATTTCAGGGTCCTCGGCCAGCGGCACATTTTTGTTGATTTTCTCACCCTCAACAGCCTGGTTTTTTTCCACCGGCGTGCAATTCTGCTTGTGTTCCTTGTAGCATGCCACCGAGCAGTAGGGCGCCCCACATGCCGGGCATTTGTATTTGAAATCTGCCCCGCACCGGCAGACCATGGAATTTTTCACGAGACTAATTTTTTTATCGGATTAATCACATCAGATTATTCATCTATGTACAATGTAGCCGGCAGTAACACTTAGTCGGATTCGGTCTTTTTAGGTTCAGATGCCTCGTCGTCCTTACGAATAACACCCTCGCCTTGCAAGTACTTGAACTCAATGCTGTTGTCCTCGAAGGGGCGTTTGCCAATGAGTCTGACAAAGTCGGCCCGGTCCAGGCTCTCTTTCTTGAGGAGCTCTTCAGCAATTGCCTTCACTTGCTCGGCCTTTTCAGACAAGAGGGCCCGGCATTTTTCGTAGGCATGGTTGACAATGCGGTGCACCTCTTGATCGATCACGGCAGCAGTGCTCTCGCTGAACGGCTTGGTGTAGTAGCCCTCTTGTTCGTCGTAGTTCACATAGCCAACCTTGGGTGACATGCCCCATTGCGCAACCATGTTGGTAGCGATCTGGGTAACTTTTTGGAAGTCAGAGGCTGCGCCGGAGGATGACGAGTTGAAATTGAGTTCCTCGGCAACCCGTCCACCCAACGCCATAACCATTCGGTCTTCAAGCTCAACGTTGGACGGTAGCGGGACATCAGCAGGGAGGTATTTGGCATAACCAAGCGACTCTCCCCGGGGGATAATCGTGACCTTGACTAGCGGGTCTGTGTGTTCAAGATACCATCCGCAGATAGCATGGCCAGCCTCGTGATAAGCGATGGTTCGGCGCTCTTCAGGGGTGAGGATCTTGGACTTCTTTTCCAAACCGAACGAAGTGCGCTCGACTGCTTGATCAAAGTGAGTCCACTCGACAGAATCGTTATTACCACGAGCCGCAATCAGGGCAGCCTCGTTCACGCAGTTGGCAATATCTGCACCAGCAAAGCCAGGAGTCAAAGCAGCCAGCCGCTGGGCCAGAGTATCGAGATTCAGATTGGTGCGAATGCGCTTCAAGTAAACGTCATAGATCTGTTTCCGGCCATTCACGTCAGGTTTGTCAACGGTGATATGTCTCGAGAAACGACCCGGTCGCATTAGTGCCTTGTCGAGAATGTCCGGTCGGTTAGTGCCAGCAAGAACAACCACATGCTCATTTGTGGCAAAGCCGTCCATTTCAACCAGGATCTGGTTGAGGGTGGCTTCACGCTCGTCGTGGCCACCACCAAACGAACCACTGGGAGAGCGGGCACGTCCAATAGCATCGATTTCGTCAATAAACACAATGGACGGTGCTTCTTTACGAGCAGTGGAGAACAGGTCACGAACCCGTGAGGCACCAACACCAACAAACATTTCGACAAACTCGGAACCAGATACAGAGTAAAACGGAACGCCAGCCTCGCCAGCAGTGGCTTTGGCCAGTAATGTCTTACCTGTACCGGGAGGTCCAGATAGAATAGCACCGCGGGGGATCTTGGCACCAAGCTCCTCGTACTTTTTGGGTTCTTTCAGGAAATTGACAAACTCCATGATTTCGGCTTTTGCCTCGTCACAGCCTGCCACATCCTTGAAAGTGATCTTGATGTCTTTCTCCTCGTTGAACTTTTTCGCAGTGGACTTGCCCATATTGAAGATACCACCAGAGCCAGCCCCAGAAAGACCTCTACGCATGAGGTACCACAAGCCACCAATCAACAGAGCAGTGGGGAGCAGAGTCATGAGAATGGATCCTAAAGATGTCTCGTTGGTATACGAAACAGGTACTTGCTGAGCACCAGGGAGATTTAGCTCTTTCATGGCTTCGTCGTACTGCTGGTCAAAGAGCTCAACGCTACCGACCGTGAAAAAGACCACGCGGGGGAACTGGTGCTGTTTGAGAATAGCTCTGCCCTGAGTCTTGTTTACGAGAATGATTCTCTCCACAAGGCCCTGGTCGAGGTAACTGGTCCGGAACTCTTGCCACGAGAGCAGGTGGCTGTCCCGGCTCATACTGTTGAACACAAGAGTAAAAATAAACGCTGTAGCAAAGCCGTAGGTCAGCACAGTCCTCCAATCTGGCCCTTGCGGGCCCTGAGGAGGCTTGGGCGCCTTGGGATCGTCACGAGCGTTTCGGAACTGGATCCTGAACATGCTGTTGGGGTCCTTGGGGGGCTGTGGCGGAGGCTGCTCGGCCCGCAGCATCGAAGCAGAGCCAAGATACCGCAGCACACTTGCCTTTTTCACCACTCTACCGAGCCCTGGACGCACCAGTGGCACCGTCAGTCGGGTCGACATAAACCCCCGGCTGAGCACAGTGCGGAACATGGTTACGTTAGCGCCACACTGAGACGAATATGATTTGCTCGGGTTCGAAAGACGAGGGCAGCCATGCTGGAAGGCGGCAGTTTTTGGAGCAGGGGTGGTTTTTGACGGGTTTAGAAAAAGCGTGTTTTTGGAGGTTCGACAGGCACGCTTGCCGGAGCGAGCTGTTGTGGGTATGGGTGTAAAGGACCCAATACCCCTTGCGTAATAAGATTCGTTGTCGCGTTCCCATCCCTGACACAGCACGACCATGGTGACGAACTTAGGATTGGTGAATCTGCCGAATCAGCAATACCGGCTGTTGGCGAAAAAAGGTGCTACGTTCACGATAATGGTTGTAGGAGAGAGTGGACTGGGCAAAACCACGTTCATCAACACGCTTTTTGCCACGTCTGTCAAGACCCACAGCGACGACCAGTTGCGGCACGAGCAGCCTGTCCGCAAAACGGTGGAGATTTCGATTACCCGTGCTGAGCTCGAAGAAAAAGGATTCAAGTTGCGGTTGAATATCATCGACACGCCTGGTTTCGGCGACAACGTCAACAACACCAACGCGTGGGAGCCGATTGTAGATTTTATTGACGATCAACACGAGGCCTATATGCAGCAAGAAAACCAGCCGGACCGCAAGGCAAAGTACGATATGCGCGTCCATGCCTGCCTCTACTTTATTCGCCCCACCGGACACTCCCTCAAGCCTCTGGATATCGAGGCTCTTCGGGCGCTGGCTACCCGGGTCAATGTAATTCCGGTTATTGCCAAGGCAGATACTTTGGACGCTGACGAGATGCAACTGTTCAAGGAGCACATTAGATCCGTTCTCGACTCCCAAAACATTACTGTTTACCAGCCTCTTGATCTCTCGAACGGCCAACCCCTGCCGGAGCAGTTGCCATACTCGGTTATTGGATCGGAAAAGATGTTGCAGAATGAGCACGGCCAGGAGGTTCGCGGTCGCCAGTACTCTTGGGGAGTTGCAGAGGTTGAAAACGAGGATCACTGTGATTTCAAAAAGTTGCGTAATTTGCTGGTTCGCACCCACATGCTTGATCTTGTGCATTCGACCGACGAGCTTCACTACGGTGCCTACCGTTCGCAGGCTATCACCACCCGCCAGCCCGGCGAGACTCGCAACCGCAGCCAGGTCAACCCGCAGTATAAGGAAGAGGAGCAGGCTCTTCGCCGCGCCTTTACCGAACAGGTCAACGTTGAGGTCTCCCGGTTCAACAAATGGGAGCACAATCTTATTGCTGAGCGGGACCGCTTGAACAAGGATCTAGAGGACACCCATGCGGCTATTCGGAAGCTGCAGATTGAAGTCGACCAGCTGGCCGGCCGTGCGTAGTTTTTTATAACACTATTATTAAATGTTCATATAAATACTCCTACAGAGATGGTGTATCGGACAGCGGTGGCATTTCAGGGACGTCCAGCACTCCCTCGAGCCCGCGAGAGGTTACACCGTGTTTTGCCTTGATAGACGACCAGGTAGCTTTGTAGCGCCCGTCAGGAGTGAGCTCAATTTTGTCGTCATACACAAGCACGTCGCACAAGGCACGCACGTCGGCAAGACCAAGATCAACCGTGGATACCTTGTTGCTAATGATCCAGCTGTGGACGTCTTCAAGAATAGGAAAGTCCTTGTAGTCTGGCGGATAACACATTTGAGCGAACGGAGCCTGGAAGGCCTGGGGGTATGTGGAGTCCGCAATAAAGCTCCAGACAAGAGTGAGCATGGTGTTGATAAAGTCGCTATCGAGTTCTCCTTCCGTGAACCAGGGCCCGCCCGTGAGTTCAATTGACGGCTGAAGGGCATACAACATGTATATTTTGCGGGTTGGATGCTTTACACTTTTCACAGCCTTGATATAGTTTTGTCCCTCCAGGCTTTTCAGGCATCTGGTGACGACGTGCTGATGGAGGTTTGACTTGGCTCTGATCGTTTTCGTCCAAATGCCCTCCCGGCCTGCTGCTTCGATATACGAGTAGACCATGGCCTCGTCAGGAGTCATATTTTTGATTTTCACCGCCTCCTCGTGCGAAAGAGCCTGGTAGTACAGCACGTTTTCTGCCTGGGCCAGCTTGACCAGCTGGTTGTTGATAAGTTCCTGCATGAAATCAATCAGCTTGTCCTTGTCCTGTTCTTCCAGCAGCGACTCGAGCTCTGCTTGTGTGAACAAGTGCGACTGCTGGAGCAGCATGGCTTCGTGGAGCTCGATCGCCTGGCGAGACGTCATTGGGAAAAAAAAAAACCTAAACTCCCAACTTGAAATTTCAGGGTTGGCGGCACGGGTTGGCGGATTAACAGGAGAAGAATATGTTTTAGCAGTCGGTCTATTTCATTAATGCATTACTCGAGTTCAGAGACATAACGCTCGGCGTCTAGACCGGCCATGCAGCCAGTGCCGGCAGAGGTGATGGCCTGGCGGTAGACGTTGTCCTGAACGTCGCCAGCAGCGAACACGCCCTCGACGGAGGTGCGCGAAGTGCCCGGAACGGTTTTGATGTAACCGGCCTCGTCCATGTCGACTTGGCCCTTGACGATTTGGGTGGCCGGGGTGTGGCCAATTGCATAGAACAGGCCCGAGACCTCGAGCTCCTTGACCTCGCCAGTTTTGACGTTTTCGACGGTCAGCGAAGACAGCAGACCGTTCTGGCCCTTAGCCTCTTTGGTGACGGTATTCCAGACCATCTCAATCTTGTCGTTGTTGAGCAGACGCTTCTGCATGATGTTTGAAGCGCGGAGTTGGTCGCGGCGGACAATGACATAGACCTTGCAGCCGTATTTTGTGAGAAAAAGCGCCTCCTCGGCGGCGGAGTCACCACCGCCGATAACAGCAAGAGGTTTGTTGCGGAACATGGGGATTGCACCGTCGCAGACAGCGCAGGCGGAAATTCCCGACTGCCAGTACTCCTCCTCGCCAGGCAGGTGGAGACGCTTGGCAGAAGCGCCAGTGGCAATGATAACCGCGTCGGCGGTCATGGTGGGCTCGCCGTCTTCGTTGAACTCGGTCCAGAGCTTGAAGGGGCGGCTCGAGAGGTCCAGTTTGGCCACGGTCTCGGTGTGGATGGTCGTGCCAAACTTGACGCTCTGCTCGCGCATGCGGTCCATCAAAGTGGAGCCGGTGAGTCCCTCAGGGAACCCGGGGAAGTTCTCGATCTCCGTGGTGGTCGTAAGCTGGCCACCGGCGGCAATCCCGTTTGCAAGCATACCCTCGAACATGACCGGCTGCATTTCAGCTCGCGCCAGGTAGATAGCGGCGGTGTGGCCAGCGGGACCAGATCCAATAATTACAACTTTGCTGTGTGCCATTCTGTTTTGTGGTTTCGTGGGTGTGGCTGTACTTAGACAAGAAGATAGAAGCAGAAGTCGGTTTCGCGCGTTCGACAACAGCGTGGGATGAGATGCCATACCCATGCCTTGGCAGCGGCTATAAGTATCCATCTCCCAACTAAGGTCTAGACTTCCAAACCCTATATCAGTGGCCTCGGCTTACGCATATTTACGTAGTCATGCTCCAATGCTTATAATTCATGCATATGGGGCCATAACCGGTAGTGTTTTAGGCCGGAGTAATGAAAGCTAGAAGAGTAATTAGTAAATAGCAAAATAAATTAGTGGGTCTTTGCAAATGCACGCAGTGCGTACGAGTCTGCGTATTCTGGATTAAGGAGCAGCTGCTGCAGAAAGTACTCCAGGCCTTTCCTCCGCTCCTCGAGGAACCGCCCGTCAAACCTAGCCACCAGTGCCTTGGCCGGCAGCTCGGGTATTGACAGGCCTCTGCCGCTGAATTCTTTGATAAGTGTGTTGCGTAATGCGTCGAATTCAGAGTACCGCCGTTGAAACCGCAGAACCGCCCCCTGCGTCGTGCGTATTGTCACCTTCCATACCACGTACGACCCAGGCTGGGGATTGCCTCGCTCGGAGCCTACTATGTCGTACCCAATGACCTCCACTGAACGCGTCCACAGTGGGTTGACTTGTGTCGTGTGGTCTTCAAGAACTATCGGATCCGGCTGGACTTCGCGAAGTGTCTCTGCCGCCATCCGTTTTCTTGACATGCTTATGCCTCGACGGACGTTCTGCTAGTCAGCATGGGGTTGGATATTCCCTGGACTCGACAACTCTGGCACCGCTGGAAGGCCCTCAGAAATGTTCCCTGGCGGAAAAGCTGGTTTGTTGGTTACGACTTGGATGGTAACTCGTACTGGGAGTCGACGGACTACAATAATCCGTACAGGTTGCGTCGCAGAGTCGAGTGGGGAAACAAGAAGCACATGGCAGATTTTAGAGCAGTGCCGCAGTGGATGCAATGGCTGAGGCACGCCAGACCACATCCGCCGACGCTTGAGGAGCTCATTGCTGACCAGCGTCGTCAGCAGCAGCTCAAACTACTGGCACAGCAGGCAGATCAACGCTGGAACCAGATTCCGGTGCAGTCTACAAACGACAAAGATCCGCGTCTTGCCAGTGCGTGGACAGGCGGTGCTACTCCCGCTCCCGTCGAAGAACCTGAACTTGAAGGATTCGTCTATCCCGAAAAGAAAGACGAGCAGCGAGTGTTTAATGCGCAGCAGATCATCAAGCAGCGGGATGCCGAGCGAAATCGTGGCAGCAAAGCATAGAAAACATAGCAATGTACATAATTATTTAGTGTCGAGTTTCGTCTTTAGGTATTTCGCAATCTCGCCGCTAACGCTCTCAGCCAGTGACTCAAACGCCTTCTCCCTGGACCCGCTCTTGACAATGGCCCTCGCCAATAAGGGCTGTAAATGTGGAGCAGACTCGTCGCTCAAAATGTATCCGTTCAATGCCTTCTCCAAACTTTCGGTGGCAGATACTGGTGTCGTGGATATCACCGCAGGCGGAGTCGCCAGCCGAGAACTACTGAGTCTCAACGTAGGTGCAGCAGCTGGCTGAGCAGCTAATCTCCTCGGACTCGGTGCTCGTATCGGGCTTGTGGACCTACTTCCTTGAGATTGTCGAGCCGGTGTCGGAGATTTTGGTACTGGTGTCCGAATAGGAGACGCCGCTCGTCGTGTCGGACTTGACGGCCGTATAGAACGGACGGGTGATAATGATCTCATTGGGCTAGCCGGCCGCTCTGGTTCCTTGATAAGCTGTCTTTCGACAATAAGATCCCCGTAACTTATAATCCTGGTCCCGCAAACTGCAATTCCTTTGATGGGCGTAGCATGGGCCCATTCGGCCGCCAGTAGTTGGCCCTGGGGGTGGCTATAAATACAAACACTCTTGTCTGTCGCTGCTGCAACCACATACTGGGATCCTTCGACAGTAACAGCACGTATATGCGAAAGTCCTATTGGTTCATTTTGGATATCAAGCGTTTTGTAGCTGCCCAACTGGGTCCCTGAAGAATCAAAGCTCAAAAGTTGGCGCTCGCTGGTACTAAGGTAAAGGGTATTGTCGTTCACATCCAGATCGAGAACAAGAACCTTGATCGGTAGCGTCTTTTCTGTTACAAAATCGTTTTCCACTAGAGTGTGAATTTGCACTGTCTTGTTTCCCACGACAGTAACAATAGATTCGCGGTTGATAATCCGAGCTTTGCTAAGAGGGCCAAGTAGGGGAATTGTCTGTAGATCCCATTTCCCATTTATTCTTCTCCAGATCTGGAGATGGCGATCTCTCCCAGCAGATACTACCATATCGTCGATCGAGTCGATATCACTAACTGGACCAGCATGGGCATTCATAGTCTCACCATCGATAGAAAGTTGGCCCTCAAGTCCACCAACAACTCGATGACTTCCCAGCGAAGCAGAGCTGATTTCAAAATCAAATACTTGTTGGATTCGTTCCTCATCTGCCCACACAACCAGGCTGTTTCCACCCCAGGAATAAAACCGATCACCAAAGCTGCGTATACCAATTAGTTGCTCATTAAGATCTTCCTTGAGGTACGATCCATCTGTTTGTGCTATCCCCTTGTCAGTAAGAAAAACCATCTCTTCCCCACTTGCGATACTTTTCACTCCAGTGACTGAAATGTCACAAGGCAACTCGCAGAAGGTATTTGGGTCGAACTTTCTGACCCCGTCCCCGGCAACGACCAGCTCTGAATCCCTCATAATCATTGAAGTTATGTTCATATCAAGCTGCAAAGCCTGCGAAAGCCCTGGACCAACCTTGGAGATGGCTGTTTTGGTGGCTACTAAAAAGGGACTAACTCCACCCGGCGATCCTGGCGCCCCTGTCAGCCCTGTCTGCTCGCCATTGGTTTTAACAGCACACTGGAATGTGCAGTCGGCTTGGGATCCCAGTACAACGTTACGGCCCGCTAGTACACCGTTATTAGCGGCCCCTGTCTCGACTGTCCACACCCTAATGTGTCTGACGCCAACCGTTACGAGCTGGGTCTCTGAGATCCATTGAATATCGTTGACCTGTGAGATACAACGGTTGGATGAATGCAGAGCGACACCTGAAGCAGATTGATTGGAAACCGTATCCATACCGATTTCCCAAATATATAAATAACCATCATTCGGAGTACCTAAAGAAGCAAGGTAACGGCCGGAGGGCGAGAACCGTAAATGTTGAACTCCAAATTGATGTTCTTGGATTACTGCCAGCGGCAGAGCAGACTTGGAATACACAATGACTCTGGGAAGGTACCCTGTCTCTCCAACTGCTACGGCGGTAGCACTGGCCACAACGCAGCTAGCGGTGTTTACTTTGTCTTTAGCCTTAATCTTTGCGTCTTCATTCGCTGTCTCACCAATTACAACAGGACCACTCGGCCGTTCCCAGGAAAATTTTTGACCATATAAACGCTTGCGGGGAAGATGAAAGAAAACGGGGTTCTTGAGTGAGCCGTGTGCAGTTATATCTACTCTGACTGCACCAGCACCTGCTGTGAATACCAGAGCTTGTCCGTCAGCTGCAATGGACTCTCTTGATCCAGCCGAAATGCCAGCAACGTGCACGACCGGAATTTCCATCAGCCTGGCGATTTGTAAACAAATGGGACGCGAGCAGAAAGGCGTGAACTTTGAAAACTACGTTTCGGTAATAACCCAGTATCCAAAATGAGTAATTGTGGTTTTTGTCAATTTTAGCCTCCTTGTGGGTTTTTTTAGGTTTTTCTGGCGCTTAATTGTGAAATTTACTCGGCGGGCAGTGCGTTGGTTAGGTATCATATACGACCTAGATAACAGTCATAGTCTGGGCTCCACAGTGTGCCAAACCCATCACATCCATCAGTAGTTCTAACTACTCAATAGGCTTGAGTTTTTGAATCAAATGGTCGACTCAAATTGAATTCTCGTGCCAAGCCTAGGTTTGGCCGTGGACGTAGGCACTGCAGTCGAAACACCATAAGGCCCTGCGTACAGCAGATATATATACAGCAGATCGATAGAGACGTACATTAAAAGAAACTAGTAAAACATGATAAGAAAGTAATAAATGATATAGAATTTAACAAAAAGGGGGTATAACGCGGCTTTAGCCGATAAAATAATAAATTAGTAAATGTTGAGCGGCAGGCATCAGTGGGCGCACGTGCCGGAAAAATTAGTCTCAAACATGCGGAAGAACAGCCGATGCGAATAATGGTACAAGAAGGTGACTTAGGTCAACGTGTGACCCAGAACTAAACCGGCACCTAAGAATATTGTGACGGATACAGCCAAAAGCTTGAGACTTTGTTTCATGTCTGCGTCGATGCTCTGGGGGTCGATGTGGTCGAAACTGTAAAAGTCGATGAGGAAGTCGTCCTTTTCTTCCTCTTCGTAGTCTGATTCGAACGAACCTTCCTTTTCCAGAGTCTCGGAAATTGTTGAAAACGTCTCTCGGGAAAAGAGAATCTGATAAATATGCTCAGCGGCCTCGGGGACCCATCGATAGCCCCATACAAGATTGGCCATGATTTTTTGCGTGTTGAGGGTCAAGTAAGTGTCATGTAAAGTGTAGTAAATCCCGAGTCTTGCCAGAACCGCAGACACCATCTGCGGTCCCCACAGAGAATCGGAAGGGTCGGGGGTGCCTGCCGCGGCCGTGGGCTGAGTGGCCGTGCATGCATGGAGCAAAGCGAAATCTGGGTCGGCGGCCTTCCACAGAGCAGCCTGAACTTCACGGTCGTCAAAGATGGCTCGATTGATCGCGACCGACGCCGTGCTATTTTCAAGAACCGGAAAGAGCGGTTGAGAGGTTGACGATGGCGCGAACAGTCCGCTTGCAGCCAGAATGTCCGCTCCAATTAGGGCTGCCCGCTGATCGGACCATTTTAATTGTGAGCAGAGGATTTTAGAAACCGGTGCCATCTCGGGCTCCAGCCGACACGCCAACAGGCTCAATGTTGCAAGCAAGGCAGCGCTCTCCGACATTTCAGGGTCTGAAAAACCAGTTTCCATGGAGGCAGTTTCAGGTTCTTGGACAATTTCCTGACAGTGGTACGGCACAAATGCAGGGAATTCTGCTATCGACGACGACTCCATTTAGCAATTTTTTTTCTGGTTGGATCAGAGGGAATTAATTTTGACAAAGGCTGTTTAAAATGTGGCCATAGCCCCAACAACTAATACTCGGAAGTTTCTTACCTCAGCGCGCATGATCATTGGGGGCAGGAGAAATGCATGTGATGAAGTCGCGTAGTTGGAAATGGCAGCCGAGGAAAGCAACATGAGGTGGCCGCTGGAAGCACGCCTTCTAACAAAGACAGAGAGGCCAATTTGACCGAGATACCCGATAAATACCCAAATTTCCGACTTTTTTTATATCTCTCAATGACTCGTCGTATTTTCCTGTAGGGTAGGCTTCCCCCCACATATTGGGACAAGCGATGCAGAGAACCTGAGACCTACGCTTATTGGGGGGCTCAACTTTAGGCCGGAACGTTGAGCGTGTCGGGACGGAACTCAATTCAGGGTCAGTTAGCGGCTACCATGGCTCGAAGCTGGCGCTCAAATTGGAAAGCCTTTTTGGGCAATACTGGCTTCTTTGGCACGGCTAACATGATGCATGCAGCCCGACTGCTCGATTTGGCGCTACTGCTAATGCACTACTGTCCCTCGCCTTAGCAAGTAGAATAATCCGGGGTATTTGATGTCCGATGCAGGCTGCTTATTGATCTCGGTAATGTTGTTTTAACGGTTGTTTAAAATGAAAAAGTAAAATGTACCACGGCCCATGATGGCGCTATCTCACCGTATCCATGCCACCTCCCCGGAACTGTCGGGGGAGGCCAAAACGAAAAATTACAAACCGATACGCCCAATGTGTCCGCGTGACCACCGTTCACCCGCCCCAATCTACGTCACTGACCGCCACTGCTTAGGTATAGGAAGTGTCATTTCACTACATATGCATTCATAAATCGTCAAGTTCATCTAAATAATGCTAGGCAGCTGAGGTATGGCATGCAACCCCTTAGGCAGTTTCAAGCGCAATGTATTCGTGACCGGGTGCCCTACCCCACAGTTTCCGTAACCAAGCAGTCAGTCCACGTGAGGTCCTCTTCTCATCGATCTCAGGGCGCCATCTGTTGAGCAAGAGCGAAGACAACACTACCGAGACTGAGCTCATAGCCATTGCCGCGCTCGCAGCCATGGGGTTCAACATAACCCCCCACCATAGGAAGAGCCCCATAGAAAACGGAATCATAAACGCGTTGTAAATCACCGACAGGAATAAGTTTAGTTTGATCCGTCTGAGTGCCGCACGGCCCAGATCAATGCAAGCCGGTACAGCCATCAGTGGGCTTTTCCGGATCAAAACAACGTCTGCAGATTCAACAGCTACCTGGGTAGCTCCTTCAAGCGAGATGCCCACATCAGCTGCAGCTAGGGCAGGGGAATCGTTGATTCCATCGCCAACTACAGCAACAGTGGCTCCATTATCTTTAGCATCCTGGACAACTTTGAGCTTGAGCAGAGGCGAGAGTTCAGACCAAGTCAGGTCGGGATCGATGCCCACGATATCCGCAGTCAACTGGACAACCTCCTTCACGTCACCACTCACCACCCCAACTCTAATGCCGCGTGCATGTAGATCAGCAACAACACTTTCGGCCTCATCGCGTAGCCTGTCGGAAAGCGATGCATGACCTACGATCTGACCGTCGACGGCAACATACACTGTGGTTGTCGAGGGATGGCCTCCATCATCAGCGACCTCAAGGCCCAAATCTGCCATGAAAACTGCCGAGCCAACATACACTTTCGACCCTTTTACATTGGCCGCAACGCCCCGACCAACTATTGCTTCGAAACATGTAGCTGTAGGAATTTTTCCGTGGAGCGAGGCTTCTTTAACCAGGGCGCGGCCCACTGGATGCTCAGAGTTTTCTTCAAGAGCACCAACAAAAAGCCAATGCTCAGGACTGATTGAGCTGGAGATAACCGACATGTCACCTTGGGTCAGGGTGCCCGTTTTGTCAAATAGTACCAGGTCGACCGAGCTCAGCTTCTCGAAAACAGCACCCCCCTTGACGAGAATCCCATTCCGAGCCCCGACTCCTGTGGCCACCATTACGGCAGTTGGCGTGGCAAGCCCGAGAGCACAAGGGCAGGCCACAACAATCACTGAGATGCACAGTCTCAGGCAGACAAAAAACGAGCTATCAGCCGATTTGAGTATACTTGGGGGATTTGGCGCGAGCCGGGCAACAAGCATCCATCCAGCAAACGTACATATTGCCAGGGCAATGACTATGGGCACAAACCAGCTGGCAACGAAATCAGTGTACCTTTGAATGGGGGCCTTTGATGCCTGGGCATCTTTGACCAAAGAGACGATCTGGGCAAGCTTGGTATTGGCACCACATTGTTCGACTCGCACATGCAAAGCTCCTGCATCGTTGACAGTTCCACCAATGACTCGGTGACCAGGCTTCTTGACAACAGGCACAGGTTCACCCGTGATCATAGCCTCATTGACCCGTGATTGACCAGTAATTACAACGCCATCAGCGGGGATTTTTTCGCCTGGCCGAATCACTAAATAATCGCCCACCTCGACCATATCTGTGGGGATTTGTTTTTCTTCGCCATCGATCAAAATACAGGCGTTTTCGGGAGCCAACGCCATGAGCTGGCTGAGGGCAAACGATGTGTGACCGCGAGCTTTGTTTTCCAGGTACTTTCCCAACAAAACAAAAAAGAAGATCATGGCGGAGGTCTCCCAAAGATACATCTGTCGCCCAGGCAACTGGGTAACGATAGAATACAAAAGTGCCAACAAAGAATAAAAGTAGGCAGAGGAGGTGGATATTATGACCAAAACATCCATGTTGGGGCTCCGTGCTCTTATAGCTTTGAATGCCTTGATGTAGAATCGTTTGCCAATTTTGAATTGGATCGGGGTGACCAGAGCTAACGAAATAACAGTGTCCATATACAAACCGGGAATGATTTCGGCGTATAAAAAGCTAGGCAGGTAATGATGGAGTTTCATCAACAATATTATGGGGAACCCCAACGCAAAAGTCCAAATTGTGTCTCGTCGATAGCTCAAAACCTGCTCGACCCGATTCAGAGAGGCGATTTGAGCAGCGGCGTCTTTTGAATTGACCGGTAAAGCATCGAAACCGGCGCCCTCAATGGCTGCAGCAATTTTGCGCATTCCTGTCTTGCTCGCATCGAACTCGACCAGAGCCTCCTCAGTAGAGAGGTTTACCGAGGCAGAGATAACCCCCGGTACTGCGGCAAGAGCCGACTCAATTGAGGACGAGCATGCAGCACAGGTCATGCCAAAAACCCGGAGCGTAGCTTTTTGTGAGCTGTCGCATACCTTCGCATCGAAACCTGCACCCTCAATGGCAGCTGTTAGAGCTCCTGCGGGCACGTCGTTGTCATGGTTCACAACGGCAATCTCAGTTATCAGGGAAACATTCGCATCCCGCACTCCGGGTACAGCCTCCAGGGCGCCCGTAACCGCGGAGGAGCAGGCACTACAGGTCATGCCTGTAACTTGTATCTCCGTTTTCATTTTCCCCTCTGGATTTGGCTCGTGTTGCCAAGGAAGATCGGTATTTTCTTCCCACCGGAATTTCTATTTGTGACCGATGACAAAGCAGAGCTCACTCGTGTTTTTCACGACGCTGCTTGATGCATGGAGTAACAGGGGTGTTTTATACAAAATTAGCATAACTATTTACGAGCAGTCGAGGGAGGCACGTAGTCGGCCTCCTCATCAGCAGATAGCTCGTCGTCGTCGTCCTGATCACTAAAAGCATCGTCGCTGAAGTAGCTGGCGTCGTCGTCGTCGTCGTCGTCGTCGTCGTCACCTGAATCAGCATCATCTACACCGCCAAAGGTAGGTCTGCAACCGAACGTCTCTTCGTAGTCAATATCGCCGTTGGTGCTAGATGCGACCCCAGTAGCTGTTTCATCTTCGTAGTCGTCACTCAATTCGGCCAATGGAGCCCGCCAGAAGTTGGCATCCGTAAATTCAGTGGTTTTAGATCGCTGCATGGCGAGTTGAGTTGCCGGAGGGAAGAAGTGATCTGTGAGGTCGTTGATGAGCATGTAGGTGCTCTTTAATCCAGTAAGCTCAAGCAATTCCATATGAACTTCTGAATTTGTGTTGATCGTGAAGATCTTTGTCGAGGGAATCCCCACGGATCGATAAGAAAGTGCGTCTGTAATACGGTTGCCGAACCCTGCATAGAAGGGGCTGCTTTCACCATCCAAGTCGTAGAGCTTGGAAATATCTTTGAGGCATGCCATTTTGAAAATCTCCGGTTTGCGCATGATGACTTCTCTTCGCAATGCAGCCATCAGACGGTCTGGTGACAGAATGACGGGGCCTTTAGGTAGACGGTAGCCGTCCTGCTCGATACCGTTGAGATAAGCCTTAGTAACGTCGGATTGACCCACAGCACGAGATGTCAGATACAAAATGTTGTATCCGTTGTTGTGAATGTCTGTAAACAACTTTGCAACTCCAGCATGAGTCCAGTCGCGACCGATCATGGTCATCACGTGTCCCAGAGCGTCCGACCGAGTAATGGTACCATCAATATCCGAGACAACTACAGGTGTCTTGTTGTCCCAGTAAAATATCGAAGATGTCACGGTTGCCTGATTCGAGCGAACAACAAACTTGACGTCATTGGCACCAGGCTTGAGATCAAGCTCCTTCAACATGTCACTGGTGAGACGGAGTGTTTTAACAAAGTGACGGGACCGCGATGCAGTGCTACCAGGACTTCCAGGAGGTGAGCTGGGAACAATTTCTTCGCCATCAGCAGGAACTGGGCTACCGGGAACCTCAGGCTTGGGGGAGGACGGAGCTGAGGGTAAATCTGTATCGTCCGTGGGGACATGGCTCAGATCATGGGACAGAATTTGCTGGACAACATCCTCAAGAGCTTTAGTGTTTTGGCCACCGGGCTTATAGCCAGTCATATCGATAATAACATGTCCCTGATCATTCGTGGTTGAGGGAACCTTGACGTCACACAATTGGTTGACCAACTCGTCAAAATCACTCTTATCATGGCCCTGTAGCCACGAACGAGCATGTCCTTCAATTGCCGCCTGCCTCAGAGCGTCCTGGTCAATCTCCGAAGAATCAGCTGTCGGAGAGTCTGGGAGCTGTGCACCGTTGCTATCGCCATCGGCTGATCCCTTCGACTGAGAAAGTTGAAGCTCTTCCATCTCGTCCTCATCCCCAGACGCAGGAGTGTCGGCATTCGACGGCGAGCCCTGCGGTGAGAGAACGGGCGATGTCAACAGGGAGGGCGGGACGTCGGCTGCGGTTTCGAAAACAAAAAACGCCTCTCCGCCTTCGCCCAGTTTCATTTGGATTGGGATTTTTCTGTCGTTGACGTAAAAGTCAACGCCTTTCTCCGACGGACGAAGCAGACTGAGCTTTCCAAATCGAATATGGAATGCGGAGCAATGAAGGTCGCCATCTGGTTGCTTCACAACAACCACGTCAATAGCGCCCGACAATGTAGATGGATTAATGGAGTTCCATGTCTTGGACATGGAATTCATCGCGCGCCCCACGTACTGCATTTTGTGGCCCGATTGACTTGTGCAATACTATAAACTGCGGACGATTGTGATGATGGGTCGAAGGCTAGGTTTGGTTTGGCTAACCTAATCGTTGCGGGAAGTAGTCACATTGCGAGTCATGTGAGTCGGCTGCGACAATTAGAGAGCGAGTGTGCAAAGCTCCAGATTAAGGACTAGGGAACTGGAGGCTGGGAAATTGGAGTCTAGCGGGTGTGGCTGCGAAAATCTCAAAGCATATTGTTCAGTCCATCTCGAGCACGGTCGACAAGCCAGTTCTCCCGCTCCGGCATTGCACTGACGTAAAAACCTATAAACTTTTCTGCTAAACTGCTCAACCACCCCACATGATTTAACCGCTCTATAGTCTACTCGGTTCCTTTCAAATTCAACACCAGGTTGCGATAACCCTACCCCACCCCCACTGCTCAAAAAACATAAATTGATGCGTTGCCTTGCCCTTGGGATGCGACCAGGGTACGGGTAGGGGTAGTGGCCCTGATAACTGAAAATTTATTAGTCCTTGGTCAGATCAACCAATATCCCCCCTTGATGGCTTCATCGGCGGCGACACAGATTTACGAGACCCCCACAAGCCAACCGGTGCCATCAAGTGTATTAATGTACGAGCACCTAGTAAGCCAGGCGCTTGATCAGTTAGACCAAGGTAATCCCCTTGCTTTTACCACAATAGCTAATCAGCTCGCAACGCCGCAGGTCATCAACGACGACTCTAAACTATCGGCAATACTGCGAGCTTTAAGTCGGGAGACCGGCAGAATAGACGGCGGCAATGCTACCGCGATCATCCAGTCCGTGCTGGCCTTGCCCTGGAGCAACCGCAGTACAGAGTGCGTTGATTCCTATGTCCGGTTCCTCGCCGTTTTGATTTCCTCAATTCCCCGCTGGTGGATCGACGTCGCACACAAGATTGTTGAGGAATTTGTTCTTCCTATTGAGCAGACCGTCCCCCACCACACGGTTCTTCGGCACATTGTGCAAATCATCCCTACCGCTGTTCCCAAGCTCAGTTCTGTTTTGGTGAAGCATTTCCCGCACAAGCACGAACGCACGGGTCCCTCGCTGAACTACGTCAAGAATTTGCTCAAGCATCTTGAGTACTGTCCCGAGCAGCAGCGAGCTGTTTGGGGGTTGCTGATTGAAAAAGTTATGCAGCTTGATGTCGAAACCGAAAACGACGACGAGGACGAAGACGATGAGGACGAGGACGAGGACGAGGAGACCGAGGATGAAGAATCCGACGATGAAGATAGCGAAGATGACTCGTCTGAGCCCCCGTCTAAACGTATGAAACTCGACTTTGCCGACGGGGAAGAGGTAACTGCTGCCGAACTGGAACAGGTTCAGTCGGAAGCACTCCTTCAGCTCCAGACAAAGCTTGATGCTATTTTGTCTGAGTTGTTAATTTATTTGGATGGCAAGTTCTCTGCCCAGGAGGTCGAGAATGGCAATGCCACTCCATTATTTATTATTCTTCTTGAAAAATTCAAGGAGTATGTCCTGCCCACCCACACCACTCGATCTGTGCAATACATCATGTTCAAGGTGTCTCATGCCCATCCTGACCTACTCGACTCGTTCCTTGTGTCAATGGTGGAAATGGCGTTGAGCCCGGCCGTGCCTATCGATCGACGACAAAAGGCCATGCAGTATATTTCGTCGTTTGTTTCACGAGCTCGCGGTCTCAGCCGTACCCAGATTGTCTTTGTGGTGTCATTTTTGGCAGGTTGGGTTGAGAAATATGCCACCGAGCGTGAATCAGAGGTCGATGAGGCCTCAAACATGGCCCGCTTCCGGGTGTTTTACGCGGCAGTGCAGGCACTCTTCTACACTTTTTGTTTCCGCCATAGTATGCTGCGAAAGCCTGATTCGGCCGGTGAGTGGGAAGCAGATTTGGACAAATTGTTCCAACGGGTCATCATGACCAAATTCAACCCGCTCAAGTACTGCAAGTCAACTGTCGTAGCCATGTTTGCTCGCATTGCTAGGAACGAGAACGTGGCCTATTGCTTCAGCATAATGGAACAAAATCGAATTGGTCGATTCAGAGCAGCCGGTTCGACGTCCCCCCCATCTTCGGCGTCCAGCTCGTCCTTGCTGGCCAGTCGTAGTGGCTCGCTCACCAATCTGTCCAAGACATTATGGCCTAACCACCGAGAGTTTGCAATTTTAGAGAGCTATTTCCCCTTCGATCCTATGAGTCTTCCAAACTCAAGGAAATTGGTACAAAATATTTATATCGAATGGGGCGATGTTAACGATGCAGCTGATAGTGATTCAGCCTCAGCTTCGGAAAGTGAAGACGACTCGGAATCTGACTCGAATGTAGATGACGATGAGCTTGATGTTGATGATAACTAGTTCGTCTAATTGTAGAAATCTAAAACCGAAAGAAAATACAAACTGAAAGAGCATATTTACAATATGCATCCACTATTCACGTAGACGGGAACGCTTTCGCTTGGGCCGCAGTTCCTCAATCATGTTCATCAAACGCTTTTCACGTTCGCTGGGCTGCGACGGATGATCAAGCTTCCACTTTTGCCTGAAATTGTCCGCCTCAACGTCATAATACTTTATTTTGCGCAAGTACTCTTCGTGCTTGTACTCATTTGCCACTTTCGTTTGACGGGTCCGCTCGATATACGGCGCTTTTTCGTCTTCAGGTAAAAACCTCCAACGGCGACCCAGGGTAGCTCTAATTTCATTGCGAGAAGCATGTCCCTTGCGATCGCGTTGCTTGGCTTCCTCAGTTTCCTGACGACAGATATCCCAATAGTCCTTTTGGAAGAGGAGGAAGGGATTGGTATTACCAGACCGTTCAGGCCGAGCAGGCCGTTCCCCAAGTTTCTCCTCTAGATCACGCTCCATTTGATCGTTTTCTGCAGCCAATCTATTGTGTCGTAACGTAGTCAACTCCGTCTCCAAGTCTTCAATTGAAAGTTGAGGAGTTGTACGCATTGACACGGGATCTGGTGCCGCGCCAAAGTACGACATACCATACCCAGCGTTCGCATTGCCCGAAGGAGTGATGCTACTGGTTGGAGCACCAAGACCAGCACTTGAGGTAGCCTGGGCCAAATTTAACGGTGTGTGTTGTCCGCTTGCCGGAACTGATATAGTATTAGCCGGCATTGGAACCGATCCTGTAAAATTACCACGACGACTACCCAAAGACTGCTTGTTGTCCTCTTGCAACGGCGGGATGAGTGGTTGAGGAACCTCCACGGGCCCCACAAGAGAATTGATAACTTCTTTAGCCGCTCTCAATCCGGAAATATATGCTCCATGTACAGTACCAGGGTGGGATCTTGAAGTGGCCTCACCGGCAAAGAACAGTGATTGCTGGACAGGCCACCCTACAAGATCATGATCAGCAACTGTGCCATCAACACTCACGTATGAGTAGGCACCCCGTGAGAATTGGTCCAGTTGCCATCTAGTAATAACTGACTCAACGACAACGGGTTTTTGCTCCGGATGGAAGATAGCCGCCAGCCTTTCAACAAGATCTGATACTACGTTTTCATCAGAGCGTTCTTTGAGTTTCCGCGCTGCCTCACCACTGAATAGGGCAACGAGAATAGGTTTACCGGTTGGTCCCACTAAATTCTGGAAGACGAAGCCATCTCCACGCTTGTCTGAGCTTGGGTCATTTGTTACCCGGAACACGTCCGATGAAGCGTCCCAAAACACCTTGTCGAAAACAAGGATGGCTTTGTTGATAACCCCAAAACCGAGTCGAGAAATGCTGTCTGATTTCCATTGTGGCAAATCAGGAATGAATTGAACTGACCGGCTCTTGAGCAGACCAAGCGGAAGCGTGACGACGCAGCGGTCACCAACCACTTGCTCTCCATTTGCTAAATTTACACGCACAGTATCCTCATCATAATCGATAATTTTCACTTGTGTCTTGAAACGAATATCAAGTTTGGTTGGCACTGAATATAAGCCCTTGGTAAAAGTAGAGAACCCATCTCTCAGCCATGAAGACTGACCAGAGTACCGGCATTCTTTACGATGAGACCAGGACCCGAGGCTCTGTTTGTCAAGGCAGTCGCCAGAAAAGAACTCGTACTTTGCGTAATGCCAATATAAAGCTTCGAGGTCTTGAGGGCCTAATTCGACCAACTCCTCAAGCTGCTGGCCAAACCCATCCATTGTTTGACCAAGACTGGCTGAGCCACCTGCAGGAGAAGGTGTGATATGTATCTGTTTTGCCGCATTATTCTCTTTCGGTTCAAATCCAAGTTCTTTGAGAAAATTGAGCTCAACAGCCGTTTCTGACTTTTTCTTTTCTGAATCGCTTGGACCATCTGTTTCCGCATAAGGGCGATCAACCTCTTCGGATTTGGCAACGGTGCGACGCTCATCGTTTGAGTCTGTGATCTTGGGATCACGAGCCATCCTTATCAGCGCCTTGTCACCTTCCGATGTTTGAGGCTGGACAGGCATTCCGGTCTCAAACTCAAGCATTCGCTCAAGCAGATGGGTGAAAAGTTCATGTGCCCTGAATGATGTCGTTTCATCAACAATACCACCTGACTTAGGACTGTACAAATCGTTCATTGTCGTGTCGACAGGGTAAACAGGCAAACCTAACTGGCGACGCAACACGATGCCCAAGGGATTTCCGTTACCAAAGCCCATCACAGTTTCTGCACCCAGATCAACCTGCTGACGACCTGCCTGTGACAAGTTTGCGGTGTGGATGCGTCCGCCAATACGGCGACGAGCCTCGAGAACTACGACGCGGGGAATATCGTCATACTCCTCAAAAGCAGCAGCATGACGAATCAATAGCGACTCTATCTGACGAGCACAGCTAAGACCAGCAACACCGGCACCGATGATCAAAATTGTCTGACGAGGTTTGTCACCTTGGGGCCGGTCCTGGGGGGCCAAGGTAGGCCTCTCTACGCAGCCGTGGTTGATGAACCCATTGCGCACCAACCACTCGAACGCGAACTCGGCCAGCGAATAGTAGCGTTCGTTCTGGCAGCACCCTACGGCTTCCACAATAGTCACAGACACGGTTGGGTTGGACAACCACAGACGAAGGATACCGTTACGAATGTTGAGATATGTTGTGACGTGAATGGACGGTAGATGGCTCCGTAGCAGGTTATACTCGCTATGATGGAGTCTGTAGGGAGGCATACCAGAAGAAATAGCAGCCGCAATACACTGAGAAGCGTAGTTAGAAGAAGACAGGTCAGGGGGCACTGATGAGAGCGGTTTGTACTTGGCTCTTTGAGCGGCGATATGATCTGGAACGGGAGAGATACGGTGGGCCATTTGGGGCTGCATGTCGACATCCATTGCTTGGGCAGGTGGGTTCTGGGGCGCTGGATCAAAGCGGAAATCAGCCTGCTGGGCATCCACCGCGTCCATGTCGATCAGATCGAGCTGGCCTACGGGCGGCTGGGCCATGGCGACGGACCCGACTTGCGTCATTATTGCGTTCATGTGATTTACCGCGCCCCTCTGTTCGTTGGCATCATGTTGGCGGGGCCCTGGTGCGAGGTCGATTTGCGACTGAAGCGAGCTGCCTATGTCGAGAGGCATTGAGTTAACATTGTCATTATTTGCGTCATCAAAGCCTGGGTAGAACCAGCTTGAAGACTGATCGTTTGCGTAGGGCTGTTGGGGCGGAGCAGCAGGAGCGAACCCATGGTAGGCTTGCTGATCACCAGGCGACGGCTCGAAAGAGGTGTAATCCTCGAACCCGCCGGTGTAGTAGGAGTCGCTAACCTGGGAAGCAGGAGGAACAGGGTTTTCGGCGCGATCGTTTCGAGGAGGTGGCCCTCTGATAGCGCCAGTGCCCCGATTTAAACGGGAGTCCATTGGGGTAGCCTTTCGAAATAACTAGCGACCAGGTGACTACGTAAGCAAAGGTGCGGAGAGATGCTCAAAAGCCCCCGGGCGACTTGGCGGTGTGTAGTTGGCGATTAAAATGCAGCTTGTTTTTTAAAAACTACTTGCTTATGGGCTGGATGGCTGTTTAAAGAACCAAGAAATTTTTTAGAATAACCCTAGTAAAAAAATGGACACTTAGTGCGTCATTATTTAGTAGGCAGCCTTGGCGGCGGCAGCAGGGTTAACCCGCTTGTTGTCGCGGTTGTAACGGACACGCACGGGGGGAGTGCGGATACGGCGGTTCTCGCGGGAGCGAACACGGACAATCTTGTTATGGACGGCGCAAGAGACGCAGTAGTGGACCTTAACGTACAACTTGGGCAAAACGTACTCCTGGTAGACAGAGGCATCCGAAATGTCACGGACGGCGGCAGACTCGACCATGTTGCGGATGGTGAAGCGCTTGATAGCCTTGTCCTTGGCGACCATACGGCTGCAGTTGGAGCAGCGAACAGAGGTGACGTGGCCACGGCCCTTCTTGTTGCGTCCGTTGGAAGCTCTCTTCTTAGGCATTGTTGGTTGGGTATCTCTCCTGGCGGGCTCGAAGGTCGAGTCTAATTCGGACAAAGAGTGACGGCCCTAAGCCCTAGTTGATGAGTCAGCATAAACCAAGAAGTGCCGCGGGTAGTGATGATTGTCGCTAGTAGGTAGTTTCACGGCGGTGGAGTATCAAGTAAAGAATTCTTTTTCTGTTTTAATTCTACCAATTTAAATAAAAGGGCTAATGCTCGGGTTGCTAACACAATGTAGCTAAAGGCAGGCACACCGACTGAGTTCCATGGTTCTTCGCGATTAAAAACTAGCCAGTCGCTGCCCGAGAGCGCGCCATTTGCGAGTTTACGCGAAGTTGTTCATGGAAAAATCAGTAAAATCAATCTCGTTGAACAGGGTGAAGTCTCCAGAGACACCGAAATTAGCCGAGGGCAGTACAGTGGCGTCGGGGTCACTAGTTGCCGCTCGGGCGCTTGCGTCCTTCAACAACTCGTCAATCGACGCTGCGGGTCGACCGATTTGCGAGCACGTCATTATCATGACGATAAAAGGGCTCTAGACAAATAAAAAGGGGTGGGGGCACATACACCGTGCTCCCGTTGTGAGGCGAGTGGTAGGGACATCATCGCTGCTGGATGATGCGCCTTTGAGGAGTTGTCTAGGGACGCAATATCACCAACCAATTCAAAAGGAAGATGGTTTGGTTGACTGCCGGCATTGAATGACAGATCGAGTCCGTCAAAGTCAGCCAGCTCATCGTCGAAAACGGCAGGAGAGTTCGATGCCGAGTGCGACAGAGAAGGTGCAGAGAGCCCGAGCTGTAAAGCTTCAGGCGAAGCACATTCTTCCTTGACATCCGTCACTGCTACATCGGAGCCCGCCAGGGGCAAAGCAGTAGTGAGCGAGGTGGAAGAACCGCTAACCTCTGTTGGCAGGGTATCAAGGACGGAAAGGTCACCAGAGGTCTTGGCCAGCTGCACAGCAGCCTCAAGTTGTTCGAGTTGACTACGCAGGATGCAAAATTGCTCCTGGGTCTGCATCTGGCAACGCTGAGTCTGCTTGAGCTTGTCTTCAAGCTCCTGCGACCGGCTGGTAAGATCTTTGCAGCGGTTTTCGAGGTCCTCTACGTGCTTGCGCTTTTTCTCGCGCGAAGCATGAGCGGCCTGACGGTTGCGCATAATACGCTCAATCCGACGCTGTTCCTTTTCGTCCTTTGTACGTGCCCGCTTCCGGGGGGGGAGGGTTCCGGGTGGCAACGGCATCGTCATCACTTGAGTGCGCTTGTTCGAACCGTTGCCAACTGTGGTTGTGATTTGAACACCTCCATTTTCCAGCTCATTAATACTTTCGGCTGGCGAGGGGCATCCGCTGTAGGACTCCTCCTCGCCACCGCTAGTCTCTGTCGTGACCGTGACCGCACCGCTCGCCTCATCCAGAGCAGCAGGTTTAGACTCGTGACTATTTTGCATTTTGAGCTGTCGTGTTTGTGTAGAACCTTTGTTGTGTTGGGGGTTTTAAATTTGAAGTTTCTTAAAACAAAGAGCTTGAGAACCTATTACCTGAGGGGACTGATGGCCTATTTATACCACTTACGTATGCAAGGCGCAGCAAATGTAATCGATCTGCACGCAGAAGGTGGGAGTGGAAGGGGGTAGTCTCTGGTACATCAGGCAAATTTGCCTCGAAACTTTAAATTCGCAACTGCTTTTCGAAAATAAAATATTACCATCTACTGACTATCAACACTTTCTACGGATGTAACCAATAATTGAGACCAATACGCTTTTCAATACCCCTTTTTTCACATATTTCTTACCATAAATAGATATCAGGCCAGGTTTAGGGCCGAGAGCATGCTGCTCGGTCACGGAGGAGGCGATTATACATTAGTTTCAAAACGCGCTCGCGAGATGAATTATTATTTCCTAAACAAGTTATTATATATGCCTTATTATACCTTACTAGTACCCGCTTGGATCATCACTTTTAGTTGTCTGTTTTGGGTATCTGTTCGTTGTTCGTTGACCATCGGAAGGAGCTCCGTCTCAGTGGTGCGATTAAATGTGCTGCTAATTACGCACGGCGTGGTGCCGGGTCTGTGGTGGTGGGAAAAACCAAGCGATATAGCGGGTTCAAGCACCAAAAAAATCCCTTTATGAAATATTTGCACCCGCCAACTGCGAACTCAACCTACTTTTCCTACTGAATGCTAATGTCGTGATTCTCCTCACTGCAGTTGACTAGGAAACCAAATCAATTCATTACAGCATGGGTAAGGGGTTCTGTGCGAACTCTGGGCAGTGGACCTGCTCGGACCTAGCAGAACTCTTAGCCAGTGAGCATTTAACGCGGAGCGTGGGAAGAAAAGTTGGAAAAATTCGGACAAAAACAGCTTAGTTGAATCTCGGGCGTGCAAAAATATTACGCTTTTGAAAAAAATTCAACAGCGGCGTGGATGTGCTGCAGGCACAAAATGACGGTCTATCTTGTTCAACACACTCCTCGCCCCCACCCTGAGACTAGGTTGTCCGGACAACCTTATGGCAATTTATGCTCGCAGACATACTCGGGGTGTTGTGACATTTTCTGTCTGGTTAGGGTTGGGGTCTATGCGCGGGATACGGCAGCAGCCTGCATTTTTGTTTACAACTCTAAACTGTCAAGCTGGATCGTCTTTGCTGTCTGATCTCTGGCAGACCCTTCAAGATTTTTAGAAGGCTGTATAAATGTCTATGTTACACAGTACGCCTTTACCAAATACCCCTCAAAGACATACCATTGCAACCGTCGATGAGCTCCTCCAGAGATCCTCTCAAGCCAAGCGGCCAAGCTCAGTCGCCATTCAGCGGTCTGAAACTTATTTTTCGTTTGACAGTGATGTCAGTGTACAGAAATGCACAAACTGTCAAGAAATGGAACCAATGCAATACCAGGATTCGGACTCGTTACCAAGCCTCGAGCTTTCACATGACATGACCGATTCGTCAAATGAGCCATCTGCCGGACTGTTTGACGAGCATTTCACGTCGTACGACGACAGTGCGTCCACACCGTTAAGGTCGCAGTCCCCAGAGCTTGTTTTGAAAGTGGGGTGGGATCTTCTGCAGCCTCCATCTCCATTGTTTGGTGCCCCTACTTTGCAATGCCCCGACGAAACTTTGTACGTAAAGTTCCCCGGTTGGACAGCACGAAAACAGCGTAGAAAACCCAAAAGTCTCTTGCGAACCCCGTCACTAGTGCAGGCCACGGACGGGCGGCATGGCAATGGGATCTTTCCGCCGCAGGTTTCGAGCAATGGTGCACCCACGCAGCCAAATGTCACGGTCTGGCGCCGTAGTGATGGCGATCTGGTCGAGCCACCGATTTGGGCCGGGTTTCCTTCTCTGCCGTCGTTTCCCAGTCAACAAGACCACATCATATCCGACGGTGAGAAATGCGACATCTACGGGCGAAAAGAGTGCTCGAGAGGCGCCGCTTTAGCTCTGTTGGCGGGGCTTAGCATGTTTCCTCCCGGGTGGCTACTCTTGTCAATGGGCTACTTTGACAACACAGTTGGCGTCGTTCCTGGCTGGGCGAAACTTATTGCGCTACTGCTTGGTCTTATTGTCTTCTTAGCCGCTATTGTTGTCGCAATTACTCTCTCTGTAACCTGATTTCGACCGATCAACGCCTATCGTCACATGCAGAGAAGAAAGCTGGCCCGCATGGGAGGCGCATCATGGAAAGAACTCACATCACCGTTTGGAGGCATCCCGCAAACTGAGTGGCAGCGGTGGTAGGTTAGTCCAGGCATCGATTCTTTTTTTGGTATTCTGCTCCGCCAAAAAGGAAAAAAATAAAAGAATAAATCGAACGTGCCCGGATTATCATTTCGAGAGGCGCAGTCACGACCTGTACGACACTTGTAGAATATTTATTGATTTTAGCATAATTTCTCAACCTCAAACTGCCTGCCAGCAGATAAAATATTTCCCCAACACTGCCTCCGCTCTACAATAAACCGTACATGCTGCAACAGTGTCGCTGTGTGATTAAATTACTGTGACGACCCCTCAGACTAACCGACGTCAACTGGGGTAAGGGTTACTACCGTAGATCTAGACCGGCCCCTTCCATTGCCCGTATCTAGCCTCTTGTGCTACTATCCCTTGTGCTACCTCAATTAGGATCCAGCGTCAGATCGTTTCCAATAGCGCATTGAACATCCAGCTGAGCACTTGGAAAACGTAGCTGTATTATACCTGCGCTAAAAGCTATGGGCAATACTGCCACAAAAGAAAGCAGACCTCACACGGCGGCGGCCAGCCCCACCGGTCGGACAAGCCGCGGACACCGAGAGCGGGATGAGCGTGGGAAATCGCACAAGCGGGACAAAGTCAAACCGGGCTACCAACTTATCATTGATCCATCTGAAATGGTAGATGGTGGTTATTTATATCCTCAAGGCGTATACTCAACGCCTCAAGACTTTAAAGTCGATGTGGTGCGGGATGTTATCATTCGTCGCAAATTGGCCCCCTTTTACAAGGGATTGGAATCGGTTGAGTCCAATTGGACAGATGAACAGCTTTTGGCCGTTATAGATGGCAAACTGCTGCCAGAAAGTTTTGTTGCCCCATCGGCGGCTCAGGCAGGCGATGCCTCGTCTGACCCTGCGATTGTGGCAATTGGCGATCAGGTCGACAGTTTGGCCATCGACGACGATTCCGAGAATGCCGAGAGTTGTCGCTCCAACTCCCCTGTGTCTACCAACCAAGCTTCCTCCTTGCCATATTCTCCTGCTGGGGCGAATAGCAAGCGTCCTCGTCACGGTAGCCACACCCACACTCCAGGCCCGCAGCCGTCGGTTAGTCGGCGTAGAGCAAATACGACATCCGTCACTCAGAATACTACAAGCAAAGTCGAAGAACGCAATGCTCAGGCGATTTGGCTCTACCGCAACGTTCACGAATGTCCCATTTGTTTCCTTGTATATCCCCGGTTGAACAATACCCGTTGTTGTGGCCAAGAAATATGTACGGAATGTTTTGTGCAAATCAAACGTGCCGCCCCACATCCTCCTTATGGCGACGCCTCGGGCCAAGACAACAGTGCCAGTAGCGACCTGCAACTCATTTCTGAGCCAGCCTGTTGCCCGTATTGCGCAATGACCAACCTTGGCATCATTTTTGAAGCACCTCCTTTTGAATGGGGTATTCCCAACCCAGAGTCATTGAAGCCAGCTACTTTGCAGGGTGCCACAAAGTCGGAGAGTGGACCGAGCAAACCCCGCCGTCTATCTGTATCACATACCCACCCAGATGTGGTAACAACCGACCAAATAAGACCAGACTGGGAGTCCAAGCTTGCGTCCGCTCGCCGTAAACTGGCACGCCGGGCGGCAGCAGCTCGTAGATTGCATGAAAACTCACTTCTTCCCGCCGGTGGTGATAGCCGCACTAGTTCTGGAAGAAGAGGCAGCAACTCACACAACTTTCTCCATCTTACTCTCAACATGACAGAGTCCCAAACTAGAAATCTAGAAAACAGAATGATTGAGGAGGCCATCAGGCAAAGCTTGCGTGAGGTTTGACCAGCAAATCTCTGCCCTCAATCCAACTTTCACGCATATACGTATTTACTCTTTATTAACGTCCATTTGTTTCCCCCAGACGTTGAAAACCATTTCAGAGATATCCTGTCTTATGCGACGTCGGGGGATGTTGTTTAGCGTTTGGCGGTAGAGCAGGGATTTCTTCTCCTCCTCGTTACCTTCATTATATGCATGCACGAGATCCAGCGGGGTGGGATACATTCGCATGATGACTTGGGCTTTTTCTGCAGACACTCCTTTTATGGTCATGAGCATGCTCAGGAAAAGCTGGTTGATGGTCTGGCTTTTTGACTTGGAGAGTCCCTCCTGGAACGCTCCAAAGTCAATGGCTAAGGCTTCATTTCCAAGCTCGGATCTGGCGAGCTTGATAGATGTTTCATAGGATTCCATTTGCGGGAGTACAACTTTCAGGTCTGTCCCGCTGTACTTTTTCGAGATTTCCTCAGTCATCTGGCTCAGATACAAGACAGTGTCGTTTTGGCTCGCTGCCTGTTTTAAAAAGAACCCTCTGAGAGCGATTATTTGTGACATTGCGGTTCGGATTCTTTGCTCATGAGACGCCATGTCAGGGCCAGCCACCATTTCAATTAAATAAATAACGTTGCTGATTTGGGATCGTTGCAACCGTGTTTTTTGTTCGAAAAACCGACCATCCATGATACTTTGGACTAAATCTCGGAGATTCTTTCTCTCTAGAATATAGTCTAAAGCCGCCATTTTGCCAGTGCTTTTGTGTTCGGCCACCCACATTGCGTCCCCCACTGCCAAAGCTGAGATTTCGAGGTTCACATTTCGCTCAGCCAGCGCATCAGCGAACCCTGTCCTGTTATCACGACTTGCGACTTCACGATTATCTAGCAGCAGCTTGATAGAGTAGTCAGAGCTACTCCAAGTCTCGTACTGATAGGTATTCAGATCTTGAACGGTGCGAGAAACAGAGCTTGGTCGTGGTGGCTGGAGATCGTCAACAGGGAGGCCGTTCTGCTCTCTTTGGACCTTGAGAAGTCCATCAGCGACAGTACGGCCGGTTTCTTCGAGAAAGTATTTGGTATTCCGGTAATAAATAAGACCTTTCTTGGTTAAAACGGCAAACGCGGGAGCGAGGTTCGGGATCTGTTTACCTTTATTTCCCTCAAGAGACAGCATCAGTCGTGGCTTCATTAACCGCAGCAAATCTTTTCGACCTATCCCGTTATCTTCATATTCTTGGAGTTCAAATTCGCGTATCGTCAGTAGAATATGATAGGCCGTTGTTCCATAGCGAGGGATATATTTCCGATTTGATGTCGTCTTTGTAGATACCGATTGAGGGGCCAATACCGGCGGGTCTAACCTGAGACCCTCGGGAACTTCGACTCCGAGCTGCTTGCAGTGGGCAGCAGTTTTTTTTAGCAGCATTGCTACTGTTTTGTCACCAACAAACTTCAGGGACTTGATCTGATGTACCTCTGTAAAGTCCTCCAACGGACAGGAAGCGATGGATTGTAGGCTTTTTTGATATGCTTGAGCCAAGTACTTTGCATTCGGCCTGGAACCCGCCGATTCGCAGGCCTCTTCCAGCCATTCGACGTATAAACATTTCCAGTTTATAGACATGCTTTGTCAACAACGCGTTCAAACGACATGCTCGAAGGTGACGCAGCTAAATTAACCGTCAAATTGGCCCTAACCTTGGTCAATGGTAGTGAGAGTGTATCTAGTCAAAACGGGCTAGTTGGTGTCTGGAAATGGGCACGACTGACAGGAATAGAGAGCGGTATGGAGCGTTCTGCACGCTGTGCTCGCCTAGGCTAATTCAAGGAATGGACAAGTGTTGTTGCAGTCGAAGTTGGCTCCACTAAATGATCTTCTTATTCACAAAACATTTACAAAGGCTCGCGTAGCTCAATTTTGTTTTACAGGCTGAAGCTCATGGGGAATTACTCAGTAATACTACCAAGGCACTAGTCCCAGAAAACTGTATGTCCGCAATTTGCCAAGCTTTGAAGGAAGTTAGTTAGGCGACTGAGAACCACAATGTCATCTTCAATTGACTGAAAATAAACAAAAAGCATTGGCTTGGATTAAAGATTTGTTCTCACATGGTCCTCGCAAACCCTTAGCACGTGTGCTGACGAATTGCAATTTGGTTATCACTTACTGTGCGATTTCACAATTGTACATCCAGCGTGCTGACAATGAAAGCCTGGCTAATGGATAACGAGGTTTCAGACCAACGTCTCGACCACAATTCTGGGGTTGAGTTGGATGAAAAGGCTTTGGGCGATATTGGAGTTCTATACTATCACTTAGACAACCTCGATGATGTCAACACACTCGCTAAAGAGCGCCATTACCGTAACCGGGACGAAATAGAGGTTTCACCAAAGTCCATGGGCAGTGAGGAGGCCTATATGGCCAAACTCAAGATCTTTTTTGATGAGCATCTCCATGAAGACGAGGAGATTCGCTATGTGCTCGACGGAAGAGGCTTTTTCGACGTTCGCGACCGCGCAGACAGATGGGTGCGAGTTGCTGTCGAAAAAAACGACTTATTGATTTTACCTGCGGGCATCTACCATCGATTTACCACCGATTCATCAGACTACATCCGCGCTTTGCGTCTGTTCCAAGATGAGCCCAAATGGGTAGCTTTCAACCGGCCAGCTGATGACAAGACAAGCCGGACCGAGTATTTGAGGGCAATTGAAGCTTGAGAGCAAGCCACGAAGAGTTTGGGCCTGTAGCAGCCATTTCTGAACGAAATAGTACACTATTATAATTTAACACCCCGCGGCACCCCCAAACAACTGCTTACATTAGCAGTTTGGTTGCCACAGCCGGACTGAAATTTTCTCCCTGCACTTTTTCTCCCGCCCAAACCACTCATCACTACTTACCGACATGTCTAACACTGAGGCCGCCATTTCGTACGCCACTTTGATTCTGGCTGACGCCGATATTGAGATTACTGCCGACAAGCTGCTTGCTTTGGCCAAGTCCGCCAACGTTTCTATTGAGCCTATCTGGGCTGAGGTCTTCGCCAAAGCCACCGAGGGTCAGGACCTTAAGGAGCTCCTTTTCTCCTTTGGTGCTGCTGGTCCTGCCGCTGCTGCCGGCTCTGCTCCTGCTGCTGCCGGTGGTGACGCCGCTGCTCCCGCCGAGCAGGCTGCTTCCGAGGAGGAGGAGTCCGACGGTGACATGGGCATGGGTCTCTTTGACTAAAAACGCACTTAGCTAGATAATATTACTCCATATCTATGTTAATCGCATACAGTTGAACATGAATCAGCTTTTAATTGGCCTGTTGTGCCTGAGAACGCGCGCGGAGGTGCTGAAGATAACACCCCTGAGCACCCCTCTGTTGGCAGTTAGGGCTCGGCCCTATTGATGTCACCACTCATTCTTGAAATTATCCCCCCGCTACGCAAGAGCCTACTCATATCCATACAATGAGCGACACTGAGAAGAAGGCTGTCATCCCCCACGTTCAGACGTTTGGCAAGAAGAAGACTGCTACCGCTGTTGCCTACGTTAAGCAAGGTAAGGGCCTTCTTAAGCTGAACGGCTCTCCCATCACCTTGGTCCAGCCCGAGATCCTCCGCTTCAAGGTCTACGAGCCCCTTTTGATCGTTGGCTTGGACAAGTTCGCTGGCCTCGACATCCGTGTCCGTGTTACCGGCGGTGGTCACGTCTCTCAGCTCTACGCCATCCGTCAGGCTATTGCTAAGGGTCTGATTGCATACTACCAGAAGTTCGTAGACGAGCAGAGCAAGAATGAGCTCAAGCGTGCTCTCGTCAAGTACGACCGTACTCTTCTGATTGCCGACCCTCGCCAGAGCGAGCCCAAGAAGTTCGGTGGTCCCGGCGCCCGTGCTCGTTACCAGAAATCGTACCGTTAATCATGCTATTTTTATAGTAACCCGCGTTACATCCCTCATAGCCATAGGATTCCAAAACCTGAAAAAAGCCCGCCCTGGCTCCTTTTAAGGAATTGTAGAAATGAACTAAATCTTAACTTTTGCTTTCAGACTTCTTGGAAAGCTTTACTCAGCTCCCGTACACATCTATCGCAAGGTTTGGCAGACCCGTTGTTTACCCTTCTGACTAATGGAAGAACCGAGCACACCTCAAAAGGGGCCGTCTACGCCAGACGAGGGGGCGATTATAACGCCTGAAACGATCCATGGGAAGGTGAAACAAGAGGTGGGTCTAGGATCTCCAATCGGCAGGCCGCTATTCACTGGCGTCGACGCAGGAGGCACCGCTACACCCGCCCAAAGCAGTCCCATTCGGGATGCCCAGCCAGGCAAATTGGCATCCTCACCGGTTTTGAGCTCAAGTCCAACGTCTAAAACTCCTCAATCGTTGTCGTTTACCCCAGGAAGGACCACGCGGTATCCAGCAAGTCCCCATTTCGACCGGCCATGGCATTCGACCAGAGTGCCGTCGTCGTCGGGTCGAGTGTCGCTGCGGGATTCAAAGCCAAGTATTCCGCCTGTTCCTCTTGCCACGATGTTTTTGAGAAAAGAGGACATTGCTTCATTACCGGACGACAAGGTTCGAGACGAATTGGCTAAAGCACTGGACGAGGTCTCCATGTATGAAAGAGCGGCTCACCAGTTCCGTTCTATGGCCAGCAACTATCTCTTACAAAACAAACTGTTGACAATTGAGACCCACGAAAGCATGCAAAGACACGAGGTCGAGACCAACCTTGCTAAAAAGGAGGTCCAGCGTCTTGCCGTCGATGCCAACGGCTACTCTGAAGGAGTAGAATCGCTAACCCGCAAACTCAAACGTACAAGGCTGCGCGTACGCGAGTTAGAGTCACAATTGAGCGATAGAGATAGAGAACTACGAACACTGAAACGCCAATTGCAGGACCTTGAGTACACCAGGGCACCTGTGCTACCCGCAATGAAACCAATGAATGAGCCTTCTCTCACAGTTAATACCACACTCGCAAGACAATCAAGCGCAAACCTGCAGAATCCTCGGGAACCACTGAGTGGACTGGACATTCTTGCCAGCCAAGCACTGGATCAAGAATTAGCACAACACTCTACGGGACCTAAAGACCGAAGACCGTCTTCAAGCTCGACTATTTCCCAGCATTCAGCCGACGAAACGTTCGAGGATCCCAATCAATCGATGGGCTAATCTACAATAATATCGTAGGGGTGCAGTTTTTTTAACTTAATTTTTTATTAACTTATGCCATCTGTCTAAAGCAGAGATGAAGGCAGACTAGAGGGTGCCTTGCGCAAGCCGGCCAGCCGGTCGTAGTCGCCGGAAAGAATACGTTCAACCACCAGATCGTCCCGCTTCTTTTGCTCCTCGGGCGAGAGCTTCTCGGAAGAGTCTGTGGTCTCACCGAACTTCTCCTGTGCACGGAGACGCAGCTCCTCGAGGGCCCAGTCGTTCAAGGTCTCCTTGTTCAGGAAGAAGTAGAGCCCGAGGGCAATCAGCAAGCCAGGAACGTAGCCGTAGTACATGATATTCTCCCAGCCCTCCTTTTGGTTCTCGCGAACAATAGTCCAAGTAACCTCACCGGTAGCGGGGTCCTCAACGGGAATCTTGTCCAGAATACGACGGCCATTCAGGAAAAAGTCTTGAAGATGGGCAGTGTTTTCGTTGAGCACGGTGGCTTGCTCAGTCGTCAGCTTAAAACGATCACCAAGGGTGGCACGCGAAGTGTCCATAAGGGCTCCAAGAGCCGCCGCGCTTTGAAGCTGCTTGTCGGATGGCTCCTTGACGGTGCCATCTGCGTTCTGGTACACTTTGTTGGGGGCCGGCAGCTCGGCGATGGTAGCGGCGATTGCCTGCTCGAGTTCGGCGCTGTACTTGGAGAATCCTTCAGTTACAGGGTAGTCCTTGCTCAAAAACTTGATGCCACGGGTCGACATGCGGAGCATGATGCTCGGACGAGCCACCTGTTTTAACGTTGGCAGCATTCGCGACAGCATTTTAATTGGTCCCAGCTTACTCGTCAGAATAAAGACCGCTGGGTAGGACAGGGTAAGTATTAGATAATTAGGAGCACGAACGATGGACGGGGGTGGTAGAAGGGCGAGGTGACTAGAACCAAAACAAGGATTGAGCAGCTTAAATTTTGGTGGATAATCGCGAATGTGCGGCGTAAATTTTTACTTGGGCTCGTAACGGGTCTAGTTTCGAGCGCTCAATGTTTAGGGCTAACAGCAGTCACACTAAGCAGGGCCTCCCAACTAATCACCACTCTTCGAACCCCCGCTAGCCTCATCGTCGAATAATGAAGTATATCACTTCTGAGCAGAGCCTGGATATCCCTGAGGGCGTCACCGTCGAGATCAAGGCCCGTAACATTACTGTTACCGGTCCCCGTGGTACCTTGAAGAAGAATCTCCAGCACGTTGATGTCACCTTCAAGAAGGTCAACGACAAGCTCATCAAGCTTTACATCCTCCACGGCTCCCGCAAGCAGGTCGCTGCTTTGCGTACCGTCAAGTCCCTTGTCCATAACATGATCATCGGTGTCACCAAGGGCTTCAAGTACAAGATGCGTTACGTCTACGCCCATTTCCCCATCAACGTTAACATCGAGAACAACGGTGCCAAGGTTGAGATCCGTAACTACCTCGGTGAGAAGCAGGTCCGTATCGTCAACGCTCTTGAGGGTGTCAAGGTCGAGATCTCGAAGGCCCAGAAGGATGAGCTGATTCTTACCGGTAACTCTGTCGAGAACGTCTCTCAGACCGCCGCCGACATCCAGCAGATCTGCAAGGCCCGCAACAAGGATATCCGTAAATTTTTGGATGGTATCTACGTTTCTGAGAAGGGTGTCATTGACGCTGAGGCGTAAACTTCAAAAATATAGCATTAATTAATGTCTGTTTCTAGCCACTGCTCCGGGGTCTTGAACGCTATGTCCAGGTTATTGGCAAACTCCAGGTCGCTGCTGCTATGATCGCTGGGCCGTCCAGCAGCATCGCCGACGTAGAATGAGCCCTTTTTATCAACGATAATGCCCTCGCGTACCAGTTGTTTCTCCATGAGCTCCCACATGCCAACTTCTGGCTTGCGGTAAATCGAGCCCTCCTCTTTAGTTGCAGCATATATATGAATAGGAACGGCCAGCTCTTTGATAATATTGGGCATTTTTTGAATTAATTGCTCGTATCTCTTGCCCTTCAACAATGTTCCGCCTTGGTTTGTGAAAATCACAATGTGATGCGTCTCGGCTTCCTTTCGAATTTTGGTCACTACGTCTGCTGTCAACCATTTCCAGTCGTTACCATCCATTGGCCACGTTTGGCCTGATTTAGGCACAATTAAGGTCTGATCTAGATCAAACGCAGCAACTGTACCTACCTTAGTAGCTTCAACCGGCCTCGAGACTCGAGGTGCAAAAAAATCAACCGGTGCGATGGCTCTCCCGTCGCTGGACCACCATAGGCATGACCCAACTGTGCCGACCTTCATAATTGCAGGTGAAACACGTTCAGTCGCGCAGGAACCAATTTCGAAAAGGGATTTGTCAGTGGACGTACGCGCTTTGTTGGTCATCCTCCTACCTTGGTTGTATAAACATCAAACACTATCCAGGTTTAAAGATCAAAGCTCCGCCACAATGTCTGTTCGACACGCGTCTGTTATGTCAAATGCCTCAACCCGAAGCCACGGCTGGAACAAAAGGGCCATGCGAAAGGTCACTTTTACCCTGCTAGTGTGTGGCCAGCCAGGCACCGGAAAGACCACCTTTGTCGAAACGTTACTAGGGAAAAAGAACCTTTTGCGCGAAAAAATCTGGAACAAACAGCAGGGGTCGAATATGGAACTTTATACAACTACAGGAGAGCTCGACGAAGAAGACGGCTCGCGTTTGGCCCTCACTGTAATTGATACCACCGGGTTTGGAGAGTCTATTGATTCCACTAACGATATTGATTATCTCGCCGAGTATGTGGAGACCCGATTTGACGAAGTGCTTGCTGAAGAGTCCCGAATCCGCCGCAACCCCAAGTTCCGTGATAACCGAGTTCATGCCTGTCTGTACTTTATTGAACCTTCCGGCCACGGTTTGAGGGAGCTGGACATTGCAGCCATGAAGCGTCTGGGCACTGTTGTCAACGTGATTCCAGTTCTTGCCAGAGCCGATCAAATGACCACGTCAGAGAGACTCCATTTCAAGAACCAAGTTGTAGAGGATCTCAATTTCCACGAGATCCCCATTTATGATTTTGGCCAGGACATCGACGACCTTGAAGAGGAATCTGAGTATGTGCAGCTACTTGAAACGGTCAGAAAGGCCCAGCCATTCGCAGTTGTGTCCAGCACCGAGTTCGCGGAGGACGGCCACCCGCTATATCGTCGAAAGCTCCGCCATGGCTCCATTGACATTACCAACCCCAAACTCAGTGACTTTATTTTGTTGAGGGAAACGATTCTCACGTCGTTCCTGTCGGATCTCAAGGATGCAACCCGGGATGTTCTGTACGAGTCCTATCGAACAGCTCGCCTGAGTGAGCCGACTACGGCGTCTATTAACCGCAGGGGCAACCGGTCTTCGTTGCTCAGCCCCGAGGAATTGGCAGAGCATGCCAACCGATTGAAGGAGGCTCAGCTGCTGCGGGAGAACCAGCAGCTGGTAGAGTCAGAGAACAAGATTGCCAAGGAAATTGAGGAACGCAGACGTCAACTGCTTGAACGTGAGAAAGAACTCAAGGAGATGGAAATACGACTGGCCCGTGAGCGTGAGGCTTTAGCGTCTCCTGTACAGCAGCAATCTTTACCTGACTCTGTCCAGACTAGGTTCCTGCCAAATGGTGCTACACCGCGACCTACCTCGACTGCCACTGGTGATGAGGCCTTTGCAGATGCCAAAGAAGCTAACAGTGGCCGTCCTAGTGTCGACAAAATCGATACCCAGGCTGCATCTGCGGTTGATGGCGTTGTTTTCGGTGCTCCTGAAACTCCTCGTCAGATGGATAATGAGAATGCTTCATCCCCTTCGCCCCCTCCTCGCTCTCCTCACCGGCCGTTATCGTTTGTTGGAGCAACCTCTCCGCTGCAGATTAAGAAAGGCAGTAAAGAGGACCTCCCGCCACTCCCCCCTCTTGATTCTCAGGAAACTCCCGATTTGAAATCTCATCCTTAAACTATTTCGCACACCTCTGTACTTACATATATAACCCGAGCAATTATTCCCTCAAACTGCGTCATCTCATCAAGGTGTATAGGTTAAAAAGATTAGTGTTTTACTAGGTAGGTACGTATTTGCTTTTCGGACTATAACCAATCAGCTAATTATGATCGCTTCATTTTTGACAGAGGATTCTTTTTCAGAGGTAGTTACTACCGAATCAGACTCATCAGATCCCTCATGAGGCTTTTCGGCTAGCTCGTAATCCTGAATAAAAATCCAGTAGTCAACAGTTTTACACCACGCGGGCATATTGTAGCGCTCGTACCACGGGATAGTGTGATGCTTGACCAGAATATCGTCGTGACCGAACCAAAAGCGGCCCCACGCGGTCGTGGGAGCAGTGGGTTCGTCGAAAACCGCCCACAAACGCTTTGTAGAGCATGCCAACCAAATGCCTCTGGCAAGAATACTGAGCATGGCGCCAACAACAGAGGCCAGGGGTGCAACAACAAAAGTACCAAAGGCACTCCAGTCATCACCGTAGATACCATTGCTCATAATGAGCTGGGCACCACCACCAGCGGCGGAATGCCAGAAAATAGTACCAAAGACAAAGACGCCAATGATACCACCGATTAGAGACATGAAAATTTCCAGACCAGTAACGAACCAAAAGTATTTGCTGAGGCCAAGGAACAGCACCGGGATAATGGCCGAAGATAATACATCACAAATCAAGTAGATGTTAAGAACATTGGGAGCTTGCAAAGCCACCACGATGGAAGGCGCCAAAGTGGCCAGAGTAAACGCACGAACCCAAATTTTGCGAACGCGATTACGGAAAAAGTCATTCGACACTGTAGAGGCTAAGGCAGACTGGAAGGAGTCGATTGTGCACGAAGACAACAGGCAGGCGAATACCAAAGTAAAGCCATGGACCCATTTTGGCAACTCCTTGAGCACAAGGAAGAACGCCACCTGCGAGTCCTCTTCAAAAGTCGGTGAAGCAGGATCGATGAGCTTCGCCCAAACCGCCAGCATACCAGGAATGCCGACGCCAGCGCAGATGATGAAAAACAGGAATCCAGCAATCGTGCAAGCAATGTAGAGGTCGCGGTTTGTTTTAGATGCGAAAGTACGCAGCCAAAACCCGGCCATAAAGCAGTCGTTCGTCATGATGGCAACAAACAAAATATAAATAAGTTTCCATCCCAACAGATTTCCCTTGAGCAGTCCACTAGGACCGACAAGGCTCTTGTCAATTTTGATTTCCGCGCCCATTGCAGCAATGACAATAATCAGGAGAGCCAGCACAGCTGGCGCCTGCAAATTATCAGTGAAGAATGAAGTTTGGAAACCACCCAAAGACGTGTAAATACCAGTAACACAGGCCTCGACAATCAGAGCCGGCCACCCTTTAAGGTTTGTCAACGACTCGATCACAGCTTGGATCGAGGTCAATTCACTGACCATGAAAAGATAGACCGTCAAAATCGTAGCGCAAGAAACCAGCCAGGAAGCGCCGATGCCGTAGCGCTGACGAACCCACTCCGTCATCACAAAGCCGTGAGGGGTCTTTTTGCGAATGATGGGGCCGAGAACGGCAAAAATGACAAGCGGAATGGCACCACAGAGGGCATAGACAAAAAGCCCGTGGATACCAGAGTAAGCAGCAATCTGAGGGTAAGTGAGCAGGATACCACAGCCCATTCCTAGAATGTTAGCAACCTAGAGCAACATACATTTCTCACGCAAGTACTAGCTTGATCGAGTTCAAACGGTGTAATCTCAGCCCTGTTAGGGGCACCCGCTGTACGCTGCCTTTGAATTAGTTTTGACTTACCTGATGCGATGAAATTCCACACAAGTGTCCACCACACACGAGTTCCATTATCGTTGGTAAACGGTTTACTCCAGTAATACCAGGCAACTCCCAGACCCATGAGCAACACGCATGCATATGTCGTGTAGATACAGGCATTGGCTGCGTGGTCAGAGATTATACCAACGTTCACCATCGTTCTAATGTTAGACGTCTAAATGACGCAAGCCGGACTATATAGTCATCCGAAAAAAATTTGTTACTCAGCACACATACCCTAGGGTTTCGCCCTGCGGGCGGAGAGGGAAATCTGAAGATGGTGATTTTCGGCGAGTGAGAGGACACCAGATGGCCAGGGAACTTGGAATATCTCCAATAGAAACCTCCGAAATGAAGCCGAAATGAGCATGGGACGTTTTCAATCTATATCTGGGCTCATATCAAAGATTTGCCTCCAATGCAGGAACTGGGCCGAGTCATCTAAGAGACTGACATGCATTGAGAGAAACCGGGCGCTGAGACAATAGCAGGCGCTACATGACAGGGTTAAACCCCCAGTAGTCGGCGAGATATTTACGAGATTCGCCTCGTATTTGAATTGATCTGAAATATATTTCCCGTTCTAAAGTCCGCTGCTCGCTAGTCTGAGTGCAGCCCTTGATAAACTCATGCAGTATTGCCAATGACTAAATTAGAGCCCAGGACACAGGTCCGAGATCTGCCCAGGACACTGATACAGCTATGTGTTTGAGGACTTGAAAAGCGTCTTGCTTTGTGGTTGCCACTCCTTACTTGTTAGACTAGTACTAATTTGTCTCTTTACTGATCCTTGTATGCTGTAAGTTCAGTCGCAGGCGCCAGTGCATCAGGCAAGCATTAAGCAGATGCCTGCTAAAAGTTCCGCACAGGTGCAAGGTAGCGATGCTGACATAACATACATATTTTTATTTGTAGGACGCTTCGCTTGGACCACCTGAGGTTGAGCTTTCTGGTCAAGATAGCGTATCAGCAACATGCTCATATATATGTTTGAGAATATCGACAGAAATGCAGCCGGCATGTGATTCAAGTCTATTATGCGACGGATAGAATCAAAACTCTCCTGACTTTACTCTGTTTACCATCTCACCTACCCGTGCTTGGTAATGCAATGGCACCGTCAACGTTGGTGGTAGACACAAACTTCCTTATAAGCAACCTAGATCTTGTAGAACAACTCGTGGAGATTCACGCTGAGTTTTCTCATGTTGTCGTGATACCCGGTACTGTTTTGGAGGAATTGGACGGCCTCAAAAGTGGAACCAAGCAGACCTCCAGAAAAGCTCGGGAGGTGATACACTACATTCACAAAAAACTGGCAGAAACGAATCCTGGCATCCGTGGCCAAAGACTTTCAGAATTTGTGCAGTCGAACCTGAAAGGCGACGACTCAATTCTCGATTGCTGTAGGTTTTTTTCAGCACGAAGTTTTACTGTACTCTGTTCTAATGATCGGAATCTTTGTGCGAAGGCGCTCACCAATGAGATCAAAACAGTTTCGTTTGTACAGGGCATGACTGCAACACTTATAGCAGTACATGTGGCTGTCGCGGCCGGCCTGATGACGCCTGAAATTGGCGAGCAGTTTCTTTCACGAGAGCCCGCATTCAACAAACCTTCAACGCACGAAAGCCATGATCCACCCCCCGACGGTGATCTTGACATGGCGGATATATCCGAATCCGCACAGCAACCAGAAACAATGCCAAAACCTCTAGAATTACCGCAGGACGAGTATTCTAGTATATCTTCGATGGAGCGCGACGTGATTAAAACTCTTTTCGAGAGCATTATTGCATTAATTGAATACGCCATGCACCAGGCCTACAGTAAAGAAGAGCTGGTTTATTTCCAGTACAAGAAGCCAGAGCCCACAGGCAAGAGCATAGCCCAAGTCTTCGACAAATTCCAGATCGCGGTGTTCAGCGAGTATTTCCCGCGGCGGGTTTATACAGAGATACAAGAAGCTATCAAGCAGCCTACTTCGAATTTTAACAAGGCCGGGTTCGATAAATTCATCGACCTGTGGGGGGGAGTCATGTTACATCTGTCCAAAAACGATCCTAGCTACCGTAATGCACTGAACTCGCTCAAAGCCGTAGTTGATCGTTTTTATATGTAAAATAATAAATTAAAACAGCCTCGGCCTTTTGAGACGCGCCGGGGTCTTTTTCAGCTCTGCGCGGCGCTTCAGTCGGGCCTCCCTCGCTGCAGTGTCAACAGGCTGTGGGGTGGATACTGGCGACACAGTAGAATCGGCAGTGTTGGTCAATTTCGATGGCCAATTATCGCTCAAGAGTTCTGAAAAGCTAGTTTTGATCGGTTCTCCTTTTTTTTGAATGCATCGTCGTACGCTGATTCGTGCCTGCGGGGGACGTAAACCGATGAGCGCGATACTGCGTCGGCCATAGCACGAATGTGATAATTCTTTTCCTGAATGACTTCGTTCAATTGCTCTAGTCGATTGCCAAGAGCCTCTATAACGTTCTTGAACCCCAACGTCAACTCGGCCAAGATCAGAGAAGCCTTGGCAGGGGCGATCTTTTCCAGCTCGAATTCGAAACTGATTTCCTTTCCGAGGGCTGTGTGACCCACTTTTACAGCATAGCCTTCTTCATCGGTCCTAATCTCAGCATATGGTAGGTGCTTTGACAGGAACTCACCAAAGTGCAGAATTTCGCCGCGAGATTGCAGCGTGACGGGGCAGCTGCATTTCTGTTGGCGTTCGCGCAAGCCAGCCGATTCGAGATGCTCGCTCCAGACCGAACATAAATCGGTCAGCTCTAAAGTATAATACTCGCTGGTAAAAACTAGTCTGGCCATTTTTGAACCTCCATTTTTGAGCTCAATCCACGCCGGGTGGTCCCTGGTTCCAGACTCCTGCCGGGCTGACATAATAATCCGTTTCTGGGCTCGCCCACCGTGTGAAGCAAGGAAAAATTTTTAGGGGAATGGAGAGGGGGTAAAAGTTGGCGCCAAAATTAGGTATTAGGTTAAGTCTACGTAGGAAAACTCGTTTGAATTTGGCATTAAACTGCACGGGAATATCAACGGAATAGGCTACGGATTAGGTATCGTGCTGGATATCTACAATAAATAGACCACTTAGCACTAAAAAGACTCATGTCAAGACAATTTTAGGCCTGCCGAATACGATTTCAAATGCGGATCACGTGGCTGTGTTTGTCTGGCCACACTAAGCATGAGGCTTGCAGATGCAGGTCTTACCCAATGCACATCAAACATAGTTGGATTTTAGCTCTGAGTCTTTTGATAGCGTTAGCGTGGGCGGACTCCATTTGCACAGTTGAAAACAGTAGCGCATATACGGGCATACGTGTAATGAGGGTTTGGGCGCTGATCGAGAAACCTAAGGCCGCAACAAGGCTGTTACAAAACGAGGGTTTGCAGCCGGAGGACAAGGATGCAGCTCAACGCTTCGCACCAGCCTTTGCAGGAGGTCGAGCATGGAGAAAGTCCGGGGCTCCACCCCGAATATTGAGCAGGCACCCACCGCAACTGATTTTATACAACTGTGAACTAGGGAAGATCAAACACGAAATTGTTGTTGAACCTGAAAATCTGTTTAATACTACGTTATCATCGCCCTTATCGCCAGGTCTCTGTGTACGACTGGTCAGAAGAAAGCATGACGCTGGGCGATCGCCTGGGTCGTTTGCAATGCCTGGAAAGCTTATAGGAGCGTTCTTTACTAGCCCGAACTGTTCAGGACACGACGATATAGACCTACTTCAGCCATTCATGCCCATACAGGTCGAGTCTTGGCACCATGGGCACACGGTGATTCAAACCGATGCAGCATTTTTCCGATTGGCACTTTTTCGGAGCCCTGCCGTGAAAGAAAAAAGTTACCCTCGCACGCCATCTTGGGCGGATAGCTTAAATATAGTAGAAAAATACTAGAATTAGCCAAGCTCAGAATAGATTTCTCCTGGCCGAGCTCATTTTGGCAGGTTCCAAAAAGCCCGGCTGGTAGGCAGCAAACAAGGGCACCGTTTTTCTTGTTTAATTCGACATAATACTAAATATTGCAACGCGCATTCACTGAAAATCACTAACTGGTGTCCTGTGGGGTCCTGTCAGATACTATGTCCCTCCTCTTTTACCTACAGCGCGCATATTTTTGACGCATCGCAAAGTCCGCCGACGGAAGAATGCGGAGTTTGCAGGCCGAGCGGTGTATGAAGTGGTGAGAATGTTGGTCGTTCACGCTACTGGTTGAGACCAAAATGGCAACTTCATAGTGAAAAGTAGGTACTTGCACGTATTTGCGCGTAGCCATTAGAAAATACCCGAAGAAAGCACCCCCATCTCAATTTTTCAATAGTGGTGTAGATCATGGCGTTACCAAATCGAACTGTGGCCAGTTCTTCCGCATAGGTAAGCCACGGCAGTGATGTCATAAGCAAATGTGGGGTTTCTGATGCAGGCTTATATACAAAAGCTCAGGAGACTAGTTAATATTATATTGAACCGGAACCGGGCGGTATAATGGCTCCCTGAGTGCCCGCATAGCAATAAATACTATAAAATGGTCACTTTCTCAATTGTCAGTAGTATTCGAATGCGCTGCGACTTAAAACCACGTTGTTGGTCCTGTACAATCGGCCATAACCAGCAGGGTCAGCAGCTTGCTAAGCACCCCCCTACCCAACACATACATGATGATTCTTAACCCTACAGCTGTTTTGAAAGTGTGCAGGAAAATATAAAAATGCATCATGGCGGTGCAGACAAGATCCATCTTTCTTTGAGATCAAGGAATTTGCCCCTCAAGTGATCACTTATACTAAATACCATTTACACGTGTATCCTTAGTGTTCCCTTGTGTTAACAACAGATGGCTGAACATACTAAACACGACTACTCCCCTCGTGGCATTGGCCACACCCTGGGCACCTGGCGAGGTTTCGGAGTCCGCTGGAAGGTTAGAAACCCTTACATTATCGCAATGATCTCTACGATGGGTGGTATGCTTTTCGGTTTCGATATCTCCTCCATGTCGGCCTTTCTTAACAACCCCGCCTACAAGAGCATGTTCTTCGCCCACCCAGATCCTGCCAACGACGCAGTCAAACAGGCTGGTATCACTTCTTCTATGCCTGGTGGCTCGTTCGTGGGCTCTCTTTGCTCTGGCTACTTGTCAGACAAGCTTGGCCGCCGTACCACTATTCAGCTCGCATCCTTCATTTGGATGATCGGTGCTGCTATCCAGTCCTCTGTTCAGAACCTCACACAGCTTGTCTTCGGTCGTTTGATTGCTGGCTTTGCCATCGGCCTTGCTTCTTCGCAGGTTCCCGTCTATATTGCTGAACTTTCGCCCAAAAATATTCGTGGCCGTCTCGTTGGTCTTTTCCAGTGGGCCGTCACTTGGGGTATTCTGATCATGTTCTATATTTCATACGGTTTGGGTAAAATCCATACCGACGCCGGTTTCCGTATTGCTTGGGGTATCCAGATTATTCCTGGTCTTATTCTGTGCATTGGTACCCTTTTCCTTGATGAATCGCCCCGTTGGTTGGCTTCCAAGGATCGCTGGGACGAGGCCATCAATATTATCTCTCTTGTTCAAGCCCGCGGTGATCGTGACAATGATGAAGTCCGTGTCGAAATCGAGGAAATTAAGGAGGCTGTTCGTATTGAGCACGAGACCGCCAAAAGTACCGGGAGACTGTTCTTGAGCATGTTCACTGGTCGTACTAACTTTGTTCGTACAATGACCGGTATTTGGACTCAGATTTGGCAGCAGCTTACCGGTATGAACGTTATGATGTACTACATTGTTAATGTTTTCGCCATGGCTGGCTACTCTGGAGATGCAAACCTTATCGCTTCTTCTATCCAGTATATTATCAACTGTGCTATGACAGTTCCTGCTTTGCTTTTCATCGATAAATGGGGCCGTCGTCGCGTTATGATTTCCGGTGCAATTCTGATGATGGCTTGGCTTTTCGCACTCGGTAGTATTCTTGCCGTATACTCCGTGCCCACTGGCCCTGATGGCTACGAAGGAAACAATGGTGTTCGTATCTATATCCCCAAAGACCAGAAACCTGCATCAAAGGGTGCTATTGCGGTGTGCTATTTATTCGTTGCAACCTTCGCACCAACTTGGGGTCCCGTTGGTTGGATTTACGTCTCTGAGCTTTTCCCTCTTCAGCAGCGTGCTCTTGCTAATGGTGTCTGCGCAGCCGCCAACTGGATCTTCAATTTTGGTATTGGTATGTTTACTCCCGTTGCCTTTGTCAATATCACATGGAAGACCTACTTTATTTTCGCTACATTCTGCGGCACTATGGCCATTCATGTCTTCTTTATGTTCCCTGAAACCCACCGCAAGAGTCTCGAGGAGATTGATATGATGTGGAATGAGCATGTTCCTGCTTGGAGATCTTCTAGCTGGGAGCCCAGCTTCCGTCCCGATATCGATGACATCAAGGCTGTCAATGGTGGCCGTGCTCCTTCTATCGAGAAGCCTGAGGCGGCGCACAACGAACTGGTTGATGATATCAGCGACATCAGCGGGAAAGATGAAGAGCTTAAGGTCTGAGCATTTGGTCCACTCTAAAATCGACAATCATTTTTATTGGTTGAGGTACGGAACTCTTCCTCAGCTAACTTGATTCTTCGGTTTCTTGTCAAGGAATTGCTGTCGATGCCAGTCACCAAAGAAATTATAGCTGTTCAATCTTCAGGTCTGGAATCCGATAGGACCAGTTGAGCAAACTATATATCGTGCAAAATTCATGCGTGTTTTGACATAGCGGTTCGATTTTTTAAACTAATTTGAGTTTCTTTACCATTTTAAACAGCTAATATCTCTTTGAAGCGGCTGCTCACCCAATAAAAAGCAGGGCACATGGAACGCCACCCCGCACAATACAACACTATATCAGAATAGTGGGGTTGACGAACCTCGGCCACATGCATCTCTCCAAAAAAGCACAAACAGACCGTGAAACAGCGTTGCTAAACTTCAAAAATAGAACAGTCCAGCTTTAGAACTTTATACAGCCTTCCCGCTCTTCCAACAATCATCCATGCGTCCATCCAGCGATGCCTCGGACTCGGTGAGGTCCCTTAGGGTACGGGCTTTGATTAGGATATACGAGATGTCCGCAGAAGCGGTCAGAACCAAACTACCTAACACTTACTGGGTATTCTGGAACTTGTTGCTCCTGCTCGTTAGGCACGCCAATTAACCCAGACAATTTCTAAATGTCTCGCGAAACCGTTATAAAGGTACGGCTCATCACTTTGCCAGCTAATCATGTTCTCATGCCTGGCATTGTGATGCGGATGTCTGTCCCCAGAGACCCGCCATTACTTCCTACTCCTCAAGATGTGACTGCAAAAGTCAAAACTGTTGTACCTTTCGTATCCAGTCATGACAACCTTGTGGCAATTCTTCCCTGTGTTCCTGACGAACCCCACGAAGCCTCTGACATCGGTACGCTCGCTCGCATTCTTAGCCTTCCCTCGACAAATCAAGGTATGATGATTATCCAGGGTATTTGCCGTGTCCGTGTGCTTTCTAAGGACCCATACGATAGTGCTCGGAGCGTCATGGGGACCCTCGAACTTATCTTTGACGGTCGCACAGTTCCCAAGGAAACGATGGAGCTTATCGACAAGCTCAAGACCTCTCTGGAAGCTTTGTTGTCTTCTTTTGAGGGTGGTGCAGATGTTGTCAAACGATTTGTATCTTTCACAGAGGGAATTTCCTCTCCTAGTACTTTGGTGGATATTCTCGCTTCTGTCTTACCTCTGGAGTTTGCCGAGAAATTCACTGTTTTGTGTACCACAGATCCTGCAGAACGGGCCAAGTTTTTGATTTTTATTTTGGAAAAGAAGGCAGAGGCATTGCGCAAACAAACTCTCACTAAAGTAGCCGGCGATACTAAGCTGCCCTCGAATCAAATCGTCCTTCGCACTGACCTCAAGCCTAGCTCGAACCCGCCCGGTAAGCTCGCTCCCCCAGTTCGACTTCCTCGGAACCGTGGTTCACCTGAAGACGATGGAATGGCGGAGATCGAAAAGACCCTGGTTGAGGCCAAGTTGCCCGCCGAGGGTCGTAAGATCATCGACCGCGAGCTCTCTCGTATCAAGCGCATGATGCCGTCTCAAGCTGAATATCAGGTGTCGCGCAGTTTTCTTGAAACTGTAGCCGACATTCCCTGGAATAACAATTTTGTTCCTGAGTTGAGTATGGAGGTTGTTGAAGAAGCGCACAGAATTTTCGACCATGACCATTATGGGTTAGAGAAAGTCAAGAAGCGTCTTATCGAATATATGGCAGTGATGTACTTGCAGCAGCGCAATAGCCATGGCACAAACCACATATCTGATACGCAGCTTGCGGTTCCCCTTGCGCCCGAGACACCTGAGACACCCAAAATCTTGGAGGCGCCTAAGGATTCGCAAAATATGGTTGTTGATGCTGAGGCCAAACCAGGTGAGGTTCGCACCCCAATTTTACTGCTTGTGGGCCCTCCCGGCGTGGGAAAAACATCCCTAGCAAAGTCAGTCGCTCGTGCCCTCAATCGTAGACTGCACCGCATTTCCCTAGGTGGTGTCCGTGATGAAGCCGAGATCCGCGGTCATCGTCGCACATATATTGGCGCGATGCCTGGTGTTATTGTCCAGGGACTGCGCAAAGTCGGCACTATGAATCCTGTGTTTGTTCTTGATGAGATTGACAAGGTCTCACAAGGCTCTCATTCAGCCCATGGCGATCCGTCTGCTGCATTACTGGAGGTGCTAGACCCGGAACAGAACTCCACGTTCGTGGACCACTATGTATCGTTCCCGGTTGATTTGAGCCATTGCATTTTTATCGCCACTGCCAACAACCTCGAAACCATTCCTCCTCCTCTTCTGGATCGGATGGAGGTCATCCACCTCGATGGCTACACTTATATCGAGAAGCAGCACATTGCCGAGAGTTATCTGATGCCCAAACAATTGCGCGCCAACGCTCTACAAGAAAAGCAAATTATTGTTCCCCCGGAGGTCATGCATTATATCGCTACGCACTATACACGCGAAAGTGGTGTGCGTAATCTCGAACGACTTCTAGGAACAATCTGCAGGGCAAGAGCCGTCGAACTTCTTACCGAGGGACGTCCTGATGAGACAACAGAAATTGAAGTGTCCGACTTGCCTCATTATCTTGGTCTAGATCGTTATACTGACGATGTGATCAACGATGAGGTGGACACCTACAAGGACAAAGCAGGAAATACAATTCACCGCCGCAGCGTCGGCCTGGTCAATGGTTTAGCGTACATGGGGTCAGGAACTGGTGGATTGCTAATGTTCGAGTCTTCCAAGATCCCGAACGGCACTGGCAAGCTGAAGCTCACTGGAAAGCTTGGAGATGTTATTCAGGAGTCCGCTGAGATTGCTATGACATGGGTAAGAGCACATGCCATTGATTTGCATGTGGATCCCGAGGTATTTTCCAAGTTCGATATCCATCTTCATGCTCCAGCCGGTGCAATCCCTAAAGATGGACCATCAGCTGGCGTGGCAATGACCTTGTGCTTTGTTTCCTTGCTCACCAACAGAGAAGTCCCACGAGATATCGCAATGACAGGTGAAATCACGCTCAGGGGAAAGATTCTCCCAGTTGGAGGTATCCGTGAGAAGCTACTTGGTGCGCACATGGCCGGGGTTCGCAAGGTACTACTCCCTTATCACTGTCGGGCTGTTGTTGAAGACGAGTGCAAGTTTTTTGACGAGATTGATATGAAGATTGTTTTCGTCAAGTATATTTGGGATGTTTTTGCCGAGGTGTGGCCCGAAGACCAGCAGCTTCGCGAAATCGCCCAGCTTTAATGAGAATATGTTTTTAAGAAACCGCCAAGTACCTCTACTTTGTGGAATCTAGCATACCCCCCTTTTTACGTAGTTGATGTACCGGTATAAATCTGTTTAACGAGACGCTATTAATAGTCTTTTTAGTTGATGGCAGAGGCATGGCTCTTGACGAATCGGCCACTAGGATCGCCATGGCAGCCCCAGTCCTCCTTAGGGATCCATCGCTTGACGGTGGAGGCGGCGGCAGCATTGTTTTTCTCGAAAAGCTCGTCAAACATGAGACGATACCAGTAGGCCTCCTTTGTTGTAGGGATATCGCTGCCCCAGTGAGGCTTGGGGTTGTTCATTTGCTCATCTGTAATAGTCTTTTCAGCAGTGTCACGAAGGGTGTCAATCCACGAGTAGCCAACACCATCGGAGAACTGCTCCTTCTGACGCCAGAGGATTTCGGAGGGCAGGTATTCGCCGTTGTCGAAGGCCTTCCGCAAGATGTACTTCTCAATATGCTCAGAGTCAATCATCTTTTCCTTGGGGTCAATGTTCAAGCAAACCTCCAAAAATTCTTTGTCAAGGAAAGGCACACGGGCTTCGAGACCCCATGCCATAGTAGACTTGTTTGCACGCAAGCAATCAGCGTACGACAGATTCTTGACACGCTTAATGCACTCCTTGTGGAACTCATCAGCGTTAGGAGCAGCACCAAAGTAAAGGTACCCACCAAAGATCTCATCAGAGCCCTCGCCAGAGAGTACCATCTTGACACCCTGGGCCTTGATTTTACGAGAAAGTAAGAACATGGGAGTAGAGGCACGAATTGTGGTGACGTCGTAAGTCTCCAGGTGCCAAATGACATCGTGCAGGGCATCGAGACCTTCCTCGAGGGTGAAGGTGTGCTCGTGGTGAATGGTGCCAATGAACTCAGCGACCTGGGCAGCGGCCTTGAGGTCCGGGGCACCAGGCAGACCAACGGCAAACGAGTGCAGGCCAGAACCAGAAGTGTTTGTGAGGCGACCCTGGGCGTCAACACCGGCAAGGGAGTGATGAACATAGTCGTCCTTGAGGGCTTCACGAGTCTCACGAGCGGCGATAGATGCAATAAGAGAAGAGTCGAGACCACCAGAAAGCAAGACACCGTAAGGAACTTCAGACATAAGACGCTTACGGACGGCCTTAACCAAAGTCTCGCGGATCAGATCAAGGCTTGCAGGGGTTGTGGGGATCTTATCCTCGTCCCACCACGAAGGCTTGAAGTACTGTGTGAGTTTGCCGGTGTCAGAGTCAAAAACATGTCCCGGCGGGAAAGCGGTAATCTCGTCGCAGTCAGCGGTCAACGACTTGAGTTCACTAGAGAACCAAAGTGTGTTAGGGCTGGCCGAAGACTTACCCATGTACATGGTAGTGATGCCGATGGGATCACGAGCAGCAACGATACGATCACGCTTAGAGTCATAAAGGGCAAAAGCAAAGAAGCCGTCAAGATGATTGGCGAGATCGGTGTCGTATTTTTCATAAAGGGGAATGATAGGCTCGCAGTCAGAGTGGGTTTTGAACTTATAATCGGGAAAATCCTCACGCAAGAGACGATGGTTGTAGATTTCGCCGTTCACAGTCAAAGTGAGAGAGCCATCTTCGTTGGTGATGGGCTGGGCCCCCGAATCAAGACCAACGATGGCCAGGCGCTCGTGACAGAGAATGCTGTCACGGGAAGTGATGTTGCCGCTCCAATCCGGGCCACGATGTCTAACGAGTTTAGAGAGCTGCAAGGCAGTCTTCTTGTATCCCTGAACGTCGGGGTGGCGGTATACTGCAAAGATACCACACATTGAAAAGAGTTGGAAGTTGGGAGCGATTATCTATTCGGCGAACACTATAAACGATCTGAAAAAAATGAGTCAGTCTTTCAACTTGGCAAAAACTGCTTTATCAGTAGGCATTGGGGCTAGGGTATAATACCGCTTGTAGCCGGAATCCTGAGCATCATGCGAAAAGAATTAACTAAATGAGCATGTTTGAAACATAGTCCCGCCAGATCACGGTTCAAACCCGCTGTGATGAGTTATGAATCCCCGCGCGGGAATCACCGAGACTTCATTCTAACCAATCACATAATATGTGTTTTACTTTGCATGCCATCACCGCGCCGTAGATGAAAAGTCCCAAACGTCGAATCTCCGGGCCAGCCCTAGTCACGAGGGCATCAAAACGATTAGCGGCAGTACGGAAAATCCCTGAGGTGAAGACTGAGGAAATACTAGCCCAGGTCAAGGTAGAGGCGGCTCTTGATGATTCACAGATCAAAGAGGAGGAATTGAAAGTCCCCGACATAGAAGAGCCACCACGCTGGCGCGAAATGGTCGAAAAAATCAAGGAAATGCGAGCAGTCACACCAGCTCCGGTTGATACAATGGGGTGCGAACGGATTCCAGATAGTGCAGGTGAGTTGACACCAAAGAATCGCAGATTCGAACTGCTGGTAACTTTAATGCTGAGTGCACAAACAAAAGACGAGGTAAATTTCGCTACAATGGTAAAATTAAGACAGTATCTCAAGCCTGTTGGGGGATTGACCCTCGAAGGGATTCGCAAAACGCCCGTTGATCGCCTTGACGAGCTCATTTACTCGGTAGGCTTCCACAGCAAGAAGGCAAAATACATTAAGGATACCTGCGAGATTCTAGTTACAGAGTTTGATGGTGACATACCACAGTCGACAGAAGACATGATTCGACTGCCCGGGGTGGGCCCCAAAATGGCGTTCCTTCTTCGTTCTGCAGCTTGGAACATTACTGACGGTATTGGCGTTGATGTGCACGTCCATAGGCTGGCTAATATGTGGAAGTGGGTTCCCAAAACCTCGCATCCCACTCCAGAGAAAACCAGAGTGGCACTTGAAAAGTGGCTTCCACGCGAGTACTGGAGAGAAATAAACCCCCTGCTTGTTGGGTTTGGCCAGACTATATGTCCGTCAATTAGCCCAAAATGTACCCACTGTACGCTTTCAAAAGGCCTTTGCAATGCAGCTTTCCGAAAGGGTGCACGGTGACACTATGCAACCTTGCATATTGCGTGCATTCTAATGCGCTTTGTGTAGGGAGAACTTTTTGTAATTTATACAACACACATATGCTATCAGAGACTCTGTGTGCCTTTATACTACTGTCATTGAGTTTATGGTACCAATTTTTCAGAAAGTCTGGCTGGGGCGCCAACGATAATGTCCCAGAGCCTAGAGGTCTACCTGTTGTAGGCCACCTTCTGTCATTGGGCAAGAGCCCGGCTCTCACGTACTATAAATGGGGACGACAATGTAATTCAGAGCTCATTAAAATTCGGCTCGGTGTTCAGCGCTTCTACGTTACCAACTCATATGCTGCCGCTTTGGAACTAATCCAAAAAAACATGTCTGCGAACTGTGACAGACCGCAGCCGCATACATTCTCTAAAGTGATTTCTTCCACAGGACTAACGGTGGGTACGACCCCTTATGGTAAAAGTTACAAGCGAATGCGCAAGGCCATTGGAGGCTTTCTCTGTCGCCGAGGAGTTGATACGAACTTGCGTTATATTGACAAAGAATCGCACTTAGCAGTTTCTTCTCTTCCTATTGAAGTAGATGCTCGTCCTCATGACTGGTTCAAGGTATACCCTTTTAATGTCTCTATGCAAATAGCATACGGGCGTAGAGTTGAAGACATCAATGATATCCACAAAATCCTTGGCGTGGAACAAGAAATCACAAGGTACAGAGCACATTGGGCGACAAATATGGTTGACTACTTTCCTTTAATTCGCTGGATACTCCCACAACCGCACAAAGCTGCAGAGTGTCGGGTTGAGCGAGAACGTTACTTGCAAACTTTAATCAACACGCCGAAAGAGAAACAGGACCAAACCTGTCTTGTTGCAGCAGCCAGACGTGGCGATTTAAAACTTGAAAGCTTCCGAGAACTCAAAAGTATCTGTATGACCATGTCATCTGCAGGATTGGATAGTATTCCTGGTGTTATGGCTCTTTTCTTGGGCCACATGTCCACACCGTACGGGCAGCGAATTCAAACACAGATTTACGAAGAACTACTGGCTCAATTCTCATCCAACGCTTATGAAGAGGTGTTGTACGGTAAAGATATTCCATATTTGAGTGCAGTGGTGACTGAGACATTGAGGTTCTCCGGCATGCCCCTTGGGCTACCGCGGAAAACAGTCAAGCCAATACACTTTGCTAGCAATGGCGTGAATATGACAATTCCAGTCAATTCAACGATTTTATTGAATATTTTCGCGGCAAATTTCGATGAGAAACGATACATTGATCCTTTAGTATTTTTACCGGAACGTCACTTGAACTGCACCACAAAGCAGGGTCCGGCCCACTTCTCATTCGGAGCAGGTAGCCGCATTTGTGCCGGCGTCGCGCTGGCTACTCGTGAAATGTATGTGGCAATAGCTCGCGTTGTCCTGCTTTATCGCATTTTACCCAGCAGTCAACCAGAAGACAAGATGCCTACCAGCCCTTTTCAACTATACAAGCAGCAATCAGCGTTGATGTTCGACCTTCCTAACTTCAAAGTACGTCTAGAACGGAGGAATTAATTTTACATTATCGTTAAAACATTTCAGCATTTTGCTGAGGGTTCACGGCGAGCTTTTTCTTTCGCTTTCCGCTTTTTCGCAATTTGTTCGCCGTAGCGCAGCAAATATACCAAACATAAGAGGCTGAGACCACAGAATCCGGCCATTAAAGTGGACATACCACCGGGACCCATAGCAGTGGACATCTTGTCAACAGCCGCAAGACCAGCAGCGCAGAGTAGACATCGACATAAGTTAGAGCATGCCACCGCAGCTCCCGCGTTATCTGGAAAAATATCCACCAGCAAAGTGGTTGAGGCGCTCATGAAGAATGTTGCACAACCCGACATTAAAAATGTCATGACAACGGGACAGTAAAACGGGACCAAATTTTCGAGAGTCCATCCAAAAATGATTGTAGACACAATCAGAATTAGCGAAGCCCAGAAGCAAAGATCCAAGCGTGCAATATAAATATTGACGTCTGATTGACGGTAAGGGACATGTTTTTCTTCACAATATGCTTTTCTCTTCCACACATAACGTTGGAAAGACCATTGCATTAGTCGGCCAGCGACAAGACTGCCGACAAACGTCCCTACACCACTGGCCAGGTAGGTGTAACCAATCTGAGTTGTAGACAATTTGTAGTCACTGGCCAGACGAGTAGATTGGATCGTCAAGACCATGTACCAGGTCGTGTAATGAAGAGCCATCGGTGCAAGAACCAAAATGACGTCGGGTTGAACCAGCAACCAAAGCCATTGAAAAAGGTTGATCTTGGGTTTGGAGGCACGCCATTCTTGTTCATACTCTGGATCTGTGGGTAGGAAAGGGATTCCAGTGACGGCTCGATGGACGTACGCGTATGGCGAGCGATTAAGCCATGGTTGAGGCATAATCGACCCGTTGCCTGCAAAATAATGGTGGGTCTCCGGAAGACACAAAAAGATCACTACGAGTACGAAAGCGCCCAGGCCCATCAGAAACCAGAAAATTCCTTCCCAATTCCATTGAGACATTAAACCACCGCCAATTAACGGGCCAAAGCAGTTTCCCATGAGGCCGAGACCAGTAGCGATTCCCATGACACCTCCGCGATTTTTCCGTGACGTGATATCACCAATAACACCGCCCATCAAAGGCACGGTAGAAGCTCCTCCGAATGCTTGGAGACAACGTAAACCAAACAATACCCAGTAAGATCTGCCCAGGGCTAAACCAACATTGGCACCGATGTAGCAAATAATGCACATAAGATAAACAGGTCGTCGACCGATCGCGTCGGAGAGCGTTGCCCAAAATAACGGCGAGAGTCCTTGAAAGATTGAGTACATTGTGGCCGTCAAGTTGATCATGTCCAAGCTCGTGTCGAAGTAGTCCGCCAAGACAGTAAGAGCTGGGAAATAGATGGGGATTGAGATCGTGGATAGAACTTGACCTAGTGCTGTGCATATAATAAAATTCCAGAGTTCTGGCTTGGACTGGTAAATGGTTTCTGGAACGGGATCAACGGACGCATTAGTGTCTATTCTCTCAACCGTAGATTCTGGCCCCACCTGGCAGGTGAGCTGGACAGTTTCCTCGCAGTCACTGCTCAAAGACTTTTCCGAGGTTTCCGTTTTGACTTCCATCGATAAACCATCAAAACTGTCTAGATCGTCAGTCAAGTTGGTGGTGTATTTCAACTGCGCGGCCGTTTTATTGTCTTTCGTAAGACTACAATCCTACAGGAGTTAGCCGATGTCGGAGCCGGGAAAAAAGCGGGTGTAGAGGAACCAACACCCCCGTAACAGGTTGCAATCAAAACCTTCAGTACTTTTGAATTTTATTTCCTCTTAGTTCAATATGCATACGCCAGTACATGATCACATGTAAAATATCGTGTTTTAGAGGTGTTTGGGGTGTGTTACTTTCATTGCCTTTTTTTGTCAGTAGACGCGCCTCTGGGTCTGAATGCTGCTGTGATGCCCGCAGGTTACATATACGGGAGCACTGTTTTGGCATGTCTGGTTTCAAAAGAATCGAAAAAGATAAACAAACAATACGTTACCACTGGCCAATGGAGATTTACGAATCCAGAATCTCCAGCAAGTCCAAGGAAATACCTTTTTAAGTAGCGCAGGCCACCGTCTAGAGCCTGGCTTGGAGGTCACGTGCGCTTTCGAATATATGCAGAGAGGCTTTTTATGTGGCATGCAATTTGATCCGGGTTTCTGCAACTAGTAACTTGATTGATCGCCCAAAATGTCCGAATCAACAGTGTCGGACAAGTTCAAGTATGATCTCGAAGCGAACAGTGTGGAGTCTGGTACAGCCTCGTCAATCGAAGACCCGAGCTCAGACGAAGTTGCAGCTAAGAACGGCGAGCTGAGCAGATCGTTGACAACCAGACAAATTTCGATGATCGCTATAGCCGGTGTCATTGGTACCGGTTTATTCCTCGGAAGTGGAAAAGCTCTTGCAGAAGCTGGTCCTGCAAGCTTGCTGATCACCTATGCTATCATTGGTGCCCTCGTTTATTTAACTATGCTTGCGCTCGGTGAAATGAATACATACATGCCCGTGGCCGGCTCATTTTGCACATTTGGCTCTCGTTTTGTGGATCCTGCTCTCGGCTTTACCCTCACGTGGAACTACTGGTTCAATGATGCTGTGTCGACGGCCTCTGATCTAACCGCATTACAACTGGTTTTCAAGTATTGGACTGACTGGCATCCTTGGGCCATTGCTCTTCTATTTTGGTTCTTTTTACTGAGTCTTAACATTGTATCTGTGAAGGTTTATGGTGAGTTCGAATACTGGCTTGCTTTGCTCAAAGTGGTCTCGATTTTGATCTTTATTATTTTGGGCATTGTTGTTAACTGCGGTGCAAACACTTATCATCAGTACCTAGGTTTCCATTACTGGCATATCGAGGATGCTCCGTTTGTTCGCGGATTTCGCGGATTTGCCTCGGTGTTTGTTACAGCTAGTTTTGCATATGGCGGTACTGAATCGATCGGAATTACCGCTGGCGAAAGTAAAAATCCCCACAAAACTATGCCTCGGGTTGTCCGAACTGTGTTTTACCGTATTCTTTTCTTCTACCTTTTAACCATGCTCATTGTTGGCATCAATGTCCCCTGGAACTACCCTGGTTTGTCTAACAAGTCTTCCGCTACTTCTCCTTTCACTATTGTCTTTGGCCTGGCTGGTTCCAAGGCTGGAGGCTCTTTTATTAATGCCGTGGTGGTCACATCTATTATTTCAGCCGGCAACCATGCCTTGTTTGCTGGCTCTCGCCTAATGTATACGTTGGCCAAAAACGGTCATGCCCCAAAGTTTCTGTCCTGGCTGACTCCAAATAAAGTCCCCTGGACTGCACTATTGCTTACTTGGGGTATTTCGGGGCTGTGCTTTGGTGCCTCTTATATTGGAGCCGGAGAACTTTGGAGCTGGCTCCAGAATCTCGTTGGTGTGTCAAATCAGCTCTCGTGGCTTTGCATCGGGTTCACTGCAATCCGATTCCGCAAAGGTTTGGAAAAGCAAAATAAGGTGGATGACCTTAAATTCAAAAACTGGACTCATCCCTGGGGTCCTTGGATTGTGGTTATCGGGTCGACTTTCATCGTGTTTGTTCAAGGTTGGACATCCTTTTCCCCTTGGGATACTTCTACGTTTTTCAGCTACTATATTGAGCTGATTGTATTTCCTGTCTTGTTTGTTGCTTGGAAGCTCTTCAAGAAAACTAACTTTGTTCGCGCCGATAATATGGACTTGGATTCTGACGTCTACGTTGATACCAAAGACGACATCGAAGAGAACGAATATGAAGCCAGTCTAAAAGGGTGGAGAAAAGCCCTGAACGTGCTCAAGTCATACTTTTTTTGAAGTTTTTTATTTTAGTGCTGTTCTGTCAAGAACACCTCCCTATTTAGCATTGCATACTAAGTCATATTTTTAATAACCTACTTTGTGAATTCCAAATGCGCAGCAATTGGTACATGATCACTGGGATGGTGAGCGTTAGGAAATCCCACATAGTGACTAGCGTATTCTGGATCAACCTGTCCCATAAGATCTTTAACTTTGAGGCCTGATGTGCTATACCAGATGTAATCAATGCTCTCGGTAAAGTTCGGAGTGAAGTTCGTAAACGGAAGCTCGAGATCATCTGCGTAGGCTGATTTGAAAACCAGTTTTTGCTGAATGCCTTTTTCTGTGAAATTGCCATACGAGTATCCCTTTAAATCTTCGTGCGTAGGTGGTACTGAGCCCTGGCTGAATAGCTGGTAGACACCAGACTTGGAAGTTGAGTTGAAATCGCCGCAAATAACTGTGGGCACCATTTTCATATCTTTAGCTTTCAGGTCCTTGAGCGGCGCTTCAGAGGTATCGCCACACAAATACTTTTTGAGGATCGATTCAATCTGTTCGATAAGAATGGCGCTCTGCACCAATTTCACATCGCAGTACGCTGGGTCCCAATGTAAATGAGTATTGACAATCACAAACACTTGTTTTGTTTCTTTCATCTCGAAAGAAGCAACCAAAGCAATATTATCGCGAGTCATTACCCGATTAAACACATCGACGGACTTTTTGAGATCCTCCTTAGCCAAGGCAGCAGAATTGTATTCGACATGATGGTACTTGAGGAGATCCATTTTGGACTCCTTGTAGCAAATAACACACCCATCAACCACCTTCTTCTCTTCTTCACTAGACATTGTCCGTGCTCGCGTTTTGGGATAAAATAGACATTTATAACCTTTCGGCTCGAGGGTGGGGATCCACAAGTTGTCTAGGGTTTCCTTGTTGACTTCTTGTAAACACAAGATATCAGTATCATAAGAAAGCACCTCAGAGATCAACAATTCGCTACGGTAGGACCAATCCAGGGCCCATGACGCAGTGTAGCCGTATAACTGAGGAGTAGTGTATCGGTCACAAAGAGTATTGTAGCTGAGAATGGTGAACCCGTTTTGAGTTTTGGCAACCGGTGGTTCATTATTGGTATCACTGCGAGTGCCTGTGTCGTCAAGATGGATCCATTCCCGGGCACGCGGAGGGGGGCCGGGCGGCGCCGAGTCTCGGAGGTCGACAATCAGCGCTTTGGTGCCACCCTTGCTGAAGATCTTGGCCGATGAGTCGTTGAGAGGATTTCCACCGATGCCCAGCATCTCTAACTGGAAAAGCGCACCCAATTCAGCCGGCAGTTGCTCGATCTGGTTACCAAACAAAAACAGATACCGGAGGCTCAGCATACGTCCGATTTCTTCAGGTAGCTCTTTGATCAAATTGTTGCTTAAATCCAAAACCTTGAGTTGCTTCATTTGCGTGATAGCTAACGGCACAGTGCCAAGATTGTTGTTGTTTAGGAAGAGCTTTTGTAGAAACCCGTAGTTGGAGATCTTTGGGCTAACGTTCAAAAGCCCCTGTCCAGACATATCGATTGCAGTCCAAAATTGCTTGTTGATTACTTCATTGATATGCTTCTGACGAGCTTCTTCCATCTGATCTTTCTTATCTTGGGGATTGGGGAACTGGGGATTACCGCTGGCGCGGGCCGGGGTTCTGCTCCCCGGTTGTTGCTGGGTAGAAGCCATTTTCTCCTCCCTTACCAGTTCAACGGCCCTATCAATTAAGTTGGCATCCACATTTGAAGGACCGCCGTTGTTTTTAGACGCAGCTGCCACTGCATGGGCGTACGAATGAGGCGAGTTGGATCTCTGGGAGATTTCAAGGAGCGCCAGTTGATGTTCCCAGTAAATGCTGTTTTTCTTGATATCCTCATCATTATTTTCTTGTGTAGACCCGCTCATAGCATATCTTTAAGCGCGTTAACCTGAAAATGTACGTTCCTATTCGGGCCAGGGGGTTTTAAAGATGTTGATGCTGACAAAGCGGAAGGGACTGCCAGTCCTTCCTAGGCACCCTGGGAGATCGCACCTGAGCGTAGGGGTGTTATATTGTGTTACCCGGACTTCATAACACCCCGTATTATCTTTTTACTCTGTACGTCATCACCTGTGTTTAGCCACAGTAATAGACTAATGTGGCTATAACATGTTTTCGTGACATGTGGCTGACGATGAACTCCGATGTCCGCTTAGACTAGTTGGGGACTACCTGACTGAAAATTTAGGCCCCCATTAGTCGCATATGATTACTCAATTCGTATTTTACGACCGTAGACTGGCATAATGATAGCTAAGCGGTGGCTTCCAGAATTGCTGTGGCTGCGTCAAATTCTAGATTTGTGGTCAGCAGGAGTGCACAGCCGGCTAAGTTGCAACTTTCTGCCGAGTGATGATGACGCTAATTCAGGCGTTCAAGACGACGCTATGGTGTCGAATTTTCACAGAACGCTCTTCTATATCTGATACATAGGATGCCGGAATTTTAAAGGCAAGGCACACTTTATTGCTTCTAGAGCAAACAATAGAACCCTTGAACTTTCGTTTTCGTTCGACGAACCCTTACCCGGATGCATGCAAGCACCTAACGTCATTAATTCACTATATAAAGAGGACCCCCTAGGCCGTGGACGGACAACTCAAAAAGTAACCATGGTCGCTACTGTTCGTCACCCTGCACCCGATTTCAAGAAGACTGCCGTTGTCAACGGCGTCTTTGAGGATGTTTCCCTTGATTCCTATAAGGGTAAATGGCTAATCTTGGGCTTCGTCCCCTTGGCCTTCACTTTTGTCTGCCCTACTGAGATTATTGCCTACTCCAACGCTCTGGACAAGTTCAAGGAGCGCAACGCTGAGGTTCTCTTTGCGTCTACCGACTCTGAGTTCTCTTTGTTGGCCTGGAACAACCTGGCCCGCAACGAGGGTGGTTTGGGTCAGGTCAAGATCCCACTGGTCGCTGACACCAACCACCACTTGTCTCGCGACTACGGTGTTCTCGTCGAGGAGGAGGGTATTGCTCTCCGCGGCATCTTCATCATCAACCCCGAGGGTGTCATCCAGCAGATCACCATCAACGACACTCCCGTCGGCCGCAGCGTTGACGAGACCCTGCGTCTCCTTGATGCCCTGCAGTTCGCTGCCGAGCACGGTGAGGTCTGCCCCGCCAACTGGCAGAAGGGCGACGAGGCCATTGACACTAGCAACGCCTCCAAGTATTTTTCTAAGCAAAAGTAAGTAGCAAGCTGCTTGTAAAAAGTTTGATAAAATATTAAATACTACACTATGGTTCCACGTCGGACTGACTCGAAACGTGGACGGATGCTTGCACCGGAACCTTGATTTCGGTTCCCAGCAGCATTCGGTACTGCAGCGAGCCGCGCACGTTAAGCTCGAAAGGGTTGGTGGTGATGTTATTCCACTGGTCGCACGTGTCGCCTTCGTCACACGAGTTGATGAGTTTGGCGGTTGTGGACGCCCACCGATTCGCCATTTGGAAAAACGTCCCTTGAAACACCAGCGGAGACTCGAGCTCGGTGATTGTTCCCAGCAGAATCGTCCGCTGCTTGTCCCCGACGTGTTTGCTAGTTGCAAATATGTCCAGCTCTGCGTCAGAGATCTGGATCGATAGGTATCCTGGGTTTTCTGCACCAACGACCATTGCGAACACAAGCTCTTTATCGCTGGGGAAGACGTCAGATAGTCGGGCTATATGGAGGTTTTGGAGCGGTCGGCTCGACGCGAGGAATATTCCGGCAATGAAAGATACCCCCAGCATGCACATTAATAGTATTATAATCCACAAGGTTAGCCGAACATACAACGGTGGGGGTTTTGCACTGGGTCCGTAGTCGTGCGGTGATGGGGTAGGTGCCTGGCCTCGCTGGGCGAGGTATCGGTACTGTGCAGACGCGGATCTTCGTAATGGTGATGATTCTGTGACAGGTATGAGTCGGGAATCACGCATGACATAGGCATCGTCGTCGTCGTCATCCATCTCGATATCGCGATCGTCATCTGCGGTTACAGATCCGCGCCAACGGTTCAGATAAATGTTTTTTGCTCGCATTGAATCGATGCGGGTTGGCCGGAGAGGACTCCGCTCGGTACCGTTTGCTGGCTGGCGGCTAACCACGAACGGTCCCCTACTACCGTAGTCTTGACGCGGGCCGGCGTCCGAACTCAGCGCTTGGCTGTCTTGTGGGCCCTGGGTATCGCCTGTGTAAGTGCCGTGTGCGAATCCAGATCCGAGTAGTGGAGAGCCCACGTTGCTGCCGCTGTTGTTGATGCTGTTCACTGATGCGGCGGCGGGTGCTGATACGGTGGGCGGCCCAGAGTTTGTGGTGCCTGTCGACGCCAGCGCCGATAGCCTACCTAAATGGTGGGGGACTGAGGGGGGAGCGAGGATGTAGACCGCGTTCGCAGATAAGGGTGCCTAAGAGTATCTTGAGGGGCCGGGTTCGCGTCGTACACAAACTCCTCGTCCGAATCGGACGTGGTAGCCTTGTCTACTGCCGAAGCAACTTTTGCAGCAAACATCTCTGCCTTGGACGTAGTTGCGAGTCGCGAAGGTCGCTTCTTGGCTCGCCCAGCCGTCCTGGGCACACTATCCTGGGACTTTTTGATGCGCAGGCTCCCGGCACCGCTAGGCGCAGTTTGCACAGCCAATGCAGGAACCGAGGGCACGGTTTCTGTCTCAACCTGGACCGCCGGCGGAGGTGCACTGGCGATCTTTTTTGTGGACGACGGAGTGGCGCGGCCTGATCCCTGGCTCAACGCTGACACTGTAGGGCCTCCAATGACCGTGCGGGTGCCGTCGCTGTCCTCGTCCGCGGTCAATGGTATTGATGCATTTGATATCGGCGGCTGATCGGAAGAGATCTGGGTTTGGCCACTACCCTGCACGCCCATCTCGTCGCTGTCGTCGGGACTGCTTAATGGCGACAGTTTGGGAGGTTGCATGAACGCTTACCAAACGGCTGGGGTTTGATGGAGGAAGCGGGATAGCGAGATGGCGGGGTAGAAGAAAACGACGGATTTTGGTGGGTGGGAGGACGGATTTTGGCGAAGAGAACATAATTGTATCGTAACTATACTTTTAAGCCCCCATAGTGGGGAGATATATATTCATAAGAGAGCGATCAGCTAGAAGCCAAGGGCTTTTTAGGGGCGAGGCCAGGGACCTTCTCCAAGGCGCTGCGAGCCCACTCGTAAACGGTGAAAGTGACGGCCTGGCCGGGAGCAACACGCATGACGCGGGGGGTGATACCACGGTAAAGAGCGGCGACGCCCTCGGTGCGGACGAGGTCTTTGGCGATGCGGGTGAACTGAGCAAGGCCGCTTTCGGTCCGCTTAGAGCGCTCGCGTTGCATGCGGGTTTTGATAACGTCCAAAGGAGCGTTCGACATAGGGCCAAGAGCACCGGAAATCAGACCAATGAGGGAGGTCTGCCAGCCAGGAAGCATGCCGTTGTACTGGGGCTGTGTCTCGACAAGCTTGGCCTTGAGCAACGTGTAGACTGTGAAATTGGTACCCTGGTTGGTAGCCTGGCGGGCTGCGGTCAAGACCACGCCGCGGTAAATGGCACTGATACCCTCCTCGCGGATGACAGTGTAGAGGCAGTGGGCAGCGTTGCGGTATTTGGGACCCTCAGTGGCATCGACCAGCGAATGGGCCTGGGCCTGGAGACGAATCTTGACGACCTCGGTGGGGTTGACGACCAGCACGGCCTCGACGAGACCGGCACCGATACCAGCAAAGAAGATGCCGGCCGTGGACAGCTTGCCCTCCTTGGAGGTGAAGAGACGCTTGAACTCCTCGAACGACCAGAAGCGGATGGCCATCTTGGGCGTGATGCCGGCAATGACGGCACCGAGACCACGGTAGAGGCCAGGCACACCATCCTTCTTGAAAATGTAGGCGCCAGTGCCGATGAAACCGCGCTTTTGCACAGATTGCGCAGGGCGGATTGCCGCCGCAGCTTGCTTCAAGGCGGCCTCCTCAGCGGCCTTGTTGCCGGATTTGAGAGCTTGCTCAGCCGCGGCCTTGGCTGCCTTGGCCGCTTGCTCTGCGGCAGCAACCGCTCGGCCCTGGAGCTGCATTCGAACTTTGATTGTATCCAGAGGATGGCAAGACAGTGCTTCACAGCAGCCAGCAATGCCACCAGCAGTGAAGTCGATAATGGGGTTACCACTCTTTTTCTTGGCACTCATTGTTGTATGTGTTTGTGGTTTACGGTATTTGTGCAAACAGAGGGGTTATACAAACTTGTGGGGAGACCTGCGATATGGCAACCCTATTTATATGAAAAGTTCCCGAGGTGGGGGAAAAGGGTATAATCTGCATGTGCATTATGCAATCTAACGAGAAAGTCCCGGCTATAGGCCGAACAGCTCCGTTATCTGGGGGTGTTGGGACCATATGCCCAGAACGAAGTCGCTGATTCCGGCACGGAAAAACTATCTAGTCGGAATTTGCGATGGCACATAGGCTACCCTCAGCGTCTTCCAGGTGGTTTAGGCCTAGAAAAGCGTGGTTTGCTAACGCCGTCCCGCTCAGACACTTGGCGGGGAGTCGTTTCCGCGATAACGGCCTCGTATGTCACTTCCCCACGTTCCGAAGCCTCAAGCTGCAGTTAGTCATTAACGCCCTTTTTCGGTACCCCGGCTTTTCCAATTGGCAGGCTGATTTTTTTTCCGGAGGCTAAAGTCATCGCAAAAACAAAAAGGCGGGTTGGAAAAGTTTCCAATTAAATTTGATGGCGGGAAACTTTTCATGCCGCTAGATTGCTGTCGCTCTTTCCTTGGGATTCTAGGCTGCCTCAATTTAGAGCCACCGGGGCTCTAAGTGTACTTACCACTCCGGCAATCGATACCACGGATTTCACGTAATTCAAAAACGGAATTCTTGTCGAGGCATAAACCATGCGGTGCCTTACGCTCGCGTCATCTGGGCATACATAAACAAACACCGCTTTTGTTTCGTGCTTGAGCACGGCATACCGCGGCTCGTTCTCGTGGAAATGACTATGCAGTGAGTCTGTCGCAGCCTCCTGTAGCTGAGCGAGCTGGATTTCTCCGCTTTCTGCAATGTGGAAAACAGCAATGTTCTTGGTTGCTTCGTCTTGTGCAAGGCTCTGCAGGGCGTCTCGCCCGGCCTCATCTATTTTAGCGTCGATTCCCATCGCGGCAATCCCGGTGTTGCTTTGCCGGGTACCCATTCGATGGGCCTCGTGTTCCACTGCTGTCTTGAGAGATTGCTCATCTTCAGTGAGGGGAACTTCGGCGCCTTCGTGAGCAATGTGCTCGTTCCATCCTTCGATACTTACCTCTTTGTGCTCTGTCCAAAACGCAATGGTTGAGAACCGGGACGAGCCGCCCAATTGCTTGTGAATTGAGTTGGTACTCGATGCGTACTTCATTTTGACGCGAACTGGAGCATCCTGTGGCACGTACGCCACAAAAACAACCCCTTGGTCGCTGTCGTTGCTGCGAACAGCAAGATACCTGGCGTCTTTGGGGTCCATCGATTTGGCCAACGATTCCAGGTCCTGTGCCAGGTCGTTAGACTGTTTTATGGCCCGGTCATACTCACATACCTCATCCGTAATTTTAAAGATGGCAATACGATCGTCAGACTCCAGGAAAAACTCGAATTTGGACATCAGGTCCTCCGAAGCGCTGATTCCTGATTGGGCTGACATGTTAGGTAAGCTCGACTCGCTCGCGGTTACTAACTGGTCGTCTATGGCTTGCTAGCAGCTGGTTGTCGGTCGTTGCAGTATTTAATAGGAATGTAAAGTGGCCGTGGTTGCCGAAAAGTAGACGCAGTCTCCGTACTTTACGCAGTTGTACTAATACCACGGGGAAAGGGCTCTGGCTGTCTCTCTGCAGGCCCTCTCCCCCCACAAAGCCTCCACCAACGCACTCTACCTTCAATTCTAGACGCCGCCTATCCACTGTAAATTCGCTCACACCCTGCAAACGAGGCTCTTGATGTCCCCACACTTTTGTGTTTGTGCGGTTATGTCAGCCGAATCCTGGCCAGGTATATTTTGTTCGCTTGTGAGATTAGGGTTCAGCGAATCAACATTCCAGCACCTCTGGGCATCGAAACGTTTATTTAATGGATAGTGCTGTTGATAACAGCTCTAGGCTGTTCGAAACAGACACTAGCGTGTTCGAGGAGTACACGCCTTCGTCACAGGACCTCTCATCTCCCCTGGACTTGAATCATTTGGTTTGCTACCTCACGGCCCACACTGTGATCGACTACACGGCTATATCCGACTTCTTTTTAACTTATCGCTTGTTCTCTTCCCCAAATACAGTGCTCAAGCTCTTATTCTCTCGACTAGAGTGGGCGGCGCGCGTAAGTTACACGAAAAGTCGCGCAGATTCCGAGGTTGGTCGCGACGTGGCTGTGCGTACTTTCGTCGTCATTCGTCATTGGATTCTCAACTATTTTGTGGACGACTTCTTGCCTGACTTGGATCTTCGCCAATTAATGGCCTATGCTCTGAACACACTCTCGCTGGTTCCCCAAGTTACCGAATCCCCACACCTCACCCATATCATCAAACAACTCAAACGTTGTTGGCTGGGTGAGCTAGCTTTGCATTGGACTACCCATAATAATAGTTCTGAGGCACCAGAAGACCTCCCTGTGTATGCTGGTGGCCCCTATGGCTTTGATACACCAAGCCTATCGGCGGCGGAAAGACGGCTCACCCTGTTGAGCTTTTATAAGGAGCCCATCGAACCCATCGCGGTTACAGTTGATACAAAACAGCATGGCAGTCTACTCAATGGTGGTATTCTTGTCGATAACGATGTTGAGGTCTCGAAGATTAAAAACTCGACTCTGAAACCTTCAACCCCTGCGCGGCGGCATTTTTTCAGAAGACGGCATGAGCAACAACCTCCCGAAGATATTGTTCTGGAGAACAAGGTTGATGTGCTAGCTTTACAAGTAATCAAGGATTTGAATGCCATGTTGAGATGGAAGGTCTCGAGATCAATAGTGCGTGACCGTTCATTTATTTCGCATATCACCCAGGCCCGCCTTTCAGACTCGACCATCGGCAGATTCAGAGCTTCGCGAGCTTCGAGTATCTCAACTATTCGGCAGCCTAAAAGAGACAAAACTTCAGACACTTTGGATATTGCTACGGCCTTGGTTAATACGTCATCCGAGAGCGACGAGGACGATCGCAAACTTGGCGCGAAACCCCTGGCTTTAAACGAAAACCATGACGCTGAAATTGCTAATTTGCGGCGCTCTGCACCATGTTGGAACGCTGATGGTGGTGGTCTGCAGGCGTTAGATATTGAGAGGGTTTCATACAACGGCTCGTTGAGCACTCTCAGCACGCTCAGCCGAAACAGTACAAGTTCATACGACGACGAACCAGAGACCAAGCCATTCTCATACGAGCATACATTTTCATGTGCAAATCCTGAAGCGTTTGAAAGCGCCGTGGAAGTTTCGCCCTTCAAACCTGCCCACCAGCAAACTCCCGATCGGGACGATGGTGAAGACGAATTCCACGACACAGAAAGCATGCTCGGAGATTTTCTCGGGAACAATAGTGAGGGCGGTAGCGACATCTCACTCCTATCCGAACAAAGCATTGGAGGAATGGCGCCCTGTCCAGGGTTCAACGCTGAAATCGCGGCTGAACTTGCTGCTATTCCTGATGAGAGCACACACGAGGACGCGCTTATCATTGCACTCCGGAAGCTTGAAGGAACATATGAGCCGGTTGTCAAGCCAAGCCAACGCACCGAGGCCATAACGGAGTCGCAACTGTTTCAAAGTGCCTTTGCGTCAACAAACAACCTCAGCTCTGCGGCTGCTGACAACGACGACGCTGTATCGGTGCGTAGTTTAGCAATTGGCGCCGCTCCTTCAATTATTTCCAATATTGCATCCGAAGCTCTTGACGAGTCCGGTCGAAACGTTTTGGATCGCTCACGCCATGCCCCATTCATTCTCGCCATGACCCCCGAGGATATTTATCAGCAGATGACATTAATTGAAAGAGACGCGCTTGAGCAAGTAGACTGGAAGGTTCTGGTTGATGTATCCTGGCCCAAACGGCCTCTCCCAACCTACTCTTGGCTGCAACTGTTGGCGACCCGCCCCCCACAAGGTATCGAAGTGGTAATTGCCCGATTCAACCTGGTCGTGAACTGGGTTCGCAGCGAAATCATTCTATGTCTAACCCCCACACTGAAGGCTCAGTCCATAATCAGATTCATTCAGATTGCCTACATGAGCTATAAGGGTCAGAATATGGCAACCCTGATGCAAATAGTTCTGGGACTCACGAACCGAGTAATAGAACGCGAATCGGCGGCATGGAACCTTGTTCCTAAAAAGGAACGCCGTATTCTTGACCGTCTCAAGACAATCACCTCCGTCGACAAGAACTTTAGTCGGCTAAGAGCCGAACACTCTCGGTTCGATTTCAGCAGGGGCTGTATTCCATTCACCGGCATCTATCTATCCGACCTGGAGCACAACAACCAGAGGCCTACATTTAATGACAAAGGTGAGATTGTGTTCTCCAAATTCCAAATGACTGCATCGGTTATTCGATCGTATCTCCAATGCATCGAGTGGGCCAAGAACTACAACCTCAAAACCAACCCTAGTCTGCTCTCAAAGTGTCTCTATCTACAGTCCCTGTCCCAGCAAGACTTTGATCTGCTGGAAGCATAGTAGCATTCTTTTCTTCTTTAATTATGTATTTTTATTTCTCATCTCAAAATACCCCGAGCATCCATTTCGAGGGTTTGGGCAGCATACCTCCCAGGTAATTTTTTTTTCGCCAATTGGAAATTTTTTTTACTAAGGGCATCAATGGCATCGTGCTCGGACGATATCATTTGGCAGGTGATAAACCACCAATTCTGTGCCTTTAAGCTCACGACAGCTCAGAAGGATAGTTTCTGTCGGAACGAGTATAATGTTAACGGTGTTTGCAGCCGGCTAACCTGTCCTCTTGCCAATGCAAAGTACGCTACGATTCGAAACGTCGACGGCCGGATCTATCTGTATATGAAGACTGCTGAACGACAGCATATGCCGAATAAATGGTGGGAGCGTATCAAGCTTTCGAAGAATTACGCCACTGCTTTGGAGCAGATCGACCAGCACCTGATCTACTGGTCGCCCTTCCTGATTGATAAGTGCAAGCAACGTTTGACCCGGTTGGTGCAGGTAGCCAATGCTGAAAGACGGCTTGCACTCAAGGAGCAAGAGAGGCAATACACACATGTGGCGCCCAAGATCCGTCGGCGTGAACAAACGAGAGAACGGAAGGCATTGACGGCAGCCAAGCTCGAAAGAGCTATTGAGAAAGAGCTTTTGGACCGTCTTAAGAGCGGAGCATACGGAGACCAGCCACTCAATGTTGATGAGAAGATTTGGAGCAAGGTTCTTAGAGGTGTTGAAGACAAGGACGGCGAGGAAGCCGACGTCAATGAAGAGCACGAGGAAGAAGAAGAGGAAGAGAGCGACGTTGGAGAGATCGAGTATGTCGAGGATGACGACGAAGATGTTGTCGACATGGAAGATCTCGAAAAATGGCTGCAGGGCAGCGACGTTTCCGACCAAGGTGAACAGTCCAGCGACGATAGCGATGAGGGCGATAACGACGACGACAAGAAGCGTCCGGCCAAAAAGCTTCGTGGGCACGTGGAAATCGAGTACGAGCAAGAAAACTTGGTCGATGCCGCTCGCTAATTTCATACTTTCTATTGCTGTTTTTTTGTTTTGGTTTCGAAATAAATCATCCTGCTATATATTATCAATCAATTAGAGTTTCTAAGTAAAGAGCCCAGAAATGGGCTCTATCCCTGAAATTTTTCAAGCAAGCGATGAAGCGGTGTATCTGCTCACAAACAATTGGGCATTCGATGGTACAGCTGTCCACTCGCCTGAGCTTGGGTTCTGCTGAAGGGAGCGAAGGGCAGGATCCGAGTTCGTGACCGAGAAACGGACCTCGATTCCGCCCGGGGCCTCTTCAGCACGGCTTTCAGTAGCAAGCTGGCAGAGCAAACGCTCTACTTGCCCGCGCTTCAACTGAACAGGTCCAGCAAATCTCCAAGTGACTCGCTGTTTCTCCTGGCTGAATGTGGCAATAGGTTTTGATTGCGCCGACGTAGCATGGCCACCTGTGACCATAACGGCAACCACTAAATTGTCGATAGTCACAGAGTCATGAGGATAACTCTCTGGCAGCGAGTACGACAGCATCAAACGAGCTTGGTTTTCACTGTTTCGCCAGGCCGGCGTGAAAATTATCGGCACTTTCTCCGGCAACTGACCAGTGTATTTAGCAAGGGTTACAGTTTGTCCGGCAAACATCGACGTATCAACCTCGTAGAGTCCTTGGTTGGTTGGGTTCAAGTAGGGGGCGTTGGGCACCAAGGTCTGAGCATTCTCGCTACCATCCAACCGGACAACAGTTCGAACAGGAGCACCGTTGCAAGCGCCATTAATTTCACCGCTAATGTGAACCTCAGAAATAGTTCCGTCGACGATCTTCGCTGTGAGTGTTTCCTTAACAGTGACTACCAGGCCCTGAACGGTGGGAAGAGCAGGGTGCGACGAAGTGACATCACCGGTGAAAGCCCGTTGAAGACCTGCAGACCGACGAGTGCTTCCGGTACGAGAAAAGTTAGGCGCATGGCCCATTCCGTCCTGGTCGAACGAAGCCACTGACGTTGTGGAGATATCGGCGGCAGTCGCACCAGTGGCAACTGGCTGTGCAGGTGCTTCTGACGGAGCTCCTGCAGGTGGTGCCGACTGGAATGGCTGCTGAGCAGGTGCGGGCTTCGAAGGCTCCGGAACAGCATGAAGAGCAGCAGCAGTATTGATGGAGGCCGCAGCGCTTGTGAAAACCGGCGAGCTCTGCATCATAGAAGGAGACTCCTCCATAACAGGGTGGAATACATTACCCGTGGTTCGCTGTGATTCAAACGTGGGCTGGAATTGCTGGGCTGGGGTGAAGAATTCCTCTTGGTCGGGGGACCCGTTCAAGGGAGTAGAGACCTTTGGGTTGAGTACCATACTCTCCCGTTGTGTAGCTTCAACACCTGTAAACAGTGCGGACTGAATGTCTCGCCGACGTCGATTAGAAGAAGGTGGCCCAGAGACCGATACACCGACCAAGTCTTCCTGAGAAGCGGCTTTTGGAGCCTCTTGACCAGGATAGTGGAAAGGTGAGTCAAAAGGTGGCGACTGCGAGGGTGGGGGGGCTTGCATTTGTTGGTGCAAATGCAAAGGAACTGCGTGGTTTGGCGGAAGGTGGCTAGCCGACTGGTTCACACGCTGAGGAGGCGGGGCCGGAGGTGGAACTCTTCCGTTAGAAGTGGAGGGCTCAGAAGCCGGGCCAGATCTAATGTCTGTGTTTCGTCGATTGTTCACAGGCAGAGGGTCTGTATGAGACTGTTGAGGAACACTGGAAGTACGTGAACGTGTGGGTTCGGGCTCATACTCAGCGCCCTCCTGGAAGGAGGAGTTGATAGAGGCCGCACGCCGAAGCTCAAGGTTATTGTTCTTGTGCTTGCGACGACCAAAAAGCGACCCGACCTTGGCTCTGATTCCAGAATGTTTGGGGGCATCCTCGTTGGTAGATTGGTTACTACGCAAGGATTGAAGCGAAGCTTGTCGCCTTGAAGTGTGAGAGGTTGTTGCTGAGGAGGTCGCACGAGTCCGTTCAGGCTCAGCAACAGCGGCACCAGCAACAATCTGGGCAATATACGACTCGATATCCTCTTGGGGCTCGAAAGCAAGGAGCTCACGAAGACCCTTCTCGCTTGCTTTAGACAAAGCCTGGCCCTCGTCGGCGACAAGGGTCTGGAACTTCAACAGGCTCTCCTTGATAGTAACAAGACGAGCAAGGTCTGCTCGCTGAATAGAGTCGACTTTCTCCTCATTCACGCGGTCATTGCTTAGACTGGCGCCTTTCAACGCCGACTCGGCAGGCGTCCAGCCACTCGCTAAGAAATCGACCAAGGGCTGCTTGACCTCTACGCGAACGCGCGAGCCTAGCATGCTGGAGAGTCTCGCAATCTCTACGGCCATGGATGCACAGCCATTCCAGGCAGTAGCTAGGGTTCCCAAGTCGGTGTCCGGGATAGAGATGCGGCGTAGCATGCGCTCCATTTCTTGAGCGTAGGCCTCATTCACCTGAGCAAAATGCTCCATCCAGTCAACAATGTTATCTGTGGTTTTACGGCCCGTATTAATACGGTGCCGAAGCAGGTCCGTCGCCGTGCCGGGAATATGGCCGGACAACGCTGCGGAGTATTTCATTCTGGGTGACAAATCCTGACTGCCCAGTCTGGCTATACCTTCAAGACCGTGCATGGCTGTGTGGGGTAAGGGCAGGCAACCGGCCATGCAAGAAAATCTGTGCCAACGGCAAGATAAAGTAGAAGGAGAGAAAAAAAATAACATTACAGATAATATCATAATAAATTAAATTAAGGTACAGGAGGGAGAAGAGTGGAGACGCCGAGTGACATCGAAAAGATTAATAGATAATAGTACAAGAGCCCAGCTCTTTTTAACGCACCCGACTGGCTTCACTGTCGGAACCAGGCTCTGGTCCGAACTCTCCTTCCCAAACTACTGCCCCGGCAGTGCGACGCTCGTCTACAAGGCGGACCTCTGGTGCGTTAAGAATGTCGCGCGCGCTTGGTCGCCGGGCGGGGTCCGGCTGAAGCATTGTGGCTACGATGCGATCCAAGGCTCGACGGCCGTCAACCATAAAGTAGGGTGCCCACACCGGGGGCTCAGGGGCGCCCTCACGATTGGCAATTGTCAAATCGCCAGAGCTCAGCCGTCCAGCGTCGCTGAGATCGCCCGATCTGAGTTTGTGCCAGTGAATGCCGTTGTCAGGCAGGACAATATTTGCAGCAATCTCGACCATCATGAGCCCGAGTGAGAATATATCTGCCGGCTTTGAATAGAAGCGGTCAGCCAAGATTTCTGGCGCAATATATTCGCGGTCTCCTTCACGGTCGAGGTCTAGGCTGGCAGGGAAGTTGGTGGCCATTCCGAAATCTCCAATCTTGAGCACACCAGCAAACGTGACAAATATGTTGGCTGGCTTCAGATCGAGGTGCAAAACATCGTGTGAGTGAATGTATCTGAGTCCGTGGGACAGCTCGGTGAGAATTTTCCAAACTCGCCATTCATCGAGACGACCAACCCGTCCGCTCTCTGATAAGAACGTGGCCAGGTTTCCGTTTTCAGCCCACTCGGTGGCGATGTACAAATGGCGGTCGGCTTCCCACCAATCCAACATTTGGACCACATTTTCCGCATCCTCGTCCTCCTCTGCAGGATGAGAGAGCCGCTGCAAGATTTGCACTTCTTCCATACGTACCTTTCGGGTCCGTGTGCCGCTGAACGGTTTTTTGGTGCGTTTGATAGCCAGCTTGAGATTGGGTTTGTCCGGCGGAGTAGCTAGATACACCACCGAGAACTCTCCCTCGCCTAACAGGCTCACCTTGTCAAATCGTTCGACAAGCAGCTCGTCCATAGGTTTAGGATCAACCATGCTCGACTCGTTACAACTGCTTTCGAACCCAACGCTCATATTTGCCCGTAAGGGTGTTTGTGTTAAAAGTGGGACTGATTCGTCTCGGGCAAAGTTGGGCATAGGCGGCATTGGTGGAACCGTCTCGTTGATAGCATGAATCGGGGTCAAGGTTTCCGTGCTCTCGCCAAATATGTTTTTGCTGACGCGAATAGTTAGCGGGCGTCTTCGGCCTCGAGCCGGCTGGGAATTGGTTGACTCCATAGACGACGAACCAACTAGAGCCGGTTCTTCGTCTTGAGGAGCAATTTCTGGCGTGCAGGGCGACCCTAGCTCGCTAGAAGTCAATGAGCGTTCATTTTCATAATCAAATTCGTCTTCAAATGATGTATCGTTCGTAGATAGGTCCAGGGTATCCTCAAACCGGCTCGGGTCATGTGCAGAGAGCTGGCTTGCCTCGCCCACATGGTTCCACATTCGCGAAGAGAACCCAGGTGTAATTGTAGACGCATCACTCAATTGTCGGCGGGAAGGGGCAGGTGTGGATGTAAACATTGGTTCGATCGGTGTCGGGGTTGACGGAGTCTCGGGACCAAGGCTGAATCTGCGGATCGAATCAGGCAGCGACTCGGTTGTTTGCTCAGCAGAGGTTTTATCGTACTTGCTAAGCGAAGCTTGTCTTCGGAACCCGAACAGAGATCGGTTGCTCGATTTGAAAGATGTGTTAGAGCTGCCTGTATTACCGTATCCTGGGGTTTTCTTTCGGGGCGTCTCCGGAGGTGCCTTCACGGGGGAGGAGGTTTGCGGCAAGTCTCGTTTGGACATGAGTCCACTGGACATGAACGCTGTTTGAAGTGGCTTGACTTCTCGATAAGAATCGTCTGGTGTGAGAAAGCGCCCCGATGTGTTCCTTTCGCAAGCCATTGGGGTGTGGCCCAGCCCACCCTTGCCGCGGCCTATCGACAACGAGGGGAACGGGCGGTGTCGGGCAGAACCTAAATATATGGGAGTCGGAGAGCTCAAAGGACGAGGGAGTGTGCCAGCAGACCCGTGGATTGGTGAAATAGTCGACCTTCGTGCCGGGGTGGCCGCCGCAACCGTTGGGCCTCGTAGCCGTGGTTTCGAAAAGTCTTCGTGTTGACTGTGGGTTTCAAAAGGGTGGGGCCGTTTTAATTGTGCGGTCCGCGGAGCAGTCTTTGAGAATTCTGAGGGCCCCGTGGAGGCCGCTTCTTCAAGATTGAACAACCCCGCTGACCGGCGGAGGTAGCCGCCTCGCGAGACCGGTGCGGAGCCCAGACGTTTGCCAGCTGGTATCAGGGGTTCATTGAGATCTCGCGACCGCAACGTGCGGTGAGCTGATGGAGAAGTATCAAAATATGACGGTGGTGACCCCATAGAAACGCGTTCTGGTGAGTTGGGGGGATTTGAATTAAGAGAGCTTCCAACGCGATCGAAACAAAAAGAAACGTCGGAGGACCCGTCAGGAGAGGTATTGTTGGAATCTAATATATCTCGACTCTCCTCTGTGCGATTCTTAGTCCACGGGCTTGCGTCCAAGAAGATTCGGCGGTTTCGCTCAGTGTGTAATTTACCCGGCCTATACTGGCAGTGAAGGTTAGGACGCGTTCGTGGCGTGAGAGTTGTTTTCGAGTGATTACGTTTCTTGGTTGCCATAGTAACTGGCTTGGTCACGAGGGGTATATAGTGGGTATTATTGTTAAAGCGGGGTCTTAGTGGGGTATTGAAGCCCGGTTGGGTTCGCGGCCTGGCTTAACGGAAAAGGAATGGAGAGGGTGGGACCGGAAAACGAAGGCTTTGAGGGCAATCAGAATATCTGTCGCGCTCTGCAGATCTGGAGAAACCTTTTATGGCTTCAAGAGACACTTTTCGTCAACGACGAATCAGACTTATATATGCATATATCTGCTTTTTCAAATTTCCCTTTTCAGCATTGTGCCATGCAACAGCCACTCGGGTTGCAGTGCGTGGTGCAGATCACCAACTGATAAGATACGTATATGCACCCCTACGAGGAATTGACCTGATATTGAGTGTATCTGCTGCTTTTTTATTATTATTACACTACTTGGCTTTGTTTCAATGATATATATCCGCGGCAAAAGAAGTATCCTGTTGTGATTGGGGCAAGGGTGATGTACAGTTCAAACCTGCGACAAATCTCTATGCAGCGTCGAGATTTTCAGAAAGCATATTCTGTTTTATACCATTTGCTAGAAACTATTGTTGTAGCATGAATACAGGTGTTTTACCCGGTGGTTATGCACTGAAATCTGCTGCTATCCGCATGATTGTACACCTACGCCATAACCGTTACCTATGAGTCCAACTCGACACGGCTTTTCTGCATACTGTGCCGACTTATCCATTCGGTTTCCATTATCACCTGATCGAAATTTTCATCGTTCAGAGGATTTCTTGAAGTCAGAATTCCCCATAGCATACTGCCTTCACACTGGTGTTTCAGACACTGTGTGAAGACAAACTGTCTGGGGTCATTTATCTACGTTTTCTGGCTAGCATGTGTAATTTATCGGTGAAAGATTTTACACCCCTCATGCAAGTCAAATTTTCAGGCGTTACTCTTTGCAGAAGCAGATATGTCGACTGAGTCAGGTATGTCACGCGTGCGGGGTGGTTCGGAACGGCCGAGATAAATCCGCCGCGAACACTCGTTTCATGTAGCTTGTTTGTTTTGGTAGAGGTTCCCAGATTGCAACCACTGCGCCCTGGCGCGGCTCCGAAAGCATGCCAAAATCGATACCCTCGCACCCACCAGCAGACAATTACGAAACCGCTGGTCATGTTATTGACATGGCAAACATTGTTCACTAGCTTCGTGAACGGTTTAAAAACGTCAACTCAAACATACAAGTCCTTTGCTAGCACTGTGCATAGAGGGCAAAGTGTAATTTTGGGCTGAAATTTCTAAGCAGCTAACACTAGATGGAAACTAAAAGAGTTCAACCCTTTTCGGATATTTGATTGCTACGTAGTAGACATTTTTCGTGCATAATATGATCTTCGAACTAGTCAGGACCCATTATGAGTACATGTTGGCCCACAGAGATCTGACAGTCCAAAGCCTTGATAAAAGGGAAACCAAAGGTAAAATTAATTTACGCGTCAGCCAATTCACGCAGACGACGGATAGTCGAGCGGACGGTAGTGGCAGCAGCGGTGGTCAAGGAGTAAGCACCACCGGCGACGGTCTTCTTGCACGAGTTGCAGTGCCAGATACCAGTAGCCTCACGGCGGACGGTCTTCTTACCGCAGAAAGCACAGTCGTAGCGGGCATGAGCGCTCTGCTCAAGCTTACGGCACTGACGACGCAGAGAAGAGCCGTAGCGGACACCGTAACGGCCGGAAATGCCAACCTTCTTAGTACGACGAGCCATTGTTGTATAGAGGGAACGAATCGATGCGAGTTAGAGTCTAATGGACCTTGGGTTGAATAATCAAAGCCCTAAGCCCTAGACCCTAGTTTAACTTAGTATTATGGCTGACTAATGCTGGCTCAGAGGGAGGTTCCCCCCCTCCCTTGGCTCACATGTGGATCGGCTTAGCTAAATGTCGATATAGCTATTTTTTCCACTGTCAAGAATAATGCGCATTTGGCGCTCCATATTGGGCCAAAAAACTCACGACTGGTAGACACATTAACTAATATAGTAGCCACCCCCAATGTATCTTAAAACCCCGCACGCTGGATGTTCCTCCTCTTATAACCCTTCTGACGCGACTGACAAATCTTGACGTTACGGGTTATGCCTGGGGACGACGGGTGGCTAATTGATATCCCTCAAGACAATGAGAGGCAATCGCAACCATCAGAAGCTCGGCAACAGCAACGGACTGACCCGTTCGATCCGTTCGAGCCCGCTCAGCCGAGCGTATCGAATCCTTTCGAGGACAACTTAATGCATGAGCTGGACGACTTGGATGAGCAGGGACGAGCCGCGCTGGCAGAGGCTGATGGCGGCTGGACATCGCGTATAAATCCATTTGGAAACTCCTATAAGCATATGAACCAAGAAACACCCGGTGCGTTACCGGAGACGCCGGAATCGCAAAAGCCTAGGGAGTTTGACCTCCGCGGCTGGTGGAGCCGTTTGCGCAGGGGCCGTCGAGAAAAAGCCCACCAAGGACCGCGAATGATTTATTTCAATGATCCAGCAGAGCAGCGAGTATTCCGAGGAAACTACATTTCAACTACAAAGTACAATGTTGCGACGTTTCTGCCCAAGTTTTTATTTGAACAGTTTTCCAAGTACGCAAACTTGTTTTTTTTGTGTACCGCATTGATTCAGCAGGTTCCGCACGTATCGCCAACCAACCGGTATACCACAATTGGAACGCTGATGATTGTGCTGTTGGTTTCTGCCGTTAAAGAGTTGATTGAGGATTTCAAGCGAGCTGCTGCGGACAGAGAGCTGAACAACAGCAAGACTCTGGTTTTGAATGCCATCACACAGGAGTTTGATAACAAGAGATGGGTTGATGTGAAAGTTGGCGATATTGTGAGGGTGGAAAGCGAGCTGCCGATGCCGGCAGACTTGGTCCTTTTGTCCAGTTCTGAACCGGAAGGTTTGTGCTATATTGAGACATCGAACTTGGATGGCGAAACCAATTTGAAAATCAAACAAGGCTCGCCAGCAACTGCTCACCTCACTGACTCTCGTTCACTTGCACAGATGCACGGCCGCATTCAGAGTGAACAGCCCAACTCTAGCTTGTACACCTATGAAGGCACGCTAGAGCTTGATGGCCAGTCTAAGGTGGCCTTAGCGCCTGATCAACTTCTTCTTCGTGGTACGTCACTGCGAAACACCCCGTGGATTCATGGTGTTGTTATTTTCACAGGTCATGAAACCAAACTCATGCGCAATGCCACAGCTACACCTATCAAGCGAACTGCGGTTGAGCATATGATCAACCTGCAAATTATTTTCCTATTTACAATTTTGATCGTGATGTCGGTGCTGTCTTCCCTGGGTAATATTATTAAAATGCACCAATGGCGGAAAAGTATGTGGTATTTGCAGCTGGGCTCTGCGTCAATAACCAGCACATTTTTCCTTGATTTGCTCACATATTGGATTCTCTTTTCCAATTTAGTGCCCATTTCCCTCTTTGTGACTGTAGAGATTATCAAGTTCTACCAGGCATTCCTCATCTCCAACGATTTGGAAATGTACTACGAGCCTACGGATACTCCAGCCGTGTGCCGTACATCGAGTTTGGTGGAAGAACTGGGACAGATCCAGTACATCTTTAGTGATAAAACGGGCACACTCACTCGCAATATCATGGAGTTCAAAGCATGCACCATCGCTGGCCGCATCTATTCCAAGGAGATTCCCGAAGACAAGCGCTACTCTACAGATGACGATGGCAACCGTTTTTATGATTTCGAGCAGCTACGTAAAGATCTCCGTCACCCCGATTGGACTGACGGGATTGCAAACTTTTTCACTTTGCTGGCCGTCTGCCATACAGTTATTCCTGAGGTTTTGGAAGACCACACCATCAAGTACCAAGCTTCTTCACCTGACGAGGGTGCCCTAGTTGAGGGAGCAGCAGAGCAAGGATTCAAGTTCACTGTTCGCCGTCCTAACAGCCTGACGATTGAAGTCAATGGGCGAGAGGCTGAATATGAACTTCTTAATATCTGTGAGTTCAACTCCACCCGTAAGCGTATGTCTGCGATCCTTCGTTGTCCTGATAATAGGATTCGGTTGTTTTGCAAAGGTGCTGATACCGTCATTTATGAGCGTCTTGCCCCCGAGACGGAAGACGGAGAGTATGTTCGCCAGCAAACTACCAACAGTCTTGAGAGTTTTGCTAGCGAAGGTCTCCGCACACTCTGTTTGGCATGGCGTGAAATCAGTGAAGCAGAGTATGAAGAGTGGGCTCACCAGTACGATGAAGCGGCCACTAGCATGGAGGATCGCAGCGAGAAGCTCGATGCGGTTGCTGAGCTTATCGAAACGGACCTGGAGCTTCTAGGTGCGACAGCGATTGAGGACAAGCTGCAGGAAGGTGTGCCTGAAACCATACACTTGCTACAAGATGCAGGAATCAAGATTTGGGTGCTCACGGGCGATCGTCAGGAAACAGCCATCAACATTGGTATGTCTTGTAAGCTGCTGGCAGAGGATATGAATTTGTTGATTGTGAATGAGAGTGATGCGGCAGGAGTTGCCGACAACATTTCCCGCAAGCTCGAGCTCATCCGGTCAAGCGAGGCGAGCAATGCCGACTTTGAGACGTTGGCGCTGGTGATTGACGGTGTTTCGCTTGGCTATGCACTGACACCAGAGATTGAAAAAGACTTTTTGGACCTCTCTGTGATGTGCAAGGCCGTAATCTGCTGCCGGGTGTCACCGCTGCAAAAGGCCATGGTGGTGAAGCTGGTCAAGCGGCACCTCAAGGCACTTTTGCTGGCTATTGGTGACGGTGCGAATGATGTGTCCATGATTCAGGCAGCACACGTCGGTGTTGGTATTTCCGGGATGGAGGGCCAGCAAGCAGCCCGGTCGGCTGACATTTCCATCGGCCAGTTCCGCTACTTACAGCGTCTGCTACTCGTACATGGGTCGTGGAGCTACAACCGGCTCAGTCGAGCGATTCTGTACTCGTTTTACAAGAACATTGCCCTGTATTTGACGCAGTTCTGGTATGTTTTCTACAACGGATTCTCGGGTATGTCTATCTACGAGTCGTGGACGGTCACATTCTACAATGTGATTTGCACAGCACTGCCGCCGTTTGCTCTGGGCATCATGGACCAGTTTGTTTCTGCTCGCCTGCTCCTTCGATACCCGCAGCTGTACAAACTTGGTCAAAAGGGTGCGTTTTTGAACGTGACGGCGTTTTGGCAGTGGATCTGCAACGGCATCTACCACTCGATTATTATTTTCTTCTTCTCTGTCGGGGCATACCACTGGTCCAACACTCTGCCTGATGGCCGTATTGCCGACCACTGGACATGGGGTACTGCAGCGTTTACGGCATGTGTATTGACCGTTTTGGGAAAGGCTGCATTGGTCACCAACACCTGGACAAGGTTCACGCTGCTGGCGGTTCCTGGCTCGTTTTTGGTCTGGTTAGGCTTTTTCCCTGCATATGCCGAAATTGCCCCCAAGGCCCATGTGTCAATCGAGTACCGCGGTGTTCTCCGCTCTTTGTACCCTACTGCGGTATTTTGGGCAATGACCCTGCTCATCGCCATGGCATGCCTGATCCGGGACATTGCTTGGAAATACTTCAACCGAATGTACCGGCCTCGAGCCTACCATTATGTTCAAGAAATTCAATCCTACAACATCGCTGACCACCAGCCGCGGATGGATCAGTTCCAGCGGGCGATTCGCAAAGTCAGACAAGTCCAGCGAATGCGCAAGCAGCGCGGCTATGCCTTCTCACAGGCTGATGAAGGTATTGACAAAGTCATTAGAACATACGATACAAGTGTTGCTCGTGACCAGTCGGGACAGCTCCGTCCTGCAACGTCCTCGGTCGCCTGATTTTTTTCGGTTGGTTGCCTTAGAAATCATACAATGCATGACCTTGCATGTGGCACTGTGTATCTGAAATCTGTGGTGTGACTAAATTGAAGCGATCCTATTATAGTGAAACACTGGTATATAATCTACTGAACACTTCAAATATTCTCCTGGATAATTTTTTTCCATGAATTGACGGGCGGCTTCCCCGGACCCGGACGAGGTTGTTTTCGTTTGTTTGTTTTTTTCTATTTTTTTTGTAGCCCTTTTGAGGGCATTGCTTCCTGCGCAGTGCTAGCGTGATATTTTGGCCGCATATGGGCATCCTCGTCATGCAGCTGTTCTCGTCATGTGCGTGCGGCAGCGAATGTTTTTTTTTTTCTCTCCGCCTTATTGGTTTAGTTATATCCGGCCCTACTTGCCAATATTGATCAAGATTTTTCAGTGGGCCTACTTCACATAGATGCGCTGTCCGTATGACAATGATGTGCTATGTAAAATGCCAAACAAATGCTCGCTCATGCCGCTCACTGTGGAGGACGTGATTACAGTTTGCTGCCCACTGGATGTGTACGCGGTAGAGCGCACAATGCACAGGCGCTTATAGCAATAACTTAGTGTATATCTGCCAGACGCATATGGTAGGACGCTATATGATACTGTGATATATTTTGCAAAGCGGCCCATTTTACTTAGAGACTGTTTGTTTAGCGGAGGTGAATTATTCCCCATAAATACTGCCGGGTTGCCTCTAACCACCGACTTGACGCACCTCTTGCATGGTACAGAAAGTAGTAAACAGGCAAGAAGTCATTTATAAAAGAGTAGACACCCCAGCGCATTAGTTGTTTAATCCAAACTTTTAATTCTTAATGAGCTACGAAGAACCAGTTATCAATGATCACGAGAGTGCCATCGGCACCCCCAAGGATCATAACGATGGTTATGTTACCATCGGTCGCACCCGTGTGCCCATCGAGGACGTCCTCACCGCATATGGTGGCAACCTGAACCCGGGCATTGCTGCTCCATCAACCCACAGGTTCGCTAACCCCACTCCTGTCGGTCTTGGTGGATTTGCCATGTGTCTGTTTGCCTGGTCTATCGGCAACTTCCAGGGTTTCGGTATCTTGGTTCCTAATGCCATTGTTACCCTTGCCATCTTCTACGGTGGTGTTACCCAGCTTTTGGCCGCCATGTGGGAGATTGCTGTTGAAAACACCTTTGGTGCCGTTACATTGTCGGGCTATGCCTCGTTCTGGCTCTCGTGGGGTGCTCTTAACATCCCCTGGTTCGGTGTTGGTCAGGCTTATGCTGCTGTTGAGAACGGTCCCCGTATGATGCAGAAGTATGTTGGCTTCTACTTCCTGTGCTGGTGCATTTTCAGCGCTGGTCTCTGCACCTGCACCGTGAAGAGTACCTTCCCCATGTTTGCCATGTTCTTCCTTTTGTTTGTTACCTTCCTTTTGCTTGCTATTGGCTCTCTTACTCCTACCGAGGGCTGCAACAAAGCCGGTGGTATCGTTGGCATCATCGCCGGCGTTATTGCATGGTATATTACTTTTGCTGGTATCGCTACCAAGGAGAACTCTTATGTTACTGTTCGTCCTATTTACATGCCCGGCAGCATCCACGGCAAGAGTTACAAGGCTTGAGCTTTTTTACCCCAATTTTCTTGCAAGATTAGATTAATTCTGTTAATTACGATTTCCAACGTACTATTTTGTAGTTGAAATATCTATACCACTTTCTTTGACTCCCTTCATGATTCAAATGTGGATTGCATTCTTTCTACATTTTTGCAGCTCCGCTTGTCACCGCTTTGAGTGTATCAGAGTGGGCATGCACTCGTTTGAGTAAATTTTACAGCAGACCGCTGCGGCTGACCAGCCACAAGAGGGCTGCAGAAAGCGACGAGCGAGGGCGCGCGCAGGTGCAAGTAAGCTCTGAGTGAAACTGCAACCAGTATAGCCCCAGTAGGGAGATTTTTGTGTAAAAGTGTCAGGCACGGCGGATTCGAGCGGCGGCTGTGGAAGCTCCATTTTCACAAATTTTTCACCGTCAGCAGGTCCAGCTTCAGCATGCTGCAGGCTGTCTTTTCGACATTGCCCAGGCGACGACCTGACAAACGTAATTTTTTATCCGCCAACACTAAACCCAGGGCTAATAATCTGACCTGGATTTAGATTCCCCCTCCCAACACTCGCGCTTTGACTGACCCGGAATAGGGAGCAAGACCACATCTGGGAAAGATCGACAGTGTCCTAAGCGGGATGCCAAAACAGTTGCTTGCCCTAATAGCGTCTCCGGTGCCATAGTTTGTACTCGATAATTATTTATATGAAAAGCAATTTGCCAAGATCCCAAGAACTTGTTTGAGCGTCTCACCTCCCTCGCCGAACCAGAACGCACAAGATGAGGAGTTTGTTGCCGTATATGGCGCAGCTCCGCTTGCATTAAACCTATTTAGGTAAAATCCCTCTCCGGTAGAATAGATGTCTAAAATGAAAACTCGTGGGTAGTAGGTGTGCTAAAATGCCGTTAAATATATTATATATGTTTCAAGGTTCAGCATGCAGACCGATGATTGACCTAATAATCTTTCTGTTTTACATTTTCCGTGAGTAGCCTCGAATAGCCGAGATCTTCAGCCCACCGCTTGGTTGAGGCCGGTCCCACTGAAGATGCGCCGAGGCTATTCGAACATTGGCTAGTTAAATACGTACTGACATTTACAATGCGCATTGTAGACGGTTTATGATTACAACCTCATCTTATTTCTCCGACAAGATTGGTTTTCTTTCCACCCCCGTTTGCGGGGTATACATGTAATAGCTGTTGCTTGCGTGTTTTGTGCAGAAAACTGCGTCGTGCGCTGCCCCAATGACTTGGCCGTGGGGCAGCGGAAATTGAACATTTGTAGGTAGTAATAGGGTGTGTGTGCGCATAACAAAGGGTCTTACTTGGAAAAACAGTGTTTTACCAGTGGGTCACCGTTTTTCTACCTCGGCCGCGAATTCGCTAGACACCATTTACTCACTCATTGCTGTTCATGTGCCTAACCCCACTTGTGCCTTTGGACGGCCTAACCCTCGATCCACTCAAATTTTCTTTATAAGAGCAGTCACTGGCAGAGGCGTTCCTCATCATAGCCACAACTACGTTATGAGTTACGAAGAGCCTGCTATACACAACGACCAAGAAAGCGTGATTGGAACCAACGCTAAGGACTCGAGTGACGCCGCCTACATCACCATCGGCCGCACCCGTGTGCCTATTGAGGATGTCCTCACTGCCTACGCCGGTACTTTGAACCCCGGTATTGCCGCCCCTTCGACCCATAGATTCGCCAACCCGACCCCCGTTGGTCTAGGTGGCTTTGCCATGACCACCTTTTGTCTGTCGATTGCCAATTTCCAGGGCTTTGGCATCAAACTGCCTAACGCAATTGTTCCCCTTGCCGTCTTCTATGGGGGTCTTACCCAGCTTTTGGCAGGCATGTGGGAGATTGCCGTCGAGAATACCTTTGGTGCTGTCGCTCTCTCTGGATACGGCTCCTTCTGGCTTTCGTGGGCTTGCATCAACATTCCGTGGTTCGGAGTTTCTCAGGCTTATGCCGCTGTTGACGATGGCCCACGTATGATGCAGAAGTTTGTCGGTTTTTACTTGCTTGCCTGGTGCATCTTCACCACCGGTATGTGCGTCTGTACCGTCAAATCTACCCTCGCCTTCTTCGCCATGTTCTTCCTTCTTTCGGTAACTTTCCTTCTTTTGGCCATCGGCGAGCTGTGTCCTTCCGAGGGTGCCACAAAGGCCGGAGGTATCGTAGGTATTATTGTGGGTGTTATTGCCTGGTACAATACATTTGCTGGTGTGGCCACCAAGGAGAACTCATATATCACGGTCCGCCCCATCTACTTACCAGGCAGTGCTGGCTTTACCAAGCTCAAATCCGCTTGAGCAATTTTGTTTTTCTTCAGCTATTTCCCCTTTTGTTCTAGTTATCATAGCCGTTTGGTCCGGTTTATTTAGTCAATTTAATTTCCCATAGTAAACGCTGCACGAATCTAGGGCCGCATGCCGGAAAAAATATGATCCCCTTTCTCAGATCAAGACGATTTTGTGCTGATCCGTCGATCCTGTGCTGACTCAGATCTTGACCCAGGGCAGCAGCGGGCGCTGAGCAAAGCCTATGGCCAACTTGGACGACTGTCTTACCTATTCCAATTGGGTGCCTCTGTCCTGCTCGGCAGTAGAATTGCTGCAGCCTCGACGTCACTCATTGGAGCAGGGACCGTCGACTGTCCTTTTCTGGGCAAACCACCCTATCCGGTACGTCTACCTCGCGGGAAGTGTCTGCAATCTGAAATTCTACTCGACGAAACAAGACAAGCGCAGAGTGGAGTTCGAGCTCGATGATGGCACGGGTCCGGCCGCTCCCGTATTAATTTTTCAGGCAGATGAAATACCCTGTGACGAGTCACAGTTTGTTGAAGTTTACGGGTCGCTCAGCGTCTATCATAAGCGGACCGGGGTCATAGCAATTGACGTGAGAGTGTGTCCGCCGAATTTGACACGGGAAATAGACCTCAAGTTCGAAGCCCTACGAGTGCAAACCGAGCTCTTGGCTAGATCTGACCCCTTGCCTGCTTTGGAGCCGGCCGGAGCGAGTCGCGGATTCGTTTCTTTAAGCAGGCTTCCAAGTGAGATGTCGGCTCATCCCAAATTTCGCCTAATTGATTCTATTTAACACATCCAGGGACACCAATACGTTTCCCGCTAATTTTTTCTGCTAAGTTCCTACGGTAGCAACCGTCTATAATCCAGCTATCGCTCTTGGCAGGTCCTGGGTAAAGGACACTTACCCCAACCGCCGGGTGGTAGGGGCGACGCTTCCCCTCTCGGTATGCATGATATGCATGGGCCCAAGTTCATCATCGTCGCGGCCCGCATACAGGGCAAACCGCCCCATTTGGGAAGGCGATGGTGCGATTGGCAGGGTTGCTTTGGTGGGGGTTGGAATTTCAGCCTCGGAAGAGCTAGCTGCTTTGTAGAGATAGCAGGATGAACGTAGATAAAAGTGAAAGCGAAGGTCGAAGAAATATTACGTTAATTCAAAAAAGTTCTTTAAAGTACTAGGATTAAAACTGCTTAAAGGAGCATAGCAACGACACCAGCGACGGCGGCACCAAGACCCATGGCCTTGCCGGCAGCACCGTTAGAGGGAGCGACCTCAGTGCAGGTGGGGCAGACAGTGGAGACGAGGGTGGAGGTGGCGACAGCGGGGCCAGTACCGTTGGAGGAGGCAGCAGCAGAGGAGGCAGCAGCACCAGAGCTGGCAGGAGCAGCAGAGGAGGCAGCAGCACCAGAGCTAGCAGGGGCAGCAGAAGAAGCAGCGGCAGAGCCGGAGCCGGAACCACCACCGGGGCAAGAGGGCACGGAGGGGAAGGAGCCGGCGTCGACGCTGTAAGCACCGGCAGCACTCTTGAAAGCACCAGCAAGGTTGTTGACGAGCGCAGTGGCAGAAGAGTAGACAGCGCAATCAGCATCGGAGGGGATGGCAGAAACAGCGCTGGAAGCAATCTGTCCAGAGGGGCCAACAAGGGCCTTGATGTCACCACCAACAATGCTGCCAGCACCGACGGCGTTGAAGTCAGCGGCCTTGGAGCTCAAGTCACCGAGGAGGCCCTGAATGGCGCCAACCAGGGAGCTGAGTTCACCAACCAGGGTCTGAGCCTCAGAGGCAGAGACGGAGCTGGGGACGGCGCTCTGCAAAGCAAGGACGGCCTCAGACAGAGGAGCAAAAGACTCCTGGATGATGAGGGCCTTGGGGAGACCGTCAGCAGAGCTCCAGCCCTTGACAAGGCTGTCGAGCAGCTCAACATTGGACTGAACGGCTGAGATGGAGGCGCCAACATCAGCGGCGGCGATGGCGAGGAGAGCGGCAGCAACGAAAGTAGAAGAGTACATTGGAACGAGTGGTTGTAGATGGCATTTGATAGATATGATTCTTTTATAATGTGCGGATCGCCCTAGCCCTACGTAGCTACCCCACTTGTTTTGGTTCGCTGCAGCCGCAGCCTTTGTCTGTAAAGCGTAAAGCCCCGGACAAGACGGCCCCAAACGATCCGGCGGCATGTTTGACAGTTTGCACAGCCAGGTAGGAGCCTTCTGCCCGGAAAAATGCTCTATTGTGTGTTTCGTGCTCTAATGCAGTTTAGTGTCATTGTTGCCGTCCACTACGACTTCATTGCTGGTCGATTGAGACCTCTTTCCCTTTTCGGACGCTGTATGCAGTAATCAGACACTGCATACTTCAATGCAACCATTCGGCCCCCGATCACCTAGGGGTAATGTGGGTCTTGTTACTTGTTTCTAAATTTGGATTCATTGACTATTTGCTCCTTTATCGCTGTTTTTGTTTCCCCGTCTTTGTGCTCCTCAGATTGGCTTGCACCTTATCTGGTTGGGAGTCACGGGGTATTTGATGTCCGTACCAGAGACATGCAACAAATAACCCCACTTTGCACCTCTGACAAATTTCTACCCTATCCTTGCGGTCTGTTATGTAACAGGCTATGAAGGGTTCTAAAAATATGTATGTACAATAGCCGATTGCGGATGTGTAAACAATATCATGTTTATTGCTCACCTTTTACTACAATAATCCCGGTGTCTTCTGTTCACAGCTCTCCCACGTGCGTCCCACCTCTGGAACCCTCATTTACGTGCATGTCCAATTGCTGCAACACCCTCAGAGCCCCGGGTGTTGGCACTGACTTTTGCTGCAACAATTACGGCTCTGCATCGGTGGTATCAAATCCTGTGAGGGTGGGCAACTAAGGCGGAATGTGATTTTTTGGGAAGCAGGCAGCCCACGAAACATGCACGGATGTTTCTATCCAAAAATGTCCGAAACCCATTCAAACCATAACCGTTCAATTATATTTTGCTTTTCCAGCTCTTGAACCTTGCTCTCTGTACACGTCTGGCATTTCCTGTCTGCACTCTGACTACTCATGGCTGCAAACTAGGCTTTTGCTTGACTTTTTTTTCGCTCACTACCTGCATCCTACACAACTCCTATACAAGGTGCCTCTACCACGGCTAACTAGATGGAACTAATCGATGCTGCAGTTTCCCCTCAGTGGAATCGCGTGCCCCACCTGAGCCCCTGCATCTAACTACCGATAGCTTGCCTGGCTAGTAATGTTTTCAAAATAGACTTTGGTTGGTGGTTTGATCGGGTTTGGCCCATTGTATGTTTCCCCAACCAACATTTTCCGTTAGGGTCTGTGCTTCTAGCTGTACACTGCACCACGCTCGCCGTGATCCCTCTGCGTGTTTTTGGGAGCCCACTGCGAGTCACGTACGCGATCGCGGTCCCTACCCGGCTCCTTCGGCTACATTCCTTGGTTGCAACACTCTGTATGAAATAGTTTTGGTTGTAGATACTTGGCTGCCGCTCTAGCACCGAACGCGTGTCTCCTTCTGGGCCACACGCTGCTCATAGCAATGCAGCCGCGCTTGTGGGTCAGGTCCTAGGCATGTTGCTGTAGGGTATGTGCCCAACACCAAGAATGCGATGGATACCTCTTCGATTCGAGAATTTTCGCTCGCTATTTGTTTTTTTTTTTATTGGTATACTCTCCGTGTGTAGAGTATGCTGCAGATAGATATCTGATTGCTCTTTCTAGATTAATTATTTCCTGTCGTGCACTACAGGTTTCGGAATTTTTTCTTATTTTTCACTTTTCATCGTACGAAACGTAATTAGGATCTACACGGTGGTTTCAGAGTCTAATTAACCCGCGCCGCAGATGCTTTGCATTCATCTCGCCAACTCCAGATGTGCACCGAACGGCATTCTATAATATATGTATAGAAATATCTCTAGAAAAATAGACAGGAAACCGTCGACAATAGAATTCTAATACAGAGATCCCTTCACGCATCTCCACTGCACCGATCGATTCTCTAACGGTCTTGGCATGTAGCCGAACCTCGGCTCAAAAAATGAGAAACCATGCATTGTATACTATTCCATATATTTCATATATTTTGATATAGTTCATATGTTTGATATAACCCATAAAACACCGATAAAAAATAAACTAGAAATGCCCTTCAAAGACGAGCCTTGGGGCCCTGGACAACGCTAATCAGATGGTCAATAATCTGCGGGTTGCTAAGAGTGGAAAGCTCACCAAGCTCGTCGTTTTTGCCAGCGACAATCTTGCGCAAAACACGACGCATGATCTTGCCGGACCGCGTTTTGGGCAGATCCTGCACGATAAACACCTTCTTCGGCACGGCGAACTTACCGATCTCATCGCGCACACATGCATTGCAGTGGTCAGTAAGTGTCTGTGTAGTGTGGTCCTTGTCATTGAGAGCCCAGCTTTCCAAGCAGACAAACGCAATCAGGGCCTGGCCAGTAAGGGGATCCTCGACACCAACCACGGCAGCGTCAGACAGAATCGACTTGTTGTCTATGCGACCGTCAATCAGCGCACTCTCCACTTCAGCCGTCGCCAAACGGTGACCACTTACATTGACAACATCATCAACACGACCGCCAATAAAGACGTACCCGTCCGCATCGATAGTTGCACCGTCGCCGGTAAAGAAGTAACCGGGGAACGGCTTGAGATAGGTCTCGCGGTATCGCTGGTGGTCACCACGGATTGTGCGACCCAGCGAGGGCCAGGGGTTGCGCACGGCAAGGATACCCTCGGCAGGACGCTCGACAATCTCGTTTCCAGACGGATCTAGCAGAACAGGCTTGATACCAAAGAATGGCAAACCAGCACCGCTGGGCTTCATGGGGGAAACACCCGCCAAAGTGGTCAACAAGATCATGCCGGATTCAGTCAGCCAGTACGTATCACAAAGAGCACACTGGGAACGGCCGACATTTTCGTAGAACCACTCCCAGACATCTTTGGCAATTGGCTCACCAACAGACCCAAGAGCCCGTAAAGAGCTCAGATCGTACTTTTTGATATCCGCCTCACCAAACTTGCGCAGCAGACGAATAGCAGTGGGGGCAGTGTACAGCTGAGTGACTTTGTGAGTGTCTACAATATCCCACAACCGCATGTGGTTAGGATAGACGGGGGTGGTCTCGAAAATGACCGTGGTGGCACCGTTCAGCAAGGGACCATACACGACATGAGAGTGACCAGTAATCCAACCGACATCGGCAACGCAGAAGAATACATCTCCGCGGGTCACACCAAACACGTGCTTCGAGCAGAGAATGGTACCAAATAAATAGCCGCCTGTAGCGTGCTGCAGGCCCTTGGGCTTACCGGTGGAACCGGAAGTATAAAGTAAGAACATGGGGTCTTCAGAGTCGACGGAGGTGCAGGGGCAGTAGTTGCCAAATTTCACAACCTCTTGGTTGTAGTTGATGTCGCGGCCTTCGACGTAGTTTGCTCCCTCGCCAGTGCGCTCTACAACCAGGACCTGTGTAACCGTGGGGCATTCGCCCAGGGCCTTGTCGACAAGCTCTTTGGTGGGGATAATCTTACCTGCACGCTTAGCCTGGTCGGTGGTAATGACCAGCTTGGAGCTTGCATCGTTGATGCGGTCGCGCAAAGCGCTAGGAGAGAAGCCAGCAAAGACACTCGAATGTAACGCACCCAGGCGGACAAGCGCCAACATGATGTAGATAGTTTGGGGAATGGTAGGCAAATAGAGGGTAACGACGTCTCCCTTCTCGACACCAAGAGACTTGAGTAACAGAGCGGCTTGACAGACATTGGTCAACAGCTCCTCATAAGTGACCTTGTAACCTTGACCAGGCGTATCTGACTCAAAGATGAGCGCAACATCGTTGGGGTGCTTGTTGGCATGTCGGTCGACAGCATTGTAGCAAGCATTGAGCTCACCATTCAGGAACCATCGGAGAGAGTCGCCAAAGCCCTCAAAGTCGCCCGAGAAGGTCTTCTCAAAGGGGCGCTTCCAGTCAAGCAAAGCCAAGGCTTGCTCTCTGTAGAATGTTTCAGGATCATTGATGCTCTGCTCGTAAAGGCGGCGGTACTCCTCCTCGTTCTGGCACTGGCCACTTCCAGGCCGGGGCAGCGATCTGCGCGGTTGTTCAACTCTAGTAAGATGCTCGTGCGTAGCCATTGTGTACGTTTGAGCAATACAAACCCTCGACTTTTTGATCTCACAATATATATACCTACCAAGACATAAGGTTAGGGCGGCATTTATGGAGATAAGTGCGGGGTACATACTGCACTAGGGCAGTTCTCGCGGTAAGCCCGCTTATAACCGCCCGTCCTGATGTACCAAAAGAGCGTATGCCGAGTGTACTGGGGAGATTTGACACTAGTGGAATGCAATGGACGCCGCGTTCTAGCTGGGGACAACCTACAAGTTGATTGCGCACCCGGTTGTTGTGCCTATTGCTATCCATAACCGACATTTGCCCAATCCGTTGCTTACCATTAGAACGCCCGATAACCGGTTTCGCGCATGAGAAAGGAGTCCCTGCTGTGTCACACCGAACAATAGATTGTCAATAGAATTCCGAGCCGGCATCAAGGGCCGTCGATTACCGTGCGGTTCTGGTAATCATGCAGCAGGGTTCTTTGTACGGTATTGTGGCTGGCAACGAGTGTGGGCAAGTGTGGCAAGTGTGTACACAAAGACCAGCCTCATTGTGCTGTGCTCGCTAAGGTAAATTTGCCCGACGGCCGTATACACCTCGAAAACCGCCCACATTGCGGGGCCCCAGGAGCACAAAGAAGGTTTAAGCGAGCATGCAGGGTTAGCCCACGGACCGGGTTAGGAAGCTCGGGCCTGGGCAGATCCGGGGATGGCAACAAACCTGCTCAACAAGATGAAAAATAATTACAGCGGTTAGCAAGACAGTAAATATTATAACGGCTGTAGAGGATATGTACTTTATTTGTTTCGGTATATACAGACACTCGCTGAGTATCACTTCGAAGCAGCAACAAATGCCTCCAGCGCCTTTTTTGCTGCACCTGACTTGATACTGTCGCGTGCTAACTCGACACCGCGCTTCCAATCCCGGGCAAGTCCATCGACAACCGCCAAGGCCGCAGAGTTGATCAATACATAGTCCAGAATAGGATGGTTTTCGGGTAATTCGTCGTTAATGAGTTGGCGAACAATTGCCGCGTTTTCTGTAGGAGTTCCGCTGGCAACCTCTGTCAGGCTGTGGGCGGGAAGCCCGAAATCTGCAGGTTCAATGTAATCGGTGGTGATCTCGCCGTCCACCAGTCTCCAAATTTGAGTTTTCTGGGCAGGGGAGATTTCGTCGAGGCCCTCCGTGCCCCACACGACCATGGCGTTCCCAGAGGGGAACGGCGTGTCCTTGTTGAGCTCGCGAATACACTCAATGAAGATCTGACCTAGATTCTGTGCGTAAACGCCAATGACTCGTGATCTGATGGGCGCAGGGTTAAGCAAGGGCCCGACGAGATTGAAGATGCTAGGCACTCCCATGTTTTTACGAATGATCCTTGTGCGGGCCAGAACCGGATGGAAAACCGGACCTGACAGGTAAACGAAGTTGTTTGTGCTGAGCAGACCACCGGCGGTCTTTGCGTTCACATTTTCTAGCTTGGCTCCCAGTGCACCCAGCAGATCAGAAGCACCAGACTTGGAGGTAGAAGCTGGTCCTCCGTGTTTGCACACTGGTATGCCCATTCCGGAGACTACAATTGCCGAAGTTGTGGACACATTGAAGGTGTTTTGCCCGTCACCGCCGGTGCCAACGATGTCTACAAACCCAGCGGTATTGCTGATCTCGGAGGCCGGAATCATGTTGGCCACCTTCTTAAGCCGTCTGGTTGCAGCCAGAATGAAGTCCTCCTGATGATCGCGCGACACTGCTTTGGCGCCAACGAGGAAACCAGAGATCTGCACGTCGGGGACCTCATCAGAGGTCAGAATAATGTCCAAGGCCTCGGAAATATCCTGAGCAGTCAAGTCATCAGCGTTGCGCACAAGCGTCTTTAAATAAGGCACCAAATCACGAGCCATGGTCTGGTGAAATTTCTCGTTTCAGTATTTGAGTCACCGGTTCACTTGAGCTTATTAACGCGATGCTCGGCAGCTCGTGTCGTAACACCCCATCGTCAAGCCTGGTCATTAAACACGGATACACATAGCTTGAGTTAAACAGCCATCGGCTGCACTAAATTGCGTTAGTGACTTCGGGATCGTGTGGAGAGTGCGGGCTGCGGGATGAAGTGTCGCCGAGAGCGCAGCTGAATCAAAGTGTATGAGAGGCTAGCACCTCTGTGGGGGTTAGATGATTTACAAAGATTTATTCCATCAACATTATGTTTTATCTAGGATCTTTCAATCAATGCACTGTCAATCATTGCAGGCAGTGGGCACCGTTTTTGGGTCTGTCAAATTATGTAGCACATGCATGGACCGACAACCAGTAGGGTTCTCAGACGCGCTGTCTAGAGGAATTGGCATGCTCGAGTAACTTTAGAACCTAGAATAGGTTGAATCAATGCTTTTATTATTATTATTCTGAGGTCTGGTAGGACAGTTCCACTACGCCTTCCCTATGCCACCCAAAGTGAACATAGATAGCATCGAGCAAATTGAAACTCGCTGCAAAAAAGCCGAAGATGAGCACATGGACACCAATTCCAGCCTCAATCTGTATTATCGGCAAACTCCAGTCACACTTTTTCCCCTTTCGACACTCTCTTCGAGATACTCTATATAGTTACATAATAGCACAAGACAATTGACTAAACGCTCGAGTCGACCGAAACGTATTCGACTGCAACCTGTGTCCATAAACTTGGTCGCACTGACTGAAAATCGATATGGACCGGCCAATACCCGTGCTTTCGCCTTCGCTAGAGGATGATGGGTTTACGTCGACCGTTGCAATGAAAAGGAGCAGCTGGAACGCCGGAATGGTCTCAAACTCGGCCGTTCCGTTGCCAGGCTCTCCAGCGGCGTGGGCCAACGATAATGAACAGAAAAGAGGACGTGTGCTCGACAACAACATGGGCCGAATGGCTCGCAATGCATCACCAGTCCGTGGCGGATCACCGGCCCGAAGGACCGGGCTCTTACCCCCACGATCGGGCTCGCCTGTGAGAAACCCGTTCAATTTTGAGTCAAAATTCGTATCTGCCTCGCCAGTAAAGCCCTCACAAAGAAGAGGACATCGGTACAAGCACTCAAGTGTTAGCTTGAACTTCTTCCAGGAACCAGAAGCCCGAGCCCCTCTGCCTATTCCCGTCTCGCTGGCAGTGCCTACTTTGAAAGAGTGCTACCAGTCGGTGACCAGAGCCCAGATGGTTCGCTTTGGGTGGTCTTTAATGAGGTTTCTTTCCGCATTGCTACTGTACTCGAGTGACCATGGAACCCTGCAGTCAGCAGAGGCTTTGGCCCATCTTGTAGCCTACGACGCCGTAGTCGACGCTTTAGTGGTTGGAGTGGGCGTGTGGAGCAACTTTGAAGTGTGGAAACGCAGCAGCCTGCGGCTGCCATTTGCCCTCCAGCGGGTGGAAATTCTCGTCAGCTTTTCGCTGGCGATTTGCCTGGTGTTTGTTGGAGGTCACATGGCCTCTCACACCGTTCAAGAAATTGCTTACTTATTCTACGACGAAGGTCCGCACCATGGGCATCACCACCATGCTTCTGAAGCATCCAGTTTCACCAATGTCTTGGGAAGTGTATCCGTGTCCTTGTTCGTAACCATCGTGTCGCTGGTCGCCGCGGAGGGACTGTCGATTGGATCGATGTGGGAAGACCACTCCTTTTCTTGTACCACTGCATTATTTGCCGTTGCAGTTCTTGCTGTCGGAACGCTAAACAACTGGCTCGTTGATTTCTTACTTATGCCGACTATTGCAGTCACTATGGTCTACGTTGGCTGGCAGACTTCTAAACACCTGGGGGGCATGCTCGTCATGTCTTACGGCGGCCCCGATCGAGCTGAACTGATCAGTTCGGCCATTACTGCCGATGAGCGCATCGCCAACGTCTCAGAGGTCAGTTTGTGGCAGGTCCACCATGATCTCTGGCTTGCGAGCATCAAACTGTCCTTGACGGGCCGAGCAAGCAGCAGCGCATCTCAGCCCGCAGTACGTGATTTCGTTACTGGCATTGTTGACAACGCCATGTCTGACCTTAAGGGCCCCCGCATCGAGATCACTGTGGACATAAACTGAACATTTCTATTATATATATCCTACAATGTAGCTGTTTCTAGCTGAACCTGTCTCTGGATCTGAGCCTTTGTGTCGTCATCCAAACATTCGTAGATGGCCGGGTCGAGTTTCGACAGACCGGTTGGCATGACGCGGTTTTCGCTGTGAAGGACGGTGCTGAATGTAACAGAGCCGTTGCTTTGGGTGTCCAAGCGACGCCATTGGACACAGGTTGGCTGGGTGCTCTGCGGGAAGAAAGCCAACCCAACGTGCGGCTCATACACACCACCGGGGTTCAACAGTTTGCGTCGCTGCTTGGCTAGTGCAGAATTGTAGGAGCTTGCAGCAGATGCATGCTCAAACATCCAGTTTTCGTCAGTCACAGCAACCGATGTCTTGCGTCGCAGCGAAGAGGTACCGTAGAGGTCCAAGGCATTCGTAGGAGCATGACTGGTGCTTTGGTGGTAAACACTGGAGGCACCATGCCAGGCAACATACTGGTTCTGGTTGTAGGGCTGTCCCTCCGGCGGTAGGCGGTCGTCCGGGTCGGCGATCTGCCCGGAAACATAGCCCTGGGCAATGGCATCGGCCTCGTAATAATCATCAATGACTCGCTTGCCTCCAACGACGATCTTGGCACCAAATTCGCGGAAGACGGAGCGGGCAGTCACCACGCCAATAACTCTGCCCTTGTAAGAATGCGGGATAATGTCTCGTTCAATCAAGTCGTACTTTTCCTCATCAGTCAACAGAACTTTCCAGAGCTTGCGGTGTTTCTGAAACAACAGATAGCTGTCACGGAACCCCATACACCTTGCCGGCTCTGTTGACAGCATATACAGTCTGTCACCGCGGTTTTTGATGGTGAACGACCGGACGCGGTACTGTCGGCCGTCCTGGAGTTCGCCGTTGGAATTGACCTTCTTCTCGCCCGCCTCATCGACCTCTAGTTTCAGCTCATCGTCCTCGATTTCGTACGGCTTCCCGTTCTCGTCGAGAGGCACCTGCTGCTGCTGGCGAGCCGCTCGGGCCTCTAGAGCGCCCGGGCCCCGTTTGCGGCTTCCCGGCGGCCGCCCGCGGCCACGGCGAGGCGGCTGGGGTCCCTCAGCTTCCTCGATTTCCAGATCAAAGTCGTCGCTGCCGTCAGTATCGCTGTCCGAGCCCACCTTGCGCGACCTTCTTCGACTCATTTGCGGATTGCCAGAAACTCGTCGTCTTTGGCTGACTAAGTAGGCTTATGGCGGCTCTCCTGACTGGTTACATAAGAATAACTACTATTCCAAATTGTACTATTTAGATAACTAATAAATAGACTTGGCTTCTACATAACCACCATGGTCGAAGACAAGCAACCCCCCCACCAGAAAATCTGGGTTGACGGGTGCTTTGACTTTACACACCACGGCCATACGGGAGCGCTAATGCAAGCACGCCAATTCGGAAACGAGCTGTATGTGGGCGTGCACAGCGATGAGGACATCTTCGCAAACAAGGGTCCGGTAGTGATGAGCCTGGACGAGCGGATCAAGTCGGTGGACGCCTGCAAGTGGGTGACGAGGTCTGTTCCGGGCGCACCGTACGTCACAGATCCCAAGGTGATGGACGACTGGGGGTGCGAGTACGTTGTTCACGGCGACGACATCACCACCGACGCGGACGGGAATGATTGCTATCAAATAGTCAAGGACCTTGGACGATTCCTAGTGGTCAAACGTACACCCAATATTTCAACCACCGACCTAATTCAGCGGATGCTGAGCACGTCGACGGCCCACCACTATGCTAGCCTTTCTGCGGCCGACAGCTCTCACCCATTGCTGCAGAATGCTGCAGTCGAGCGCATGGCCAGCTATGCAACCGACGAAACGGCCCTGAACCCTCATTCGGGAGTGTATGCTATGATTGACGGCGTGGCATTGGAATGCCTGGTCCCGCCATCCCAGGTTGTCGAAGAGAGCCTGGCCAAGTCCGCTTATTACATCGACGGCTCGTTTGATCTGTTCCACGTCGGCCATATCGAGTGTCTTGCTGCAGTGCACAAGCGTGCCCAAGAGGACGGCGCGGTTGTGGTTGTGGGCATCCACGACGACGAGACCGTCAACCAGGGCCGCGGCGAAAACCACCCGATAATGAACATTTTTGAGCGCACGCTGTGCGTCCTGCAGTGCCGCTACGTCGACACCGTGGTCGTGGGTGCGCCCTTCCTGCCCACTCCGTTGTTTATCGAGCTTCTGGACCAAAAGGGCATCCACATCACCCGGGTCTTCCACGGCCACACCGACGTTATCACCAACCACAGTGCCTTATACAACGCCGTCGACCCCTACCTGTGGGCAAAAGAGCAAAGCATGTACGAGCAACTTCCTGCTAGCAACACTAGCAGTCTTACCACCAAGAATATCGTTGATCGGGTCCTCGATCACCGCCGAATGTACGAAGAGCGGCAACGCAACAAGGGCGTCAAAGCCGTTAATGAGCGCCGAATGGCTGGCAAGTAGGCAAATTTACCGCTAGCGATTAATATAATCATGTATCGGCCCCCGCCAGCCCGCTTCGCCCAACAGCGTTGCCCGGTCCCTGACCTGCCAAACTCAATCTGACGTACGCGAACAATTTTTCCGCCCCATTCAGCACGTTTCAACCCAAGCCAGGCTTAAGCTTATGCAAGTTGGGAATGCGGGAGTTTGCCTTTTTACGTCATGGAAGATTCGCAACAAGGCAAACAAGAGCCGTCTGCTGGCAGGGCATCTGAGCGGCGACCGGTCAATTTCAAACTGGAGAATTTGCCCAAGCGCACTTTTGAGAACGAAGAAGAGTGGGGGGCTGTCCTGCAAGAGAGCCGCCAACGGCACAACTCCATTCTGGTGACGGAGAATTCACAGGCTGAACAAAGAGCAAAGGCCTCAGTGAACGCCGATATTCATCCACATTTCATTGTGAATGCGCCCCTACACCGCCAGCCGAATGTCTGGGCGGATAGAGCCCATCTGGAGGACGGAGGCGGCCAGGGAAGCGGCAGCCAGAACCTTGGGGTGGACAAGATAAGCAACGCTTCCACGACTTCGGTGGCTTCGTTGGCCCACAGAAGACCTCCTCCACGTGTGCCGTCAGGCGTCAACGCGCTGGGCTCCAGAACAGGCTCGAATGTCGACTTGCCACTGAGCCCCTCCACGTCGAGTGCAGCAGACCCCCATGATCCGCTCCAGCAGAGCCCCGGCGGTGGCGCCGCTAATCGCAGGGCCATCAGCCCGTCTCACGGAACTACTGCCACTACCATCACGTCGTCCAGCGACCCTCGTATCCCTCAGGACGACGGTAAGATCCACATTTTGCTTGGTGCCACCGGATCTTTGCATATCTACCATTTGCGTAACATCATCCACAAACTGCAGAGCATTTATGGCGACAGACTAGCGGTGCAAGTAATTCTGACCAAAGCCGCATCCAAAATGCTGCTCAAGCATGACATTCCCTCGAATGTTCACATTTGGCACGACAAGGACGAGTGGGACACTTGGAAGTCCCGCTCTGATCCGGTCGTGCACATTGAGCTGCGTCGCTGGGCCGACATTCTCGTCGTTGTTCCCCTCAGTGCTAATACTCTTGGTAAAGTCGCCATGGGACTGTGCGATAACCTGCTCACCAATGTTATTCGGGCCTGGAACGCACAGTATCCTATTCTAGTTGCTCCCGCCATGGTTTCACATGCCTACAACCATCCGGCAACCAGATGGCATCTAAAGACAATCAAAGACGAAATGAAATGGATCGAGGTCTTGAGACCCACCGAAAAAGTGGTAGGATCGCTAGGCGACATTGGCCTGGGCGGCATGATGCCCTGGAACGAGATTGTAGACAAGATCGTGCACAAGCTCGGCGGATATCCTGAAGAAGACGACGAAGATGATGAAGATAAGGGTGGTCAGGTCGATGACCAGGATGAGGACGATGACGATGACGACGAGGGAGGGGCAGATAAAGATCATAATGACCTCGACGATGACGGCAATCGCAATGTGAAAGGCCAGACACCCTATGACCCGTAAGTAAAAGCATCAAACAAGCTTTTGTCATTCCTTCCCGATGAGCCTTGGAGTTAGCGCGGGCGCTACTTAGGTTCGGCGGTGGCGTAGAGATGACGCTGTCGGTCGGGCATAGCTTGGAATGCGTTGGTCCCCTTTGGATGTTCCTTTGCGTCGTGCAGCACGGTCGTTTGTAGGGTTTGTAATAGCTGTTGTTCTAATTTCCTTCATCTCCCTACTTCGACATGGCAAGCTCTGCCGGCGAGCATGTAGTGTTTTTTGTAGCATAGTACTTTTCCCAAAATCTAATGACTTCCGCCGCCATTCAGAGGCAGGCGTAACTGGATTCAGGGGCTTGGCCATGGTCCCGATGTTGAAACTCGTACATTGGTCCGCTTCTTTGGGCGCCTTGCGAGGCGGCCGCTGGTCAACCGGTATGTTGACGCCTAGCGACATACGACGCGGGGGCTTTTTCGGCGAGCGGGACGGAGGTGACGCTTCAACAATCGTGGCCAACCGCATAGACATGCGCCGGTTCGGCATTTTTGTGATGAGCGTTACAAACAAAGAAAAAGATAACGGTTGCACAACTAAATTTTAGATGGGGTCAAGAGTACGTGTAATATAAAAGTTTAGGCAAAAGTGAAATCACCGCTGATCCAGCGCTCCAGCATTTCGAGCGAGTTCTTGGGCTGGTTGTAAGGAACCATGTGGCCGGCCTCGTAGACGCGCAGGAAGGTGAAGTGCTCGTGGTTGCGGACCTGGCCAGCTTCCTCGCCATCAACCACCCAGGGGCCAAGGTCGACCTTGGAGAACTCTTCGTGTCCGCTCCAGGGCAGGGCACGAGACCAAGCCTCGTTACCGAGCCAGTTGCAGATGTAGTCCTTGTCGCCAGCGTAGATAAGAATAGGCACCTCCTTCTCCAGGAGCTCGCTAACGGCAGTCTGGTAGGGTTTCATCCAGTCGCCATTGAACAAGAAGTCGCGGTTGACGTCAAAGTTGCAGCCCTGGTAAGTCTCGACGTCTGCGCCAACTGCCTCCTTGACCTCAGGGAGATTCAGGTACTGGTCGATAAGGTCGAGCTGGGGGTAGCACAGGCCATTGTCGCCCTGACATTCCTCGCGGATGTCGTAAACGTTGAGGCCGGTCTGTTGGTAAGGGCCGATCTGAGCATTGTTGCAGTAAATGACTGCGGGGACACAAGTCCATGCCGACTGAGTATCGTAGCAGCTCTGGATGAGCTGGTCGCAGCGGGGCTGAGAATCAAGCATTCCCTGGCACTGGCTCTCATCCAAAACAGACTCGTGGCCACCCTGGCCGCAGGCCATGGGCTCATAGAGGTCGTACTGGTTCAAGGGATCAGTCAAACCGTTGCCAATAAGCAAAGAGGTGAGGTTGAACCCACGGTCGTCGTGAGACATGATCTCGCTGCCAAAGACCGGGATATAGTGGCCAGCATAAGACTCGCCAGCAATGTGGAAATCGCGGTTGTTGTACTCGGGGAACTTCTCAAAGAAAAGCTCCAAGAAGGCGTAGGCGTCCTTGGAAGCAGAGATGGTGTCGGAAACCTTATTGGAGGAGTAGGAGTAGCCGGTGTTGACGGGCTGGTCAAGGAAAATGACATTGGCATTGTTGTTCCAGGCATCTTTGTTGGGGACGGGTTTGAGGTCGGCACCGATGGTGGCAGGGCCCAGTTCAAAGAACAGGCCAGTCAGCGACGAGCATCCGGGACCGCCGTTCAGCCACAAAACAACTGGGTCGTTCTCAGGGTCGTTACGAGACTCGAAGAACCAGAAGAAAAAGTGCTTGTCTTCATCCTCAACGTCGAGGTAGCCACTGTACTGCTTGGTCTTGTCCACGCCCAAATCGTCGGGGCTAGTGACCCGCAAAGCATGGGCAGGGAACTTGTCGTTTTTGACAGTTACGAAGCGGTCGTTGTGCTTGCTGGTCTTCTTGCGGCCATTGCCCTTGTTGAGGCGCTCATTGAGCTTGGCCAGCATGCCGTCCTTGAGCTTCTGAGCGCCCTCAGGGACCTCAGAGAGAACAGTCTTCCAAGCATCGAATGCCTCGGCGGGAACATCGCCAAGCTTGCCATTGATCTCGGACCGCAGGGACGCTAAAACGCTAACGGTGTCCAGGTCAACAGAAAGGTCGGGCATAGGCATGACATGGTCGAGAGAGCCGAAGCTGAAGAGGCTATCCTTGAATGAATCCAAAAAGCCACATTGCACGAGAGTAGCGCACATCAGAGCGCTGGACAAAACGGGAGTTACCATCATTGTTCCACAAAAATCGACAGTTGGGAACTTTTACTTTTAGTGAGGTAGAAAAGCAACTTGACGACGCCGCCGCCGTGTTGGTGTGTGACCGCTTCTGCATTGCGTAACCCTTGCCCTGGTCTTTATCTTTAGGGAAGTGGGCTTGAATCGGGGGCTTAATCAGGGTGGTCTTTATTGGTACCCGAGTGGGTCGTCTCGTCGAGGCCCAGATCGACGGACAGCTAGGGATGAGAAAAAATGGGGATTAGGACGATGGGAATATGAATGCAATATTAAGTAGACGTATAGGGCTTTTAGCAACCTCGGTGGCCAGGCGGAGCGCGGTGCGAGAAACCTGTTTAGCAAATTGTGACGAATCAGGCTGCAGGGTCAACCGCTGGCTGCGGGACTGCCGGCTGGGCTCGCCGTATCTGATCACCGCCACACGTACGTGAGACGGATGGACTAGCCACACGCCGTCTTGCACAATGTCTATTTTAGCCTGCGAGATGAGCGAGTCCAGTAGCTTGTCGAGCTCAATTGGTATTTGACTCAGAGGCAGCGGGGCTGGCCAGGTCTCTTCGACGGAGATTTGGCTCGGCCGAGTCCAGTTGGTTAGCCGCGTTTGCTCTTTGCACCACGTGAGATCCCACAACTCCTTGGGTAAAATGCGTAGAAATTGGGGCTCGTCGATGTTTTCGTGCATATCTTTGACCGTCCAGCTGGCCTCGTAGCCGTGTCCGGCCAGAGCGGCTCTCGACTTGGACCCAAACCCTGGCAGTCTGGAAAGCGGTTGCACATCCATAAACACTTGCTCGTGGCCAGGCCACAGAACAGAGACGCCGCCGGGCTTGTTGGCGCCACACACCATTTTAGCGAGCGATATTGACGACCCCACACCTATTGAGCAGCTGTAGCCCGTGTCAAGCCGCATTTTCTCCTGTATGTACTGGGCCATGTGCCCCGCCAAATAGTACTCGAGGTTGTCCCGGCCCCTAGCGTATCGATCGAATCCGGGAGGCACAGTTTTACCATTGAATCCGAAAAAAAAGTCCCCGAGCTCGATGTCGGTGTCCCAGAACTGCACGTTTATTCCGTCGGCCGCTTCGTCAGGCAACTCGCCCACCGGCAACTGCTGCACTTTCATGCCATCAATGCACCTTGACACTGCCGCTGATACGTCGCACCGCATCTCTTCCAGCCCCAGCCGCTCAATTGGGCTTTTCACTATCGCACGCAGCCAATTGAGCAGCATTACCCCGGCCGCTCGGTACCGCGACAAACTTTCCCCGTTAATCATTCGCATAGTAGGGTAGGCTGCCCTCACCTGCTGAGCATTGGCGAGCTTCTTGATCCCTAAAGCCCGCGCCGCATAGCTCAATGTGCAGACCACCTGTTTCTGGTACACGCAGAACGGCTCACCCTGCAAACTGAGGTCGTAGTGCTCTTCTACCGCGCAATAAAATGCATCCAAATCTATAGACAAGTACACCATATCATGGCCCCGGGCGACTATCAGCGGAAGATTATTAGTCAACGGTCAGATTGGCTTTATCTTGAAAAGAAATGGGCAGAGAACGATCCAACTCCGACGCCTACTATGCCGAGGCGGCTGCAGATGAGATTTACTCTGGCCCCACCAACGAGCTTATTCCGTCGTCATACTCGTCGTTCCACCACGGCCCGGGCGATGGGTTTGAGCTGAGACGGAGAAGCTCGTCCATTAGCCGCCAGCACGATGCAGCTCACTCGCCAATCGACCACGAGGAGGGGTTTCATAGGCCATCACGGCTATCTAGAACGTCCAGAAGCGACTCATTTTCCAGCTTCCAGTTTTTCTCCCGCGAAGAGGTCGAGCACGCAGAGGGGTCTAGCACCTGCGCAATAGACTTTGACGATGAGCAGGACCTGGGACTTTTGCCCCACCAATCCCCAATGAAGCATCCAAAGCCGCCTTTACATCCCGAGCCCCATCAGTATTTCGAGGACTCAGACGACCAAGAGCCGCTTCTGACCTCCGGCGAGGCTGCCGAGGAGTACGAGTACCCAGCTACGCGAACGGTCCAGAAATATTATATTGCTGAAGAGGATATGCGTATTTTCTGCGCCGGTTACAAGAAAGTAACTTGGAGACGTTGGTGCTACTATGCCCTGTGCATACTGACGTTCGGTCTGGGGTACCTCTTTTTAAGATGGTTTCCTCGGCAGCGAATCCGATGGCTGGCAAAACCATGTCCTCTTGGTAATTGTGACTTTATGGTTGTCGAAAACCAGTGGAACGAGCTCGAGTTTCTTGACGTCACATCGAAGTGGTACAACGAGCCTTTGTCGACAATTTTCCGTCCAGACTCGCAAGCAGACGCACACCTCGGGCCCTCGACAGCTGCAGCATCCACTGCCTCTTTATGCTCCAGTCGAGTCGAAGAAGACTACGTCGATCCAGACCCCACGGTTCCTTACATTCGCACTGTCATTTACCGCTACGTCCGATTCCACTACAATCCTATACATGATCTGTTCATGACCAACACTGACTGGATGTCTGGTTCGTGGGCTAGTGAAGATTCAGCTGCAGAGGGGCTGGACTCGGAGAAAGCTGAGCAGCGTCAGGTAGTCTTTGGCCAGAACCACTTGGACATCCGCCAACCCAGCACCGCCCAGCTGTTGATTGACGAGGTCCTGCACCCGTTTTATATTTTCCAGGTGTTCAGCATTGTTCTTTGGCTCTTTGACGAATACATCTACTATGCCACGGCTATATTTATCATTTCTATTTTCTCAATTGTCGAGGCGTTTTTCGAAACCCGCTCTTCCTACCAGCGCCTCACAGATATCGCCAAAAGCGAATGCGAGCTTCGCGTTTTGCGCTCGGGATTTTGGTCCAACATGCCCTCTTCAGAACTTGTTCCAGGTGACGTTTTCGAGCTGAGCGACCCCAGTTTGAGTCTCGTGCCTTGCGATGCTGTGCTACTCTCTGGCGACTGTATCGTAAATGAGAGTATTTTGACAGGTGAGTCGGTCCCAGTATCTAAAATTGCTGCAGACAATGACACTTTGACGAATATGATTGAGAAAGGAATCCCCCATGCAGTGAGAAGCTTTCTGTATTCTGGCACCAAACTAATTCGTGTGCGAAAGCCGGCAGTGGTTGATGCTGAAGAAGACCTGTTTGATGTTGCTCAAGCAATGGTGGTTCGAACTGGCTTCACCACCACCAAGGGGTCTCTTGTTCGATCCATGATGTTCCCGCGTCCTTCAGGTTTCAAGTTTTACCGGGACTCGTTCCGTTACATTGGTGTCATGGCCGTGGTTGCTATCACAGGATTTATTTTCAGTGCCATCGAGTTTGTTAAAATGGGTATGTCGACATACCTTATCGTTGTTCGTGCACTGGATTTAATCACTATCGTGGTGCCACCTGCGTTGCCGGCAACTTTGACGATTGGAACAAACATTGCCCTTGGACGACTGCGTAAAAAGGATACGTTCTGCATAACACCATCCAGGCTGAATGTAGGCGGTCGCTTGGACGTTGTCTGTTTTGACAAAACGGGTACATTGACCGAAGATGGTCTGGATGTGTTAGGTGTGCACTTGATCAATCGCGAAACCCACCGGTTTGGGCCATTAATTTCCAGCTCCAAGCACATTCCGGAAGATGACCCCGTTTTGGATACGATTACCACTTGTCATGAGCTACGCAGTGTCAATGACGAATTGCTCGGAGACCTGCTAGATGTCAAAATGTTTGAGTTCTCAGGCTGGTCATTCGAAGAAAACGAGCGTCATGGTTGTCGCAATGTCATTTCTCCGCATGGCATCCACATCAATGTTGTCAAACAGTTTGAATTCATCTCTGCTCTGAGACGTATGAGCGTAGTAGCATCAGGTCCTTCTGGTCTATGCGTGTTGACAAAGGGTGCACCAGAAGTTATGCGGGATATTTGTCGGAAAGACACATTCCCACGCGGGTTTGATGATCTGTTGCATGAATATACCCACCGAGGCTACCGTGTTATTGCCTGTGCTTCGAGAAAGCTGGGCGATGTCTCTGACTTTAACCGGGACAGCTTGGAGACCGATCTCGAATTTGCTGGCTTTATTGTATTCGAGAATAAACTCAAGCCGAGTAGCAAAGGCGTTATCCAGGAGCTGGATCGGGCAAACATCCGGACCATCATGTGTACAGGTGACAATCTTTTGACGGCCATTAGTGTTGGAAAGGAGTGCTGTATCGTTCCTTCTGATTTGAAAGTCTTTGCAGCTCATTTTGATGAACAACGTAGCAATGGAACACTGCGATGGGAATGCGTAGACAACTCCTCCCTGCTGTTAGATCCCGATACGCTAAAGCCTTTGCAGGCTGCTCACCAGTACACTTTGGCTGTCACTGGTGAAATCTTCAGTCACATTATTCAACACGGAACTGAGGTGCAGCTGGAGCAGATGCTCATCAAAACTTCTATTTATGCCCGCATGTCACCGGACGAGAAACACGAGCTCGTGGCAAGACTTCAAAGCATTGATTATACTACGTGTTTCTGCGGCGACGGTGCCAATGATTGCGGTGCACTAAAAGAGGCCGATGTCGGTATTTCGTTGTCGGAAGCTGAAGCCTCTGTTGCCGCCCCGTTCACGTCTCGCAAGTTTGAAATTTCTTGTGTGCTGGACGTTATCAAAGAAGGCCGAGCTGCACTGTCGACTTCGTTTTCATGCTTCAAATACATGTCACTGTATTCGGCCATCCAGTTTGTTACCGTGACTATTCTGTACAGCTATGGAACAAACATTGGTGACTTCCAATTCTTGTACATTGACTTGTTTTTGATCGTTCCAGTTGCTGTTTTCATGGCGTGGTCTGGTCCTGCTCAAACGCTTGCTCGCAAACGCCCTGGCGCCAAGCTGGTTAGCCGCAAGGTTCTTGTGCCCCTGTTAGGCACTATGGCCATTCTAGCCTTTTATCAGGTGCTGATTTGGAAATACGGGCAAACCCAAGATTGGTATGTTGCTCCTGTTCCTGGAGACAATGAGAATTTAAAGAGCACTGACAACACGGTCCTGTTTGATTTGACAACTTTCCAGTACATTTTCAGCGGCATTCTTCTTTGCGAGGGTGCACCATACCGCCGGCCGGTATTCACAAACATCCCGTTCATTCTCACGTGTGTTGTTACTACATTGCTTTCAGTTTTCTTTGTCTATCTGGATCCCAGCAGCCCGCTTGGCCAGCTCATGGACCTCAGCCCTACCTCGAGCTGGTTCAAAGTGTTGGTCATTTTGACGGCTATTGTCAACTATTTGAGCTTGATAGCGGCAGGTAAATGGGTCTATCCATCTGTGTGCCAGCACATTAAATGGGCCAAAAAACGTTTCGGCAAAATTCGAGAGCAAAAACGCTACAAAGAGCTCATGGATCCTCGGAGTTATGCGTAATCTCGATTTTGGTTAATTCAACTAGCAGAATTATATAAAAAAGAATTTGAAATCTCCATGTTGTGTGTTCCAGCAAATATATGCAATTTTAATAAAGTATTCCCAGGCAAACCGCTCTAGTGGTGGCCCTCCCAGGGTTTACGCCAGCCCAAGAGGACAGGTCCATCCTCACGAAGACGGTACATGATCCAGAACCACATAGTGGCACCCAGGCCTTTTGCAATCAGTCTCTGTCCAAGTGGAAGCTTGGGGAAGGGCACGGGGCCCGCTTTAGCCGAGTATCCGTGGTGTCCAGCTCCGGCCATTATAAGGTTTATGATTGGTGAGCTAAGCAGGGACTTAAAAGAGCATTCGACAGGGTAACTACGGAGGCAGGCTATGAAGTTAAACTGAGTACGAACGCAAAAAAGAGCCCAAAAAAAGAAAAAAGAAGAATGGGTACAAGAGCTCCCACGGAAAATGTGTTTAATTGAAATAAACAGGTAATAAATAAGACACAAACGTTGACTTGTCTTTGTAGTGGGAATTGTTCCAAAAAAAAAAAAGAAGAAAAAAAAGATATTGGTACATCTTCTCCAATTCATTTCACCTTTACTGAGAGGCCTTTGCACCATTGGGGCCAAACGAAGACTGGTGCTGGGGCTGTAACGACGGTTGAGAATACTGTCCATTAACCATACCCGGGTGATGGTACACCGGCATCATATGCATCGGCATGTGCATGTGCGGGTTCATAGTGTGAGTTGCCATCATTCCCGGTGCTGCACCTATTGGGTAGCCCATAGGGGCCATGGGCATCGAATGCATAGGCATATGCATGGGCATATAGTGCATGTGGCCATAACCATTGTGCATTGGCATCATATTTGAGGGCGGGATATTCTGAACATTGGCTGACGACGGAGGAGGAGGAGGAGGAGGTAAAGTGGCAACTTCCGGCTTGGCAGCACGCTCCGGCGTTTTGGCGAACGATGGCTGGGGTAAGCTAGAAGCTGCGGGGCTTTCGTGGAAACTGGACCCGGCAAACGCAGAGTCACCAGATGGAAGGGTGGCTCTACCAGAAATGACCTGCGGGACCGGTGTGGTTTCGGAAGACTTGTCCTTGCGCGGCTTGTTCTTCTTGGGGTCTCGCGGTGAAGTGTCCTTGGCTTTGGCCCCACCTTTTCCCTTGCCATTGTTCTTATTGGAATTGGGTACCTGACTTGTCTCCGGTGCCATGTCGTCTCCGCTAGATCCTGACTTGCGGCCGTTTGCCGGTTTGCCCGATCGAGGCTTCGCTTTACGAGCCTTTTGCTCTGCTTCATTCTGTGGTCGTCGTGGTTGCTTGATGTTGGTTGACATTACTATGCTGCTGGACTGTTGTTGTTACTGTGATTGGTTGTTGGTTCAGCCTCTTGATTCATAGTTTGTTCTCAAGGTCAAGTTATGAGGATAAGGTGGCCGACTCTTCCAGGTTGCTGACTAGTTGTGGGGCGATTGTCTAGCTACTGCCGGGTAAGTCGTTTTGGAGAATCGTAGTTTAAATCCTAATACTAGCGAACAGACTCGCCTTGACTATGGTTCTGCACGATAATAAATGGGACAGAAAAGCCAAGCAGGCATATAATCGCAAACATGGCATCGAAACGCCCAAACCGGCCAAGGAGATCCTACCGAAAAACCACTGGAAGACCGATGATGAAGACCTGAACAATGATGTTTCTGTGCCTGAGCCAACTGTAGAGAGCACCACTCCGTCTGCATTTACAGATCATTTGCAGGCGATCGAGCTTCCGTCGCTTCCGGATATGCCTGAGCAGTCTGAGGAGGAAAAGGCGCTGATTGCTCAGAGAATAGCGGAGTTGAAGGCCACCGAACATAAACAGTATCGCTCACATGTCACCGTAGTTGACAATTTGGCGGAATTCGAACGCATAAACTCCAACGTAGAGCATACTCGAATGACCAGGGACATGCGGCGGCGATTTGGAAAGCCCAAACACGGAGAGCTAGAGGAAGACGATGATTTCGAGTCTTTTATGGAGAATCCAGCTCCTATTCAGAGACAAACTGCCCCTACGACCGTTGGAAAGTTTGAGATCGATTTAGAAAAACAATCTTTCATAGACGGATTGCTACGCTAGTAAAATAGGATACACAATGGCGAGAGTGATGGAATGGCGTTGCCAGATTAAAAATATGAAATCTATAACATTTAAAGCACAACCTTTGCTGCAAGCTTCTTCTTGTACTCCAGAATAGGCGCGTCCCACTTGGTGACTGTCTTGTTCTCGCAAACGAAGATGTCCTTGGCGACTTTATCGAGAAGACGGAAGTCGTGCGAGACAACAACAACACCACCAGAGAAAGCATTGATGGCGTCACCCAAAGAGTCAATAGTGGGAATATCCAAACCGTTAGTAGGCTCATCGAGGAAAATCATATTGGGACCCTCGATGGCCAGGAGGGCAAAGACAACGCGCGAGCGCTGACCCTCGGAAAGAGTGCCCATGAGAGCAGTCTGGCCTTCACCAGTAAGACCATAGCGACCAAGCTGCTGGCGCCAGTACTGGAAGTCATGAGAAATGCTGGAGAACTTGTCACGGACAAACTCCAGCGCAGACTTGGTGAGGTCAAGCTGGTCTGCAGAGTGCTGTGAGTAGACGCCAATCTTCAAGTGGGTGTGACGGGAGATACGACCAGATTGGGGCTGGAGGGCACCGGTCATGATCTTGAGCAGAGTAGATTTACCAACACCGTTGGGACCGACCAGGGCAATACGGGAATCCATATCCACACCAAAGTTGAGATGCTCGTAAAGGTTGTCTTCGGGATTGCCGCTGTAGCTGAAGGTCACATCGTCAAACGACAAGACAGGAGGAGGCAGCTTCTCGACGTCAGGGAAGCGGAAAGAGAACACCTTGTCTGGGACGACGGCCTGAATAAGACCATCGGCCTCCATCTTGTCCAGAATCTTCTGACGGGATTTAGCCTGGCGAACCAAGTTAGCGTAGGTACCTGCGGAGGCAATGAACTTCTTAATGTGAGCAATCTCATCCTGCTGCTTCTGATACTGCTTCATCTGGTTGGTCTCCAACTCAATACGGGTCTTGACGTACGAATCGTAGTTACCACCGTACATCTGGATGCGCTGCATACGGAGATCAATCATGTTGGTGCACACACCGTTAAGGAAATCCTGAGAGTGAGAAACCAGGACCAAGGTGCGATCCCAACGCTTAAGGTACTCTTCCAACCAGACACAGGCCTCCAGATCCAAGTGGGCGGTAGGATCATCGAGAAGCAAGAGAGTGGGCTTGACGAAAAGGGCCTTGCCTAGAGCCACACGCATTTTCCAACCACCAGACATATCCTTGGTGCGCTTGTGAATGGTCTTGGCATTGAAACCAAGACCGCAAAGAATAGTGGACGCACGGACCTCGAAAGTGCTAGGATCCATCTCATCAATACGCTCGTGCAAATCATCAAGAAGAGGGGACTCGGGACCCTCGGTTTCAAGAACCTCTTCAACCTTGCGCTCAAGACGAGCTAAGGCAGCCTCGGCCTCGCCAACAACCCACTCCAATGCGGATTTTTCAGAGGGCTCGGCAGGCTCATTCAGCAAGTATACATCGATAAGATCCGGAACAGGATACTCGCGGGCGGCCAGCGCACGCAAAAACGTGGACTTACCACAGCCGTTTTCACCAAGCAGACCGTAACGACGGCCAAAATTGAGCTCCAGAGTCGAGTCCTGGATCAAAACCTTACCATGGAACACCAAAGAAACTGATTCGACCTTGACATCTCTGGATGTGGCGAGCGAGGCCAGTACACCGGTTGTAACTCGATCTGAAATACCATGCTTGTCTTGCTGGAGCTTGAGCTTTTCGATGGTTTCGGCAGTAGCGGTTGCCTCATCGACATCCTCGACCTTCTTCTTGGACTTTCCTTTCTCTGCGCGCTTAGCTTCACGTTTCGCCTTAGAAGCACTGACCATTGTGAATGTGAAAAAAAAAACCCTCCGGTTTAGCTCAGCTTATCAAAGACCACACTTAGTCAGAGAATTTTTTTTTTTCCAAAATTTTTATGACGTGGGTTCCTAGCTGGAAAGATGAAAAATCGTCATTGTGCATATAGCGGTGGGCCGCATAAAGTTCATAAATACATTTTTTAAAAAAAAACTAGGAATAGCGAGTTTTAATCAATTGTTCGGCGAAACTATCCGACTGTGCACCTCTACTTTTTTTTTGTCAAAGGACAAACGTTGGAGGCGCTTCTGTGATAGGGGTCAAAACCGTACGGTTGCTCCTCACGCTTTGGTCACGAGCGGGGCTGTTTAGCGGAGAAAATAGAGTTACAACTCTATCCGATCCCCGAATTACCATTGAGTAGCGCCTGTGGACGGTAGGAGCCCGCTGTCGCTGGCAAATCTCAGATCGCGATCTGCTGAGAGTGGGCAGGAATTCGTCGTGGTCTTGATCAGACATAAGTTGGCAAACTTCATCAATTAGATCATCGTATGATTCTCGTGCGCGAAACTGTGTGGTATTGGTGTTGCTGTGCTGGTAGAAGCCGTAGGAGGCGCCATCGAGGTGGGACAAGTCCTCTTCGTCGCCGCCATCGCTAGGTATGTAGTTATCGTAGTCGCCATAATCGTCGTCATAGTCCGAGTCATAATCGTAGATAGGAGACTGTTGCTTGTAAAAGTGCATCGATAGCTGTCTGAAGGGTCCGTCGTACGAGAAGGCCGACTCCCGATCACTATCCTCTGGCGTGACAACCGAATAGTAGTTTTCGCCGCCCCCAAAGGGCTCTCCCAGAACGTCAGAAGCAGCCCCAGGTTTGGCGGTGTTCGAGGTGCCCGAATGGCAGTTGTTTACTGGCAATGGCAACCATTGGGCCGACGGGTTAGCAAACTGAGCACTGGAAGAAATGAGCTCGAAACCGCGCACTGTTTCCTCCTGCTTGAACTTGCATCTAAGATTGTACCACGATCGACGGCCCAATAAATAGACAGGCTTCAAACCAAGTTTGGGAGACACTGAAAACTTGGCTGATTTTGTGGACGTGGGTGTTTGCGGAGACTCTGGAGGAAGGCTGGGTCCGTTACCGTAGCCGAGCGGCTCTATGTCTCCCAATGACTTGGACCTTTGGTGAGGTATAGATGTGGCACTCATTTTACCATGTAAAGATTCTCCCGCCGTATATTACTTTAGTAGGAGTTATACAAGACGAGGAGACTTACCCTATGTAATGCAGTTACTAAGCGAGGTAATCGATCTGAAAAGACGGCCTGCATGCGGACTGCAGCGATAGAAGGAGCGGGTGCAGGAATAAAAAAAGGAAGCAGAATTGGGGGTCAAAAGGACAATCGTTCAAGACTACGACTTATTGCGGCCGCACTTGGCTGGTCGGGCGCCGGCTCAGTGTCCAGAACTATCTTTGCTCTGCTGGCGTTGAGGCCGCCCAACAGCACGCATGCTTTGCACGTCTCGTTGGAGCTCAGATAGCCACATTGCGTGCACGTGCGAGCCTTTGGCATTCGGTTTTTTGTTTTCTTTTGGAGCACAAACTGCTCGCCAGAGTGAATAACGTCGATGATGGCACTCGGGCGAATAGCCTCAAGGTTCTTGATAATGGCGCGAGCTGTGCCTCTAAACGCTTCCGGAGAATACGTGCATTCGGTAGAAAAGTAGTCGAGCTGCTTGAAATGGGCATATAAGACAATTTCTTTCTCGTAGCAGTATTTGAGGGGCTTGGATCGCTTCACAGGCGAGTCGGTCCCTGCTGTGACGATCTCCGTGCATCTGTCCAGTCGCGAGGTATCGCCGCGCAGCAGGTTCATCAATATGGTTTCGGCCATGTCGTCTGCGTTATGTCCAGTAACCAAGTGACTAATTCCAAGTTTGACACAACCTCGATCTAAGGCTTGACGCCGGAACACCCCACAGTAAGTGCAGTTGTTTTTCTTTCCGATAGTGGCCACGATCTCATCCATTGTCCAATTGTAAAGGTCTCGGTAGCTGACAATCTCGAGGTTCATTTCGTACTGATCCTTGTTTCGTTCGACGGTCTCCAGCGAGTCGTCTCGGTATCCGGTAATTCCTTCGTCAACAGATAGCAAGACAAACTCGACACCGTAATCGTAACGCTCATTCAGGGTCTTTAGAACATGAGCCAAAACCGTCGAGTCTTTTCCTCCTGACGCACCAATCGCTACTTTTTCACCTCTGTGGAATAGATTTGTCGAGACGATGGTTTCGTGGACTTCGGTCTCGAACACATCGTAAAAGCAGCTTTTGCAGATTTTTTCTCCGGTCTTGGGTCTTCTCAAAGCTGGTGGCTCATTTAGGCACCGCTCGCAAACGCGCACTAGCGGAACAGTGGCCATTTGAATTTTTTTTCAGCCACTGATTTAATTTTTATTTTCTTAGTGAGCAAATGGGCGTCAGCTTGATACGATGCTCGGTCGGACAACACTGTGATTTGTGTGATATATCGTAATAGAAGAGGTTTGTAAACAATTTATTCGAGTTCTCGGGTAGTTCTTTGGGGCGAAGAGATCCGAAGGGTAGTCTAGGCTGGTTCCTACAGGCATGATGCTCAAACCATTAGCCGGATTTACCACTCGGATCCACCACTCGGATTCACCACCCGAATTCACCACACTTGGAGCAACCATCATACCCATAGACACAGAAATCTCTAAATCCAAGAGACCCTTTTCTTTTCCCGTGAATCTGCCTCTATAAACTGATCATTGTGGGGAATACAAGGAGGTAGACACATAAGCATTTAGTAAGCTGACACTGCCATGAAAAACTCAGCTTTTTTTGGTAAGCAAATTTTCAAAAACCCTGCAAAATGTCAAAGTTCTTTGCTGGTGGATTGTCCGACAGCGACCTGTCCTCGTCCGATGAGGAGGATTTGTACGCCTCTAGTCAGTCCGAGAGCGACAACACGACGTCAGATGAGTCGTCCGACGAGTCGTCAGATGCTGAGGGAGACGTTGGTGGAGTCGACGACGAATCGGATTCTGAGTCTGACAAGCCTCGTGGCCAGTACATGCGTAACCAGTTCTTGAAGGGGCAGGGTTCCTCTGATTCCGATTCTGATAGCGACGACAGCGACGATGATCGCAAGGTTGTCAAGTCGGCTAAAACCAAGTTGTTTGATGAGATTGATGGCGCCGCCAAAGCCGTGGATAGCGCCGTCAAACAGGGCGACTGGATTTCTGCTGTGGCTTCGTTCGACAAAATGGTCAAGTCTGGTGAGCGCGCGAGCCGCCAGTACGAGGCTGTACCTACTAGTCTTGTGCGCACTCTTGTGGAGCTGGAGTCCGCCGTCGCCGCCCGCGGTGGTAAAAAGCTCAGCCCCAGTCAATCCAAGGCTCAGAATACCATTCGCCAGCGACTCAAGCGTGCCCAGCGTGACTTTGAGTCTCGCGTTGAGCTGTACAGACAGGACCCGGATAACTACAAGCCCTCTCTCACTTCTGCTAGAGACACTCCTCAGGGCACCCGTGAAGGAACTCCGGCCACCGCTACTGCCACTGAAGAGTCCGCAGAAGGTTCTGTATTCAAGACCTTGATGAGCATTGTTGAGATGCGCGGTAAGAAGAATACCGACCGTTCTGAACAGGTCAGTGTGCTGGAGAATTTGTTGACTACTTGCACCACCGCCTACCAAAAGATCTCTGTTTTGCTGATGTTGATTCCTATCCGTTTTGATCTGACTTCTTCTGGCAGCATCATGCCTTTAGCCACCTGGCAAGCCATCGACGCCGATATCCGTGCTCTGTTCGAGGTTTTGGAGGCTAACGCTGATGAGTATATGGTTATTGAGTCTGCTACTGAGCCCGAGGATCTCGAGATGGGCCCCGAGCCCGATGTCAACGGTATCAAGCGTATCCCTGGTTCTGTCAGCGCCTTGATTGAGCGTCTTGACGATGAACACACCCGCGCTCTTCAAGTCATTGACCCTCACACTACCGAGTACATCGACAGACTGCGTGATGAAACCAAATTGTACGACCTGTTTTTGCGTGCCCAGGCTCATACTGAGCGCAACCTCGCTCGTCTCAACACACCTCTTGCCGAGTCTGAGTCTCTTTGCCGGCTGCTGGTCCGCCGGGTCGACCACATTTATTACAAGCCTACTAGTGCTATTGTCACTAATGAGGTTGAGGCATGGGCTCGTGTTCCCAAGGACCTCGATTCCAAGATTACTCCCCGTATCACCTCCGCCCCTGCCGATGAGAAGGAGTACACCATCACTGTAGTGAACCAGATGTGCTCTGTACTTTACAAGCAGGCCAACACCACGTTCCGAGCCCGTGCCATGCTCGCAGTGATTTATCATTATGCCCTCAACGATTACTACTATAAGGCCCGCGATCTGCTGTTGATGTCACATCTACAGTCTTCCATTTCAAGCGCAGAGCCCTTGGTCCAGGTCCTCTTCAACCGTGCCCTTGTACAGGTCGGTCTGTGTGCTTTCCGTGTTGGCTTGATCCCCGAGGCAATGCAGTCTCTCCACGAAATCTGCTCCTCGTCTCGTCTTAAGGAGCTCCTTGGTCAGGGTCCCGTCAAGCACGGTGGTGCCGTCGCCCAGCAGGATCGTCAACAACTCCTTCCTTTCCACATGCATATCAATGTCGAGCTCATTGAGTGTGTCTACCTCACAAGCTCAATGCTTATTGAGGTTCCATATCTGGCCAGCTTGCGCAACTCTGCCGACTTGAAGAAAAAGATCATCTCCAAGCCTTTCCGTCGTATGCTCGATTATCAAAGCCGCCAGGTGTTCAGCGGTCCTTCGGAGAATACTCGTGATCATATCATCCAGGCAGCAAAAGCTTTGCAGTCTGGTGACTGGAAAAGTGCCAGTGAGCTGCTCGGCTCGATCAAGATCTGGAATCTGTTGGCCGACTCGGAAAAGATCAAAAACATGCTTCGCAGCAAGCTCCAGGTTGAGGGCCTGCGTACTTACTTGTTGACTTACGGTACCTCTTACGGATCCCTTGCTCTTTCCTTCCTTGAGATCATGTTCCAGCTGCCTATCGCACAGATCCGCTCGCTGGTTACTAAAATGATTGCTAATGATGAGATCACTGCTGCGCTTGATGACTCCGATAACTATGTTGTTTTCCGTGCTGCGGATCTCACTAAACTTCAGGTTCTTTCCCAAGCCCTTGCTGAGCGGGCTGTCAGTTTAGCCGAGCGTAACGAGCGCCTCGCTGGTGACGGTCACGGCCCTGAACAGACCAAGAAAGTCTCCAACCGTAAGCCTGTTCGCGCCTAAGCAGCTTGCATTAGGTCACACATTTAAAGACATGCAAAAATCTATACTAAGCCCCTCAAAAAAGCTTTCTTTTATACAAAATAATTCTTCCATAAAACGCCCTCCAAGTCGTCCAGCTGATCAGCGGTGAAAGCTAGCTGATCAATGTGCCAGGTATCTTGGCGCGTTTTCTTGAAATCACCTAAAGTGGCCTTGACACTCTTTCCCACCAACCCCCCGTCACTTGAGGCTTTGACGGCAAGTGTAGCCAGCACAGATGGCACCCATTTGGGTGGAGGTGAGGCATACGGGTAGGCATTTACAAGTGCTCCAAGACCGAGCACAGCTGCATGGCGAGCAACAAGGTCAGGCTGTCGCTTGGTCGTTTCCAACGACTTCTTGAATGATTTAGTGCAGTTTGTGGTAAGTTCGTGCTGTTCGGCAGGTGGCGAACAACGCACAATTCCACTAAGAGTTTCAGCAGCTAGTTCGCGTACTTCCACCTGCGAATCTCCAAGCACCTTGATGACAATATCGGAGACCTTTCTTCTTTGCGCTGAAGACATACTAAACATTTGACGCAGGAAAAAGACCTGGAAGAACAGTAACACCCGAACTTTCTGATGCCAAAGCGAATTTTCCAAAATAGATTCTGCAACAACCAGAACATTGTCAACGATGGTTGAAGAGAATGAAAGCATAGAGATCAACTGAAACACATCTGTAATGGAGGAAACCAGATCCGGATCATCTCTGATGGTTGATACTGACAATAGAGCGGGCATGATTAAATCAGGTAGCAGCTCGAGAACCGCTTGGGCTGATGATTCGGACAGCAACCGCCGCAAAAGCAGAACAAGAGCTTTGGCGAGAACTCTGAAGGGCGACTCAGTATTCGACGAGCCTTCACTCTTCCTCAGAGTCTCTAAACGAGCAAACTGTAGACGAAGAGTTGCTTCACAATTGTCATCATACCTGTACACAGCGCCACCAAGAGGGCCCGACTGTTGGTTGGACTCCAACAGCTTTTTCGCAGAAGAAAAGCCTTCATGGTATCTGCTTCCAAGAATAACGGCTAACTGGCTGGACACCTCGCTCCTTACTGACTCTAGAGGGTGGTCCAAGTTCGACCATAAGTCAGACAGTAAATCCGACCGCTCGCATTTGTAGTTCCATCCTTGCGTGGAAATAATCGAAGTGTGGACTGAAAGCTTGAAGCTTTCTTTCAGCCCACTCAAGGAAGACACTCGTGCAGCGGATAAAACCTCAGTGATTGGCGCAATGCGATTGGGATCAGTTGTAAGGTACCCCCACTTACAAGAGGATAACCAATAACCCAGATTTTCATGACTGAGATCGTCTAGAACTCTACGCATCAAGTTGGCACTCGATGAAAGTAAATCATGACGTTGATTGAGCTCCAAGAAAGGCATCGCCTGGAAACAACCGTAAACAAGCTCGGATACAGCACGATGCCAGTTGCGGTCACCAATCTCCAGAGAATCAATAAACTCCAAGACACTTGTGATAGACAAGTCAGTTCTATCATCACACTGTGAAATGATCTGCCCCCACACGATTGCTGCTCTAATATCGAACTGGTCCTCCTCGGCTCCAGGCTCCACACACTGTCTGTTGAAAAAGAGCTCAAGCCAATCCTTGTTTAAAGAGTTGATCCCTTTCAAAGTTTTGCAGACGATATTTGGGTCTTGAACAGGCACTTTATTTGGCCAAACTAACCAGCCATAAACAGGTAGTGCTTGACTAGGATGTGAAGGATTTTGCGGACCGACATCAAGATACATGGTCGCCGAAGATTCAACTGGAGGATCAACGAGGATTTGGCTGAGCGGATCCAGTGGTGGCGCATCCAAGCGCATAAAGTTGTCGTCGTCCTTCACGAGAAGACGGAAGTACCTATTGAAAGATATTCTTGAGAACCCGTGCAAACATAACCTTCGAATATCGGGATGAGAGCTCAGTATGCCCTCGCTGAATATTCTCATTATGTCTGGATTGTTTGAATACCCTGGATAGGAGCTCAAGTGAAGCAAAACAATAGCACTAACCAGAGCGGCGCGCCAATGAAGAGTGTCCAAAGGCCTGAGGGTGACGACGGAGATAACTTTATCAAGCTCGAGCACAGACTGAGATCTTTTGCGTCTCTGGGTAAAATTTACTTGCGAAAGCATGGCTTGATAGTCTGTATTCTCAGGTTTGATGGAATCAATGGCAATTTCATCGAAGTGGGAAATATCCAAATCCAAACGGAAGGTTTCAGAAGCACTATTGTTGAAAGTTTCAAAAGCTTGGGCATTCAAGTGGTGGTTATCAGCCTGAACTGCTCTCAAAACAGTTTCAAGCCATGAAAGCACGAGCCGTTGATCGCGCTTCATCATACTACTCATAGTGCGGTAATTAAGCAGCCGAAATCCAGACTCTGCGGATTTGAAATCCTTTTCATCCAGGAACTCGTTGATCAATTTCAAAATTGATGGGTAAACAAGGTCACGTGCTCGAATAATGACTTTCAAGGAAGCGTAAAGCGCCGCTTCTGCGTGTCTGCGTATATCGGGATAAACAGAGAAGGCAGATTTGACAAGCCGCTCTAAAAGTTCGCTTTCGAGCTGTGTTGGCAAGCGGGGTGATGAATTGTGCACAATACGCTCTTGGTGGTAAAGCAAAGCCCTCCGGGCTAAAATGGTCCGGGGAAGCTTCTTTCTGAGGCCTGGGATTTGGAAAAACCTGGATTCGAACTCATACAGCAACCTGTGATGATGGTCAATCCGTGCACTCCGTTCGTGTCCAACATCTGAAAACCATACTTTGAGAACAAAGAGAACTTCCTTAAAGCTTGTGACATCATTTTTGTGATTGGCCCAAAGGTTATCGTATAGTTCCATCAAAAAAGAACCAACATTAAACCGTATTTCGTGAACTTTTCTGTACAGTGCAGAGTCCCTGCTTTCAAAAAAGTAGTTGACTGGGTACTCTCTATCTGCCCAAAGCTTGCGTGGGTCAACCTCCTCTGGAGAAAGATCATACTGCATAGGCTCACCAGCCAAGTGATCAATAAGCCCCGCAATAGCGCTAACGCTGGTGCGAATGTAAATCAAATTGTAGGATATCTTATCACTGAAGTCCGTCACCAAACCACTATCCGAGTGGTCTTGTTCTAGTAGAGCTCGTATAGCCGTCATAGACAGACTTATGTGCCTTTCGTACAACTCAACAGCGAATTCCACTTCCTGCAGACTTGGAGCATGCCATTTAATATCGAGATTTTGTGGATCTGGCTGGTATCCCCAATGCTCGACGCCAACATTGGTATTTGGCTCGACAAAGTTGAAGTCTGTAACGTATGTCGAGATCAAAGTCACAATGGCATGGTGAATCGTGTTTGACGTGTGATAAACAGTCTGACCACGAGTTGCATCTCTCAGGAACAGAGTCAAATCTAGCAGTTTCTCCTTGAAAGTCAAAATCTCAGAACCAGCGGCTGCGAGGATCATATTGTAGATGCTGAGGTACCAGATCAACGAGCGATCACGAGGGTTCGAGTTTCTGTAGCATCCCGCTTTATTCTCTGTAACCTCGTACCGGATGTTCGTATCCAGCATTCCGAATAATTTTGGGAAAGCATAACTAGGGTTAGCTCGCACAAACGCACCACATATGTGCGCCACAGTATCGGTAACAGCGTGGATAACGTGGGAAGTCACAAATTCAAGAACTTTCACAAACAAACGCTCGTAAATTTCGAACGAAACAGAGTTTAGGACTGCCATAAGTGTGGTGGGAAGGTTGTGTACAACCATGTACTCCGGTGATTGCTTAGTCTTTGATGAGTTCTCTGGCATATTTTCAAGGAGCAGGAACAAGCGATCTAAAAGTGATGAGGCAATTTCGTTGAATGCAAATGAGGTTGACCTTAAAATATCACTTACCAGCTCCGAGTCTGGTTCGAGCAGCTCACCCGTATCCTCGAGATGAGATACAAGCTCGGGTAGGTAGTTTGACGCAAGATCACTGCCAATTTCGCCACTGATATCTACAAAAGGAACGGACAGGCCTGCTGTTTGAAAAAGAGCCAAAGCATGGACTGTTTTAGCCATATCGTTAGCATCAATGCAAGGGATAGCCAGCTCTAAAAGAGTGGTGATATTGATAGCATACTTTGGATGCTTTGCCATGATTCGAAGAGTATGTGTGAGTGTTGAAAGTGATGTGATACGCCTATGGGTTTCATTCAGACCCTGGATAGAGCTGTAAGCCAAAGATAATACGCGAGGTAGGATGAGATCGGGTTCTAGGTAGGCCAATTGCTGAAGCACGACCACAGACAGAGCGGACAGCATCTTCGATTTGGAGTAAATACCATAAAAGACCGTGTTTAATATGCACGTGACGAATCTGTGTTTTACATTTTTTGTCAAGTGCCTGCTTTTGGGGACTTGAGATTCCCCCTCGGCCTCGATATTCCATCTCAACGTGAACATTTCAACGAGTTCACTGACTAAACGAATGATATCAAAAGTCCATGAACCACTGGATGAGGGGTGCGTGAAAGATTCGACAGTGTGAATCAGGCTCTCGAGCATATCAAGAGTAGAATGGGTTGACTCTTCATAACTGGACAAAGACGAGACGAGGACAGCAGCTGCATGACGAGCAGTCGAGTTTCCGCGGTTCCTGTTTTCTGTTGAACGACCAGAAACGGGGACATCTAGCAGCCTTAGTATTCCGGAGAACACTGAGGCCATTTGTTCGTGGTTCAAAATACCATAGGGACCATAAGAGCTATTTGGCCTGCAAACCTCACTTTGGGCAACTATAGAAACGAGCTCAATGGCTTTCGAATCGAAATGGAGACCTGGCGGAAGAAGACGCCATACATGGAAGAGCGTAGGGAGCAGATCCTGGGCAGAATAGCCATCAATGGGGTCCACGAAAATAAAATTTGGGAACATTAAAACAAAAATATTGAGGTTGCTTATCATCGTAGACGGTTGCGTAACCGATAGAACAGACATGATCTCTGAAAGAAGGGTTTCCACAGCCTCGGCAGGGATCAAGGGGCGAATAGTGAAGCATAATCTAGCCAAAAAACCGTGCATTGTTGAAGAGTTTCCATCACAGGGAGATGTGTGAACTGCAGTGAGTTTTTTGAGTGCAGTGAGGAGGCGCCTCCAATCGAGGTTCACCTGATCAGGGGCGACAGATGATCTGACCACCCGGTTTTTCCACAATAAAACAACGATGTTAACGAAGCGTTCTAACATGGCGGTATCCGAAGCAGCCAGCGCCAACGAATAGTAGCATTTTGTTAGCTTGATGCGTATCTCCAGAGGCATTTCGTGTTTAAGTTTGAGCCAACTTCGTAGCTCTCGGGTCCAGTGGACCACAACAGTACCTGTTCCCAGTCCCATAACGCCTCGAAGGTCCTGCCCTTTGATTGCAGCATAAAGATTAGAGACTATAGCTTTTAAGTGCCGCAGGCTGGACTCTGAATCTTCCGTTGCATAGGGTAGGACCTTTCTGTAGGGGAAGGTCTTACGCATGCTTTGTCAACCTGGTGTGAGCGGATGCTATATCGCGTCTCGATAGCAAAACTGTAGTGACGGTTCAATTTTTTAGTAGTGTTAAACTCTACATTAAAAAAGGCACAATCAAGTTTCAATATTCTTGTTTGACGGTGATTTTTTCGGGGTTTCAGTCGCCAAAGATAGAGTGACATAGCATCAAGTACAATGGCAGTTAAAGGATCAACCTAATACGCAACTTTGATGTAGTATTATTCCAGATTTTGTAGTCTAGACTACGAATACGGTACGAAGAGCAGGCAGGATTAGGGTCCATTGTAAAATACGCGGCACCTATATATCTGGCCCGATCAAGGAACGATGAATATAGAGGGAGCGTAACTAGTAATCTAGGTCTGGTGAGCAGTCTCAGATGCAGTATAATGGATCATAGCGTACCACAACAATCTTGAGAAGAAAGGAGCAAGGGATCTGAGTTAGACTAGGTGTCAGGACTAAGCATATAACAACGCAGCATTCAAACACATGAGTTGATCGGTCAAGCACTCTATAAATGTCTTATAGAGATTTAAGCCATTTGAAAGACTCAGATGCTTATTTTAGCATCGGGGGAGTGCTCGAACAAGGTGTTTTATCAGCAGTCTATGTGATCTTCCGAGTGAGCCTGAGGTTTCAAGTGAACCAGATTTTCGAGTGAGCTGAATTTCCTAGCTGAGAGTGCTATAAAATCAAAGAGCACTTTGCGAATGCTTCATGAAATGGTACCTTCAGAGTACTGGGTACGAAATTAGTAGCGAAGGTTAAAAAAAGGCGCAGCTGTTATAAGGAGCGATCTTGCCTGAATAAAATAAAACTGACAGGAGCAAGAAATTTTTGGAATCCACATTCGGCCCTGCCCTTGGTACATATCTATCAATCAGCTATAGCAATAGCGACCGTTTCTCGTTTTTTCCGGTCGAAATGCCGAACGCAATACAGTTCGATGCACCAGGCACAGGACGGAGCACCTTTGGGGATTTATGCAGATCTCTGGATCGAGTCAGCGGGGAATATGTTAATTTGTTCAGGGAAAAGATGAAGGGCATATCATCTAAAACAAGTTCTTAGCTATTTTCCAATGAATCGGATCGGCGAAATATGCTGTTTATCCGCACTCATGCGTTCGATCTGATTTAGAGGATTTTGGGGACCTGCTGTAGAGGCTACAAGAGAGGCTACAGGAGGTGGTAGAGGATACAGCGTGCATAGAGTTATGCCTACTAGCTCCCCCAACTCACTCGGAAATCAGAATTTCCAAAAGATTTTCACAACAAACAGTTTCAGGATTGCATGGGATTCCGCATTCATCGTCGGCGAACTAATGTGGCCCACCATCGGCCGAATACGTGTATGCTGAGCCGCGTGACTACGATGAAACCCTTACCAGAATATGCTTGTCGACGTCTGGGGCTAAAGTAGCTTGATAATTCAATTTCAGGATACGCTCATATAACAGATTTTGACACGGTACACAATGAGTCACACCGATTGGGCCCGTTTATCGTAGGTAAACGCCTCAAGCAAGCTTCAACCGATGGAGAGGGGATAAGAGTATGGGCAAGGGCAAAGATCTGCATATAGCTAGCGCACGGTTAACTAGGGCTTCTGTGTATGCTATCGTACAGCAGTGGTGATCCTTGCAGATGCGAAGTGGGGAAGAAAAGGATGGATAATTGTCGAAACTAGCGGCTATCTTTCTTTCTTATGCAAGCGTTCTTTGAGCAGTATGGGCCCATGAGAGTTGCATAACATGGCATTTTACCCCACGCATAGCGCACATTCTTGCATATAATCAGTCCCATGCGCCTCTTCTGCCGATCTGGCGGTGTACATGAAATGCAAAGATGAGCTGATCATTTGGTAGAGCGGCGAGGGGCCAAGAGTCATGCACTCGCTGCGTTTGTAGGTTTGCTGCGCATAACGGTCGCAGGCAGCTTCTTCTGGATCTGAAAGAATTAGACCCTGGAACAACGGAAAATGAAACTTAAAAGAAAGATACCAGGAACTAAAATGAAGCACTCACAGCACAGATGAAAGGATTCCTCAAGTGATAAAAATAGCGTTTTATTAGAGAGCCGAAACGCTTCGAGCATGTGTTGGGTTCAACAGATCATGTGGAAAGTCGGGCGACCGCAGGAAAGCGGCAATATCTGAGCACATTGAATCGCATTTGCATGACTCTGAGAAGTTGATCGTCACGCTCAACGGAAGCAGGAACTCCAAATGATTCCGGAAGCGGTGGAGACATGGGGCAAGACGTTTCTATAGGACTGAGGAGCGGCACATCATTACGCGTAGTTTTGAGAGAAGGAATAGGCAATTATTGTGAGATATAGTGTTAGTGTTCATGGCAGTTCAATTGATTGACGACTGGCGGGCATGTTGATCAAACTTAATTGTATCTGTGCTAATGAACGATTAAAAAATTAGAATGTCTAACGTAGCAATATCAGACCTATATGCAAATTGGCCGGCTATTTTGCTGTAGCAGCGCTTTCCTTGGATTTTAATATGGACGATTCGCTCCGTGACTTCCTGCGCGGTTGGAATCGGTAGCCTGGAAACAGCATCCTGTGACGGGACTTCTCAATAGCACTGAGCTGAATAAAATAGTCTTGTACTGTGGCACGCTCAGTTTGCCATAAGAGACCTATAACAGAGGAGATCGTTTTATGATCTAGTTTCATGTTCTGTCGTCGGGCGTTAATCATGGCTCGTTGTGTCTGAGAACGGCGGTAAATCATAAACGAGTTGAGAGGGCGCTTGATTTTTTCTTTTCCTTTAACCTTGCGGTTTGTGTCCTCATCGGCAACTCCGTCTTTGGCTTCGAACAAGTCAATCTCCAGAATAGGGCAGGTAGGGCGTTCTTGCGTCAGGATCTCCCAGGGGCATTTTGTTGCACCATCTTCGTCAGAGAACAAGTCTAGCATGGAAGCAATAGAACTCAGGTGAAGGCCCCTCATGTGGGCCTCTTTGGAGATACTTGCATGACGCTCATGAGTTAAAGAGTCCAAAGGAATCCAATAGGTGATATTTTGTTTACTGGGGTCATCTTTAACAATTCCTGGTAGCACAGTAGTTGTGTTATCAGCTTTGTGAATAACCGTCAGGGGTCCAAAACCTTCGACCATGTGAAGTGCTGAAACAGGTTTTCGAGTCGGCTGTTGATGATCTGTGATGGAGATGTGATACTCGCTATCGATAATGGAGGATGTCTCAGAGAAACGTTTGGAAATTACAGACATTTCGGAATTCAAGGCCTGCTCGTACTGTATTTGAGATGGGATGGAGGCGGCTGTGAATTGTGGGTAGTCAATGGTAGCTTCACTTGTTCTTGATCCTTCGCTGATCATATCAGGTGAAACGCTCAAGCCATAGTATTCATCATAGTCAGATAGATTCTCGTAGGGTGTGTGGGGATGAGTATAAGTTAACGATCGCGACATGGGAGGCGGTGCCAGACCGCCAGAACCCCAATGGTTTAATTGCGAAGTTCCAGCTTTCTTGTAGAAAGTATCTTGAAGCTCTGGTTGAGAACTCATGCTTTGCCATTCCGGAATCTCATAATTTTGTGCAGGGGCATTATCACTTGTGGAAGGCGAGACGGTATATCCAGGCGTGGAATGGTGAAACATGGGGTAATCTGGATACTGCGAGGAGTCGGCGTATGGTTGCTCACTATTTTCCTCCATGAACTCTTGCCGCCAGGATACAGAGTTGTCCATGCGGACGTAATTGAGAGCAGACATGCTGGTATATTAGATGATGTGAGCTAACGGACCCACAATGAAAAACGTCTGTTGAGGTTTGGCTGACTGAGGATGGTTGAATGATGGATTCTCTTGTGTTTGAGATACCAATTCAAAAAAACAGGAGAGATCTCTTCTCGGCGTGCACTATTTGTACTATATAATCGCAGAAACCAAAACCTATGCAAAACACGTAATGCATGCCCGGCCAGTACAGATTAGTACATATACAGTATGTGGTACATACCCCAACCCCACTCCAGCACGCCATCCAGCAGAGCAAGAAGCTCCGCCACCACACACTGACATGTGTGCATGTACGAAGAATAGAACCCGTGCCCAATTGCTTACATATATGCTGCCGTTGAGGTACAGGACGCAGGGGGTTGCGAGAGTGTGTCCCAGTGTACTACATATCGGTATTTCCAGTTTGAAAAAACTAGTGCCGCGTGAGTTTGAGACTTGCTGGACCGATCAGTGCGGCATTACTCCTAATTGGAAGATCAGGGCCAGCTACTTGCTTTGACTGATCACTAATCATCAGTCATCAAGCACTAACATGCTGCATCTTCACGTGCTTGATACCCCAATGAGAACAAGCCGGATACTTGAACAATTGTATCAGTCAAAAAAGCTCCTCATGAATTTGAGAAGCACCTGTACATAGGGTGTAGACAATACTTGAATTCCAGTTTTTTTCCAGCCTTTTTTTGGGGCCGAGGTGATCCTAACCTCGATCGACCATGGACGATCACCCTTAAATTCGAAAAACCGAGCATATTTCGTCAATACTGGCTTCCACACTGGCTACGACGCAGGCATTTAGTTTTCTGTTCGTTCTAAATCACATTTTTAAAGAAGCGTCTCTATGTAGCTCATGTAGCCGGGTATGTAGCCTTTGCCTCAAAGTTTTCGGCTGATGGAATATTTGCAAAACGAAGGTCGCGCTTACACCTGCTTCGGCAAGTCGAACTTGAAGGTACCATTGAGAACCGGTGAGTTTTGAGAGTGGTTGTGGCCGTAAAGCGAGCCCAGAATTGATCGCTTCAGGACGATAAAAGCAGATAACCGGGCGAAAACCCGGCTGTTTCACCACGAGTGTGGAGGCAAGCCAATAGTATCTGCAAAGTCTAAAGGTTTAGAGCTCTATATCTCCAGCAATGTTTACGCCAGTGGACTGTATTGTCTACTGGTAAAGATCTGTCCTACTAGACGGCTGGTGATGTGCGGTTAGCCGTGGGTGAAATATCAGGGATTTTAACGTCAGCTCAGTGAAGGAAAAAAAAATACACAGGGGTGAAGACTGGTTCTCAGCACAGGAACGTTGGTATACGGAGCTGCTCAAGGGCCAGCACTTAACAATGAAGGGAGCACAAGGGCATCAATTTGAAGAGGTGGACGAAGTTCGAGCACGGGCTACCGTAAATGTGGTGATAATTGAGTGTGCTTCATTTAGACGATGAGGCATCAAGAAAAGAGATCTTTGATAGGAAATACATTCAATTCTACCAACTTTTCGTGTGGTTACTAGGGGTCGCTCGCTGTTGCTGCAGTTACACGATAAGCCCGACGGTGTGAGACATTTGGCACGATTTTGTTACGGCGTAACGAAGGAATAAATAGGAAAAAACCGGTATTAAAAAATTGAGTATAGTTAATTCATTTAAGAAGCACAAAGTTACCGCTATATCGGTACTACTTTCATATGTTTCAACTAAGGATCGAGGACAGAGCTCCTGCGCATCCATGCAGTGGACGACGGTTCATGCTACACATAACGTATTCACGATGTCTGTGACATGATTCTGATTGAAGACAACAAGAAAAACATGAATAGAGCCTATATATTCTGAAATTAGTTTAGGTCGGGTGGGTCCGAAGACAATGGCTAGCTAGGTAACAAGGGGCAACTACAAGGCGTGCAGCTTGGGAAGATAAGCACAGTTTGGAGATTATAGTACCGATAGACTGCCAAGAGACCTCCTCCACCGTACTTTAGCCGGTATGAAACCGGCCGAACGGAGCCAGCAGGGGAAAATTTAAGGAGCGTGTGAGTACATAAATTTAGGGCTACCACCGGGCAAGAATCTATTTAGCTTTTAAGAAAATCCACCTATCACGGGTTGAAAAAATCAGATATGTATGGAAACAAGGCCCCGCAAGGCCCCACAGTGCTCCACAAAGCTACATTAGGCTCCACAAGACTCCACAACGACTCAAAACGGGAAACTCCATACCCTACCATTCCCACATGAATTTGGCAGAGGAAAAAAATAGGCATCGAGGTGGAACGAGAAGGGAAGGCGAACGGAAGGGCTTGAATATTGATTGTAAGAGTCTTTTGGAAAGGTTAAAAAGAGCGACATAGATATCAGATCTTTCCAAGTCAAACTCCTCGACAGTGGCCGTCCACGACAAGTTAAGCGGGCCCTGTACCCATCAATGACAATACGCGGGCACAATTAAGTGAAATCTCTGCTCTACTTTTACTGCCAGGAGGAAATAGACCTCAGTGCAAATTAAAAGGCAACAAAGGATGTGTGACATACATTAAAGCTTTTGATGCTGCTATTCTATTCCATTTCTATGCTATGGACGGTATTTGGAAGGGAGTTGGGTCGCTCGCCTCGAATTAGCCAAGACTACCAGTATGCGCAAGGAATGCCGGAGATCTCACAGACCCCCACTATGCGGCGAGCTGCAGATAGGCTAGGTTCTTGGGTAACCTGGGTAAGGGGCGGTAGGGGGATGTAGTAACGAGCACGCTGCACTTCTGAACCCTCTGCCCGATGCAGGAGAGCCAGCAGGACGGGGCGTTTCATAATGACAACAACCAGATTATGAGCTATAACATGGATTGAAACGTATTATAAATGTCCAGTGAACGACTGTGCGACAAGTTAATAAGGGTTTACAAAAGTAGGAAAAGAAACATTGAAGCCACGGTCTCGTTTTATGAAATTTGGTCGGCCAAGGTTTCCTGCATAGAAGCCCCAAATGATGGGATGATCGATGCTTCATGTGCAGCAAGATTACTTTGGACATTGAGGGGGCCTCGCGGTGAGATGGGCAGGGAGGAGTCCTCCGTTTGATGCTGAAACAATAAATAGAATAACTATGTTTTCATCTACAAACCTGTTTATACCGATGGGAACACAAGTACAAAGCAGCGAACCTTCTTCAAATTTTTAGCGTGCTCACAAAGTCAACATCGAGCATCTCCTCTGTGGGACGTTCAGGGGGGGTTTCATTCAGGCCAAGATCTGTGGCGATCTCCACGAATCGAGCTGCACGCTGTTCGTAAAGCCGGGTTACCCTACCCTCATGTTCGAGGAGGAGCTGGCGCAGAGCATTGAGTTCGTCTTCAAGGGCGGTTCTTTTGTCTTGTTCAGCCTGCCGGCGGAGTCGCTCTTCCTCCACCTTGGCCTTGACTGCAGCCGCCTCCGTCCTGCGCTCCTCGACCTGTTGGGCCTCGAGCAGCCGTGACGAACGCTTCCGGTTTTCGACTTGGATCGCAATCCGCCGGTGTTTTGCGCGCCGGCGGCTATCGGTTGCAAGCCCCCGATGGTATTTTTCAACAATTGGCAGGACTGGCCTGAGATAAGCAAGCAGGTCGCGAAGTGGTTTGTTTTTGGCGGGCTTGGCTGCCTCGAGCTCTCGAATGAGTGCATGCCAAGATTCGACATCCCATGCAGCACATTTCCATCGTTTGCCGCTCACCGTGTAAATACGATTATCATCTAAAAGATAGAAGATGCGCGGGCGTTTTCCGGTCCCTGCAGTGCCTATAGGCAAGATGCGGGCTTCTGCTTCTCCCGATTCCAGGGCATCTCGGCACTTCGCTGCTGAGAGCAGATTGAGGACCATCTCGTAAAGATCTGCAATCTTCGTAGCCGAGTCCTGGGCCAGCCATGCCTCCAGGTTGCCGATATGGGACGCTACGCCGGCTGCGTCAGCCAGACTACGCGCGAGGTCCGGTAGTTGCACGAGCGGATCGTTTTTGCCGGATAGGTCGTCTTCAATGACGTCGACCTGAGTAACCGGGAACTCGTAGACGCCAGAGAAGGTAGAGACAAACTGGAGAACCGTGGCCAATTGCCAATTGTCTCGCATGACGTCAGCGGAGGAAGGTGAAAAGTTCTGGCAGAATTATCTGGGTTGTATATAGCAAGCTTATAAGGGGTTAAACTAGTGGTGTCTAAAACCGTATTTACCAGACGGCCGCTTGTTTCCATGAAAATGATGCTGGCGATAATGCGGGTTACGAATTGCCACGGTTCCAGCCTTATCTTTGTCGACTCTTTCGTAGGCGGTCGCTGCCTGCTCGGCGGTGCTAAAAAATACAGTGCAGAACTTTGAGCCCGGCCTCTGACCATTATTATACTCTTTGAAAACGACTTTTGTGACGTTTGCCCGGTCTTCTTCGTGTAGTGTGTCGAGAATTTCCTGCTCGGTTTTCTGGCCGTCCCGGAACCACAATCCGGGCTCGTTGCTATCTGCAGACACGGGGGTTCTTGCTTTGGGCTTTGAGGACTCTCGTTTGGGCATGTATACCGATATTTTGGGTTTGGAGACGTCGTTATCGGAGCCCTTATCGGAGTCTTTTTCGGAGCTCTGGTCGAAGTTCTTGTCGGAGTTCTTGTCGGACTCTTTCTTTTCAGCCGCGGACTTGGCAGCTTTGCGAACCACGTCCTCGGGATTGGGGAATTGGCCCTTGCGAGTAGTACCCTCATACTTGTGACGCGATCCGTAGCAGAAACCGGCTGATACAGTTTCGGAAGCAAGTCGATCTCCATTGAAAGCAAGGACAAGGGCGCCGCCTTCGATAGAACATAGATTCCAGTGCCATTGGTTATGATAGGCAGAGTACAAAAACTTGGTGGTTGGACCGGGGGGTGCCTCAGTAAGTAGACGCACAACCGGACCCAAATTCAAGATGGGTTTGAGCGGCTCACCTCTAGCAACCGCCCCGTCCCGAACTTTATTGTATCTCTCATGCAGATCAGCCCTTGCTTCGTTAAGAACATCTACCCAGTCATTGGTAAGGTTGTACATTGAGGAGTTGACTGTGGAAACACAATGACGGAAATGCAGGCCGCTCGAGATAGTGATATCAGCGCGAGCGACTACTGAAAAGTACTGGAGCACGGGATTCAACATGACTGGAGAATGGGTCACAAAGATGTGCACATCCTTGAAGTCCCACTCCTCTTGTAGATGGGCTATGAGCTGACCCATCTGCCAGAGACCAATCCACATTATACCCTTGTTACCAGGCGTGGTTGTTTTGGAAGTACCCACATCGAAGAGCGAGTCCACCAAAAAAGCTCCGCCCAAACCAAACAAATGAATGCGAGCTTCTCCTTCAGGAGCGTCCAAGAAGAACGAGGACGACTCGTTGAGAATATGCAGGTTATCAACAGAGTACTCGCCGTTTAAAAACTTGTTCACAACCTCGACATCGTCGCCAAGTCCGGGAGTGCAGTAAACAGGGACTTTGAACTCGGCGCGTTTCGCGAGGAACAATGGCAGGTCAGAGAGATCCGTACCCAGACGCTTCTTCTCGCGTTGTTCTTCATATTTACTGCGTCCATTGCTTTCATCCTCATTCTCGCCCTCACTCTCGCTCTTATTTTCGCCCTCATTTTCGCCCTTGCTTTCGCCCTTGCTTTCGCCCTTGCTCTCGTCCTTGCTTGCTTTTTGACTCATGAGCTCAGATGCCAACCTTGAATTGGTGTTCCCGATTCTGTCTCGGGAGTCTCCGTCAAAGAACCCAAAAGTACCGGCGCACACAATTGCCGTTGCACGATGCGCAATAGCCAGGTCGTTAAGCGTGCTCAACTGGCCCCTCACATCTCCTAAACACAGCACTCGCTGTCCCGCAATCTCGGTCACGGACATTATGGTAACGTCAGCCAACCTTAGATCAGCTATATGGGGGAGCCCACTGGTGGAGGGGCCCAGAACAACCCAATTGAGGTTAGCGGGAAAAAAGATGTTGAGCAACGTAGAATGTAGCAAATTTTAGCACACTAGATGGCACTTGAGTGGCCGGGAAACAAACGCCGGCGTCCGCAATTTCCCGCCTGCATGCCTACGTTCAAATTCCCCGGAAGCATCGCTGGCCCCGCTTTTTGACCCTCCCCCTAAAACATCGTCCACCACCTAGTCCCTCTCTATAAGCAAACCTTTTTTTCGTTAATAAAAAGTTGCGTCCGCACTACCGGTCCTACCGCGCGGTTGCATAGGGTCTGAGTTACCTAAGCGGACGCAGCAACATCACTTGTCTTGCATGCTAAACGGAAAACCGGCATGAATTCACCAACCGAGACATCCGCACCAAGCTCTCCTGCCTCACGGGCAGGACGGGCTTCTACACGGGCGTATGGACCTAACGTTGGGGGCCCTTTGCCAAAAAGTACATCCCTGGGCTCCTATGGCTCGCAAGCGTCAAGTGGCCGATCAGGCACCCCGGGGGACGAGGCAGCCGCAAATTGTGCGGATCCCAGTACCAGGTTTCAGCCTACTCCTCCTGCTCCGCCTCGCTCACCACCACCACCTAAATGTGAGTTTGTTGCAGCGTCGGCCCCGGCTCCAAATCTTGCTGATGCAACCACCACACCTGCCCTAACACATACCAGAGCTTTCCCGACTACTCCCACCATGTCCACCGAAGCTCCCGCCACGGCTCGGGAGCCAATGACGCCGCAGCGACAGGTTTCGAGTGGTGCGGCGATGCACACGCCCATTGCCGTTCCCGACAGTGTCCATCGCGTGCCGTCCACCTCAACCACTCCAGCAACGCAGCCACCAGCAAGCCAACATCACCATCACCACCACCATCATCATGGCCATAGTCAGAGCCACCACCAGCCACGGGTGCAAAAGCGTACTTCAGTGGGGCCGTGGGATTTCGTCAAATCGGTTGGTGCGGGATCTATGGGACAGGTCAAACTCGCGGTTAACCGCTACACCCGGCAGTCGGCTGCGGTGAAGATCGTCCCCAAAGCATTTACACAAAAGAACTGGGAAGGCCGCGAGTCCAATGATGCAAAGGACGCCCGCGTTATTCGTGAGGCGGCAATTGGAAAGCTAGTGTACCATCCCAACATTTCGCGGCTGTATGAGGTTTATTCCATGTCCTCTCACTACTATCTGGTGTTTGAGTACATTGCCGGTGGTCAGATGTTGGACTATATTATTACCCATGGGTCGGTGAAAGAGACACAAGCGCGTCGGTTCGCCCGCTCAATTGCCTCGTCTCTCGACTATTGCCACCGCAACTCTATTGTCCACCGTGATCTCAAAATTGAAAACATATTAATTGCTGATGGGGGTGACATCAAAATCATTGATTTTGGTCTTTCAAACTTGTTTCGGCGTGACGATCTTCTCAAAACGTTTTGTGGATCTCTCTATTTCGCCGCTCCCGAACTGCTCAACGCGCTACCGTATGTCGGTCCTGAGGTTGATGTTTGGTCCTTCGGTGTTGTACTCTACGTACTGGTCTGCGGTAAAGTTCCATTTGAGGACAAGTCGATGGCAGCCTTGCATGCTAAAATCAAACGAGGTGAAGTGGAGTACCCTACGTGGCTCTCCCCTCTTTGTACAGATCTGTTGAGCAAAATGCTCGTGGTAAGCCCGTCTGAAAGAGCAACAATGCGAGACGTCATTCACCATCCATGGATGAACAAGGGATTCGATTCAGTTGTAGAATGTTTTGTTCCTGACCGTGTACCTCTCGAACTACCGCTGGACGGTGAAGTTCTTAACGAGATGGTTGAAATGAGTCTGGCAAAAGACATTGATTTTCTGAGAGTCGAGCTCGAGGGTGTTTTACAGTCTCCACAATATCTCGAAGCAGTTGCAGCTTGGTATGATGCCAGAGCGTCTTCTTCGGCCCTCCCCAGCCGGGCGGCTGATCCTCTCAATTCTTATCACCCCTTTATCTCCATGTACTTTTTGACCCGCGAGCGCCTGGAACGCGAAGCTGTGGTTTCATCTTCTACAAGCCTTGCATTTGGAGCCCCCATGCCAGCAGTTGAATCGACCCCACTTCCACCCACCAGAGCGCGGTCACGGTCTAGCGACCGAGACAACCTGCCAACCCGGGCAGCAACCACTACAGCCGCTTCCACAACATCCCAACATCAAAGACACAGTTCAACATCACCGGCTCCGCCGGGCCGGCGCGCTGTCACGGGTCCAGTTGCGAAGCCTGCTCAACCACAACTTCCATCTGCATCTCAACTTAGTGCACCAGCGCCTCCAGCAGCAGCTGGAAGATTACGATCACGCACAGTTGGAACCTCTGAGTATCCTGGTGTCATGTATCCTGAGCTAGCGGTCAAGAGAGGATTTAATCCCGCTAATGACCCTGGCCCTACCCCACCGATTTCACCCCAAGTAGGTGGTGAGCGGCGCAGTAACTTATCGTCTCTGTTCCGGAGAATCTCTCTGCGTCGCCGGTCGGGTCGGAGCGACTCAAATGAAAGATCAGGAGACATTTCAGTGGACGGGCTGGCATCTCAACATAGCAGCCGCGAACCATCACGAGACCGGGCCAGTGTTCGCCGAGTTCCCTCTCGGCATTCAGGCAATTCGGGTGAGCTTTCCGGGCAAGACACCGCGGGAGCTACCCCGCAGAGCTCCACCACCAAACAGACTTTACGTGTACCGGGGCACACTCGTGCCAAATCAACGGGCTATCCTGGTCCAGTGCAGGCCACGGACTCGGGCCCCATGCGCCCATCGCACTCGCGCCAGCCGTCGCACTTGGCAGAGCGCATTGAGGAGGAAATGCCGTCCATAGAGTCACCGCGGCAAGTGTTCTTCAAAGGATTCTTCAGTGTACAGTCGACGTCTACGAAATCGTTGCGGGAAATTCGAGCCGAGATTATCCGGGTGCTCACCGAGCTTTCCATCGACTTTGTCGAGATCAAAGGCGGGTTTGCTTGTATCCATGGCGCTTCTCCGTCATCAACGGCAGCCACTACTCTACCAGTTTCGGTAACTAGCCCTCGTCAGCCGGCTCACCGTCGCGGTCCTTCGTTTGGAGCATCCCCGCCGCATGCGTCGCCATCACGCCCGTCCGAGTTCTCGAACTCGTCCTCGGATTCGGTTGAGTTGACGGGGTCGGACATGCTGGGCCACGAGCCCACTAACAAACCGCCCTCGCCCGTCCGGTTCGAAATCAGCATTGTACGGGTGCCTCTATTGTCGTTACATGGCGTGCAGTTCAAGAAACTCACAGGCGATATGTGGCGATACAAGTCGATTGCTCAGGAAATTCTGGAACATCTAAAGCTTTAAATAATTTACTCGTCAAATGTCGTTTGAATAGGTGTAGATGGCCCAAAGTTGCCCAGCCCCGCAATGGTGAGAGCCGGGGGGCGGCGAAGCTCTTTTACCAGGGTGTTGAGGTAGCCTCGCACCTGGAAGGTCGAGCTGTAATCTAGCGGTGACCATCCTTTATCGTTCAACGTCACTGTGTCGGCTCCGCGGTCCACCAGGGTACGGATGATTTTGACATGTCCACGAGCCGCTGCTACATGGATAGGGCGGGTGTTGAAAGCGTCTCCGCGGTCGATGTCGGCGCCGAAATCTAGCAGAATTGCCACGCAAGGGTCATGGCCGCAAATGACCGCCAGCATGAGCGGGGTGTGGTGGTCTGCGTTGAGCCAGTCAATCGCTCGTGAGTAGTGCTGAGCCAAATAGTGCAGTGTCTGCTCTTGGTTCTGGGATGCGGCGAGATGCATTGCAGTATCATTGTGGTGGTTTCGTGAGATTTCGTCTCGGTCGTGCCCTAAATTCACTAGGTACACGCAGATCTGGTAGTGGCCATGATAAGCGGCGTAATGCAGGTTCGACCAGCCGTTAGAAATGTTGGTGTTCACGAGCAGCTCTGGCTGTTTTTCCAGAATGAGCTTGACCGTAGGCAGCTTATTGTGTGATACAGCATATCTGAGTCTTTGTGCTGTGTCCATTTTGGGCGGGGTGCGGGCCAGTTCTACTTGGCATCCAGTAGAGGGACCTAAGCAGCCGGGGAGGGGGGTTTACGGGAACATAGACACCAAGCCGCTTTCCCCAACACCCCTTCCAACGAAGAAGGTGGCTGCCTCCGCAGTCTCCCAGGGTTAGGTGTTCCGCCTGAAGAAAAAAGTGAGCGACACTCCCTGACCCTCGAGTAACCTATTTTTGGATCAGAGGGGGATCGCCATCCCTCTTTTCGCCCATTGAACTAAAAATTAACACCAGCTAGAGTTTAGATACTATCAAGACTACGGCAATCCCCCGGCCCCTTCATCAGAGTTTTCCCCACCCTCGTGCAATTGTGCCAATTCGAGAGTTGGTAAGGAATGTGTAAGTCGCTTAAATTAACCCGCAGAGACGGCGGAACAGAGAAAAAAAAAAAACCTCAGCGACTTGACCGGGCAACACTAATATTTAGCAAATAATTGACTAAATACTGAATATAATACTCGTTTCCACCGAATCTCACGATTGCAGGATCACCCATCGGTCGGATTGTCGGATTTTCCACCCCCCCTACCTTACATACATTCCTATTACCTCAATTCTGACCGAGTGAAGTCAGCGTCTTAATTTACACTCCCCGGTTCTACCCCCGCTCAGCACCAAATAGAGCGAAAATAAGAGCAAAAAGAACTCCTCTCTCAACTGCTCTTAATAGTGTGACCGTGTTTTAGTTCAAGTTTTCCTCTGCTATGCTGTTTCTTATTTGGTTGACGCTGCTCTCCACAGCGTTCGCCCGGCGCATCATTAGGGCCACCTCCCTGGTGCCATGCATGGACAATTCAGGTGTCCAAGCGTCCAAATTCGACGTTACTTTTACCCCTGATGACCGCACCCTCGCCTTTGACGTTTCCCTCGATGTTGAAGTCTCGGGTACGGTCTATGCCGACATCGTGCTCTATGTCTACGGATTCCGTGCCATCCACGAGCGTATTGATCCTTGCAAGTCCTCTGCTCTCCAGCAGCTCTGCCCATTGAGTACTGGTGAGATCGACATTATTTCTCAGACCCAGGTCAGTGGCTCAGTGGTGAGAGACATCCCGGGCGTCGCTTACACTGTTCCTAACATCGACGCCTTCGCCATCGTCAAGGTCTACACGAACGATACCGATGAGCTCAAGGCATGTATCCGTGCCGATGTCACCAATACCAAGACTGTCGAGCAAACTGCTGTCAAGTGGGTCACCGCCTGCCTGTGTGGTGCAGGCATCCTTGTGTCTGCCTTGCTCACTTATATTGGCTCTTCTTACACCTCACAAAAGATTGCTGCCACAAGCACTCTCTTATTCACCTACTTCCAGTCTATGGCCATTGTGAACATGGAAGCCGTTGACCGGGTCCCACCCATTGCAAATGCCTGGACTGAGAATGTTGTCTGGTCAGTTGGCTTGGTTCGTGCCACATTCATGCAGGACATTTTCAGGTGGTTTGTACAGTCTACTGGTGGACATCCTGCCACCTACCTTATTTACAGCACCATCTCCGTCCTCACCCAGCGCAAGCGTGATCTGAGCAACGTGCCACCGCGTGTAGCTGATCATTACCAGTTCCATGAAGAGACTAAGCGACTGGCATCTGCTGCGGCTCCGGTCGTCACCTCTTTAACGAAGCGTGCTAACGAGCTAGCCAAAGAGACATACGCCAAGCCCAACCACTACCTGGTGGTTTACCGCGGAATCAAACGTGTTGGTTACAGCATGGGTATCGAAGTCACCTCAATTGTACTCACGTCTTACACGATTTATGGCTTCATTGTTTTCTGTATGGTTATTATTTTCCTGGCCCTTTGGGCGTTCTTCGGCTTCATGAAGCGCAAGCCAGAGGTCCTTGAAAAGCACCGTCACGCAGCGCAGTACGTTCCTATGCTGTCTATGGTTCTTAAAGGTATTATGTTGAAGCTCATCATGTTCTCTTTCCCCGGAGTGATCATGTTCTCGATGTGGGAGTGGGTTCAACAGGATTCGGCGGCAGTGATTGTTCTTTCGGTTTTCTTCTTCATTTGTACACTAGTCATTCTGTGCTGGAACGTGTTCCAAGTACTGCGTATTGCTCGTCGCTCTTCTAAAGAAACCGGCACTGCTGCCTTTTTGCTGTATTCACACGCACCCACGATGCATCGTTATGGGTTCTTATACCACGAATACAACTCCAGGTTCTACTACTTTGGTGCCTTGAATCTTTTGTACCAGTTTGTGGTTCTACTTTTTATTGCCTTTTCACAGTCCAGTGGACAAACTCAGGGATTAGCCATTTTCCTCATCGAGCTCGCAGTTCTAATTGTGGTATGCGTCTACCGCCCCTGGATGGATCGCGGTCTCAATATCATCAATATTTTGATGCAGATCGTCAAGACACTGAACGCCATGTTCTACTTGTTTTTCTCAAACCTGTTCACCCAACCGCTTGAAGTGAACTCGATTATGGGCGTCGTCTACTTTGTCCTCAATGCAGCATTCTCTTGCTTTTTGTTGATTTATATCATTGTTGTGTGTGCTCTTATGTTGTTCCGTCGCAAGCATCAGGAGGCCGATGCTGTCAACGTGCGCGACGACCGTATGTCCTTCATTTCCGACAACGTGGTGCGTCAAGAAGCTGCTGGCGAGTTGGCTGCACTTGGACAGGCAGCCCAAGCAGACCATGAAGTTGGTGATGACGTTGATTGGTACAAGTCCCAAGAGAATCCCTTCGAGTCCGGCCCGCTTGATAGTAGCTACCGCAATTCACAACGCACAAGTACTATGAACACTTCAACCTCAATCCCCACCTTTGGAGACCTCCAAGAGGGTATGTTCCGACACGGCCACAGTGAATCGCAAACCAGTTTTGGTCTTTCCGGCTCTGATGAAAAGTCGGATAAAAAGGGCAAAAAATGGTGGGTATTCTAGAAGAAAGATCATTAGCTGCATACGAGGATATTTATATAAATGCAAATCTACATTAAATCAAGTTTATCGGGTGTTACAAACCTTTAGCCATTTGTTTACTGGCAAAATCAAATTCCCACGGGTAATATGTATCGTCCACTTGGACGAGCTTGCCGTGAATCTTGTTGATTACGCGGTTTGCAAGATACCAGTGTTTTGCTTTATCTGCCCGAGTAAAGTGATAGTCTTCGGTGATTGACAGCTTGCGGGACCAGTTCGGAATCCCGTCCATTGGCACCACGCGCGGGTATTGTACATTAAGAAAGTCCGGGGTGTAGGCAAGGGGCACATATTTGACCCTACGAGTACCTTCTCGTATGGCAATCGGTGCTGAAGGGTTGTCAGCCAGTAGGGGCAGGATTGGAGTGACCCTATCAATGCAGTCGTCGCTGTTACACTTGAATAAGCCGCCTATCATAACGTTGTTCAGATAGAGCGGCATTTGACGGTTTGCATACTCTTTTCGCCGAATGGCTCGATAGCACATATCGTAGTTGATGCATAGCATTTCATTCCAATTAAAATTACCATTTCGCGAGGTAGCTATGTAGAGAGAATGATCCATACGACCGTAGGTGCAGTGAATAAATAAGTAGTGGTGCAGGGTGGGCCACCCAAAGGAGTACCGGCGGTATATACGAAATCCACTGTATGGAAGTGCATTAGAAGAACGTGGCTTGCACAGTTGAGCCTCTTTAGAAGTAAACAAAGCCTGCGAAAAGCCTAAAAACACAAAAATGGCCAAGAGGGTGCGGAGCATGAATCAAAGTGGTGGGAGTCCCAGCATGGAAGAATGAGAGCTGGAGCACAAAAGCGTTCGTTTTAGGCGACGATCACGCCAACGCTGAGACCGCCAAAACCAGCCTCGTCCAGTCTTCGAACGCATCCTCAAGGCGCTCAAGATCAATTTTGACGCCAAAGTCAAGCAAGTACAGTAAAGCAATTTCCAAACGACCCATATCCCCGGCAGATACGCCCGCAGTTGTGGCATATCTTTGCCAGGGATACAAAATGTCCTCCACCACCTTGGCGGCCACCACGAACGCCGCGGAAAAAATACGGTGAACATTGCGACGCGTCAATGGCAGTTTCTTGAGTACAACACACAGATGGTAAACATAGGCACCGGCAGTGAGGTACGTTGCCACGGAATGGTGGCAGTACCGGTCGAATCGCTGCAAATAACTGCGAATAGAAATCCCCGGCGGCTGCTTGAGCCAAAAACGTTTATACAAAACAATCAGCTGCTCGTGTTCGGAATCAATGTTCTCCTCAATCACAGCTTCACTTTCGACGGTGGTTGCTTTGTGTATAGTATCCAATTGAGCGGCAATTTGTTTTGCCTCCTCGTGTGATTCGGATATAGAGGGATGGTGGGAAGTGGGCTCGCTCTCCGGCAGACCAGCCGCATATTGGTCGTGGAGCTCCACAAGAACCTCAAGCATTCGACTGATACAAAACAATGCTTGTTTGTGCGTCAAACTATTGAGGTCCTGACTTGGGCTCGGATAAAATTCCTCCAGCTCGTCTGACATGGGACTGATTACGTCTGCAGAACGCAAGATGAGCTGCAGGTTGATGTTTTATCGGAGTCTAAAGTAGCCGAAGAAGTAGAAAGCAAACGGAACGCTACAGGGGTGTAGCTGAGTGGCAAAAAAAAGAGCGATTGGAGGCACGATGGGTAAAATGTTAGAAGGTTAGTGTTACGTATTACAGACAATGTAGCGGCAAGTGCTCGGCAATAAGAAAGTGATTGATCACGTATGATCTTGGTTATCGCTTTCATGGTCAGTGGTGAGGCTTTCTCTCAAGAGGTTTGCTGTGCTGCTGGGCAGAGCTAAGGAAAGAGGTAAGCTTGGTATCAAGGGAGTGGAGGTGAGTGACACTTTCGACCTGATGCTTGCTGGCCAAGTTGGACAGGCGAGAGACACTCTTCTGATAATTCTTAACACTGTTGATCACAGCGTCATTAACGCCATCGAAAGGCATAGCAACGAGATTGGCAAGCATGACCTCGGCACCGTTGGTAACGGCCTGTACGAAGGGGCCGAGTAAGAAATTGCCAACTGCCTTGGACAAACCAAAGGTAAGGGGAGACAACGCATTTGAGATGGTTGCAACGGCATTGTCGATCTGAGAGTCGGCACCAGTAATGAATGAAACCAAGACATCAGCGACAGCATGACCGTCGTGACTCTTCAAAGCGTGGGTCAAACTGTCCATGACTTGGCGAGAGTTCTGAATGGAACCCTCAATGCCATCGAGTTTGACAACCTGGGTATGAGAGTTGCTCTGGGCGGCGAAAGCAGTGCAAGCGAGGGCGAAAATGGCAGTGTGAGCGAACTTCATTGGAAAGAGAGGATTGAAAGAAAGTGGATACAGATTCAAGTTTGGCACTGGCGTTTTTATATTCAACGACAATACACTTTGGTGACGTTTTACGAATGGTCGTGGCCCAAACTTTGAGCCTCTTTGATCTAGTGCGTCATAGCGTGAAACAGGCGCCTTGATTGCAACAACGGCGATTTCCTCAAACAAACATCGAATTCTGTCGTACTCGGAAAATTAACCGAGGACATATCAAACACCAACTGCATCGAGTCAAGCAAGTGCTCGCTTGGAGCGGTATTATCACCAAGGATCTAGACGAGTGGGGCGAATCCAAATTTTAATTCGATCAGAACCTTATCTAGCGAGGCTGAAACAAGTAAGATGAAACCGCGATATTCTGGAAGCGAGGCTATCCTTTAGATGAAACTACGTTTTTATGAAAACCAATTAGTAAAGGCGGAAAGGAGGGCCCATGGTGGACTTGATGACCAAAGAGCCAACGTTCTGCCAGTTCTTCTTGAGCAAAGAAACAAGGAAGTTGGTAGCGATCATAATGTGGGAAACAATTTGATCGGGCTCCATCTCGATGTGGGCAACGGCAACAGCCAAGCATAAGACTTTCTTAAGCTGGAACTTGATGGTGGACTTGACCTCGGTGATCTTGGCACCCAAGTCTTCGTTGTGGGAGACAGGGGTGGGGAACTTACCAGCCTTGGAGAGCTGGGGACCTAAAAGACGAGGGACCTGCTTGATAAGAACCTCAGAAGCAACAAAGGCGTTGTACTTCTTGGCGAGCTTCTTGATGAGCTTCTTGTTCTTGTTGAGCTTCTTAAGATCCTCAACGGACATGGCATCAACACCAACGGACTTGGCACGGTCGCAGTCAACGGCGTCACCAAAGACACAGATGGTCATGTTGGGACGGGGAACGTTGGGCAACTTGATGGTACCGGCGAAACGCTTATCACGCTGGGGGTCGTAGTTCTTGAGACCAATCTGGAGCTCGATGGTCTCGAGGAAGTTACGCTTCTTGGTTTCGGAGGCAGCAAGCAACTTGTTGACCTCCTCACGGACGCTAGCAGAGCTGATCTTGGACGACATTTTGTACTATATTAGTCTCCCAAACGAATTGGTGGATCAGATAACGGGCCCTCCGGAGGTGAGTAGGGGGGAAAAGTAGTGGAAAATGTTGCCAGCAACAATAGCCCTAAAGCCCTAACTACAGACCCGCAATGAACCAGACGACCCTAACCCAAACCCCCGGCTGGGACCCACCGAGCGGCGATCATATTTGATCACGATGGAGGGAGATGTGTCATCACGTGATGCTTTACACCAAGGAACCACACGCGGCCTAGACACGGGGTTTTGCAATTCCAACTAACTGCTCAGAGGCTTACCATTTCATCCCATGCCCCGTTTTTCATCGCGTTTCTGTAACTCTAAAGCCAAAATAAACTCGCATATATACCCAGCTGGCTTTAGCTACCGCCATTTTCAGGTTGCCTAGACACCTGCATTGCAGCAGGCTGAACAGCCCGTGTTTCGACGATCCTCGAATCTTGCGGCTCCCGAAAGTTGGGGTTTAATTTATGTACTGTTAGGCTAGTTCATTGTATATTGCGGGCCTTTCTCATTAAAGTTAGCTCAACAAGGCTATTTTGGTCTTGTTCGAAATGGCGGGGGATGGTTAATAATATATTGATGGAAGCGCGTTTCTGCGCAGCGTGTGTCGTTTACTTAATTCACATTCACCTTCCAACGTGACGCTTAACGAACGATAGGCGAAAAAATGCCATCGCTCCTGAAAAAGTATCGTAAGAAGCGAGATAGCACACGATCTGACGATGGTTCAGATAGAGCTAGCTTTGGCAAGTCGCCGACGCGGAAAGTGTCTACCTCGTCCTCACTAGAATCAGCGTCCGCAGTGGCCTCGACGCTCGACTACGACGGCACCCCAAGATCGACCGGCGGAAACGCAGGAAATACCCCTAACTCTACCAAACGTGCAAATGGACTAGGTTTACAACTAAATGGCGGCATGATTCCGTCTCCTGGTGTAGGTGGTTCAATTGGTGGTCCCTCCGGTGCTTTCAACCAGCAGCTTGGAGAGCCTGCTCAAACTCTAGCCGGGTACTCTATGGCTCAACAAAATGAAGCAAAGTATGGCCCTACTCAGAATCCGCACCATTTGGATAGTCCGTTTGTCGCGCGCGACGAGGTTCATTCCGGTCAGCCAGAGACCCAGCGTCACCATGTCCCCAGCATTTCTCAGGGCCCACGGCAACCTGAGCAAGGAGCACTAGGCAAAGCACAAGATGGGCAGCAACAGCAACAGCAACAGCTGCGTGATCTAGATCAACTGCGTGAGCACGATAGATCTTTCCAGGAACGTTATAAGCAGTCAATCTCCTCGCCGCCTTCTCAGAGCCCAGCCCATTTTTTCAATCTTCCGACTAGCGAGAACCCGTGGGCGGAATGGCAAATTCGTCGCGCATGCCCGTCTCCTCGATTCGGCCACTCGGCCAATTACATTGCTGCTCGCGACGGCGAGCTCTTCATCATGGGTGGCATTCGCGATATGGATATCCTCAATGATCTGTGGGTTATTGATACACACATGTTGACTGGATACCAATTGCGTACCGAAGGTGCAGATGTAAGTGCTCGTGTTGGCCATGCTGGTTTAACCCTTGGCAACGCGTACATTTTGTTCGGCGGTGACACCAAGATTCAAGAAACTGACCCTCTTGACAATAACCTATATTTGCTCAACACAACAACTTTGCGATGGACCATTGCCGAGCCCAAGGGACCTCGTCCCACCGGCCGTTATGGTCACTCTTTGGTGAGTGTGGGTGTCAAGCTGTTCGTGTTTGGCGGTCAGGTCGATGATATGTTTTACAGCGATATGTGGATGTTTGATCTGACCCAGCTTCGATCGCCAGCCTGCCATTGGGAGAAAATTGAGCCCCTTACACCACCACCACCTCCCCGAACCAACCACACCGTTGTAACATACCAAGATAAGATTTACTTGTTTGGTGGCGCTAACCGTGACTTGTGGTACTCGGATACATGGTGTTATGACCCTGCACTTAACGAATGGACTCAATTAGATTGTACCGGCTACGTTCCTGCGCCCTGTCAAGGCCACGCTGCGACTATCATCGGAGATACCATGTATGTATTTGGTGGTATGTCCTCTCAAGGCAACCTGATTGATCAACTTTTTGCTCTCCAACTTACGACCCATAAATGGTATACATTCCAAAATTTGGGACCCGGTCCCTGTCCTCGATCAGGCCACTCTTTGACTGCGTTTGACGGGGACAAGATTTTAGTATGGGGTGGCACCGATCAGAGTAGTGCTGCTTATGTTCTAGATGTCAGTCGGATCAATTATCCTGACGAAACTGCTGAGACAGATACCTCTGTTTTAAATAGCAGTGGTAGTGCTGCTTCTCAGCCCGAAACTAGAGAGACACTGCACCCGGCGGCAGACACTAGCCTGAGTACAGGCGACGCAGTTGAAGCTGACACAAGCGCAGCACAGGGCACACAGCTCACTCGTGAGACCTCGGCAAGATCTACGCCTGCTGCACGGAAATCCATCCTCTTGAAACGTCAATCTTGGCAGCCTCCTCAATCACAGGTTGGTGGAATGCCTGGCCAAGCCCCAGCACCTGCAATGTCCGTGGCAGAGTCTGATGAGTTCGAGTCGGCGACTGATTTACCGGCCACTTTGAACTCTAGAGGTTCTGCTACAATTGGTCTGCCATCTGAGGGCTCAATTGCTCCTCTGTCTCACTCTAGCCGGGGTGACCCAGCTGTTGTTCCTGTTACCACCGCCGGTATGCTCGCAGAAGCAGAAGCCGCTGCAGAAGCGGAAGCTGCAGCACAAGCAGAGTCCACGAAGGATCGTACGGTACCGCGCGAGTTGCAGCCAGGTTCACCTTCTCAGGAAATGTCTCTTCGTGAGCCGGAAGCATCTGATTCCAAACTGGCTGCTCGGGGGCTCGAATCTTCACCTATACAAGTAGCTGATGATCTGGAGCAGATGGCGAGTTCTCCTGTTGCAAAAGATGGTGAGCCTGAGCAGGTTACGTCTCCTCGCGAGGTTGAGATTAGAGAGGCTGCGGATCTCGAGAATATCACCGCTGATATACCCGGTGCCCTACCTCGTTCTGAGGGACATCACAATCTAGCTGAAGCGTCTGAGATTGGTTCCGGTACCCCTGACACCCTTTGGAGGGCTACATCATCTTCGTCAGGGGATACCGAACTCGGCCGAGGTGACAAAGAAAGTGATTATGAGAAGCCAGTCCATGCGCGCTCTTTGAAAGATGGTAATGCAGAGTCTCCTGACGTGCTTTTTTCTAAAGCTTCGATTGTTACTGGTGTAGCATCTACCAATCAAGCAGCGCCTGAAGAGGCATCTGTACCTGAAACAGCGACTCAAGCAGATGCTGCCGCTGCTACACAATCTGCAACACCTGTAAGCAAAGATGCATTATTTGAAGCGGTATCTCCTAATGAAGGGACCGGCACTGAGGGAATTACTGAAAAAACTGAAGCTGAAACAGTGCCTACTTCTGAAGAAGCCGCTGGTGTAGCACCTGTGACTTCGGAAACAGGAGATGAACCAGGCAATTCCCTAGAGAACAAGGCGATCTCTAATGATATCTCTGATCTTTCCAACCCTACTCAGACACCTGAGAATACTGTAGTACAGCCAGTTGGTGCCGCAGTGGTGAATGCCAATGCACACGGCACAAGTGATACAGTGGAAAAGGAAATGGTTGAGCCAGACCAAGAAGCCAATTCAGCTGCTATTTGCGATGATATTATACCAGCGCGCAAATCCATTGAACCCAGCGAGTTTGACCACTTGAGACAACAAATGGCCGAGCAAAGAAAGCTGCAAGGTTCAAGCACTATTGGTGAACGACAAAATCTTGCCAACATACGCCGTGAGTTACTTGATCACCAGGAGGCTTTTGGAAAACTTCAATCTGAACGCACCGCACTTCAGAAGCAGTACGAAGCACTTTATCAGTCGACTGCTGAGCAGATGGCTGTTGTGAGTGCTGCAAATGATTCAGCAGCGCTTCACCGTAAACAAGCTGAAGAAGCCGTGAAGCGGGCAGAAGGTCTAGCCGCGGAGAACGAAGAGCTCAAGAAGCGATTGGCTGCTCTCGAGAGTGCCAGCACAGAGCGCGACGTTGAGACCAAGCAGCTAGACTACCACTCCAAGATTGATGAACTGTTCTCCAAGTGGAGTGTTTTCCCGGCCGTGGGTGGTGCAGTTGCGGGAGCAGCTACCGGTGCAGCATTGGCTGGTACGGGCGAGCCTAAACGTTCTATTGAAAGCGGCGGATCATCCGATCACTATCGGGATCTCTACGAATCTCAAAAGAAGGTTATCGAGGAGACACAGGAGGATCTCAATGAGGCATACAATGATATTTCCGAACTACAGGAGGAGTTGAAGCAGGTACAGCTTGAATTAGAGACGGCAAAAGGCCGGGCCAAGTCGGTCGACGACATCTCCGCCAAGCACAAGGAAGCAGAGTCTGAGCTTGTTACGTTGCGGGCATTCAAGGAGCAAAGCAGCCAGGACATGACTGGGTTGCAGAGTCAGCTGGATGCCGCCAAAACTCGTTGCAATGAACTGGAAGCAGAGTATAACAAGTCTGTCGAGTACTTGCAGAACCAGCAGAGCGCGTTGTCAAAGACTCGGGCCGAGCTTTCACGAATTAAAGAAGCTAATGCCACTCTGCAAGATGAGTTGAACGAGGCACGGCTGCTTGCTGGGCCTTCTTCGGAGGCAAACCAAGACCCTGACATCAGTACACAGTCTGTTGGTAGTCTAAACTACCGCCAAGCTGAGCTTCTTATCAAAGACCTCAAGACCCAATTGATCATTGCTGAGGAGGACCGGGACGAGCTTCGCGAGCAGGTTCATAAGATGAAAAAGGCAGCTCTAGCCGACCGTGTTTAAATTTGATGATATCACACAAATTAAAAATGCTGCTCTCATGTAGCACTATATACATCTTAATTACCACCAATTTTATCGAACTGATCCCAATCGCTTGCACTGTCTTCATCGCTGGGGGAGAGCGGAGACTCGGTGCTTTTAATGAAAGCCATGACAGCTTCGACAACGGGCTTTTGAGAGGGCACGTAGTGTCCACCGGGATGTTTGAGAATCTGGGGGTTTTCGCACGCGTCATAGAGGGCCATGCTGCGCTCTTCACTCACGATTGTGTCTAGCGTGCCTATAACATGCAGAGAAGGGGTAGAGAGTTTGGGATCGTAAAAGTGAGCATACTCCTCCGGCTTGAGCTTGAAACCGGAATAGAGCACTGCGAACTTGAGAGGTGGATGGGACGGCACCAACTCGGGCAGGTGTCGGGTGACCACGGCAGCCAACCCTGCGCCTTGACTGAAGCCCAACACACCTTCGAAGGGCCCCGCGGTCTCTACGGCGTCCTTTATAGTCTGGAACGCATCGCCGAGCTTATAGTACTTTGGATCGTGCTCATTAGTGGGCCACCATGAGAGCATATCGCTAGCTCCCTCTTCGACGGCGAAATCCAGGTCACTTGGGCTCACGGAAATGGGCCCCGACAAAAAGTACGATTCATAGCCTGCCTTTGCAAGTGCTTTTCTAATTGCCGATGCTTTGCGGGCAAACAATGACCCGTTCTGCGTGTATCCATGCAGGCACAAAACGGTTTTCATATTGGGCCTGTGATGGCAGTTGGATTAATAAACTTGATCTAATTAATTTTTTTCGTCAGATGATCAGACGGGGACTAAGAGTTGGTTGTCGGTGGAGTTCGAATTTTCATGGATACTTGGCACCGAACGATGATGTGCCAATTATCAAACGTTCTCAGGATGTCGACACAGATGGACAAAGCGTTGTAGAGGAGACAAGGGAGTCAAGATTCGATCTGGCTACCCTCGAGGGCAAATCGCCCTCTCCCGGCATGCTCTATTTGCCCGATGATCTTGCAGACACCGTGCAAACGTTCACAAAACATTGGGATCCTCAATATTTAAGGCAAAAAGTTTCTGCATTGTATAAAGGGCTGGCAAACGGCCAGGCCCATACGTTTGCCCAGGAGAGTATTGACGTCGAGACGAATATTCTGGGCACGTTTTTACAAAGCTACGCATCTATATCGAATGCTCTGTTGGAAGTTCAAAAAAGACTAAAGGATTTCAATCCAAAACGGATACTGGATGTTGGATACGGTCCGGGCACGGGAGTTCTCGCTGCATCAGCTATATTTCCTAGTTTGGAGCGCAAAGTCGCAGTCATTTTCGGGCATCCTAGGATGGAGCGACGTGCAAAACAGCTTTTGCGTGTGTTGGAAGAGGATTTACTCGAAGAGCAGCACACTAATATCAAGGACGAGATGCCAGGAGCAAATTCGGTTCTCGACTATGATTTGATTATTTCTACGCATCAATTGTACCACTCGGGGCCCGACGGCAAAGACATTGTTGACAGCCATGCCCAACGGCTGATCAATTTACTTTCTCCAGGCGGTGTTTTATTATTTGTCGAGCGAGGCGATCCGCTAGGATTCGAGTCCATTGCTCGAGCCCGCCAGGTTCTTATTCGGCCGGAGAACCAGAGCCAGCAGCCGTCAAAATGGGCACTTCGGAAAACACCTGCCCCCGAAAGTGCCATTTTTGGAGTCCGGGTTGTCGCACCATGTGTTCACCATAAACAGTGTCCTCTTCAGGTTGGCCTGGAGAACCGACAGGCTATGAAAAACCCGGCCAGTGCAAACTGGTGTCGATTCAACCAAAATGTACATAGACCCCGATTCACTATGGAGTTGAAGAAAGGTCAATATCTATCCCAACCATGGGATCCCTCAGTTGACGAGGAATATGGTCGAGGCAGAGGTGGCAAGGCACTTGCTGGCAAGGGCAGGCCCTTTGGTTCGGCAAATGAGTCGGCCACATTCAGTTATCTGGCCATTGAGCGGGCCACCAAAGTCTGCGAAGATGAACCCGCACCTGAAGCGCCGGGTCCTCGAATCTTAAAGCACCCATTGAAACGGCACAAACACGTTCTTATGGAGGTCTGTGCGCCGTCGGGGAATATTGAACACTGGACGGTGGCCAGATCACAAGGCAAGCAAGCATATCACGACGCCCGCAAAGCTAATGGCGGCGACATTTGGATGCTTGGGGCCAAGTCTGTGCAACAACGAGGGGGCCTGAAAAAGAGCGGCAAGTCGGACCTTGAGCTTGAAGAAAACGGCACAAAGCCAGTGGATGTGTGGAATGTCAAAAAGGAAAGCATTGAGGAAGTCGATGAGCCGTCGCTCGTGGACGCTCTTTCTCAATTCGATCCAGAGACGGAACTTGCTTCAGGAGATATCCAGACTGGCCGTGCCGACAAGGTGATGAGCAAGCGCAAACAAAAGCGGTTCAGCAAAAAATGGAATCGCGCTTAAGATTATAATACGTACATACCTACCGTAAGGGACTAAAGTCCATGGGAACCATAATCTGCGATTCCATGTGATCGATCAAATTGACAGTCTTGTGGGTTGTCTCGGCCCAACCTTCAATTTCCCAGCTGCGGCGGCGAGAGATTTTACGGTGCTGCATGTCAAGGAACTGCCAGATGTGGTAGACGCGGTTGAGTTTGCCCACGCCGGAGAACCAGGCGCCGATAGGTTCCATGACCTGCCGTCGGCACTCGAGGCCGTGGCGCCAGTTGACTTCCCATTCAGCAAGACGGCCCGGCTTCAGGTCATAAGTGCGAAGCTCAAAGATACCGCCTAGGCTTCGGGGAGCCGGGGTTCCGCCCCAGAAGTCAAATTCATGGACGAGTTGTGAAGTGCGGGAGCGCAGACAAGTACGGAGAGTTTCCAAATACTGCAAATAGTCGATTGATTTGTGGATTGCCACCTTTGAGGTGTGGAAAGCCGGATAGCCGTCGTACTCCCAGATGTGCACGAACTGATCCATGTCGCCCACAACGGTGCGCCACGAGCCAATGAGCCGGGCGGGAATAGAGCGGTCCTCGTTAAGTTTCGGATACATTGTGCCCAAGAGCTCAGTGTACTCAGTGGACTTTGAGGGAAGCACGTCATGGATGAGCAATTCGTGGACATAGCCACCTCGCATCAGGCGCTCGCTGAAGGAGCGTTCAGTCTCCGCGGCCTCCAATTGAGCCTGGCTGGAGCCGAACAAAAACGATTTGAATAGGCCACCTTCGTGTGAGAGCTCTGTGAGGTCCTTGGCGGCCTTTTCGTGGGTTGCAGCCTGGTTCTCCTCTACGAGAGGCTCTTGCTGGTACTTTGAGAGGTCAATGGGGTTAATATTTCCAAACGACGGAATGCGTCTGAACTTGTGAGCCGCGGCTAGAGACGTGGAGAAGCTACGCCGGGCAATGGCTGCGTTGCCAAAGAGAAGACGCATAGCTATATAGTCTCTTTAACCGTCAAGCGGGAGTGTCTGCTTTTATAGCCCCAGCACTGAGGGCCCCCAACCCCGCTAAGCGTGCCCTTAACCTAGTACATAAGATGCGGGCTTTAGTCCCCAAGCGGAACCGGGCGGACGGACGGGCGGAGGAGAGTGATTTTAGGGGGGGGGGGAAGAATACTTTATGTCTACAGAGGCTTTGAAGAGACTTTCGACCAAAAACTAGGGTGAAACCAGCGCTAAACGGATATTTCGAGTCTGCGAAGGAAACGACTACTTCAACGACGCGACGATTTACTCGGACTTTTGCTTCCTGGGCTCCGCGGTCTCGGGCTCGATAGCATCGGCAATATTGCGGTAGGCACCGGCGATAAAAGACACGAAGCAGATAGCGATAGTGCCGAGAATGTCGGGACGCTCGCGGAGATCGACGTGATCAGCAATGTGTTTGATGATGAAGTAGCCAGTGGACGCGGACCACACGTGGTAGTAAAGCTCTAGGGGCTGGCGGGGAATGGTGACGCCGTTGAACTCCATGAAGGTCAGAATAAAGGCGAATCCCATGGCCGGCAGCACGAGGGTCGACGAGATGACATTGTAGATCGCGGGACCGTAGTAGCTGGCAACGGCGGTGTGCAGCACAATCAGCAGCATGCGTCCGTGACCGAGGGGGCTATGGGAGGGTCCATTGTCCTTCAGATTGAACAGCTTGGGGATGGTGTAGAGCGCGAGCAAGAGCAGCGGCAGAGCGAGCACGTACGTGTTTATGGCGCACACGGACAGATAGCCGTCCTCCTGGATACCGAACGAATCAAGGCAGAGCGAGTCGAAGAACAACTCCTTGATTTTTTCTGCTGGACTGACCGACGACATTTTGGTAGTTAAATTCACACGTGGGAGACGCAGATTTTTGTAATCGCTCGGCTGACCAAGCCGCGGTAAGGAGGAGGGGGAGGGGGGCATGACGGGCCCAACGGGGTTTCGGAGGAGTAGTAACTAGTACTGAGAGTTTAAAACCTAGCAAAGATAGGGGATAAAAGCGGTGCGGTTCTTGGGGTAGTCTGGGAACTCAGCGAGGTAGCGCTTGTGCTTTTTGACGGCCCAGAAGTACATCTGCAGGGACCCCACGATGAAAAATAGCCAGATAGACCAGTTCTGGCCCACGCAAGACAGCACAAACCAGCCCCAGGCCTCAAAAAAGTAGTTGGGGCACGACACCTTGTCGAATCCGTAGCCGTAGGGGATCTTACGTTCGGTGGAGCCTGTTGAGCGCAGCGATGCTAGATTGAGGTGAACAGTCAGGTTCGAGAGCTCAGCAAACAGCCAGGCAACGCCGAGCAGAATCAGCTGGTTGCTGTCCCATTCAAACAGGTTGCTTCCGAACAGGAACTTGTTCAGAATGCTACCCTGGGCGAACGAGGCAGGAGCGTAGCTAAAATATGCGAGCAAAACGCCAGAAAGCAGCCAGTAGTGGGAGCAATTCTTGAAAAGATTGAAAAAGGGCATGGTTGCCAGGGAGAATTTGTGCACAAAGGCAGTCTCGACCTCGCGTTTGACAAAGTGCAAAAGCACGCAGACAAACAGCAGTCTTTGGCTGGCGGAGTGCGTGAACGCCTTGCCGTAGATAAGTTTTTGACCAAAGTAGAAAATGGGGTGGATGAGCAAGGGACCCAGGTACTCAATCAAGAAGACAGTGCGCCAGGCAATCTGCGGCCCCAGATCGCGAACATAGACGGTCACAGCGTCGTCGGTAGCGAAGCTAGCCAGCCGGTCTGAATTTGACAGCACCTTGTCCTTGGACTTGGACTTTTCGCTGGTAGGCTTGTCTCCTTTCACGGTGAGCCGAATTCGATTGGCAGCCAGCCCGGTGTCTTTGGCAATCATAGATGCTAGCGAAGCGGCAGTATCGGTCGGCTCCAGAGAGACCTCACTGGGCAGCTTGGAAAACTTCCCCTTCGCCTTCAATGTTGCAATAATGGCCATGTTCCGTTAACTTTCAATTGGGTTGCGCCCGAAAAAAACAGTACGACACACAGGGTTGCTGACCAAGCCCGGCAAGCTTTCTTTCTATCGCTCAGAAATCGAAACTAGTTGAACGTTTTAGACGATATGAAGCTTGTACGCTTCTTAATGAAGCTCACTGCCGAGCACGTTCAAATTGAACTCAAAAATGGCACGGTTGTCGCAGGCACAATCGAGTCGGTCAGCCCAAATATGAATACCACTCTGCGGGGAGTACGGATGACGGTCAAAGAGCAGGATCCCGTGTTCCTAGACACAATGACCATCCGGGGAAGCACGATCAGACACTATGTTTTGCCAGACTCAGTGCCGTTGGACTCTATGTTGGTCGATGATGGGCCCAAGCCCCGGAACCATCGCCCGGTGGTCAAACGGGGCCGCGGGGGCGCCAGAGGACGGGGTGGATCTCGTGGCCGAGCAGGAATGCGTGGAAGAGGAGTCTAAGCGGTGCGGGCACCAGCTTTGGGTTGTAGTTTTAGCTGATTCCGTAGCATCGCTAGCATACAAGGCGGTACCTAGTACCGGATCAAGGGCTGTCAAGGCTTTATGAAAACACGGGCAGATTTTGAATTGCTACATGCTAGTAATACTTGGTGGCGATGGCAGGCACGACGAACGCCTGATCATGGGCCAGCGTCTAAATAGAGACAATTGCAAAAAACAGTCCTCCGCGATCTAGGAAAACTCAGCCCCCCTCTTCGACCCTCTCACAGTAGCACAGTGTATATTTTTTCAAGATTAAAGATAAAACCATCGATTGCGGAATATTTGCCAGTCCTTCCGATCAGCGTCCAATACCTGCAGACCTGTGCGATTATGTAATACTGCAGCAACGGCGGCTTATAAAAGTGGCAATGGCACTTGATTCCAACTAAACATGTCTGCTAATAATATCAAGGGAAAGGTCGTTGTCATTACCGGTGCCTCTAGTGGCCTGGGTGAAGCCTCGGCGCGCGAGCTGGCCAAGCTTGGTGCTAAGGTTGTTGTAGGAGCCCGCCGGTTGGATCGCCTACAGGCGCTCGTCAAAGAAATTGGTGAGCCCGCACAGGCTGCGGTGAAGGTCGATGTCACTAAACGTGAAGATGTCGAGGCCCTCATCAAGACGGCCGTTGATCTTCACGGCCGCGTGGACGTTCTGCTCAACAATGCTGGATACATGCCGCTGTCTCTGGTTGAGAAGGGCCGGGTCGACGAGTGGGATGCCATGATCGACATCAACATCAAGGGCGTTTTGTACGGTGTCAATGCTGTGCTGCCCGTTTTCAAGAAGCAAATGTCGGGTCAAATCATCAACGTGTCGTCGGTGGCTGGCCATGTCGTGTCTCCTGGATCGACCGTTTACTCGGGCACCAAGTTTGCAGTCAAGGCTCTTAGCGAGGGCCTGAGACAGGAGCTGAAGCCTTACAACGTTCGTGTTCTCAATGTGTCACCTGGTGCCACCGAGTCTGAATTGTTCCTTGCCATTAAGGACAAGGATGTTCTTGATAGCTTTGCTAGCATGAAGCTGGACTCTGTGCCTAACACAGCCTTTACTGATGCAATTATTTTCGCCATCGGCCAGCCCGAGAACGTCGATGTGAACGAGATTATTTTCCGTCCAACTGCTCAGACACTTTAAATAGAAGTTATAACATAAAGGATACAATCGAAACCAGCTATTATTGACACCTAAGTTCAAATAACCGATGCCCTCGAAAGCTCTTGGTATGCGGTTTAGGCTGAAACATGATACATCCAAGTGGTAGACACGGTATAGTGTAGTGTCTGCGATAAGCGCGAACAGCCCCTTACAGGGCCCGTAACTTTATGCACTAACTCTATAGTGGTGTCGTACATGCTTATTATCTCAATTGCTCTATAGAAACTGTTTACAATGCCTCCCAGACCAGGATCCGGCCGCCGTCACGGTCAAATTACATTGGCTAATACTTGCCACCACTGCATGACAAACTACGCATGAACCTGCATGGCATGAGCAGATCGTCTATTTAACAGCAAGTTGTCCGGGATGTCGGGGAATTAGTATTAATTAAGCCAAGAGTTGCACACAATATTTCACAATGTCAGTGAAAGGAATCGAAGGAAAAGTTATTGTTATTACCGGCGCCTCTAGTGGCCTTGGTGAGACCAGTGCGCATGAATTGACCAAGGCCGGAGCCAAGGTGGTTGTTGGCGCGCGCCGTGTTGACAAACTACGCGCTCTGGTCAAGGAGTTCGGACTGCCCGAGGAATCTGCCGTCGAGGTTGACGTTAGCAAGCAGGAGCAGGTCGAGAATCTGATCCAGACCGCCCTAAAACTCTACGGCAAGATTGACGTGTTGATGAACAATGCAGGTGTTGCCACGTTCAGTCCGATTGAGGCTGGAGATGTTGACGCTTGGGACAGAATGATTGACACTAATGTCAAAGGCGTTTTGTATGGCGTGAACGCCGTGCTCCCGCACTTCAAGGAGCGCAAGTCGGGCCAGATCATCAACACCTGCTCTGTTGTCGGTCACTCCGTGATGCGCAATGGTGTTGTTTACAGTTCTACCAAGTTTGCGATCCGTGCCATCAGTGAGGGACTGCGTCAGGAGCTGAAGCCCCATAATATTCGCGTTCTCAATATTTCTCCCGGTCCCACAGAGTCCGAGGGCCTGAGGGTGGCCTTCGGTGAAGCATCTATGCCCACTGCGCCGAGCACTGCATTCAGTGATGCTGTGATTTACGCCGTCAGCCAGCCTGAGAACGTCGATATCAATGAAATCACTTTCAGACCCACTGCCCTCGACTAGTGAATAAAATAGCCGATACTTGATGTAGTTTTTAGTAGAGTACATCCAACTATCGTACAGCTGGACGCCAGTAAGCCAGGCGAGTTTCTTTATGCTGGCATCTGGAGGGTCTGCCGGGGCGGCAGCGCTGCACTAGACAACTTGCTCAAACACAATGCAGGCCTGATTAATTCAAACCAGATCACCATCCATAGCCGGAAAGCCCGGAAGCGATGCGGATGCAAAACGGCGATGCATGCGGCCCCTGCAGCAACGGTTATTGCAAACGTTGCTAATACTCGATTCTAACACTTGACATGAACATCGTCGGTAAAGTCGTTGTAATCACAGGTGCCTCCAGCGGCCTTGGACAGGCCACGGCCCATGCTTTGGCCGGGGCTGGTGCAAAAGTAGTAGTTGGCGCCCGCCGCCTCGAACTGTTGCGCACCATGTGCAAAGACCTGGGCCAGCCAGAAGAAGCAGCGGTGCAAACAGACGTCACCAAGCCGCAGGATCTTGAAAAACTAGTCAAAACCGCTGTTGATCTGTACGGCCGTGTCGATGTGCTCGTCAACAATGCCGGCTACATGACGCAGGGCAATCTCGAAGAGGGCAGAGTGTCCGAATGGGACACTTGTATCGATATCAACGTCAAGGGCGTCCTGTATGGCGTAAATGCGATCGTTCCGTACTTTAAACGGCAAAAATCAGGCCAGATCATCAACATAGGCTCAGTTTCCGGAAGAGTTGTCTATCCCGGCAGTGTGGTGTACTGTGCATCCAAGTTCGCGGTGAGAGCAATCAGCGAAGGGCTTCGCCAGGAGCTTAAGCCTTATAACGTCAGAGTGTTGAACATGTCTCCTGGAGTTATTGAGACCGAAATGGAAGCCAATGTCGACGTGGAGCCGATGCCGGCAAGCGCAGTAGCCAACACCATTGCCTATGCGATCGGACAGCCGGAAAACGTTGATGTCAACGAGATCATCATGCGCCCTACACTACAAGAATCCTAAATGTACCGTACTATAGATTAGTTCATTTTGGCCACTGGTCCCGGTTTCGGTCCCACCCCCCTCAAAATTGAGTCATGAACACCCCGGAAATTTCACCCTCTGCACAATGACTCAGAAAGTACTGCTTCTCGGATCCGGCTTTGTAGCCAAGCCCACTGTTGATATTCTTGCCGCAGAGCCTGGAGTTGAGGTTACTGTTGCCTGCCGTACCGTTTCAAAGGCCAAGGAGCTCGCTGGTGACCGTGCCAAGGCCATTTCGCTCGATGTTTCTGACTCTTCGGCTCTTGACAAGGCGGTTGGCGAGCATGATCTCGTTATCTCTCTGATTCCTTACACCTACCACGCACAGGTCATTGAGAGTGCCTGCCGTAAAAAGAAGCACGTTGTCACTACCTCTTATGTTTCTCCGGCAATGAAGGAGCTGGAGGCTAAGGTCAAGGAGGCCGGAATCGTTGTGATGAACGAAATTGGTCTGGACCCCGGCATTGACCATTTGTACGCCGTCAAGACTATTGAGGACGTCCACAGAGACGGTGGTAAGATCAAGTCTTTCCTTTCATACTGCGGTGGTTTGCCTGCTCCCGAGGACTCTGACAACCCGCTCGGTTACAAGTTCTCTTGGTCTTCCCGCGGTGTCCTGCTTGCTCTCCGCAATGCTGCTCGTTTCTACCAGAACGGCAAGGTTGTTGATGTCGAGGGCCCTGAGCTCATGAAGACAGCAAAGCCTTATTTCATCTATCCTGGCTATGCGTTTGTCGCCTACCCCAACCGTGACTCTACTCCTTATCGTGAGCGCTACAACATCCCCGAGGCCGAGGAGGTTATTCGTGGCACTTTGCGTTTCCAGGGCTTCCCCCAGTTTGTCAAAGTTCTTGTCGATCTTGGTTTCTTGGACGATACTCCTCGTGACTTCCTTAACGAGCCTTTGCCCTGGAACAAGGCATTTGCACAGGTCGTTGGCTCGTCTGCTACCTCTGAGATCGAACTCGAGCGTGCTATCTCCTCCAAGACGGAATTTGAGTCTACGCAGGACAAGGAGCGCATTCTTGCTGGTCTTCGTTGGTTGGGCGCCTTCAGCGACACCCCCATCACTCCTCGTGGCAATCCTTTGGACACATTGTGCGCTACTCTCGAGGAGAAGATGCAGTTCGACAGGGGCGAGCGCGATTTGGTCATGCTGCAGCACAAGTTTGGTATTGAGTGGGCCGACGGCAAGAAGGAGGTTCGCACTTCTACCCTTGTTATGAACGGCGACCCCACCGGCCAGCCTGATGGCTACTCTGCTATGGCTCGCCTTGTCGGTGTGCCCTGTGCTGTTGCTGTCAAGCAAATCCTCCGCGGCGACCTGACCACCCCCGGTATTCATGCTCCCGTTACTCCTGAGCTCGCTGACCCTCTCCGCAAGGAACTCAAGAAGGACTATGGCATCGAGATGATCGAGAAGGTGATTTCTTAAATACATTAACGTAGGTATCTTTTCTTGTTTTAGTATTCTACAGGTGGATCCAAAAGCCGACGATCCTCGAGCTGTATTCTGGGAATTAATCGCGGGAAAGTGAGATCCATAACACTCGTCTCTTCGAGCAACATGTCTATAAGCTCATCCATGTGTCTCAGTACCTCTTCGTTGCGAGTCTGCCAGCGCAGCTTTCGGTAATCGGCAAGTAGAGGCTCCAGCAGTTTGTACACATCAACTGAAGGGTACATTAGGCGGATGTAAACGGCAGCAATTGCTGTGAGGTACTTGAAATACGGCTGATGCAACAATTCTTCAACAATTTCCCGTTCGGGACGGATCAGAACCAGTTTGTACACCAAACAAATGAACGGGGTGGGACGGCTGTTGAGATGAAGGCCTCCAACGGCTTTGATTTCCGCTGCTTTATCACATAGAGTAGCAGAATTCAACCCAAAACAATGCTGTTTCCAGTAAAAACTCTCAGTGATCCGTTGTTTTAAGATCTTATCGACCTTTTCCATTCGATCACCTAATCTCAGTAAACCTGCCAGAATGTCTCTTTTGTGGGGGAAGTTCCGCGGCAAGGTGGACAGTGTCTCGACGTCGCTGCAGGGGATGTCTATTTCACGCACCGAAAAGGATCGTAATGAAGACGACACAGTCATTTCCCGGGCGCTCTATCGGTACTACAATCCATCTCCGCCCGAATGGCTAGTGCAGTCGACTCCATCGTTGTCGCCAACGGCCAGTATGGGTGCGCTACCTAATACCAGTGGACAAGGACCTGACTCTGCGCGGCCGCGACTACAGTCTCGGTCCACTACCGATTTCAGTCATATTTATTCCCGCCAGTCGAGCTCTCGTGCCAGTGTGAGTACGGAGCGCAGGCCCAGCCATTCTCCAGCGCCGTTTGCAGAGCCAGATGCCCCGCCGGGTGCACAAGCTCACACCGGCCGAGGCAAGTTTTCAAAATTGCGCCACGCAAACTGGTGATAGTGTATTAAATATCTATAATTATTGATTTTTCTCGAGAGCCGCTTCAAGGATGTCTAAACCTTTGACTGCGTCCTCTTCAGTAATGTTCAAGGCAGGAACCAGACGCAAAGTATTTGTGCCTGCAGTAATAACCAGAAGACCGCTGTCGCGGGCATGAGCGAGAACTGCATCAGGGGCGGTGGATAGCTGGACACCAAGCAGGAGACCGCGGCCCCGAACCTCAGTAACAAGATTAGGGTATTTTGAGATCCAAGAGTTTGCCCGGTCAACTATAAGGTCTGAGATTTTTGTGACGTTGGCCATGAGTTCTGGGGATGTGAGTTGGCTGAGAACATAAAGACCAATACGACAACCTAGAGGGTTACCACCATAGGTTGTGCCGTGATCACCGACTTTGAGAACGTTGTTGACCTTTTCGGAAACCATGGTAGCACCAATGGGATAGCCGTTGCCCAAAGCTTTTGCCATAGTAAGAATATCGGGGTGTGCATCCGGGCCAGCGGCTTTATGAGCCCAAAGGTCACCGGTACGACCGAGACCGCATTGGATCTCGTCGTAGATGAGCAAAGCACCAACGCTGTCGCATTTCTGACGAACGCTTTTGAGCCACTCGGCACTGCATGGGTTGATTCCGCCCTCGCCCTGGATAGGCTCGACAATAACCGCACAAGTCTTGTCTGTGATTTCATCCAAAGCAACCATATCATTGATACTAGAGTACTTGAACCCTGGAACCATAGGTGCAAAAGGGGCCTGGTATTTGGGGTTGCAAGTGGCCGATAAAGAGCCGTAAGTGCGTCCATGGAAGCCGCCCTTGAAAGCCAGAACCTCGATCTTGTCTTCAGAAACCTGCTTGCCGTATTTACGAGCAAACTTGATGGCTGCCTCATTAGCTTCTGAGCCAGAGTTGCACACAAACAAACGAGATGCGTCCTTCATGGCCCCAGATTGCTTGGTAGCCTGAACAATCTTTTGACTGAGCTGTGGGGTGTACTCATTAAAATACAGGTTCGACGAATGGACCAAAGTATTGCCCTGCTCGAACATGATCTTTGCAATCTCCTTGTTAGAATGGCCCAAACAAGTGACGGCAATTCCAGCAGTAAAGTCAAGCATCTTGTTTCCCTCCGCGTCCCACATATAAGTTCCGTCGCCCTTGACGAAAACCTGAGGGGGCCGGGCGTACGTTGTTACCATGAACTCCTCAGTTTCATTAAGCAAAGCCTTGGAGGAGATTGACCGGACGCATTGCGGTAATACAGACCATCGAGCCTTTGAAAACAACATTGAAAGTGATGACTGAGTTCGCCAAACGGTATTTCTGTAGATAAGACCCTAACCCATTTTTTTTCACGGAAAGGAAAAAACCGCGAGCACATTTACATAATTCAGAAAGCTTTCACAGCTCAGGCAACAAAAAGATGAAACCAAGCTTGGCTCTGTTTCGCATCCCACGAAGACTTGCTTCTGAGGTTATCAAGAGCGCTACAAATGCCGAGAAGCAGGGCGTGGCCAACGCATACTTTGCTGAGCTGCCGCCCGTGCTGTCGCGGTTCTTTGAAAAGTTCCCTCCTTCTCCGTTCAGGGAGTATAGCGCCAAGCCCACGCTCACAAACGCCGAAAATGCAAACCCATTCTTACCGAATCGTCACCCGGTCACCAATAGCTGGCACAAACCCAAGTACTCAATGAGACGCCAAGCCGATCTCTGGAAGGCTGCCTACCGATTTGGTATTGAGCATCTTATGCCTCCGCTGCTGCACAACCGCACATTTTACGAAGACCGTTACGAGCAGCCCCGCAAGGTTCGCGGTGCTCATCTTTTCAAACTGCGTAAGGGTGAGCGTATAGCGCCCATGCGTGAGAAGGAGGTCCAGGAGGCCCGGGAGAAACTTGACGATCTCATTGCTGATCGCAAGGGCAAGCGGTTTGAGAAGTTTGTTAGCAACAAGGGCCATGCCGGGTTTGTCTAACACGCAATGTGCTGTTTTTTAATGTATATAAATGTTATGCCTGAACAACTAGTCGTGGCGCTGAACCGAAAGTAACTTCAATGATATCGTCAAAGTAATATCCAGTTACAAGAACGGCGTAGGCCAGCAACAGTACGGAGCCCTTGAAATAGTTTGACTTGCCCTCGGCGTGCACATTGGTGTAGAGCAGAATGCAGGTGATAGACGTCCACACGTCCCAAGTGGAAAAAAGCATGGTAAAGACGTACTCTGAAATGTTGCCCGTGGCATATTTAGTGTAGCCAAGGCTTGCAATGACCACGGCAGGGACCTGCAGCAAACAGACTTGCAGAGCGTAGGCCGACCCAATTTCGAGACTCAGTGCGACATTGCCGAGGATGGCAAATGAAATAGCGTTCAAAAACTCGGCCGTGTTAGGAACCAAAGCGAAAACGGTAATGCCCAGCAGCCGCTGGGAAATGTGCACGTGCTGGAGAACAAAGTCGACGCTGTCAACTAAGATTTCAGCAATAATTGCATAGAGCAACGTTGCGGCAAGCAAGATAATATAAGAAGTGCTGCGACTCCAGTTAGGGGCATCATGGCCAGCAATATCATCCTCATCGATAGTGCCAGTTGCCCAAATCATTGCTGCATGGGTTCTCAGAGTAAAGAAGAGACCTGCAATGTATGAAATGAACAGCGCCACACAGCATGTAATACTTAATGGGCGAAGCACATCGACATACAGTGCATCGAATGCAGTCACAGGCACTCGGAATGACGAGCACTGGCATCCGTGGGGGGGGACGCAGTCTGCAGGTTCGCAAACCAGCTGAGTGCGGCCATTGATGCTGTAAAACAACGTGGGAGCGAGCAGGCCAACAATACTGAACATTAGCATAGTAGCTGTAGCACCGGTGCTGTTGGGATTGAATCGCTGGGTTTTCCTCTTCAAGGCACCAGCACACATACTAAGGCCCGGCATAACCAAGACACCGGCCATAATGGAGCCAATGATCGATCCCTCAACCAGCTCACCTTTGCCACTTCTCAACGCTACCAAATAAAGGTATACCTCAACCACTGTAGAGAAAAATGCATTAATAGTGGCACCCATTGACATGCTAGACTGCGCGGAAATTGATGCCACTGCCTGGCCAATAAAGTAGGCTAGAGGGACGATAGAGAGCAAGCTCATAGCAAAGCGTATAGCATCAGGAAGGAATTTTAGCGAATAAAAGTCTCCAATCACAATGAAAACAAGTGTGAGCATATTGATTAGAATAATGTTCATTCCATGGAAAGTGTACTTGTAGTACTTGAGCCCAAACGCACGGTAAGTACACAGTACAATCGCGAATCTTGGATCATTTTCCTCCTCAGTGAACGACGTCGAGCGTCGAATACGCAAGGCTAGCGGGTGGACGCGAAGATCATAAAGAAGCTGAGCAGTAACTCGCGCCATTGGGACACCAACAACCGACAACCAACAGGCCACGGAAATAAGAACCTGGACAGGAGTAAGAATTGCGTAGAAAAAGATAAAATAAACGACACGTGCGGCGGACCATTCACCGCGGCCAAACGGACGGCGGCGGTCGTGATTGACTTCGCTCAGCCGGCGAGGCTGCGGAGCAAAGAACAAGTGGCGGGTTGAGCCAGGGTTGTTGTTGGTAATGTGGTTTTGTTGCCATTCCATGTAATCGGAAACAGGGCGGCCGTGGCCCTCGTCTTCGCTTCGGTAAGATTCATTGAGCACCAGCTGAATATACTTTCCAAAGGGCCAGAAATAAAACAGACCCAATTTGAACAACAGCCTACCATATCGTTTCCCCGTTTCCGAAGCCGCACTAGCCAGTAGCACTAGCGAGGACCCAACCAAGCAGATTGAGAAGAGCAGCAGCCCAAAAGTCATTGACCAAACGACATTGCCCACGCGTACCGAGAGAGGTACAAGTGCACCTGGCGTCGAGTGTATATCCTCTTCAGCATTTGTTTCGACACTACGCTTCTTTTTATAGAGGGCCGGTTTCCAAATACGAATGCCGAATGGATGTGTAGAGTTGATAGCATCCTGGCGGTCTCGGAGCGAAAAGGATTCTGTAGAGTCCACACTTGCTGTCTCATTTACAGGGTCCTCATCCAGAACAGTTTGAGGGATATCTGGGATCGAATTGGCGCGCAAAAGCACAGATGACGAGCGGGAATACGGTCCCAGGCCCGGAGGTTGCTGGGCGACCTCCTCAGCAATTTCAGCACTACCGTCGTCGCAGCTGAAATTCCGGGGTGGACGAGCTTGCCTGTTGAATCTGTTTCTGGCAGACGCAAGGTGGCCTGGTAATGTGCGCAGCGAGTCTCTCAATGGCGCGCCTTCTGGAGCAGCCGAAGACATTGCGGATGATTCCAGCGATGCCGCAGGGTCCATTGACGAATTTCCATCATTGACGGACGATTGACGCGGCATATTTTTGATGTGCTCCCAAGTCACACTGGGATTGCGTTTGTTCGACGGGTCTTCTGGATCACCATCTTTGTGGTGGTGGTTACTCATGAACGTGGTGCGACACTTTGAATGAGGTCTTTAGGCAGATTGGAGGGGGAATTGGGACTATAGATCAGGGGGTTCCCCTGCACGCGAGAAAGCCAGTTTATAGTCTGGAGGAGCTGCTCTAGTATTGCTGTAGTGAAATTGCAGGCTGTAATCGCTATTTTTTGCTCGCGAATGTTGTTCGCTGGTGTCAGGGTTATGGGATTGCCCTGTCTCCTGAAGAGTTCCTGCAGCACAGTGACACTTTGCAGTGAGGCGGTACGTGGCAGCTCTGTAGCGAGCAACTAATACCGGTATATAGTGACTTTACATAGTATATCCCACGCAGGTCAAGCGATCGGCACTATCTGCGTCTCCCAGTCCTCGCTGAAGCACCTGTTGCTATTAATAACGGCGAGATTGGTTGTGCAGCCATATAAAAAACGGAGGCAAACGTAATCAAGGACAACACGAATCTTGTCACAGAACTAGTGCTCTTTTTTTTCTGGTTGCAGCACATAGACGTTCTTTTTTATTGAGCTGTTGGTTATTTTAATTGGCGGCTTGTATTTATATCTCGTGCCTTCCATCTCTGATACTAGTTCGCATTGCTACAGGTACTGTTATTGTTCGTGTCTGCTCCAATAATGGTTTGGTCGTCTTTGATAAATACCGCTCTTCTTCTTGCTGCGTTGCCTCAACCTGCTAATGCTGCTATAGATCGTGTCACATCGTCGTGGACACCGCCGTCCTCTTCCTCTCTAGTGCAAAAGCCCACGATGGTCTGGGTCACTGCCACACTAGATGGTATTGCACAGACTTACCAGTCGGTATACACGCAAAAGTTTTCGCTGATGTTTTCTACTGTTGCCACACCACCCTCGGGGATTATTGGTTTGGGTACACTCACGAATTCGGCCTTGACAGTTCCTACCGTCACTCCGGTCATGGATCCTGGCTCAGCAGTTGGCGGAGCGATTTCGTTCCCTGACTCTACGGGCACTGCTGCTGCTGCTGCTGCTGCTGCTGCTACGACACAGTCTACCACTTCATCCACAACGACAACTCCTGGTGTCGCCGCCGCTGCGGGGGCCCTGACATCGAGTACCACGACTCCCGGTGTTGCGGCCGCTGCGGGTGCTTTGACATCGAGCACGACTACTCCGGTTGTGCCTGCTGCTGCCGCTGCCTTGACGACTACCACGACTCCGGTCGGTGCTGCCGCTGCTGTTACCACCACCACGACTACTCCGGTAGGTGCTGCCGCTGCTGCTGCTGTTACCACCACGACTACTCCGGTCGGTGCTGCCGCTGCTGCTGCTGCCGTTACCACCACGACTACTCCGGTCGGTGCTGCCGCCGCCGCCGCCGCCGCCGCCGCTACTACTACTACGCCGGTGGGTGCCGCTGCCGCTGCCGCTGCCGCGACTACCACTACACCTGTCGGTGCCGCTGCGGCGGGTGGTGCTAATGTGTAATGAAAAAACCCCTTTTTTCCTGCCGCGGGCGGTCCCGGATTTTTGGACGCTTTTCAATTCATCTTAGCTCAATTTACACTAATTTTATTTCCTGAAAACGCATACTAAGGCACTGCTGCAGCTCTCCTGCAAGACCATGAGACCTGTCACATTTTTCAAAAGTAACTCTATACGTATGTAGACAATAGATCGAGAAACAACATCCTCACCACCGAGATTTAAAACGATCTTCGACAGAGCAATGGCGCGACGAGTAGGACGAGCAACCCAGACTCCGCGCAATCCGTCGGGCAAGACCCGTAAACGGTTGAATTGGACCGAGGAAGCGGAGGACAAAGTGATCCTCATGCGCCATCAGGGCCGCACTTGGCGAGAGATTGCATCCGCGTTAGATATTCCTCGTTGGCAGAGTGTTCAGATGCACTATCTACGGAATCTCAAGGAGCCCGATGCTAAAAACAATGAGACACCACTAACCGAAAAGGCTATTCAAGCTATAGAGGAGGATTGGGGCACCAGGTGGGAGCGCGTATCGGAGAAAACTGGCATCTCTGTTCAGGAACTGAAGAGACTGCTGCGAGCCTCAAGCAGTAATTTTCAAAGTACATACTTTGGCGTCCCGTGCGAGTGCGGAGGAGTGCCAATTAATGATCCCCAATACCCAGCACTACCGGCGGCCTCCTCCACAGTCAACGACACTATGCCCTGCATCGATCATCGCTTGGAAAACATACCTACCGTATCCAATGCGTCCTCACCATTTTATTCGTATGTGATACTACCTCCTCAAGATTACGCTCCCCGAGCCTCTCAAAATTCACCCACATCTTGGGGCATGATTCCAGAGCCCTTTGACGATAGTACCGGGAGTGCGGCAGCTGCGGCAGCTGCGGCAGCCTCGTGGGGCGATTCAGTAGGCGCTCAGACGCCAACGTCCGCGCAAGCCCGCCGTAAGTCAATGATGCAGGACATCGATTGTTATTTACGCGGCAACTACTGAAAGCAAGCGGCCCAGAAAAATTGAATGCTCAAGCATATTTGTTTTTTTTTGTTTACGAGAGAATAAATCCTTTTTTTTTCTACTTTTATTTTCGATATCTTCGAGAAAAGCGCAAGGCTAAAAAGAAAAGAAAAGACATACACACAAAGGCCTGCGTATAACCGGCACTTTAAAGAGTGATTGCGGACTTGGACTTGGTGCGAGCCTCATCGTGGACATGGTACTCGATAGCATTGGGTTTATCAGCAAGGCCAAGAGCCTCCTTGAAGCGCAGAGCTACGTCACGAGTGGCCTCGTGCGAGCCAGTAACCCACATGGCAATTTTAACGGCACCCTTTCTGCACATGACGAAAATACCGTTTACAAGCTCCTTGCCTTCATCATCGCAGTCGAGAGTACCACCAATGGCGGCCAACATAACATTAAGCCATTTCTCGTCGATGTCAGGGCGCATCTGGCGGCTGACGTAGATCCATTTACCACCACGAGCATTAGCGGGATCCTCCCACTCGGGGCGAATTCCTTTCTTGAACAAAGAGAAATCAGACTTAAAAGGAAGCTCGACAACCTTAGGAACGGCCTTGTAGGCACCCCAGAATTCTTCGACGGTGTTTACGGTGACCAGCTCTTTTAGCAGAGTACTCCAGTCTTCGTCCGGGTGGCTAGGAGGCTTTGTGTACCACAGAGTCCACTCGTGAGAAAGCGGATGGACGACGGTGAAATCTTGCGCGGAGTGTAAAACCGTCTTAGGGGTGTCCTCTAGACTCAGTTTATCAATTTCGACTGAAGAAGTCATGCTGAAGAAGTGGTGCTGGCCTGAGTAATCAGGTTATAGCTGGGAACGCCAGGCAAGGGGATGCAACAGAGAGATGTTGTTTTGGCTTGAAATCAATTTTGGTTTTATTTAGCGCAGTACATAGCAGCACTGAAGATCTACAGCTAATAGATCTCTATTTAAGTCATTTCTGTTCAACCAGTGCTTGACATTTTTGTCCGCGCACCGCCACTTCCAATATATCCCGGGTTAGGGACCCACTCGCCCGCTTTGAAAGGAAATATCTTTGTCAATCAACTCAAATCATGATGAAGCGTTTACTGGCGCGGGGCAGTATATTGCGTCCCTGCGCACTAGTTTTGCCCCGGATTGTTAGGAACAGGCCTGTTTCTATAATCCAGAGTTTTCCCATGACGTGTTATACACTGAAGCGTCCGGTTCTGCCAAGCATTGGCGCCCATCGACTGGAAAATCTGCAAAGGGCGTTTTCGACCAAGCCTGAGCCGGAAACGCCGGCCAGTAAGATGAGCAAACGAGAGCTACGACACCAAGATAAGCAGGAAATGCTAAGCCAGGCCCAGGGCCGCCTGGGCCGCCTTGCTGCAAGATTCAAGTGGCTGATGATCAGAGCCCAGCGACCCTTCAACACGGACGATTTGAGCGCCATGTTCAGTTGGATTATCTGGGGCCACATTCTCTGGATTGTGCTGGGCACCACCACGTTTTTGTCGCTGCTTATTTGGTTCATGTCCAAGTTCAACTTGGAAGAGCATCTCGCGACGTTTGTGGGCAATATTGTCACCAAAGAAACAGGAATGCGAGTCATTTTTGAAGAGGCAATGGTGCCAGACTGGAAAAAGGGATCGATTGTGTTCCGCAAAGTCTTTGTTTCGCGAAGACCTGGGCCGCCCACGAAAAAAGTCAGGGTGGGCTCACAATCCGTTGCAGCCGCCGCGGCCAAAGTAGAGCACCGCACAGAAACTGAGGCTGATGACGATGGCAACTACACTCAATTTGACCTCACGATTGATTCTGTCGCGGTTACTCTTTCCGTTGGGCACTGGTTCTCCGGCCAAGGAATTTTGCAAACGGTAGATCTCAAAGGCATGCGGGGTGTAGTAGATCGTCGACACCTCAAGTGGGATCCAGACTGGGATCCGACAAAAAACGTTAATGTACCCAAAAGAGGCGACTTTGTGGTTAACAGTTTCAAGATGGAAGATGTTTTGGTTACCGTCATGCAACCGAATGGAGGTGGCCAGTTCGACGTTGGAGTCTACTCGTGCGACTTGCCCAGGCTGCGAAAGCAGTGGCTGTTGTACGATTTTCTGAATGCGAACAACATGTCTGGTTCTTACGACAACTCGCTGTTTACACTGCATCCACGCCAATTGGCTAACCAGTTTGATGCCACGGAAAACAACAGCTACCAGCGGATCCAAAGACTGCGAATTGACAACGTTGACGTGAGGCATTTGAATCGCGGCGTGGAGGGAATGTTTGGCTGGATTGAATCAGGCACAGTCGACTTTTTGGCGGATCTCATGCTACCCTCAGCAGACGCTCCGGTCATGTCGCTAAAAGAAAAAGTTCTTGACTTGCTCGAGCGCTGGCAGGCTGTGTTCAGACGTCAAAAGCCCTCCGAAATTGTCACGCAGATTGATGAAAAGCTCGAGGCTGAGCAGTCCCAGAAGCGGGTGCTCATAGATCTCCGAGTCCAGTTCAACAACACGCGGGCCCAGGTGCCACTCTACAGCGCTGATCTGAATCCTTTCAACAACGCACTGATGCATCCAATCATTGGCTACATCAATTCCCGCGACACCTATATCCCGATCCACTGTCGAGTTGTGAAAAAGTTGTCAGATTTTGACGGCAGCTGGACTGTCTACGACAGCCGACTGATGGACGATACAAGCGACAGCCTTTATGAAGCATTTGCCCTCAACGTGTCGGACCACGAAGCGCGAAACCGTCGAATTCGCAAAGTTGGGTTCTGGTCCATGCAATTTCTTGCCCAACTTGTGCTGTTGACGCTAGGCATTGTTGCGTAGTGGACGCAGCACGGCACTCACCCCCCCCCCAATCAACTTAACGTCAATGTACATATTTATTATTTATCTCTTGTAATGACCCTTTTGTTTACAGTTTTTCAACTAAGTTGTCCCGATCGGCATAAAATTTTCCGTTGATCCGCTGCAGCCGGGTAAGCCCGGGGCCTCCCTGCCCCTCTCCCCGCTCTGCTGTGTTGAAAAGCTCGGTAATCACCTTTCGTGTCATTAAGGCGACGCAGTACTTCGACCGACGACTTTGAATAAAACGATCTTAATTTGCGAAATGTTGGCACGTCAATCTATTATTCCTCGCGCTGCTGTTCGTGCTTTCAGCACAGGCAAGGCCGTACGCTCGTATGAGGACACCCGCGACAACATCAAGCTAACTGCTGATACCAAGGTGATCTACCAGGGGTTTACTGGCAAGCAGGCTACTTTCCACGCCACGCAAGCTATTGAGTACAACACGAAGGTCGTCGGCGGCACCAACCCCAAGCGTGCGGGCCAGACTCACCTTGGTTTGCCTGTGTTTGGAACGGTTGCCGAGGCTATGAAGGAGACGGGCGCTACTGCCACGGGAATTTTCGTGCCTCCGCACTTGGCTGCTGGCTCCATCATGGAGGCCATTGAGGCCGAGATTCCTCTGGCGGTCGCAATTACTGAGGGCATTCCCCAACACGACATGATCCGGGTTGTCCAGGCCCTCAAGACCCAGAACAAGACCCGGGTCATTGGTCCTAACTGCCCTGGTATCATTGCCCCCGGCAAGTGCAAGATCGGCATTATGCCCTCCAACATCCACCAGCCTGGCCGTATTGGTGTTGTTTCCCGTTCTGGTACTCTTACCTACGAGGCAGTCAACCAGACCACCAAGGTTGGTCTTGGCCAGTCTCTTGTTGTTGGCATTGGTGGCGATCCCTTCCCCGGCACCAACTTCATTGATGTCCTCAGCGTGTTCCTTGAGGATGAGGCTACCGAGGGTATCATCATGATTGGTGAGATTGGTGGTACTGCCGAGGAGGAGGCTGCTGAGTTCCTCAAGAAGTACAACCAGTCTCGTGCTGTTCCCAAGCCCGTTGTTTCGTTCATTGCTGGTGTCTCTGCTCCTCCTGGTCGCCGCATGGGTCACGCCGGCGCCATTGTTGCTGGCGGAAAGGGCGATGCCAAGTCTAAGATCAATGCTTTGACGAATGCCGGTGTTATTGTTGAGCCTTCGCCTGCTGGTTTGGGTGCTGCTCTTTATCAACAGTTTGTTGACCGCAAGCTCCTCTAAAATAGCTTTAGAAAACCCCTGCGGGGCGTTCTGCCACCCTATTTTCTACAAAGAATATCAATAGACTGAAGATTTCCTTTAAAAAACCTCCCCTGTCTAGGTGGTCTCATTTCTTCAACCCTTGCCTTAGTCTTAACTCGCAGGTCTGCTCGACGGGCTCATCCGGTTGCCTAATCGTCGACCCTATGCTGGTTCACATCATTCGCATGGTGCATTGGGGAGGATTACAACAAGAGGAATCGCATCTGACCCACTCATTTTCGAGCGTTCGCAGTACTGAATAGTTAGTCTTGCTTTTGTGAAACTGGTATTTTGTTTAGAATTATTTATTGATCATTATTATCCGAGAAAGTCTGGCTCTCCACGGAGCTTGCCCCGCAAACCGCCCTAGCCCACCCAAAAAAACCAGTACGATTTTCATGCAGGGCTCGAGCCTCGTATCAGAAAAAAAAACCCTCCATCATCGCCGCCTGACTGACTTGTATGCTTGATGCCAGCATCCGTGCATTCGTCCAAGTCGGGTAATTCTATTATGAAGAATGAAAGCTCGGTTACCTCGAGTGCCGACGAGGTTCGTTTTTACACCAAAGATGACCAGGACGATTCTGCAGACGAGTACGAAGTCCCGCACACAGACACTGTTACAGTTGAGCCCCTGTCTCGCTTGGAGTCTAGGTACTCTGTAAAGACGATTTATGGCACAACGGACAATGAGGTTATCGAAATGACTCGCAAGAAAACCCGGGAGACGATCTGCGACATCCTGGAGAAAACAAGCGCGGGCGAGCCTTATATCGACGACGACAGGATCTCGACTGATGCCGTGGACAAGGTCCCCATGGACGGACGGGAATTTGCTGAAATCGATCCTGAACTGGTTACTTGGGATGGAGAAGATGATCCCAAAAATCCGCGAAACTGGTCGAAGAAGGAGAAGGCAAAAGTCGCCGCTTTGGTCTCTTTATTCACAATGTGTGCTCCTCTGACGTCTTCTATTTTAGCGCCGGCCGTACCTGACATTCTTGAAACCTACAATAATCATAATGAGACCGTCGGTGCTCTGTACATCTCCTGTATGGTATTCACCTGGGCAGTTAGTGCACTGGTCATTGCACCCCTTTCAGAAGTCTTTGGTCGCCGTCTCATTCTCTTAACCTCTATTTTGTGGTGTACCATTTGGAATATTGCATGCGCAGTCGCCCCTACGTCTGCCACTATGATTGCATTCAGGATCATTGGAGGAACCATCAACTGTGCCCCCATTGCTGTAGGTGCTGGTACACTTGCGGATTTATACGATGATGTTGAACGAACTTGGCCCTTGGCACTGTACGGTATCGGGCCGTCTATTGGCCCCGTTATTGCCCCTATCATTGCCGGGTTCGTGGTTGAATATTTAAATTGGCATTGGACTTTTTGGATCGTTTCTATTATTGTTGGTGTGACTTTTGTTGTTGGTGTGTTGTTCTATCGCGAATCTTATCCCCCGTATCTGTTGAGTCGCAAAGCAGCAAAACTGCGAAAAGAAACAGGAAACCCAAACTTGCATACAATTTGGGAGGTTAGCACTGAATCAATGTGGACGAAAATTCGCAATGCCGTGGTTAGGCCTGTGTTTTTCCTCTGCACTAATTTCGTTGTCACCGGCCTTGGTCTCCACATGGCCTTTGTCTACGGATTCATGTATATCATGTTGGTTAGTTTCCCTAGGCTTTGGCAAACTTATTACCACTTCTCAGTTGGTATAACCGGTCTTGCCTATATTCCTTTAGGTCTGGGAATGATCACTGGAACACTACTTTGGACACCTCTGATTCGTAACTTTTTCGTTTCCCGCATGGAGAAAGGTATTGGTCGCCCCGAGGATAAGCTGTTTTATCTACCAGTATCGACTGTTATTATGAGTATTGGGCTATTCTGGTACGGATGGAGTGCCGAAGCTAAAGTGCACTGGATCATGCCGATGATCGGCGTGTTTTTGTTTGGAAGTGGCATCTTTGTTGTCTTCCAAGCTATCCAATCGTATTTAGTAGAGCTCAATCCTCGACTAGCAAGCTCTATTCTGGCTGCGGTCGTTCTAGGTCGCGGTCTTTTAGGAGGTACTTTCCCTTTATTCGGTCGGGCAATGTACGACCGGCTCGGCTATGGCTGGGCTAACACGCTAATTGGTATTCTTATGCTCATCTTGGGTATGCCCTTCCCGATTATTATTTACTTCCGTGGCCCACGAATTCGTGCGTGGTGCGATAAACGACTGCCTATCATTTAGTACTAAATAATTTACATGTGCTATGGCTGATCTCAGCTGACTGACCTGCAATGTTCAGGGTCTGGCAGAGTGTGCGACATAAAAGCACCACCGCGGTGATAAAAGAAATTAATGATGTTCAAAAGTTGTACATGAATCACCCATGGTCTCCTGGATCTACCTTTTTTTATCCTGAAGGCGCTCATGTGTTTGGAAAGCTTGTATCTTTCATGAAAGCTCAAATGACCCGCTATGGCTTTCAAGAGGTAGTTACCCCACAACTTTATCGGAAAGAGCTTTGGCAGACTTCAGGGCATTGGGATCATTATAGGGACGATATGTTTGGCGTGTGTGATGGCCATGACACTGACAAAATCGAGTATAGTCTCAAGCCAATGAACTGCCCTGGTCACTGTCTTTTATTTGCTAGTCGAGAACGCAGCTTCCGTGAACTACCCGTTCGTTACTCTGATTTTAGTTCTTTGCACCGTAACGAAGCCTCTGGTGCTCTTCAAGGCCTCACTCGCGTTCGACGTTTTCATCAAGATGATGGCCATATTTTCTGCCGCCCCGATCAAGTGGCCGAGGAAATCGAACGCTCTATTGCCTTGGTGGATACTGTTTACAAAGTTTTCGGGCTAGAGTATACTATGCTGCTGTCTACACGCCCCGAAGACTTTATGGGAGAACGAGCCCTTTGGGACGAGGCCGAGGATGGACTAAGAAAAGCCATTGAGGCCTCAGCTAAGCCCGTGGTGATTAACGAAGGTGATGGTGCGTTTTACGGACCTAAAATTGACTTTGTTGTCAAAGACAACCTTGGTAAAAGTCATCAAGCTGCTACTATTCAGCTCGATTTTCAGCTCCCTCGCAACTTTGGTCTTACCTACGACGATAAGACTGGAGCGGGTGTACCTGTGATTGTTCATCGAGCCGTTTTGGGCTCTGTTGAAAGGTTTATGGCGTTGCTTATGGACCACTATTCTGGCAAATGGCCCTTCTGGCTGAACCCTCGGCAAGTAGTTGTCATTCCAGTTTCTGATGCCCATGCCGAGTACGCAGACCAGGTTGCAGAGCGGTTGAGAAACTTTCGCACAAATGATGGTGCTGCTCCGCTTAGTGAACAAACCTATGCCGTCGAAGTCTATAAACAGAGTGAACCTCTTTCTGGTCGACTGAAGCGAGCTACTGAGCTTTCTGCCTCGTTTGTGGTTGTTGTCGGCGATCGTGAAGTCCAAGATGGAACAATCAGTGTTCGTGAACGTGGTGTCCGCAAGAGTGTCACAATGACAGTGGACGATCTCAAGGAATTGTTTGTAGAGCTAACTGCGAACTACGCTCCTTGACTTGTATATAATAAATAATTAGGTACTTAACCTTCGAAGTCCTCATCCTCGAGCCCATCTTCTGGTTCAAATGGAATCGAGTATATTTGTGGTTCGGCGTCCAAATGGGTCCAGAGATCTTTTGGTAGGAAATCACCCCAAGCGTCAACGAACCGAGCCCGAGCTGACAGCTCAGTGGCATGAGCAGTGGCAAGTTGAGTGTTATACTCAGCAATTTGACGACTTAGCTGCCCTTGGGCGCGTTTGCGGCGAACTTTTTCGTTGACCGTGGCCCGGTATGCTTCGCGGAAAAGTTTGTAGTAGTCCGCTAACCCATCAAGCTCTGCAATGTGCGCATTGGCTTGCTCAAACAGAACCGTACACTCATTGTAGCGCGAATTCACTTGGTTACCGTACTTTCGTAGTGTATGAGACGTGAATGCCTCAAGGCGGTCGAAAAAGGCATTCGATCGATCGTACAAAGACTCGAGGGTGGACAAGTAAGACTGCGATTTTGAATAGAGCTGTAAAATCTGGCCGCTTGCGTCATGGAGCATTTTTAGTGCCGGTTCCAATTGCAAACGATCTGCCTCCACAACCGCCAGCGCCTGTTGGACCTCTGTAGAATCCAGTTCTTGGGTTTCAATACACAGATCATAATGGCGAGTTAGGCTATCGAGCCATTGAGCCATTTCATGCGCGTAGGGCCCCATCTGCTCAGCAATCGATGCCATATCGGTGACCAGGTTTTTCAAACTGCCCGTTGTAAACTCATCCATAGACGGCTGGTGGGACCTAACCGCTATGAGCTCCTTCTGCAATTTATCAGGCAAAGCCACCAAGTCTCGCACTCCCTGTTTGAGTTGCGCTACCAAATCGTCTGTCTGGGTCTGCAAGGTCTGAATTCCGTCCATATGCACAAAGCTACGTAGGGTTTCTCCGGAGTTGACGAATGCGGGGTCTATTTTAATTTTGCCCAGCTGTGAAAGCTCTTCCAGCAATATTGATTGAGCAGATTGCAACTGTTTGATGTTGGTGGAGCAGTTCTTGTCCGCCTGCTCGATAGAAGTGCGCAAAAGGACGTACAAATTACCCATATTCTGGAGCTGGTCGGTTTGGGCGTCGTTCAGAAACAATAAACGTGCTCTTAAGACAATAGCCCGCTCCATACACTGCCTACTCTCATTTACTCGTCCATTGGCAAGCACACACAACGGATCTGCCTCTCGTAGTGCCATTTCGGCCTCCTCAATCACCTCTGACGACGCCATTATTTATAGGGTCAATGCCTGCTGCCTTTGTCATTTAAAGCGGGTTAAATGGGTAAGACGCTTCTAAGTTTATGGGGGCTCAAACCGCCTGATCCGCCGGTTTGTGCGGATAAAATAACCCAAGATACGAGTAACAGTCTTTCGCTGCCGCTCAATTTCGAAGAAACCCCCTCTGGCCCGCACATGTCGCAGGCGACTCCTGAACAACCACACGACGCGAATATACCGGTCAATAGCTTTCTTGCTCCCCAAAAAAGGCGTCCTGACGCTGAGGATAACTCAAACACTCTTGAAATCCGAGAATTGACTCCTAGACCGAGTGTTATGTGCACAATACGAGCGCGCCCAGACAGGCTGAAGGCCATAAAGCCTAAAGTACATGGATTTTTCCAAAAACGAGTAGCACCGCCTCCTTCAGAGCTCTCAAAAGAGCTAAAAAATGTTGTAATGCCAAGCCAGCCCGCTTGTTGGCCAAAGTACCAATCGCGTCCCGAACGATCCGACCATGTTGACGCATTACCACGTCGAAAACGGGCAAAGCTCCGGCATGTTCCACAGGTACATGGCCCAAGTGGCCCTGCTACACGCTATGGACCTAAACTACCCTCGTTATTACCCTATATTTCTGGACCGCTGCCTACTCGAACACTGATGACCTCTGAGGAAGCGTGCCAGGTTGTGTCTTCGGGTAAACCAGAAGAAGACCCGCTACTTTTGAAAATGAGGTCTATAGCTGGTATCCAGCAACCATTTGATCTTGGGGATTGGGAAACCCAGATGTGGTGCACAAAATATGCCCCGACAACGGTATCTCACTGCATCAATTCCAGAGCAGGGAAGCTAGCGTATCGGTGGATCAAAAGACAGATGAAGCTTCTAAAAAATGGCCCAATAGTTCCTCGCAGAGCGAATGAAATGACCGACTTCATTGACGACGAAAACGCGAGCCTCAGCTACCTTTTGTTGCATGGCCCTTCTGGTATGGGTAAAACGGCTACAGTCTATGCAGCAGCTCGCGATCTAGGAGCGTTTGTATTTGAAATCAATTCGTCACAAAAGCGAGGCGGAAAGGAAGTGTTGTCGTTGCTTGATGGTATTGGCCATAGTCGAGCCGTGCACAATAACAACGAAAGGAAAGACTGCATTATTCTTATTGACGACGTGGATGTGCTGTTTGAGTCAGAAGCTTCACTTTTCAATACACTCGACCGCGTCGCACAAACGACTCGTCGCCCTATAGTTCTCACTTGCCAGGATCTGGACCGTCTGCCGTATTCGGTGCTGGACACCGCAGAACACTTGTATGTAGGCGCTCCAGATCCTGTGCGAAGTGTTGAATATGCTTGGCTCGTGGCGTTTTGTGAAGGGCACCACCTCAGCAAAGAGGTGGTCGCCCATACAGTCGTTCGATACAATGGTGACATTCGGAAGTCCCTGACCCATTTGCAGTTTTGGTGTCAAATGGCAATTGGAGGACGCCCTTCCAGCAGTGATTGGCTTCTGACAGAACCTGGGTTTGACCGCGTCATAAGCATGAATACTCCAGTTGAGCTGCCTGAAACGCATGCCCTCGCAGCTTCTGCGCCTATCACCGACGAAGTGACTGAGATTCTGTCACTATTTGACGCACATCATCGACAAAAAGTACTTCGCGAACCGTTTGCTGATGGTCTTCAAGGTATTCCCGAGCCGGGATGGGTTGAAGTCCTGGACGCACCCGTATATATCGAGGACCCCTTCCCCCAGATTCATCGTCGCTCACTACGTCAACTACGAGACACTCTGTGGCATGCACATAATGACAAGCTATTGGTTACAGATTATGCGCCGTATGCTCGCCGAATGGCGTTAGCAGATCGTGCTCGCAACCAGATGCTTGCCGAAGCAAACTCGGGCCGCCAAAGCCGCAGATCATGGGCCGCTCGTGGACTCGACGGTCGCCAGCATCTCTCAAATGGTGAACAAGTTTTGAGATGGGGGTGGCCGGGCCAAAACTCATTTCCAGATTGCATATAAATTATTAACGAACTGCCCTTTTATAATTAGATGATCTTTGCCGCATAGTTCATGCCGCTGCGATAGTAAGTGGTCATAGCTGTTTGTCTTGGCTGCGGAGCCTCTATTGCGGCACAGGCCTCACGGATATGACGAGGAAGCAGTGGAGTTTGTTGCTTGTTGGGTCGGTCAAACAAGTACACCTGTTTCGAGGGCCGCTTTTGCTCGTCATTAGGGTGGTCTGACGAATCTTTGATCTTGAGAGCGAACTCTGTCAAATTAGCAACAATTTCGAATGTTAAAAACCCTAGAATGTCCACAATATCGTCTTGGAGACGCGTTTCAGTTAGGTGGGAGATGCCTGCCCATTCCCGGAACCGTTTGCCTTTCCGGAATGTGAAACTCGCTTGCCGAGACTCGCTCCAGTGAACGTACTCTTCTTTTGTCATATTTTGGGTTCTCAAGTCGGCGTTTCGAAGTCGCTCAGCGATGGCCCGATTAGCCTCGCTATCCTCGTCGTCACTATCGTCATCATCGTCATCGGGGGCAGGAATAGAGAACATGTTTTGCAATTTCCATGGCATTCCAACCTTTTTGGTTTTATTGAACTTCTTGACCGCGTCACCAGCGGCAACTTCTGTCTCGTCTTCTATGAGGTCCGTTCCATCGACTCCACCGCCGCTATTACCATCCTGTTCTCGAGCATTCTTGCGCAGATCTTTCCAGGAAAGGTAATTTGCCAGTCTCTTTACTTTTGCGACGTCGTGCCGTAAAAGAAACATCACATCCTCAACGTTAATGGCTCTTACTCCCCGCTTGCGCGCCAGAGCCATGCCCTGCGACACTAATTCCACAACCTGGGCTCGAACAATGTCCTCAACTAAGCTCAACGTAGCTGTGGGTGGATCAGTAGTAGCCCCGGACACAAACATCATTTGCTGAATCTCATTGCGGTACTTGTACCGTTCCCCCAGCATTTGTCAGGATGGACGGTGTGATCTTAGCCTCGGACTCTAGTGAGTCTGAGGTTGAGGATATTTCAATTGACGATGTGCAGGTTTTACAGCCTCAGGATAATGGAGAGTACTCTGAGTACGGCATAGGCGCGCGGTTACTCCAGCAAATGGGATTTGTGCCTGGTCGGGGCCTTGGTGCTAAGGAAGATGGCCGGCGTGATATTGTTGAAACTATCGGGAGAGAAGGTAAACAAGGTTTAGGAGTAGGCATTATTCCCATTCAAGAGGCGTTTGAAGTTGCTGAAGATGAGACTAGCGATTCTGAAACCCGAGAGCTCGAGCTAATCGTTCAAAAGATCCAGGCCTGCAAAGCCGTCAAAAAGGAGCTGCAAAAGGATATAGGGGACATTGATCTAGAGGATATTTACGCAAGGTATGGGCAGTACTGGTCTAGCATGCCTATTGAAGACCTGGCCATTGTTGTTCAAAGCGAAAGATTAAGGAGAGGGGCCAGTTTAGAGGATATTTATGAATTGAGGTTCCTGAGTGATTCAGACTCGGTTAAAAAGATGCTGAAAGCCATTTGGATCCCAGAAGTAAAGCGTAAATGCCTTGAGTGGTCAGATGCTACAAGCCGGTGGCTGCTGGAATTGACCATACGTATTGAGACCAAGATGCCCGAGTTCTCATGGCTGTTGGCTGAAATTGAGCTTATTGTTGCCCAGACAGTGCCCCAGCAAGACGTTGTACAGTATATTGACGAATGGTGGCCAGTAGATGCACGAGCTGAACAAGTTGCAGCCACTGAATGTTCAGCAATTCTTCGTCGCGAATTGACCCCTCATCATGAAGCAGCAAGGTACGATGTTTTAAAACGCTGGAGAGAGCTAAACGATGAGCTTGCTAGTGCTATCGACGCCCTTGACGATCAGTTTGATGGGACGGAGATTTGGCGCAAAGTGTACGGCCCTGAGTTTGCCACAAAGCGCATGCTTTGGCAAGGCCAGCGTTTGATCCAGCTTGCAAAAGACCGGGATGGTTCTTTGCCCAATGAGTACTCGAAATGGGCCGATGGACTCGAACTGGAGAATGCCACAGAGGTTCTGGATGCGCTAAACCTGGTTTTCGACGGATCAAGCGTTGCAGAACAAGACGAACCACATCATGTTGTCTCTACGTTCAAGGATGTTGTTGAATACGAATGTGAACGGATTGGAGCAGTGCTGGCACGAAAAGACGGCGTCGAGGCAATATATCAAATACTACGCGGTCAAAAGAGCATCGAATGCCGGTTTGAAGACGATGTATTTTATTATAAAAAGAATGGGAGGTTCATGCCCATCTCAATCACCAAACTACCGTCCATAGTTTAGCAGTCGAAGTAACGTTCAAGGCAGTTTGGAAATGGTACCGTCACGTTCTATATACACTATTTACCGCCGAGGTGACGAAGCTGGTCGGCAGTCTCATCAAGACGGTGACCCAGCTTTTCTCTGAAACTGCCGGTTTGTCTGGCAGCCTCATCGGTCTCGGAGGGGCCTTCACCGGAAAAGTGATGCTCGGCCTCGTGGGTACGATGGCTGAACTTTTCCTTGAGCTTTTCAGTCTCCTCAGCAAGATCGTGAGCAATGTTCTCGAGCTTGTCCTCACTCTTCTTGGTGCTGTTGTGCAGCTTTTCCTTGAACTCTTGAGTATCTGAGTCTGCGCTCCAGGTTTCAGACTTGGCATCAGGAGTGATCTTGGACACGGCCTGGGCAGTGGCCTCCTTTACCTTTTTGGTGATGGGCTGGGCCTCGATTTTCGCCCCCACGTCTTCAATCTTGGTCTGGATCTGGTCCTTGACCTCGGTCACCTTTGTGGCAACTTTCTCAGAGACTTCAGCAGCCTTCTCCTCAAGAGCGAGGCCGGCCTTGTCTACGTTTTCAACGACAGAAGGCTCGGACTCGTCGGCCAACTGCTCGGCGTAGACGTCAGGGTGTTGACGGAAGCAGTCCTGCATACCCTGGAAGGCCTCGATACACTCCATGCCCTTAGGCTCGGCAGTCGAATAAACAAAACAGCTAAAGGCCTTTTTGAACTCCTCGCCACAAGGACCATGGGCCATACCACCAAGACAAGGGCAGTCCCAGTTGATCTCGCCAGTCTCCGGGTTGTAAGCACCTTGGGGTTCCGGCTCGAAATCCTCCTCGGTGAGCAGCTGGACGTCGCCAGTCTCAGCGGCCTTGGCGTCTAAGAGTTTGGGCTCAGCGGCGTCTGCACCCATTGCCAAAGCGCCGCCCACCAGCAACCCACCAACCATAGCAAAAGTGGCGAATTTGAGCGGCGAGCGTTTTGGGGGCGCCGTAGAGTAGAGACGAACCGATCGTGTTGCGGTGCGTGCAGCAAGTCTGAACATTTTTGTAGGCTTAATCTAGTCCAAGCGAGAAAAAAAACCGTTGGAAAGTTCGGGTGAACGGGATTACAAGAGCTGCGAGGTTTGTAAGCTCAGCAGATATGGAGGAAATAGACGCAGTGAGCTGGTTGGGGGGTCAAAAGATGGCCAATACGGTGCTAATCATTGTGAATCAGCCGATTGTGGACCAACAAAGGTTCAGACAGGCGTGGGATGCATGCGACCATAGAGCGGTTCTGGACGGGGCAGCCAATACGCTGTACGATGTAGATCCGACGTTGCGGCCGGATTTTATCATCGGAGATCTTGATTCTATCACAGACACAACGCGAAAGTTGTATGAGGGCATGGGCGTGCCCGTGATCGAAAAGCCGAGCCAGTACGCCACTGATTTTGGCAAGGCCATGCAAGAGTCCGTCGAGCGATGGCCCGGCACCAAGCAGTTTTTGGCATTCGGCGCGCTGGGAGGCCGTGTGGACCACTCAATGCACTCAATTATGTGTCTGTCGCGGGTGCAGCAGGAACTGGGGGTCCGGCTCCTTCTGCATAGCGCTCAGAATATGACATTTCTCATTGCCGAAGCGGCTCGGGTGCTGACCCCTCGAGACCTCGTCAAGAAGGCCGTCGGCATTGCACCCATCATGGGCTCGGCACACATAACAACTAAAGGACTGATATATGACGTTACAGACTGGGAAACGAGTTTTACCACCCAGGTTAGCACTTCAAACTATATAGTAGCCGACTGGGTCACTGTGGAAACTCGAGGCCCAGTGGTGTTTACTGTGGAGATTTGATTACGGCAGCAGGGAAGAAGCGATTTGTCATGAAGCTTTACTATATTGGCGTGCTTCGAACTGACGGCAAGGGCCTAGAGCTGGCCAGTGCGGAGGACCTGTCGTCGTTTTCGATTTTCCAACGACCGAGTGTGCGCGAGTTCACCAAGTTTTTCAGCAGCACGATTGCGACCCGCACCCCTGCAGGACAGCGCCAGAGTATCGAGGAGGGCAGTAACGTGGGCCATGTGTATGCGCGCAGCGAGGGCCTTGCTGGCGTGGTTATTTCCGACAAAGAGTACCCTGTGCGGGTCGCATTTGCTCTGCTCAACAAAGTGCTGGATGAGTACCTCGCTGCCCACCCCAAGGCGCAGTGGGCGAGTTTGACAGCGGCGACTCCGGCAACCGCGTTCCCGCAGCTGGATGAATACCTCCGCAGCTATCAGGACCCCCACCAGGCCGACTCGATTCTGAGGGTCCAGCAGGAGCTCGACGAGACCAAGATCGTGCTCCACAGAACCATTGAGTCCGTGCTCCAGCGCGGCGAGAAGCTCGACACGCTGGTGGACAAGTCGGAGGCCCTCAGTTCGACGTCGCGAATGTTTTACAAGCAAGCAAAGAAGACCAATTCTTGCTGCATCATTAGCTAGATTTCTCATGTTCTTTCTTACTTTTCCTAATTATTAAAGCTTGAACTCTGGCATCACCAGCTTCTCGTAGACCGCCTCGTAGGTGTAGTCGCGAGCGACTGGAGCTCTGGAGCGCACGTCGAGCAGTGAGGGGCCGAGTTCGTCGAGGCTACGGACGCCCAATAGACGCATGTTCATAATGATCTCGTCGTTAAGCAGCTGGATGGCGCGTCGAACTCCCTCTTCGCCGTAGGTCGACATCGCGTACAGGAAGGGACGTCCGATACCCACACCGCGCGCACCCAAGCACAGGGCCTTCATCACGTCCGTACCGCGTCTAATTCCGCCGTCGACGTAGACCTCGAACTTGCGGTGCAGACCGGCCTTGCGTAGGTGGTACATGCTCTCGGCCAGAATTTCGACGGGAGGAGGAGCAAACTCGAGCTGACGACCACCGTGGTTGGAGATAACAGCGCCATCAAAGCCGGCCTTTGCTGCTTTCAGGACGTCTTCCCACCGCTGGACACCCTTGATCACGAGCGGCTTCTTGGTGCACTTGCGAAGGAAAGGAATGTCCTTCCAGCTGAGAGCCGGGTCGATGAACGAAGAAATGGCTCTGGCCGCACCTTGAGAACGATCAGCATCTTCGTCTTCGTCGCCTTGAACGTCAGCAAGGTCCTCGTCGTACTTGCCACGCATATCCTTCTCTCGGCGGCCGAGCTGAGGAGCGTCGACGGTTACAAAGAACCCACAAACACCACGCTTTTCAGCATTCTGAATGAACTCACGAGTGACTTGGCGGTCGGCATTGACATAAACCTGTAACCAGATATCCTGCTCGGGGGTCTTTGCGTCACAAACCTCATCAACAGAGCACGAAGCCAGGGTGGAAAGCATTTGCGGAATACCCTCCTTGGCAGCAGCACGAGTCAACACAATCTCTCCATCAGGGTGTCCCAAGCGGGCCAATGCAGTAGCGGTGATGTAAATAGGGAGGGTGGACTTGCGGCCAAAGAACTTGGCTGTAGTATCGACTTTGCTGACGTTCACCAGCACACGAGGACGGAAGAAAATGCGCTGGTATGCACGATGGTTCTCACGCATGGTAATTTCATCATCTGCGGCACTCGAATAATAGTACCAGGCGGTGCGTTCAAGGGTCTTGGAAGCCACCAGCTCAAAGTCGAACAAGTTGAGCATTTCACCCAACGGAGGCTTGGCCTTTTCGAACTTTTGAAGCTGCTTTTCGCTCTCTGTGGGGGCCTCTGTGTCTTCTGGAATATCGGAAGCCAGCAATGGGCCCAGTTTCTCAACATTTTTGAGCATGCGGATAACATCTGTGGGGTGGAACTTCAAAAACTGTTTAGTGGCATCTGTACCGGCAACTTTCTGAAGAATGGGGGCACCACCGGGATGGCGTTTCTGGAACTCTGTCAAATTGTAAACTTGGCCGTCAACGGCGACCCACAGATCATCCTTGGTGTTGTGCTTTGCGACCTCGGACAGCGGGATTCCTTCTTGGGCGGAAGCCAGACGGGCTCTTAGCTTGGGAACCACTGGACCAAGCTTATCGGACTCATGAAGCATCTTCAGAACGCCATAACGGTGGAACTTCAAGAACTGTTTGGTGGCATCAGTGCCAGCAACCTTCTGCAAGATCTTGGAGCCACCGGGGTGCCGGGCCTGGAAAGCGGTGCAGTCGTAGACCTGGCCATCAACAACAACCCATAAATCTTTTGGCGTATTGTGCTTTGAAACTTCTTCCATTGTCAGTTCAGGCAAAAGCGAGCCTACGTGATCGGAGTCGCTCAACATGTGCAAAACTCGTGTGGGGTGAAACTTGAGGAATTGCTGGGTAGCGTCGGTTCCGGCGACTTTGAGGAGGATCGCCGCGCCCGCAGGATGCCTGTTCTGGAATTGAGTGCAATTGTACACTTTTCCGTCGACAGATAACCATAAATCCTCTTTGGAATTGTGCTTTGCTAGCTCTTCTATTGTGACTAGCATGGTATTGGAGAAAGAATGCCTGTAATTAGCTCGATGCTTACTGGTCCGCAAATTGCGGGGTAAGGGCGTGGGGTTGAGTGAGCGAATGCCGCTCACGTGACTTGAAAATCAACTGAATATATCTGTGGTTTTTCTCGAGGTCCTGAGACTCAACCAAGTGTTGACCGGGGCTGTTTTGAGGTGATCATTGTTCTGCCGCCAAGTAAATACGCCGTACCCCTCGATTGAGCAGAGAGCAAGCTAGGTGTCCTGCATGCACGTGCTGTATTAGCAGCCAATTGTTGATGCTGTGTGTATGCGTTTGCTATCTTTAAATTAACGTTTAGCCGATCTAGCTTTCGGACCTAAACACTGTCCTTGTTCACGATGCCACGTTGTTAACGTTTTTATCAGCCTTATTTTAAAAACCACCTTCCCCAGAGTCGAAAGCCCAAGCGTCTCAGGTCTTTCACGTAATTTCATTCCCCAAGGGACTTGCTAATCCTCCAATCCTTTTTTACCGACCAGCTCTTTCCACCATGGACGCACAAGCTATTTTAGAGCTGTTCGCTGCGACCTTAGATCCGGCTGAGCAAACGCGCCAGCAGGCAGAGCGTGCGCTGGGCCAAGCCGAATCGCAAGCAGGATTCCTTGGTAGTTGTCTCAGCATCGTGCTGGAACCAGATATACAGACCGGAATCAAGGTCGCCGCAAGCGTGTACCTCAAGAACCGAATCCAACGTGGCTGGTCGCCCGATCGCGCGCGCCAGCTCGAGGTCTCACCGATTCCTGATCTTGATAAGCCTGAGTTTAGAACCCGCATAGTTCCAGCTATCGCCCAAGCATCTCCCCAGATCCGTCAGATCCTTGTTCCTGTCATTCTCACCATCGTAAACCATGACTACCCCGATGATTGGCTCGAGCTTCTGCCTTCCATTCGCGAACTGCTCAATCAGCAGGACGCTCACGCCGTGTACACTGGTTTGTCGATCTTTTTACAGCTTTGCCGTCATTATCGCTGGAATTCTAAGGAGGTTTTGAGCAAGTTTGATGCTGTAGCTGAGGAAATCTACCCGCAAGTTCTCTCTATTGGAGAGCGACTTGTTGGCGAATCTAGCCATATGGCCGGTCTCATGATGTATGATGTGATGAAAATCTATAAAATGATTGCTGCGCGTCAACTGCCACCAGTTGTCCAAAACTCCGAGGTTGCTCAACGCACAGTAGCGCTCTTCTTGCAGACCATTATAAAACCTATATCTGCAGAGGTTATGGCCCTCGAATCCTGGTCTGAACGCGAACAAAACCCTTGGCTTAAAGCAAAGAAGTGGGCTTCGTTCAACATCCTTCGCACACACACAAAATATCTTTCTGTTCGCAGTACTTCTCTGAGCTCCGGCGTGAAGGATCTGACGAACTACCGTAAACACTACTTGGCTACTTTTACCCCTGAAATTGTCAATGTTTACTTGGACCACTTGCAAACGTGGATTCGTGGTGAGATCTGGATTCCTCATAGCACACTGTACAATATTATTGCGTTCTTGGAAGCTTCTGTGGACCATAAATCTGCCTGGAAGCAACTCGAGCCCCATTTTCACGGTATGGTCACCCATGTCATTTATCCTCTGCTCTGCCCCAATATGGATGATTTGGAGCTTTTTGAAGACGATCCGGTCGAGTTTGTTCACAAGTGTATCGAGGTTTACCCTGAGACGGTAACTGTCGATGTCGCTGCCACAAATTTCCTTAGTACACTTGTTCGCAAGGGCAAACAGACCGCTCTGGGGTTTGTGCTTTTGTTTCTCCACAAAAGACTTACTGATCTTGCCGAGGAACCCATGGAGGTGGCGATCGCAGCACAAAAAGTTGGAGCTCTGCGAATCTTACAAACTATGGCTCCGGCAATTATGATGAAGAATAGTCCCTGTCAAGATCAGATCGAGGCCTTCCTTGAGGAGTATGTGCTCCCAGATCTTGCGAACTCGGCGGTGCATCCTATTTTGAGAGCTCGGGCCTGTCAATTGATTAACGCGGTCGCCAATGTGCACTTCAAGAACAGGTACACGTTACAGGCTATTTACAACGCAACTTTGCAGTGCTTTTATGACGAGAACCTCCCTCTTCAGGTCGAAGCATCTCTCACTCTGCAGGCTCTGTCAGACCATCCTGATGTGAGGGCCGCTTTAGGGGGCAACATTGCGCAAATCGTCCAGCACCTATTGAATCTAAGCAAAAAAATTGATCTTGATTCATTGATGGCCGTTATGGACGAATTCGTCGATATGTATCCTGAACAAATCACTCCATTTGCCGTCCAGATGGCTCAACAACTCCGCGATCAGTTCTTGTCTCTTGCCAGCGAATTGCACGAGTATAATATGCAGGACCCCAACAAGTTTAGCCTGATTGCAGAAGACAAGACGACAGCTGGCGTTGGTATGTTGAAAACGCTGACTGGTTTGGAGTCCTCCTTAGAGCATCACCCTGAGTTGATCCAAGAACTCGAGCAGGTGGTGCTACCCATTTTCGATGCTGTTTATCGTCACCACTTGACCGACTTTTACACTGAAACTTACTATTTGCATGAGAACACCTTGTTCACTCGGAAAACGGTTAGTCCCGAACAATGGCAGCTTTTCCCCTTAGCCCTAGAAGCCCAAAAACAGGTCCAGTATAGCTACATTGAGGATGCTATGCCGCTGTTGGAAAACTACGTTGCCTTTGGAGCTGGGCATCTCGCTCAATCGCCTCAGGACCTCGGGCTGCTAGTTGAGCTGGTATCCGGCTTGGTTGATAAATCCAATGACTACAAGATTCCGGTTGACGAACTCACACTGACCTTGAAACTAGGTATTCGCCTCTTGGAGACCCCGGAGTTACTTCATTCTGGCGCTATGCATCAATTCTTGGAGCCATTGCTTGTGCACACGCTGGATCGTATGGTATTAGAAAAGGCATCGTTGCCGAAAATGAAAAGATATACTGTCAATTTGATCGGTCTGGTTCTCGGTGCATTAGTGAACCATGCCGGTCTGACTTTCCAGGTATTGGAGTCCAAATCGTTGACTGATCCATTCTTTGCATTATGGACACAGTCTATGATTCACTTTGATCGGCTTGATGACCTGAAGCTCGAGCTACTTGTGCTTTTGGCACTTTTACAGCTTCAGGATTCTGAACTTCCGACCGGCGTGCAACAGCTGCTTCCCCAGCTGGTAGATGCACTGGCTCATGTCCTCAATGCTCTCCCCGAGGCTATCGCTCGCCACGAGGAGCTGGCCAAGGCAGCAGATGAACATGACTTTGGCGACATTGACGATCAGTGGGCCGACGCCGATTTCTATCAGGATGAGGAAGACGAAGACGAAGACGACAACGCTGTCGACACCACTGAAGACACCACAGTTGGATCGATGGACAACGGCCCTACTCTCAGTGCCGGGAACTCTGAGGAACTCACGGATTTCCTCAACTCGAAGTTCCATTACTACGACTCTGGTGACTTTGACGAAGACGTCTACACGATTTCACCGCTCGAGTCGATGAACCCCTCTGTTGTTCTGAAGGAACAAATTAACCAGCTCTCGCAAAAACCTGAACAGTTTGCCCGCTATCAGCAGCTTCTGGCTACAATTCCAGAGCAGCAGCGCGGCGTGATCGAGGCTGCTCTTTTGCAGGGGTAGCACTAGATAAATTAACAAGAGACATTTAAGGGGTTTGATACATACATACAGATTCGTCCAGAGTGGAAAATAATTAATTGCCGGAGCAAGCACAAAAAATAAAAGAGCAGATGCGGTTCATTCGGTGGAGGTTTCGACCTTCACCGAGGGATCTGACACGGCCGGGGACTCTGCCGAGGACTCGTCGACTTTGGGCACAGAGCCCGCGCTGAGCATGCGTTGGCGGGAGCTGGCGAAAAGAAGCTCCTGTTCACGCAGCAATTCTTCCTCGGATTTTCCAGACTGGTCGAGCTTGCCGACTTTGCGCTCACGCACTTTGAGAGACTCCTTGTGCGCCGCGATGGTTTGCTGGATGGGCTCGATGTAATCACGGAAATCGAGCTCTTCGAGAGCTTTTATGACATGCTCGCAGGCAATGGTCTTTTTCGACTCTTTTTCCGCCATATCGTTCGACTCGTTGGACAAGATCATGATGAACATGACGCAACATTCAATCAGTGCGTCGCGGCTTTCTCTTGAGAAAACCAGGTCGGGCGGCAAAATCTCGCTCACAATCTTCTGCACCGTGGCCTTTGGGAGGCTCAAATCCTCAGGATTAAGTTCAGACATCTTAAACTACGCGTTTTTCGCAAAAAATCAAAACCCTCTCTTTCCCGGCAATGGGGTTGCCCTTTGGGTTTTATACTCTCTTAAGTTAACGTATACCCTTACCCTTGTGGCCCCCTCCGAGCGACCCTTGTGCCCACTCCCAAAGGCTGATAGGGAAAAAAAAAATTTGGTGAAAACCCTGTGAAAACCCAGAGCCAGAGAAAAATGATGTAAGCGAGAGGGCAGTTTTTTTTTCCCTCTTTACCCAACTTGATATTTATTGTTGTGCACAGATGAACTCGCTGCCTTTTATCTCGGCGCAGTTCGACGCCGAAGGCAACAGTTTTGCCAGTGCATATCAAGCCCTCGATGCTCATCGCATCCGAGTTACCCCTGTGCAATCTGCCGACACTCCTTCTGTCGAGTACGCATGTGCGAAGGGCGTGAAAATTACCTGTTTGGTCTGGATCGCCGGAGCAGAAAAGCAGAAGCCTCCTTCCCGCAAGCGTGCAAAGGCGGCTGATCAGACTGGCGGCGCCCAGATCGCGGTGGGTACCTCCACAGGCACCATCCTGGTCTATAGCCCGTCTTCGAATCAGGTTCTCAAGACTCTTGGCACTGCTCCTTCTCCTGCTGTGGTTGCCTTGAGCGCTCAAAATGACAAATTGTATGCCCTGCATGCAGATGGTACTATTGCTGAGTGGAATGTCGCTCGTGAGTCTGTTGCACATACAAAATCAGAGCTGCCCGACCTGACCGCCGTGGCTGCGCTCCCGGATAATGGCCTTTTGTTGGCAAATACCCAGCCTCACTTGTCCACCAGTGAAATCACATCGCCCTCGGCTTCTTTTGCTGGCTTCGCCTCGCCTGTACGTCAATTAGTCGTGGGGGCTGCCGGCGATCGTTTTTTGGCTATTGCCGAACAAGACCGCCTGATCCAGTCTTACTCTGTATCTGCTGAGAACAATGGACACCCTCTAAACTTACTTTCCGGACCCTCTAATGCTACATTTGCAGCTGTTTCTAGCGACGATTCTGGTCTAGCCGTTGCCACGGATGATGGTACTGTATTGCTTTTTTCCGAGCCGTTCAAGTCCGCAGAGCAACCCGGATCAAACTCTTCTAGCCGCCGGCGTGCAAAACCTCAGTACGCTAAACCCACCGCCAGCATTGTCGTCAAGCGTCCGAACGGCGATCAGGTCAATGTTCAGCGTGTGTTTTTCTTGGACGACTTCCTTGTCCTTTCGTGGTCCGAACAGGGAGCTGTTCCCATATTTGCTCGCGTTCAATGGAAAAAAGATGGGCAAATTATTGACGAGACGGTTGAACTCGTCAAAGACTTTGCTGCTCCTCGTGCGTCTGAGCACTTGGTCAATGGCGTTGACGCAGCTGCCGTTCCTGCCTACAAAGAAAGTACAGCTACCATTTCAAGCGGCCATCATGTTGCTGATCTTGATGATGAGGATAGTGATGAGGAGGGCGGTGAAACCCTCGCTGACCGCCTTGAAGCGTTGGAGGTTAAACGCCAGCAGCTGCTCGAAGACAGCGACGCTGAAGACGAGGCCCACAAAGACGGCGAGTTCAGCCAAAACGGAGGCGCTGGTAAAATGAAGCTCTCCACTCCGGGCTCGTTTGCCGCTTTGCTAAATCAGGCACTGGTTGCCGGTGATAAGCAGTTGCTGGAAACCTGCTTGAGTGAACGTGATGAAAAAACTATCAAAACCTCGATTATCAAACTCGAGCCGTCGCTTGCAGCCAAATTGCTCGAGCGGTTGGCTGAGAAAATGGCCCGCGTTCAGCACCGGTCCGCCCAGCTCACTGTTTGGATAAAATGGGTCATTGTTGTACACGGTGGGTACCTTGTCACTGTCCCGAACTTGCTGAAGACGCTGGCGTCATTGCACTCTACATTGGCCACGCGAGTTGCCATCCTACCCCGCCTTCTTGCGCTCCAGGGCCGGCTGGAGCTCTTGAGCGCTCAGCTGGACGTTCGCGGTGAAATCCTCGAAAGCAGCCGTGAGATCGAAGACGACACCGAAGACATTGCTGAGGCAGTTTACACTGAGGATGCATTCATTGTCAATGGTGAGGAAGACTTTGACGAGGCCGGCGAGGACGATGAAGACGAGCAGATCGAAGAAGACGAAGATGTCGAGATGCAAATGGAATTAGACGACGAAGAAGAAGCTGGATTTGAGGACGAAGATGACGAAGACGGTAATGATGAAGAGGATAGCGAGGATGAGTAGTGTCATGTATACATATAAGCCGATATACGTTTCTCCTTCACATGTCAGAGATGTGCCCACGATGTCTCAGGGCAGGGGTTGGTGCGGTGATTCTTTTTTTTTGTCCCATCAGCTTACGGAAAATTTCTTTTTTTTTTTTATTTAATTTTCATCTGGTTGGTCGTCGATGTCGGATTCTAAGATCTATATCTCTTACGAGTGTGTTCACAAACTCTGTCAGGAGGCTGCTGACAATCTGAGGCAATTTAACCCTGAGGTTATCATTGCCATTGGCGGTGGAGGTTTCATCCCTGCCCGTATTTTGCGCACGTTCCTCAAAGAGAAGGGCCACAAGAACATTCCCATCCAGGCGATTGGTCTGTCTTTGTATGAGGATCTTGGAAACGCCGAGTATGAGGAGAAGATCGGTAAGGAGGTCATTCGCACGCAGTGGCTCGATTTCTCCTCGCTCAATGAGCACAAGGTCGACTTGATTGGCAAAAATCTGCTCATTGTCGACGAGGTTGACGACACCCGTACCACTCTCCACTATGCCGTCAAGGAGCTCGCCAAGGACTTGGACGATCTTGCCAAAAAGCTTGGCCGCGACAGCGAAAAGACCACCATCTCCGTTTTCGTGCTCCACAACAAGGATAAGCCCAAGAAGGCTGAGCTCCCTGAGGAGATGATGGCCACTGGTCGCTACTTTGCCGCCCGCACCACCGCCGATGAGTGGATCGCTTACCCGTGGGAGGCTGCAGACATCGATGTCCACACCGAGCACGCTCGCGCACAAGGAAACATTTAAATTAATCATATTTAGATAGCCACGCTAACTATCTCAGCAAGGCTTCGATCTGTTCACGATACGCTTCCTTAAGATCCTGTACATCGGCTTCAAGTTCTGAAACCCGTTCTGATTTCTCGCCCAACCGGACAAGAAGACTGTCAATTTTGGCCTCGAGCTCGGCAATTTTTGTCTTGTGGGACTCTGATTCCTTGCGCATTTCCTCTAGCTCTTCGCTCGCATTGATGGCTCCCAGAAGCTCGTTGTAGGCGTCAGTCTTTTCGGCGTTGGCCAATTCCAATGCTTGTTTTGTGCTGGTCAGTTCTGTTTCGAGCCGGCGAACAGTCATGTTCAGTTTGCCAAGCATGTGGGAGCTTTCAGACCGCATGTTGATTGACGAAGCATTTGACATGAACATTGAATGATCAAAGTCCGAGGCTAAGCTATCACGACGGCTTTCAATGGGAGATCGCGGCGTAGGAGTACACGCGTCCAACGGATGCAACGAAGGCAAAGACACTTCTGATCCGAAAAATGAATCGTTACGTCCAGTTAATGGTGTGGGTGTTGCAGCCGCTACAAGATCAGCTTCTCTCTGCTCCCATTCAACGCGAGCCTGAGAAAAGCTTTCAGATGTGTGTTCAGCCTCTTGACGCGCAGCATTAAGCTCTGCTGATTGAGATTTGGTGACAGACTCGAGCTTTTCGATCTGTTCTTTGAGCTCCTCAACTTGCCGGAATGCCCTCTTGGCTTCTGTTTGGGCCGCTTCGGCTGCGGCTGCACTTGCACTTGCCGCGTCCCGTGCCTCGAAAAGGCTTTTTTGAGTGGCTTGCAGCTTTTGCTGCGTACCGGTTCGCTGCTTTTCATCATCACTAGCTTTGGCTTCAAGCTCAGCAATGCGACTCAATAGGCCTGCCTCAATATTATTCCAATTGTCTGTTGCTGCTGCATGGTGAGCTTGTGCGGTGTCTAGACGCCGTTGTAGATCGCGAACGTGTTGGTCTTGAGAAGAGGCTTCGGCAAGTGATCGGTAATGTTCAATTAAAGCGGATTGGTCGAAGATCTGTTTACGAAGTGCATCTACGTTTGATTTCTCACCTGCAAGCTCTTTCTCAAACGATTCCTGTAGTGATGTAGCTCGAGTGCGCTCGATTTCCAAGTCACTTAATGCCTTTTCCAATTCCGCCGTATTAACCTCCATCTGAGGTTTTACAACCACCTGGGGCGTATGTTTCTCTGCTGATCGCAACTTTTTGATTACCATGTTCAACTTTAATTCCTGCTGGGCCAACCGTTGGCCCTCTTCAATGAGAGAGGCTATTTGCGACTCGCGTGCTGCAGCTGCTTCTTTGGAACTGCTTAATTTTTGAACTCTTGAGTGGCTCAGGTACTTGATTTTACTCAAAAGAGCCGAAATTTTCGCATTGAGGTCCTCAATAAATGCATCGTATTCGCGGCCAGCCGCCTCACAAAGATCTAGCGCGTTCAGGCTTGTGTCCTTGAGATTCTCGTCGCCAGCCTCGCTTATATCGAGTGCGAGCTTTTGTACAGCCGAAACAGCCCCACTCAAGTCAGGAAATGTCAGCGGAGGGCCCGGTTCGAGGGCGGGTGGACCAGGTTCAGCCTCGTCGCTAGATCCACTCCCTGCTTCGCCTGTCGACTCAATGTGAGTTTCGTCGGCTTTCTCGGGGTTCTCGGTATTACCCGAACTTGGAGGCATCTCAAGAGCCTCATCGAGGCGACGCTCCACCGTGGCGACAGCGCGCTTCAGATAATTTGACCACTCGGAGGCCATTACCTAACCATCCAACCTGGCAAGCAAATCCTCAAAAGGCCAACGAAATCAGAGTGATTGCGGAAATGGAGGTAGCACAGAAGGGCGAAGCGCCCGCTGAGTTTGAAAAAGATGTATACACCAAGCTCAAGACGCTTGAGCGGGAGTACGAGTTGCTTGTTCTGCAGGAAGACTACATTAAGGATGAGCAGCGCCACCTGAAGCGAGAGCTTCTGCGGGCCCAAGAGGAGGTTAAGCGGATTCAGTCGGTTCCACTGGTTATTGGCCAGTTTCTAGAGGTTATTGACCAAAACACAGGTATCGTTTCAAGCACAACTGGAAGCAATTATGCAGTACGCATTCTGTCCACTCTAGACCGGGAGCTGCTCAAGCCCTCGACGTCAGTGGCTCTTCACCGGCACTCGAATGCGCTCGTGGATATTTTGCCGCCCGAGGCCGACTCGTCTATCGCCATGCTAGGCGCCGACGAGAAGCCGGATGTCAGCTACGCCGACGTAGGTGGACTCGACATGCAGAAGCAGGAGATTCGAGAGGCGGTGGAATTGCCGCTCACAGAGTTCGATCTGTACAAGCAGATTGGTATCGACCCGCCTCGTGGCGTTCTACTGTATGGTCCCCCAGGTACCGGCAAGACCATGCTTGTCAAAGCCGTGGCCAACGCCACGACCGCCTCGTTCATCCGAGTGGTCGGATCCGAGTTTGTGCAAAAGTATCTGGGTGAAGGTCCCCGTATGGTGCGCGACGTGTTTCGGCTGGCCCGCGAAAACGCTCCCAGTATTATTTTTATCGACGAAATCGACGCGATCGCCACAAAGCGTTTCGATGCCCAAACCGGTGCCGACCGGGAAGTCCAGCGCATTTTGCTGGAGCTGCTGAACCAAATGGACGGATTCGACCAGTCGTCTAACGTGAAAGTCATTATGGCCACCAACCGTGCCGACACACTGGACCCTGCGCTCATGCGGCCCGGTCGTCTGGATCGCAAAATCGAGTTCCCCTCGCTGCGGGACCGTCGCGAGCGGCGGCTGATCTTCACCACCATTGCCTCTAAAATGTCACTGGCGCCAGAAGCAGACCTGGACTCCCTGATCATGCGCAACGACCCGCTAAGCGGAGCCATCATTGCTGCAATCATGCAGGAAGCTGGTCTTCGTGCCGTTCGCAAAAACCGCTATGTCATTCTCCAGCAGGACTTGGAGGAGGCCTACAGCTCGCAGGTCAAAACGGGCTCTGAGAAGGACAAGTTCGACTTTTATAAATAGATACATAAGTTATTGTTTCTGTGGCATGCGGGCTATGATGACCAGGAGCACAGTATCGGCGGCAATTGCCAGCAGCCCGGAGATGAGAACAATTTGGCCAGACGTCACGAAGTCGCCGTCGATGTCTCTCAGGAAGAGCACCTTGTACTGCCATCGCTGGTGCAGGGCCAGCACGATCATGCAGAGAGACTGGATTGTGTAAACCGTGCCGACGGGCAGGAATTCTTTGCTGAACAGCCGCAGGATGATCAGTCCAAACGTCAGTTCGGAGAACGCAGTGCGAATGTATGCTGCATCAAACGTCCGCTGCGACGCACGCACGTCCTGTTGCTGCGCTACCGTCAGTGATCGGTAATCCCGCCAATCCGGGCTATTTTGCCGCAGACCCTCCGCTTCGCTGCGATCTGACATCGTAATGAGGTATGCTGTGGAGGAGAGCCAGAGCGTGCCGGCTTACTCATACGAGAAAGGGTTTTGGGCGAGCGCTCCTTTCCACTTCATTCTCAGTTCGCGATGGCGGCAATAACTACCTGTAAAAACTGCCACTCGAACGATTTTGACAAGGACCACCAAACAGGAGAACTGGTATGTCGAAACTGCGGTTCCGTGGCGGAGGAGAGCCGCATCGTTTCCGAGGTCTCTTTCAGCGAGACCTCCAGCGGTAAGGCGATCGTCACTGGCCAGTACGTCTCACACGACCAAACTGGTGTGTTGTCGGCTAGTTTGTACGGTGTCCAGGGCGAGAGCCGGCAACAGACAATCTTCAAAGCACGCCATCGCATGGAGCGGATTGGCCACCGCTTGGGCATGGCCGATCACATTATTGAGGCCGGAATGCGATACTTTCTTGCCGCCCTGTCGAACAATTTCGTCAAGGGCCGAAAATCGCAACATGTGCTTTCCGCCTGTCTCTATTTATCATGCCGCATGGCGAAAACCGATCACATGCTGATGGACTTTGCAGAGCTCATTCACGTGAATGTGTTTCATATCGGTGCTACATACCTGCAGTTGGTTCGCAATCAGAACATTGACCAACTGCCCATTGTTGATCCCACGGTGTATATTCAGAGGTTTGTGTCCAAGCTCCAGTTTGGTAGTGAAGGAAGCCGCCGCGTTGTCGAGGACGCAAAGCGTTTGGTGGCCCGTATGGGCAAAGACTGGCTCCAGAACGGTCGACGGCCTGCCGGTGTAGCTGCAGCTTGTATTTTGTTGGCCGCACGTATGAACAATTTCCGTCGATCCAAAGCAGAGATCGTTTCTGTCGCAAAAGTCGCCGAGGAAACCCTCCAACGGCGTCTTGATGAATTCAAGTCCACAGCTGCAGGTACACTGACCATCTACGATTTCAGGAACGTTGACGTTGAAAGTGCCGCTGATCCTCCGTCGTTCACGCGGCATCGAGAACTAGAGAAGAAACTCCTAGACAAACTGTCTCAGGACAACGAACTCAGAGCCCAGGGAGTTGAGCCTGAGGAGGACCCTTATTTAAACCCGGAACTGGTTGCAATAGCCCAAGAGCTCGACAAGCAGGACGGCCAAACTCTCCAATTGACTCAAGAAGTCAACTCATTGCTCGACACGCCGGGACTACAAAAGGCAGTAGAAGATATTGCTGCTCAGCCACACCCCAAGCGGAAATCATCAGCTATAGATGATTCAGAAAGCGAAGACGATAGTGAAGATAGCGACGCGGAACAAGAAGCCGAGAGAGCATTTGACGAGGCTGTTAGTGCTGGTACAGAAGCCGTGATGGCCGCTGTCGAGGCACCATTGGAGCCTGCCTCGGTACCAGTCAGACCCGATTTCTACTCTAAGGGCCGCGTTGAGCAGTTTTTGAAAAGCTTCAGACAGCGACAATCACAGAGACTCGAGGACGAGGTTCAGGCGAAGAAAATGCGTGCCCAGGCCGAAGCTCAAGCCCGCGCAGCAGCCCCCGACGAAGAAAGCTTGTCGGATATCGACGATGACGAGATCGAGTCGGTGCTACTGAACGAAACAGAAATCGAACAGAAATCCCAGGTCTGGGTATCAATTAATCGTGAATATTTATTGGAGCAAGAACGCAAACGTCTGCGGCGCGAAGCAGATATTGCCTCTGGCGAAACCAAAGCTCCTCGCAAGAGACGCCGTCGCCCGAAACAAGAGCCCGGCTCAGCAGCCTCCGCGGAGGCCGCCGCTGCAAACATGCTCCGAGAGAAAGCCCCGTCCAAGAAAATCAACCAGGCTGCCCTCAAAAAGCTGTTTGCTAAAGCAGAATAATCTTATTTATTATGTATCTGTCTGCAGGTTCATCCATCATACATTTCACTTACATAATTTTTTTTTTCCTTCATCATGCCTAAACGGAAGAGAGCTGCGGTGCTGCCCACCAACATTGCCCTTTTACAGAACCTTATTAGGCGAGACCCATCGTCATATAGCGAGGAATTCAAGCTCCAGTACCAGCACTATGTTTCGTTGAGGGAGATTTTCTACCAAAATCCACGAGCGGCTCAGGGTCACGAAAAATTGAGCGAACTGATAGGATTCATCACCCACATGTGCAGCTGCTATCAGAACTTGACAGCCGAGTTCCCAAAAGAGCTTCTGAGTTTGATTGCAGAGCACCACGATGGCTTGCATCCAGATCTAGCCGACAAGATTGTCCACTGCATCTGTATGCTGCGGAACAAAGACATTATTTCGAGTGAAGACTTTGTTAAAACACTGTTCCCGATACTTGTTACGACCGAGTCGAAACAGCTCAGAACACAGGTGTACAGGTCCTTGATCCAGATGCTGAAAACAGTGAACCAATCTGCCAAGAACCAAAAGATCAACAAAATGATGCAGGCCCTTCTTTTCTCGCTTTTAGAGAGCGCAGAGAGTAATGGCCTGTGGGCCCCCAAAATCATTCGTGAGCTCTGGAGGCGAGGTATTTGGGATGACTCGAGAACAGTGGAAATCATGAGCCAGGCAGCTATTCATCCTGACACTAAAGTTGCAGCGTCGGCTATTTGTTTCTTTTTGGGTGCAGACAAAGAGCGTGAACAGGCTATGAATGATGATGGTGAAAGCGATGATGGATTGGATATGGAAGCTCTCCGTCACAAGTTAAATGTCAACAAAAAATCCGGAAAGAGAAGCAAAAAGCTTGAGGCGATCGCCAAGCAGGTAAAGCGCAAGGTTCATGGCCCCGGAAAGGATGCGACACACTTGAATTTCTCTGCGATTCATTTACTGCGTGATCCCCAGGGATTCGCTGATAAACTCTTTGCAGCACACCTCTCCAGCAAGAGTGGTGCTGGTGGAATCAAGCTCAGTCTTGATCAAAAAATCGATTGCTGCAATCTCATATCACGGCTTACCGGTACTCACAAACTCACTATTTTGGGCCTCTACTCTTTTTTCCTAAAATATCTCACCCCCAAACAGCGTGATGTCACACAGTTCATGGCCGCGGCTGCTCAGGCTTCTCACGATCTTGTTCCGCCAGATGTGATCAGCCCTATGGTTCGCAAAATTGCCGATGAGTTTGTGAGTGACGGTATGGCTGCTGAAGTAGCTGCCGCTGGCCTTAACACAATTAGAGAAATTGTGGCCCGCGCGCCTTTGGCAATCGATGAACCGCTCCTTCACGATCTCGTGGCATATCGCGGTTCCAAATCTAAGCCGGTCATGATGGCTGCCCGTAGCTTGATCCAGTTGTTCAGGGATATTGATCCTTCAATGCTGCCTTCGAAGGAAAGGGGTAAAGCTGCTACAATTGCCCTCCGCGCTGGAGAGACGAGACAACTCAAGTTCGGTGAAACTCAATCTGCAGGATTTGAAGGTCTTCAACTGCTGGAAGAATGGAAGCAAGCTAATGCTGATAATGGGCTTGAAAATGATGGTTGGGACGTTGATGAGGACGTTGATGAGGGCGATGATAGTGATGATGGTGAATGGGTAACTATCGAAGATGACCAGGAGTACAATGTTAGCGACAGCGATGACGAAAAGTTAGAGACCAATACAGAAACCAAGGCCGCTGCCACTGATTTCACCAGCCTTGCTGCGACAGAGATTCTGACTCCCGCAGATTTCGCCAAATTGAACGAGCTCAAGACCGAAGCCGGAATTCGTAAAGCCATGGGTCAAACCAACGAGGAGGTTGTGGATTCAATTAAGCTGACTGGCGCCAATAAATACAAGCAGAGCAAGGAGGAGAGATTGGCTCAGGTTCATGAGGGCCGTGAGGGCCGTGAATTCGGCTCTCGCAAGAAAAAGCATCAAGAGAAGGAGCACTCAACAACAAACAAACAGAAGGCTCGCAAGAAGAACTTTATCATGATGATACACAAACGTGACGTTCAGGGTAAAGCCCGTAAGAGTTTGCGTGACAAACAGAAAGTTTTGCGTGCTCATATTACCCGTCAAAAGAAGCGCATGTAGAGAATAAATATTTGTTAAACTATGAGCTATTTCTGGCTTTTTTCTTCTGGATTTTGCGGCGCTCGCCGAACTTATCCTTATCCATTTCGAGAATGGCCTGACGCTTGGCTATGCTCACCTTCTTCAGCGCTTTATCAATTACTAGTTTGTCACTGATGTTCTCATATTGGGCCATTTTCGTAGCAGTTCGTGCTTCTATGGCCTCGATACGCTCAACGTCCCGCTCACCCACCAATGAGATAGATTCGCCCGATCGGCCAGCACGAGCCGTACGGCCCACTCGGTGAATGTAATCATCGGGATCAGCTGGAATATCAAAATTCACAACCATTTGCACAGTAGGGATGTCTAGACCACGAGATGCCACGTCTGTAGCGACCAGAACACGAGCAGCCGCAGCACGGAAGCGACCCAGTGCATTGAGACGCTCAGACTGAGGCATCTGAGAATGAAGCGAGGTTGTTTTCACATCCATTAATTGTAAGGTGCGCCGAATGTGTTCAGCCGTTTGCGTGCGGTTGACAAAAATTATCGCGGTCTTCTTGGCGTTGCCCTCTTGCTCCAGGAGTCCATAGAGATATGCCAGCTTGACATAGGTTGGGCACAAAATATAGTACTGCTCGAGCTTTTCAGGAACAGCCATGCTATCAAGAGCCACCTCGTGCGACACCACGGGAAGCTTTCCTGGTTTGGTGGGTGCTTCTTTGAGGCCTCGAACAGCGTCTGTAATTGTGGCAGTGAAAAGAAGTGTTTGACGTTTTATTGGGTCTGGCAAAACCGCCATACATCTTGCCAGATCGTCTGAAAGTGAAGAACTCAAGAGACGATCTGCCTCATCAAGCACCAGATACTTGATGCGCCGAAGACCGCCAATTGTATCTTCTCCACTTGACATAATGTGATCAGCCAACCGTCCTGGGGTAGCAACAACAAAGTGTGGCCTGCGTTGCAATTCTAGACACTGCTTCACCATATCTACACCTCCGACGATAACAGAGACCCTAATGTTCATACCAGAACCTAGAGCTGAAAACTGTTCTGCAATTTGAATAGCAAGTTCTCTGGTAGGCGTTAAGATAAGGCCGCAAATCCCGAATGGATCCCGTGACCACTCTGTGAGCATCGGCGCAGCAAATGCGATCGTTTTGCCAGACCCAGTCTTGGCTCCACCAATCACGTCGTGGCCCTTTAAAACAGAGGGAATACAAGCTTGCTGAATGGCAGATGGTTTATGGATGGCCATGGCATGTAGGGCCTCACAAAGCCATGGCGATACTCCTAAATTTTCAAACGTCATGGGCAAATCAACTGAAAAACTCTGGGAAAAAAAATTATGTAATTAGGTAACATCACTGATCTCATCCCAAAAGATGCTGGTGTGGACACAATCGATGTCGGCCAATTCGTCTGGAATAACTGAATGAACATGCGAAACGTACCTGATTGGCATAAAAAATAGTCTTTCAGAGCTGTCATCCCACAAGGCGCATTTTTCATTCTCGGGGTTTAGGTGACACACTTCTGCAGCTCGCCGCAACCCTAGAGTGGAATCTAAGGCTATTGCAGAGGCAAGAGAGTTAAACGTGTGCTCTATTTCGGTCACCTTCTCATATCCCTTGGTGAAAATTGCAGGTACAAGCTCTTTAAGCTCATTGAAGAAGCATACCATAGCGTAATCCGCGAGCTGTGTCATTTGATCAAAGAGAGGCTCGATGGCTTGATCTGCATGAATGAATTTCAAACAAACTTTAACTGTTTTAAGGTATCTTCGACAATAGTCTGGTGAGCTGTCTATCTTTCCAGGCGCAAATGTCACGGTGAATCCTGTTGAGGTCTGGGAGTACATTTCCATATGTGTTTCCGCTGACTGCATGAAAGTGGATTCCACAAACGATTGAAGAAGATTCTCTATTATTTCGAAATGAGCAGTTTTTCCGTTGGTGGTTAGAATGAAATCCAAACACCACCGGACTGCAAGGGGCGTGAAATCAAGAGCACCTCCCGAAATGCCTACCTGGCCATCCAGAGAGAGTGCTACGGAGAACGATTTACATGTAAATGGCACGGCAGTTTTGTATGCAAACATGTGCGCTTTTTAACGTTGAAATCGAAAAAGAGTGGTCAAGAATGTTCCAAATCAAATCGACCGAACCAGCTGAGAGCAGTTTTGAGGTACGTATGCAAGCCGATCAGTACCCGTATCTGCACTTCTTCGTTAGTAAGCCCATTCTCTGTTGGGGCAGAATAAGCGAGAGTTCGGAAAAACAATTATCGACACTCAACCAATGTCAAACATCGGAGTATTTACCAACCCCAAACAAGAACTTTACGTCGGTCCTTGCGAACCTGCTAATGCCGAAGTTGAACTCAAACCATCTGAAGTGCTCCTGCGCGTCCGGGCTACTGGAATTTGTGGTTCTGACGTGCATTTCTGGAAAGAAGGCCGCGTCGGAGATACAATGGTGGTGCGAGATGAACACATTTTGGGGCACGAGTCTTCTGCAGATGTTTTGAAAGTGGGTTCCGCAGTGAAAAACTTGGCCGTAGGGGACCGTGTAGCAATTGAACCCGGCAAGCAGTGCTTAACTTGCGATCAGTGCCTCCATGGTCACTACAATGGATGCGAACAGGTAGAATTCAAGTCTACCCCTCCTTTTCAGGGTCTATTGAGGCGATTGGTTGTCCACCCGGCCCGATTGTGTCACAAGATCAGCGACAGAATTTCGTATGAGGAGGGTGCATTGCTCGAGCCAATTTCTGTCGGTTTAGCTGGTATCAGACAAGCAGAACTTGAACTTGGTGATTCGGTCGTGGTTTGTGGTGCTGGGCCCATTGGAATAGTATGTGCTATTTTGGCGCGTGCTGCTGGTGCTGCTCCTCTTGTTATCACCGACATCAACCAACATCGTCTCGAAATGGCATCAAGGCTTGTTCCGAATATCCGCACGGTTAAAGTGGAGCCAAATGATGATCCTCAGCTAACGGCGAAGAAAATTATTGCTGCTGCCAATGGCGTCAAAATGAAGGTCGCCCTTGAGTGCACTGGATTTGAGCAAAGTATTGCAGCTTCAATTTATTCGCTTCAATTTAAAGGCGTTTGTGAGATCATTGGTGTAGGCAAAGATCACATCAATCTTCCATTTATGCACGCCAGCGTCAACGAAATCACGATCAGAGGCCTGTTTAGGTATGCCAACACTTGGCCTACTGCTATTCGTCTTCTAGAGAACAAGCTCATTGATATTCAGGGCCTTGTTACTCATAGACTCCCACTTGAAAAGGGTGTTGAAGCGTTTGAAATCGCGAGCAACCCTTCTTCCAATTCGATCAAGGTGATCATCTTCAACGACAATATTTCGTGAGTCTTTATATAAACATATATTCCGAAGATATCTTTTGAAGAATACGCCATGTCATATTACGCCTCCAAAACCTGGTGGGTTCATTCGAACGGTGGGGAAGGAGCTTGAAGTGAAACTTCGAATATGTTCGATATTTCGAACGAATGTTTCGGCAATAGTTTGGTGGCTAGAATTTCCGCCTGTCAAACTGCATGCGGGAGACTAGGCCTTTCATTCCCCGTTGCCGACCTTATTTCAAAAGGCATTGTTCTATACGATAACAGACATCTCAAAAAATCGGCGACCTGAGTCGTGTGTGTGGCTACGTTTCTTGCTAAATCAAAACTCTCATATAAGATTCCTTGCTTTTCCTGGTTCATGTCTATAAGTCGGCAATAGTTTAGTGGCTAGAATTTCCGCCTGTCAAACTGCACGCGGGAGACCGGGGTTCAATTCCCCGTTGCCGAGTTTCAAAACTTTTTTTTGAGTTTTCACTGTCACAACATTTAGACTCTATTTGATTAAACCTTAGATCAAATCACCATCTAACTTTTTCTTTGTTGTACATCTTTTAAATGCTCAATGCGCTCTTTAAACTGCTAGAAGCATGCACATCTGCTCTTCCGTGGACGCAGCACGGAGTCTTACGACAGCAAACCAAATCAAGTATTTACAGCGAAAGAATCTCACAAAACACCCGGTCCCAGTAACAATCGTGATTGGGAATGATATTTCGGACTATAGCGGATCTGGAAAGAGCTCTCCACTCTCATCATTCTTGGACAGCCGAACACCTTTGCTACACAGAGAATCAGTGAACTATGGTAGCTGTACACGGAGTTGAAATCGAACATGAGTACTGCAGGTCTAAGTGCTAGTACAAAAACTGTCTGTAGGCCATTAAGCAGGTATATTGAGTTCGTCCTGCATGACGTGTACCAATGATAGTAGCATTGATAAAACTTCGAGCGAGCGTGTGAGTCTTTATTTATGCTTCTAATTTCCCTTGGTTTATTTGTCAGGCTCAGACTGCGCCATATGAAGACCGGATGTTGGGTCGGGTACTTCGAATGGCATGTACAGTCTGAGTAACAAGGGGTAAAAACTCTAGTGAAAGAGCATCTCAACTTTGGGAAGATACTCACTCATAGTCGTACTTTCCATGGGCTTATTGGCAGAATTCCGACAGCGCTATATGAAAACTCGGATGTTGGACGCGTACTCAGGTGTTTTTGGCTCTTCGTGCGTAGCGTGTGTTTAAGTAGCAAATAATGTAATCCTTGAAAGTGAAAATTTACCCCAGCCCTGAAATTGTATTTCATTATGAGTGTACTTTTTCACGGTTCGTTTTCCAAGGACTCCCACCGGGCCATCTGAAAATCAGATGGTGGGGTCCCGAAGTGTTTTCAGCTCATCGTTTTTGTAGCGTGTGCCATCTAAATGACAAGAAATAAAACTCACTGTAAACGCGTACCTCAACTCTGATGGTATGTTTTGTTAAGATTCCGCCTGCCTTCGGTTCGAGCGACTAGGTTACAGCACATGTAAGACAGAGAACGTATAAACTCACAATAGCAAGTGTGCCAGCTATTCCTGCTGTAAATGGGTCCGCAATTGAATAGATTACCGCTCAATAATGTCTTTTTGTCAAGACTTCGGTGAAAAATATCGTTTATAATAACCAGATCTGCGCCCTGGAACTGGGCGGCTCCTCACGCACGGCTCCTCATGCTCTAGATTCTTGGCTGAAGCTAGTCCTAATGAAAAAACTAAACCACACAGCATCTAGCCGTCAATAATGAGTTCCGCTCATATTCAGAGATGATGATGACGCTTTGACTTCGCTTTTTGTCTCGTTTGGGTCACGGTGTCGCAGCAGTACCCGTCACTTCTTGCAGTAGCTTATGCAGCAGTTGATGCAGCAGATCATCCAATGGTCCAGATTACTACTCTGGGGGCATTTAGTGGGTCGAATTTCATACCCTATTCTTTATGTTAAAGCATTTATACAATTTTTCACCTTACAGTACAGATTATCGTTCCATATATCAATGTCTTGCCAGCTTAGCGCACCTGAGCACAGGCTGAACACATGGTGCAAGTGATGAGTGAAATTCAGCTTTGCACTACGTTCAAATAGTGTGCACTCTTGAGCGCAGAAGATCTTTGAGCGACAATTATCAACCGATACAGATGCTAATACTCAGCACATAGTTAGTTGACAAGGTCATTTTAGTGTACAGTATCTTAGAAAACTAGCATTGCGATTTGTGTGTACTCGCTTATTAGTGACGTTCTGCGGTCTCGAAGTCTATCGCTCTGCAATTGATTGGTACGAGCCGCTTTTTATATTATGGCGATCTGCTCACTATTTATGAGAATAACTAAGGATCTCCATTTGATCCACCAAGACCATAAGCCACACATTCCCAGCAATCTAATCCGCAAACGTGCTCAGAGCCCTTTTGGGTCTTTAGTGCTACTACCTCTCAGTAAATATATCATCACATACACAGAGTACGACGTTCCCTTACGTGAAATCCTGACCGCTCTGATATACGGTTATATACTGGACGAGCGGGCCAAATTTGCTAGGCAACAAACACCTTTTGTAGGTGTCGCCAAGACTCGAGGTTGAGTAAATTACACTGACCTAGTAGCGCCATGAGCTTCAGGCATTTTCGAGTTGACAAGTCTATCCTAAAGGGTATATAACGTATCTCGTAATGAACAGAGATAACCCAGTATGTGAGCGAATGGCGAATAAGACAGTGGCATGCCCAACACTGAATTCAATTTATAAATACCCCCAAGAATCTGTATCCGTTAAGCACGCTTTGACGCATCGCATTTGGGAAAAATGTATGGCTACGTGCTTACGAACGAGAGGTACAGTTTTTCTCTTGGCAGTTTCAATTTATCCAGACATACGGAACTATGGCGAAAACAACAGCATAAATATAAACAGAGACACTCAAGCCCAAATTACAGGCTCAAATGTTGTCAAAAAGCCGAAGACACAAGACCGCAATTCGGCCAACCCGAACCCGAACCCGAACCCGAACCCACAATGCGAATTACACCGCTACGAAATTGACAAGGGGAACTTGCAGCACCGACCATAAAATTGCGCATTGTCTGTGCTCACGGACATCCCTATGCAAAAGGTGTGAGCTATTAGACGATATCAAATGAAAGCAGTTCAATATCTCCACGGTTTACTCAAATGACTCCACGTTCAATACATGAATACTTTTTGAAGGGCAAAAAAGAAAACTATGGGCATATATCCGCGGAAGAACGATCAAGTGTGCATGAAACGGGCGTCCGCATTTAAGTTTTTTTTACCGATTACGAAGCAGAAGTTGAACCTTTGCGGCCTTACGTACTCAGATGCAAGGAGTCTTCGTAGAAAGACAGAAAGCAAAAAGAGATTCACAGTACATCTGGAGACACTTGGGAAAGACACTGAAAACCAAAGAAAGTAGAAATGTATAAAAGCTAGGTTTTTATCACCTTCTATAAGCCAGTTTCGTTTGTGCTGGCATGAGAATGAATGACACTAACTGGCCGGGCGGTATTTTCACGAAAACCATGCATGAGGCGCAGTGTAGTGAAGACCCAACGTGTGCCTGAAGTAGCAAAAATTGATTGAAGCAATGAAACTGATGAAAATAAGAAACAGTGTCATCAAATTTACCTATCCAAACAAAGATGTAAATGATCTGGAAGTGGAGATCCGAAATGCATATACATGCATGCATCATGTATAATCCCATGAGTACCATGCAATATTGCACATGCTCACTTACAGGGTAGTGAAACGAGTAAGACTTTGAGGTATTAAAGGGGTCGACCAAAAACCGATAGACTCAGACTCGAAATGCGTTTCGCAAAGGTTTTTAGCCTTTTTGCCACAGCATCACTAGCGTATGCTGCGGCTCCAAACGCTGGTCTCGCTGCCCGTAATGTTGGCCTTGTCAACCGGGCTGGCGACGTCTGTACCAATCTTGTCACTACTAATGGTCTCCATGCCACTGCTACCGCCTGTGCTTGCGGTGAAAATCCCAATTCTGACCTCATATCCGCTATAGGTGATCTTGATAATTCCTTTGGAGCTGTCATTAATGCCATCCCAGGAATCGAGGAAGATGGCGTAGGCCCTATTAGTTCGGCGCTACGTACTACTAACGCCGCCGTGGACGTACTCCTTCAATATCTTAGTGGTGCCACATGTCTCGGCAGCGGTTCTGTCCAGAAGCTCTTGAACGTCCTTGATAACTGGGTGGAGACTGTCCAGCTTCTTGAGAATATCCTTCAGGAAAATTATGACAAGACCACTCCCTTGGCAGTCATCGCTAACGCCGCTCTTAATAATCTTCTTGGTGGGTTGAACAGTGTCGTTTCTCATGTCGGTATTCTGCTCGTTACTTCTGATGGCTGCTTCAAATGTTCTGACATTGACAATCTCAACAATCTTATGGGCAGCGTCAACGACATCGGTGCCTCTTTGGATCCGCCTGTCGTCATTCCATTCTTGACTCCCTGCACCGACGCCCTGGTTACCTTAACTTCTATTGGCCCTTGCACTGCCGTGACCGATCTTCCATCTTACTTGTTTACCTCCAGTTTATACGCCCCTTCTTCAACTGGTGCTAAATCAAGTACTCCTGATATTGTCACTTCCGTCGCTCCTTCTTCAACTGGTGCTAAATCAAGTACTCCTGATATTGTCACTTCCGTCGCTCCTTCTTCAACTGGTGCTAAATCAAGTACTCCTGATATTGTCACTTCCGTCGCTCCTTCTTCAACTGGTGCTAAATCAAGTACTCCTGATATTGTCACTTCCGTCGCTCCTTCTTCAACTGGTGCTAAATCAAGTACTCCTGATATTGTCTCTTCCGTCGCTCCTACTACTTCGCTCTGCACTATTGTCATCACTAATGGCCTCATTCCTAGTGCTACTCCCTGTACTTGCGGCGGTGGACTCAGCAGCGGTCTTAGTACTGTTATCGATACCGTTCTAAAAGCAGTCCAGAGTCTAGTCAAGGCACTCGATGACGTTGCTCATAATATTCCTCTTCTTACTCCTCTGGTTGCTGCAGTCACCGCTGCCGTTGATACTCTTATTTCCGCCCTTAGTGTCGTCTCTTGTCTCAATGCTGATGGTCTTTCGTCGGTCTTCAAGATCGTGGGTGACCTGGGCAGTGTTATTGACAAAATTGAGGCTGCGGTCCCTGGCAGCAATTTCTTAGAAAAACCCATCCTCAATGCCATTCTTAATTCTCTTCTCAACAGTATGAAGGGTATTGTTGGTTCGCTTGGTTCTATTCTTGCTAAGTCTAGTGGCTGTTACAGCTGTGCGGATATCGACAACATGAACAATATTATCAGTGATGCCAACAAAGTAGGCTCCACATTATCTCCGCATATCACTATTCCGCTGTTTACACCTTGTTCTAACCCGACTCCTACTATTTTGACTTCGGTTTTCCCTTGTCCATCTACCACTTTAATTCACTCCAGCTCAAAATCCTCTGCTTCTGTGACTGGTAGTCTTTCTGCCTCTGGATCTTCTGGTTCTGCCAACTCCAGTGGCTCTAGGTCAGGTGCTAAATCTAATTCTCTTACCTCTAGCAGTTCCGGTGCTACTAGCTCTGGCACTCGGTCAAGTTCAGGTACAGCTAGCTACTTAGGTGGTTCTGGTTCCTCTGGCTCTGATGCGTCTGGCACTATCGTTTTTTCTGCTCCCTCTGCCCCCATCTGCACCAGCTTCATCACTACCACTGGTCTTCGTCCCAGTGCTACTGCTTGTAGCTGCAGTAACGCACCCAGCTCTGGTCTGACTTCCATTATCACTTCCGTTCTGGAGACAGTTGAGAAATTGCTCAACGGCCTCGCGGATGCCGGCAGTAATATTGCTGCTCTTGGCCCTCTGCTTGCTGCAGTTACTGCTGCACTCGACGGTCTTCTCAGCGCCCTCGGTGGCGTCACATGTCTCACTGGTGACGCGCTTATGCCAATCTTCAAGATCGTCAATAACCTGGTCATTGTTATTGAAGATGTTGCTCAGCAACTTGCTAGCAGTAGCGGTCTCTTGGCTCCCATTCTTAAGACCATTCTTTCGACTCTTATCAACAGTTTGAACACTCTAGTTGCTACACTTGCTTCGATTCTGGCCCACTCTAGTGGCTGCTACAGCTGTTCTGATATTGATAACATTAATAGTCTTATCAACAGCGTGAACAAAATTGGTTCTACGTTATCTTCACCTATCGTTATTCCGTTGATCCCACCCTGCACTAGCGGTCTTGTCACTTTGACCTCGATAGGCCCTTGCCCAGCTAGTACCGTGATTTCGTCTGTCTCAAGTTCCTCTTCAGTCGTGCCTAGCATCTCCAGTACTTCTGGCTCTGGTAGTCACTCAGGATCTGCTACCTCTAGTGGCTCTGGTAGTTACTCAGGATCTGCTACCTCCAGTAGCTCTGGCAGTCATTCAGGATCTGTTACCTCTAGTGGCTCTACTGCTTCCGGCTCTGCAGAATCTAGTGGCTCAGGCGCTTCTGGTTCAGGTGCCCAATCTGGATCTGGCGCTCCACCTGGCTCTGTCATTCCTAGTGGTTCCGGTGCTTCAGGCTCCGGCGTTCAGTCGGGATCTGTGACCTCCTCTGGATCTGGCGCTCGTTCTGGGTCTGGCACTCCTAGTGGCTCCGGCGCTTCTGTCTCTGGCGCTCAATCTGGGTCTGTCGCTCCTAGTGGCTCCGGCGCTTCAGGCTCTGGTGGTCGATCTGGGTCTGGCACTCCTAGTGGCTCCGGCGCTTCTGGTTCGGATGCTCAATCGGGATCTGTCGCCCCGTCTGGATCTGTCGCCGTCTCTGCATCTGGCGCACCTAGTGGCTCGGGTGCTTCAGGCTCCGGCGCTCAGTCGAGATCTGTGACCTCCTCTGGATCTGGCGCTCGCTCTGGATCTGGCACTCCTAGTGGCTCCGGCGCTTCTGTCTCTGGCGCTCAATCTGGGTCTGTCGCTCCTAGTGGCTCCGGCGCTTCTGGCTCCGGCGTTTCTGGCTCGAGTGCTCAGTCGAGATCTGCCATTTCTAGTGGTTCTGGCGCTTCTGGCGCTTCTGGCTCCGGCGTGTCTGGCTCTGGCACCCAATCTGGGTCTGGCACTCCTAGTGGCTCCGGCGCATCTGGCTCTGGCGCATCTGGCTCCGGCTCGTCTGGCTCTGGCATCCAATCTGGTTCTGTCGCTCCTAGTGGCTCCGGCGCTTCAGGCTCCGGTGGTCGATCTGGATCTGTTGCTCCTAGTGGCTCCGGCGCTTCTGGCTCCGGCGCTTCAGGTTCTGGCACCCAATCTGGGTCTGTTGCTCCTAGTGGCTCCGGCGCTTCTGGCTCGGGTGCTCAGTCGGGATCTGTCGCCCCCTCTGGATCTGGCGCTCGCTCTGGGTCCGGCGCTTCAGGCTCCGGTGCTCAGTCGGGATCTGTTGCTCCTAGTGGCTCCGGCGTTTCTGGCTCCGGCTCGTCTGGCTCTGGCACCCAATCTGGGTCTGTCGCTCCTAGTGGCTCCAGCGCTTCTGGCTCCGGCGCTCATTCTGGGTCTGGCACTCCTAGTGGCTCCGGCGCATCTGGCTCCGGCTCGTCTGGCTCTGGTACCCAATCTGGGTCTGTCGCTCCTAGTGGCTCCGGCGCTTCTGGCTCTGGCGCTCAATCGGGATCTGTGACCTCCTCTGGATCTGGTGCGCAGTCAGGATCTGTTGCTCCTAGTGGTTCCGCCGCTTCTGGCTCCGGTGCTAAGTCGGGGTCTGTCGCACCCTCCGGATCTGGCGCTCGCTCTGGGTCTGTCGCTCCTAGTGGCTCCGGTGCTTCAGGCTCCGGTGTTCAGTCCGGCTCTGTCATTCCTAGTGGCTCCGGTGCTTCTGGCTCCGGTGCGCAGTCAGGATCTGTTGCTCCTAGTGTCTCCGGCGCTTCAAGCTCTGGTACGCAGTCAGGATCAGTTGCTCCTAGTGGCTCCGGCGTTTCAGGCTCCGGCGCTCATTCGGGATCTGTGACCTCCTCTGGATCTGGCGCTCGCTCTGGATCTGGCACCCCTAGTGGCTCCGGCGCTTCAGGCTCCGGTGCTCAGTCGGGATCTGTTGCTCCTAGTGGCTCCGGCGTTTCTGGTTCGGGTGCTCAATCGGGTTCTGTCGCCCCCTCTGGATCTGGCACTCGCTCTGGGTCTGGCACTCCTAGTGGCTCCAGCGCTTCAGGCTCCGGCGCTCAGTCGGGATCTGTCGCCCCATCTGGATCTGTCACTCGCTCAGGGTCTGTCGTTCCTAGTGGCTCCGGCGCTTCTGGCTCCGGCGCGCAGTCAGGATCTGTTGCTCCTAGTGGCTCCGGCGCTTCTGGCTCCGGCGTTCAATCGGGATCTGTCGCACCCTCTGGATCTGGCGCTCGCTCTGGGTCTAGCGCTGCTAGTGGCTCTGGCGCTTCAGGCTCCGGCGGTCAGTCGGGATCTATCATTCCTAGTGGTTCGGGCGCTTCTGGTTCAGGCGCTTCAGGTTCTGGCACCCAATCTGGATCTGTTGCTCCTAGTGGCTCCGGCGCTTCTGGCTCCGGTGCGCAGTCGGGATCTGTTGCTCCTAGTGGCTCCGGCGTTTCTGGCTCCGGCGTTCAGTCCGGCTCTGTCGCACCATCTGGATCTGTCACTCGCTCAGGGTCTGGCACTCCTAGTGCCTCCGGTGCTTCAGGCTCCGGTGTTCAGTCCGGCTCTGTCATTCCTAGTGGTTCCGGCGCTTCTGGCTCCGGTGCTAAGTCGCGGTCTGTCGCCCCCTCAGGATCTGGCGCTCGCTCTGGGTCTGGCACTCCTAGTGGCTCCGGCGTTTCAGGCTCCGGTGTTCAATCGGGATCTGTGACCTCCTCTGGATCTGGTGCGCAGTCGGGATCTGTTGCTCCTAGTGGTTCCGGCGCTTCTGGCTCCGGTGCTCAGTCTGGATCTGTTGCTCCTAGTGGCTCCGGCGCTTCAGGCTCCGGCGCTTCAGGTTCTGGCACCCAATCTGGGTCTGTTGCTCCTAGTGGCTCCGGCGCTTCAGGCTCCGGTGCTTCAGGCTCCGGTGTTCAGTCCGGCTCTGTCATTCCTAGTGGTTCCGCCGCTTCTGGCTCCGGTGCTAAGTCGGGGTCTGTCGCACCCTCCGGATCTGGCGCTCGCTCTGGGTCTGGCACTCCTAGTGGCTCCGGCGCTTCTGGCTCCGGTGCGCAGTCGGGATCTGTTGCCCCCTCTGGATCTGGCGCTCGCTCTGGCTCTGTCGCTCCTAGTGGCTCCGGCGCTTCTGGCTCCGGCGTTTCAGGCTCCGGTGTTCAGTCCGGCTCTGTCATTCCTAGTGGTTCCGCCGCTTCTGGCTCCGGTGCTAAGTCGGGGTCTGTCGCACCCTCCGGATCTGGCGCTCGCTCCGGCTCTGTCATTCCTAGTGGCTCTGGCGCTTCTGGCTCCGGTGCGCAGTCGGGATCTGTTGCTCCAAGTGGCTCCAGCGCTTCAGGCTCCGGCGCTTCAGGTTCTGGCACCCAATCTGGCTCTGTTGCTCCTAGTGGCTCGGGTGCTTCAGGCTCCGGCGCTCAGTCGAGATCTGTGACCTCCTCTGGATCTGGCGCTCGCTCTGGATCTGGCGCTCCTAGTGGCTCTGGCGCTTCTGGCTCCGGCGCGTCTGGTTCTGGCACCCAATCTGGGTCTGTCGCTCCTAGTGGCTCCGGTGCTTCTGGCTCGGGCTCGTCTGGTTCTGGCACCCAATCTGGGTCTGTCGCTCCTAGTGGCTCCGGTGCTTCTGGTTCCGCCGCTCAATCGAGATCTGTGACCTCCTCTGGATCTGGCGCTCCTAGTGGCTCTGGCGCTTCTGGCTCCGGCGCGTCTGGTTCTGGCACCCAATCTGGGTCTGTCGCTCCTAGTGGCTCCGGCGCTTCAGGCTCCGGCGCTTCAGGTTCTGGCACCCAATCTGGCTCTGTCATTCCTAGTGGTTCCGGCGCTTCTGGCTCCGGTGTTCAGTCGGGCTCTGTCATTCCTAGTGGCTCTGGCGCTTCAGGCTCCGGCGCTCAGTCGGGATCTGTCGCCCCATCTGGATCTGTCACTCGCTCAGGGTCTGGCACTCCTAGTGGCTCCGGTGCTTCAGGCTCCGGTGTTCAGTCCGGCTCTGTCATTCCTAGTGGTTCCGGCGCTTCAGGCTCCGGCGCGTCTGGTTCTGGCACCCAATCTGGGTCTGTCGCTCCTAGTGGCTCCGGCGCTTCAGGCTCCGGCGCTTCAGGTTCTGGCACCCAATCTGGCTCTGTCATTCCTAGTGGTTCCGGCGCTTCTGGCTCCGGCGTTCAGTCGGGATCTGTTGCTCCTAGTGGCTCCGGCGCTTCTGGCTCCGGCGTTCAATCGGGATCTGTCGCACCCTCTGGATCTGGCGCTCGCTCTGGGTCTGGCACTCCTAGTGGTTCCGGCGCTTCTGGCTCTGGCACCCAATCTGGGTCTGTTGCTCCTAGTGGCTCCGGCGCTTCTGGTTCCGCCGCTCAATCGAGATCTGTGACCTCCTCTGGATCTGGCGCTCCTAGTGGCTCTGGCGCTTCTGGCTCCGGTGCGCAGTCGGGATCTGTTGCCCCCTCTGGATCTGGCGCTCGCTCTGGGTCTGTCGCTCCTAGTGGCTCCGGCGCTTCTGGCTCGGGCTCGTCTGGCTCTGGTACCCAATCTGGGTCTGTCGCTCGCTCTGGGTCTGGGACTCCTAGTGGTTCTGGCGCTTCAGGCTCCGGTGCTCAGTCGGGGTCTGTTGCACCCTCTGGATCTGGCGCTCGCTCTGGGTCTGGCACTCCTAGTGGCTCTGGCGCTTCAGGCTCCGGCGCTTCAGGTTCTGGCACCCAATCTGGGTCTGTCGCTCCTAGTGGCTCCGGCGCTTCTGGCTCCGGCGCTCAGTCTGGCTCTATCATTCCTAGTGGTTCGGGCGCTTCTGGTTCAGGCGCTTCAGGTTCTGGCACCCAATCTGGATCTGTTGCTCCTAGTGGCTCCGGCGCTTCTGGCTCCGGTGCGCAGTCGGGATCTGTTGCCCCCTCTGGATCTGGCGCTCGCTCTGGGTCTGTCGCTCCTAGTGGCTCTGTCGCTTCTGGCTCCGGCTCTCAGTCGAGATCTGTGACCTTTTCTGGATCTAGCACTCGCTCTGGGTCTGGCACTCCTAGTGGCTCTGGCGCTTCAGGCTCCGGTGTGCAGTCCGGCTCTGTCATTCCTAGTGGTTCCGGCGCTTCTGGCTCCGGCGCGTCTGGTTCTGGCACCCAATCTGGGTCTGTCGCTCCTAGTGGCTCCGGCGCTTCTGGCTCCGGTGCGCAGTCGGGATCTGTTGCTCCTAGTGGCTCCGGCGCTTCTGGCTCCGGCGTTCAATCGGGATCTGTCGCACCCTCTGGATCTGGCGCTCGCTCTGGGTCTGGCACTCCTAGTGGTTCCGGCGCTTCTGGCTCTGGCACCCAATCTGGGTCTGTTGCTCCTAGTGGCTCCGGCGCTTCTGGTTCCGCCGCTCAATCGAGATCTGTGACCTCCTCTGGATCTGGCGCTCCTAGTGGCTCTGGCGCTTCTGGCTCCGGTGCGCAGTCGGGATCTGTTGCCCCCTCTGGATCTGGCGCTCGCTCTGGGTCTGTCGCTCCTAGTGGCTCCGGCGCTTCTGGCTCGGGCTCGTCTGGCTCTGGTACCCAATCTGGGTCTGTCGCTCCTAGTGGCTCCGGTGCTTCTGGTTCCGCCGCTCAATCGAGATCTGTGACCTCCTCTGGATCTGGCGTTCAATCTGGATCTGTTGCTCCTAGTGGTTCCGGCGTTTCTGGTTCGGGTGTTCAATCGGGATCTGTCGCCCCCTCTGGATCTGGAGCTCGCTCTGGGTCTGGCACTCCTAGTGGTTCCGGTGTCTCTGGTTCGGGTGCTCAATCGGGATCTGTCGCCCCCTCTGGATCTGGCGCTCGCTCTGGGTCTGGCACTCCTAGTGGCTCCGGCGCTTCTGGCTCCGGCGCTTCAGGTTCTGGCACCCAATCTGGGTCTGTTGCTCCTAGTGGCTCCGGCGCTTCAGGCTCCGGTGCTTCAGGCTCCGGTGTTCAGTCCGGCTCTGTCATTCCTAGTGGTTCCGCCGCTTCTGGCTCCGGTGCTAAGTCGGGGTCTGTCGCACCCTCCGGATCTGGCGCTCGCTCTGGGTCTGGCACTCCTAGTGGCTCCGGCGCTTCTGGCTCCGGTGCGCAGTCGGGATCTGTTGCCCCCTCTGGATCTGGCGCTCGCTCTGGCTCTGTCGCTCCTAGTGGCTCCGGCGCTTCTGGCTCCGGCGTTTCAGGCTCCGGTGTTCAGTCCGGCTCTGTCATTCCTAGTGGCTCTGGCGCTTCAGGCTCCGGCGCTCAGTCGGGATCTGTCGCCCCATCTGGATCTGTCACTCGCTCAGGGTCTGGCACTCCTAGTGGCTCTGGCGCTTCAGGCTCCGGTGTGCAGTCCGGCTCTGTCATTCCTAGTGGTTCCGGCGCTTCTGGCTCCGGCGCGTCTGGTTCTGGCACCCAATCTGGGTCTGTCGCTCCTAGTGGCTCCGGCGCTTCTGGCTCCGGTGCGCAGTCGGGATCTGTTGCTCCTAGTGGCTCCGGCGCTTCTGGCTCCGGCGTTCAATCGGGATCTGTCGCACCCTCTGGATCTGGCGCTCGCTCTGGATCTGTTGCTCCTAGTGGCTCCGGCGCTTCTGGCTCCGGTGCGCAGTCGGGATCTGTTGCTCCTAGTGGCTCCGGCGTTTCTGGCTCCGGCGTTCAGTCCGGCTCTGTCGCACCCTCCGGATCTGGCGCTCGCTCTGGGTCTGGCACTCCTAGTGGCCCCGGCGCTTCTGGCTCCGGTGCTCATTCCGGCTCTGCCATTCCCAGTGGCTCCGGCGCTTCTGTCTCCGGCGCGTCTGGTTCTGGCACCCAATCTGGGTCTGTCGCTCCTAGTGGCTCCGGTGCTTCAGGCTCCGGTGTTCAGTCCGGCTCTGTCATTCCTAGTGGTTCCGGCGCTTCTGGCTCCGGCGCGTCTGGTTCTGGCACCCAATCTGGGTCTGTCGCTCCTAGTGGCTCCGGCGCTTCTGGCTCCGGCGCTCAGTCGGGATCTGTTGCTCCTAGTGGCTCCGGCGTTCAATCTGGATCTGTTGCACCTAGTGTCCCCGGCGCTTCTGGCTCCGGCGTTCAATCTGGATCTGTTGCTCCTAGTGGTTCCGGTGTTTCTGGTTCGGGTGCTCAATCGGGATCTGTCGCCCCCTCTGGATCTGGCGCTCGCTCTGGGTCTGGCACTCCTAGTGGCCCCGGCGCTTCTGGCTCCGGTGCTCATTCCGGCTCTGCCATTCCCAGTGGCTCCGGCGCTTCTGTCTCCGGCGCGTCTGGTTCTGGCACCCAATCTGGGTCTGTCGCTCCTAGTGGCTCCGGTGCTTCAGGCTCCGGTGTTCAGTCCGGCTCTGTCATGCCTAGTGGTTCCGGCGCTTCTGGCTCAGGCGCTTCAGGTTCTGGCACCTAATCTGGGTCTGTTGCTCCTAGTGGCTCCGGCGCTTCTGGCTCCGGTGCGCAGTCGGGATCTGTTGCTTCTAGTGGCTCCGGCGTTTCTGGCTCCGGCATTCAATCGGGATCTGTCGCACCCTCTGGATCTGGCGCTCGCTCTGGGTCTGGCGCTCCTAGTGGCTCTGGCGCTTCAGGCTCCGGTGCGCAGTCGGGATCTGTTGCTCCTAGTGGCTCCGGTGCTTCTGGCTCCGGCGTTCAATCTGGATCTGCTGCTCCTAGTGGTTCCGGTGTTTCTGGTTCGGGTGCTCAATCGGGATCTGTCGCCCCCTCTGGATCTGGCGCTCGCTCTGGGTCTGGCACTCCTAGTGGTTCCGGTGTCTCTGGTTCGGGTGCTCAATCGGGATCTGTCGCCCCCTCTGGATCTGGCGCTCGCTCTGGGTCTGGCACTCCTAGTGGCCCCGGCGCTTCTGGCTCTGGCACTCAATCTGGGTCTGTCGCTCCTAGTGGCTCCAGCGCTTCTGGCTCTGGCACTCAATCTGGGTCTGTCGCTCCTAGTGGCTCCGGCGCTTCTGGCTCAGGCGCTTCAGGTTCTGGCACCCAATCTGGGTCTGTTGCTCCTAGTGGCTCCGGCGCTTCTGGCTCCGGTGCGCAGTCAGGATCTGTTGCTCCTAGTGGCTCCGGCGTTCAATCTGGATCTGTTGCTCCTAGTGGTTCCGGCGTTTCTGGTTCGGGTGTTCAATCGGGATCTGTCGCCCCCTCTGGATCTGGAGCTCGCTCTGGGTCTGGCACTCCTAGTGGTTCCGGTGTCTCTGGTTCGGGTGCTCAATCGGGATCTGTCGCCCCCTCTGGATCTGGCGCTCGCTCTGGGTCTGGCACTCCTAGTGGCTCCGGTGCTTCAGGCTCCGGTGTTCAGTCCGGCTCTGTCATTCCTAGTGGTTCCGGCGCTTCTGGCTCCGGCGCGTCTGGTTCTGGCACCCAATCTGGGTCTGTCGCTCCTAGTGGCTCCGGCGCTTCTGGCTCCGGCGCTCAGTCTGGCTCTATCATTCCTAGTGGTTCGGGCGCTTCTGGCTCAGGCGCTTCAGGTTCTGGCACCCAATCTGGATCTGTTGCTCCTAGTGGCTCCGGCGCTTCTGGCTCCGGCGCTCAGTCTGGCTCTATCATTCCTAGTGGTTCGGGCGCTTCTGGTTCAGGCGCTTCAGGTTCTGGCACCCAATCTGGATCTGTTGCTCCTAGTGGCTCCGGCGCTTCTGGCTCCGGTGCTAAGTCGGGGTCTGTCGCACCCTCCGGATCTGGCGCTCGCTCTGGGTCTGGCACTCCTAGTGGCTCCGGCGCTTCTGGCTCCGGTGCGCAGTCGGGATCTGTTGCCCCCTCTGGATCTGGCGCTCGCTCTGGCTCTGTCGCTCCTAGTGGCTCCGGCGCTTCTGGCTCCGGCGTTTCAGGCTCCGGTGTTCAGTCCGGCTCTGTCATTCCTAGTGGTTCCGCCGCTTCTGGCTCCGGTGCTAAGTCGGGGTCTGTCGCACCCTCCGGATCTGGCGCTCGCTCCGGCTCTGTCATTCCTAGTGGCTCTGGCGCTTCTGGCTCCGGTGCGCAGTCGGGATCTGTTGCTCCAAGTGGCTCCAGCGCTTCTGGCTCCGGCGCGTCTGGTTCTGGCACCCAATCTGGGTCTGTCGCTCCTAGTGGCTCCGGTGCTTCTGGCTCGGGCTCGTCTGGTTCTGGCACCCAATCTGGGTCTGTCGCTCCTAGTGGCTCCGGCGCTTCAGGCTCCGGCGCTTCAGGTTCTGGCACCCAATCTGGGTCTGTCATTCCTAGTGGTTCCGGTGCTTCTGGCTCCGGTGTGCAGTCGGGATCTGTCGCCCCATCTGGATCTGGCACTCGCTCCGGGTCTGGCACTCCTAGTGGCTCCGGTGCTTCAGGCTCCGGTGTTCAGTCCGGCTCTGTCATTCCTAGTGGTTCCGGCGCTTCTGGCTCAGGCGCTTCAGGTTCTGGCACCCAATCTGGGTCTGTTGCTCCTAGTGGCTCCGGCGCTTCAGGCTCCGGTGCTCAGTCGGGATCTGTTGCTCCTAGTGGCTCTGGCGCTTCTGGCTCCGGTGCTAAGTCGGAGTCTGTCGCACCCTCCGGATCTGGCGCTCGCTCTGGGTCTGTCGCTCCTAGTGGCTCCGGTGCTTCAGGCTCCGGTGTTCAGTCCGGCTCTGTCATTCCTAGTGGTTCCGGCGCTTCTGGCTCCGGTGTGCAGTCCGGCTCTGTCATTCCTAGTGGCTCCGGCGTTTCTGGCTCCGGCGCTCAGTCGGGGTCTGTCGCCCCCTCTGGATCTGGCGCTCGCTCTGGGTCTGGCGCTCCTAGTGGCTCCGGTGCTTCAGGCTCCGGTGTTCAGTCCGGCTCTGTCATTCCTAGTGGTTCCGGCGCTTCTGGCTCAGGCGCTTCAGGTTCTGGCACCCAATCTGGGTCTGTTGCTCCTAGTGGCTCGGGTGCTTCAGGCTCCGGCGCTCAGTCGAGATCTGTGACCTCCTCTGGATCTGGCGCTCGCTCTGGATCTGGCGCTCCTAGTGGCTCCGGCGCTTCTGGCTCCGGCACCCAATCTGGGTCTGCCGCTCCTAGTGGCTCCGGCGCTTCTGGCTCTGGCACTCAATCTGGGTCTGTCGCTCCTAGTGGCTCCAGCGCTTCTGGCTCTGGCGCTCAGTCTGGCTCTATCATTCCTAGTGGTTCGGGCGCTTCTGGTTCAGGCGCTTCAGGTTCTGGCACCCAATCTGGATCTGTTGCTCCTAGTGGCTCCGGCGCTTCTGGCTCCGGTGCGCAGTCGGGATCTGTTGCTCCTAGTGGCTCCGGCGTTTCTGGCTCCGGCGTTCAGTCCGGCTCTGTCGCACCATCTGGATCTGTCACTCGCTCAGGGTCTGGCACTCCTAGTGCCTCCGGTGCTTCAGGCTCCGGTGTTCAGTCCGGCTCTGTCATTCCTAGTGGTTCCGGCGCTTCTGGCTCCGGCGCTTCAGGCTCCGGTGCTCAGTCGGGATCTGTTGCTCCTAGTGGCTCTGGCGCTTCTGGCTCCGGTGCTAAGTCGGAGTCTGTCGCACCCTCCGGATCTGGCGCTCGCTCTGGGTCTGTCGCTCCTAGTGGCTCCGGTGCTTCAGGCTCCGGTGTTCAGTCCGGCTCTGTCATTCCTAGTGGTTCCGGCGCTTCTGGCTCCGGTGTGCAGTCGGGATCTGTCGCCCCATCTGGATCTGGCACTCGCTCCGGGTCTGGCACTCCTAGTGGCTCCGGTGCTTCAGGCTCCGGTGTTCAGTCCGGCTCTGTCATTCCTAGTGGTTCCGGCGCTTCTGGCTCAGGCGCTTCAGGTTCTGGCACCCAATCTGGGTCTGTCGCTCCTAGTGGCTCCGGTGCTTCTGGCTCGGGCTCGTCTGGTTCTGGCACCCAATCTGGGTCTGTCGCTCCTAGTGGCTCCGGTGCTTCTGGTTCCGCCGCTCAATCGAGATCTGTGACCTCCTCTGGATCTGGCGCTCCTAGTGGCTCTGGCGCTTCTGGCTCCGGCGCGTCTGGCTCTGGCATCCAATCTGGTTCTGTCGCTCCTAGTGGCTCCGGCGCTTCAGGCTCCGGTGGTCGATCTGGATCTGTTGCTCCTAGTGGCTCCGGCGCTTCTGGCTCCGGCGCTTCAGGTTCTGGCACCCAATCTGGGTCTGTTGCTCCTAGTGGCTCCGGCGCTTCTGGCTCGGGTGCTCAGTCGGGATCTGTCGCCCCCTCTGGATCTGGCGCTCGCTCTGGGTCCGGCGCTTCAGGCTCCGGTGCTCAGTCGGGATCTGTTGCTCCTAGTGGCTCCGGCGTTTCTGGCTCCGGCTCGTCTGGCTCTGGCGCTCAATCGGGATCTGTGACCTCCTCTGGATCTGGTGCGCAGTCAGGATCTGTTGCTCCTAGTGGTTCCGCCGCTTCTGGCTCCGGTGCTAAGTCGGGGTCTGTCGCACCCTCCGGATCTGGCGCTCGCTCTGGGTCTGTCGCTCCTAGTGGCTCCGGTGCTTCAGGCTCCGGTGTTCAGTCCGGCTCTGTCATTCCTAGTGGTTCCGGCGCTTCAGGCTCCGGCGCTTCAGGTTCTGGCACCCAATCTGGCTCTGTCATTCCTAGTGGTTCCGGCGCTTCTGGCTCCGGTGCGTCTGGTTCTGGCACCCAATCTGGGTCTGTCGCTCCTAGTGGCTCCGGCGCTTCAGGCTCCGGCGCTTCAGGTTCTGGCACCCAATCTGGGTCTGTCATTCCTAGTGGTTCCGGTGCTTCTGGCTCCGGTGTGCAGTCGGGATCTGTCGCCCCATCTGGATCTGGCACTCGCTCCGGGTCTGGCACTCCTAGTGGCTCCGGTGCTTCAGGCTCCGGTGTTCAGTCCGGCTCTGTCATTCCTAGTGGTTCCGGCGCTTCAGGCTCCGGCGCGTCTGGTTCTGGCACCCAATCTGGGTCTGTCGCTCCTAGTGGCTCCGGCGCTTCAGGCTCCGGCGCTTCAGGTTCTGGCACCCAATCCGGCTCTGTCATTCCTAGTGGTTCCGGCGCTTCAGGTTCTGGCACCCAATCTGGGTCTGTTGCTCCTAGTGGCTCCGGCGCTTCAGGCTCCGGTGCTCAGTCGGGATCTGTTGCTCCTAGTGGCTCTGGCGCTTCTGGCTCCGGTGCTAAGTCGGAGTCTGTCGCACCCTCCGGATCTGGCGCTCGCTCTGGGTCTGTCGCTCCTAGTGGCTCCGGTGCTTCAGGCTCCGGTGTTCAGTCCGGCTCTGTCATTCCTAGTGGTTCCGGCGCTTCTGGCTCCGGTGCGCAGTCGGGATCTGTCATTCCTAGTGGATCTGGCTCTTCTGGCTCCGGCGCGTCTGGCTCTGGCACTCCATCTGGTTCTGTTGCTCCTAGTGGCTCCGCCGCTTCGGGCTCCGGCGCTCAATCTGGATCTAGTACCCAATCTGGGTCTGTCGCTGCTAGTGGATCCGGCGCGTCTGTCTCTGGCGCTCAATCTGGGTCTGGCGCTCCTAGTGGCTCTGGCGCTTCTGGCTCAGGCTCGTCTGGCTCCGGTGGTCGATCTGGGTCTGTCGCTCCTAGTGGCTCTGGCGCTTCTGACTCCGCCGCTCAGTCAGGATCTGTTGTACCCTCAGGGTCTGGCGCTCGCTCAGGATCTGTTGCTCCTAGTGGCTCCGGTGCTTCTGGCTCCGGTGCGCAGTCAGGATCTGTTGCTCCTAGTGTATCCGGCGCTTCAGGCTCCGGTACGCAGTCAGGATCAGTTGCTCCTAGTGGCTCCGGCGTTTCTGGCTCGGGTGCTCAATCGGGATCTATCGCCCCCTCAGGATCTGGCACTCGCTCTGGGTCTGGCACTCCTAGTGGCTCCGGCGCTTCTGGCTCCGGTGTGCAGTCCGGCTCTGTCATTCCTAGTGGTTCCGGCGCTTCAGGTTCCGGTGCTTCGGGCTCCGGTGTTCGGTCCGGCTCTGTCATTCCTAGTGGTTCTGGCGCTTCAGGCTCCGGTTCTCAGTCGGGATCTGTCGCCCCCTCTGGGTCTGTCACTCCTAGCGGCTCCGGCGCTTCTGGCTCCGGCTCTCAGTCGAGATCTGTGACCTTCTCTGGATCTGGCGCTCACTCTGGATCCGGCGCTTCAGGCTCCGGCGCTCAATCGGGATCTGTCACCCCCACTGGATCTGGTGCTCGCTCTGGGTCTGGCTCTCCTAGTGGCTCCGGTGCGCAATCTGGATCTGGCGCTCCTAGTGGCTCTAGCGCTTCGGGCTCCGGCGCTCAATCTGGATCTAGTACCCAATCTGGGTCTCTCGCTCCTAGTGGCTCCGGCGCTTCTGTCTCTGGCGCTCAATCTGGGTCTGGCGCTCCTAGTGGCTCTGGCGCTTCAGGCTCCGGTGCGCAGTCGGGATCTGTTGCTCCTAGTGGCTCCGGCGCTTCAGGACCCGGTACGCAGTCAGGATCTGTTGCTCCTAGTGGATCTGGCGCTTCTGGCACTCCATCTGGTTCTGGTGTTCTCAGCGGCTCCGGCGCTTCAGGCTCCGGTGCTCACTCAGGGTCTGTCGCCCCCTCTGGATCTGGCGCTCGCTCTGGGTCTGGCACCTCTAGTGGCTCCGGTGCTTCTGGCTCCGGTTCGCCCTCTGGGTCTGGCACTCCTAGTGGTTCCGGCGCTTCAGGCTCCGGCGCTTCCAGCTCTGGCACCCAATCTGGGTCTGTCGCTCCTAGTGGCTCCGGCGCTTCTGGCTCCGGCGTTCAATCTGGATCTGTTGCTCCTAGTGGCTCCGGCGTTTCTGGTTCGGGTGCTCAATCGGGTTCTGTCGCCCCCTCTGGATCTGGCACTCGCTCAGGGACTGTCGCTCCTAGTGTCTCCGGCGTTCAATCTGGATCTGTTGCTCCTAGTGGCTCCGGCGTTTCTGGCTCGGGTACTCAATCGGGATCTATTATTCCCAGTGGCTCCGGCGCTTCTGGCTCCGGCGCTTCTGGCTCCGGTGCTCAATCGGGATCTGTTATTCCCAGTGGTTCCGGCGCTTCTGGCTCCGGTGCTCAGTCCGGGTCTGTCGCCCCCTCTGGATCTGGCGCTCGCTCTGGGTCTAGCGCTGCTAGTGGCTCTGGCGCTTCAGGCTCCGGCGGTCAGTCGGGATCTGTCGCCCCATCTGGATCTGTCACTCGCTCAGAGTCTGTCGCTTCTAGTGTCTCCGGCGCTTCTGGCTCCGGCATTCAATCGGGATCTGTCGCACCCTCTGGATCTGGCGCTCGCTCTGGGTCTGGCGCTGCTAGTGGCTCTGGCGCTTCTGGCTCCGGTGCGGAGTCGGGATCTGTTATTCCTAGTGGATCTGGCGCTTCTGGCTCCGGCGCGTCTGGCTCTGGCACTCCATCTGGTTCTGTTGTTCCCAGCGGCTCCGGTGCTCAGTCGGGGTCTGTCGCCCCCTCTGGATCTGGCACTCGCTCTGGGTCTGGCACTCCTAGTGGCTCCGGCGCTTCAGGCTCCGGTGTGCAGTCGGGATCTGTCGCCCCCTCTGGATCTGGCGCTCGCTCTGGGTCTGGCGCTTCAGGCTCCGGCGGTCAGTCGGGATCTGTCGCCCCATCTGGATCTGTCACTCGCTCAAGGTCTGTCGCTTCTAGTGTCTCCGGCGCTTCTGGCTCCGGCGTTCAATCTGGATCTGTTGCTCCTAGTGGTTCCAGCGTTTCTGGTTCGGGTGCTCAATCGGGATCTGTCGCCCCCTCTGGATCTGGCGCTCGGTCTGGGTCTGTTTCTCCTAGTGGCTCCGGCGCTTCTGGCTCCGGCGTTCAGTCCGGCTCTATCATTCCTAGTGGTTCCGGCGCTTCTGGCTCTGGCATCCAATCTGGGTCTATTATTCCCAGTGGCTCCGGCGCTTCTGGCTCCGGTGTGCAGTCGGGATCTGTTGCCCCCTCTGGATCTGGCGCTCGCTCTGGGTCTGTCGCTCCTAGTGGCTCCGGCGCTTCTGGCTCCGGTGTTCAGTCCGGCTCTGTCATTCCTAGTGGCTCCGGCGTTTCTGGCTCGGGTGCTCAATCGGGATCTGTCGCCCCCTCTGGATCTGGCGCTCGCTCTGGGTCTGGCACTCCTAGAGGCTCCGGCGCTTCTGGCTCCGGCACCCAATCTGGGTCTGCCGCTCCTAGTGGCTCCGGCGCTTCTGGCTCTGGCACTCAATCTGGGTCTGTCGCTCCTAGTGGCTCCAGCGCTTCTGGCTCTGGCACTCAATCTGGGTCTGTCGCTCCTAGTGGCTCCGGCGCTTCTGGCTCCGGCGCTCATTCAGGATCTGTCGCCGCCTCTGGATCTGGGGCACCTAGTGTCTCGGGACGTTCAGGCTCCGGCACTCAGTCAAGATCTGTGACCTCCTCTGGATCTGGTGCTCGCTCTGGGTCTGGCACTCCTAGTGGCTCCAGCGCTTCTGGCTCCGGCGTTCAGTCCGGCTCTATCATTCCTAGTGGCTCCGGCGCTTCTGGCTCTGGCACCCGATCTGGGTCTATTATTCCCAGTGGCTCCGGCGCTTCTGGCTCCGGTGCGCAGTCGGGATCTGTTGCTCCCAGTGGCTCCGGCGTTTCTGGCTCGGGTACTCAATCGGGATCTGTCGCCCCCTCTGGATCTGGCACTCGCTCAGGGACTATCGCTCCTAGTGGCTCCGGCGCTTCTGGCTCCGGTGGGCAGTCGGGATCTGTCATTCCTAGTGGATCTGGCGCTTCTGGCTCCGGCGCGTCTGGTTCTGGCACCCAATCTGGGTCTGTCGTTCCTAGTGGCTCCGGCGCTTCTCGCTCCGGTGGGCAGTCGGGATCTGTTGCTCCTAGTGGCTCGAGCGTTTCAGGCTCCGGCGCTCATTCGGGATCTGTGACCTCCTCTGGATCTGGCGCTCGCTCTGGATCTGGCACCCCTAGTGGCTCCGGCGCTTCCGGCTCTGGCACCCAATCTGGGTCTGTTGCTGCTAGTGGCTCAGGCGCTTCTGGTTCAGGCGCTTCAGGTTCTGGCACCCAACCTGGATCTGTTGCTCCTAGTGGCTCCGGCGCTTCTGGCTCCGGTGCGCAGTCGGGATCTGTCGCCCCCTCTGGATCTGGCGCTCGCTCTGGGTCTGTCGCTCCTAGTGGTTCTGGCGCTTCAGGCTCCGGTGCTCAGTCGGGGTCTGTCGCCCCCTCAGGATCTGGCGCTCGCTCTGGGTCTGGCACTCCTAGTGGCTCCGGCGTTTCAGGCTCCGGTGTTCAATCGGGATCTGTGACCTCCTCTGGATCTGGTGCGCAGTCGGGATCTGTTGCTCCTAGTGGTTCCGGCGCTTCTGGCTCCGGTGCTCAGTCTGGATCTGTTGCTCCTAGTGGCTCCGGCGCTTCAGGCTCCGGCGCTTCAGGTTCTGGCACGCAATCTGGGTCTGTTGCTCCAAGTGGCTCCAGCGCTTCAGGCTCCGGCGCTTCAGGTTCTGGCACCCAATCTGGCTCTGTTGCTCCTAGTGGCTCGGGTGCTTCAGGCTCCGGCGCTCAGTCGAGATCTGTTGCCCCCTCTGGATCTGGCGCTCGCTCTGGATCTGTCGCTCCTAGTGGCTCCGGCGCTTCTGGCTCCGGCTCTCAGTCGAGATCTGTGACCTTCTCTGGATCTGGCACCCCTAGTGGCTCCGGCGCTTCTGGCTCTGGCACCCAATCTGGGTCTGTTGCTCCTAGTGGCTCCGGCGCTTCTGGCTCCGGCGTTCAGTCCGGCTCTACCATTCCTAGTGGTTCCGGCGCTTCAGGTTCTGGCACCCAATCTGGGTCTGTCGCTCCTAGTGGCTCCGGCGCTTCTGGCTCCGGTGCTCAATCGGGATCTGTTATTCCCAGTGGTTCCGGCGCTTCTGGCTCCGGTGCTCAATCGGGGTCTGTCGCCCCCTCTGGATCTGGCGCTCGCTCTCGGTCTAGCGCTGCTAGTGGCTCTGGCGCTTCAGGCTCCGGCGGTCAGTCGGGATCTGTCGCCCCATCTGGATCTGTCACTCGCTCAGAGTCTGTCGCTTCTAGTGTCTCCGGCGCTTCTGGCTCCGGCGTTCAATCTGGATCTGTTGCTCCTAGTGGCTCCGGCGCTTCTGGCTCCGGTGTTCAATCGGGATCTGTGACCTCCTCTGGATCGGGTGCGCAGTCGGGATCTGTTGCTCCTAGTGGTTCCGGCGCTTCTGGCTCCGGCGTTCAATCTGGATCTGTTGTTCCTAGTGGTTCCGGCGTTTCTGGTTCGGGTGCTCAATCGGGGTCTGTCGCCCCCTCTGGATCTGGCGCTCGCTCTGAGTCTGTCGCTCCTAGTGGCTCCGGCGCTTCAGGCTCCGGCGCTTCAGGTTCTGGCACCCAATCTGGGTCTGTTTCTCCTAGTGGCTCCAGCGCTTCTGGCTCCGGTGCGCAGTCGGGATCTGTTGCTCCTAGTGGCTCCGGCGTTTCTGGCTCCGGTGTTCAATCGGGATCTGTGACCTCCTCTGGATCTGGTGCGCAGTCGGGATCTGTTGCTCCTAGTGGTTCCGGCGCTTCTGGCTCCGGTGCTCAGTCGGGGTCTGTCGCACCCTCTGGATCTGGCACTCCTAGTGGCTCTGGCGCTCCTAGTGGCTCTAGCGCTTCAGGCTCCGGTGCTCAGTCGGGGTCTGTCGCACCCTCTGGATCTGGCACTCCTAGTGGCTCTGGCGCTTCAGGCTCCGGCGCTCAGTCGGGATCTGTCGCCCCATCTGGATCTGTCACTCGCTCAGGGTCTGTCACTCCTAGTGGCCCCGGCGCTTCTGGCTCCGGTGCGCAGTCGGGATCTGTCGCCCTATCTGGATCTGGCACTCGCTCCGGGTCTGGCACTCCTAGTGGCTCCGGTGCTTCAGGCTCCGGTGTTCAGTCCGGCTCTGTCATGCCTAGTGGTTCCGGCGCTTCTGGCTCAGGCGCTTCAGGTTCTGGCACCCAATCTGGGTCTGTTGCTCCTAGTGGCTCCGGCGCTTCTGGCTCCGGTGCGCAGTCAGGATCTGTTGCTCCTAGTGGCTCCGGCGTTCAATCTGGATCTGTTGCTCCTAGTGGTTCCGGCGTTTCTGGTTCGGGTGTTCAATCGGGATCTGTCGCCCCCTCTGGATCTGGAGCTCGCTCTGGGTCTGGCACTCCTAGTGGTTCCGGTGTCTCTGGTTCGGGTGCTCAATCGGGATCTGTCGCCCCCTCTGGATCTGGCGCTCGCTCTGGGTCTGGCACTCCTAGTGGCTCCGGCGCTTCTGGCTCCGGTGTGCAGTCGGGATCTGTCGCCCCATCTGGATCTGGCACTCGCTCCGGGTCTGGCACTCCTAGTGGCTCCGGTGCTTCAGGCTCCGGTGTTCAGTCCGGCTCTGTCATTCCTAGTGGTTCCGGCGCTTCTGGCTCCGGCGCGTCTGGTTCTGGCACCCAATCTGGGTCTGTCGCTCCTAGTGGCTCCGGCGCTTCTGGCTCCGGCGCTCAGTCTGGCTCTACCATTCCTAGTGGTTCGGGCGCTTCTGGCTCAGGCGCTTCAGGTTCTGGCACCCAATCTGGGTCTGTTGCTCCTAGTGGCTCCGGCGCTTCTGGCTCCGGTGCGCAGTCGGGATCTGTTGCCCCCTCTGGATCTGGCGCTCGCTCTGGGTCTGTCGCTCCTAGTGGCTCCGGCGCTTCTGGCTCGGGCTCGTCTGGCTCTGGTACCCAATCTGGGTCTGTCGCTCGCTCTGGGTCTGGGACTCCTAGTGGTTCTGGCGCTTCAGGCTCCGGTGCTCAGTCGGGGTCTGTCGCACCCTCTGGATCTGGCGCTCGCTCTGGGTCTGGCACTCCTAGTGGCTCCAGCGCTTCAGGCTCCGGCGCTCAGTCGGGATCTGTCGCCCCATCTGGATCTGTCACTCGCTCAGGGTCTGTCGTTCCTAGTGGCTCCGGCGCTTCTGGCTCCGGCGCGCAGTCAGGATCTGTTGCTCCTAGTGGTTCCGGCGCTTCTGGCTCCGGTGCTAAGTCGGGGTCTGTCGCCCCCTCTGGATCTGGCGCGCGCTCTGGGTCTGTCGCTCCTAGTGACTCCGGCGCTTCTGGCTCCGGTGCGCAGTCCGGCTCTGTCATTCCTAGTGGTTCTGGCGTTTCGGGCTCCGGCGCTCAATCTGGATCTAGTACCCAATCTGGGTCTGTTGCTCCTAGTGGTTCCGCCGCTTCTGGCTCCGGTGCTAAGTCGGGGTCTGTCGCCCCCTCTGGATCTGGCGCTCGCTCTGGGTCTGTCGCTCCTAGTGTCCCCGGCGCTTCTGGCTCCGGCGTTCAATCTGGATCTGTTGCTCCTAGTGGTTCCGGTGTTTCTGGTTCGGGTGCTCAATCGGGATCTGTCGCCCCCTCTGGATCTGGCGCTCGCTCTGGGTCTGGCACTCCTAGTGGCCCCGGCGCTTCTGGCTCCGGTGCTCATTCCGGCTCTGCCATTCCCAGTGGCTCCGGCGCTTCTGTCTCTGGTGCGCTCTCTGGCTCTGTCGTTGCTACTGTCTCCGGCACCTCTGTGTCGGGTGCTCAATCCGGCTCTGTTGAGCCCACGGGCTCTGGTGCTCACTCCGGATCTGCTACCCTTGGAGGCTCTGTCGAACCCACAGGCTCCGGTGTTCACTCTGGCTCTGAATCGTCTGGCGGTTCTATTGTACCCACAAGTTCTGGTGCGCAATCTGGCTCAGTTGGTCCGACGGGCTCTTATTCCCTCTCTGGTTCTGGATCTCCTGGCGGCTCTGTTGAGCCCACGGGCTCTGGTGCCAACTCCGGGTCTGGTACCCTTGGAGGTTCTGTCAAACCCACAGGCTCTGATGCTCACTCTGACTCTGGATCTTCTAGCGGTTCTATCGAACCCACGGGCTCTGGTATCCACTCTGGTGCTGGTACCCAATCAGGCTCTGTTCCCCCCACCGGCTCTGGTGTTCACTCTGGTTCTGGATCTGCTGGTGGCTCTGTTGAACCCACCGGCTCTGGTGGTCACTCTGGATCTGGTGCTCAATCCGGTTCTGTTGCTCCCACGGGCTCTGTCACACACTCTGGTTCTGGATCTCCTAGCGGCTCTGTCGGACCAACGGGTTCTGGTGCCCACTCTGGTTCTGGTGCTCAATCCGGCTCTGTTGAGCCCACGGGCTCTGGCGCTCACTCTGGCTCCGGATCTCCTGGCGGCTCTGTTGCCCCCACGGGCTCTGGTGGTCCCTCTAGCTCCGGATCTCCTGGCGGCTCTGTTGAGCCCACTGGCTCTGGTGCTCACTCCGGCTCCGGATCTTCTGGCGGTTCTATCGAACCCACGGGCTCTGGTATCCACTCTGGTGCTGGTACCCAATCCGGCTCTGTTGCCCCCACGGGCTCTGGTGGTCGCTCTAGCTCCGGATCTTCTGGCGGCTCTGTTGAGCCCACGGGCTCTGGTGGTCCCTCTAGCTCCGGATCTCCTGGCGGCTCTGTTGAGCCCACGGGCTCTGGTGCTCACTCTAGCTCTGTTGAGCCTACGGGCTCTGGTGCTCACTCCGGCTCTGGATCTTCTGGCGGTTCTATCGAACCCACGGGCTCTGGTATCCACTCTGGTGCTGGTACCCAATCCGGCTCTGTTGCCCCCACGGGCTCTGGTGCTCACTCTAGCTCCGGATCTCCTGGCGGCTCTGTTGAGCCCACGGGCTCTGGTGCTCACTCTAGCTCTGTTGAGCCTACGGGCTCTGGTGCTCACTCCGGCTCTGGATCTTCTGGCGGTTCTATCGAACCCACGGGTTCTGGTATCCACTCTGGTGCTGGTACCCAATCCGGCTCTGTTGCCCCCACGGGCTCTGGTGCTCACTCTAGCTCCGGATCTCCTGGCGGCTCTGTTGAGCCCACTGGCTCTGGTGCTCACTCCGGCTCCGGATCTTCTGGCGGTTCTATCGAACCCACGGGCTCTGGTATCCACTCTGGTGCTGGTACCCAATCCGGCTCTGTTGCCCCCACGGGCTCTGGTGCTCACTCTAGCTCCGGATCTCCTGGCGGCTCTGTTGAGCCCACTGGCTCTGGTGCTCACTCTAGCTCTGTTGAGCCTACGGGCTCTGGCGCTCACTCCGGCTCTGGATCTTCTGGCGGTCCTATCGAACCCACGGGTTCTGGTATCCACTCTGGTGCTGGTACCCAATCCGGCTCTGTTGCCCCCACGGGCTCTGGTGCTCACTCTAGCTCCGGATCTCCTGGCGGCTCTGTTGAGCCCACTGGCTCTGGTGCTCACTCTAGCTCTGTTGAGCCTACGGGCTCTGGCGCTCACTCCGGCTCTGGATCTTCTGGCGGTCCTATCGAACCCACGGGTTCTGGTATCCACTCTGGTGCTGGTACCCAATCCGGCTCTGTTGCCCCCACGGGCTCTGGTGCTCACTCTAGCTCCGGATCTCCTGGCGGCTCTGTTGAGCCCACGGGCTCTGGCGCTCACTCCGGCTCTGGATCTTCTGGCGGTTCTATCGAACCCACGGGTTCTGGTATCCACTCTGGTGCTGGTACCCAATCCGGCTCTGTTGCCCCCACGGGCTCTGGTGGTCGCTCTAGCTCCGGATCTCCTGGCGGCTCTGTTGAGCCCACGGGCTCTGGTGCTCACTCCGGCTCCGGATCTTCTGGCGGTTCTATCGAACCCACGGGCTCTGGTATCCACTCTGGTGCTGGTACCCAATCCGGCTCTGTTGCCCCCACGGGCTCTGGTGCTCACTCTAGCTCCGGATCTCCTGGCGGCTCTGTTGAGTCTACGGGCTCTGGCGCTCACTCCGGCTCTGGATCTTCTGGCGGTTCTATCGAACCCACGGGCTCTGGTATCCACTCTGGTGCTGGTACCCAATCCGGCTCTGTTGCCCCCACGGGCTCTGGTGGTCGCTCTAGCTCCGGATCTCCTGGCGGCTCTGTTGAGCCCACGGGCTCTGGTGGTCCCTCTAGCTCCGGATCTCCTGGCGGCTCTGTTGAGCCCACGGGCTCTGGTGCTCACTCCGGCTCTGGATCTCCTGGCGGCTCTGTTGAGCCCACGGGCTCTGGTGCTCACTCCGGCTCCGGATCGCCTAGCGGCTCTGTTGAGCCCACGTGCTCTGGTGCTCCAGAAGGCTCTGTCAAACCCACGCGCTCTGGTGCACGCTCTGGTTCTGGTGCGCCCGGCGGCTCTGTCGCTCCCACTGGCAGTGCTGAATCGTCCAGTTCTGAGGCGGTTTCTACCACCGTTGTCACTGAGTTCACCACTTACTGTCCTGAACCCACTACACTCTGCCCTGGCAACGGCCACTGCTACACCATCACCGAAGCAACTACTTTGACGGTGACTGACTGCCCATGCACTCTCACCAAACAGCGTCCGACGTCTACAGTTATTGTTACCGAGATCACTACTTACTGCCCTGAGCCCACTACCTTCACGTTCGGCAGTAAGACTGTGACGGTAACTGGCGCAGGTTCTGTTACTCTCACTGAGACGGTGACGGTGCCTTGCTCAACCGACGCGCCTCTTACCAATGCTGCTAGTCCTTCTCTCAATATTGCGAGCACAATCGTTCGCTCCGTTCCAACAGTTCAATTTTCAGGCAACGAGGCTGCTCCTAGCCCCACTGATAAGAGTTCGGGGACTGATGCTACCCCACCTCCAGTCTTTTCCAGCAGCCAGTTCATCCCTCTACCCACATCTTCTGACAGTGAAGCTGTCCTTGGCCCTAGTTATAGGATTTCGGAAACTTTCAGTGCCCCCGGTCCATCTGTTGCTAGCAGCAACTTTGTCTCGAACCCCGTGGCTTCTGGCAAAGAAGGTTCCTCGGGCCCTATTATGTCTAGAGATGAGATACTCTCAGCTGCTGTGGTTTCTAGTGTTGGGGAGTACTCCGTTTCTGCAGTCGCTGCCACTGGGTCTTCAGTTAGCTCTGCCGCTTCTAGCCCTAAGAGCTCCTCTAACTCTGCTTCTTCCAGCGCTAGTGTTGCTACCAGCTCTGCCACTACTACCACCGGCTTCGCCTTGAATTCCGCCGCTTCTAGCAGTGAGGTAGCCCCTGCTAATAGCGCCGCCATCAAAGGCATTTCAAAAGTCGCCGCTATCGTTGCCGCGGCTGTCGTTGCCTTTGCTTAAGCAATAGTACTATAGTGGTATATAACACTTCCAAGTTCATCTTGAATAGTATCTGCTTTATTCTAGCAAAGTGTGCATTTGACAATGCTTGCAATACCCGTACAATCGGAGAGCACGGAGTCTTGACGGAAAGCAACCACATAACAGCCACCTGTCAGTATGCACGGGATATGAAATCTACGGAACTGCGACTGGTTAGAGTCAAAGAGTGGGTATAAACCTAATTGCCAAACTAACTGGCAATCCTGTCTGTGTAACCACACATATTTCTCCTTCTGGCTTTGCGGCAGCTCGTTAAATCTATCGTCGTACGCTCGGCACTCTTATTTCCATATCAAAGTAATCGTTCAAACAAATAACTCAAATACCTAACTAGAAGTAGGGGAATACGTATTACAAACTATTGACAACAGCGCTCTTGATATCGTCTACTTCACTTTGATGTTTTAATTAACGCATGAACAGAGATATGTCTAGCCATGGCAGCAAAACTGAGACGTCTGCACTAAACCCCCCAACTTTCGAATGGCACCAGCTATCACACAGGGCCAAGACCTGAATCAAGAACGTTACACGAAAGGCCCAGCACTACCATGATTTTATGCTAACTTACCTTACCGTACACACTGACGTTGGCTCAGCGCTAGCCAAGATCACTCCAGATCCACGACCTAACCCTAACATAGTACATCTCAGCTCCCACACTACCGCAGCTAAGGCGCCTCAAACATCGTCGTGGGGTTGAAAAGACAATGCTAAGTCATATCACGATAGCACTCATTTAACCATCGTGGTGGCAATGACAACGTACAGCAGGAAAGTCGACGAGTACGCGTTCGCAGCCATCGTACTGGGAATAAAAAACTGCTGCAGACGCAATTAGAGATGTCTATATAAAGAACACAAGTAGGTGCAGGCTTCAAAAAACGACTGCAATCATAAGTCGTCTCGAGGGCATGGGTTGAAAAGCGAAGCTTTAGCAAAATAAGCAGGTGTACATACGTGACGTAATTAGGCTCCATACCTTCACAAGTGCTATCTTATCCAAATCACAGGAGATACAAACAAGGCCGTGCAAAGAACTATTACCGAGGCCCCAACAATACAAAACCAATACTAAACCGTAACATAAGGAGAGGGAATAAGACACTTAGGAGAGGGGAATAAGACACTTAGGAGAGGGGAATAAGACACTTAGGAGAGGGGAATAAGACACTTAGGAGAGGGGAATAAGACACTTAGGAGAGGGGAATAAGACACTTAGGAGAGGGAATAAGACACTTAGGAGAGGGGAATAAGACACTTAGGAGAGGGGAATAAGACACTTAGGAGAGGGGAATAAGACACTTAGGAGAGGGGAATAAGACACTTAGGAGAGGGGAATAAGACACTTAGGAGAGGGAATAAGACACTTAGG